TCCACTGGTCACCTGCACGGTGTCCCCCTTTCGGCAGAGCATTCCCTTCAATCTGTACATTGGAAGATTGCTGGGGAGTATAGGAGGAGGTACGGCCGAAACCTGCGCTGGGTTGATAGTTTCGGGAATGTCAAAAGGGTGGATCACTTGGTGTGCAGAGGGGTTTCGGAGATCCCAGACAATGTTGAGGAGTAACATGCGGGGCAGGTTGTTGGATTCCAAGGACATCTTGGCTCGTGCTCGAGTGACGGCCATTCGTCCATTACATGGTACCGAAAAGCAATGTTGGGGACTGCATGAACGCCACAATGAAAGGTTGATGAGCTGGATGAGGTTAAGTGATGAGCCATGTGGATAGATTTGGAGAACGGTCATTTGCTTCTCCAGTGAGGATGTCTCTTGCCTGACAGGGACTGCGTGGGAACAGGGCTGAAAGACATATTCCCAGGTTACTCCGAATTGGAATGTGTTCCGAATCGGGTTCTGTTCAATGATCTGATTGAATTTGCTTGTCATTCTGAGAAACAGTTCACACGGATCATGCTGAGATTCTTCATCTATCAAGTTCTCACCTGCATATCAGCAAATGAACATGCTGATTGGCAGCAATGATGGAGGAAGGGAACTCACTTCGGAGGATCGGTACAATGTCCTTCAGATCCACCAGCCGTCTAGTTACCGAAATGGCTTTAAGAAAGTCACCTAGTAAGACAATCAAAGAAGGTGCGTGAGGCCTGAGAGCGTCATTAGCTTCGTTGAATGCGGACACGAAGGCTGGAATTCGGAAGACAATATGGAACAACGACAGAGCAAAACAGGATTGAAGATAATTCTTTGCTCCAACAGGTCGATCTCGTGGTGGTAGTGCGTCCCGAGGAATGCCAGCTTTTGTGGGGGCTGTCTTTTGGCGATAAGGATGCAGAGGGCGGTGAGCTGCTGGACGGCCACCCTTATCAGCCTCTGGTCTTGAAACCGGTAACGTGGCAGTGGTTGAGGGATGGTCGTCAGCATGGTTGAGGAATCGGTTTCGGCGGGTAATGGGCGAATCGGGCTCGACAAAATCAAGGTTGGCACTATCAATGCTGATGAGCTTGCCCTGTTTCGGAGGCTGCTCGGAGGACCAATCATGCCACACAGGCTCCGAAGGGTCATGTCCCCAATAGGCAACAAGGTCTTCTTGATCCAATGGATAAGATATCTCTCCCAACCGTCTTTGTAGTTGTATAGCTCGAGTCTGCAGTCGCAGTTCGTTTGCCGTGACACCATTAGAATACGTTTCGGAGGAGCCACAAGTGTGAAAGCAGTACAATGCCCAGAGACCCGAGCACCTTTTGCCTGTTTCGGTAAAGTATCTGCAGGAGCATCGTTCACGAGTTTTGTCTTTGATCCCACAGTAATGTAAGTCCGGTGTTGTTTTGCTCGATTCGGAGGATGTCACACAATATGTATGATCTAGTTGACCTCTCAATGACATAGGCATCTCGTCTCCGAAACATTCCCTAACCGCCCCTTGCTCCCAAAGCTCCAGTCCTTGAAGTATGTGTGACAGAACTGTGGGGTCACAGCGGGCAGATGTTGGTGGTGAATGGAGATACATGGGAAAGTAAACGTCGATGATGATTGTGAGGAGTTTGTCTATACGTTTGTTGGCTCGAGATTCAAGGAATACTCTGTCAAAGGTCCGAAATGCCGCTTCGACAAAGTTGTTTGTTGAGAGAGTACCATCTCGGGTGTGATGAGGTGGCAGACCATAGTCGACAAGGTATCCCCTCCATCTGTCGCTGAACCATTCAGACAGGAGCCAGGTTCTGATTTTGTCCCAAATTTCGGGATCGTTATTGCTGATTGCCGCAACATCGGCTTCTAGTCGAGCAAAAGCTTCTGACCAAGACTCCTCTTCGGAACATCGTTGGCACCTCCGAAGTGCCACAAGGAAGGCAAAGGCCTTTTCGGTACCCACCAGATCACTCCCAAATAGCCGAAGTGCTCGAGATCGGGCGGCGTGCATGAAATGGAATTGGCATAACCGAATTGGAGTTCCCGGGAAGACCTCCTCAATGGCCTTTCGTTCGGCGTCATCACAATCAATCATGAAATGTAGTGGAAGGAAATCCTCCTCGTGAATGTATTCGGCGTTGATGAGGATTTGCTCTTCATTCTCATATTCGGAGACCACTGATGATTTGCCCTTGAGTAATGCTTTCGCTTCTTTCTTGATAGCCTTTCGGATAACGCTCAAGAATTCGGTATAGGAATCGGTGTTGGCGTGATTTGAGACCATGACAGCTACTGGAGCATTGTCAGCTCCGAAACCCGAAACCCTTCAAACCACAGGACTCACCAGGGACCATATGACCATATTCATTTACTGTGGCTAGCAAGGTGACGGGACAGCGTATTGCATTCTTATTTCTCCAAGACGAATCAAGAAAGAGGCCCCGATCTGTGGCATGCCGAATTGCTGATTGCAATGCATGTTTCGGACTGATGATTGCAATGAACGAAGAGTCCGCTGGGAATGGCTGAGTGCCACCGAGTGCCAGGCCTTCAGGATATTCACAACTGACAGTCAGCTCATGAGGACAAGGAAACGCTGGCTACATACTGCAGGAAAGAGCTTGGATTGGCCTCATGTAAGATACTTATCGCCGCCAGTGGTAGCCGATCCAGCCTTTCCTGCCGCAGAGCCGTTCGGATGGCAGTTTGGAAGTCAGTGGTGGTAGGAAGACGCTCGGGATAATTTGCCTTGACCCATAGGACATAGGGGTGAATCTTGCAGAAGGAATTGTACCACCGAAGCCGAAGACGTGACTCAGTCGTTCCCACCAGAGTTGCAGCATCATGGAGTAGGTTTCGGAGATGTGGCGAAATCCGAAGTAATGTCAACGGGTTCGGTTGACCGTGATATGCAGCTTTCGGGCGGATCAGACAACAGACCCCTTTTCGGATATTGCTGGGGGTCATTCGTATCTAAGAAAATCAGCTTAGTGAAGATGAATCATCCTTATATGACCCACCTCAAGAAAAAGATCACACTTTAAACGTGCTCTTGAGGAATATCGTGCACTGGCAGCAGTTGGAGGGTGAGCTTCGGCTGTTGTTTGTGTTTCATCCTTTGCTTTCGGCTCAACATGGTGGTGGACACTGTTCAAAGTTGGCTGGATCTGGGTACAGTTGCCACTGCATCGGAAGATCGACCGAAACACTGTCCGATTCGGGTATGCGGCGACAGCACTGTCGGAGACAAAGAAGAGGCCATGTCTTCCCCTGATGTCGGCGGGTAATAAACCAGGGGGATCCAACCATTCCACTTGAACACATTTGGATATATGCTGGGTCTCAATGAGGTAGTCCTGACGCTGATATATCAACGGTTGTAACTCTCCAAAACAGAACACTGACCAAAGAGTCAAACGCTTTCGGGATATGATGAAAAGCCACCTCGAATTGTTCATAGCGATCATCATCCACCAGGTCAGGATTCGGTAAACGACAGAAGGTTTCCAAAGCACGTATGTTGACCCCAAGACTAGCGTCGGTGCGAGGAGCTTTGAGTGCCAAGAGTGGAGCCTCAGGACGTGGTACGGAGTATGATTCGGAAGAGATATTGACAATTCGGAAGCGCCCGGCCGCCTCTTGCCTAGCAGTGATGATCTCATCTTCTACCGAAATGGGATTCGGAGGTTGAGAGGGAGACCATTTCGGAACGGCAGCGGATAAGTTGGGTGCTGAAGCTTGCACGGCCGAAGACAATGAAGCGGAGGGGGAGGCCATGACCAGCTCTGTCCAGGGTACCGAATCTGGTGTCACAATACCAATACCGTTGGACGATGCAGGAGTATCTCCTGATGCAACTCTCCTGTCAGTTGATACATAAAGGGGATCCAAAAGTACTCACTGGAATCAGCCGTGGACAGGGGTATCTTGTGACCAGGAGACGATTTGGGAAACTGCTGTGAATGATTTACTGAGCATAAGCTTCAATGAACCCAGAGGAAAAGAAACTGCCTCACAGGCCACCGAATCCAAATGCGATTCCAGTCGCGTTTCGGAAGCAGGCAGGGAGGCAGAGGGGGTTGGAAGGAGATCGGGCTGAGCTACTTTATGACAAGGAGATGGAGAAGAAGCCCCTCTTGAGCTCAGCTGGGGTGGTTCAGGAAAGGGCGGCGGTTTGTTCACTGAGCATAAGCTTCAATGAACCAAGAGGAAAAGAGAATGTCTCACAGGGCACCGAAACCGAAACTGACTGGATCTCCGAAGCTGTCCTGTTGATAGAAGAAGGCTCAATAGGGTGAGAAGGACCGGCTACATAGTTAGTAAGGGGTGAGATAATCTTCAGAGGAGACACTGACATGTTGATGGTGATTGTGCACTAGGAGCATACACTTTCGGAGGTCGACCACGAAAAGGCGACTTTCTCTTTAAAGCGTTGAGAATGAGTTGATCAGCTTGATTATTCTGAGACATAAAGCTTGTGAGCTTAATTCAGTAAGTTACTATTATGTTTAAATCAATGGAAAGAAGATGATTGAAATAAGAAGAGGAGAAAAATGATTGCCCAATCACCGCCAAACAGTGCCTAGGGTTGAAGGACACATCCTTTCGGGGGCGTTTCCGAATTTGAACTCCAAATGGCTGTAGAGAACCAAGGACTCCGAATTCGGAGGTTCTGCCTGCATGAATGGCTTCAGAATACGTGTGGCAACCCATAGATATGCAAGAAGCCACGGTAGGATGCATATTCAATACAGGGGGGATTTGGGGACATTCCGTAGGTATTTGGGTCAGTAGTGGAGGGATCCTCGGGTTGAGTGACGTATTTTGGGAGAAAGTGGCAAAATTTCGTCGGGATTAATTCGAGTTCCGTCGGGATTATCCCTACGCGCCCCTCGGCGGAAGCTTAGGGTCACTAAAAGATCCACCGGGTTCTCCCGCTCATCCCGTCGGACATTCGGACAAAGGTTGGGACATTTTGTTCGACGCAACTGCGGGTCCATCTACAAAGATCAAAAACACATGTCGCATTCTAAAGCAGCACAAAAAGTATAAATTAGTTTTCCAAGTGTTCAAGACTTCCTCAAAGCTCCCCTCACTTCGCCTGTGCACAAATTCGATAGATCACAACTTTCATACCATCTCCATTGCCTTCAACCTACAGAACACTATTTCTTTTCTTTTGGAGAACTGAAAGCGTGTTTGATCTGAAAATCAGTCGAGCTTCCTCTCGGTAAAAGAAGCGCTTACCTTGCTGAACAGACCCGACTTCCGTTTCGTAGCAGAAGCACCAGTCGCTTCTTTCCCATGTCCGGAACCAGGAGTTTTGGAGGGAGTACTAGGCGCACTCCCTACGTCATCCTTCGCAGGTGTCTTTGGAGGCGTCACCTCTGCGTGAGGAGGAGTGACGGTCGGAACGGCGGTTACCCGTTCGGGTGTCGCCTCGGCTTTAGCTTTCTCAGCTTCCGCGCTGACACCTGGATTGGTCGAGATGGGTTTGGCACCAGCGTTGTCGGAAGTGATGCCTGTGTCGGCGGATCGGTCCTTAGCTGGATCACGTTCGCCGATCGTGACGATAGACGGCATGGGGACAGTGGTGTGATTGGCAGTAGTCTCGTTCTGTGCAGGTATGTCGTGTCCGCTCTTCTCGAGGGTCTCCACCGGAGCAGGTTGATTGGGGTAGGGGTCTGACATGAGTATACACATCCATAAGGGTAAGTTGTGGGACAGTCGAAGTGAATACCAAAAAACAGAAACACTAACCGCTGTTGCCATTTGCCTCAGTGTTCACTTTAAGCTCTTGAATCTTCTCGTCCAGGTCGTTGATGGCTGCCGCGGAAGGTTTGCTGACTGACGATTCTGCGACACCGGGCTCAGCCGTTTTCGTTTCTAGACTGGATATATCGATGCCTTTCGCTTGAGCCTCTTCGACCGAGATCTGCAGATCAGTTTCTATCCCTCTGTCCGACAATTACTGCAAGGGGTTGCCCTATTGTTCCACCGCCGACCAGTCACTGAGACTGTGCAAGTCTCTATCGAGCATTGGACGGGTCCCGTCATTCCTCTCGGTTACCTGAAGCGAGCCCCCAGTAATCCCACTTAGTGTATCTTTTCCCCTGAACCTGCTCACACGTCATGAACTGCAGAGTCGACTTGCTGAATCACGTATCGTCACTTGGTCAAATGGCATACACCCGGCAGGCCACAAATTCCAGATATTGAGGTGATAAAAGACAAGACCTACCGGTTGTGTTTGTGTCAAATCCAACCCGGTAACTTTTTCAACAGCCACAGCAGCGCTCTCCGTCACTTTCTCCACTGCTGCAGTAGCAGTCCCCACAGCCGCACCGATAACAGCCGCTGCTCCTGCTCCATACTCGGCAGCAGTCTGTAAAACCCCTTTCTGATCCGCCACGGCGGCATCACCAACAGGAGCAGCAGCAGCTACCTTCTCCATTTGTTCAGGGACAGGTTCGATCGTCGTAGCGCTGGTAGCGGCAGGAGGTTCCTCAATCGAATCTATTTTGCTGGCTTTTGGACTGGAAGAGGAGATTGGTCCGAGGGTGTAAGTTCCTGGTGAGGCAGCTCCGGGTGCTGCTGCCGCCAATAAATCGGCGGGTCGTGTGGTTGGAGCGGTGGTAGGGGCCGTGTCGGATACAGTCTTTGGAGGGACAGCTGGAGGCTCGGAGGTGGGAGCGGTGGAGACGAGAGAAGCGGTGGATTGAGCGGGGGCGGTATAGACATTATTCATGTTGCCCGCGGCATCCCATTCTTTCGCCTCGTCTTCTCGGACTTTCCATTCTGTATGTTAGACCTGGTCTTCAAAAATTGGCTAGGGAAAGTGCACGAGAAAGAGCTTGAGGATCGTTACAGCATTCAAAATGTCTGAGAGAGCACGAGAAGAGCTGAGGGGTATACAGGGTTAAATTACAGTGTAAACAATGCGCTATGGACCAGGAAGGAAGTACTGAGAGTTTATGCTGGAATAGTCAGAGACCCAAAGTAGGGTACAAAAGTCGAATATGTGAAGAACGGAGTGGTGGTGAAAGGAAGAGACAGGGTCCAATGAGAAACCCAAAAACGAAAATAATGACCAGTGGCTGGTACACAGACTAGAGCCCGTAGACAAGACTCTACACTCACCACCATCAACAACATATTTAAAAGCCTGTTTCTCTCCCCAAGGCAAGGGAATATCAGCTGCAAAACTCCCATCTGCTTGTTTATGCAAAGGAGTTGCGGTATCTGACCAATTATTGAAACCGCCAGCCACGTGAACCTATTTCGCAACCCCGTCGATGAAGACGTTATGTGATATCAAGACACAGTATATGAGTATACCCGGAGAGCATCCATCGTCGTATGGCAGAATGGTCAGTTGAGATGTTGAAGATGAAGGATACGGAGAAGAAAGTACGATGACAGGGGTGAAAAGATTTAAGTCAAGGGGTTGAAAGAAGGTCTCGTGTCAGCGCTCGATCGTTTTCATCAAGGTGGAAGAAGAAAATGGATAAATGATCAAAAGGTAAGATGGGTACGTGTCACGAGACCAAATAAACGCACAGATTGGGGACCCGTACCCCAGGTAAACTTTGCCATGTGTTGAGCCATGATGAGGGTGAGTGGAAGGCGCTGACGGGGGGGAGGGGGTGAATAAGCGAGTAGATGGGAGTGTACCGAGTGGAAGGGTGATGAACAGTTGTGAAGATGGATTATAGAGATAGACCTGACAGATGTGTATTCTTCCAAGGTGGAGACAGCACTTGGATTAGAGAAGAATTTGAAGAGAAGTGTGACAAGTCAAGATGGAGAAAGTGGGTGTGGGACATCGGTCAGTGTAGTGAGTGTGGCAAAAATGTCAGGGTCCAACCCACGGGAACAGTGCAAAATGCGTCATCATCAGAGACACACGGCTCGTTATCTTGAATCACCATGCATCGCGGGTCAATGATCATGCATACAATCACACAGCTGATCATTCGTTCCATGCTATCACAGCCTGACGTGAGTGGAGATCTCAGACCAAAGAGAGAGTGGTGACTTACCATGCAAAACACTCCAAATGCCATGGCGGCGTATTCTTCCAAAGCTTGGATCCCACTTTTCGACTCTGCCAAAAGCTCAGGTATCACGCTGACCGACGCGATGTAGAGGAAACCTGCGCGTCAGGTCGGGTTGTGACAGGAGACCCTCTCTCTCTCTTTGACTCTCTTCCTACTTTTCGAATTCCCTCTTGTGTGCCACAATGGGGGGGGGGGGGGGGGGAAGACAAGAGAGCAAAACCGAAACTCACCCCCAGCCGTCATGGGAATGACCAATTCCCCTCCGTGCAAACTTGTGCCTAATATCCCTTCGCCGACTTTCACAACCACATCTTTTCCTGTTCCACTCGTCTCTGCTATCCATATACCAAGAAAAGTACCGACGAACGCTCCGACAGCTGTGAAGAATTGCGAACCTAAAGCTTGACGTTTTGAGAATCCAGATTTGATCAGGATGGAATAATCCGCGATCTGACATGAGCACGGGTACTTGCGAGAGCAGCGCGTATCTGCAAGACAGAAGTAGGATCGTTAAAGATTGAACCCACCTCGTGAGGAATCTCATGAGCAAAAGTAGCGATAGTAGTTACTGCACCAAGAGCAGGTGAAGTGTAAAAGCTCGCTGCCATGGCTAATCCGTCTGTGATATTATGGGTGAAATCTCCGAAGAGATTGAGGTATGCGGAGAGCCTAAGCGAAGGGTTGGCTACGGATTGTTTCTCTTGAGGCTCAGAGGACTGGGTGGTCGTCTCTGAGGGAGACTTTCTTGATCGAAGTTCACCAGAAGTGTCGTCAAGAGCGGAAGATATCGCAGTGGTTGGAGAATGGGAATGATTTGGTGACGTAGAATGAGAATGGGAGTGGGAATGTGAGTGGGAGTGGGAATGTGAAGAGTTTAGCACTCTCATAGTCTTGTCAAGGACGAAGAAAGCTGCGAATCCTAAGAACACTGCTCCTCTGTAGTTTAGCATCACACTTTTCACCATCTGATCACACCCGCTCTTGTCCAGTCCAGCGACCTCACAATCCCCGTTTTGAAGAGATGACAAAGCGAGCTTCATATTCGCTTTCCAACACAGCTCAAGTCATCTTTCACCATCATACCACCCACTTCCCCTCAGACACACATTGAATCGGATCCGGTTCGAGGGAATATACTCACCCTATAAGTATATTCCGTTTCTCTTCCACCACCACAGCTCTCTCCGTATCATGTCCTTCACCAAAGAAAGCGTGCGGGACAAGATGTAAGAAGACATCACCTAATAAACCCCCAGTAGCAAAAGCGATCATAGTGTTCAAACTGCTTGGTTCGAGGGTACCCGGTACGGCCAAAAGGATAAAATTTGGTATTCTCTCATCAGTTTTTCTTCCCAAAATCTCAAAACTATCCTCCATCATCCTCGAACCCAACTTCATCAAACATTGGTCGACTCCTCCATCATCTCCGTAACATTCTTTTCCCCAGATCATGCCCGACCTTCGTAATTTGAATCTGAGCCATATGAAAAGGTTGTAGAGGAAGACGTATTTTTACTCACGAAGAAATGTAAAATGTCCCTAAGAGAGAATTCCAAGCTGGTGATTTGAACGGAAATAATAAAGAGAAAATTTGTTTCATATGTCCCTCTGTTCGGACATCTTGGGCAGTGAAATGATGTTGTTTCTCCATTTGAACATTCTGCATATCAGTCATATCACTCCTCCTCTCCCTCCCTATGTTACATCTCCTCTCCTTTCCGTCCAGTCCCCGCCTTTCCTCGATGTGTTAGCTCAGAGCAAGACAAGACCATCATTTCTCACTTAATGAGTCGTGGAAAGAGGAGAGAATCAAAGGAGTTGTTGGACTCACTTTAGCCATAACCCCTACTCCCAGTAATACTACCCCGATAGCACCTATCATCCATAGTCGTGATGTCATTCTCGTACTCATAGCGTTGTATGTAGAGACCTATCGAACCGCGAACCAGTTCTTTTTCGTGACTCCATTCGCCTTGAACACGTCTAAGCGGTCCAAGCTCCCGACGGAAGCTGAACTACGGCGATCGCCGCCCAGAACAAGCGCAATATCGTAAGCGGCCTATGTAAGCGTATGACGTCACTGACACCCTTCCTTGCCTTCGGGTGAGATCGACATTTTTTTCTCCTCCCTTCCATTCTTATATAAACCTTGTGCACCCTTCTGCCTTCTTCACTCGCTTCTCCTTTATCAACATCAACTCAGTTCCTCTTCTTGCTTTCAAATCTCACACTGATAACTTGGTAATCCCATTCCCCTAAATCTTAATATATCTCTCAGAGCCACTATAACCTCACAACTCTCTATCAACGTATCTGAGACAACCTCGATTTAACATGTTCCCCAACTTTACAAAAACCTTCTTCATGCTCGCTCGTACTCCCCTCATCCCACCTCCAGCCGGTCCAGCAACTTTCGAACTCGCTCCCATGGCCGGTCCCTCTAGACCGATGGCGACGAGGACGAGGACGGTCAGTAGTTTATCCTTGGGCGGAAGAGGACGGAGGGGGTATGCTAGTGATAAAGGTCAGAAGGAGTTGTATAGTGATGAACTGGGTAGCACAGGAGCGGGTGTGAGTTATCTTTCTCATGTTGCCACCTCACTTTCTCCTCGTTTAACGTGGCCTGACGAAGATCAATCTCGAGCGGAGAGGAAAGCACACGGAGCAGGGGCGGAGGGTCAATGAACGGAACGTGCTGATTTCATAGACTGACGACGTGGCTCATTCCGATGCGGCCTATGATAAAGATGCCAACCCTCAAAGATCGGCTCAGAAAGTGGAGAAAGAAGTGAGTATCTTTTCACATCGTTGGAGACTCGTTCGAGTTGAAAGACCAATTGCTGACCCACAGACGGGCAAAGACTTTACACAACGCTCCCCTGCCAATCCAGCTTCTTCCCAGCCTCACCAACAGGGCAACAAACAGTCAGACGCCCCTTTTGGCACCTCGAACAAGCCGCAAGGTAGATGATCGTACTGTTCTCGCATAGTCGAGTTTCAACTCCATGAGGGTCATGAATGGTGGGCGAATGGGTGGGACTCATTATTATAATATTTAACAAGTATATTCGTATGACATGCAGATAAATTTTGACTGTATTGATCGTAGCTACGCCTGGAATCCCGCTCTTAAGGAGTTTTGGCGACATCAGGATAGACGTCGAATCGTCTTTGAATAGTAACGGGCAGGTTACGACGGGTGGTAGCGAGCAGTTCAGGATCTGCTATCAGTGCAATTCATCTACGTTCCTTCGACTCGCAACGTCAATGAATCTCCAAAGCCATAACATCTTGTGAAGCTTGTGTGTTCGGTTTCTTTCTTGACATATAGGGAGTGGAAATACACAAGTACTCACCAATATCAGCAAAAATGACAGCGCCGTTCTCATCGGCTTCAGCTATGACCTCTCCCCTGTCATTAGCCCACTGCGGTTTTCATACTACACTCAACCATCTGAATTATCCGGAATGATTTTAATACCCCTGAATATAGACAACGACTGAAGTTGAGAAATGTCAGGAGGGAAAGGAATGACAAGGGTCACGGAAGACTTACAAAGGGTTGACAACCATACTATGTCCATACTGCCCCGTCATTCATGTGACCTATACTTCATCGGTGGGACGACTTACAGCTTGATAGGAAGCTTCGGGATGACGAGCAGGAGAACACATGGCTACGTAAATTTGGTTATCGACCGCGCTATGGGTCAGATTTTGTCTCCTCTTGCCTGATCACCAGATATCTTGCTGGACACAAGGGTTCATCTTGTCAAGATCCACAAGGGATTGAGAAACGCACAGTTGCGGCAAATCCCAAGCGTCAGAAGAAGGGTGAAGGGGATATAAAAAGAGAGAGGAGAAGAGATGAGTTTATACTAAGAAGAGGAAACGCGGAAGGGGAGGAAAAGAAAAACATACCGAGCCCTTTGTAACAACGTCCAATGCATAGGTCCAGTAGTGGTATTGAAAGCCGAAGGATAGATCATAGCCACGCATCCTACATATGAGCTTTTTTCCATGTTCAAACATGTGGACGACTGACCTTTTCTAGCTGCAATCATTGCCATTTCTGGGAATCGCTATTTTGTCAGATGACTTTCCAAATATCTCACCAAACCCTTCTATCCTTCATTCCTCATCTGATCACCGAAAGGTAAGACCTCGCACAGGTAGAACAGTAAGCCAAGTTGTTTGAGTGGAATATGATTGAGATTGTAGGGTGGTCGAGAGGGATTGATGTTAAAGATGCGTGAAGCAGAATGACTTACAATATCATAACATATTCCCAGACCAATCTTGCCAAATGGAGTTTCGAACGTTGTCAATTGAGTTCCACCAGTCAACGTCTCGCTTTCCTTTTCATCAGCTAATCAGAGTCTATGTCGTTTTGCGAAATATCATTCCAGGAGTTCGTGTCTTCGTGTGAAATCAACATCATGAACACATCAGGAAGCATTCACATTGCCTTTATAACCCGCTTTTCTCTTCACGACTCACATGTTTCCGGAGTTGCGAGAAATAGCTAGTTCCTGGAGTGAATCAAATGCAAGAATGGGAAAATGAGCAACGACTAGATCTCATCGAGAGGAACATAGGAAAAAGGGATATCACGGGAATTGTTGAGAAGACTCACTTTGAAAGTTTGTTTACCAGGAATATCAATATCGAACAAATGTATTTTCCTATGTTTCGCAACTAATCTACCTATCTCCATCAACTTTCCAATTCACACCATAAAATGTTAGATGACAAACCTGAAGGATCATAGACAGTACAACAATTATAAATGTTATCTGTTTTCTTATCGATTTCCGGGATACTTCCTATTCACATCAATTCCACCAAATCCCATTAAGACTTAATTTCAATAGAAAAAAAAAATCAAAGAGGACTAACCTCCAATTAACCAACAACCAGAATCTCTAGCCATTTCTCTCATAGCTTTTACAGTCTCACCTTCTTCCTCTTTTATTTCTTCTTCTCCTCCTTGTACGATTAAATCCGTGGGAGGTGAAGGAGAAGGTATGATCTCGGAATAAGGTCTGAAACTACTGACGGCATATGGACTGTTCCATATTTCCGGTAATACTATTAATTGAGGTTTCGGTTCAGTTTTAGATACTTGAGCTACGGCTGAACGAGCTATGGAGATATTGTGAGGTTTGGAAGATGTTAAACCTGATAATTGAATTAGGGCAAGACGGAATGGTTTCGCTTGGATTAAAGCCATTTTGTTCTACTTACGTCTTGGTGGTCAGTTCTGATGACTGGATGAAGATCTGTTAAGTGTTATCGGAAAACCAGGAATGAAAAGTCGGTCTTGGTGATAGCTTTCTCTTATAGACTGATGATTAGGCTTGCGAATGTAGAGATCTTTAGATGTGATAAATTGTCGTGTAGGAAAGAAGTGTCAACAGGTACCGTGGACGGGAAGTCTCAGGTTGGATTTCCCGGATCCCGCGTCTGCACTGACTTTGTACTTCCCACATCCACATCTCCCAAACCTGTTATATGTAAAAACCATTCAATATAGTCTTGCCAAAACATTATTCGAACTTGTCTCACAACTCGTCCAAACCCCACTATTGTCTCTGAATACCACCCGAATGCGTCCAACGTCATTCTGGACGACCCACCTTCCTAAACACCTCCTGCCCTAGGGGATTAATCATCGGCCAACATGCAGGCTTGAAGGAAGCGCACAACTCAGTGAACCTGGTCTGGGTCTCCTGTGAGGTCCTTCAAGCAGTTTAAGAACGCAGGAGTAGGAGAAGTGTGGTTTAGCTCAAGTCAAATCATGACTTGACAGTCACCATGTAAGTACGTACCTATAGTCGCTTCTAAGTCCGTAAGTAGGCCTCCCACCACTCTTCTTCAATTTTCGCACTATCCTTCTACCGTTTTCCATCGAATAGGATGTTCCATTATTTCTCGGGCGTGATAAAGTCTTAATGATGCTGATTTCAAGATGAGTACCCTGTTCCGCTTCGTTTGACTTTCTACATCTTTAGTTTGTGTAATTGCTTTGTGCCGAGGTAACAACTCGTAAACTTCCTAGAGAGCTGACTCATTGCTTGTCAATACATTGCTAAGCGGATGTAGCATCAGGTCAGGATATTAGATAGATACCCAGCTAGCTAGAATGATAGGATGGAACATCAGTCTCTCAAAGTGACTTTCTACATCGTCGAGATTCTCGGTACTTACCATTTGATTGCGTCTTACGCTTATTCCCTTTCCTTCCACCACAATCCACTATATTGTTCTTTGCTTTTTGTCTACAAGTCTCTATGCCTGTCCAGCCTTCTTCTAGCTGGTAGCTATGAACCCAGTGGATAGTCTTATGCATCATACATATCCCTCAGTTGACTCTCTACATTGGAGTACGAGGCGTATTCAGCTACACTACTCACACAACATCCAAGAGTATTTATGTAGATATACGTTCTCATTTATCTCCTGTTCCTTCCTTTGAGGATGCTCTTCTTCTTTCCATGAGCTTCTTTGCTTGCTCCTGTGGTAGATATAAGGCCGTGTGATCAGATCAATGTGTCATTTTATTACGATCCTTCCAAGTACCCTTGACATTGGAGACATTTCTGAGAGTGCACCCAGAGGGAATATTGCACATCTCCAATGTAGTAAGACCATTGAAGGGAAGGGAATCCATACTATCCGACTATCTACCATGTTGACCTTCTCTTGGATCGTAGATTTGCTGAGTGACTTGGAAAATACAATGCGGAGTGAAAGGCAAGAATCAAGTTTGGATAAGGATTTGTATGGCCTGAAGCAGCAAAGTATGTGATAAGCGGACGAGATCTTGGACCAGATGTTGTCTGTTGAACCTCTGCATAGTCCACCTACAACGGTCAGGCCTGGAGCCTATAGGACAAGGCGAAACTTGAAGAACCATCAAAATCCAAACTCTCGGCCAAGGGTTGAGAAGTGATGAAGTGAACCTGAGACTTCCCGGCCACCGTAAACAGGAGTCTAATTGATAGCACGCAATGTGACCAGCCAGTTTAATCTTCGCTCTTGCCCGAAACCCCGATTTCCCACCGAGTGTTTGACACTGAGGACATTCTCTATCCTACATGTCCGCACCGATGGAGAAAGCACAAACCAAGAATAATTCAGAATGGCAATGTCCATACATGCAGTCGTGAGCGTCAATGGGTCGGTTATCGACTAATCTACATATCATCATCCATCCTCCCCTTCTGACGCTCCTCGTACAGGCACGCCATTTCCATCTCTCCTCTCCACTCATCTAAACCTCTGGGTATAGGGTTACAACAACCAACCGCTCGCGAACATCCCCAGTACGCCCACCAACACGCCACTCCACAAACTACCCGCCCAGCCGGTGGGTCGGATACAAGTAGCCCCAGAACTACCGGTCGAGTTGCTTGACAGACCAGCAGCGGCAGCACTGGAAAGAACGGCGGAGTTGACCCCATTTTGATACGTATTGTAGTCCTGTATCGTGCCCTCGGGGACGATGGCCGTCGGCACGGCAGGTGCTGCAGTTACGGTCGCAGTCCACGTTCCAACGGTCCAGACACCGTCACCAGGGTCGTACCAATCTGTCCACGTCAGTCACACCCAATGGGGGAGGGCGTGAGATATCATTGCGAGAAGCTTCAACAGTGAGGAGTAATTATCGTGATTGGATATGGCAGAAAAAGAGAGAGGAGGATTATTTTCATTGAAGGGAAAAATCCGGCATGGCATGTATGTGAACTTTGGTAGTGAGGCGATGGAGTGGGACGACAGAAAGCGCCACTCACACGTTGTCGTCTGCATGGGAGGGGCTGTGGTGTCTTGACCTACTACACGATTTGCTCTGACTTATCAGCGACCAGTAAGGAGTGACCTAGTGGACTTACGTCGTTGTTGGCCTTCCATCCGTCGTTTTTGTAGTTTTGGTTGTTTTTGTGGAGGTAGCAGCACCTGTTGCGCCGATTTGTGATCTGCTCGATTAGTGTCTGTGATGTCTATCATTCGACCTAAGCAGTCCGCAGGGGCTGGGCCATGTCTGTAATTCGAAATGTCTCATTCTGACAAGAAGCGCAGTCGGGCTGCTCACTGTAGGACACGGCATGGTGAAACAATTACATGCACACTCACAGAGTCTTAGTGATATCGTCTCCAAAAGCATCTGTACCAACCGAGAGAACGTATGTGTTGCCCTCTGCCCAAGGCTCGGTATATGTTTCGATGAGGGCTACAGCTCGGGCGGTCAAAGCGAAAGCGAGAGCGAAGAGGGAAAGGATGGGGCGCATGGTGGAGGAATGAGGGGATTATAGTTGATCCAGTGAGAGCGAAGTGAAGGAGGAGGAGGATAAGAGAGAGGGAGAGAGAGTCGAGTTTGTCAAAATCGATATGTGTTTGTGAACAAGATGAGGGGTGGTGACGGAGTGATACGAAAGCGGCAAAGGGATCCCGAGTCTACGGAAGGGCGGGAAGAGGTTTTTGTCCCTCTCGATATTATTGGTGAGAAGACGATCCTTGGTACGAGTCGATGCAATGAGGTATGTGAATTCTGGATGGAGGATGTCAACAGGGGTGAGAGGTGATGATGGGATGACGGAGGAAAGGAGTAAAAGTGCAGAAAGTGATGATGGGTGAAAGAGTGACGGGAATGAGCTAGAGAGCAAAGACACTGCGGTGCTAAGCATACCCGCATGCGGCGGCGTATGCCATTTGGTGAGACAAAGGGGGTGATTAGGATGAGATTAGTAGTTCATTAGGAGAGGATTACTAATCGGCATTTGGATGAGAAGAGGTATAATTCCGGTTGTGGCACCTCGTCTGAAACTGCGCACTTGGTGTTTCGACTGTGACCCGGACCGATGATGATGAGACGATGACGATCGATACGATCGTTGGGGCTGATGGATGATCCGCTGATCACATTCCATCCACCGCATCCCCGCCCTTTCATAAACGCGTATCAAGCTAGTATAGTCATGCGCCCACCCGTGGTCGTCGCACCCTCGCTCGTATCTCATTCCTCACCACTCACCTCTCACAAACTCTTCGGCACTGACATGCACATAAGGCTGAGGGGGACTGAAGTAACTCGACACAGACCACGTTTCCTTTCCCTTCTTCTCCCCCCATTGCCGTATCCTGCCCTTTGCAACGCCAATCTCTATACCCAAGAACCCCTGGAAAGAATTTCGACGTGCGGGTAATCGCCTCGGGTCATCGGCCCGGTTATATATCCTTTGACAAGGTCTAGGCCCGGTGCCCCGCGTCCTTTGGAGCAATTGGTCTTTGTAGATTTACCCGGCATTCGCACGAATTATCATATGTATCTCTCCCTCTTAACAACAACACTTCATCTCCATTCCTTTATCCTCTCTCAACCAAACTTATCAAAAGGTCTGATCGACCCTTTCTTCAGCCCTTGTCTTTTTTTCAAAATGTCCCTTCTCAGACCATTCGTTTCTCGTTCAGTGGCTCTTGCTGCACGTAGCTCCACCAGAGCTGTCATCGCCCCCATCTTTCCCAAGAGCGTTCGTTGGGTGTCTCAACCCTCCAACCCTCTCTACGACGAGAAAGCTTATCCTGAGGGTTACCGTGAACATCGTGTAGAGGTTCACGAACCTAAACATGCCAGTGTAGATGAGAGCTTGGTTTTCGAAGATCCTGAACCCAACGTAGGTAGCTAGTTGCTTCTTCACACGTTTTCCCCAATACCAAACTTCTTTGATCGAAATTTTCCAAATGAAGGCGGCTGACGATTCAGGCTTATGCTAAAGCCGATCCGGGTCATGATGTCATTGGTGAAGGTCATGGTAGACACACCAAGAGGACTCTTGGGTCGCTCTCCATGGTGAGTTTATGCTCATTGTCTCACATTGGAGTAAACACCCTCGTGTCGAATATGCCACCACCTTTGCATTTTAATTGTGCTTCTTGACGGCGCAAGACTTTGCTCCCGAACATGCAGGTTGCTGATCAAGCAGGAAGGAAAAGTTTGTGTCGTCACTGGCGCAGCCAGGGGTTTGGGTAATATGATGGCTCGTACCTTTGTCGAATCGTCAGTGCCTTGAAAAAAAATTCATCATTATCCCCGACTGATAATTAGGGGAGCAGATGCCATCGTTTTGATCGATTTGAGAAAAGAAGATGCCGAGTTGGCCGCAAAAGATTTGACCGATTGGTTTGGTTCGTACCTTTGTTTTCGTACTTCTTTCATCCACGCCCATCTCCCACTCCATACCCCAAGACCGTTTTCCAACCTCTCACAGAATCACAGAATCTAAAGAAAAAAACGCCAGACTTTGTCTGACTAACAGTGGAACACGGCGAAGCCAAACCGGGTGAGATCCGAGCTTTGGGTCTTGGATGCGATGTCGCCAATGAACAATCCGTCAAGGATACGTTCGCTGCCATCAAAGAGAAGTTTGGTCGTCTTGATGTTAGTGACAGACTCCTTGATCTACCTTCCCCGGCCTTCAGGTGTTGCTTCCTTTTGGCCTCTTGGTGCCCCACCCTTTACCCCAGATTGGTCATTTGGATTCATTTGTCCCAGTCATACATACATCACACTTATTCGAAAACAGCCAGAGTTGTCGGGAACAGATTGGTTAACTCTCAGTGCCTCGTAACCGCCGCTGGGATAGTAGAAAATTTTGTCGCTCATGAATACCCAACGGAAAAGGTCCGCAAGTTACTCGATATCAACGTCATGGGCACTTGGACCTGTGCTCTTGAAGGTGCTAAATTGATGCCTGAAGGAGGGTCAATCATAATGATTGGGAGTATGTCAGGATCCGTTCGTTAACTCTTATAGTGGAGTTGAATCTTGTTGACATTCCCAGGTGGTCAATGTTCCTCAACCTCAAACTCCGTACAACTTTTCCAGTGCGTTTGTGTTTTTCTCCCCTCATCCTCCCCCCTTATACTTCTCTTCCCGTCTTTGCGGTCTGCGCTCGCAAACACGCATGCTTACAATGCAGAGGCCGCTGTCCGACACATGGCCCGTTCTTTAGCTGTCGAATGGGCTAAACAAAACATCCGTGTGAACTGTATTGCGTGAGTATCTCCAGTTTTGTTGGTTCAAAGAATTGTCCTGACGGATCAGTCCTGGGTACACACTTACAAACCTGACAAAAGTCATCCTGGATAACAACCCCGTGTTGCGTGACGAATGGATTCATCGTATTCCCATGGCGAGTTCTTCCCTCTTTCTCTTCTCATGATCTACCTCAAGTTGGTCTTTACCGTAACTACTCATCCACCCTTGCCCTAATCTTCCATCCCAGACTGTCCTTCTCTCGGCGATATAGACCTCTCTCCACACACTCATCCCTACAACACATCGTATTCGTCTTGGTCACCTTTCCACGCCGTACGGAGGAATTTATCATTACACTCTTCGCAAATACAGTAAAGATGAAAGAACGTGACTGATATTCAGGGCCGAATGGCAGACCCCTCCGATCTAAAAGGAGCCATCGTTCTCCTGGCTTCGGACGCTAGCAAATATATCACGTATGTGTCTCCTCGTTAATTTCTCCACCGATGGCTGATCAGAAGCGGGGCCGAACTCGTCATTGACGGAGGGTACACTTGTATCTAAATGCCAACACCAAGTCTATAGAAAACAGTCGGGAGTGAATAGAGAACAAGAAGAACAAAATATTCATCTTAGATTCTGGATTGGATGTAATGCGTTTTGCTGTCTTGCTAATGTTTTCTTCGATCTACAGAAATACTGATATCGATGTGGGACGATTTTGCAGATGACAATAAGACTGACGAGTTGTTGAGATGCAAGATAAATAGATGAATCTGATAATTTAGAGAATTGGCCATGATAATGATAGTTTTTTCACGAAAAAAGAAACGGATAAAGACTACGAAAATAGTGAAGACAAAGTGAAAGTGAAGAGGTTGAGAAGAAAGTAAAGAAGAAAGAGACAAAGTTGCACAGATATGAAGGAAGGCAAAGAAGATCAATCAACATCGCTACATTACATTCCTCTTCTTACTACTTTCTCATTAAAATAACGCTACAAGTGGTTCCTTTCACCAATAAAATCTACCCTAGATCACATCCTCAAACGCCTCCGCGAATGGATTCCCTTCCTCCATTTCTTCTCCTTTCTCATTCAAACTTTCCTTACCACCATCACTCCCCAACTGTTCAGTATCATCTGCAACACCAATCAACCCAACTTCCTTTCCATGACTCAAACGGTCCAATACGTTTCTCAAAGTATCACGTACTTCTGAACTTTCATCATCCGCCAAAGCAGTAGCGAGTCTTTCCATAGCGGCAGGAATAATCACTTGACCATTTTCTCCCATACTCATAATGGACATATCTTCGCCCCCAAATCCAGGATCTTTAGGACCTGTAAACCCATAAAAAGCTCCTACAACAAATAAATTCGCTACCATTTGAGCTAATGATAATCTCACATCAATTACATCCTGCGTGAGACGTGGTAGGAAAGGTAAGAAAAATTGTTCAAAAACTTTTCTATTCGGAGGTAGTCTTGCGAATTCTCTGATACAACGGACAAATGTTTGACGATGTTTGTATATCCCCGAATCTCCTAAATCCAGGATCATCCTTCTGAAAGCTTCAGCTGGTATGGGTCGATTTCGAAGTAAATCATATGTCCTAGGGACGGATAAAGTCACGGCATCACGTACACATGCGAATTTATCGATCAATGCTGAATGTGTCATTTCGAGTATACGACTTGCTTGATAGTCTTCAGGAAATAAAGTGAGAAAAGCAGGTACGTGAAGGGCTAGTTTTTCTCTTGCTCGCCAACCACCTAATGCGTCCGTTTTTGATTTTTCCGCTAAAAAGGAGAATAAATCCCATGCTTCTTGTGAAGGAAGACCAGAGAGGAACACGTCTAGATGTTCATATATCCTTTCTCTGGTAGCGTCAGAGTGTCCGAGACAACGATGAAAGATGGGTAAGAGATTGGAGGCGACTTGATCAGGTCGAAGGATACGGGAAAGTTCATGTAAGAAAGAAGATATGGTGGTCATCACTCTTGCACCGGCACGATGGACTATTCGTTCGAGTAGAGGAAGTAATTCAGGCCAACGATCGGCGCCGAGTGTAAGACAGACACCAGGAAACTAAAAGTCAGAGAGAGGTACGAATAATTGCAAAGATAAACCCACATTGTATGCCACTAGCACATCCCAGTCTGTGTCTGTAGCTGAAAGAGGTGGAATGGAACTATCATCACAAAAAATCTCCAATAACTCTTTAGGTGGACCAAGAGGATCAGAAATAAAGCAGTGAATGACTTCACCCAATACCTCCAAGATGGACTGCCAGGCATCTGATTGGGCAAGTGTTATCGCCCCACGGACAGCTAAATCTCGTCGACTCTGACTGTCTTCTATTCTTCGACAAAGCACGGGTAGGGAGAAACAGATAGACTGTCTGACCGACAGACTGGGATCCACCAGGTAGTCGTCAAAGAGCGGTAGCTGACATCAGAATTTCCCCCTCAAGTCAGTGACAAGAAATAACTTACCATCTCTTGGATGTATTCCACCGGACACAATTTTGCTAACTGAGCCAATGCCAATGCGCCTTCTGCTCTTATCTCCTCATCCCCATCCCGGGATCTCAAAATCTCATGTAAAAACCCGACCTCCACCAGCTCGTGCGGATCATACAACTCCGCCACTGTCCCAATCAGAAGCATCGACATTGCCCTTCCAGCGTTGGCCTCTTGCATCAACTGAGCCTGTAACAACTCCTGATCCGTCTCAGAATCCACTCCTTGTCCCATCGGGTCATCTGTATCGTCAAACAAGTTCTCCGGGACAACAGTTGTTAACCGACCCATTCCCAGAATGATACCATCGACTACACATCTTTCCACCATATTTCGAGCTGATCGAGACATCGGCATGAGATCATGTGCGTGGGGACCATCTTGTGACAGGAATGTGCGACGTTCATTGCATTCACAGTTATCGTGCCATTCGGACTTCCACATGTTCGGATCGGGGACGGGACGGTCTCGTAGTCTGCTGAGAATGGCTATCAGACCAACGCGGACCGCTTCTACTACTGCTGCGTGAGAGCTGAGAAGTAGAGAGCACAAAAGAGGCGTGAAGACGTGAACAGAGAGGGTGGGAGGAGGACACAACACAGGGGCAGCTTTGGCTCCGTCTTGGTCGCCTTGATCGTCGACAGTTCGAGTCGGAACCATGATATGAGGACTAAAAGCTGTATCATCGGATTGGATGCTGAGAGAGTTTGGGGTATCGACAGTTCCTCGGTCAGGAGTACCGATCATGGTCGCAGATTCCGCTCGCAAGCTTGAGCCAGCGCTAGCATTGCCAGGAGCCGGAGAAAGCGTGGCATCCCTTTTTGGCTGCAAAACATGGTCATCTTCGACACTGGGCTTCGGTATGACGCGCATTCCCTCCGAAGTGACAGTCACCGCAGCCTGAGACACAGGAATCGGTAAGGGAAGGGGAGTCGTAACCTCGCTATGGCCCTCCTCCCCAGTATCAACTTCCGTCTCCACGAGATTACATCGGGAGAAAAAATACCAAAGTACCTTGTGCAACTCCCCAGCAAACGACTCCTTGACCGAATCGTCCGCGTCGAGTGAATAATTTATCAATAGTGGAAGGACATACTCGACTGATTCGCATGGATCCACCTCTTCCAATAGATCTGCCAGCATTCGTGCTACGTAGGCACGATGGAAAGGGTATTCCGACTTGCTCAGCAGGAATATCCTCTCCAATTGGCTTAAACCTTCGTCATCGAAAGTGACGTCCATATCGAGATCGGCTACGCCGACGGGAAGCATGTCGCCTTCGTCGTAAAGACCAAACTCCTCGAAACGACCCGGCAGTTCACCGAGGTCACCGGTATTTATCGGCGTCTTGTCTTCAAATGGACCGCTGCCGAGGAAAGGAGATTTCGGGCCGCTTAATGTGGCGCTGATCGGAGGGAGGATGTGGGGTGATATCCTTGGTGATTTATTCAAACGCAGGGGCGGCGCACCGTTGTCCATGGATATCGAGGGAGAAGGCAGAGCAGCATCGTCGAGTGAGCGTTTGGTGGAAAGACCTGTGTCGGCAGCAGAATTCAGGGACTGTGCAAAACTCCTTAGGCCAGGACGGGCAGCCGCTTCATAGTCGGACAAGGCTCGCCGTAGCTTTGCCGGGCGGGCGACGGGGGCAAACAATGGTGGTGAGGTGACTCTAATCAACTTTTTCTCAACATCGGTGATCTCGGAGGTGGGAACGGGCGGAAGGCTGACAGCCGGAGGCAAAGCGATAGGCTCCAAGGAGGTCTCAGCTAGCGCGAGGGACTCAACAGACGGAGGCAGTGGGGAATGAGTTGAGCTTGATGAGGATGTACGCGACAGCGCATTGATGCTGGATCTTGAATCTCTTCTTTCCAGCAACTTTGCCGACGCAAGGGCTGACGGAGATGGAGTATGAACTGGACCTCGATTGGATAGCGATTTACCACGAGGTCGACCTGTGATCCCCGCTGTGGCTGGAAGACGCGGGGAAGTTTGTCCAGTATCTGACAGCTTCAAACCGGACCCGGAATTATTCCTCTGCAAAGCGCGGACTACGAGTGGTCCCTCGACACGACCTTCCGAAGACTTGACAGCAGGAAGCTGACCGGGTGGGCGGAGAGGACTCCATGGCGGGCTGGCGACAGACCCCTCTTTCCCGAGGCGGTCATGTGAGAGCCATGGTCTGTCGCCGGTGGGAGAAGAATGCGAGGCTGATCTGCGATGCCTGATAGCTGTTGGCGAAGGTACGGGTGACTGATCCCTTTTTGGACTCGACCTATCGTCGACTCCTGGGGATCCATGGGGCGAGAAACGAAGGGGGGAGGGGGATCCTGAACGACCGTGTGGCCCAACTGGGGGCGAAGGTCTGCGGAAGCCAGCAGCAGAGGGTTGAGGCATTGCCGCGGGGGAAAATGTCGGAGTGACAAAAGGTGACATCGGAGCGATGGGAAATCGAGATGGTCCAGGATCGGAAGGAGAAGGTCTGACTGGAGCACCGGAAGTGGGCCACTGAAACATGAGCACATGAAACATATCTGAATTGGTAGGAAGGGAAACGCACGACACTATCCCAAGCATGGACGAGCTCCTCTGGTTCTGGCGGTTGAGGTACGTGGACAGCAGTCGCCACAGGCTTGGTCGGACCCTCCTCGGGATCATCTTCCAGTCCCCTCGGTATGAGAGGGGGAGTAGGACTGATGATGTGTAAGTCAAACTTGCCAGACACACCGGAAGATTCCGACTGCCGTCTGCTGGTAGGTGCGCTGGGATTCGGGGTCTCTGAGAGCAGCTTTGCACGAGCTTCAGCCAGGTGCTCGCTGCTTTCCGGATCTTGACTCGATCCGGTTGAGCCGTAGCTGCCTTTCGAGCCCCAAGATCCGGGAGATGTGGCCGATTCACTGGATAGGCGTTGCACAGGACGAGGAGTCGGACGGGGTTTCTCTTCACCGAACAAGGCCCCCAGCTGACCTTTGAGAGTGAGATTGGCCGACGAGGCTGGGGGGGAGGTGGTCGGTGGCGATATAGTAGCTACAGGAGGCTCGTACGGGTATGCCGGAGGAGGATTGAAGAACATGGGTGGTGGAGGTGGAGATGTGAGAGAAGAAGAACGACCATGTGATGGACTGGCATCTGGTGGTTTCATCAGCGTGAATCATACGATACGTCGGGATGATGACTAACGTTTGGGGTCGTCTTGCGCCTCATCAACGACTCTGGCTGGGATGGAGAACGGCATCATGATGCTGTCCTCCCTACCTTCCTTGTAGCCAGGATGAGGCTCAGAATTGGTGTTGGAAAGATCACAATGTCTTGTTCATGCGTCAGGAAGGAAAAGAGGGGTAAGGAAGGATGAAGCGGGAGGAAAAGTGAACGAAAGGGATGTCGGGGTGAATCGCAGATCTATCTCGAGAGAGTGAGATATGGACAAAGCATGGAGAGTGAGAACGGCGAGAGAGTTATAAGTCGGACTATGAGAGAAGGAAGGCGGGGAGTAGTGATGACGTCTATGAGGGCCTATGGGTGCGGTCCAGACCAACAGTGAGAGAGGTGAAAAGAAGGAGGGTTCAGGAGCGCGGGGAGAGAGAATGCCACGTCACGTCTATCACTAACGAGACCTCCTACCGTGACTGCTACTACTAGGTTACTACTACTGATCATGGTCGAGCTGTGCATACATACGTACTCCGGCACAAGGCGGGACACAGTGAAGGGAGTGATGACCGAGAGCGGACAATTGCGCATCGGTGTGTGTATTATACTCACCGTCGGCGTAGCATGTAGCAGCAAGTAGCAAGGGACAGACAGGTGGTCTGCATCAACGGAACAACGGGTTTAAGGTTACCATCCACCGCACCATCCAAGTGCCTGTCTACAAAACAAACACGTCTTTCTCTCCAAGTTGTATCATCATCATCTATACCATCCAGACACTTATGATTCGTCTCTTGACTTTCTCATGACCTTGTAGTCTCTCAAGCCTCCCTTTTCCACTTTCACTGGTCAACGAGGTTCCTTCTCGCTCCGCCGCCGCCACCGCCCCGCCCCCTCGCCCTCACACACCATCCTTTCCACCTTCGCTCACCATGTCAGGTTTCGTCCCTGCTGAAGCGTCATCGAGCCGCATCCCTTCGATCGCAGTCAAACGAGCGAGGTCACAGAGTCGAAAGAGGGGAGAATCAACCTCACGATCGAAACCCAACCATCGACCCAATCAAACTGCTTCACCTGTCCCTAGCAACATCACCTCTCATGTCAGTCCGACCGTACAACGCAAAGTACGCACAGTACCTCGTATGTCATCTCACTTCACTCTCTACAGACATACTCACTCTCAGCATCGGCTTTGTATACCCCTGATTCCCCTCCAACCCCACTTCAACCCCCTCCCGTCGAACCTACTTCGAGCTCAAAACCTGTACCTGCGCCACCCACACGCCGTCGTCGTCGACATCGGACAGCTTATGACACATCATCTTCGGACGCTGATTCCGATAGTACGGATGATGAACCTCCATGGTGGACTTTCACCCAAAGGGGTATGATGAAGATGCGGACTAGGAACCTGCGTCGACGGAGGGATGTGGAGATGGGTCTCGATGCTGATTCTGGTCGTGAGAGCGGGAGAGACGTGGTCGATGTAGAGAAGAGAAGAAAGGGGAAATCCAAGATTGATGGTGATACACGATCCAAAGATCTTAAGCTTTCCGTGAACAATTCGAGCGTCGGGGTCGATGGAATTCATGACTCTTTCACGAAGATCTCTCCAAGTGGTCAACCTCCGACCCGAAGAGGTTCTGGGAATGTCATGTTTCGTCGAGTGGTAGGGAGAGCATCAGATCCTCCAAGGGCGAAACCCCGTATGATGAGAAGCAATTCAGCCCCTTCTTCACCAATAATCAACACGTCCTCTTCACATCTTCTCGGATTAAATCAACTGGCGGAACTTGCCCCTCCACCTTTACCAAGAATCAACACCACTGATCTTGCCACTGTACATGAAAACGGACTTCCTCGAATTGAACCTCGACGTCAATTGACTGCACCTTTCACTCGGTTCCGTCGACGGAATAGTGCTGCACCTGGTAGTTTGACCGATACCGATATCACCGTTAAGCCTCGTCGAAGATTATCGGATTTACCTATGCGTCACGGCACATTACCAGAAGGCGAAGTCACCACTCCTGAAGTGGGTAGAAGTAGTGATGGACTCACACCTCAAACTCCTACTCGACCAAAAGTTAGACGTGCACCTCCATCAAGACTTCGACTCAACCTTCCTCCGCCTTTGACCAGTCGATTGACACATGGTTTTCACGCTGGGACTTGGCAAGATGCATTGTATGGGTATTACAGTGAAGATGCTGGAAGTGGAGGAAAGAGACCTCCTACTTCAAGATACGTCCGAACCAACGAACCTGTCTTAACCCCTGATCCTTCTCCCCCGGCATCACCGGCAACTCCACCACCCAAGAAGAAGACGCGTAAACCAAGACGATACCTCCAAGCTCAGGTCCCTCCCACCCCATCAGGTTTGGGGTTCACACCTACAAGCGAGAGGGCGAGAATGGAAGGGAGGGTCGATGAACATGGGTTCGTCTGGTCTGCTCAGGAGAATGGAAACCAAGTATCTGAGAAACCACAACAAGTTGTCGAAGAAGATAATTTGAGTAGGTTTGATACTCGAGCCACTGTGACCAACACGGAGAAGGGGGATAGTATGGGGAAGAAAGGTTTGATGCCTTTCAAGAAAGATAGGGAGAGGAGAAAGAGGTTTGTGGATGAGATTGATTGGAAGCAAAGAGCGAGGAGGTATCTTTTCTTAGATGCGAGGGTTACCATTTGGATTAGGGCTGTTAATTTAGCTGTGGTGGTTGCTCTTTTGGGTGAGTGATTTGGTTCATCATCCCTCTCTTCTTTCTCTCGAACATGATATCAATTATCTCACCTCTTCTTTCTTGTTTCATCCATACCCATTACCGTCACACACAATATGTAGAACACAATATCAGCTCGCGACATTCCGTCTTTCTATTTTTGCTTCTTGATTATGACGATTTATCAATCAGGCTGTAAGACAAGCATGTCTAACACACAGGTCTGGCAATAACGATCCGACTCGATCTATTTCATCTCAACCTTCCCGGTTTATTAGGTTCCTCAACCACCTTGATAATCTCCTATTCATCACTCACCGCACTACACGTACTCACAGCTATCTATCGTGAATATTTCGGTAAACCAATAGGTCTATGGGCACTTCGTTCGAAAATGTTATGGGTTTGTCTAGACCTTTTATTCGTGGCATTATGGAGTTCAGCAATGTCAGTAGCTTCCAATGATTTCATTTCAACACCACTTCATTGTACAAAAGGTGAACCTTGGTGGAGAAGCGGATTATCACAATCTTATTCACGTCTATTAGACGCTTTGGAAATCGCTAGTGAAACAAAAGAAGAATTAAATATATCAAATTCTTTAGGAATAACATTACCTATCGAAATCATGGAAAACCCTTTGACTAAACAAGTTTGTAATAGACAAGCGGCTTGTATAGGTTTAAGTTTATTCGCTTTGTTGTTATATGGTGGTAATATGGTTTTAAGTTTATTTAGGATTTTCGAAACTGTTAGAAGGACTGCTAATCCTGGTAAAGCTATGGCTTTTTAGTTGAGTCAAGGTTATACATTTTCCATAATGTTGGATTTTCTCACAATGTTGGATTTTCTAATGATTGGGAAGGAGTAAGGAAGAAAGGGTGAATTGGTGAATTGGTAAACTTGATCAAATGGTGATTGATGAAAGTATTTATTGGTACATAAGGGAAAAAGAGGGTTGATCATTTGAAATGAAATCGGAAGAGGTATGGATGGGACAGGGAAGGATCTAATACGATATATCAATACATTTTATCAGATTTTATAAACAATTTATACTGTAACTATAGAGATAGATTAAAACCTATGTATACCCAGAACGACATACTGTATATAAAATGTAAAGATTCACCTATCAACTGGTAAATAAGGGATTACCAAGTGCAGGTCTCAAAACTATATCTTCCTCTTCACTAACATCGGTAGCTTGAATAGGAGGTAATGGTTTTCTTAATTCTGCTGATTCTCCCATCCACGATCTTTGAATTTGACCTAGATCTAGGAGACGTTGAAGTAAGTCGTTTGTCTCTAATCTATCGACGATGATTTCAAGACGAGTTCGAAGTGTTTTCTGTGGAGTCAACAGAACTTCGATTCATCTGACAAAACACCATCACTCTTCCTTTCTTGGAGATAATCATTGAGTCTTCGCTGATAAACAAGGAGTGTGAGAGATAGTTGTGGAGTTTTCACACATCATGTCAAGTTTCAAGTGATCAATGACGTGGAGGTGAGCTAAGGAGAAGTGTTTACATATCAGAGATCTTCAGGGAATGAGGGGATCGGAAGATGTACCATAAGGTGAAAGAATGACGGGAAACGGAAAAGTGAAAGACAGAAGACGAAAGACTGGAAGGAAGATTTGAAAGGAAAGATGAGGGGAAAAAAGAAACAGAGATCAGGTTTGAGAACGATGACTCACCTCCGTTATTCCCGGTCTTGTCAAGATATGTCCCAATACCGCTCTCAAAGCAACCTTATATTCTCCTTCTAAGAAAGTCCCATAAATATCAACCCATCTCCTAGGTGCATACAACTTTACTCCACCTATTTCAACCTTACCATCTTTGATCACACGAGATACCAATGGAACGGCCCATTTATCCCAATGAGAAATATGTACAAGACGTGATGTATCATACCCCGTCCAGAAACATGATCGTATTTGTGAGTTCTCCTCTGTCAAAGAGGCTAATACGGTATCTAGTTCATCGTTGGATATATGGAGTTTCGTCTACATCATCAGCTCTTTATGCTCAGGTCTGTTTAGGAAGCTGGAAAGGAAGGACCCACCTGTAGCTCGGATTTCGTGAGTCCGAGAGGTCCAGCATCGAATAGTAAAGGCTCAAGTTGATCAAATATCTCTTGAGGAGCGGGAGGAAGATCAGCAGACCAGGGGATGAACTCAGGAGCAAGTTCTTCACTCTTAGGAGGCGAGGGAAGAGTGGGAGTTTTGGAAGTAGTTCGTTTGATTCGCATATCAAATTCGAAATGTTCGTCACCTATCTTCATCAGTTCCGCCATTGATATTAGAAGGTGGACTGACCTAATTTTCTCGTGTTCAGATCCGTCTGGAAATATTTGATGGTGGGGAAAGTCTCCACGTCGAAATCAAATGAGACCTGTAACAATAAGCTTACTCCAACGTGATTACTAAAATTGGATTGTCGAGAGTATTGTCGGAAGGAAGAAAAGGAGAACGTTGACATACCTCATCATTGGAAACCATGTGCATCAAAGCTGCAAGTTCCCCACCTGTACTAAGAAGCGACCAAGGCATTTCACCTTCTCCTTGAGTCAAACTTCGTTCAACAAGTGCGGCTTCATTGAAAAGTTCCGGATGATATGGTCCTTCGATCAATTGACGCCATCTGTGCGTCAGAAATCCACACTTCATGATCGCTTCTATCCTACCCCTCGGTGAGAGAGATGCGCAGAGACCTCATGAGGGTGTGTTGGGTATCTTGAAGAGGTAGAGATGTAGGAGGAGGAGCACGATGGAGATGAACCCAAAAACATACGACGCAGTAAAATCATAGAATCTCTTAGTGATAGCCGCCGAAGGAGTCCGATGTAAAACCTTATCTTGAACCAATTTCGCAATCACAGGGTTGATATCTGTATGAAGGTTATATTTATCCAATAAACCCGCAGCGTCTGACTGAGTATATATCTCTGTCGCAGTGATGACGATCATCTGGTCATCAATACTCTTTCCCGGAAATTGAAACTTGACACTTACCAATAAACTAACTCTAATCACTCCTTTAACTCTTACATCCGGTCCTACGGCTTCTTGAAATGGTTGGGGTTGATCATTCATATCAACCTTCTCAATCGTGGAATCAGGATCTAACATTGATATTTGTGCTAATTGATGTGTTCGGACTTCCTCTGCGACGTGATAATCGTGTACCAGTGAGAACTTTAAACTTGTTACTTGATTATATTTCCAATCATATTCTTCGATGAGATGTTGAACGTCCGTTGGTAAATCTGGAGCTATAGCCTGAGATTGCATTGGAGTATTTGTCACAGCTGCCAGACGTCTATTCTCAATGACGATAAATCAATCATTAGGGAAATGACTCACATATTAGCTTTGTTGATCTTTTGTCGGAGAAACTTGATATGTGCTTGAAGATCAAAGTCCACCACACTGTTCGGATCAGGATCAGGTAATTCTGGAGTCCCCTTATGAGTTTGCCAAACATTATACCAAGCATCCTCTAATCTATCGAAATATGGTTTTTTACCAGCGGTTTCGAATATTTTCTTCAGACGGCTTCGGAAAGTTTGAAGACCAACGTCAGGGAATATTTGTGATACGGCTTGACGACCTTTGTTTCCTGGTAAATTCCGAGATCGAGCACGGATGATGGCTTCGGCATCAAGTAAATTCTCGTCATCTTCATTTGACCATTGCTTTCTACGTCGCGGACCTTTGGTTCTCGAAGCTGATATAAGTCACATCTCTTTACAGATCCATGTAAACCACGCAAAAGCTCTTATGGTGCATTAGAGAACGAAGGGTGGTAGGTCGTTCGAGTCAGATGGAAGGATATCACTCACCAATGGTTTCTTTAACTACACGCATCTTTTTAGACCTCTTCGCACGGGGAAATACCATTTTAAGAGGTGGCAGACCCTCTGCTCGAGGTGGTTTCGTCGCTCGATCCGCAGCGACCTCTTGACCTCGTTGAAATACCCTTACTAAACCTTGCAAAGCTTCATCTGAGTAATTTGGTCTGTTAACAGAAGCCAATACCTGTCTTCCCACGTATTCTAGCAACTCGGGACTCATAGTCGCTCCTACTACTGCACACGCCTGATTTACCCGTCTCTCCCATTCGACCTTCGCAGCGGCATGTCTAGCAGCGAGCTTTCGATGTAAACTTTCATCAGCTTTTCTACGTCTTTCCGTAGTTTTCTCCGTCTCCTCTGCATGTCTCGTCTTACGCATTGCCAAACGCGCTCGAAGCCTGGCAGCCATGAGAGGCAATTGTTCTCGTACAAAAGCAAGAGGGAGTGCGTTATCATACGCCAACTTGGCCATATCTTCATCTGTTACGACTAATTGTGTCCCATCTTGACGAATAGCGTTGTTGAGAGCTGCTTGTTGACCAGAGAGAAGTTTCGGAACAGCTCTCCACCTCATAGAAGAACGTAACATCTTGAGATGTTCCGTGGGGATTTCAACTATGGGAGGGAAATATATCGAAGGGGACTCTTCGTGAATCATGTCCAATACAGGTTCCAGTAGTAAACGATCGGGAACCAAAGCAGCTGCTTTCACTCGATCCCAATAAGTCTCGCTTTGTTCAAGGTCACTTGTCGGCATTACACCAAGTAAGTTTGGTGGGTCTACTGCGATATGATAAACAGGGGCAATATCGGCCACCATGTAATAAGTTGCTAAACTCGTAGTGTTGACAATGTGAAAATTGGATATCTTCCCATTCGATTCGGTAATTTGCACATCTCCGGACGGTAGATCGGTAGCGGAAAGGGGGAAGACCAATTTCAATTCATGCAGACCAGTCATTAAACCAGCGAACTTCGTTCGTATTCCGATACCGAGGAATGACGGGGGTTTGAGATTATCAGGCATGTCGGCCAAACGGACTTCGAGGTTTTGCGGATCACTGAGGTATTGTTCGAGTTCATCGGTGTGATACTGAAGATAAATATTGGAGAAAAAATCGACGACTCGGATATCTTCGAAAAACATTGTAGATGCAAAAACTCTGGGTGAAGAGGAGATCATCGACCGAGAACCTTGTTGCAGCGCCCGAAGTATCGCCAAATGCCAGGATCGTAACCGAACATTTCTACCGGATTGATAGCCATACAAACCAGCAGCAACACCAGGTTGTTTGAACAACTGAGCCCGATGATCGACTATGTTAGCTGCGGATCCTTGGGTTTCGGGGGTCGGTGATGCTTCTTTGGTGGTGGGTTTTGAGACACGGAATTCCGTATATGTCGTGGCAGCCACTTTGGTCTGAACAGGGGCAGTGTATCCTGACACGGAGGTCAGGGTACGGATGTAATCTTGAACTACTGACATGGGAGTTTCAGGAGTGTAAAGAATACTGGCTCTGGTCCAACGGCCTGTGACAGTGGGTATAGTGGCTGTAGTCTCTTTAAGTCTTCCATCCCTTAACAAAGTCCCCAAGATACGTTTGTACACCGATCGATCCATGCTTGCTGCTACGACGGGAGCATGTGGGTGATCGGTACCAGCTACTCGTAAAGCCCATTCACGATGTTCATTAAAATGTCGAGGTTCACTCAATACACCGCCGGCGTCCACTAGACATTGTACGATCTCATTTGCACGACGTAGAGATCCAAGATCGACTCGGTCGCGTCCTTTCGTCCGGATCCTCACGTTGGGTATAGCTTGACGGGCTCGCTTGGTCCTGTACAATGGATCGGCGGACGAGCTGGGTACAGCCACGGTCGATGAGGCAGGTGTTGATGGACCGTCGATTCGGGGTATCACAGCTGGCTCTTGAGCAGGGGCGGTATGTGCGTCGGCTGAGAGCAGTTGCTCAGCTGGTGGGATGGCTACCCTTGCCTCGATAGGTACTGCGGCCTCGGCCTCGGCCAGAGCGATGGGTTCGGATGGTGTGGGTGGTTGTACTACTGCTGGTGTCGAGTTGATAGTTGCCTTACGCCCACGTTTAAGCTTAGGCGTAACATCACCAGAGTCATCCCCCTTTGCGGGAGTTCCGGGATTTTTCCGCTTTCGCTGTCGTTTGGCAGGCCCGACTGGAGTCACTTCAGGTTCTGCTCGCATGATTACGTCGGGGTCTGTTCGGACAGGCATGCTCTGCGCGGCCTGAATGGCTGTGAGGGAATCCTCGACGCTGAGGGGTTGTTGGATAAAGCTGGTAATACTTTGCGTCCCGATGGTCAACGGAGCAGGATCTCCTAGCTGCTGCAAGGCGGTGGTGATATCGGCGTCATCGAGGAGTTCATCCACCAACATTTCTCCTTCTGGTCCATAGCCAACGTTTGGATCTACGACCGTAGAAGTAGCGACTTCTTCTTCCGGCCGGGTGTTCCCCTTCTTCCCACTGCCGAGCTTGCCTGTACTTTTCTTCCGTTTTTGCGCTCGAGGTGACCCATCTGCACCTTGTCGGAATTGCGCATAATGCTCAGGTGGGTTTCCACGAGCTATGGTAGTTGGACTAAGAATAGGCGGCGGACCAACTCCTGTATACCCAGCAGGACCATCGACAAGCCTGTTGGCATTCCGAACGTATATGAGGACATGTGGTAGGTTGTGAGAGTGTCGAAGTTTCCCGACGATACTCCGATTAGGCTGACCGTCTTCGTCGACGACAGCGACGTATTTCCGTGGACGACCTCGGATTTGTGCTGTGGATTCGTAGAAAAGATTTTTTCTCTTACGCCTCATCCTGCCTTCTTCGCTGTCTCCATGTTCCTCTTCATCCTCCTCATCCTCGCCTTCATCTGGTCCATCGTCTACCCCCGGAACAACGTCAGTCTGAGATGCTGTCACGATCTTCGCCTTTTTAGGCGTCTTCGGTTTGACGCCGAGTAATTTGCGAGTGATCGGCTCCGGCATGTCATCAATATAGCGATCGTACTCTTTGAAAGTATTGTAATACTTTCGGAATGATATATCGGCCCAATGTCCCCATGCAGTTGGATCACCTGGCATCTTGGATTCGTCCACTGCATGACTAGACGCCACCATGACCGAGCGGTACGATTCGTAGCCATAAATCCGAACTCGCCGCTCTCGTCCAAAGGACTCCATGACGGAACAGACGGCTAAATGACCCAAATGTGGGAAGTTGATCTGGCGTTCTACACGGACCAGTTGAAAGTCGATTGCCCTCTTGTACAACTGATCGAGGTGATCAAAGATATTCTGTGTGTCAGTGATTTTGCTCGAGGTGGGGGATAATGCTAACCTGTATAGTCACTCCTACCTCCTTAGAGTCACATATCATGCGGAAGATTTGGTACTCTAGCATCTGGACTAGCGACACGTTGCTATGATACGAAAAGGGTTTCAGGTCCTCTATAGGTTCAGCCTCAGTACAGTAACATGATACAAATACGTACGGGGATCTGGCGGTGTGTCATGTTCTATCGAGCTCCCTTGATCGTCCATTTCCATTTCGTCCGTCTCGTCCAGCTGCTGACGGGCTTCAGGGGCGGGAGCCCCTTCTAGATTGAATTTGCACAAACGAAGGCACCGAGCGTTCTGATTGCCCACGACCACTTTCTCTACTACACCTTTATCGATCAGACGTTGCACATGCCTGAGCACGGCTCGACGTTGACGAACCTGATACGCTCCCCGCCAGCCCTGATACTTAGCGGTGTCGAATAGACTCTTGGAAACTTACGATCAGTTCCAAGAGGTTTACCATCCGTAAAAGGTGATTCTCCAGGCTGGGGTGATCCAGTAGCTTCAGCAACCTTTCCTGGACGACGTGACCAGTAGCGACCTCTGCTTCGGTGAGAGGTGGAAAGCCACCGAACTTCGATGTTGCGTGTGCTGTATCTGCTGACGTATCTGTTGTGGAGTCTTTTGTCACACCACCAGTAATGGGACCGATCTCCTCTAACGCTTTCCGTTGCCTTTCATAATTAAGGTATGCGTCGCTTTGATGTACAAACGAGCGATAGATGAGAAGACTTGTCACTGATCCATGAATGAGACTGGGGATCTTGACACTGTCAAGTTAGCCATGTTAACAACGCGGGAGGGTTTAACACTCACCAAAGTTTCAGGTTGACAAGAGTTTTCATGTAGTGAAACATGCTCCCTTGGCTGGCACCGACCAGAGGACCGAGTTCGATAGCGGTGATACCCTTTTCTCGGCACTTGGCTGTAATCTGAAGGATGTGAAAGACTACGGGAGTGATCTTACTTATCTGAAAGCATGTCAGCGTTGACACGTTTCTTGTCTTACTGTGACCCACCTTATGAGGTAATCCAGTCAAGCGACTATATATCTCATCGTCCACACATCGTACCCGTAGTCGCGTCCCCCATTTGGTCAGTAAACCAGGAAGGTCTGACCTGTTCAAGACCGGCTCCTCCACATTGTCCACCTCTTTTAGGAACCGAACGACGTCGGCCGTCGTACCACTTTTCAACTTTTTCTTCTTCAGTTTATCCTTTTCAGCCCTCTCTTTAGCTGAACGAGCTTGATTCTGACCATGTGTTCTCTGACTGGCCTCACGACGATCTTGTATGGCTTCTTTGTCTGTTCGGTACTCGTCACCTTGAATAGCATATGCCATAGCGCGGCCTTTGACCAACTGCTTTTGAAGCTGAGCGACGTCTACGACCTCGTCCGTGGGTGGCTCGTAGTCTGAGGGAAGAGGAGCAGTACCGGTGATGATGGTCCCATCGGGTCTAGGGACGGGATAAGAGGCCACGATGATCTGTATGCTGGGATGTTGGCATAGCTGACGCCAAACGAAGGTGAAGAAATCATCATCGATGGAAGGGTTCAGACTGATGAGATGTTGTTGCAACAAATGAGGGTCAGAGCCTATTAGAGGTCAGCTGTCATTCCATATCTTCACCACATCATCAACTTGAGCTGTCCCCAGGAGTTACGGGACCACATGGTTTGAGTGAAGGGAGGGCAGGGTGACCGAAGGAAGTGGACCACCTCCACTCGTTGCCCATGATGTAAAGAGAACACGACGCGGGTTCGAACGCAGGGTCGAGGTGATATAACCAACTCACCCAACACCCCATCGAGGGCTATATAATCGAGGCAGAGGTCGAGAAGTTGGTGAATACGCATGATTGTTCGTCCATGGAATGTCCTAAGTCCAGTCACGATGGTATACGAGTACTGTTGAGAATTCACATGAGATTATTGATGGGTGGGGGGTTCTTCTGAGCGAAGGTTTGCGGTCTGACTCGGATTTGACAGTTGATCGGCGTTTGCCGCCGTCAGAGCCTCGTAACACGTGGCGGATGCCTATCGTCCACTTCCGTCGGAAAGGGACTCGACCTGTCCGTGCAGTGCTTTGCTTCTCCACTGCTGCTCTCCTCACTCGCAGCCATGCCAAGACCTTCGCACTACTGCACCATGGTCGATGACCTCTCAACATAACTCTCAGCATGCTTCTATCCACTCCTCGACCCCAGCAGCTTCCGGTGGTTCTGGTTTTACCATCCCTCGTCCTATTGGCGGGCTACATCTACGCTAGGTTCAGTCGTCCCTCTTCGTCGGGCCTACCACCAGAGTCATGTCTGTTTGGAATTTATACAGTCTAACGTGAGCTGATGACAGTCGGACTATTCGGTCATCTTGATTCCATTCCGTCCCTACTCTGGAATGACGGTGTGGATTCGGAGGCCTGTGAAAAGAAATATTCCGTACTGCTCTTCATCGGCGAGTCTCAAGCCTTTTAGCCTTCCAATAAATCGGATTCATGGAATAAACTGATAGTCAGACCTTCCTCGTATGCACCCTTACTCACTTGAAGATAGTCACTGACTACGAGTGAATTCTACTTCCATACCTCACGCCCTAGAGCTACTCGATACCCTCAACTCTTCATCCTGCACTGACGTCCGTGTGACCAGTCCCATTTCTCCCGGTTGGGATCTGGAGAGGAGTGTCTCGGAAAATCTTGAGCGCGAAGGCTGCAGTGATATAATTTGGCACATGGGAACCGACCCTCTTAACGGCAGAAACGGTTGCCGTGACTCTTTGTGGATCAGGTAGGTTTATCACTACCGATTGTCTCTACGATGCTGATCACAATAGTGAGCTCGCACCTCGGTCTTCCAATCAGACCGAAATCATCTTTGATACAAACTCCGACGTGTGTCATGTCCTCGCCTCGATTAACATGGAAAGCTGATGCTTCAGCTGACTCTCTTTGATCAACCCAGCAAGCTTTTGGACGAGGAGGTGCAATATGAACGGGTCAAAGCCCAATATCCGGAATTTGAGATGGGGATGTTTGCCCATGTTCTCCCTTCGGTGAGTCTCCAACATGCCAGTGTCTCGCTGAGCTGATCGATCAGGCGGAGTGAGTGCTATGAGTTCTGGCTCAAAGATATTGGCTGATCTTCAGCCCGACCATCTACTACCCCAACTCCCATGGCCTTGCCAAGACCATAACTTACTTCCCTCGTCTGAACACGCCGAAGAAGGCTCTTCCGAGACTACCTTGGGGAAGACAATGGTCAATGTATCGACGTGAGTTGAATCATATCCCTCTGTAAAGACTAACGGGCCAGCTGCCGTGCCCAAACCCCCACGAGTCCGAGAAAATCAGGATCCTTTCGCACCGGGAAGTACCTATAGGTCATACTGGCGCAAATATGCGCAACGGGAAGCTGAGGCGATGAGACGCGGTGGTGTATGTCTGGTAAGTCTCCCCTATGTAGCTCTCTCGCTGAGCAATCAGTTCGAAGGTTGGCAAGAAGGTATATTGGATGAGAGGATGGTCCGGGCTTTTTTCTCTGGTTGTGTGGTAGCCACGGTGATACCAGAAGTCGAACATCGTATGTTGGCTCTTGTATTGATGATCGGAGCTTACAATCAGGTTCGATATCTTCATTCCTTTTACCTCTCTCACCCTCTGAAACGGACGGTCTCCTCCTCCCGTCCACGCAGCTTTCAGATCATCTAGCCAATTTATCCGCTGCGGATCTGGAGCGCAAGGCCACGGGAGCGTTTGCAGAAGCGTGGAAACTATTCACGCCTAAGGTGAGATTGAATAACGTACTCGAGCTCGTCCGTGTTTATCAGGAGGGTGGAAGAGGGTATATGGTGAGAGTCTTTGCTCACTCTCCATGGCTTCGGCTGATGATCCAGTTTCCTCATCGTTTTCGCTGGTCGTGCGCTTCGAAGCCGAGACCTCCATGGTGTACTGAGATAGCTAGTGAGATAGACATGCATACGTGAGGTTTATATGTAGATTCAGCGGCTTGATTTGCAGTGTGGTATTCTGTGATCTGTGATCACGGATCACGAAGCGGACATGGACGCGTCAATCAAAGTTGGCGAGAATTTTTGAAAAAAATCTGTCAATTTTCGTTGATGCTTCTTGATTCTTTCATTTCTTCACTATCAATCAACCAAGCTGAGCTTTTGTCTCTTCTTGTCCATCTTCTTATTTATCGCTTCAGCACTGAGCTACTTGCGAAATCTTGGCGAGCTCACCATTTCCGACAGATTGTTCCTCTTCCCCTCGACTGGCCAACTTTCTCCATCCTTTGTTTTCCGTAAGTACTGTCTAGCTCCAGTGAGCAGCGACAACTCGGCAACTAGAAATCTTTAAAACAAGATGGTCAAATACATACTAGTATGCGGTGGTGTTATCTCGTTCGTACTCTTCCCATCCCGCATAAATGTCAACTGATCATGTAGAGGTATAGGAAAGGGTGTCATAGGTCGGTTCAATCGTTTCACAAATTATACCTGTTCCCTCTGATCACACATCAAAACATTTTTGTTAAGTTTGAGCATCGAGTGTTGATGTAGTAAGTATAAAGAGAGCTGACAACATAGCCTCAAGTACCGGTCTTTTACTCAGAACTATGGGTCTGAAAGTCACAGCTATAAAAATTGATCCGTATATGAACATTGATGCGGGTACTATGGCACCTACTGAGCACGGTGGGTGATTTTGCTCTCAACCTCTGATACTAATCTCCTCCCCCCACCCCCCGGGGGGACTGCTCGTTCATCACTCTTATCTCTCAAAAGCTCATGCCGCCCGATAGATGTCCTCCTTTACCGCTGCGTTCAGCTTCGATGTAAATGACAGTCCGGACTGACTTCAGGTGAGGTATATGTCTTGAACGATGGAGGGGAGACGGATCTAGATTTAGGAAATTATGAGAGGTACCTCAACGTCTCATTGAATAGAGATAATAACGTGACAACTGGGAAAGTGTATCAACATGTCATCGCTAGAGAGGTATGTTAATTCGAATTTACAACCCATTTCACAACGACCCTCTCTCCAAGTCATCTCGTCTTGACCAGTTCTTCCAAGTACGACGCTGTCATCCTTTTGAAAATGAAAGAATCCAGCTCAAACGTATAGCGAAGAGGTGATTATCTGGGAAGTACCGTTCAAATCGTTCCACACCTCACAAACGCCATACAAGATTGGATCGAAAGAGTTTCTAAAATACCTGTGGACGAAACGAGTGAAGAGCCTGATGTCTGTATCATCGAGGTTAGTCCCAATTGTCTACCTCCACAAGTCTTTTGCTAATGCAGTTTAGTTAGGAGGTACAGTGGGAGATATCGAATCTATGCCTTTCATCGAAGCTATGAGACAGTTTCAATTCAGGGTTGGTCACGAGAATTTTGCTCTTATTTACGTTTCTCTTATTCCTGTGGTGGGAGGTGAACAAAAGACTAAACCTACTCAAGCTGGTGTTCGAGATCTTCGAGGGTTAGGTCTTCTTCCGGATCTTGTGAGTTGTCTTCCCCTTGTACAATCTCTCATCTTTCACTTTTTTATACACTTCTTCCATTTTCAAGAGTGAGAGAAGATAGAACTGAGAAAGATTATGAAAAGAACGAATCCTCACAACAGATTGCATGCCGATGCGAACTCCCTTTATTAAGCACCACCACTTCCAAAGTCTCCATGTTCTGTCATGTAGCTCCTAAACAAGTACTTGGAGTTCATAACGTTTCTTCTACCTATCATGTTCCTCTCCTTCTACGTGATCAGGGATTACTCGATTATCTCAAAGTACGACTCAACCTGGATACTGTCAACATCACTCCTGCTCAACAACAAGTAGGCAATGACTTACTTGGACGATGGAATCTTCTCACTGCTGGGTTAGTCTTTTCTTTTCATCCCAATAAGATATGTTGCTGATGGCCTTAGACAAGAAAGATTATTCGATACTGTTTCTATCGTCCTCGTTGGGAAGTATACAAGTTTACAGGATTCTTACATGTCCGTTGTAAAAGCTCTTGAACATGCGTCTATGCGTTGTGGGAGAAAGTTGGATCTACAAGTGAGATGAACCCTTTCCCTGCCTTCCCTTTCTTCCCACAAAATGTACCGAGTCTGATGATTACAGTGGGTAGACTCGTCAAATTTGGAACCCGCCACTCAAACCAAGAACCCAGTGGCATATCATGATGCCTGGCGAGCTGTGTGTTCTGCAAAGTAAGTGCTCTATGGGATTTGTAGAGTCAGGAGAATTGATGAAATAGGGGGATCATAGTCCCTGGTGGATTTGGATCGCGTGGGACAGAAGGTATGATAGCAGCTGTCAATTGGGCTAGAAAAGAAAACGTTCCTTTCCTTGGTATATGTCTTGGGTTCCAGGTGGCAGTAATTGAATGGGCTCGTAATGTGTGTGGTTTACAAGGTGAGTCAAAAAGTTGTTAAAATGGTGATTTGTAAGTTGATGATCAGATGCAAACTCTGCCGAACTCGTCCCATCCACTCCCCACCCAGTCATTTGCTTCATGCCTGAAATCTCAAAGACACATATGGGAGGCACCATGCGATTAGGTTTACGTCCTACCGTTTTTGAGCCGGGAACAGAGGGTAGTAAATTGAGACGATTGTACGGTAATAAAGAAGTCGCTTGGGAACGTCATAGACATCGATATGAGGTCGAACCGAAGTATGTTGAGCGATTGGAGTCGAAAGGTGGATTGAGGTTTATCGGGAAGGATGAAAGGGGTGAGCGAATGCAGATGTTAGAGTTAGACAGTGAGTTGAGCATGTCTTTCCTTCTTTAGCCCACCCTTCTCCCCCAATCCAATCCAACCCATCTCATCCCCCAACCCTTTCTTCATGTCTGTACTTGAAAACCTGATATCCCTTTCTTAATGTGACGAATGACATCCCTTCTCTTCTCGTCTCACAATCTTACATTTCACCCAAATGCTTGAAGTCGAGCCGACATATCAACGCTAACTTCACAGACCACCCATACTTCGTAGCTCTACAAGCTCATCCAGAATTCTGTTCCCGTCCTCTTAACCCTTCCCCAGCTTTCTTAGGTCTCATAGCCGCAGCATGCGGTCCTTCAATCCTTTCCACCCAATTAGAAGCTTCAAAAACATACAAAGATCCTCATCCAGAATCAGCAAAAGTGGTTCCTGAGAGTGAAGCGGTCACCGAATTTGCAAAAGGGAAAAAACAAGAAGTAGGAGGTATCAAAGTCCGACATGAGAATAAAATCAAAGATATTGATACACCTACGGAAACGGGAAGTGAAGAGGAAAAAGAAGATGTAGTTGAACATCCTAAATTCTCAACGGCGATGAAAAGGAGGGAACGTACTTTACAGAAAGTGAATTCGAAAGCTGAGTTGGAATTTTCATAACTGTTTAGGGGGACTTTTTGGGGATGAATGTAAGGAAGAGGGAATGATTAGTAGGTTATATCTTCTAATGAGAGATTTCTTCATCACTAGAGTACTCGTACAGACAAATAAGTTCAGTGAGGTTTAGATGATTTTCATGTGATTCTCATTCATGATACATGTGTCGTATTTTCATCTATCTTACAATGCTCATATCCACAAACTCACTTCTGAGATATATATATCTCATTACTAATTACCAATGTCGTGGCCGACTCGACGATCGACGAGCTGGTCTTCGAAATTCAAATGGGTATCAAGTGGGTGTTACCCAAAAAAAAACTCACTGAAGGGAAGACTCGAAATCATCACAAGTATCAGTATCTCACAACCCCACAACAATCTGACAGATGAACAAAATGGAGAGAGCGTAATAGCGCAAAAGCGCATGCATTGTCCTCCGTACTTAAAAGTAACGGTTTAAAAAGTCTTTTTTTTTATCTTCTTCTAATACTTTCCTTCTTCTCATTCTCACATCTTTCCTCATCCATCTCCACCGCCATCTTTATCTTTACCCTTTTCACATCCCCACATCCTCACATCTCCTCATATCCAATATCAATCTCAGCAACACCGTCGAGGTTGTCGAATCGTCATTGAAGATGATTCATTCGAGTGAGGGGATAGAGAAGAGAGGAAATTGGTGAAGTTTTCAATGGAAAAGAATCCGAAAAGGAAGGAGAAGAGTTTAAGGGAATGAGGGATGATTTAAAGAGAAAGAAGACCGGGAAGATCGAGTAATCCAGTTTTACCTCCTTCATCACCGACAAGAGCATGAACGGTCGTTTTAGCATCGACAGCGAGATTACGAGTAGAGATTTGTTCTTCTCTTTTCCAAGGACGGCCTTGTTGCATACGACCTCCCCAAGCTTCAGTGCCCTCGGTATCTTCTCGTTTCCATGGTCGCCCCTGTTGCATACGTCCACCCCAAGCTTCGGAACCCTCGTCGTCGTCACGTTTCCAAGGACGGCCTTGTTGCATGCGACCTCCCCAAGCTTCGGATCCTTCGTCGTCGTCTCGCTTCCATGGACGCCCTTGTTGCATACGTCCTCCCCAAGCTTCAGAGCCTTCGTCGTCGTCTCGCTTCCATGGACGTCCTTGTTGCATCCTTCCACCCCAAGCTTCAGTGCCCTCGGTATCTTCACGTTTCCATGGACGTCCTTGTTGCATACGTCCACCCCAAGCTTCGGAACCTTCGGTATCTTCACGTTTCCATGGTCGTCCCTGCTGCATCCTTCCACCCCAAGCTTCGGAACCGGTGTCGTCCTCCCCTTCCCTCTTCCACGGGCGACCTTGTTGCATTCGTCCGCCCCAGGCTTCAGTTCCCTCGTCGTCCCTCTTCCATGGTCGTCCCTGCTGCATTCTACCGCCCCAGGCTTCGGTACCTTCGTCGTCCCTCTTCCAGGGTCTACCCTGCTGCATCCTACCACCCCAGGCTTCAGTTCCTTCCTCGTCACGTTTCCATGGACGCCCTTGCTGCATCCTACCACCCCAGGCTTCGGTACCCTCGTCGTCCCTCTTCCAGGGTCTACCTTGCTGCATCCTACCACCCCAGGCTTCGGTACCTTCGTCATCGCGTTTCCAAGGTCTACCTTGTTGCATTCGTCCACCCCAGGCTTCAGAACCAGTGTCATCACCATCCCTCTTCCAAGGACGACCTTGTTGCATCCTTCCGCCCCAGGCTTCGGTACCTTCGTCATCGCGTTTCCAAGGACGACCCTGTTGCATACGTCCGCCCCACATGGCATCACCAGTTTGGTCTGCGAGTCCGGTCTCGGAAGCCACCGGGACAGGTGCTGCGCCGGCAAGGATGGGAAGGAGAAGGAGAAGAGCGATGAGCTTCTTGTATCCGGTGATCATTGTTGCTGATTGTTTATTTGTGCTTTTCGAAAGAGTTAGCGGTGAAGATTTGTAACGGACGTTTGGAGTGAAGGTTGTACAGAAGTTTTGGAGTCGTAGACTTTGAGAATTGATGAGGATTGACGATTTGACGGAAAGTATCAGATGTTTTATGACTGACAGTCAGCTTGACACTGTTGATAGAGTGGAAGGAGGCGACGAGGCTGACGGAGTTGGGAGTGAGGAACATGAGTTGTCCTGACAGAAGAATGGTTGGGGTTCGAGAGGGTAGTGGGATGGTGAAGTGAAGGATAGAGAGTGGAGAAGTAGGTAGTGGCAGAGGGATTGAGAGGGACAGGGATGGACTCACAGAAAAAAAGGTGTTAACGGTTTTGAAATTTTAGAAAAAAGTTTTAAAAACAAAGTGAAGAAAGAGAGAAGGACGAATTGAACTGAAGAAACGTACCCTCATCCTCTCTCTTATATCTCTTTTTCCCAAGGAGCGCCCATAGTGTGGAGCACTCCCAAAGTGACAATAGTACCGATCTGGAATGAAAACGAATTGTCTGAGACGAAATGCGATCGAATGTACCGAGAGTGGATTTGTGACTTGATGTGGCTAGATTGAGATGAATGACGATGCTGAAAGCGGAGATGAGTAATGTCTTTTCGACTTATTTGTTATTTGTTGTTTACGTGTTTGAGTGGGTGGTTGATTCGGCGAGAATCCGGCACACTCACTGCATCGTGCTCCACTTCGGGGATGAAATGCCGTGATGATTTCGAAGTGGGAATACTTGAGGTTATCGCGTCATGTGATATTCGATGCAATGACAACAAGTCAGAATTAAACATCGAGTCTATGGATGTTTTGTCTTTTCGTCATGTGGTCGAGTTTGAGAAATTAGTGTGAATTAGTTTTCTCAACATTATGATGTCTTTATGCACAGAGCGAGATTTACATACTCTGTACAGGCAAAAGTGGGCACTTTTCTCTTACAGCTTGTTGAATATACGACCATGCCGTTGACGGCTGCTGAGACCGTAAAAGCTTTCTGAAGAGAGAAATGAAGATGAAGAGAATAGGACATAGATGTTGACATCGAAATTAAACATATACTCCACCTCCCACCTCTTTTCACGATCAGCCAGTAGACCAAGTGATCGATTCGAGTACTCACGCTCCAGCATCACGTCGATACTGTCTCCGTCCTCGAGTTCAAGTTCCAATGCGGTCTGCTCAGCAGTGACTCGAACACCTTCGTATACTAATCTTATCTATCAGTTGTGCATCTTACGTTGTCCTGTGGGATTTAATCTGGTAGTCTGGTGATGTGGAATACGGGAGAAGACGTGGTTGTGAAGGAAGATGAAAATGAAGAGCTTACCGGATGGTGGCCACATCAGCCCCCACACGTTCAGCATAAGCTGCCTGATCTCGTCAGCCACGATTCATGATCATTGGACCAATGTCATGTAAGGACTTTCAGCGGGGGAAATCGACACGCACGCATAGTTTCCCCAGTTTGGTAGACTTTTTGATCTTGAAGTAAATTTCATCTCCGTTTGGGGATGTCAATTTGATATTGATAGGAGCGTTACCTCGGTTGTCAGCGAGAGATGGACATATCGTCATTTGGTCACTCACCATCCTGAGCGACGGGTTTAGCCTCTGCAGGGGGTTGTGGGGGAGGGGGACTTCCACCGGCGTCTGACATTGTATGATACTGTATTAAGGTAAGCGGGAAGGTGATGTACGGATGCAAGTATGTAGATGTTAAAGAAGAAGATGGAGATTAAAAGTTGGTTGGTTGCTTAGGTGAGTGGGTGGTCGGTCGTGAGGGAGAATGTCGAGTGCAGTTTGCGGAGGTGAAGAGGCGGGTTTTAAAGTGGGGGATCATTTAATTAAAATGCCCATCACAAAGGCGTCTCTCAACCCAAATCAATGAATGGACGCTTCTGTCAGCCAAAACCCCCGGTAACCCTACATCACGACGTCCCAGTGCAACTGCTCAAAACATCGGAGTAACATTGGAACCAGGTACAAGGCATCATCCCATAGGTCCTTATCGAAAAGGACGAGTCAAACGCGAAAGAACGCGTGATTTTGTGGAGAGGACTTTGGTGAAACAGTGCCGCGTCCGAGCGATCAACCATCCATCCATCCATCCCACTTCACGTTGGTCAAAACGTCACTTTCTTGTATCCCTCCCTATTGCATGTCTCACGTCGACACATTCCAACTCAGTGTAGGCACTTCTAGCACACTTCTACCTCTCCGAGTGACCCTTTGGCCGTACTCAACTTGACTCGTCTTCCAACTTCCCCCCCCTCCCTCGTCGTCGTCGACCACCTCGTCTACCTTATCACCCTAGTGGCAGTCGCACGGTCAACGCCCATTGCGCATCACCCTTCTATCGCACAGACATCTTCTCATTGCCCCGATATCCCGGGATGCCTCGAAAGGCTCCGCCCAAAGAGGCCGTAGCTCCCATAGATCAGCTTACTCCCCCTTCTCCCCCCTCGCCTATTGTACACAAGCTTCGGCAAGATTGGAGGTGGGCAGGTATCTCCCAATTTCTTTGGACTTTTTCAGATGCTTTTGGATTATTAGATTGGGACATTGAGGTTAGTCTGTCCGTCCTTCTGGAACGTCTCCTCTTGACAGCTCTCACTTAAACATGAACTCGCCCGTCTCATGCAGCTGCAGAGTCGACCACTATAAAACTAATCGACAGATTCTTGAAGCCGACTTTGATGGTTCAGAGACTGTGCTCATACCGGATCTGATAGCCAAACTCCTCTACGCCTTGACGTATAACAGGCAGATCAAGTGAGTCTTTCTTGTCCATTCTCCCCTCGTATGTCCGAAGCCTAGTCGCCTGCTTACTCCCAGTCGTGAGAATGCTTTTGAACATCTTCGCAAGCAATACCTGAAACGAGTTCCGGAAACGAATGTACTTGGAACGCTAGAAGAGCCTGTGGAATGGGCTACACTAGGTCTCAGTCAAAAGGTGCGTTGCCGTCCCTCATTCCTGAAAGCCACTGGCCGGCGCTCACTTTTCAGGTTCAGATCTTCTGGGAGCTATGCGAGTGGCAGATGGCCGATCCAGCTCGATTCAGAGGTTTGCTCAAGAGCGAAGACGACGCAGTCACATGGGTATGTTCATTCTTCTTCCTTCACGAGCCCCAGACAAGTCCAAGTCATCGTACCTGGCATTTCCCTCACGCCTGGCTGACAACACAGCGGATAGACCCAATAGGATGGGATAAGTCCGGTAACATTTACTATCTTTTCGACGACAACCGACTGTGGGTTCAGCGTCTCCCACCACCCCCACCTCGACCGCCAAAGAAGACGAGTCTGAAGGCCATGAGGGCTTTGAAACGACAACGGCCCCCACCGCCAAAGAAAAAGGAGAAGAAGCCAGCTCCGCCATCGCCTTCACCTTCTCTGACACCTCCCCCACCTGAGCCCGAGGATCTGTCGGGACCGCGAAAAAGGAGACCAGTCTCATTTTACGGAAATCTGACTCCCACCGTTGATGCTCTCAAGCGAGGGGGGCCGAGCACGGGCACACCCCATGCTCGAGGATCCCGGAGCTCGACACGACTCAACGGTCATGTATCTGAGCCATCTGCGTCGCCGAGTAAACGAGGGGGAGACACACGGGTCCTGAGAAATGGAGGTCACAAAGAAGAAGGGAGCCAAGGCTCGAAGACTGCCTCCAAGGGAAAGCGAAAAGCTTTGGGTGACGACGAGAGTGAGTTGAGCGAGTTGACGGACGAAGAAGAACACCAGGCGCTGTTCAAAGCCAAGGGATTGACGCCATTCACCAAGGAGTCATCTCCTTCCGGGGCAGAGGAGCGTGTAAGAGTGAATTCATAGTCGATCAGCAAGTGGCATGGCTGACGAGATAGTCTCGGCAAGATTCGGAGCTGACCACTCTGAGCGACGAGGAAACAAAAGAGTTGAGTCCGACGCTTGCTGCCAACGGAGCTTCAACACCTGCACGGGATGAGGACGTTGACATGGGACAAAGTTCTTCGGAGGCCAAGGAACGGGACGAAAAGAAAGAGCAAGAAATTTCTGATGTCGAGGAGAAAGACGGACTCGGCATCGATGAGGAGAACGAGGAAGATGAGGTCAGATCGGTCGCTGAGGCGGCTTCAAATTTACCCGAAGGATTTGTCGAGTGGGAAGCCGTTTGTGTGACACTCTACGACTGGAGGACTTGGCCTGAGCAGTTTTCGCAGTCACGTCATCCAGACGAAAAGGCCTTGTATCATTTGCTCAAGAATGAAGTTGGACCGAAGATTATCGAGGAGCTCATTGTGAGTTCTTTCTCAGGCCAGACTGTTGTTATATGCTGATCTTCTAGGTGAAAGAGCAGGAACGACTCAAACAAGAAGCTATCAACAACCGTAAACGCTCATCCAGAATCGCTACCCGGGAATTGGAGAGGGAAGAGCAATTGAGGCGAGAAGCAGCCCAGCGAGAGATGGAAGAACGTATGGAGCGCGTTCGCATGGAAGAACTGCGTGCTGCCAAGGAAGAAGCCGAGGCCATAGCGAGGGAACGTGCAAGGGAGGAGAGGTTGAGGGAGAGAGAAGAAAGGGCGTTGGCTAGAGAAGAAGCGGCTTTGGCAAAGGTCATCGCTGAGCAAAAAGCCAAAGAGAGGGCGGAAAGAGAGAGGGAGGAGAGACTTAGGAGACGAGAAGGAGGTAGTGAGTTTGATGGGGATAGGAAGGGGAATGGAACCACTACACCAGTCACCAGCGCCGGTGTTGTCAAAGGTCAAGGGGAAAGATGGGAGTTGAATTGTGAAATATGTAGAAAGACAGGATGGAATTTGGTAAGTCACCAATTACCCCAGTATCACAGTACCTAGTCGGTGGTCAGACGTCACCTTCACCGTGAGAGGTTTAGAGTGATTCAGAGCTGATACGCAGGATGACGAGACTGATGTCGTTTGTTGTGATACTTGCAATAGATGGCAACATGTTGAATGTCATGACAGACAAGATAAAGCCGAAGGTCGACCTCCGCGCAATTGGGCGCAGGTGGATTTCAAGGTGAGGCCAAGGCCCTCGTTGAAGGTATCTATGGCTAATGTATAGTGCAAGGACTGTAGACGAAGAGCAGCAAGAGAGAGGGAACGTCAACTAGTCTCTGCACCGCTACCCCCATCATCAACTGCTCAACCTCGGCCTGTCCCTACTTCATCTATCTCACCAGTTCATCCTCCACCAACGTCAAGTACACAAATCAGACTGATCGTCGGTTCTGGGGATCCTTCACGTCAAAGCAATATCATCAACGGTCCTCCGCCTACCTCCTCTAATCAACATATAAATCAACCGCAACCACCTCAACATCCGCTAGGTCGTCCGATACAGTCACAGGGACATACGAACGGATCGAATAAGAACATACCTCATGGTCATAGTCATCCTTCTGGCTCGAGACTGGAGATGTCGAATGGTCTACCTCCTATCACGGGATATGTACCTCAGCAACCATCCCACTCACATCGACCACCACCACCACCACCACCACCCGTACCACCCTATGGTCATTCCCATCCTCAATATCAACCAGCTCCTATATATCCTCCTAATGGTACTCCTTACGTTCCTCCACAAGGTCGTCCAAGTCCACAGGTTCCTCGACCTTTGTCCACCTCACATCACCCGACCTCACACTTTCCTCAAGCCACTCGGCCTCCACAAAGCTTCCAACCTTCTCAACTTCCTTTTCCAGGACATCCTAACATGGTCCCAATATCACCCCCTCATCCTCCTAACGTCCCTACGGCTTCGACTGGTTATCCACCAAGACCCTTTGATCAGGGCACGACAAGACAAGAAATGTCTCCCGTTTCACAACACCTAGGAATCCCTCATTCACCTCATAGAGCAATGGGTATACAGGGAATATTGAATGGTCCTCCTCCGCCTATATCAGGACAACGACCACATGGATCATCCTCACCACATTCTTCTTTATCAGGAAATGACTTGTCTCGATCTTCACCAAATTCAGGACAATCTTACCCTTCTTCAATGTCGTATGTTCAGAATAAACCTACTTTCCCTCAGTATCCTTCAGACCATCAAAACCCATCATACCCTTCATATCCCTCGACACGACCTATACAAACTTCTGATACGTTGCAATCTTCTCAACCATCGCATGATCTTGGTTCCAACGTTGGACAGGGTCCTTCTGGTTTGTCCGGGTCAGGATCAGAGCAGAGATCATCGTGATGTTCTTGATACTTTGTCATAATCAGATTCGCGGGGTTCAGGATGCATTGCATTTGTGTTCAATTCTGACTCTGACCTTGCACACCTGATACATGCTGCATGCTGCATACATCTTACCCTTAGTGCTTCAATCCAGCTGCACAGCTGACCATATCGTCCTTCGCACAAGTTGTGGTAAGGGAAAGACACTTTTATGTCATGCAAAGGTCACTGGGATTAATTCCATGAAATGTGGAAAGAATTAATAACACTCCTGTCAATTCAAGACATCAAGTGAACTGTCTGTCACTCTAAATTACTCTATCCAAAATGACAGACGTGGAAATGAATAGTGATCGTATGTTATTTCTCTCATCTATCCGTCCCGAACTGATAAATAGCTTCAAGGAGAAGTAGAGTTTTTGAGCAAGGTGAGCTTTTCACCCTTTTTCCTCTTTGAATGAGAGAAAAAGAGGCTGACACTTGTCTTCATCTCTTCGGCACAATCACCCCTTGTATTCATTTTGTTTTTCACATAATCATTCAATTCGTATCGATACTACATCCCGTCGCTCATCCCATCTGTACTTCTTACTATGGTTCGCCGGATTCGTCGGATTCGTCGTTGGTATTTACAGCGTTGGATGGTGTGAATGGAAAGTCTAATACTGATTGGCCTGCAAGATGTGAGCTTTTCATCTTCTCTTTTTCATTTTTTACCTTGGATGTCTCAATTTCGACTTCTCCTTCGATGCCACTTTAAAAGACTCGATAAGCTATGTGAACGTTCTTATCCATTGCTATTTACCGCCTGTCCATGGGGTTTGGTTCTGATGTTCACAATGATATGATTCATCTTTCTTTTTCCCCAAATCCAACCTCTGTTTCGTAATTATCTACCCCTTCTCTCCCAGTTTTTTTCTTCCTGTAGCAGTGATTAGTGATGGAGATGTGATAATATGTCATACAGACTTTTCCACCTGCAACTCTCATCTACCTCCCTCCTTGACATGAGACACGATATGTCAGTGCAGTATTTCTCTCACCTTTCTTTTTCTCTTCATATTACTAGTTACAATGTGATACTGGTCCAATCAACTTACATCAGCCGTGGAAGGATGGATCATCATCGTCACTGGTCTCAACGAGGAAACCACCGAGGAAGATTTACAAGATCTCTTTGGGGAATTTGGAGAGATTAAGAATTTGTCTATGGCTTTAAATAGGCGAACGGGTTATGTCATGGTGAGCTTGTTTCTCTTGTATGCTGGTTTACTCTTCCTTCCTTCTTCTCTTTTCTTTGTTGTACCTATAAAGTGTCTGTCCACCCATGCTTCAGCCTGAATCGGCGTATAGGGACTTGTAACTCTCACTTGGTTTCGGTGGTCAATCACATCTTGTATATCCGCCGTCCTCAACCATTGACCTTCGGGTTCATCTCCTACGCTTGTGTGACTGGATCATACGTCTGGATCGATTGATTATTCCGGACAGTATGGGCGAGCGCAAAACTTTCAGTCAGAGGACAGGAGTAGGGTCATGGGTGGTAGGGAGGTTTGTACATTTGCTAAATCCCAGGGATACGCATTGATCGAGTATGCTTTACGAGACGAAGCTGCCGCAGCTATAAAAGGGACGAACGGGACTACATTTTTGGAGAAGACCATTACTAGGTGAGTCTTACGTGTCTCTGCTTTTCTCTACCACTTGCTGCTACATGCTACACAATCTATTCCGGTCTCTGTCGTGATTAGACCCACATTCTCCACGTGCTTCCCTCTCCACCATCTTGGGCACGTTGCAGTTTGGTGAGAAGTAGATTGTCATAACTTCGATTGAAGTGTATCGAGGATTACTGACACGCCAGCGACTACGCGTTTGCCAAAGGTCCAGCTGGGGCGAGAAGGAGTGCACCTCGGGCTCGAGGACGGGATCGGTCTCAATCGCCTGGAGGGAGATGAGGGCGGTGTAGATTATGCATCTGACTGATTGTGCTTCTCTTGGCTATACGTGTGGTCAATCTCTATACCCTGCATAGCCCTCGATCATGATCATGACCGGATGACCAGCTGGGCTGCTGGCTGCATGCTGGGAGAACATTCTGAAAGTGCGTGTCATGTTCGCCACTGGGTCAGTCGCACGCGACTTGGGACATTCCACCTCTGTTCCATCTTTCACTTTCCTTCGCCATTGTACATCATCACCGACCCAAAGCATATGCTACGCGCTGTTTGATATCGACCAATAGGTTTCATGCGACAGGATAGATCTACCAGTACAGCCAGATGATCAGATCTTGAAAGGCACCGCCAGAGTTTTTGGACGATACCCCAAATTTGATCACCCCCTTCACGACGTCGCGAGTTACGAACCTAGTTACCCCGAGCACCACCAGCCCATCACTCTTTCTTCTACTTTTACCAATCTTGACGTCTCAATCATCAGTAGACGACCGATCCCTCTCTTCTTCTACATCAATATCGCTGTTGCCCTGTGAGTCATCTCTCACATTCCGTACATTCCTATAAATACCGCAAATATCGGCGCTAATAACCCAGTTCATCATGTCTCCACCTTCTTCACCTTCTCCTCTTCATCCTTCCTCCCCAACCTCCTCTACATCACCCGAAGACCCATCAGAACTCATTTCATCCCTCCGAGCATCCCTATCCACCTCACAAACTCTCTTACAAACCCAAGCCACCCGTCTTGCCCAAATGTCAGATCTAGAAGCAGAGCTCTCTCAACTCAAAGCCCAACATTCATTCGTCATAGCCGCTAAAGAAGTCTTAGAAACTCGTCTACAAACCGAAAGCGCTTTACGTGAAGCAGCAGAAGAAAATGTAGACGCTTTACGTGGTCAAGTTGAACAAGCTAGAAGAGGTGTAATGCAATTACAAAAACAAGATAAAGAACGTAAACGTTTAAGTCAATTACCACCTCATTCAACATTAGGACATTCTCTTTCTGGTTTAGGTTTAGGTGGTGTTTCTTCTTCTTCTACTACTACTGCTTCTTCTTCTACCAATACTGAATTAGGGTTAGAAGGAATAGATGGAAAGAAAATCATAGGACAACAACATAAAAGGAAAAGTAGTCAAAGTGAAAATTCAATGATGATCACTCAAAATCTATCACCTGAAGTACAAGTATCAAAAGTTGGAGGATTGAGAGAATTAAGGTTAACTCAAGGACATTCTATTGGTTATGGTACACAACATGTACAAACTTCACCAAATCAAAATAATTTAACTCTTTCTCCTGGACAAATCGATTCTCCACCACGTTCGAATCGTTTAAGTACACCACCACCTTTACCTCCATTGAAAGATCTCAAAGAGATCAAAGATTTCAAGGATATGAAGGATGTGAAGAATACGAAAGATTTGAAAGATATCAAAGATTCAAAAGATTTTAAAGATTTAGAGATGGAAGTTCAGATATTACGTTCGGAAACGAATAAATTATCACGTCGATTAGAAGAAAGTGAAGAAGCTAGACAAGCTTCTGAATCTTGTTTAAAAGTTTTGAGAGAATTTATAGCTTCTCCTTCACCTGGGACGGATAATAATATCAATCCTTTAGATTTACAAGGGATTCGATTACCTCCTCTACCCACTGATCGTGAGACGGAATTGGAAGAGAATTTTTCTAATGTGATTCGATTAGATGGTGATATAAAATCATCAATAACTCCATCACCCGTACCTCCTACCACTACCACCACCACCACTGCAACATCAACATCAACCACTCAAGGACAAACAAAAGGTTGGGGATTTAAATTATGGAAACAATCAACACCTACTTCTCCAGCATTATCAACATCAGTAGAACCTCCCACCACTCCTCAACCTCCACTTCTTTCTCCAGGAGGGATGACGACACCTTTACCTAATATCGAAACTCAGACCCCACAACTCTCCACTCCTGATCCTTTGAAAGACGATACGAACACTCTCACTCCTATCCTTGGTGGAAGCGATGAAATCGTTACACCGGGTGATGATGTAATTGTAGAAGGTACAAAAGGAGCTGGTAGTAGAGAAGGAATACCAACAGGAACACCATTATCAAATCTAGTCAATTGGACAAGAGGTGTAGTACCAGGTCCACCTATCCCACCTACTCCTGCAATGGGAAATACAATTCCAACTCCTCCTACTATGACCACACGTAAATTATCATCACTCTTTTCACGCGCGTCAAAAGATAAAGGAACGCAAGGGATGGTGAAAGAAATGTCTGTAACTAAAGAAAGATTAGAACCTAGTCCTATCATCGGTGATACAATAAGTAATGAATTGGAACCAAGTCCTCTGATAGGTGATACGTCTTTACCTATCTCTCCTGACTTGGAGGGAAAGTCGATGAATGGGAATGATGGATTGACATCTTTGTCGAATGAGACGGAGGGGGAATTAGGTCAGTCGGATAAGATAATCTCTTCATCTGAGAGATTGGACAGAGAGGAGGAGAAGTCTACGAAATTGGGAACATCGTCTATAACGTTAGAGACTACCGATGATAAGGGAGAAGAAGGTGAGATCAATGTTGGTGAGGTTTTGGCGGACAAGGAATGAACAGCGTTTTCACTTTCGTCTGTTGATCCTGATGAAAGATTACCAAAGGGTGAATGACTTTCTTATTTTGGGTTCAAACATACATGCGGGCAAGTATGTTCAAGGGGATTAGTGATATTGGTTTTTGAGTCGCAAAGATGGAATAAGTATAGCATATGATATGATATGATCCGTGATATCAAACACGATACTTGAAAATATGATTGAAATGCAAATGAATCACGTTCCTAGAGCATTATTGTAATCTAAAAGTCTACAATGCAATTTCATTCTCATAGTAAGTTATCTTTGACTAGATCTTCATTCTCATCCTTACCCTTACCCTTCCTTATCCTTGGCCCATTTCATACTGTATGTTTGTATAGTAGATAGATGAAGATCGAATTTTCACATCGTCACATCACAACATCTCCAATTTCATTCACCATATCCTGACCGACCACCCCATCCATTTCTCCTAAGATATAATCCAAAACATAAGTATCTTGTACTAACCTATCTAACCTTGAGAAATGTCTTTCTGAATAAGGTATCAAACCATCTAAAAGATCTCTCATATTTATTTCTTTTTTCATATCTTTCTTCCCTCCATCCGACAACATACCATTTCTCGTGTTTCCTGATTCATTTCCATCCTGTTGTTCATGATCAGTCTGAGATTGTTTCAAGGAAGAAAGAGAACGATTAAAAGATTGAATGATCTCCTCAGGAGTACGAAGTTGTAATATGGCGTACAAGATTATTTGTGATACTGTCGATGTACGAGAATGAGTGTTCCAATCACTTACATAGAGTAATAATTGGGACAAATCGGGTAAAGAGAGAGTTTGGATTACCATGTCTATTTCTTTTGAGCCTGTCAAAGATTCAGTCGGTTTATTTGAATTGGATGAGTTGGAGGGGTCCAAAGAGATGGATGGGTTGAGTGAGGTGGAGGTGGAGGTGGTTGAGAGGGATGATGAGGAAGAAGAAGAAATGACGGAAGAAAAAAGATTATATAATCTTCCTGGTTGTGACATTGCTAAAGCGAGTAAAATAGCACGACGATAATCTTTGATGGAAAGGTAATTTGTGTAATCTTGTTCTCTATTGATTAGATAGACTCTTTATCGCATCACTTGTTTTGAGTTCCAGAACAAAGATGGGGAGAACGGTGTTCTCTTATAGACAAACTTTCTCAGTTTCACCCACTCCCACTACCTGCCTGAGGACCTGCGTTGACGGGGGATGCATTGGTATAGGATGATGACACGAGTATGGGATCGTAACCGCCAAAGACACCAGAAGTGAGAACAAGTCTGCACGATGGTCATCCGGCTCAAGTGGCAGTAAGAGGAGAACAAATCAGATATGCTAAGAACGGTCGAATCGGAAATGACCAGGAAAGAAGAATCACTCACATTTGCACAGATTTGACTAAAGCCGCATTGGCTTCTTCTTGTTCCATCTCCGTTGCATCCTCCCAGAACGTAGCGACGGAATCAGCGCCGGCGGAAACGATAGTCCTCTCATCTTGCGATATGGCCAGTGCCCAGACCTGTCATCAGTCACATTTCACTCGGCCTCTGACTTCTGAAATTCTCTCTCTGATAGATACGTCGCCTTCAAGGGGCCGAGATAGGGCGGAAGAGTTCGGAGCTATGTTGCTCGTGAAATGATGTCAAGATCTTTTGCGATGGATACGTTTCGAAGTAGTAGGGATTCGTGACATATTGGCAGATGTGAATCATATGAGAAACCGAAACCCACCTTATCCTCATGATTGTCCAAAGTCTTCACGCACTCCTCATCTCGGATATTCCACAATTTCACCAACCCGTCCGAGGAAGATGTGATGAGTTGCATACCCTGGGAGAGGAAGTCTATGCGTAGGACAGAGTTTGTATGACCTTCGAATGTCTGTCATCAGCGAAACACTACTCAATGCACAGTATATCTGGTAGGAGGAAACATCTATCAGCTCTTGGTTGAATGATGTGGGGAGCTCAGTGGTCTGGCAATTTCGAGTGATGGCGAGGACGAGTAACTTGATGACCAGTGAAGGTGGGGACATGCATGAGGGTGCAGAGGTAGATAGGAAGCCAATCCGTATATGGAAAAGGAACGCTGTCCAGGGCGTCAGACAAAGAGCTGGAAGAAGGGTATGTATAAGGATCGGGAGATTTGGTCATGGGGTAGAGGGTATACAGGTATGCGTTATGGATTATGCCTTATGACAGTATGGTCTCTTTCATTCTGCCGCGGATGAAATTTCGAAACCACTCACTTTAAGACAAGTAAAATCGTCCAAACTCCACAACTTGACAGATCTATCCGCCGCTCCACTCGCTACTATCCTATCCACTTTACTAAACTTCACCGTCCATACCCCTCTCCTATGACCTTTACACGTTCCAACCAATTTCAAGGCTCCCTTCGTCCCTCCAGCCGAGGAAGTATAATCAATCTCGAATATTTTGACGAGTTTATCTTGAGAACCTGAAGCGAGGAATCTATCATTTGGCGAGATATCAAGAGAATTGATATCTTTTTCGTGGATCCTCAACGTGGCCAGACTTTTAGGTTTGTCATCATCTCCAGTGGAAGAAAGAGAGGAGAGATCCCACAGTTTAGCAGTCCGGTCTTGTGAGGCTGTAATGAGAAACTTCGGGAATCCAGTTGTTTCGTCCAACTTTCGAGAAAGGGCGACAGCTCCTATGGATTCTGCGTGACCTTCGCAAGAGGCTATACATCTCCACTCTGATTGAGAGGAGGGTGAAGAATTAGGAGAGGAAGGGGTGAAATACCAAAGTCGGGCAGTGGAATCTTTACTACCACTGACGAGAAGACGGTGGTCGATACTGGTTCCTAAACACAATACAATGTCTTTGTGTCCGGATAAAAGACGAGCGTCAAATGTCGATGTGGAATACATTCGGATGAGATTGGAGTTCGTGGCTAATGCGAGATGAGAATGAGATGAAGAAGTGGGAGATGAGAGAAAGACAGCATCGATGATTTCGTCGTTAAATCCAACTACTCGTCTTGTGGGAGAACCATCGGTCAGAGAATTGAAAATGATATTTTGATCGGCGTGAATGGAAATCAAAGATGATGAGGATTGGTCATACCTGATGATATCAGCGACTGCGAAATAATACTCGAGGAAGTGGATGGGTTTAAACTTACAGAACATCGATGATACCTCTCTGTTCATCTTCATCCACTTCAGCCGTATCGACACCTTCCACACCTACCATACTGCCCACTTCCACACCTTTAGCAACGTCCCATATTCTCACAACACCTTTTTCACCTCCAGTAAAACACATCATCCCATTCTTACCCAGTATCGTACCTCGGAGCCAGCCAACAGCTTCCACTTGTTCTTGAACAATGACAGTCTGTACCAATCTCGGTTCTCCCTTTTTCCCTTTCTCTTTCCCCTGTTTGACCTCCCCGTTCATGTCCCACAACAAGACCACCTTGTCCCTTCCGGCACTTACTAACCATCTTCCATCCTCGCTCAGGTCTATACCTCTCACAACACTCACATGTCCTTCTAGCACATGTTTGGGTTTACTCGGTCCTGCCATTTTCTGATCGTGCAGATCGTATATCCGTATTCTGGAATCGGTGGATCCAGTGAAGAGTAACATCTTGCCTCCTCCTGATGGAGGTTGACTGAAACGTAGAGCCGAAACCGGACCTCCATGTCCTCGGAACAAATGTGTCACATACCCACCGGCAGAATCCCATACTTTGACAGTCCCATCAGATGACCCAGTGGCGAACAAGGTAGAATCTGGTGATACGGCAGAAACGAGTATAGGTGCGGAATGAGCTTTTGGGATTTGGCGGGAGTAGGTCAGGTAAGGGACTTGGAGGGAAGAAGAGGCTGTGGATGGAAGAGGATACTGTCTGATGCTGGTTGATTGATGACATGTTATCAATGTAGGTGGGGAGGTGTGGTAGGAGAGTGAAAGGGAAGTTATGGGGGTTGTGTCCTATCACATGAGCTGTGTCGCGGAAGAAACAAAAATCGACGTACACCTCTGACTCTTGCGACTTGAAGCCCAGTCTGAACTTCAGAGATGAGAACTTGCTCTTCCAGAGTTGTAATGAGCCATTGACCGTCTTTGCTTATGAGGACTGGACCACCGGTGTAGACGGGTCGAAGGGACCGGGGTGAGGCACGATAGCTATAATTATCAGCTGAGTAGATACAAGAGGATTTTGAAGCTGACCTAGTCTTGAGTGCCTTGCGAGGTGCGTGAGCGTTCATAGTGCTGCTCCTGACCTGCACTTGATTCACTTGTAGGGTAAAAAGTTGTGAAGGAGAAGTGGTTGATCGAATCCATGCAGAGGGAGAAAAGCAAGAAATTTCAAAATTATATCCTACCCCACGGGACAGGCATCGACAATAGGAAATTGTCCTAAGGGGCGCGCCTAACTTTTGCACAGTGGTTTTTGTATGAGGGGAGGGTGAGCATTCTCAGGTATGTTCCTGGGTGGCCCAAATTCCACCCAGAAAGACAATTTAGACGACGCTTTTTTGATTCACGTGGTGAGAGCCACCTGCAATTTGTCAATGACATTCTGGACGACTCGAGTACTCTTCTGGAGGCTGAAGAGGGCTGAAAGTATTACGCGTATGATTGCATTGCAAGTATCTGTAATTACTTGGATGCAGGAATAAAGGTTGACGGAAATCTACATTAAGTCTACGTACAACAAAGAGAACCAAAGTATTGATGGGAAATCAACACTCATATTCCGGTCCCCTCTTCTACATCCTTTTTCCTCCGTCGAGCCCACATAGCTCTCCCGACTCGGCTCTCATTCCTCACCCCTAAAACCTCACTGACCCAATTACCCGCCTCGACCAATTTGTCCAAATCCACTCCTGTCTGATATCCCATCTCATGTAACGCATATACCACATCTTCCGTCGGAACATTGCCCGTGGCTCCTGGAGAATAAGGACAACCTCCCAATCCAGCCAAAGATGAGTCTATCGTTCTCAACCCTAACGGCAGAAGGGCAAGGATAGAAGGAAGGGCCATGGAAAATGTGTCGTGACACTGAATGTCAGCTCTGATGCCCAAGTGGAAGTCAAGCTGTAACTCACATGAGCGGCTATTTGGTGCATGGGCACGCCGGCGCTTTGTAGAGTCCTCCATAACACTCTCCATGCTTCCGGATTACCTTCTCCTGTCGTATCTCCCAAACTGACCTCGTAACATCCCAAATTTAACAATCTCCGAACGACAGGTACTACCACTCTAGGATCCGTTTTACCGGCATATGGATCAGACATGACGCAAGAAACGTATCCCCGTACTCTATACCCGTTGGCAAGGGCTTTCTCCACTACTGACGGGAGAGAGGCTAAGACTTTCTCCACAGATGCGCCGTTGTTCGCTCTTGAAAATTCTTCAGTAGCTGAAACAAACATTGCAATCTCATCCGTCAATCGTTCTCGGTGATTCTCCCTGGCATGAGCTTCCAGGGACAATAGGGTGTCGAGTCCACGTTTGTTGGGTATGAGAACAGGATAATGGACGATACCAGCATCATCTGGGATTCGGACATCTTTTAAATGTGTATGATGAGATGAAGGTGATGGTAGGGTAGGTAGCAATGTAGCAGTGTTAGACATCTGAGGCATGAGCATCACTTCATATGATTAACAAGTAGGAGCTCACTTGAGGTACACGATCCGGTCGGACGAAAGAGCCAACCTCGACGTTCTTCAACCCGGCCAATAACAACCGTTCTATCAGCTCACGTTTTATTTCAGTTGATACAGCTGGAGGTGGAAGATTTTGCAGTCCATCTCTTGGTGAAACTTCGACAATCCTGCATTTTCAGCATCATTCAAGAAGAGACGAAGGTTGACTATCACCGCTCACCGGATATACCTCCCATTACCAGCATGTCCCAAGTCACGACCGGTCTCATGTTGAGCAGCATGTACCATGGTAGATAGCGTACGCCATGTTCCCAAACTCGCCCGTCGCGGAAGCATCCTAATGGGTCGCGGTGCTGACATGCTGAGTGAACGAGCGGGTGGCAAAAGGGAGTTGGAGGGTATCATGATGCTAGCGGAGGTAGAAAGAGAAGAAAGGAGTGTCAGTCGGGGAGGTATATATCGCCCAAGGAGATAGCCGAATGAAGTTCTTGACAGAAGAGATACGACTTTTCCCTCGTGATTTTCGATGTGGTTGAGGTTGATTAGGGATCAGGAGGCTGGCGACGACGCTGTTCGATTGGAAGAGAAAGGAAGTAGGCAGTGTCGGTCGCAAAGGTGAAGGGGTCATCCTTATGACATGGGTTGTCCGATTACAAGACTCGATAATGTCAGGCCATACCCTCCAATTCCAATACGAGCTGGAAGCGACCGACCATACCAAGATGCAGATGGACGTTGACTTCAAGTCTTCCTCATTATTCTCGATTGAACCGCCGGAGCCGGTTAGACTGTTTCCGATGGACCGAGAATCACGTGACCATCGGTGCCAAGCTACACTCTCCCACGGTCGACCCCTTCTTCTTCCTCTGCCCCCGTTGCCCCGTTGCCCCGCCGCTTCCCCGTCTTCTTTGGACCAGCTGACCCCTCCCCTTGCAACCTCCTTGATAGCATCCTCTAGCATCGCATCCGTCTTCTCACTCCACTTTGATCCATCATCCCTCTCCACTCGGGGCTAGTAGTACTATCGCTCTTTGTGAAGACCGCCTCTCGGGGCTAGTGGCTGGGACGGTGACCCACCGTTGACCGATACCTTCACCCCTCCTGACCTCACCCGCCCTCGTCTCATCATCATGTCCACTCCCAGATCTAACCCTCCTCCCGCTGCTGATCGTATCGACTATCGTCCTCTTAACGTACGGGATGCTCTCACATACCTTGATCAGGTCAAGGTGCGTCTCTGCGTCATATTTTGTTTCATCTCACTTCCTACGTCACTCCCCCCTCGGTCTGATATTTATATCATCGGATGCGTCACTGACAATTTCAGAACCAGTTTGCCGACCATCCCGACGTCTACAATCGGTTCCTGGATATCATGAAAGAATTTAAAGGGCAAATGTGGGTAATTTCCTCATAGGGCACCACGCCACGCTCATTTGAGTCAGAATCGACACACCAGGGGTTATTGACCGTGTTTCCACTCTGTTCAGAGGACATCCAGCTCTTATACAAGGCTTCAACACTTTTTTACCCCCAGGATATCGTATTGAAGCTTCCACCGCAGACGACGATAGCGGAAAGATCACAGTCACCACGCCTTCCGGTACTGTCAGTCAGATGCCAGGAGCCTTGTCCGCTGCCATACACCAACGGTATCGAGAGGGAATCGCGGTCAACCGCACTAGTCCATCCATGCACGAAACAGCACCCCCAGGTCCTTCACAGATTGTGGACCCTCTACCACCTCTTCATTCTCATCTCTCCTCCGGACCTCCTCCCTTCCAAAACACCCATAACGCTAGAGGGGCACCTGTCGTGCCAGGTCTACCCCCAGCTCAGCCTTCGGTCACTACTAGACCTCTCAACAACGTACAATCGGCACCCGGACCTTTGCCTCTTCCACCTCACACCCAACCGCCTTCTGCTCCATCAGGACCGTCTACTCCTTCTGCCGTACAGTTCCTCGCTTCGGGCGCGTCCGGCCCTGGTGCTGCTGCTCAAGCTGGACAGAGAGGCCAGATGCTCGAGTTTAACCATGCGATATCGTTCGTTAACAAGATCAAAAACCGTTTCAACCAAGAGCATGACACGTACAAGCAGTTCTTGGAGATTCTGCAGACGTATCAACGTGACACTCGCGACATAGTGGAGGTGAGACCAACGGCGACTTAGGATCGATTGAAGCTGACAAGTAGGTCTATGAACAAGTGCAGAAATTATTCATCAATGCCCCAGACCTGCTAACCGAGTTCAAACAGTTCTTGCCAGAGAACGGGCAGGGGGGCTTGTTGGGCCTTGGAAACGCTGCCCTTGGAGGACCTGCGCCCCCTAGCGCCGAACGGCCGGTTCCACCAAAGCGCGCCAGTAAGGAGAATAAGGATTCGAGCGCTCAAAAGAAGAGGCGTACCGGTCCAGCAGACGTCTCAAAACCCACTCAAAAGGTAAGTCAATATAGAATAATACTCCGTGATGAGCTGATGGATGCAGCGCTCCAAACACGCCGCCAAGGTCGACAGTCCCTCTGAGGATATGGATGGTAGCTTCCCAACCAACCAACCTCAGACCCTCGCATCGGCTGAAGAAGTCGCGTTTTTTGATAAAGTTAAAAAATTCATCGACGACAAGGTCAGCTATCACGAATTCCTCAAAGTCATCAATCTCTATAATCAGGATATGATCGACCCCAAGACACTGCTGGACCGCGCGGAAACTTTCCTGGGTGGCTCCGGAGACGTCTGGACCAATTTCAAACGGATGATAGGTGTAGACGACACCGGCAACGTGCCTCCCACAGCTGGGTCAGCGCAGGGGGGTTACAACTTTGGTGGGATGCTGAATATCGACCAACAGGTGGTGGAGAATACACCGATGCTGGACAGAGTCAAGCCCGACATGAGTAGCTCGAGAGCAAAAACTTACGGACCAAGTTACCGCAAGCTGCCAAAAACGGTCAGTCCTCTTTGTTCTGTGCGGAATGGTAGCTGACGCTATACAGGAGGTTAACCTCCAGTGCTCTGGTCGGGATGCCATGTGCTGGGAGGTCTTGAACGACGAGTGGGTATCACACCCGACCTGGGCGGCGGAAGATGCGGCTCCATTCATGGCGCACAAGAAGAACGCTTACGAGGAAGCCCTTCACAAGTCCGAGGAAGAGAGGCACGAGTATGACTATCACATTGAGGCGAATCTACGCACCATCGCACTTCTCGAACCCCTCAAAGCAAAGATCGATGCCATGGATGCGGAAGAGAAAGCGCACTTTAACCTCAAAGCCGGTCTTGGTGGACAAAGCAAGTCCATCTATCAACGAATTATCAAAAAGGTGTATGGAAAAGAATTGGGACCCGACATCATCAAGGCTTTACATGAAAACCCAGTCACCGCCCTTCCCATCGTGCTAGACCGTCTTCGTGCCAAGGACGAGGAGTGGAAAAAGGCTCAAAGGGAGTGGAATAGGGTCTGGCGTGAACAAGATGCGAGGAACTTCTACAAGGCGCTCGATCACCAAGCCGCCATCTTCAAGGCGAATGACAAAAAGCTAATGGCACCAAAAAGCCTTATCACCGAGATTGAAACCCGTCGACGCGAACAGACCAACGCGAGAGCAGCACTCCTCAATCCATCCGTTGACAAGGCTCGACCTCAGTTCGAATTCCTCTTCGACGATGTTGAGGTCATCAAAGACATTGTCAAGTTGATCATCATCTATCTCGACCGAGCCAACTCGAGTTCCAATCATGGCGACAGAACTCGAGTCGAGATGCAGATCCGACGTCTCATACCTCATCTCTTCCTTCTCAACCGGGAGGAATTTGAAGCTGAGCTCAACGATCCTGAATCCAGCACCTCGGATTCCGACTCGGACCAATCGTCAGAGCAAGAAGCTGAAGACGATGATGGGATGGACACTACTACGCTAAAGTCTAAAAAGCAGGCGGATGACCTTAGGAAGCAACTCTTCAAAGGTGTGGACAAAGATGGTCGAGAGAAGAGCGTGACGGCTACACCCGCACCCGATGATGGTGTTGTCAATGGGATAGCTCGATCGACCGAGGGTACCCCTATGACCGACAACGAAAGAGGTGACACTCCTCCCCCAGCAGCTGCGGACCCTCAAGCTGTAGCGGAGGCCATCAAGAAGGACAAGGTGGGTGCGGAGGCCAGTGAGCAGATTTGGGTGCAGATTGAGACTGGCGATTCTTCATCTCAAGCGTCGTCGCCGCATGGTTCAGAGACATACAAAACGCGAGTGATACGAAAGGCCAATTTCTTCGGCAATGCCAACTTTTACGTTCTTGTCCGCTTGTTACAGGTGAGTTTTCATGTTCATACCTCTTACCTATACATGTCATACCAACGCCTCTCGGCCTCACTTTGCCACGATGCTGCGACAGAACAGGAGCATGACTGATTACGTAGATTCTGTACTCTCGTCTCAAAGCGTGCAAGACGTACGCCGAGAAAGCCGCGATGGAGCAAAAAGCTACTCCCAACCCTGTCGCTGTGGAAATGGGTCTTGCCGATCCTGAATCTACAAACTTTGGAGTTGAAGCTGGGGAGAACCCCGCACGGTACTTTTACGGTCATCTCCTTAGTATGGCTGAAAAGTTGTTTGATGCCGAGATTGACACCAACACATTCGAGGAGACTTTGAGGATCATGTTCCAAACGCAGGCTTATACGATGTTCACCTTGGATCGGTTGTTGGGCAGTATTGTCAAGCAGGTGAGTCACCGTACGATATCACTCCATCTTCCACATGACGTCTCTTGTTGAGTCCGATTGGATCCTTGTTATCGACTTTGACCTGGGACACGGGACTGACGGTCAGGCACAAACTATCATAGGTGATATCAAAAGTCAAGAACTCTTTAGTCTGCTCGAACGTGACCGTGAACAAGAACGGACTTCCACGAGACAACAAATCGCTTATCGTATGTCTGCAGAAGGTCTGTTGGCAGCGGATGAAAATCTCTTTCGTATGGAATGGGTCAGTCTTTCATCCGTCAAGAGTATCCTGCTGATTTTCTCCAGCACGCGGCTAGACAAACACTGTCAGTACAGCTCATGGGGCGGGATGACCTGACGGTCTATGACGCGGAGACTGTTACGGCGAGGTGGAGACAATATGTTGATAGTTATGTTCTAGTGAGCTTTAATCCTCTTCTCTCCCTCTTTGCTATAATGATTTCATCCATTTCTCCTTCATGGTCCTACGTGCCCCTTTCCGGTTGACCACGACATTGTAGCTCCTTTGCGACATGACATCATTGTTTCGAGATCGGTGCTGATGGCAGACTCATCCGACGGAAGGTCAACCTATCCGTGTATCCGGACCATTCTTATCCAAGTCAGTACCAATCTATTTGTACCATAATCGAAGCTAAACTATCAGGGGTTTCGAAACAACTTCCGAAGACGTAGTGTCGAGTCAACTGGAAGGTCGATCAGGGTTAGAACTCAAGCTCGCTCTTGGTAATCTCAGAATGTTCTTCACTCCCGGAACTGAAGATTACTATTATCGACGTCGACCGGATTTTGAGAACAATAAATTGGACACTAAAGAAATCGAACTTGAATCGAGTCATAAAGCCAAGTTGGATCAATGGGTGGAGAAAATGTATACTGGGTCTGAGATGCAGGTTGAGCCTGCAGTGGTGGCGTGAAACCTGGTAATAGTGATCAGTACGAGTACATACTTTCTGATGTTATTTGGTAGATGAAGTTTCCTAATTCGAGGAGGCAAAATAGAAGTACTCGTACGAGTACTCGTACTCTGAAGTGTGGTGTAAATGGTATATGATGAATCTGATTATGAAACTTTTGCGTGTGTTAATCTTGGTGAGGGATACTGAGTGCATGGTGCAAATCATCATGTTACTCTACTCCACACTACTCTTACTTTGTCTCATGGTAATCATTCATCTCATCTGACTATAGTCTATGTTCTACCAACTTGCATATGATCCAATGTCCTTTGCTTAGTTCGCCTGAACGTACCGGGGTAGAGATCGTGCAGGAGTGAGATGACAGTCATGTTTTCAGATGGGGCAGGTCATAGAGGGGGAATGAAATGGCTGTGACGCTTGTGTGTGGGGTAAAATGAGTATGAGAAGTGTGAGAGTTCAGATAGTTGATTGAGCAAGAGTGATGTGGGAGATAGCATTGGAGGTATGATACAGTAAATGGAATATTGGTGATTGTTCGTGTGTAAGATAGGGAAGATGTGTGAACATAAAACGGATCAGAGAGCGTCGGTAGAGATACATAAACGGTAAAACCAAGGATCCCGAGAGTCGGTGTTGATGTGAATGTCATGTTGCATTTCAGTTGGACAAGGCTGATGTTAGTTATTTATTTACTTTACTGAATTTCTTTCGTCCTTAACAGGGAGTGTGTTTCAAGGTGATGATCAAATTGATAGGATGGTCTTCACCCGGGTGTATGATCTGAGGTGATATGGAACCGATAAGATGGGAGGGTGTGTCATTCCTCAAGCGAGAGAGGAAGATGATCAAAGGGAAGAAGCGTATGAAAGAGGGGGGAAATAGGAAAAACCGGGTGGATGGAGATCATTGAAGAAACTGGACAAATGGAGTGATTTCATGGAGGAAACCCTATGATTGAAAAGAAAGGAGGAAAAGATGAAAAGATGAAAAGATGAAAGACTCACTTTCATATCATCGATGAAATTTTGAACATCCAAATGCGCACAAATATCTACCATCTGACCCACTTCATATTTGTTCAAACCATCACATGGAACAGTACCCGCTGGTAATTCGTTCACAGGTTTACGAGCTTGTTTCATTTCAGTTTGTTGTAATTGAGATTCTTCTTTTTGTTCTTGTTGTTGACCAGGTGATGTTTGACCAGGTTGCAAAACGTGTCCTTGTCCTGGGTTGACATAAGCCCTATGAGGACCAGAGTAAGGTGAGAAAACTTGTCCATCTGGAGAATCGGCCGTGGCGCCAATTTCGGGATCTTGAGATGGTTTAGGGATGGCAGATGAATGAGTTGAGCTTGTGGAGGGATGAGAATGAGATTGGATAGAAGAATGGGATATAGAAGAAGAAGGTTTTGGTTGAGGGCCGGAAGATTGAGCGGCGAAGTTTTGACGAGCGGCAGTAGGTGCGGAACTGGTTCGGGTATCGGAAGCGCTTGAACTTGACGTATGTTCCATTGAGCTTGATTGAGAGTGAGAGATGGAGGAAGAGTGAGAGATAGAGGATGAAGAGTGGGAGACGGAAGATGAAGAATGAGAGACGGAAGATGAAGGATGAGAAGCTAATGCTGAAGGATGTGATTGTGATTGAGAATGAGATGTAGATGCAGAAGGTTTTACTTGAGATTGTTGTTGATCTTGAGGTCCTACGTTGAGCTAAACACATCAATAATCATCGTTCTGTTAAAAGAAGACACTTACGATAACAGGGACATTATCATTAGGGTTATCAACCTCTGCAGCTTTGTTCACTTTTGGAGTTTGACCAAATAATAAAGAAGCTTCTTTTCCTATTTCATTCTCATCTTGATCAACCTCAGCTGTCACATCATGAGGAGCGGCAGCTTCAAGTGAAGGAAGTTGAACTTGAATCTTATGACCAGAAGTTTCATCATCGATTTGTGCAAGAGTTGCATCTTGTCCAGGTGTTTCGAGTAGATGAAGACCTTGATCTTCCTCAGTAGCAGAAATAGTACCTTCTCTACCTGGAGCATGTGTTCCAGGGAAAAGATCGACATCGAGAGCTCTTCCGAGATTCGAATGAACAGTAGCTGGAGCATTTCCATCTTTCACATTAACGGGTTTATTTTGAAGGGTTGTGTCGTATAATATCCCATTGATGTTTTTATCATCCGTCTTGGTCTTTCCATCAGCAGTCACTAGATCTTGATGATGTTTAGACTGTTCAAGATCAGTATCTCAATCTTATATTCATAAATGGAGATGGTTTGTGAACTCACTTGATCACCAGGCATCAAATGAGAACCCTCGTTGATTTTCAAATCGTATTGATTTCCACGTTGATTGATCTCGACAATGTCGGAAAAATGTTTAGGCGAATTGTATTTCGTATTCGCCACATTCACATTGTGGGGTTTCGAGATTGTGTCCAGATCATGGAAGGGTTTGGTAGAATCTCGACGTTCCATATCATCCCCATCATCTCCTTGGTCAGCCGTATCTGGATCTTCGTCATTCTCAGGCTGGTCGTCTTCATCTTCGTCCATTTGACGAGTATGATGAGACTTAAGATGAAGATTGCCATCGATCGGCGCGTCGCTGTCCTTCTGACTCGCGAGATGAACTTTCTTCAAGTCGACGTCCTCTTCAATGTCATTGATGTTTCCATGATCATTGTTCTTCTGTTGTTGAGCTTTGGTCGAACGAGAGACGTGGTTGATTTCGTTTTTCACGTAGTCTCCGATATCCATATCGATGTGATGCTTATCGTCGTGAGTTCCTCGGGTGTGCATGTTGGCCGTTCCCACGAGTTTGTCCAATGACGCTTTTCCATTTCCTTGTTTGTTGGACATGACTCTGGAGTGATGCCAGTGAGCGAGACCCTCCATGGCTTTTGCCACTAAAGAATCGGAAGATCCGCTGTCTGATTTCGAGGCTTGTTTTCCGTGATGTCCACCAAAATTGATAGATTTCGAAGAGCCGCCCGGAATATCAATGGCTGGGTGATCATTCTGGGAATGACGCTCCCCGATGATAGGTTTCGTATGGGCAAGAAGAGTTCCAGGAATGACGATGTGACTCCTGGTCTGCTGATCGTGGCCATCATTCTCCTCTGCGTAATAACCATCGCGACCGTAAATATCGAGAGGTTGGACAGAGCGTGAGCGATGACCCTCATGATGAACCTCACGATCCTCCATATCATCATATGTATCGGTTCGTTGGCTGAGAGGGTGATTGTGACCTTTGCGTCCACCTTGCTTATGATGTCCTCCTGAAAGACCTCGTTCGTCGTGATGTTTCCCTCCTTTGTGGTGTTCCGATTGATGACGTTCGGAAGGTTTGTGTATAGCATGAGCAGCCATATCGATAGAACTGCTACTCTTTTGGTGGTTACCGACTTTGTGTCCCAAAGCTTGATTATTGATGGCGACAGCTGGGACCGGAGAGGCCATAGCGGAAGATGCGAGGAGAGCGAGAATGGCAAAGGAAGTGCTGGCTGGGGTACGCATCTTGATTGTTTGAGATGAGATAAGATCTGATATGAGCTTGCTTGAAGTGAAATGGAGTGCTTAAGTGGTTTTGGGAATTGGTTGATTAGTCGTTGAGGGAGTGTCGGTCGTGAAAAGGTCGTTAATCGTTAGGTCGTTAAATCGTCAGAATCGTAGAATGGATCGTTGGAGAGGTGATTGGAATGGATGTTGTTGGTGAGAAAATCAAAGAAACCTGGAGTTATTATATCCTCATCAGATGGTCAGCATGATTGTCTTGACAACGACCATTTGCTGTGGCTGAACACGGCAGCACATCAAATCGGCAACGATATTGAACATTCCGGACAGATGGTATAACGGCTTCGGCGGATCGTTCAAACCGGTGGCAAACACAACATCAATCCGTATCCCGCTTTTGGTGATATTCGCTTGAAATGGGATAAGGTGCCGTATACAGTAATTATCCATGGTTGACATCATCGAATTCAGATTGACAACAAGGAGTTTAGTAATCAGTACTACCGTACGGAAGATGCAATGCACAGGACTGAAATTGGATGGAGGCCTCACCTGGACAATGCTCAAGCATTTACCAATTCCTCCTCCTCCAGCTTTATTTCGTTCGCGAACGGATCTAGCTCCGCCTTCTCATCAACTTCCTGGTGATCATCTTCCTCGATTCCTTCTTGCCCTTTTGTGTCTCCTTCGTCGATAGCAGAGCCATCCTTGCCTTTCCGCTTCTTCCTTCCTGGCTCGAATTTCCTCGGAGGGATTGCAGCGTTGAACGCTTCTGACCAATTCTGCCTGGTGACATATTCCACGAGGATCGAAAACACCTTACTTCGTCAGCGTGATCAAGCAGCAACACAGCGTACCTACCTGATTGACCGTGAGAACTTTACGAGTGGGGAGATGAGCGATATAAGTATCTATTGGTAATCTGGCAGTCCTGATGCCCAACTTTTGTGCTTTTTCCTGACATAGATTCTGTGTATCAGCTCGATACATATTGGCTTTACGAAGGGTAGAACGGACCTTGTATCGATTTCGATCCACAATACCTCCAATGATATATACCTCGTCCTCCGCCAAGGTCGACAACTCCTCCTCGGCGTCCGCGGACAGATACACCAATTTGTGTTCTTTGGTGAGACGTGGAGGTAATCTTGGACCACTCAGATGATTCTCCGGGACATCATTGTCGTCAACTTCCTTCTCTGACTCTTCGGTCGACGAGTCGATGGCTTTTCCGTCTCTCATGACTTTGGCCAACTCTCCTACATCTTCTGCCCACCAAGAACAATTTATCCATCTTGTCCAAGCAGACTTGCTCATTTTCTCCCATAACCGGGGTGACGCTATGGATGAGAAGCTCGTATGTAGTATAGAGGCGAAAGGTTTGGCTGCGGTTCTATTTGCTGAATAAAGGTAACCCAGTTGACTGGTCATACTGGTGATCTCCTAAAAAGTCAACCAGACCCCAATCACTTGAGTTCATTAATATATCGCAAGACGTGGGGAGAGTGATAACATACGAAGAAGCAAGGAGGGAGGGTCATGAAGACTCACTTGATCAGTCATAAGTTTGTCAAATCCCAAATCAACCACCACTCCTCCTCCCCAAAAATCCAACTTTCCTTCCCCAGCTTTTCGCTTGGACGATTTCCTAGCCTTTTCCATTGCTTTACGATTCTCCACAATTGCCTTTTCCTCAGCTGTTAAAGTCCCAGCTGCATAACCTTGTGCTAATTGCTGAGCTCTCTCTTTCCGACGAGCCTTCTCAAGTGCTCGTTTCTGAGGTCGAAGAGCTTCTACCCGTGCCTGAAAACATCAGACTTGTCTGAGAGAAAAGGAGGAAGACTGACTTGTCTGGCAGCTCGCTTCATGGCGCTTTTGCTGAGGTGAGGTGAGGGTCCATCTGTCGGTGCATTCTGAGAGACTGAACTTGATCCTGTTTGAGCTTGGTTGTAGAAAGCTTCTTCATCTTCTGACATGATGGATATGATGTGAAAGGAAGGGAATGGAGGGAGGGAGGAAGAAAATTGACGGAAGAAACCATGATGATCCGGGAATTTGCTCAGATTTCTCTTCTCTTTCTGAAACTGCATACATCGTTGCAAACATCGTCTCTCTCTCATCTATATCTTTTCCTCTCAACTATCATAGTACACTCGGGTCACAGTCCATCTATCTCATCTTCTTCTTGTGTATCCAAAGAAACATTCACATCAGGGTCATCCACACGTCATGTCAGACGCTCGACTTCGGAGAGTTCAGAAGGAGATCCGAGGTTAGTCGTCTCCTTCGTTTCACCTGCAATAATGATGAACCCTGTGATGCTGTCATTTCAACGTTGGTAGAAGTAGAGCTGATGAAAAGACTGTGCAAAAGACAAAACATCCCAGATCTCACTGGAAAGTAAGTCTCTCCTCTGCCCTCACCTGCTTAGCTGACCCCGGAACAGTGATAGACGAAAACCCCTTTCACCTCATCGGCGCCTTCCCTGGACCTGTAAGTCATAGTGTATCATGTCAGGTACTGCATCTGATATTCAGCCGGATACACCATACGAAGGAGGTTACTACGAGGTCGTATGTTCTCTCCTACTTAGCTCAGTCGCCACTCTGACAGCTCAGGATATCGTGGTACCCGATGCCTACCCTTTTCAACCTGTCAAAATGAAATTTATCACGTGAGTCCCATGATGTATGAGAGTATGACTGACGACAATAGGAAAGTATACCGTGAGTCCATGCTGGAGAGTATAGAAGGGAAGACTGACAAGAAGACCCAAACATCTCGTCTGCGAGCGTGAGTCAATCTTCTGATTTGGGGATAGAGCTGACGAACAGGGAGCCATCTGTTTAGGTTGGTATTGAAGTGCATACAGGAGTGTCAGCTGATGCAACATAGATATACTGAAAGATGCCTGGTCACCTGTGAGTGTCCGGAGTGATATTTTGATGGTGGGCTGATTGAAAAGGTTTTAACGCTTAAATCAACTCTGATATCATTACAATCCCTCCTATGTGACCCGGTCCCAAATGATCCTCAAGATGCGGAAGGTGCGTTCCTAGTCACTGCTTCGTCGCTAAAACATCCCCGGCTGAGACTTGGGTACCCGAGTATTTTGCCTCCCCAGGCCGCTAGAAGCCACGCGCATGTGTACGGCTCTCATGAAACGAGCTGATGACAGTCGCAAAACATTTCCTCACCGACCGACAGTCTTTCAACGCCACCGCAAAACACTGGGCTCAAGCGTATGCACAAGCACCGGCACGCAAACAAGCGCAAGTTTCTGGAAAAGTGGCAACGGATGCCGAGATGGCAGGCTTGTCAGAAGAGAGTGTGAAAGGATTCACAGAGATGGGTTTTCCTAGGGAGAAAGTGGTGCGTTTTCTTGCCCCATATCCTCCTCCTTTACGTGACACATCTCAACATTTGATCTACAGCATCATCCATATGCTTCATTCCGCGTGTCACTCAGAAGTATAAGCTGATGTATGAGATCCAAGTGTTAAAACGTCTGAATTATCGTGGCAACGTCGTCAACACCATGCCAATGGATACTGTGAGTTTCCTTTCCTTCCTATACAAAAGCCTCATCTGACGAGGACAGGTGATGGAAGCACTTCTCAGTTGACCCTGCTTCATGAGTTTGACGGTGATGAGAACCTGTCGTTGGACGATGTACGAAGGTAGGGGTAACACAGTAGGAGAACGATCATGCCATCATCATGTTATGTGATTTTCTTCTGGACCATGCAATATTCTATCCGGTGATTTTCAGCCGATTATCGGTCTCTATCATCTACCTACATTGGCAGGATTCTCGTCTCGTTGCTTTGAAGCAGCATCGAAAGTCGCTTTTTGTCGTAACTCGAGTGCTCGACGTTTGTTGAAGTAATCGATCTATCGTCAGATCAAAAACTTGACTCTGTGGTATTCACAGCCATCGCTGTCATCTTGAACATCATCCACCACACATGACAGCCAGCTCGATCGATGATATCATCCCTCCTCTATCCTATCCCCACAACAGCGAGCCAGATTTAATTTACTCATCTGATTAGAAAGACACGAAGCGAGTACTAGAATTATGATCTGGGACTCGTGAGAAACGGCGTCCAAACTCTCAAGGACATATGGCATGTGGAGGGGGAAACGAACATACCCAACTCTTTCCGCAATTCCGAGAATAAACCTCTTTCTCCTTCTCACATACTCCCTTCCCTTCTTCCCCCGCTAATCTCACACCGTTATCTGTCAAACATGCAAAATAGGCATCTCTAGAGTCCCAACATGCTTGTCTTTCAGCTTTATTGGGTGGGTTGGTGGATGTGGTGGGAGGAGGCGAGGAGGAGGAAGATGAGAAGAGGCCAAACATGGGAAGCGGAGATTGAGTTTCGGTTGATGTTTTCAGTGCTCGAGTTTTTCAAGATGAGTAGTGACACGTGACGTTTGTGGTGATCAGTCGTGGTATGATGGGGAGAGACTGAGGGCTAGGGTTTGCGATGTAGTGTATTCGGTGATAGAAGGTTTGTCAAGGTTAAAAGCTCTCGTCTCGATGGTTGTGCCTGATCTTTCGTCAGACATCTTTCTTCAACGTGGCGTGTGGCAGTTGCATAGAACTACTCTATGGGATCTATGGATCCTTGATCCCTGATCCTTGCGCCCCTCTCGCCTCCCCTGTGGCCTATATGCATGCTGCATGCTGCATATCCTACACACCAGAGTTAGTGATAAGCCTTTACCCCAAGGTGGGCGGAGATCAGGTCATAAGAAAATGAACAACAATATTAATATTGACACCCGCTAATCAAGGTTCAAAGCGAGTCGGTTCCGCTGGGGTTTGTTTGACGTGAGGTATCCGGATCCCTGACGAATATCGAAGAGCTCAATGAATCAATGGAAAGAGAGGACCTGCGAATAAGGTGGAAGGCATGAGACCAATCAAATTCTTGTATACTTACTGGTCTCCAAGAGACAGAAGTCCCTTTGACTTTCCATCTTGGTAAATGTAGGATAACTCTCCTCCCGTAGCCAAATCTTCATGATGTCTCTTGTCAACGATCGACGGGCAAGAGCGAAGACAACCAAAGCAATGAATATCCATAGGGATGATAACTAGTGGAAAAGTAAGTCATCTTCGTGGGCTTTTGCTTCTACTTGTGAAGTACTAACTTACTCGTACTTCATTAGACATCGGGAGCCTTCACTGCCTCACGCAAGCACATATGGTTGTCTTGTCCCCCAAACTCACCTTTCTCACTGAGTGAACTTCCATACTTTCTCCGCATTTCCTATCTTCATACATGTTCAAATCCTCTGCTCTATCTCTCTCGTAGCACAAGCTGCAAAGCCACCAGCGGACCAGCGAGCCAGCGATAGCGAATGGGTCAATGCTCCATGCTCCACTGGCTACGGGCCAAACGGACCGGATTTTCCGGTTCTCCCTTCGGCTAAATCGGTAATTACCGAACTTCGGTTCTCCTCTCAAACCCTGATGACGAGACGCCCCATAACCTACCCCTCGCGATGCTTCTGGTGAAGTTACTGCTATCCATCTTCTCAACTTCTCAACAGTCTTTGTGGTCTCTCTATCCAAGTCATTCAATAAGAAACAGTAAGTAACAAAGGAAACACAAGAGAAGAACCAAAAATGAGTATCACTCACGCAACCGGTTAGTAACCCTTTCTTCTTCTTTTGGATTTAGCTGATGCCGGTTTTCTCGGGTAGGTTACGCTATCTTCGATCCGAAGCCTGGACAATATGTGAGTGAATCTCATTCACACCGTCCATGGTACACATACTTTGGTACGATGTGAAACATCAATTTCGAAGAGATGTGAAGTTGTGGATGTGATAATGTGGTCAAGGATGGAAACGGAAGGAATGAAGGGAATATACTGACAAGAAATAGGATTTCAAATTGACCAAATATGAATTGGAACCTGCTGAACCGGATATGGTCACTGTAGCCATTGAATGTTGTGGTGTTTGTGGTTCCGTGAGTGTTTATTTCGTATCGAGTCCCCTTATCTTGATTGAATACCTTTCTGAAGATGTTCATCCAAAGCTTGGTATTTGATGACCTTCTTGTTACTACGCTTTCTCCGTAACATTCGGTGGAAGAAGTGTGGAGGGAATATCTCACGGATTTATAGTGAGTTGAATGAAACAAAGTGCTGATGTGTAGGACCACCACACCATTTCAGGAGGTTGGGGACCTTTGTCTTGTCCATACGTAGTCACGGGACATGAAGTCATTGGTAAAGTAGTAGAAATCGGATCTAAAGTCACCGAGTTCAAAGCTGGTCAGAGAGTCGGTGTGGGTGCTCAAGTTGGATCTTGTGGACATTGCAAGGGATGTTTGAAGGGTAATGGTGGGTAAAACTTTCCTTCTTTCTCCACTTTTCCACTTTCCCACTTTTCCGCTCTTCCTCCCCGCCCCACGCCTCCAGGGACCTCGGATTGTCTCCGTCCTCTCCTCACCTTCCGCTTATGCTGAGACGATGTTTGCCCCGGGGGGTCCTGGGACGTGATCAGGAACAAAGGTAGCAAGAAACAAGCTAAATCAAGTAGAAAACTATTGCGTTCAACCTGTACATGGCTACAACACTTTTTGGCACAATGGAGCGGTTCATCAAGGTGGTTATTCCACTCATCTTCGAGCTCAAGAACGTTTCGTATTCCCAATCCCTGATGCACTTTCTTCTACTGATGCGGCCTCGATGTAAGTGATATTCTCTCGAACTTTTTGACCTCCTCACTACGTATCTCATCACCCACTCTGCCATCGTTCTTATTTCTCTCAGTCTTTCTTTCAATTCCTTCAATCACAAATTTACACCTCCCGTGTCCACCTCGTACGCCATCGGTCACATGATGCCATTATTGTGACGTCTCAGAGTAATACATACTGATCCATAGGCTCTGCGGTGGTCTCACCACTTACGCACCTCTCATCCACGCAAAAGTCGGTCCCGGTTCAAAAGTCGGTGTCATCGGTCTTGGCGGTTTAGGTCATTACGCAGTATTATTCGCCGTCGCTCTAGGTGCAGAAGTTACCGTTTTTTCTCGTGGAGATGCTAAGAAATCCGACGCTCTCAAAATGGGTGCAAAACATTATGTTCCTACCGATCCAGGATTTGAAAAAGGTTTAGAACGTGAATTCGACGTTTTGATATGTACTTCTTCTTCTTCACATTTACCTATCAACGAACTTCTCAGTACTCTTGATGTTTTCCGTCAATTGGTCTTTGTTGGTATGCCAGAAAATGGGTTGGAAATTACTTCTCAAGCTTTATCAAATAATGGGGTTGCGGTAGCTTCTAGTCATTTAGGTAATAAAGGGGAAGCTATACAAATGTTAAAGTTGGCAGCTGAGAAAGGGGTGAAACCTTGGGTAGAATTGATGCCTATGAAAGATGCTGCAAAAGCTATGATTGCTATTGAGAAGGGAACTGTTAGGTACAGAACTGTTTTACTTCAGGTGAGTCAAACTTTGTCTTTACTGTCCATGACCCTTCTGGGAATGACATCTGACTTGCTCTTCATGATGCTTCACCGATATTCTGAATCAGTCTTTATCTGGCCATTCCGGTCTTGACTCGAATGGTCTATCATCAATGAATCATTGCGACTGAGTCCTTGACGATAAATTGTGTCGATGAATGGCTGACGTTATAGGATATCGAAAGCGACTAATCATCTTGCTATAGTAGGAGAGACAAGAAATCAGTTTGGTATCAGTTTAGTATCAGTATCAACATCAGCTTGATGCACGTTTGCCGGGATTCGTAAACTTACAACAATATAACATGGGCACAACAATATCCTATGGTCTAACTCGTTTCAGATAGCATATGATCCTCTCCTTCGACTTCCTCCACTTCTCTTTTTATCGGAATCACCTCTCCACTTGCTGCGTCCTTCGAGATGGTCTGATTGGTGTAACATCCGTCCTCGTCGTCTTCGAACTTCATTGAACCAGGCTCCAGCTGGAAATGTCTCTGGTCCACGTGTCCATTTTTGTTATTCACGCTCTTTGACTCACAGTCAAACGCGAGAACCTCTTCTCTCTCTATCTTGATCACCCGATTCTTATTCTCGAATTCCTCCTCAATTTTCACCAAGGGCGTACTGGGTGGATTACCGTCACTTTGTTCGGCCTCGCGAAATGGAAAAGTGTCGAGAAGATCCGGCGGAGCAAGATACATATCGAGATGTCTCTTCACGATATCTTGTACAACCCCTTTAGGTAACGCTGGTCCATCTAGATTATCTCTCTGATAATCAGTTATCACTCAACTTTTTTGATCTGAGAATTCCAGATTCCAGATTTCTGAATTCGGAGAAAATCTGAAGGGAGCCGATGAGATATTACGCACGAAAACGAAGTAAACCCCTTTAGTAGTCATTGAAAATACTTCTTTGAAATTTTCATGATCCCTGGATATACCTCTAGACTCAAGCAAGACCAATGTCTGCTTTCTGATCCCCTGTCTGTCAGCTGAAATCACTCTCGAGCTCTGCGTCAGCTACGTACGGCTTTGTTATCCAGGACTTGTTGCGGAACTCGTCTTTTGTTTTTGCCCGCAGAAGATGGTTCCTCCTCGCCTGGTCTGACTACTGGACGTTTCCCAAAGATATCTTCTTCCTCGACTTTGACCTTGCTGTCGTCTTCGAGGACCTGAAGTGATTCGTTGACTGTCGGGGGCACTGAAGATTTCAACGAAGATGATGAAGATATGAGAGGGATAAGATGGGGAATGATACGACCTTGTTTTCGTTTCCTGTCGTCTTCGTCCGGATCGAAGGGTTTGGGACGCTTTTCTCCTCTGCGTCCTGGGGTACGACCGGGGATAGGAGCTGGAGGGAGTGGGGGTGGAGGTGGAGGTGGGGCGTATATTGAGGATACGGAGGGAGCAGGGGAGAAAGTGACTGAACCGGAACGTCGAGGGAATGGTGGGGGAGGTTTGCGGGGAGCTTTTGAGGGAAAGAACAGAGGTGCTAAAGATTCAGCTTCGTCCAACTGCGTCTGATGATGATATACGGCTTGACCACACCCGTAGTATGCGTGATTTCATGAGATGCGAGGGAGGTTTAGATATGGCAGATAGGAGGGAGAGACACTGACCTCGGGGGAGAGGCTCTCCGGGTCGGATCTTCCTCTCGACTGCAGGGGCAGGAGGAGGTTTTCGTCTGGCCACACAAAGACGGAGCGTGTTAGAGTCAACGTTTTCTTGGAGTTGACCATAGATCAAAATTGACGATGCACTTGGATCTGAATTATCAGTATCTAGTACTTGCACTAAAGAAGGACAAAACTCGCCTGATCCTTCATCGCCGAGACCGACAACGATAGCAGACTTTGTCCTTCCTCCTGATGAAAGAGTCGTGCGGCAAAGTATTCCTGTAAGATATGCAGATAACAGGGAAGCTTCAGGAGCGACAGCGCTATATATAAGTTCATCAAATCTATATGTGTTTGGGAGAGGATGGATCATTACTTGACAACTCACACCTGAACGCCTGCGGACTCTCCGTCCAAAACCTCATCATCGAGCAAATCCACCACTCCTCGCATTTGCAGATACTTTCTGCCTCTCATTGACTCCAAAGAGAGACATAGATCCGTATCGGTGGTCATCGCAAATGCCGCTTCCCCCATGTGAGAACTTTGAACGTGTGGTGTGAGCGAATCGAAGGTGTTGGAGCTTTGATGAGAGGGTGTAGAGGGGAAAGATAATCTGGCGAAGAATGTGATACCTCATTTGGTCAGCTTTTTCCTCACAACTTCATGAGACGAAGGAGCAATAGAGTGATCACTCACCGTCCAGTCTGAATCCTTCCGGACCAATTTCGAGTCCACCTCGATACAACAATCTCCACGTCTTCTGAGCTCTGGAGGCTGACGTAGTGGAAACATGTTGATGTGGGGTATTGTGACAGGAACTGGATTGCTGATGTATGGATTTATGGATTGGAGTAGGAGGTAGAGTGGGCAAGAGAGAGGTTCGAGTGAAAGAGGTAGGTTGATGATTAGGACAAGGACGGGCGAATGGGTTACGCGCTGGTGAGGGGTTGATCAGAGGGGGTACGGATGTCATTGTGGCAAGCAGAAAGTCATTACCTCATCGATCTGGCAGTCGCATCAGATCGGACCGATGTAGGAATGGATGGGGAGACTTTCGAAGTACATGGGGCATGGGGTACGGAGCATGGAGCAGAGATATAGAAGAGAAGATGCAGGAGTGATGGATGAAGATACTGTAAGGTTAGGACAAGAAAAACCACACGCGTCCACGCACGCGATCAATCTCTTATCTAACGAGCTGATCTCACTTTCGTCTCTCATCATTATTCTTGAAGTCATCTAATCAGCATATGAAGACGGGATCATGGAAGAGTGCATGTCCAGACCATTTTTGCTTTTCATGCATAAGCGGCAAGGTTGAGGCGAAGGACAGTGGATGTTTTTCAAAAATGGAGGTGATGTGGCTTTTACCCATTATACGATAATATTGATTCCGCTAGCCAAGCTCTGGTTGCTCCTTCCACTTCCAATTGCGACTTCGTTCCAACCGTTAGTGAATTATAACATGGTGAGCTTGATTGAGAAGCAGAGACTATGAGCTGACGTACTAGTTACCATTAACACTTCTCAATGCTGCTCAAGGCAAACCCATGGTAAGTCGTTAATCCACAAGAAGTCGCAGACGGATCGATTCCCTCCCACCTCTTTTCCATTTATCCATTCAACACTTCACCATCTTAGCACACTAAGTGTCATATTCGATCATACTCACACTCACGATATCAACATCCATCACCTATCTCATCATTCCAGGATTTGAATGAGCTTATAGTCATCCAGTGATGAATCCTAACACTGTGATCATCGGCCGGTATGAACACTCGTCGTCAGAGAAGGTCATATTGGGATTTTGACTAACACACAGCTGGTGGAGTTGAAAAACGGAGTTACATTCAACGGTCACTTAGTCGAATGTGATAATTTCATGAATGTCACCCTTAGAGAAGTATACCAGACTTCAGCCGATGGTGAGAGATTTTGGAAGATGAAAGAAGTTTTCATAAAAGGCAATATAGTACGTGGTTTTTAGACTTGTATGTTCGAAACGACGTAAAGATCGAGTGAGGGATTGGGACATTATACATGTCACCAAAAATATCACATTACACCCACGATACAGTCTACTCTTTCACCCTCTTTCACCTTTTTTGATCAACAGGAGCGGGACGAATCTTTTAGTAAGCCTTGGTGCTCTTTTGTTTATAAGTTCAAGCGAAATTCTGCTGGAGGTATATCTGAATAGTGGGAGTAGACTGATGATAGATAAAATATTTCCGAATAGCGGATGCTATACTTGATTCTGCTTTCGAACAACAAGAGAAGAACAGGGCGGCGGCGAAAACTCGTGGACAGAGTGCGAGGGGTATGTCCTCTTTGTTTTCCTAACTCACTGTCATCATTACTGGTATCACTACTCCTCTCGTTCATATTCCGTATTTTCCTTCCACAGTCAACTCGGCATTACCTCGTACCCTCCTTCTGGCACCCTTCCATGGCAACTCATAGATCGGCGTGATTTATCTTGCCGCATTCAGTTCAAATAACTTCTCGTCAGTACGGGACCAGCCATCACAGATATAACCGTACGGAACGTCAGAGCTGATGTGCAGGAGGGCGAGGTGGTCCAGCTCAAAGAGGCGGTGAGTATCATCCAGTTGCACTTCGTTGTTGACCTAGCTGATGTCTAGCTCGAGGTGGTCCACCGGCTCGGGGTACACCATCAGGTCGTGGAAGGGGTACGGGGCCACCAGGTCGTGCAAGAGGTAGAGGACAGTGAAGAGGAGACCACAATGACATGCATCTGGGTATACAACAACAGTACTAGCAGTCAAACAATTCTTTGCATTAGAAATCGTATTTCAAGAAGACTGAATTGAAAACTCACCTCCACGCGGGATCATACAGTACTGTAAGTCACCCCTCACCTCGTTTTCACCTCGCTCCTCTCCCCCTGATCCCATCTTGTCACACACGTACTCCCCGCCTCCAGGAGTATTTACCCTCTCCCCTCCCTCCACCTCTCCCGCGACCCCGTCCGCTTTCCTGACAACCGCTACACACCACCGTTGAACAGGACACTTTCTAAACCCCCTTTCGTTCCGCTTCCTGTAATGACTGTGATTGTGTATTTTTTTGTGTATTTTTTGAAAAGTTTTTTGATTTTTTGATGCTTTTTTGATTTTCATAAGAACACCACACGGACCAGCCGTGTTGAAAAAAAAGGGGGGAGACAAGAATCCTTCAACCTTTCCCCAGCCTATCCATATTCCCGATGAACCAACCCCGTCAAACAACCTCGAATCAAAAAGAACCCCTACGAAGTAGACCGATATAACGGGTCCACAACTCCTTATTGACGTGAAGGGAGTCGTATGGTTCTTTCAATGATTCAAGGTTGAGATTTAGACTGGTCGACTGAACTTTGGCAGCTGTGACCGCTATCAGGAAACAGCTCTTTGACCCAAAAGTCCCAGTCGATACCGTCCGCATCATTGTTTGACGGTTCCACCGGATCCTGTTGTGTATCCTCGACCCCAGTGGTGGTTTCGTTAACAGGACCTGGCTCGAGAGCCAGGTTTTCCACTGGGGCTATTATTGATAGAACAGGATCGATGGCCGTAGACAATATGGCCGGCTGGGTCCATAGACCGAAGGGATCGATTTCGTGGAGGAAATCATTAAAATTCCCTTGGAATTCCAAGAGACCAGGATCCGACTGTTGCCAATCTTCTTGTCCAATGATCAACTCCGCAATCATTCGATCAGCCCTCTCCACCTCAGTTTCTTGAGGTTGACTCGGTCCGTACCACTGTTGACCCAATTGTGCACCAGGTTGGAAGTTTTCCCCTTGCATCGGGACAACTTCCTGGGATGTGGTGACAATGTTGGACGGCTGGAAGGGGTGACCGAGTTGTACCATTGGGTCGTACGTCATATTGTCATGTACAAACCCAACGGGAGGATACTGAGGGAGAGGAAGGAAAGAGAGAGAATTGAGAGAAGGTTGAGGGGGAGGGGGAGGAGGAGGAGGAGGATAAAGAGCGAAGGGAGTAGACTGAGGGGGAAGGGTATAAGAAAAGAATTGAGTAGGGGAAGGAGAGAGGAAAGTCAGAGGAGGGTAAGGAGGGGGAAAGTGGAAGAAAGGGGTAGGAAGAAAAGATGGTCGGGTCACTGACGCATTCGACCCATAATGCGTCACCCTTCCAGTCGATGGACCAGCCAACGTTTCCGTACCCTCCACACCAGTGACGGCCGTCGTCACTGGCCGACCCCTGGACCTGGGGGCAGCGACCGTACCCTGGCCTTGTTGGCCGCGCTTTCGACGACCCGTATTGGTCCTCCTTGGGATTTCGCATCCGTCGCTGGCACGGAACGTCATCATCATGGAGGCGGGGGTCGGAGGTGGGGGTCGAGGAGCGGTCGGACCAGCCGAACCTTGAGATGCTTGAGGAGCATCACTCCTCCCCTCCGAAACCCTGACCTGTCTGCGGGCCGGTCGAGCGGCGGGGTACGGACGAGATCCTCGAGGAGGTCTCGTGTTCGCTGCGTCCATGGGTGGTCGAGCCGAAGCCTGGGGTCTGTCGGTGCTCTGTCCCTGGGATACGCCGTTGGGGTTCTGACAAGGTGGAATCATCGTTGGTGATACTCTTGTTCAATATGAGGATTTAAAGGAGTAGAAAGGATTTTAGGTAAAAAGAGCGTGGGTAGGTTTTACTCTCTTGGTAAATACAGAGAGTGGAAGGACGGGAGAGTAACGACTTGGTAGTGAATCGGTCGTCTCGTTAGGCGGAGTGGAAGGGAGAATAACGATTTGCAGTTGGGTATTTCTCTTCGTGAAGTGGAGTACAAGGTAGTTCGACGACTGGGACTGGGTCGTCTGTCTCGTGAGTCGGAGAGGAGGGGACAAGTAACAGTGACTGAGGTCAGATATGGGTTTTCGCTGAGCAGAGAGGAAGGACGGGATGAACTTACATTTTAGTTCCTCAAGAGGTAAAGAGAGAGAGAGAGGCAGAGAGAAATGACTGGAGTAACGTCTTGTTCTCTGAGAGGTGGAAGAGTGGGATAAGAAGAATGACGACGTCGATTCAGGTCTTGTCCGTGGTCGTGTAGAGAAGGGAGAAGAAACAGCAGCGTCGTATTTATGTGTAGTTCTAGCTGGAAATGATAACAAATAAGGAGGATGATAGAGCAATAAGATACGAGGAAGACAAGCACACAATTGACAGTTGTTACAGGGAACTGAGAGCGGAGGAAAGTAGGAGAAGAGATGTGAGAAGACGATTGCTGTGGAAGAAAGTGAGTACGGTCGAAGGGGTTCTTATAGTCAGCGAGAGCCTCATAGAAATCAAACTCACTCATGATCGAAGTAAACGTCACTGCGTGACATTACCATCTTAGATCCAGTATACGATCTATGACTCAATAACCAGCCATCCATGAATCGTATGTTATACATTTTCCAGACCTCTGCTGTAAGCATTAACGAATATCTCTCCAAAGTGGGTAAAAGACTATCATTTGAAACCATGTGATTTTTTTAAAATCTCACAGATAACGTTTGTCGAGCTGCGCCTATCATTATTTCTCATCAAAGGGGAAAGATTATGCTTTTTTTTTCACGGGGTCCGTGCTCAGGTCTCCGTGTGAAACGAGATCCTGTAAGAGATTGTTACGGAACGAAGGCTGGGCAAGCAGTGAGTCGTGATATTATTAGACTCGATCTTGAAAGATTATTGAGACTGTTGAGGAACGCAAACAAATGTGGAAGAACTTTATGTTGGACATGACGATTTGTCGAATGTTGAAGACGCATTGGGAGAGATATCAGAAGGTGAGACAGTCAGGATTGAGTGATGTGTATGTTTTCAAAATCGAGATGTTGTCAGGCTGTGCGCTGCGAGGGACGGAGATACGAGTGAGGGGGAAATGGAAGACGGGTGGCTGGTGAGCTTGGATGAACTACCCATTGTGGAATTGACAAAGAGGCGTGACATTGATCGAACATGTGTCCAGATGTGTGTTGGTAAGTTGTGTCATGTGTCAGAGATCAGTGATGTCAACGAACGTAAGATTGAAAAGAGTAGTACAGGCTTGAATTATTCTGTCACGCTTAGGCGGTGGTTGAGGATCGAAGATCTTGCAAGAGGTTTCGAATTGATCGAAGTCTTTGGCTGACATGGTGAAGTTTGACAAAAGGTTCGAGCTGGTGATATGGTGGAGCATGAGATTGATAGTGACTTGCGTGAGTGAGTAGAGGTGTAAGAGAGTGAAGAAACACTGACGAGTACACCGCGAGGTCCGACGGGTTGACTGGCATGACTGGGCCGTGAGTGAAAACCTCCGAGATCCGAGCGCCCGAGTGGGTGTGGTGCCTTTTTTTCCCTCCCCTCCCTTGCCTTCCTCCCTCCCTCCTTGTCCCCACCCCCCCTTGGCCTCTTTGCCTCTCTTCAAACACGCTTCTACTGCGTCTTTCCCTCACTCTTTCTCTTTCTCTCACCCTACAGCTTCTTGTCAATCCTTGACTATACTCATCGTCGTTCTTTTGATATATATATATACCCATCATGGACATCGACAACGCTGTTGAGACGATCGTTGAAGAGATGATCCCTACTACTACAGCATCCTTTTCCGCACAGACCTTGGTCGTTTCCTACCCTTCCAACTCGTCTTCAATAGATTTAGATTTTTCCTCCTCCTCCTCATCATCATCATCATCTTCTTCTTCTTCCTCATCTTCTCCTTCTCTACCCATTTCTTCACCTTACTCTGTATCATCAACCACTTCTTATTCTCTATACGAATCTTCCTCTTCTCCCTCGGCATCACCCAATGTCAACTACGAACAATTCTCCAACACGTCCTATCCCCTTCAATCGTCAACGTATGACCCTTATATCTCGTACAACTCTTCTTCTCCAGCAGAATGGCAATACACCGGGTCTTCCAACGTATCACATTCTACACTTCGTATTGTCCTCCTCGCCGTTCCTATCACCGTAGGGGTCATCATTCTCTTCGCTTTGTTATGGTATTGTAGACGAAGACGACGTTCCAAACGACGTCTCAATACCCCACATGGTGAGTCAAATCCTCTTTCCCCCATCATTGAAAATAACTCTAATTGGTCAGATATCAATGGCGATGGTCCCACAAACGAAACTTCAACAAGACCGATGATGCGTGTGACACCTACCGACTTGGAGAATATAATCACAGTACAACCTCCCCCTCTTCCTCCACGTCCTCTAGTAACGTACACTGCTCATCAATTTCATAGAAACTCAATGACATATACAACAGCGACAACGGATTCCGAAGGTGATATGATAGCCAACGATGGATCAACTATGACTAGAACATTATCAACTATAAGTGTAGGAGATTCGGATATTTCAAATGACACACCTGATCATCCTGGTTATACTTTACCATCAAGGAATCTTACGAATAGAAGTACTATCCCTTCTTTGACAACTGGTACAACATGGTCAACTTCTTCCCCTCATTCACCTTTTACTCCGAATACCAATACTTCTTTTACACATTCATCGATATCTCCTTTCACCGTTGATCCTCATCTTCATCAACAGCAATATTCTCATTTAGATCAAAGACATAATAATCCTTTTATCAACACTCAATCTTCCTCCACTCACACTCACAATCAACATCCACATCAACATGGTTATCACACGCAAACTCAAACTCAAACTCACAATCCATTCCTCGACCCTCGTCCTCTTAACATTCACAATCCTTCTTCACGCCAACCTCCTAACATACCCCCTCCTCCTATATCACACTCTGGACCATCTAGACCCAGTGAAATGCTGAGAAGAGGAAACAGTATCATATCAGATACATCCTACGATTCATACGATACCGAACGTTCATGGATCCCAGGAGATGATACACATACACGTTTGAATAGAGGAGTGACCATTGTTCGACATCAAGATTCGAATTCAAATCCTAGTTCTGCTTTTGGTATCGGAACAAATTCGCACGGACGTAACTTGCGTGTGGAGAGATCAGGAGGAAAAAGAATTGTGCATCTTCCACCGACCTATGGAGAATTATATGGTGATTGAATAAAATTGTACTTTATCGTGATAGAATTACATTTTGGTTTATAGGGTTGTCAAGTAGGTTTTCAGGAGATGTCTCGAAATGGAAATTTTAGTCAAGTCAGTGGCGAGGAAGACATGTCCCAAGAGATCACATGCAGAATTATGTTTAATTATATATAACCAAGTCCGAGTTGCACGGGATTCTCATATACTCCATAAGAGGAGATAAAAGAGAAATAAAATGCCGTAAATGGAAGACGCAATTGTAAGATGTCCGGGGTCAGCTCGTTCGTACCAAAGAGTGAGACTGGTTGAGGAATCAACAGGTGTAAGATAATATAAATCAGTGAGAGGATATTGACCAATGGAGTAAAAAGTAGAAGAAGACATCGGGAATCTCGATTCTCGACGTCAGAACGATACGGTCATAGGTCAGAAGTTTTGACCGACGACTTACGAGTCGAAAGACAAACATACAGGAAGCGAGAAATATCCACGTGTTGTTGCACTGATACATATCTGAAAACGAACATACAGTACATCTTCTACGATCTACGATTTCTGATCTACCACACTTAGAAACTCCCCGTACCCTCGTATTTTGTGTAGAACGGGACTGTCGGGCTCAACTGATGATCGACCTTTCTTCATTACACCCATTCACTCCATTTTCTCAACGAAGAAAGTCCAATGCTGTGTTCCCTTTCAAGGACGGTTGTGTAGAAGTATGGATATGGTATTGTAGCATGTAACATGTAACATGTAGAGAGAATGTATGATCTTGGTATCTTGGCATCTGGCATCTGCAAATGAGTTATCCTGTTGAGTTTGACGATCCTTACGTTCAGAGACCATCAAAAGACACAAAGTGGAAACTTTATCATCTCTTGATGTTCCGGGTATAATTAATGGATCATACACCTTCCATTGTCAGAATGTTATGAGTGTAGATATCAATGTTATGCCAATTTGTGTTAACTGCGGCATTAGATGAGAAAAAGGATTTGAAAGACTATTCAATTGAAATAAAATATCGTCATAATCCTCTAGTACTCTTGACCTTCTAGCGTCATTGAACCTTTCATTCGATTTTAGAATTGGAGTTACCTCCTTTCATATTCAGTACCGACTCCACACAGCCTTGTCCAGATATTTTCCCCCCGACCCGACTCGTTGTTTGTATTTCTGAAAAATCTTTCGTAATACCTCTTGGAGTCGTATTTTAGTAAATCGAGTCGTTGGATGATCTTGCCCGTAACTCGTCGTTTGAGGAATTCTCGAGCGTGTCCTCTTCTGGAAGAAAGCGTCGATGGGTCGACATTGAGCGGTGGAGGTATGGATGCCGGAAAGATCGGGGTCAAATCGGATGAAACGTCATGGAATGGTATGTCTGCGTCTGGGTCAGGATGTACTTTACGTCAGGGGAAGGGAAATCAATCGCTACTGAGTACTGTTCAAACCTATGATTCGGTGAGCGGAGTCGAAGGGGATGACCAGGGTGGTGGCGGTATGACAATTGGAGAAGGAATGGTCGGGGAAACAGCATCAGTATTTGGATCAGCCAGTACGGCACAAAATGTCAGTTCGAGGCTTTCTCAACCAAAGCTCAACGGATTGAGAAGGGCTAAGGAAAGAAAAACCGGGTCATCGTCAACTCCGACGAGAAGGGACCGGACGGATGAGCGTACCTATGCAACGGACGAGATCCGCTTGACTGACGAGAGCTTCGAAAGAGTGATATCGAGCAACGACCCACACAAGACATTGTCGGAACTTCCATTTGCGACATTGCAACTGCTCGTGAACGCAGGTCGGCTGAAAGATCTTACAGGGATTTCGAAAGCGGGGTCGATGTAGTGGAAGGCTTTGAAATAGTGACACATGATTAGTTTTGTTTAGCATAGCGCATGATTATACAACCTGATGTTATCAGCTTGCTTCTTCATTGTGATCATCTGCTCTTGGTCAAACTTCCAACGACCACATAGTAGGTTTGCAAAGAAGATTGACTGAGACAGGGTAAGGGAAACAGTGACGTGAAGAAGAGCGATGATGTCTCAATGAAACTTATCGGATGTGAGATACCACCCGTGTAGTGGGAAGGGAGAGGAGGGAGTTCAAGATGAAAGTGATGAAATGAAGCGTGTCAAAACGACACCAGTGCTTGCTAATTACTCACTTTAGGTGCCAAACTCAACACTTTAGACCATCTAGCACCAGTAGGACCTTGTATATCTCTCAAAGCATTCGATACCACTCCATTGACTCGAGTCCCAATCATTTCACCTTTGTTATTGAGCAACACGCAAGCCGTATCGTCGAATCTACCATTAATATGTTGTTCTCATGTTCTCCTTACTTATCGAACGCGGTGACGCAACTCGCAAGTTGAACCAACGTGGTGGCGAGTGAGATTTTGGATCACATTCGCCACCTTGAGCAGCGGCCAGCGGTCCGATTGATGATGACACCAGAATATGAGGTTACCGAAAGATGAGATGAGAACTCACGAAATGTATCTCCCATCAGGCCGTCTTTCCGCTTTTCTAGTCCGAACCACCACTGCCCGCCTCACATCCCCTTTCCGTACTTTTTGTATATTTGATGAAGCTGCTATTCTGCTCTGGGGGGGAATAGGACGAGCTTTATTGATGACGCAGACAATTTCGTCGCCTGAGGAGATGGTCAGCTCAATCCCAGCTTCTCACATGTTCACATCAAATTTCTTTCCTCCTCAACCCATGACGCCACCCGGTATGATCCCGTTCTCCATCATTTCGATTCGAGATCATTCATACATTTCATGTGGATACACGTCACGCTTACGCTCACGCTAAGAGATAGGTTGTAAAAGTGCATAGAAGACCTGGTCGATGAACGGAAACACTCACCAACAGTCGCAAAACCCGACGAATGTTGTTTCGTCTTAACCTTTAACACATTGATACACTCAGCTATAATTCCCCCTGAATTATCTATGATCTACTTGTTAAGCTTTGCCTTTACGCTGAAAAAGAGCATCTTACATTTAAACGACCTTTAAGACCTATCATGGTTGTGAAGTAATTTACGATTGGTGCAGTGAGGAAACCGGGAAGTCGAGAATGCATAGAGAATTTCTTGACACGATTTAATTGAATTTATCCCGTTCCTTAATGTTGAGAATTCTACTGTAAGTCTCACACCCGACCCCGAGGTTCATCTGAAGCATCAATTTTGCACCATCTCTTGTGATTGACTCCGAGGAGGTGACGTTACGTCTTGATTGGAACATATAGGTGAACAGACAGAATGTCCCCTCCGGTCGATGCCAACTTTTCCGGGAAACGAGATTCGGGAGCCGCCAGGATCTTAGGCTCGGGAGCTTCAGGTGAGGTGACTAGTTCGTTAAATGTGGTTACAGCTGATGAAATGAGGTGTGGCCGAATTGCTCGTCTTTCATCCTGTGGTAAGTCTTCCCTAGGTGATTTGATACTCCATTTCTCTCCAAGCTCGCTTTTCATTGAGTCGCAGCCTGCAGATTCCGTCAGAATCGGACTTGCTGCGCCGTGCGAAGTCTGCCCATCATCGTGTTTTGGGGAAGTGAAAGCCATCTCACCAATGTTAAATCGTATGAAAAGCTGATAATCGTCCAGGATACAGTAGCAAAAAGACTCATGACCAATCGATCCCGTTTCGCAGCTTCCGAACTCAATTCCATCATTTTCAAATCTGCCGCCCAATCTCCCATTCATCGAAAATTTCTCTCCTTATTCCCCGGACTGGGCTATGCCGCAGGATACAAGATCGCTCAGAGGGTATATAAGTTTGGTGGACAGCCTTGGTTTAGAGATCTGATCGATAAAAATCAAGGAGGCTGGTTCAGGGATACGTTTGGACAGAAGACTGGGGGGATGTTAATGCATGCTACTGCCGGTAGGTGAGTTATCATTTTTCCCTGTTGTTAATGAGAGAGATGCTTATGAACAGTTTGACGGGAATAGGAGAGGTTGTGAGTGATTTCACCTTTCTTCACATTTAGACAAAGTAGTGGATCCTCAACCCTTTACTTCGACTTACGACATGTGGCAAGGATGGACTGCGACTCCAAAGGGACTGAATATACTGACAACAGGTCTTATTACCCTTAGATGTACTCAAGATCAAGATGCAGACTAACCCCGATGCTATACGAGGTCGTGGACTGGTCAAGTTGATAACGGAGGAAGGCATGGGGTCTCTGTATCGTGGATGGGGATGGACGATGGCTAGAAATGCACCTGGATCATTTGCCGTGGGTATACTGGTACTAATCTTCTCCACCAATTCTCCCTTCCAACTTCCCCTGTTGTGTGCCGCGACTGGCAGGAGGTCATAGTCCACTTGCTCTCTTAGCCTTCATCCAGTTTCTGCGCCAGGTTAGCCAGCGAGCTTGTACTAATTGACAGCTATTCGGCGGTTCAGCAGTCACCAAAGGTTACCTCTTTCACCTGTCCGATTACTCTACAGCCACTTGGAGTCAGAGTGAGTTTTCCTTTCTTCTCTCCCTTCCAGCTCATAGAAATCTACAAATCTGATGATATTTTACTAAAGACTAGACTTCGTGGCGTCCATAGCAGGTGCCGTAGCATCCATCACCGTGGCCGCTCCCCTCGATGTGGTCAAAACGAGAATACAGAACGCAAACTTTACCAGCAACGTGTCAGGTATGACGATAATCAAGGATATGATCCGACAAGAGGGATTTTCAGCTTTCTTCAAAGGGTTGACACCGAAGGTCTGTCTCCACACATCTTTCCATGTTTATCGATCTCGAGTAAGTGACTGACTCGGCAGATCCTCGTTGTAGGACCTAAATTGGTCTTTTCTTACACTTTGGCACAAAGCTTGATCCCCTTTTTTGGCAAATACGGTTGGTTTTCACCCCCTCGCTATTTGTTGACAGACACTGACAAATAGTCTAATAAATCCTATAAATCCTACAGACCAATGACTGTCTCACATAGAATCAGAGTATACAGCAAACATCACCCCTCCATCTGCATGCATCAACCGGTTGTCGGTTATTTAAAGGTTGAAACTTTCACATGCCGTCAAAGGTACCTTACTTCATTCCACCCGGTCTTGCTCTACCGGCATGGCCACTCACCGGACAGTGTTTTCTCATCATCCATTGTTACTTGATACTTGACCTATCTGATTGATCATTGCACCTTTCTCGTTCATAGTCCACCCATTCACAAAGGTGCTCAGAGCGACCTGAACGCAGCCTTTTAGAGTACCTTAGCCCGCAATCACAAAGCCAGGCCCATTCGCCACGTGGTACCGGGCGAGCGCTCGAACGGACCTCGCACGAAATCGTCTTCAAGGATCGTACGACCCCGATGTCCCCACATTCCACTTTCCTCACAAACTTTTCTCACTCCATACGTACACCTAGAGGTCCTCATATACACCTAAGAACCATGGTGAGTTATCCCCCTCACTATTCCCAATCGATCCCCTCCCATCGCCTATTGGTCATCCCTCTTGCTCTCTCCTTTCTTCAATCCCGGATCGTGCGGATTGACCATTGTATCCGAGAGTCGTTCATGACACGGAGATAATTACGGATGAAGTTATGATGATTGGTCTAAAACAGACAGTATGCGAACTGACGATAGTCCCATAAAGTCTACATCGTCTCTGGCTCTCGTACGCCTATTGGAAGTCTTAACGGCTCACTATCTTCCCTCACCGCACCTCAATTGGGCATCGTGGCCGTCAAAGATGCTTTGAAAAAGGCCGGCGTGACACCTGAGAAAGTGGGAGAGGTTTATATGGGTAATGTGGTACAGGCAGGAGTGGGGCAGAGTCCTGCTAGACAAGTAGGAATTGGAGCTGGGTCAGTATTTGTCATACCATCTACTCATCTATCACTTGTCCCATTACTACCCTTTCCGGTTCTTTCTTTATCGCTCGGGATCCAGCGTCAGTCCTGTATTGAGACTGCGTCTTGTCTATAGTTCTCGAGGTCTTACGAGGAGTAATGATAGCCCTTCACACTGGGAAAGGATATAATTCTGTACCTTTCCCCACAGGCACTCTGGTGTGAGGTCAGGCAGAGCTCTGAAATGAGTGTAAAGGAGAACAAGGACGAATGACCCCAATGTCATGGTAACTTCGGCTGACGTCCAGTATACCCGAGAGCACGGACGCTACCACCATAAATAAAGTGTGTGCATCAGGAATGAAAGCCATCATGTTGGCCGCGCAGAACATACAGTTGGGCGTTACGGACATCATGGTTGCTGGCGGTATGGAGAGTATGTCGAATGCTCCGTGAGTGAAGTTTCTATAAATCTTGAATACTGAAGACTCCTTGATCGATTCGCGACTCATTCCCATATCTGCGAAATGATCTCCCAAGCAGATATCCTCTATGAGACCGCCCATCATTTAAATGTGCAGCATACCTGCTATAAAGGAATTACGCGGGGTTTCTTCCAGCTCACACACAGTTTCCTAGTGCCTCGAAAGAATCCCGCATTCGGAACCCTCCAAGCTAAAGACTCACTCGAGGTCGACGGTCTGTGGGACGTATACAATCAGTTCCTCATGGGTAACTGTGCCGAACACACAGCTTCGAAACATTCCGTCTCCAGGGAAGAACAAGATGATCATTGTCTTTCCACCTACACACGGGCCGAAGAGGCCTGGGCAGCAGGCGCATACGATGCAGAGATAGCACCTGTCACTATCAAGGGTAAAAAAGGTGACACTGTGGTCAAGGAGGACGAGGAATACAAAAAGCTGATCAGGGAGAAATTCAGATCTCTGAAAGGAGCTTTTAAGAAAGAGAATGGGACTGTCACTCCTGCGAACAGCAGTTCGTTGAACGATGGAGCTAGTGCCGTGGTGTTGGCTAGTGATGAGGCTGTGGAGAAGGAGGGTTTGAAACCTATGGCTAGGATTTTGGGTGAGTTTCACATCTTATAACCCTGTCCGTCTCTTTCGTTTGATGTGATTTGAAGTGAACATTTTCACATTCCTTGTGGCACTCCAGGTATTGGCTTTTGGTAGGCGCTTGCAGAATGCAATCCAAGGTGAGAATGAAAGTTGTAGAGCTGATTGATAGGCTACGCCGATGCCGCTTGTGCACCGATCGACTTCCCTACCGCTCCTACTCTTGCAGTTCCTAAAGCTCTCAAAGCGGCCGGTCTAAGTAAAGACGACATCGACCTGTGGGAATTCAACGAAGCGTTCTCAGTCGTCGTTTGTGCTGCCGAAAAGGTTTTGGGTTTGGACAGATCCAAGGTCAATGTCAGGGGTGGTGCTGTGGCTTTGGGTCATGTAAGTTCATGTGATACGTCACTCTCAATTCGCCCAGATTTTCTCCTCATATGGTCTACTAGTCCCCCTTGTAGGAATGGCTCTCGTCGAAGGTGTGGATTCAGAGCAGAAAGTATCACAGCAGCGAGAAAAGGTTGGATGCTGATGACAGCCTATCGGATCTTCTGGAAGTAGAATCGTCGTCACACTTATTCACGCCCTCAAACCTGGTCAGAAAGGTTGTGCGGCCATTTGCAATGGTGGAGGAGCGGCGAGTGCCATTGTGGTTGAACGTTTGTAGGGTGTCATGATCGAATGAAGAGATCGAGAGCATGCATTGTGCATATGACCACCTCGACTAGACTCATGCTTGCATACGTACCCCTGACCTGTAACTTACTCTTCTTTCCTGCTGCATGCTGCACAGCAACTAGGTGCACACAGGTAACTTATTGCCAGATGCAGAACTGTGTAATTAGGTAGAGAGCACTCTAGCAAGAGAATTGGGTCGGTCGGTGCCTAAAGATGTTCACAAATCGAATCGTTTCAAAGATCAGAGATCAGATATTCACTTTCCTCATCCATCTCATCATTCATCATGAGAGCTCTACGTTCCAGACCCTTTCTCTCCCTCGTCACACGTGAAGGAGTAAGAATCAGGTCATTACATCCTACACCTACTGTCGATCCTCCCTCCCCTCCGCATTCCCACCCTGCGCACTCAGAGTTGGAACCTGGCGACGATGATCCCAGACACCGTAGTGGATCGTCTGAGAAACCGAAGCTCTCTACAAGCACGAATGACTCTTCTCCCTCTGCCCATCCCTCTCATTCTTCTGTATTCACATCAGAAGTTTCCAAAAACCCATACACTCAACAATCCGGTCTGAAACAATTGACCAATGGTCCGAATAAAAGTTCCGAGACAGAAGAAAGAGATATCGTCCGAGCTAGAGCTTGGTATCTCTCCCCATCTTCATCATCTCAACTAAATCATCTTCCCAAATATCCCTCTTCAAGCTCAGATCCAACAAAACCTACATCATCTTCATATAGATCACGTCGCACAACGACATTCGATCCTCTTTCCACTCTACCAAATATCATTCAAAAACCAATACGACCTCTTCCGGATGATTGTCCAGATTCATTAAGATCATTACATTCATTCTTGGTTCACAAAGCGGAAAGTGTGGATCCTTCTTCCGTTCTTGTTTTCCCCACTTTACGATGGAACCAAGAACCAGGAGATGAATCGGATGGTATGGAATGGAAATCACCAGAGAGTGATCGTATAACATGGAAAGAGAGGCAGATAGAAGAGAATGAATATGATAGTGAGGGTAATCAGGGAACATTTGGACCTGGACATAGAGAACGGGATATTATGAAAGATAAGAGTAGGTCAAATAGTTGGGGTTTGAAATTAGGCACAGGCAAAGGACAGAGAGAAGATGAATTTGGAGATGTTATTGATCCCCCTAAAGGAAAAACTGGACCAAGATGGGATTGGATCTTATTAGCTACTGTTAGAGGTAGAGGAAGTGGGGTGGTTCCTCGTGCTGAACGTGAAGTGAGAGTTTGGGTGAGTGAATTTATCTTTTGATAGCCTTTCTGTTTGTCCCTCCATTCTTCCGTCACTCCCGTCAGGACTTTACAAGATGAACCTGAAAGATTCATCTTCCATGCAGACTAGTGGGTGTCAACTTTAGATCGGATTTGACACTCCCTAGTCATTCTGACTGAGAAACCATCGCTGATCATAGCTTCGAGACGATCCCCTCAGTCCTGAACGTCTCACACCTCGACGTGTACCAAGAGAAGAAGCCGACTCAGATTGGGCACTTATCCCCCTTGATAGAGTTAGTGCATGCGTCAATTTATTCACCCCTGCCGGTCGAGCTCGATGGCGATTGGAGGAAGTATGGGGTGCAAGTTATATAGATGCATAATGCACCATAGTGCTCCCTCTCTCTCACACATAAACTCATCCACTCACTGGTTTCCTTTCCCACAGCCTGGACATCTTATGTTAAGCAAAGGAATACATTCACATTTTGATGATCGGCAATTACAGTTCCCCTCCAACATGTCCCGTCGGGTCCACCTTCTCAGTCTCTACTTCAACTTCCAGACTCGTCTCTGGATCCGGGGAAGACTCGGGTGAAGGAGGTTCAGCCACATTCACTTTATTCGCTTTCTCTCTCCTGGCTTTATCCCGCTTTTCTGCTTCTTCAAGCTTTGCCAGCCTCTTTCTTCTCTCCTCAGCCGCATCACCGGCCTTTACCTCTTTCTGCTTCTCCCCCGCTTTATCTGATTCCGGAACGTCCTCTTCAGACTTGACTCGAGATGTCTTTTTAGTAGAGGCTGTACCGTCCAGATGAGATTGTAGCCATTCCAGTAATCCGTTGAATTTCAACACACCTATATATCAGTCTCCGACCTGTGTTTGGATTTTGGAACACTTACCATCATACTCCTGCCCATCTGAGAGGGACGCACCGGGAGAGAAGATGATGGTTCTAGCTCCATCACGCGTGGTTTCCTTGGGATCGTATAATCCCAAGAGGGAGAGAACCTCATGTGATGGAGTATCTTTGATATAACCCATATGAATCTTTCCATACGTCAGCAGAGTAAGTTGACAAGATAGACGACTCACTTTGGAGGAGAAACGATGACCTAGGACTTTCCAGAGGAATGGTATGCTGGGTGTGGAGGGATGGACTAGGAGAGCATGTGGAATGTCAGATTTCTGCGCGCCTCAGCTTTGTTCATCTTTCATGTATCTCCTCGCCAAGCAATATTTTCTCAAAGGAGAAGAGAATATGGGAGTGTTGAAAAAGTAAAGAAAGGTCACATAACTCACCTCCCGTAGAAATCCTCCAATGACTTGGTCCAGAGATCCTTCAGCTCGTAATTTCTTCACTCGGTCCGGGACTAATCCCTTGGCATACTCTATCAACGCCCCTTTCTTTCTCTCCCCAGTGTAATCCCTCGCAGCACCTTTACCAGCTCTAGGAAAAGCTTTGATAGTTGGGAACCCCTGAATACCATATTCCGCACAGAGGGGTTTGTTCAGATCATCGTCGCAGTCGATTGCGTAGAAGGGGATGAGCGGGGAAAGGGATTGAGCGGCGGATGTATATTCTGGTCCTAGATTTCGACAGTGACCACACCAAGGAGCTACAAAGGCCACCATCTGATGTCAGCTGACTGTATATTCCACACGCATGAATGATCTAAACTTAAATCTAAACGCTTAAAGAGTAACAGCATAAGCGGAATCTTATGGAGCTCAGATACGAGATTGTCTGCGATAGGGAGTAAAGTCAAGATTGAAGATTGGACGTAGGGAAACTCACAGAAGCATGTTCCGTCGCCATGGCTTTCTTGAAAGTCTTAGCATCCAGATGTACCACTGGCTCCGCGTACATACCAGCCAGAGCTGGAGGTACAACCGACGCCAACAACAGAAGAGTTTTCCACATGGTTATGTTAATCAGAGAGAAGATACAAGTAAGCATGAAAAGCTCATGTAATCCGTCGGCCGGTGACGTGGAGAACGTCGGCGATCGGAGCCAGCACGACGATATCGGCGTTAACAACTTCGCCACAGAATGTCTTAACGCCGATGATCATCCTTGTTCCGCCTTCCCCTTTTGCCCTGCTTAGGACCACATCCATACTTCACACCCAAAATGCCTTTCGTCAAGGTTCAAAAGAGCAGCGCGTACTTCTCTAGGTACCAAGTCAAACCCCGTCGTCGACGTGAGGGTAAGACTGACTACTATGCTCGTCGGTAAGTTCTCTCTTGACCTGATATACCAAAAGTCTAGAGCTAATATAAAAGTCGTCTTGTCACTCAGGCCAAGAACCGCTACGAGTCTCACAAATACAGACTCGTAGTACGTATCACCAACCGACAAGTTATCTGCCAAGTCGTTTACGCCAAACTTCAAGGCGACTTTGTTCTCTGTCACGCTTCTTCGAAAGAGCTTCCTAGGTACGGCATTGAACACGGTTTGACAAATTGGACTGCTGCCTATGCCACTGGTCTTCTTTGCGCTCGTCGGGCTTTGACAAAACTTGGTCTTGCGGATAAATACGAAGGTGTCACCGAACCCACTGGAGAGCTTCAACTCACCGAACCTCGTATGTCCTCGTCTACTGTACTTAATGCATTTAGATATGAGCTGATGAAAACAGTTGGCGATGACGAACCTAGACCTTTCAAATGTTATCTCGATGTCGGTCTTCGAAGGACTTCCACTGGTAGTCGTATCTTCGGCGCTATGAAGGGTGCTTCCGACGGAGGTATCTTCATCCCCCACAGCGACAGACGTTTCCCAGGTTTCGATCCTGAAACCAAAACTCTTGATGCTGAGGTGTTGCAAAAGTACATTGTCGGTGGACATGTAGCTGAGTACATGGAGTCTCTCGAGGAGGAAGACGATGAGCGGTGAGTGGAACATTCTGTCGCTTCCTTCTGACTTCTCACCATCTGCACAAGTGCGAGACTTGCGACTGACGACTCAGTTTCAAGAAACAATTCGCAACCTACCTCGCCTCAGACATCTCTTCCGCCGACATCGAAGAAATGTACACTTCTGCCTACGCCGCTATCCGTGAAGACCCAAGCTTCAAACCCACCGAGAAAGACACTGCCAAGTGGAAAACCGAATCGAGAAAACTCCGATCAAGCAAGCTCAACCGCGAGCAACGCAGAGAACGTGTCGAGGAGAAGATTGCTGCTTACAAGGCAGGCAGGGCGGATGCGGAGGAGGAAGAGGACGAGGAAGAAGAGGAAGAGGACGAAGATTAGATGGCGTTTCGTGTGTCAGGTCCTTTCTGATGCATGGTGCTTCACATCAGGTCGTCCTTTCATCAGCTGACCTTACGTGTCACACCCGCTTGCTTATCCATTTCAGCCGTCTTCATCATCTTTTCACAGTACTCTCTTATCACAACATACTCGCCACCACTCGTCACTGACATACTACATACTCACAACTCATCAACCATGGTAATTCTCCCAGCTCAAGTCGTTGTACAGCCTTTTCCTTCACCCATCCCTGGCCCATGTCCCACCACCTTGCTGGTCGCTACGGCACATTCAGTGGCCCAACCCACTCCAACGACATCCTCGGACGACGACCAGATTATTTGCACTCTTCAAGCTATACCTCTCGACTCGGCGGTGAAACCTCTGGAGTGGGCAAGGGGAGTCGACCCTGAGGATCCACCCACTGCCGCACCAGGAGCGACAAGTGTTGCTCTTCCTCCAGCTCCAGTGCCCACCGCGACTGCCTGATCATTGTCATCTATTATTATCCCTCTGCTTTCATTCAGTCATCCCACCCACACAAATCACGTCAAGATATCACGACTTTCGATAGATCTTCCAACCTCTCAACCCCCACCCACGTCACCTAAGCCTTACGGTCATACATAGCTTCAATCTCCTTCCCACCTAAATCGTTCCTTTTGGTGCAGGTCGTACACGCTTTCAGTTGCGACATGTCACGTCAATGTATATGATACACACCATATGCATTTCCTTTCACCCTTTCTTTTGACTCATGATGCCTTCTTTAAATTTTACTCGTTTCAAAAGTCTTCCTTTCCTCCAATCACTCCATATGTTTCTCTTTCTCCAAAAGTTGTCGTTTGACATGCACGTTGATTCTCTCGTAACAAGTCCCAAGGCATCATCCACTTTCTTGAGTCGTCTTCATAGGTTTTCTTACACGTATAGGTCCTTTAATCTTCTCCTTCTCATCCCAAGTTCTCACCGTCCCACCTTGTGTCACCTCGACATGACCTCGTTGCACCTCGTCCCAAACCACATCTCGTACAGAATCCATCAGAACTCTCCAATCGGGATATCCCACGGGATCTTGTTTGTGCATTTGACGAGCGACAGATGATGGACAGAGTGTGGAAAAAGGTCCGAGATTGTCGAGTAGGTGATAGAGCGTATTACGTATGTCTTCGGTTTGGTCAGAATGTTGCATGATTGAAATTGGTCACAAACAAATGTATGAACTGATTGTGGGAGACTGGCAAATACAAATATCTAATTTGATGTGCGGGTGAGAGCGCATGTGAGGATAAGGAATGTGAAGAAAACGACAAGATGATGATGCGTCCATAGCGACCGGATGTGTGTACAGTACAGGGCGTACGACTGGGTTTCAAGAGTCTATGACGTAAGTTTGCATTTTTGAATGATAAATTGTAGCTTTTTCTATATACAGTACAGGCTATGATTCTGATCACAATCGTTCAACGTTTGTTCTAAAGCCCACAATAGTGATCAACGGCTCAAGTAGATGTCTTACGTTTCTTCCCTTGACCTTTCCCCTTTCCAGCTATTATTGCCTTCACCGGACCCCTTTTCTGACCTATAACGGTTTCCTTCTTCTTCTCTACGACCTTCTTTCCTACTACTTCCATCCCGGCTTCTTCTTTTCCGGCTTCATTATCGTCCGGTCCGCCTCCTCCCCATCGCATCTCCGCCGCTTTGACAACTACCTCCACCATATCCCCTTCCTCCTGAAACTGTGCCTTGCCATAGTAAAATTCACTATCTGAATCTTTGTTTTTCTCCTCAATATCCGGTTCACCAAGTTCTCTCCCATCATCCTCCATATACCACTCTGGTTGATAATTTTCTATAAGGTGTTTCAACACTTTCTGAGCTTCGCGGTTGGCTTCGAGTAATGAAGCGTACACGATTTGATTGTCGAAATCGGTAAGACGCGCGCCGTCTTCCCCGGATAATATGACATAGACTTTGTCAGGATTCTCCGAGGATTTGAGAAGGTCGTTTGAGTTCATAGTGGGTTTTGTGAGGGTGCCGGAACCATTATCGGTAGCTGAAGTCTTCGAAGATACCGAATGCTTTTCGACGTAAACCTCCATTTCCTCCCCCTCTGGACAAACCGCCTGAATCATGAAATCGTCATATTCATCTTCGTTCACCTCATATTCTACGAAGAAATCCTCGCTCCACTCATCTAACAAATCTCGTTCGGCGGCCTCTCTCGCCTCCTCGTACGTGCGCCATATGGAACGGATCTCTACATTACTGTCACCATCATATATGTGATGATCAGTCGTTCGACCTGTATATCAGCCAAGTCACTTCTGACTTGACAGGATCATACTTACGCATGACGTGATACAAAGTTTCTGCTGTCATTTTGTGGCGAGTTGAGTAGTAATGTGAGCAGTTGAAAGGTCGTAATGTCTCGTCGCGAAGTGAAAACCAGTCGCGTGTGGACGATTTTTTCAACTCGGCGATACGGCGACGCGGTGGCCGGACCTGATCTTCGGGGGCCCGAACGGCGAATGAGACTCCATCGGTCATCGCCGCTTTGCATCAAATTCCCAGATCGGCTGAGCAAGAATAGAAACCTTCCACCCTCCACTTCTTTCGCCCCTTTCCTCCACCTTATTCACCCACCCTATCCTGATCGTTCAAAAGGTAAAAACCTCCTGAGGACTGGCCGATTTTTGTCACCATCGTCAGTGGTGTAGCTCAGAGGTCATCAGTATGAGCTCGCAATACCCCTTCGTCGCATCGGTCGCTGGACCCAGCGTCGCACACTGTTCTTGGCCGATCCACTTCATCTCAAAACACCGTGACCTCGATTTCACCCAGTGCTTCGAACATGCCTTCCTTCTCCCCGTCCCTCTAGCTCTGGCGATTTCCTTCGGTCTTGCGCAATTGTGGAGTATCCGGGCTAGGTTGAAGAGACAAGCCTTGCAGTGGCACACGAGAGGCAGAGGGAGTGAGAGGTTATGTCGGATAAAAATGGTCAGTCCTTATACATGATTTGCAGATACAGAAGCTGATGTCCGTCCAGTACCTTGTCGGTTTCTCTGGTATCTTAGCTATCAGTTCCTTGTCACTATCACTTCTCTCAGTCAAATCGACTCCCCTGTCCAGTCTTCACTACGGCCTCTACCTCCTTGTCCTCCTCGTCTTCCTTCGCCTTACCTGGCTCAATCATCATACTTCCCGTACCTCTTCTACACTCATTCTCCTCTTCTGGCCCATCTACATCCTTCTATCAGCCGTCCGGATCCGAACAATGATTATCACCGGGGACTTCTCCCGAGAACTCTCACATTCCACTCCTGGAAGACTTGTCCTTGCCCGAGAGATTCTGTGGCTCATAAGTGGAGTTTATGGTCTGGCAGCGTTCTTTTTGGAGCTCTATTCGCCTGAGAAGCGTTGGAAGAGATTCCGATGGACGAAGCCATGGAGCAAAGAAGGGAAGATTCAGCTGGACGACTCTGATTCGGAAGACGAAGCTCTGGACGGTGTCGATGCACTCAACGGCGCTGGTTCTGTGTCCGGGAAGAACGAAGATGGCGATATGGAATGTCCCGTACTCACCGCTAATTTCTACGAAAGACTCACATTCTCCTGGCTCACTCCCATGCTTTCACTGGGTACTCGAAAATTCCTCGGCGAAGAGGACATGTGGTCTCTTCCGCCAAATGACTCAGCCGAGGCATTGTCCGAACGTCTTCAAGCGACCTGGAGTCGTCAACTCGAACTCGTCCGACAGCACAAGAAATCCAAGCCGTCTCTCAAGGTTGCCATAGCGAAGGCATATGGTGGGCCGTACCTAGTCGCGGGTATGCTCAAAGCTCTGTACGACTGCTTGAACTTCCTTCAACCACAGCTACTCAGGTTACTGCTAAATTACGTGTCAAGCTGGGGTACAGATCACCCTATGCCACCGATTGCAGGCTATGCGATCACCCTTTTGATGTTCATCTCTGCTTGTATCGCCACCTCCGCTCTTCACCAATACTTTGATCGATGCTTTGCCACTAGTGAGTGACCGAAGGTTTACCACCCAATGCCGAATTTTGCTAATTAGACAGCCATGCGGGTCAAGGGTGGTCTAGTAACTCTGATCTACTGCAAGGCTCTTGTATTGAGCAACGGAGAAAAGACAGGCAGAACAACTGGTGATATCGTCAATTTACAAAGCGTCGACGCGGTCAGAATTGCCGATCTCGCTCAATATGGGCATATTGCTTGGTCGGGACCTTTCCAGGTGAGTCGATGTTCACAAGTAGGATATGAGCTGACTCGACAGATTATCCTCGCCTTCGTTTCTCTGTATCAGCTTGTTGGATGGCAAGCCTTCATGGGCGTAGCAGTCATGGTCATTTCGGTGAGTCCTTGGGTACCGAAAGTGGCGATGCTGATGGCCAGCTCCCCATCAACACCATGATCGCCAAATACAGCAAAAAGCTCCAGCGGCAACTCATGAAGACCAAGGATGTCCGAACCAGAGCCATGAACGAGATCCTGAACAACATCAAGTCCATCAAGCTATACGGCTGGGAGAAGGCTTTCTCCGAGAAAGTACTTGATGCTCGTAACAATCACGAACTTCGCATGCTCCGACGGATCGGTATCGTTCAATCGATGAGCAATTTCTTTTGGGTCGCCGTTCCTTTCCTCGTGGCTTTTGCGACATTTGCGACTTTCGTAGCCACTAGTTCGAGGGCATTGACAAGTGAAATCATCTTCCCGGCTATCTCACTCTTTCAACTTCTGAGTTTCCCCATGTCCGTCTTCTCCAACATCATCAACAGTATCATCGAAGCTGTCGTTTCTGTTGCTCGATTGGAGGACTTTTTGGCAGGCGAAGAGCTTGATCCTACCGCGCGGGAAGTCATATCGCCAGACCTGGACCCTCAAGGCGAACCAAAGACCGGTGATGTGGTTGTCACTATCAAAGGAGGAGAATTTAGGTGGCTCAAGGACTCTCCCGAATCAATCTTGCAAGACATTGACCTGACCGTCCAGAAAGGTGAATTGCTAGCCGTCATCGGTCGAGTAGGGGATGGCAAGTCAAGTCTACTCTCCGCTCTTCTAGGTGAAATGACCAGATCCGACGGACGTGTGACCATCCGAGGTGACGTCGCCTATTTCAGTCAAACATCTTGGATCCTCAGCGCTACTGTCAAAGACAACATTGTCTTCGGGCATCGTTTTGATCCCGTTTTCTACGATCAAGTCCTCGACGCATGCGCTCTTCGATCAGATCTCGCCGTCTTACCTCAAGGACACATGACGGAAGTCGGTGAAAAGGGTGTATCCCTGTCTGGCGGTCAAAAAGCACGAATTGCTCTCGCGCGAGCATGTTACGCCAGGGCGGATATCTATTTACTTGATGATCCTCTCAGCGCAGTGGACGCACATGTCGGCCGTCATATCTTCGACAAGGTTATCGGTCCTCATGGTTTATTGAAGAATAAAGCTCGTATCTTCTGCACCAACGCTGTCAATTTTCTACCTCAAACAGACCAAATAATCATGCTACGGCGTGGGATTATCCTCGAGCGTGGGACTTACGACGATGCCATGTCCAACTCGTCATCGGAATTCTACAAACTCATCACTGGTCTCGGGAAACAAACGGCCAAAAGTGAAGATGACGACAGTGGAGCCTCCAGTCCCACGATCACGGAGAACATTCCGGAAGATGAAGATGCTATCGAAAGTGAAGATGATTCCCTCGAAAAACATAACCAGATCAGACGTCTGAGCACAGCGACCATGCGACGTGCTTCCTCCGTTTCTCTTCGCCAAGCCAAACGTGACGCTCTGCGTGATCTGAGGGAGAGCGCGAAACCGAAAGAACATTCAGAAAAAGGGACTGTCAAAAGGGAAGTGTATAAAAAATACATTTCCGCTGCATCCGGCACCGGCGTTGTCTTGTTTTTAACTTTCATGGCTGTCGGTCAAGCATCAAGTATCATCTCAAATTACGTCTTACGATTCTGGGCACGACAAAACTCCAAAGCAGGAACTTCAACTCAGATCAGTTTGTACCTCACAGCATATGGTGTAGCTGGGATAACATCCGCTCTTCTCAGTGTGGGAAGTATGGCTCTATTGAAACTTCTTTGCGCTTTGAGGAGTAGTAAGAAATTGCATGATGATAGTTTTGCAGCCCTCATGAAGAGTCCACTTAGTTTCTTCGAGTTGACACCCACCGGTCGAATTCTCAATCTATTCTCAAGAGATATCTTCGTCATTGATGAAGTTCTTCAACAAGCTATTGGTTCTTTCGTTCGTACGGTGAGCACTTCTCTCAACACGTTGACGCGGATAGCTGAACAGACAGATTGTGGTTGTGCTAGGTACAATGGTAGTGCTGGCGATTGGAGGACCTGCCGTATTACTGGTCTTCATTCCTCTAGGATACATCTATCGTATGGTCATGAGGTAAATCTTCATCATCCTACTATGCCAGTCTTACTAATGTAAAGCTACTACCTCGCGACATCTCGAGAATTGAAGCGATTGGATGCCATCTCTCGTTCTCCCATCTTTTCATTCTTCGGTGAAACACTTGCTGGTCTTCCAGTCATCCGCGTGAGTTCCTGTCGGTTATATCCGAATCAAATGACTGACTTGATGTAGGGATTCGGACAATCTCGTCGGTTCATTGCGAATAACGAAGCTCGTATCGACCGAAATATGGCATGTTACATGCCAGCCATGACTATCAACCGTTGGCTGGCTGTCCGACTGGAATTCTTAGGAACCTGTTTGATGTTTTCTACCGCTGTGGTGTCCGTCACTGCGCTCACAGTGTCCAACAGCGTCGATGCTGGTTTAGTGGGGTTGATGATGACTTATACTATTTCAGTCACTGGTGTTTTGGTGCGTGTTTCTGCATGCCATGCTTGGTCTTCTTCTCTGTCCTTCCACTGCATGCAATATCGACAATCCCTACTGTATATTGACAAGTTTCTTCCTTCGGCTCTTTGCAGCTGACCACCTCCACGACACAGGGAATCCTCGGACAGATATATCACGGGTAGATGACCTGAACTGACAAACAGAATTGGCTCGTGCGTAGTGCATCGGAAGTGGAACAGAACATCGTATCAGTCGAACGTGTGCTGTCTTACGCCGATCTGCCATCTGAAGCTCCTGCCGAGATACCCGATAAGAAGCCTCCTGCATCTTGGCCAGAACATGGGTCGATCGAGTTTGAGTATGTCGAGTTCTCTTCAGCTCTCCTCCTTTTCTCCGCCGTTCTCCCCTTTCTTCAGTCGTTCTTGGAGCGCTTGACAGTGACACCTTCACACTCTCGTCCCTTCTGTCATGGCTCATAAGTATGAGACTTCGTACTGACCCGCAGAAAATTCTGTATGCGCTATCGACCTGAACTCGACCTCTGTCTGCGTGAAGTCAGCGTCAAGATAGATGGTGGTGAGCGAGTAGGAGTTGTGGGTCGGACCGGTGCCGGTAAAAGTTCCTTGACATTGGGACTGTTCAGGATATTGGAAGCTACCAAAGGGAGAATTTTGATCGATGGAGTGGATATCTCTACTATTGGTTTGAGAGATTTGAGAAGTATCATTTCGATCATTCCCCAAGATCCCCAGTTGTTCGAGGGTTCCATCAGGTTGGTAGTCTTGCCACCTCTCCCTTCTTCATTTGCTCTTGTCCCCTCCATGTCTTCTCCTGATTCCCTCTCTCTTTGTCCCGCCTCCATCTCACATTCCCTGCTCTCTCGTCGCTTGACTCTGTATTTTTTGATGCGTTACAGCATCCAACTTGATACTGATATACAGGACCAATATCGACCCTACCAACACTTACTCCGACGCAGATGTCTGGCAAGCCCTCTCCCAGGCTTATCTCAAAGAGCACGTGATGACCAAGATGGGTGGTACTCTCGATGCTGAGGTGACAGAAGGTGGCGGTAGTGAGTATAGTCTCCCTCTGTTCCGCCTTATTCTTCGGCGATCCTTGACTCTACTCTCCCCATAATCCACTGCCCATCATATGCGACTCACGACCCAACGACGGGTTAGGGGAGATAAAAGTAAGTAGACATGGCCTGACATACAGACTTGAGTTCAGGTCAACGTCAATTGATATGTTTCGCTAGGGCATTACTACGACGCACAAAGATCTTAGTATTGGACGAAGCTACGAGTTCTATCGATTTAGAAACTGATGAAGCTGTCCAACAAATTCTCAGAGGTCCCGATTTCAAAGGTGTCACAACTATCACTGTCAGTCATATCTTTCAACCCTCCTCTAACATACCCTCTGAATCTCTGTCGTCCTTCTTCCTCTCACATGTACACTTTCTTTCCACGTATGACATGACCCATTTGACGAGATTGCTCACACTTCTTTTGGGATTTTGTGATGGGGGGAATGTCAACTTACCGTCAGATCGCCCATAGGATCAACACCATCATGGATAGTGATAAAGTTTTGGTCATGTCTGAAGGTCGAGTTTCCGAATACGACACACCAGAGAAATTACTCGAGAACCCCAATTCGGTGTTTTACTCTCTTGTCAACGAAGCGGGATTGGGAGGTAAATAGATGTTTTTCATTATACTTAGATATATGCATGCAGTATTAGCGTTCGCTGAGTGACTGGTCATCAGAGTATCAGCTGTCAATCGGTGCTCGTCATACGATTATACCCCTCTTGTTTGTTGATCTCGCGATCGTCTCCCTCACTGGCTTGGCGTTGATGCGATAGAGCCAGTCTTCAGCACTATTCAGGACGAGAAAGTTTCTGAGGGGTACCCGTGGAGTACTAGTACTCGTACAACAAAGTCCCACGTATAAGGGGGTGTAAGTGCACTGATTACTTGACATGATGTTGATATAGCAGGCCAGATTGTACATATTTCGTGAAACTAAATACTTCAGAGGTAATAGCAACTTTTTCCCAAATGAAAAAAACTCCTCATTCCAAACCAAACTTGATCTTCACTTTCACTCATCCTCATCCTCCGACTCCTCCTTGGCCTTCTTGGCTTTCTTAGTGGGTTTACTGGACAATTTCGCCTTTTTACTAGCAGGCTGATTCGTCAGTCTTTCAATCTATCGATATGCTCGGAGAGAAACTGAACATACCTTGACATCTTCATCTTCGTCTTCATCTTTGATATTTTTTCCTCTTTTACTTGTCGATTTCCCCTTACTCTTAGGTTTCTCCTCTTCCTCTTCTTCATCTTCGATTATTTTTCCCTTCTTGCCCTTTTCTTTCTGACTCTCTTTCTTAGGTTTCTCCTCCTCTTCGTCACTTGATTCAGGTTCAGGTTCTGACTTTGACTTTTTCCCCTAAACATCAGCTTTTGAGATTGCTTTCTCTCAGAGACAGACTTTAGGAGCTTTGGGTCTGGTTTTCTTAGGAACATCATCATCATCACCCGCACTACCAGTAAATGTCTCCGCTTCCTCTTTCTTACTTGCCCTAGCCTTTGCCGTCGTCTACTCATCAGCGGAAGATGGCAGAGTGATGCTTTGACTGACTTTTGTAGACTTAGAGCCGTCTACGTCAACCTCTTCTTTATCTTTGGGGGTCTTTTTGGGCGTTTTCTTTTTCACGGGACTGGAAGATGGTATATCGCCGTCTTCACCATCACCCCCATTTGGGACCTTTGCACTTTCCGGAATATCTTCTTCCGCCACTGATTGGTCAGCTGGAATGAGACAGACGAAATTGAAGCTAACCATGACCGTCTTTGAAGGCTTTGACAACTTTTTCCTGGTAATCTGGACTGCTCATGAGCTCAATCCATCTTTTGAAACATCATACTTCATGGAGACGTGGTATGATTTTATCACTCTGTGTCAATAGCTACATGAGAACTCACGATAGTTCATCAACTAGTCCGTCAGCATCGGGAAGAGAGGGATGAGAGAGACAGAAATCACTCACACCCATCTATCTCTGTTGCTTCTTCGAATTGTCCATGAATGTTACTGAGAACAGCAGGTGTCGTACCTCCTCGTCAGCCTCTCAAAGAAGTGGATAATGGTGAGGATACTGACAACCCCAATGACGCCATTTGAAAGTACCTCGTTCTTGGAATGTTACCCATGTGCCCAGACGCAAAGAGCCTTTCTCAATTTTTGTCCCCTTGCATGGTTTGCCACCTGATGGTCAGCCATATGCCCTTCTGTATCGTATTCGTCTGCATGTCCTTAAGAAGGAGAGAGGAGGGGGCCGAAGGGAAAAGGAGACGGACGAGATTGGTCGTAAACTTACCATTACACTGTGCTCTGTTGCTACTAGCTACTTCTAATCTGTAAGCTGGCATAATGTTATGAGATCTGAGTGAGAAGAAGAAGAAGAAGTCGCATCAAACTGATTTGATGGATTGTGGACAGAGTTTCCCATCGGTTGAGCGGACCTTGTCGTCATACTCTGACTAGGGTCTGTGCGCGATGTGCTGCCACGTGGTCAGGGCCAACCAGGGACGGCTATCGGCGTAGCGTTGTGCTCAACATACTACTTAGCTCCTTGATGCCATCGCTCCTTTCTGTCTCTCCTCACTTCCTTACTTTTCTCACTCTTTCACATACATACATCACCGCCCTACACTCCATTTCCTTTCTCTTCCTACATCCCTTCTTATCAATATAATATTCCTTTTTCTTGTCACTTGGTTGGCAAAAGACGACAGACAGACAGAGCGCAAACACCTCGGTGTCGTTCTCTAACATTTGTCAAAGCTGTCGTCTTGCTTGTATGACAATGGATCCACCGATCCCTCCACCATCTTCATCCCCTCATCACCCTGCTCCTACCGAGCTGCTTTCTTCACCCACACCGACCATCCGCAGTAAACAGCCAACACTCGTTCGACCGTCCTTACCCCTTTCTGCTCTCACTTCGCCTGACAATGCCGAGACGTCTAATTCTGGTAGCGGCACTCGCATCCCTTCTGGGAGTGTCGAGCAGCAACAAGGTCTTGGAAATGGTAGACCAACCAAGCCAAGCATAGAAATCGTACGTCACCCATGTCACCTCTCTTTCTTCACCTTAGACTTTGGCGTTTAAACTCGGAATGGGTCAAATCACCATGCCGTCAATCTGTCATGTTTGGGATTCTTGTTATGACATCAACATAATACACTCGTCGGATCAATACTGATATACACAGCGTCCATCACCACGCGAGGAAGAAGTACCTCAGCAGCACCTGACCATCCCTCGACACAGTGCAAACGTCTCACCAACTCGCTCTATTCAGTCTACCTTAACCGACGACGACTACGAATCCCGGTATCAATCCATGAGTGCTATACCTCCGGGAATGAATGAGCAGACTCCGAGGGCCGGCTCAGGTCTACGCGGTCAGCCTCATACGGCCGTCGGGAGTAGCTACGGCTCACCAGACGCACGACATGTCCACGGCAGCAGCGCCGGAAGCACCGGTCCTAGGGCGGCGAGAATAGTGAGAAATCACACATCCACCGCCCATCCTGTTTCATATCCTCTCAATCCTGCCAATGCGTCTTTCAATGCCAACAACTATGGCTCGATGGCCAGATCTGTATCGAAAACTAGACCACCATTACCTCGTAACGTCAGTGGAGGACTAGGGGCCGAGACGAAGCAGGACAAGACGGAACAAGATGATGAGGCCGCAGAAATGGACCGTGGGATCGACCTGATCAGGCGAAGGCAGATTGCCAGACGAGCAGCTAGACGGGCGAAAAAACAGGAAGATCTGAAAAGACGGTTCGCTGCTGGTGAAACACCGCCGGAGCTGTCCGCTCCACCCTCAGCTTTACTTGGAGAAGCATTCGGAGATCAGCAATTGCGGACAGGAAGATCGGTCTCTCGGACGAGAGCAAGTTCGACACAAGGCCGGAGATTGCCCAGCGCTGGATATTTTGACACGATGTCGACCGCGGGCAGTCGCGATGGCACTGCTAGCCCTTACGACGAGATGCGAGCTGCCTCCATCTACTCCAGTACCGAAGACGAAGAAGAATATCTTCAAGATGTGATGAGCGCACTAGGCGATGAAGTACCAGAGGACTACACACCTGGAGTTGGTGTGGAAGAAGAGGAAGCTCGCGTTGATCGAGATGAAGGGAGTGTGGATGACGAAGAAGACGCTAGTGGTGAAGGTGATGACGAAGCGGTGACGATGAGAGATCGCCAGGATGTGAGTCAAAAACTTTCGACATGTCTCTGATCACTGATATCTTAGGCCATCAATATCGAACATCCCTTCGGTCTTCCCATCTGGAAACCGGCTCTGTACCGCAAATCCCGCACTGTGACTCGAAATGCGGAGTCGGCACTACATTCCATACCCTCCGCTGCCGCAGAAAGGCATCTTCTTCCCGGTAACATCTTCTGGGTCTTGGCCTTTGGTTGGTGGCTTTCACTCCTCTTCCTTGTTGCGGCGATCCTGGTAGGCGGCGCTGAAGTACTCGGTGGAGGTCGGGGTGGCTACGCCAAGACTCTCCGTGGCTTATCGTGGTACATCGTGTGGCCTTTTGGGAAGTACGTCGAGGGAGAGGGGGCTCCGGATGGAGAAACCTCTGTAGAAGGATCAGATCATGAGGGAACGGAGAATGGGGGACATTATGGAGCTGTCGAAGACCCTGGATCACCTCTGAATGGCAAACAGCAGAGGCAGCGTGAAGCTTCGGACGGTGCTGGATCCATCAGAACATTACGACCCGGCGCCCAACACTCGGCTACTGTAACAACTTCAGACGGAGCAAATACCCCGACAAATGATTCCGGGACCACGGTTCGGCCTCGACGAGAACCCACCGTGACGTTCGCTACCGACACTATCCGAACCTCCAGTTCTCGCATGACCAATGATTCCGAAGGGCAACCTTTACTATCGAAAGAAGGCTTCCGTCGACCACGAAGGAAACGTGCAAAATTTCTCGGTCGACTGGTGTATTGGCCCGCCTTTCTCATCATGGTTGCACCGGTCATGCTGATCGTGTGCATTCTGTGCTGGGGAGGTGTCATCACAATTCCCATGGCCAAGCTCACCTGGGCTCTACTCAAGTTATTGTATTTCCGACCTCTCGAAATAAACTTTCGATCCGCGCCCCATATCTCCGTCCCAACCCCTCATGAGTCTCCTGTTGTTGACGAGGGCGTGGAAAACCCTGACTTGTCCGGATCTTCGACAGCTGTAGCCGACAACAGTTCCCCATCGGGTTTCACGATGAAGCAAGCTCGCTTGCATGCTGGTCAGCTTGCACCTACCGCAGGTCCGGATTCGACTGTTCTTCTCTGTACCTATCGCGCTGTGGGATTGCAGTATTATAAGTACACTGTCGGCGGTGTGAATATCATTTTCATAAATCTCCTACCTCTCGTCTTCTTCACAATCTTCGACGGTTTCGTTCTTCTTCGCATCGTTGAACATGGTCATAAACATGGTCACATGCCTTCACCCTTCATGGCTGCTATCACCAACCCTGGACTCATCTTCGTGCTGGCTCTCGCTAGTGTCATCCCTCTGTCTTACTTTATCGGCATGGCTGTTGCCTCCATCTCAGCACAATCGTCGATCGGTGTCGGTGCTACCATCAACGCTACATTTGGGTCTATCATTGAAGTCATTTTGTATGGAATCGCTTTGACGCAAGGTAAAGGCAAGCTTGTGGAGGGATCCATCATTGGCAGTATCCTCGCCGGAGTGCTGTTGATGCCAGGCGCAAGTATGTGCTCTGGTGCTGTTCGGAGGAAGGAGCAGAAGTTCAATGCGAAGAGTGCAGGCGTGACGAGTACGATGTTGATCATGGCGATCATTGGGACGTTGACGCCGACACTTTTCTATCAAACTTACGGATCGGTGGGTAAATCCTCCGCTTGACGACCTATAGCTTATGACAGTTCGAGTTGCATTGTGAGGGCTGTCCTGGTGATAGTAACCCAGGTACGGCTCCACCTACTACTCAGTGGCAGTGCGATCACTGCTATTATGAGCATCCCGATCCTGCAAATGATACTTTTTACCAAGAGAAGGTTAAGATTCTCATGTATTTCTGTGCGGTCATTTTGTGCCTGGTAGGTCTCCCCAGAAGTAGCAAATTGAGCTCATATGGCAGTCGTACTTTATCGGATGTCTGTTTTCACTTAAAACTCATGCGGCGCAGATATGGACGGATCCTAAACCCCTTATGCGAGCCGACGAGATTTCTCATCTTCACCCAGCCGTCCGTCAGACCTTGCGTCAGCGTATCACTCCCGAGGCACTCTTGCAACACGTCCTCCCTATGCATCGAGATGGTTCTTCGACACCAAGACACGGAGGTCCTCAGTCACCTCGGGCAACAGTACGAGGAAGAGTGGGAGAGTCGCTATTGGATCGACGTGCGGCAAGCGGTCCATCTAATTTACCGGCCGGATATACGCCTCTGCTCGAAGCTATCACACAGAAGATCAAACAAGAGAGCCTTACTCCCATGCGTCTTCCCTCCTCGTTGACCGCGCCAATCGAAGAGAGAGATGAACAGCAGCTACCTTTGGTGCACAAAGGGTCGATCATATCCAACGTAATGGCAGATCGACATGCTCCTAACGAGGCGGAAGCAGAGGAGGAGGGAGGGGGCCATGAAGGACCAAGTTGGACCAGGGATGTCAGTACTGCTGTGCTTCTAGGATGTACGGTGTTGTACGCCGGTATCGCGGGTAAGTTGCGTCGATCGGAGAATGATTTTTAGCTGATGAATACAGAGGTTCTTGTTGACGTTGTGGATGTAGTCCTTCAAGGCTCTGGGATCGATGAGAAGTTTTTGGGCTTGACGCTTTTCGCTCTAGTACCGAATACGACGGAATTCATGAATGCCATGTCGTTCGCTCTAAATGGAAATATCGCTTTGAGGTGAAGTATCTTTCTCTTCTAAGTCCCATCCATATTGAGCGTTCAACAGTGGAAGAATAAAAGCTGACGAATAGTATGGAAATAGGTTCTGCCTACGCCCTTCAAGTCTGTCTCGTCCAGATCCCCTTCTTAGTCGCTTTCAGCGCATTTTATGACCCACGTCGGATGGGTGAAGGTGTTGACACGTTCACCCTCATCTTCCCCCGATGGGATGTCATCGCCATTATCCTCAGTATCTTCCTTTTGACTTATACGTATATCGAGGCGAGGGCGAATTATCACCGTGGCAGTATTTTAGTTCTTTCGTGAGTGTTTCGTTATCTAAACCCACTTTCGTCGCATTCAAACTTCTCGTGGACACTTTGAAAAGCTTCCAACGTTGCTGATGCATAGATACCTTGTCCTGATCATGGGATTTTACTTTGCCCCTCCTCGGACACAAGAAGGTACAGATACGGAGTATCTCGTCCCTCCTGAATCCATCTCGTTGGCGTTGTCGACTGCTGGGAAGGGAATCAAGGCTGGTCTGACTAAATTGTGGGCTTGAGTAACCTAGAAAGAAGTCTTAATGGGTCCCCAGGCAAATTGAACCCATGCCGTCCCGGCTTTCATGTTACGTGAGTGGGTTGGGGGAGTAAATGGTACGACGATTGAGTTTTACGACAGCATTTGAGATGCTAATGACGACTTTTGACGATTGATCAATGTAGCATGCATGTCTGTGTTTGTGTTCATAATCTTCCTCCTTTCCAACAGAACACTGTCCGTGGTCGTAGAATACCATCAGACATCAGACACAGTGGCTTGATTCGGACGGATCTTCCTTTCATCTTTGATGGTGCATGGTGGATGATCCGGCGCCATGATGAGAGATCGACCTTCGTGCTCGGACTGAAAGAAGAGGTTGAGGGGTAGGGATGTCAAGTTCGGGAGCCCATGTGAATCTTGGCAAATGGCTGAAATAGAACTCAAGGCCTATCGGGATACGACGGATGTGAGCGAGAAAGAGGTAGGAAACCCGAGCGGTAAGTATGCCGGTCTGAGCCCACCCACAAAAACGCCAAGAAAAAGAGGTCACAACTTGGTCTAGCCCATCTGCGGGGGCCCCTCTGAAATTTCAGGGAAAAGAGGATCAGATCTCAAAGGGGCTTTGTCCCTTTATCCCTTTTTCCCGCTAGTAAGAGTAAGGCACATAAGCTGACCTGCTCCAAAATCCCTACTCGACCGTGCCGTTCAAGCTGTGGCCGTGCAGCACAAGACGGGTATTCTAGTGGCTAGTGACCCGGTCGCGGTCGTAAGAATTAGACATGCATGAGAAAGAGTGCGTCAGCTTATACTCTCTACCTCTACCTTCTACACCTTTCCACCAACATCCAACATCTAACTTCCTCACTTTGCTGACTGTTTGATAAAAAATCAAAGAGAAAGATTAATCATCTTACCTCGTCATAGATTATCAATCCCTTTGTCCTTTTTCTTTTACCCTTAATCTTGCTTTTTGTCGGAGGTACGCGGTGCTAAAGGTCAGAAAACGTGATAATAAAGTCACCATCACAAATTATCACAGGAATTCATTCCGTCATATCACTTGGACAAGTTTGACAGTTTTTGTCTTGGCAGGACATTTATTACGTCTCTCATACTTTTTGGTTCCTCCACACACCGCTTTTACAATACCCACTCTCGATATCATATACTTCTTGGTCTTCGAACATCCTAAGATTGTGCATACATATCAACAGTTAGGACATAGAGCGAAGAAATATACAAGGTGGAATAAGTACTTGAAATTTCGGGTATTTGGATTATACTCTAGAGTGGGGAAGTCTGACTAGAATAAATCTTCATATCCCTTCCAGCCCCACTCTCCCCTTCCCCACCATCCCACCATCCACGAACTCTCCACGACATACAACATACTAATACATCTGCCAACAAACAACGTATCGGCATAACCGCAGTTTCGCTTGTATATCTTTCCTCTATCAACTTCGGACATTCGGAATCCGCTCAAGATAATTCAACAACGTTAACGAGACGCAAGTTTGTCCACCACCAGACAAGCATAATCTTCAACTTCACTCGAGGCACACGTTCACCACTTTGCCACCCCATTCCACATTGAACATTCACTTTCCCTCCCTTTGGCTTTCAACTATCTCTTTTCATATCACAAAATGACAACTTCACTTTCTTCTTCCCCTAACGCCCAAGGTTCTCTACTCTTCTCACGCTCTCAATCCGACAATTACCCACGAGCTGGTATCCTCCTCAACGCACACGAAATCGATTCTTCACCACCCCGTCGTACTTCTCCTCCTTCTTCCCCTCTTTACCCAGTATCCGGCCAACCAAATCACATCATCATCCCCTCTGGTCAACTTTCCCCTGGAAATGGGATAGACAGAATTGGAGGTCAATCTTCAGCTCCTATTTCCCCAGGAGGTCATACCCCTAAAATCCGTTTTGCACCTTTACCAGACCCAAAAAGACCTCGATCGTTGAGTACCGGACGGAATGTCGCTTGGGTCACTTCGATGGCTCCGAATGGAGATAGGACAAAGGCGATAGCGATCAGAGGTTTGGAACATGAATCTTCACCTGAATATGAGGAGGAGGTGCTTGACGAGACGGATGCTGCTGATGATGCGGAAGATGAGGATGGGGAACCGGGAAGGGGAAGAAGATGGAGTAAATCTATAGTTAGTGGAAGTTGGAAAGGTACCAAAAAGTTGTTGTTAGTAGGAGGGAGTAGTAGTACTAGTAAAGATGAAGGGTATGCTAGTGGTGCACCATTGAAGAAGAGTGTCAGTACGGGAGGATTGATGGGATCGTAAGTTGTTTTTCTTCTCCCTCTCTTGTCCACATTGGGTTCTACACATACATACATCACCTCCCTTTTCATCACCTACCTTCCCTTTCCATGTCCATTTGTCTCAAGGTATCTCGGACTCTTGGAGTCTAAGGTCAATGGAGGAAGGTCATCATTCCACAGAATTGACCTCCAGATCCCCATTCAGATCCACGAGCGAAAGGGAAAGAAGGAAATCCATGCAAGGTGGTTCACCAGCCCGAGTAAACTCCGTCCTATCTCCAAAACACAACATTCATCCACCTGAACATCGTCGTAACTCCTCTCTCGATGCACTACATCAACCCACCGCAATCTTAGGTTCATCTCCCACAGGCGTCCGCATGCTCAACGGAAGGATTTACGGGACCCGTCGTGCTGCCGAGCGAGAGAAAGAAGAAAGACTTCGTAGGGAAAAACTCGAACCTGCATTTATCGAATGGGGTCATCATAGACCTATAGCCAGTCTGGGAACTGAACCCTCTCCATCCAATTCGGGATTTTTAGAGGAAGAAGGTAGTGGAATGGAATGGGTTAAAAGAAGAAGAGAAGCTAGAAAACGTCGAGAAGCTGAGGAAAGAGAAAATGCTATGAGAGAACAACAATCTAATTCTGAAATGGACGATACACCTCAGGATGATGGTTTGAGTAGTAGTTCTTCTAGTGATTCTTCCCTCGATCCTAGGAGAACAAGTGACTCAGCACCTTTGGTCACACCGAATTTGAAGACAGCGGATTTACCACCCACCCCTATTATAAGAGTCTCGGAAGCTTCGGTGGGACAGAATAGCGAGGTGTCAAGTCCGATGGATGAGAAAATGTATAGTCCACCTATCGCTATAAATATCGCACCGCAGACTCCTAGACTGGGGGATGGAGGTGAAGCCAGGGACGTTTTTGATGATGAAGGTTCAGGTGATGAAGAAGATGAAGAGGGGGATGGGGATGGGGAAGGGGAAGGGGAAGGGGATGACAACGATTTCGAAGAGGACGAAGAGGAAGAAGAGGAAGTGACTAGGTGAGTCGCTGTTTGTTGTCTTTGCTACTTCATAACTCTTCACTTCCCCAACAAGGAGCACACCCTTACTTTCCTCAGCATTACGATTTTTGTTGTCATTGCAAATGGGGGTGATTTGGCTGACCAGTAGAACTACAGCTTCGGCAGCAGGAATTGAAGTTGTCAGTCGACACCGAAAGTGAAAATCAAAAAACGTGTATAATTGAACTTTCTTCTCTGGAATAATTGAGATACAGGAAAGTTTTTGGCATATGTACGACTTGAACAAGCGGTTTGGAAAAAAAAGTTGTATAGGATAGGTTTTGTAAGTTACTCATAGGCTAGGTTGTACGTTGATATGTGCATGGTTCTTTTCACTCTGCGTTGTGATCGATGAATACTCACCTTGAATCACTTTGGTACATTTCTATCAAGTTAGTCAAGCTATGTGCACAAGCAATTCTGTGCACAAGCATGTCTACTGTAGGAATACTGCATCCACCCATGAATCCAGACCGCCGGCCCGCCGGCCCCTGCCGTCGTACGCCGTACTTGCCGCCGTTGCGTCCGCACTGGGCGGGTGACGTCTGTCGATCGCACGAAACACAACTCTCCTTTGCAATCCTTTGGTTGATTCCCAAGCTTCCTTTTTACATCTTCTTGGCGGATCCGTACATAGATCGTATAGACCAGATAAATATTTGTCTGTACATATTCATCAGCATTTTCAGTGTCCTGTATACAACTGTATAATAGGGTTTTCAAGTTTCCTTCGGTTTAGATAGAAGATCGTAGATCGTAGAGGTGATCTTTTACATTCCTTATGTCCCATCATCGACTGCCACATTGGCTAAATCAACGTACTCTCACTTCACATTTCCGTAAGTGTTCAGACGATCGACAATCTTTCCTCTTCATCAACCCCTCCGCCCTCCGACTTTCAGGATTCAGGGATCAGGGATACTATGTAGTTTGAGACATGTCTCGATGCTGAGAAATAAGAAGGGAAAGAAATGTTCCCACTGATGAATAGTATTCGGACCATATGTTTTCTTCCCACTTTTAGCTGCTTTCACTTGGTTAGGAGGTTTATTAGCTTTATTGGGATTATGGGTACATGATGGTAAACCAAGATATGAAAGTGATGAAGCTAGTGTGGTTTTTATTTCAGATACTGGCGCTGCGCATAAAGTGAGTAAAATTTTGATACATCTGTCCTCATCCCTTCCACTTTGATTAATCTTCGTATTCCCCCCTGTCACCTATCCTTCCAGGAGTTACCTATCATCAGAAACTCATAGATGCTACCTTGGGGCGGTCAGCTTCGACACTTCGGCCCCGATTGATTCCGGAGGTCTATGTACTGCTTCAGTGCGAGAACGAATATCACCAATGAAAGCTGTAGCATGATGAAGACTCAAGAACGGTACGAGATGGAATGGGACGAAATTGAAGATGGAAAAAGACGAGATGATGCGGGAAGAGCAGGGAATAGGAGAAGAAGCAGCTCGCGCGAAGAAGGTATATCAAAGCTCACGACCAGACCCTGTTCATATGTATATGCTGCGTCACCTCGGCATTTTACATATCATCTCTCTTCGCTGAAAGATGGTTGAGACATGAAGATCGTCTTCCTACCGACCTACGAACAAGGGAGAAGGTGTTTGGTGAGTTCGGAAGAGATATTTCGGACTTGGGCTAAATGTCAGATTGGTTAGCTATTGTTTTCTGTATTTTTGGATCTGCAGGATTGATCTTGTTGTCCGTTGTGAGTGTGTCTTTTGTTTACTCCAATGGTCCATGTCTCTGCACGTATGCTTTTGGTACTTGAAACAGAAAAACAACCCCGGCCCCATTTTCCTGATACACAGGGGTAATCAAGTTCGAGATGAGCCGGGATGGAACGATATCTGACCTCAGTTTGACGCTTTCAATCACGGACGGATTCATTGGAGTATGACATTGGTATTCATCGTGTGTATAGCCCTATCTGCCATCTTCCAGACAGGCGAAGTGGTAAGTTACCTCCGACACCCAACCTTCAAGCTAATCCCCAGTGGTCGCTACACAAAGATCACCCTGATAGAAAAAGTCTCTTGAGAAATTCTGTATATAAAATGGCCGTCGTCCTCCTTGCCGTTGTCTGTGCCATCGCTTTCGGCGTGACATATGCTTATGTGAGTCTCGTTCCCCAGCTCACCATAACCTTCTCTAGATCGAATTGAAAACCAGGATATCCCAGATCAACGAAAAGAAAAAAGAGATGAGCTCATGGGTGCAGTGTCACGGTAAATCAACCCCTATCAAAGGTCACACAAGTCAACAATGCAATCGCGTCTCTTCAGCTTCCGCCGCTCTTGAATGGGCCATCGCCTTTATCCTCTTCTTTTATTTTCTCACGCTCGCAGCCGATCTGTGGCCAGCTGGGAAATCATCCCCTCGCTATATGCGTCGTCTTGCTCGATGGCAAGAGAGTCGTGGAGAAGGTCACGATTTCACGGGTCGAAGAGCTTTCGGGATCCATCCTGAGAGATGGCAATCTAGAGCGCAGAGGTGGATAAAAGAGATGACAGCACGGAATCAAGGCTCAAAAGCGGAAACAGCTAGTGAAGCACCCATGATGCGACAAGTGTGATTTGTACCATGTACCATGTAGCCAGCCATGTAGCTTTTCTTCACTCTCACGATGAGATCGCAGCTTTATTCAAAATGACGCTCTGACGTCACACATCATGTAACCCTGACTCCAAAATTACCCAAAGAGGCAATAACCGATGCGTCGGTGAATAGGTGATGGCGTAGGTCGGCCACTCTCCACCCACCACACTGCTTCCCGCTCCCTCTCTCTCTCTTACACCTCACTCTATATCTACCCCACATCGGGAACAGTGGCAACTACAAACTCCCATCCATATACCTTTCACACCACATCATCAACGATGAGCAGATTCGATACCGTATCTAGGACTGAGAGTAGGGCTGGGTCCGCCATCTCTCGAAATCAATCCCTGGTCAGTCCACGTTTAACTACTCGCTCCATCTCCTCCAATCCATACATATCGATCGATGCTCATTCACAACAGATCAAGAAGAATACTGCACCTCATGAACTCAAGCCATCCGACATTCTCATCGAACGTTTCACAGCATGGAAACAAATCGTCAAGATGCTTATCTGTAAGCCTCGCCGTTCAGCCATCTTTTAGTTGTTGCATAACTGACCGCAGCTTACTTTGAGGGTGTCGCCGATATCGAAGCGAACACTAGCAAAGAATTGACTAAACTGGGCGCTGTCATTCAAGTACCTTTCAGGCCTGGGAATCAGTTCTTGGGTGAAGGGGGTATGCAGGTGAGTTGACAATTACACCTTCTCTCTCCCGTCTGTCATTTCTCTTTACCCGTGTAACCGCAAATTGTGCATCTTTGCCCCCATACGTACGCATCGTTGTCATCAGTCATAATTGTATTCACCATGACTGTGCAAATACACGCATGGAAGTTGCTGACCATGACAGGATGTCTTCTACACCATCCGCGACAAGACCCGTCTCATCGCCGACTCGCATTCGTCACTTGCACGAACTATCGAATCGTCCATCGTGCAGCATCTTCAAAAACTTCGCACGGAGATTAAAGCACACGTCAAGAACGTCCAGAATGACACTGGTAAATTGGCGGCTTCGGTCGCTCGTGAGCGTGAGCTCTCCACCAAGGCCATCGCCGACCTTGCTCGCGCTATCGGGTCGGTCAACCACACCCCCATGGCTGTTTCGGCTAAAGAAGACCCCTTTGCTGTCAACATGGCTGTAGTGAAACAACTCCAGAAACAGGTCAGTTTATGATGTTGGAGTATACAGCTGTACTGACAATCAGGTGGCGGAAGAAAACGCTTTGCAGAAGTCCGTCGTTATTATGCAGCAGAACTCTGCCCATTTCGAAGAAGGCATCGTACGTTCCATCCAGTCGGCCTGGGCCACCTTCGACGAATGGCAAGCTCGTATGTCTACATCCGTACAGGAAACCTGGCGTCAACTCGGCGTTAACATGGCGCAACTCATGCCGGACCGTGAATGGATCGCCTTTGCTGCTCGTTCCGACCATCTGCTCGACCCTGAGACTCCTCTCCGTAATCCGGAAATGATCGACTACCCGGGCAAGAACGATCCATCTGTCCTCCCCGTTCATGTGGGCATGCTCGAACGCAAGAAGCGTTTCACCAAGACATACAAGGAAGGATTCTACGTTCTTACCCCTGCTGGTTATCTCCACGAGTACGCATCGTCTGACCCGTCCACTGCCACGCACCCTATCTGGTCTCTGTTCTTGCCTGCTTGCACTCTCGGCCCACCTTCGTCGGCGCAGACGGCCAAGTCGCACAAGTTCCACATTGAAGGTCGCAAGGACGGTACCTCGGCTATCGGCAAAACTCCCGGTGGACGTGGCTTGTTCCGTGGAAGCGAAACGGCTTTTACCTTCCGTGCTCGTAGTCACGAAGAAATGATGGAAGTTTGGAACGATCTTCGTATGCTCGTGGCTAGATACCTCGTGGCGAGCGAACAAATGGATCGTGACGGTATCGTCGCACATGCTGTCCGAGTCGTTGGGTAAGTTTCTTAACACGAAATCATTGCCAAGTGCTGATGATCAGATACGGCGCGTCTGACGAAGAGGAGGAAGGTCTTGAGGACGATGAAGACGAAGAAGGCAGCTCGGTCGAGGCCGAGGAAGATGATATCGAGGAGCCTACCCAAGAAGGGGTCGCCCCTCACGAAGCCGATCACGAAGAGGTCCCGGCATATCATCAAGATGGGGCTGCCCCTGTTGAAGTCGGACCGAATGGCTATGCCGTATGTCATGTCTCCTTTCTTACCATCCGTTACTGATTAGTAGATTGACAAGAAGGAACGCCCAGAGCTCGGGCCCGAGGCGTCCACAGAGTCCAAGCCGTTGACTCGTCGAGAGGAGAAGGCCCCGGCGCGTGAGGAGCCCACAACTGGTGAGGCCCATTCCTCTGCTCCTGGTGCAGGCGCTGGTCCGATGTCCACTGGCGACGCGGATGTGTCGCTAGGCGAAGTCATTCAAGCTCCCTCACCTGTCACTGGCGACTCGCCTGGTCCAGAGCCCGATGCCGAACCCACGGCTGAGGAGCCGCACAACAAGGGCTTGCTCAGCCGGTTCACCGAAAACTTTGTCAAGAAGTGATCCACCGGCGCCTGCATCCAAGCCCTCAACAGAATCCTTCATCTTACCTGCAATCAGTCCACTCCTCTGTCTATATGTCTGCGAATTTGATTGCGATTGTGCTGCGGCGCTGCGTGCTGCATGCTGCATCGTTCATACAGCAACACCTGGACTGTATCCGTCAAAAGCGGGCCCACGATGAACTGTCCGGTTAAACAAGAACCGGTCACTTGGATCACCTCAACGCCGTCCGTCTCTTTACTCCTTCTAAGTTGCTCTTTACTACATCTGCACCACATTCGATCCAACACGATGACGTCTACCTGGCGTCCCTTCCTATCCCCTCAAAGAAGGGCAGCAGTCATCTCCCAAGCTCAAGAGGTGTTATCAGTTTACATCCGACATAGACCAACGGTCCAACGTGTTCTCACCGCCGGGTTCGTGCTTTATTGTTTGGGCACAACATGGCATGGGTTATCAGGGAAGGGAGGGCAAAGAGAGAGTTCCAGAGTACCTAAAAGGGGAAGAGGGAGTGAGTGAATCCTTCTTGACCTCATTCATTCCTCGTATCTTTCAGAGATCCAATTGCTTCCTCGCTGTTCCTCAGCATCATCATCTTCAAATTCCAGTCTTCCCTCCTCCATTCCTCTTCTCGTCCTGTTCATCGGGTTCCCCATCACACGATCTCTTTTGAGTTCTCACTCGTGTGAACCAGACAATCCAGTCATCATCGTTTCTCCTTCTTGATTTCATTTGAGTTCTCACTCGTGTGAACTAGGAAATCTAGTCACCATCGTGGCTTCTTCTGGATGCCCCCTTCGGAATGTGGAAAAGCCAAGGCAAAGTTGGGATGAGAAAAAATTCGATTGTTGACCTTCAGAGGACGGGAAGAAAGTCACCGTCAACGATCCTTTATTCCAACAACGTCTACGAAAACTAATGAGGATTGTCATACCCAGTTTGAAATCTAGAGAGGCTGTAATGTTGGCTCTTCATTCCGCTTTTTTGGTAGGTAGGACGGGAATAAGTTTGTATGTTGCTGAATTGGATGGAAGGTAGGTATTTCTTTTGCCACCGACTGCTGGATTAGAACATTTATTCTTCTCATTTATTCCTGCCTATCTCATACATTCCTTCTCTCGACCATTTTTCCCCTTTAACATCAAGCTCTCAGTGAAGGTTCGACAACCAAAAGGAGGAAGAGCTAATACCTAAGAATCGTCTCCTCTCTCGTCACTGCTCGACCACAACTCTTCCTGATGAACCTCGTCAAATGGCTCTTGGTCGCCATTCCCGCTACATATACCAACTCTATGCTCGAGTACCTACAATCAGAACTTGGGCTTGCGTATCGCACAAGGTGAGTTATATTTTCTGCTCAAGTTGCTGAGCCCAAAGCTCACCTTCATGACAGACTCACGAAACACGCTTTGCAGACTTACCTCGACCCGTTTCCCAATACCGAAGGTGCTGAAGGGGAACAGCTGTTTTACAAACTTGCCAATCTCGATGATCGAGTCAAGAACGCCGATCAATATCTCACCGTGGACATTCAGCAATTTAGCAACAAGCTTGCTGAGATTTACTCCAATATTGCCAAACCTGTGTTGGACGTCATGTATGTGAAGTCTGTCATCAGTATGGGAAGCTGACAGGATAGCCTGTACAATTATCAATTGTCAAAAAATGTCGGTGCAGAGGGTCTAGTACTTTTGACTGTTCTTGTACAGATCAGTGCCGGTCTATGTGAGCTCATCAGTTTTTTCGGGTGATACCATGCTGACGAGGAGTGAGAGCTGTCACCCCTCCCTTTGGGGCATACGCAGCACACGAAGCGACGTTAGAGGGTGAACTTCGTTTCACACATTCTCGTTTGCTAGAATCGGCAGAGGAAGTGGCTCTTTACCACGGCGAGGAATTCGAGAAGAACGTCATAGAGCGAGGCTATTTTGCTTTGGTCAAGCACGTCAACAGAGTACTTCGGATACGCGTGTGGCATGGTATGGCAGAGGAGGGAGTGATCAAATGGGCCTGGGGAAGTTTTGGCTTGATCATTTGTGCCATACCCGTTTTTGCGGGAGGACTTTTGGGGATGGCTCCTGGTGATCTGGGTAGTAGGACTGAAGGTCGGTCCATGCTCATAATGGATGTCATAATCACTGATAATGAGGCTTTGTGACTAACAGAAGATTACTTTTGTCCGCCAGTGATGCTTTCGGTAGGGTCATGTACAGCTACAAGGTGAGTCAATCTATATTCACTTGATGACATGACGCTGAACTGTGTCTAGGAACTGGCAGAACTGGCAGGATACACTCAGAGAGTTTCGGATCTCTTAGACACCATGGACGACGTGAAGAATGGCAAATATCAAAAGAAGCTCGTCTCAAGTGCTAGTGTTGAAGATAACGAGAAGAGTGAGTCAACAATGTCCTGTCACTAGCTGATAGCAGTGTTACAAGGTCGAGGAAAGATAATAGAATCTGAGTCCATTCGATTCGACCAAGTACCCCTGATCAGTCCTAATGGAGATGTCCTGATAAGATCTATGAGCTTTCACGTTGAGCCAGGCAAACATCTTCTTGTGGTCGGTCCTAATGGATGTACGTCGTCAACCTATACTCTGACAACTTGACACATAGCTGATGGATAGGTGGAAAAAGTAGTCTTTTTCGTATACTCGGTGGCCTATGGCCAGTGTACGGTAAGTCTTACCTCGCCCGTTTCACACTATAACACCATGATTTAAGATATGGGATTGATGATGGACAGGCGGAACAGTATACAAACCTCCTTCCAAAGAATTCACATATATCCCACAACGACCCTATCTATGTAGCGGAACCCTCCGAGATCAGATCATTTACCCTCATGAACATTCTCACATGCTCGATCGAGGTGTGACCGACTCGGATCTACTCAGAATTCTTGAAGTCGTGGAAATGGGTCATATTGTTGAAAGAGAAGGTGGTTGGGATAGTCAACGTGAATGGCGTGACGCATTGAGTGGAGGAGATAAACAACGTATAGCCATGGCTAGGTTGTTTTATCATCGACCTAAAGTCCGTATAGAAGCTTTCTTTCTTCTTTTTTTCTGTGCCTCATACACATCACACAGACAGTGATCAGAAGAAATTTCTTTCGTCAGATTAGCTGATGAATAGTATGCGATTTTAGATGAATGTACCAGTGCCGTCACTCTTGAAATTGAGAAAACAATGTATGATCATGCTACCAGTATGTCCATCTTCTCCTTTATCCATAAATACGCTGACCGTATAGATCTAGGAATCACGTTGATGACTGTGAGTCATAGACCTAGTTTATGGAAATATCATTCCATGGTCTTGCAATATGACGGGATGGGAGGTTATGTCTTGTGAGTTGTTTTTCTGTCAGAAGCAGGAGTGATTAGGATTGAAGCTGATCAAGTAGTACCGAGCTTGATGCTGAGAAGAGACTAGCTTTACAGGAAGAAAAACAAGATTTGGAACATAAACTTTTGGAAGTACCAAAACTCCGAGCTAGATTGGAAGAATTACAAGAGCTCAAAGCGGAGAGAAATCGGGTCGCAGCTGCTTCTTGAACAACATCAACTTCAATTTATGTCATGAGTTGTAGCAGATAGATGCATGTTGTCACGTCTACAGCAATGGCTCAATGTCAATCTCCAGAGCTGAACAGGGGCGGGACAGTTCAAAGTGACCCAATACTTCCGGATGAAGGATACCCAAAGAGCCAAGAACGACATCCCTACTCGCTCCCGGTAAAGCAGCCTTCAAAGCTCCAGCCATCTTTTCCAAAGCTCCTTCACCCTTTTCCACCGCCGTTTGAGCGCTCGAATCGCTATGTTTCACATTGACATTGGGTTTCGGACGATAGAACACGGTGGCACCTCTTCCTGGAAGATACGTATCGTCATCTTGTCCCTTGATATAATACCCATACTCTCCCTCGTTAGACTCTGAATGGAGGAACGGTACTCCGAGGATCTGCATGATCCTATCCAACAGTCCATGAGCCACTTCGAAACCAGCTTTACGATCCATGTAAACCGCACATAGACGTCGATAGTTTCTGGCCTGTCGCTCGGCAGTAAGGTCTTGCATGGCGATATCGGATACTTCGAACACTTTGACAGGAAGAGGAAGCGCACGATTTTCTCGGATGGTCTTGAGCATACCGGGTAGTAAAGATGTACGGACGACTTGATACTCCATAGAAGCTGGGTTGGCTAAGACGATTGCCTGGCCACCTGGGTCTTTCCGTCGTAGCCAGGCGAAATTCTCATCATGAGAGCACTGCCATAATCAGCTTACGCGTCTGAAGGGATGAACGACATCACGACTTTGAAATTGTAAGAGGATATAGATATGCACGAACCAGAATAAGAGGTAATGCCTCTATCCAACCTGCCATTGCACACTCTTTCCTGACAATGTCCGCTAGTCGGTTCACCGCGAACGGCTGAGCTACCGTATTGGTCTGAGGCAGCTGCCTTGGTAAGTTGTTGAAACCGAAGGCTATAGCGGCGTCTTCCATTATATCACATTCGTGAAGAATATCTGGTCTCGTGCAGGGTATTTGTACTTCTAGATGTACATCGTCCGCGGTGGGTTTCCCGGGTACGGCAGCTAGCGACATGCGGGTAAGGAGAGTACATATCTCGTCTGGAGGAAGGAATAGACCAGTGGCGGCGTTAATATATTTCGTGGAGGCCGTGGTGAGACGAGGGGCGACGGAGGGTGTGAGATGGGACGTTCCATCAGGCATATGTATCTTCACTGGCTCGATGCTGAACGTCAAGGACATGTTATGGCCTCAAATCAGATACACATACGAGAAGGGGATTTGACAGTACTCAGCAAACATCGTAGCGACCATATTGATGACGATATCCCTGAGCATCAGCTTTGAAGCGTCGTCTCATAGAGGACCAACAATTTTGTTTTGTCCGTGGCAGTTGTGTCGATAAAGATATTCTTCGTCTTACCCGACACGATCTTGGAGTCTGGCAAGTTAGCGAGACTTGAGCGACCGCGAAATTAAGCTCACGTTGAGAATTAATGATAGGTGGCATTGATAACACTCGGTCATGCTTGTCATAAATGATAGGATAGGCCGGGGCATCTCTTATGATAGGAAGGTAGGGCTTCAAATGTCTGTCGGTCTGATGGTCAGCGCTTGTCTCAATCGTAGGATTGATGACTCACCTCGTAGATCGTCATGAGCTCTGCAGCTGTATGGACCGTGTCTTTATTTAAAGGAGCAAATTTGATCTCATGAGGATCTCGACACATATACCTAGGATTATCAGCTTTGTCGATCGTGACGACAGTCTGGCTGACCGGAATGGCCCCTCAATCGTATCCAAATCGTGTGTACCAATAGCAACAAAACGTCTCATACGACATAAATTTTGATGAAGCTTGTCTTGCAAGTCGATGAAAGAATCATATTCAAGGTCGTTCATTGGCCTAGCCAAACGAAGCACTGCACTCGCAAAGTGTGGCCGAAGGGGAGATGTCTATGCTTCAGCTTCGAAGATAGGTCCCGTATGAGATAAGCTCACTGAAGCTTCCACGAAGACCTCTTGTAGCTGAGCTACTTGTGAGAGAGAATAAGTAGGTGCAGTGTCCTTTTGTAAGAAGATACGAAGTGCTCTGGAAAGACCTTCAAGACAGAGCAGGTCGTATCTGACGTCAGCACCATCAACGCCATGTGGACGCAGTACTGACCTGTTGGCTGGTATTTCAATCTTGAGTTGAGGCGGAGAGGTGGGGAGGCCTTTTGCGAGAGCCGCTTTGACGTCTTCTGTCGTCTGAATGGTCAGTTGAAATTCGTGACGTGGGGCGAAGGGAAGGGGGACGTACATCTTCATCTAGCTCTATACCGAACTCAAAGCAGAGCTCATCGAATTCATGTGTTGTGTAATCTCTTTCAAGACGTCGCATGAGCTCCGCTTTATCTACTGTGATGGTTGGCTGATATTCAGCGACTTTCCTCGAAGGGGGCAGAGGAGACTTACCATGTTGGCAGACTCTGAGGATGGAGGGGCGTTGAGGAGGGGACGGTGAACTGTGGAGTCAGTGAGTACTTGGGGGCTTGTACCGAGTCAGCTTGAAAGCGATCTGACGATGCTCTGCTTATTTGATAGGTCCAGCAAGTGAGATGAGAAGGAGACAAGGTGGGAAGGAGGTGGTTGAAAGCGATCGAGTCAGTGGGTCCGAGCTCAATTCAACACTTTTTTTTTTCGTGGCAGCTTGCTTCCGCATCACCACACTATGTCACAATGTCACCTATATCTCAAGTCTTATCACACCCGTCTGCTTTGTGCTCCCGTAAGTCCTATGACAGCACTTGACTCCGACATGTCATAGCTAAGAACGTGGGGCCATATTCGTTATGAAAAATCCATGCAAGCGTCTTCATGGAATCTACACAAAAGCCCGCTGACAGAGACTTCTAATGCAGTGCGTATCCCACCAAGTGCAACCTCCCAATCATCTCCCCAAGGCAGAACAAACCATAAGTTTCCACCGCCTGTACATGAGCTAATCACGTCATTACTGACACTGTGACTCACAGCTATGCCCAATCCCGCCCATGCGCCGGAACTCAAAGCCGAACGCCAGAAAGTGAGTGAAGTTGCCGAATGCCAGATTTTGGCATAGGCGTTAGCCCACGTGGAGAGTTGTAGAGGTGGGGCGAGACGTTCGGCGATATAAACTTGACGACAGAGGGAGGCGAAGACTTTGGCGTTGAAGGTGAGGGGTTCGCGATAGCCTGTGAGGTTAGTAAAGGCTATGACTCAATCACTCCATCTTCTTATCGACCGATCGACATCTATCCACGCGAACGGTCCGTGGAGAGTTACTCTGATGAAAAAGAGGGGGGTAGGACAGAGGAGTGATTCAGGAATCAAGGAAGTTAGAGGTGAAAAAATTGACATACTTCCAAGAGCTGATCCAACTCGAGCTCCTACAGGACCCGAAACCCGCTGAACGGTCGCAGCGGTCTGCTGGGCGGCAGTCGAGGCTAATTCTAGAGCTCGTTGGACTTGAGGGTTGGTCAACGGTGATGAGCTAGCGTATCTTCTACCAGCCAGTCGGAAGGGTGGGAGAGCCGGACGCATCATTTTGATCCTTACTTCGTCTCCAACTTGAGTAGGTTCTTAAGGTCGTATAGTGACTTTTGAGGCTGGAAAAGGCTCGGATTGGAATTGCGGGAATACCCGGCGTTTTGACCACGTGGCTTGAACCATCTTGCTGGCGCTTTCTCAACTTGCAAAGCGTTGCTCTTCCTGGTTCCTATCGACATTTCAAACGTCTACATCGTACATAACATAGCTTCTCATTCTAAGAATTCCCGAACAGTATGAACAATCCAGCTATCACCAACTTGGTTATCTCCCTTGGAGCTATGCAAAGTACGTCCCCTCCCCCTTTCAGCTCACTCAGTCAACTACAAGTAGAGGAATGGCTGACTGACTCTTCATAGTCGCTCGTCGATTGCCATTAGAAGATCCGGAATTCATCACCTATCTACGGATAGGTTACGTCTCAGCTCAATTGATATCCTTCGGTATTTACTTCTATATCTTGACAAAGGTCAGTCCATCTGCCCCATACCTTGGCCCCATTCGTCAAAGAACAGCGGATGGGAGATGAGTGAGAAAGAAAAGCGCTGATCGTGAAGATCTGGAAGAAGAACGATTTAACGGTTTTGAAATACGTTCAACCGGCTTCCATGACTAATCCTGATGCGAAACCTGAATTGGTTACTTCGACAGTGGCGGATTATGATGCTTCTGAGACTAAAAAATCTATGAGAGGGTTGTTCATCGGAATTGCGATGATGGGTTTCCTTGTGAGTTCCGTGCTCTACTGCTCGTAATTTCCCTTCTCTAACTTTTACCTGCGGTTCTTCTGCGTCTCATTGCCAAAAAGCTCTTTTGTCTTACCCATTCTCGTGGATCAAAGTATAACCCTCAGAGGAGGCGGTGTGTAGACAAGGACAATGGGCCAGGTTGAAGAGATCATACTTGTCAAGCGAGACTTTAACCAGCACCCGCGGCAGCGAAGAATCGGGTGATGGGTGAAAGAGAAGAAGACTGACTTATAGCACTTCTACATGAAATACACACAACCACTTTTCGTTCAAGCGCTCATGACCGTCAAAGGGGTCTTAGAATCCAACGAAGCCAAACTTCACATTTGGGGTTCAAAACCTGAGGGTCCTCTATCTCGACCGTTCAAGACGCAAGGTGGATTCATGGAGTCTTTGACGGGTCAAACACAGGGTCCTCAGACGGATGCGGCGGCTATCAAAGAGGCAGAAAAGGCTGGGAAGAAGAACGACTAAGATGGTCTTGAATGTAAAAGATGATATCGGGGTGCACAAAGTGTTGGATTGAGGGAGATGTCCAAACGAGAAGGGTAGGATGTTGCGACTCGTCGTAGATGGGCGACCTGGAAGATCATCTTTCGGAGTGTGAGACGGTAGAGCGATAGGGGAGTTGGACGATCGGTTCACTGTCCATCGCAATCAATGCGGCATGCGATATAAGGATGCATACCTAAATTATATATGCAGTCACCTAAACCGACTCTCATGACCGACCTGCAGGTGGTGTACCCGATGATCCAGGACGTAGAGCTTGAGTAAGTGAAATACTATTTTGTCTCGGATGCATTGGTAAACCGGGGGGACGATCCGTCATGGCTGATACGCTACTACTGGACGACAATCGTCTTGGTCGGGAAAAGGGAGTGCTGGTTCCTGTGACGGGAGGAGAGTATGAGACGGAATTTGGAGGAGGTGAACGGAGTGGGGAACCTGATTGAGGGTTTGGATCTGGTCGAGAAGGTTGACCTTGGGATGCTTCTTTTAAAAGGAATTCGACGAACAGGTTGCTGAATGACTGTTCATTGTCAGTATTGGGTTCATACATCTCTGCTCTTCCCCCTGTGACCGAGATGCGATTGGGAATCTTTGTGGGTAAAGTGTGATTGTCTTTCCAAGGGATCACTGAGGACTTTGTGAAAGTTGAAAGAGAAGGGAGTTTCGAAAACTTGAACGGGGAGGACACAGTAGAGATAGAAAAGACATTACTGACCTCATTCATTGCAGCCTCTTCTTCCGCACTCCTCCCAGAACCTTGTCCACTATCTTTCCGTCTAGTCTTCGGAGTCGGCACTTTTCCTATTCTCTGTAAACCCGCTTTCTCTCTCTCCGTATCATCCCAAGATAAGATAGTAGAAAGTATTGACAACATCTCGAATCGTTTGGAATCATGTCGGGACGTGGTCAAAAAAGACAACAAGATGTTTGTCACTAATCTTCTATCCACATTATCCGAAGATTGGTTTTTCCGTAACCGTCTCAAAGCTTCTGTGAGATGTTCATTATTGACCACGGCTAGATGTCAGCGCAAAATAGATACTTTCTCATTCGTCCTTCGATGATATAATTCCTCGAATCTATATTGAACGAGTAAATTCAAGAGAAAAGCGGCAATGGACTCACCCTCATGTCGTAACTTTGCAATCGTCTTGTTCTTCTCTCTGACGTCTAGTTCCAGAGCTGACGCTCTTAAAGCATCGTTTGACACTTCGGATAGTCTCGTCTCGGCGTTAGCAGCACGAAGTTTGAACTCTGATAATGAAGTGGCTGCTAGTCGAAGTTGTGTTTCGAGTTCGGTAGTAGCTTGTCTGAGCTCTGAATCTTTGGCTGAATTGTTAGTTGACATCTGACTTTTTTCTGCATCCCCCCACGCCGCTGTCTGTCTCCCAAGACTTGTCCAGCACAAAGGCGACATGACGTTGTGCCTCATTCTTGTCAATGTGTCCTTGAGCTCATACGCTGTTTGAGGAAACAGAAATGTCGGTTGCCTAACTAAGACCACCCTATCGTATGGGATAAGATATGTGAAGATGAAATGTAGAGGAGATGAGTTGAAGTATGGACTATCATCACTCACCCGCTTGAAACTCTCCTAGAACCTCTTGTAAATTCCTAGCTCTTTCTCTTTCCATTTCTAACTCTTCCCTTGCCCTTTCCCATTCTCTCCTCATATCCCTCTCTCTTCTTTCTAACAAATTCATTTCCTCCTCCGTCGCTTCCCTCCTTTCTCTCTCTTTCGAAGCTTCCGTCTCCCATTCTTCTCTTTCTACCCGTAATCTCTCCATCTCCCCTCTTAACTCTCTCATCTCTCTTGTAAGAGATAAAACATCCGATGATGAAGAATCCGATTGAGAACGTAATTGTTGTATTTGATTTTGCAAATTTTGAGATTCTTGACTGGCCGATACGAGTTCTTTCTGAAGTGTTGATATTGTATTTTGTAATGTTGCATTGTCAGTTGTTAGAGAATTTATAGTGTTTTCTCTTCTATCCAGTTCTTCCTATTCTCTCAGCTTTTCCTCTTGTCTCCTCACATCGATCGTGAATATCTGCACAAAGAGATAATGATAGTTGAAAGAGTGATGAAAGAGTGAAAAAAATGTTCCAGAGATTGTCAACTCACAGCATCTTCTTTCAATTTTTCACCTAAACCTTGTCGCATAGCAGTCAATTTCCCAAGTAAAGCTCTATATTGAGCTTGTAACACATCCTTCTCTTGTCTCACCGCCAAGAGCTGCGACTCGAGTTGCCCCGTTCTGTCCGATATGTCCATGGACGACCTAGGTGTGTCGGTAAGTGCGGGTGACATATTGTTCTGAGCGGTCGAAGGAGGTGACATAGGATTCTTGTCGGTCGAAGGACCGGCAAGTGGAGGAACGTCATGGATTGTCTCTGGGTCTGAGGGCGGTGCGGGAGGAGAGGAGGGTGGATGAGCATTGTCTTGAGAGTCATGATGAGAGCCATTGGTGATGATGTCTGGATCCATGTTCGCTCTCAACTATATGATGCAAAGATGGAAGATGGCAAGAGAGATGAAGGAGAGATAGGTGACTTCTCACGTGTGGATATTGCAAAGTCGGTTGCTCGGTTGGGCGCGTTTACTGAGAGTAAAATCCGCAGTTTGATCTTTCTTTCTGCAAGTGACGGCGTACTGGAGTAAGTGCAGTATATCATTTGCAGTGCCATAGTACGGATAGACAAGCAGTGAAAGAGCATCATGCATAGACATCACATCTCGTCAAAAAAGTTTCGTACTTCATTCGTCTCTCATCGTACTAATCGCTACATTTCCTTCTTCCTTCTTTCCAACAACAGTCCTTTTCAGAGTAAAACATTTGCAAGTCGTTCTCATCAACATCGACAGAAATTACAGCTGGTGTCCATGTTTCTCATCGTCCGTGATAGGATCGAGCTCATGGGCTTGGTACATGCCAGAGTCGCGTAAACCGCGTAGAGCGTCTTTATGCGCCGACTTGGTAGCGTTCGCTTGGAACTTTTTTTTATCCTTCTCCGAGGCTGTGTGTTAAATTGAGTTCCTATCTCACATCGATTAATTACTCATAGAGCAGCTCTCTGGACTTCTCATAGGGTTCAGGGCACAAGAAGCCATATAAGTGAAGGTTCTGAGGTAAAAGGAAAGAAGGTAAGGAGGATCGAATGAACTCACTGAATGGAAGACCTTTTTCTTCAATGAGTTTCACGACGTAGCCTGCGGATAGTCCAGCAACCATCTCCTTGCCCCTAGCATGAGTAGGCTATCATTTCAGCATGAATCGTCCTTTACTTCATCTCTTCAACCTCCACACGACTAGATAACTCCTTCACGTCCTGTATCCATCCGACTATGTCAAGTCACATCTTCTCGAAGGCAATTTCCAATCGAGACATACTCCTTTCGACCTACGACCGTTGATACTCTTCATCAATGTGGAAAGTGAGTGTCGTTAATGATGTAAATGAATTGGAGGGAGGTGAGGCGACTCACTCTTCCACCTCCATTCTCAGACTGATGATGTCTATAAGCCTTCAATGCTTCAAAAGCCGCCGCCGCTCCAACTACTTCATGTGTGAAATGCGCCTTCTTCTCCACCGGAGCCTCAGGTTTGACAGCCAGAAATTCGTCGCGTTGTATAGCGAGAGGGTGGGAAGAGACGGTTGGGTCTATTTTATGTTTGATTTCTAAATATGAGTTCCTGTCCAAGCTTATAAATTCCCGTATGAGTCCTGTTCGACTACACTTCCACCTCTAGTTCCAATGCGTCTAGATCCATGTGAGAGACGAACAGTGACTTAGAACGTACACCCAATAAACGAATGATGGACTGGGAAAGGAGGAAAATTGCCACTCACTGTTAAGAAGACCGGGCATTTTGATATAGCTGGGTGGATGTAGGGGTGAACCGGGGTTTACTTATGATAGTTGGCCGAATGTATCTGTACGAATTTGAGATGTCCAGATAGATGAGTGTGTTGAGAAGGTGGAAAAGGAGGCTCCTGACTTACTCTTATACCCATCGTCATGTTGGGAGCAAGCCAAGGGCCAAGGATGTGGGGGGAGGAGCCGAAGGGAAGATTGCATCATGACGTCAAACCCGGAGTGCCTCGCCGGATGACGTCAACCTTTTCAACCCATGTCCGAAGAGTGGTTTTGTTTGAACCGCTCCATCTTTCGATCAAGGCCTTATTCGTACAGTAGCTATTATTGTAGATGGAAATGGTGGCTGGTCTTCAGAAGTTGGCTTTGTCCCGTGGGTAAGGAAGAATTAGAGGTATGGAATGAATAGGATAATCTTAAGTCGATCACTCCCTCCAGTGGCATCTCGTTCGCGCTCCACTCACTTCTCTCAGTTTGTTCCCCTTTCAGCCCGGTCGCATGCCGCATTACGCGCATTGGCGTCAGATAGATGAGCAAGTGGTCCCGCCAAACAATGGTCGCTCATGCTGGCAGTTCACAATGCACAATGCATGTTCTTCTATACAGATCATTATGGTATGATTGGGCAAGTGTAACAAATTCACTGGTCATGGCATGAAAGTGTCGACGTCATCAAGGGGTTTTGGGCCTGCCACAAATTAGCTATAGCCGATAGACGGGAATTGACGTTGATGTACTCACCAAAGCCCGTCATCCTGGAAATCTTTCACGATCACTTTCAGCTCTTCCACTTCTATTCTCGGTTTGATTGGCTTGAAACCAAGAATTCTACGGGCTTTCGAACTGTCCAGACAGATGGCAAGCTCTGCGTCACATCAGTAAATGATACACGAGAAGTGGTGACTTACTCCTGAATGCATGTTCGTCCAGAAAAGGTGTGATCGGTGTCAGTGTTATGGGAGGTTCTGTGGCTGCTAGCATTTTTGCCCATGCCTCGACATGCAGCTCGTTGACATCTTCGACCATTTCGAAAAAGTCCGTCTGACGGTCAGTTTGCCGCTATATTCCACTATGGGACAGCGTGTTCAAACAAGCATTAGGCGAAATGAAAGGAGGATATAAAAGTCCTCCACACACCTTGGCAAATTGTTGTACCAAAGAAGCAACTGTACTCCCCAGAAACCCATACTTGATTCCCCACACTTGAGCCACAACCTTTGCTAGCTTTTCTTGCGTCGCGTCGTCGTCATCGACCACGTTGAAAAGAGGTACCACCACCGTCGCTTTTTCCGGCACGACGGTGGACACTGTTTTCCACATTTCCGACATACTGTCTCGTTTGGATGATGGCATGAGGGAAAACCCTGAAGATGATTCCGGGAAAGAGAAAGGTATTTCGACGCCGCATTGAAATGTGACCGTCTCTCGTGGAGTGTTGAGCAGATACAATGCAAGGAGGTAGAGGGCTTGGGAAATGTCGATGGTGTTAATGGTGTTGTATCGAAGATCGGGATTATGCAGGAATTTCATCTCCTCATTCCTACTCTGTCAGTCTTATCTCAGAGGAAGACGGGTCTGGCCAGTTGGGCGAGGTCAACTTTTTGTGAAGAAGTAAGGGAGGGGAAACTCACAAGGACTTGTACACATGCCCTATTACCAACCTCGCAGTCACTTCCCCTTCCCACGTTCCTCGACCATACATAGCTCCACTACGTATCACTCCAAAGTTCAGGTTACTCAATCTTCCAATACCTCTTACAGTTTCATGCCACCATCTCCCTCTATCACCATCAGGTTTGAGATTCGCCGTCTCCGCATGACCGGCGGAAGATGAAGGCAAAGATTTCATTTCGTAGAATGGGAATGTAAGTCGGACATAAGCTCCCGGTCTGAGCTTTGGATCAAGTTGAGAAGCTGAAGTCGCTAATGATAATGCTATTTGATACGTGTTGGATATTTGGATCTACCAATCAGTAAACCGTCCTTTCTGCGTCGAGGAAGACTGACCAATTCTGATTTGTCAAACGCTGGCTCGCCCGTGAGGTCAAATACCACGTCAAAGTTTTCTTTTTTGATAGACACACCGGCCCATTCTGATGGAGGAGTAAAGAGCTCCGTATGACGAGATGTATTGGACAGATTGATCTGTTTGTATTCTATAGGAGATGATGGAGCGTCCAGGAGAGTTAGGAAAGGTTTGTCTAGGTATCTACATCATCATTTGTGTACTTCCGGGTAAGGGAGAAATGAAACATACGTTGTTGGGGGTTTGAAAGAGAACCGGTCAACTAGTCTGATATACTGCGGAGCATCAGTGTCTACAGAAACAGGGAAAGAGGTGACATACCGAAGCCAACTTCTTGTCTCCGCCAACCAGATAATGGATGAGGGGCCGAGATACTGTAGTGGTACCGCCTACTGGTCAATCAAATAGAAGACATCGGTAGCTCACCCAGTATGAGAATGACCAAAGGCTTATCCGGTACGGGTAGTTTTGATGACATGATAGATCAGTAGGGCCCCCGAGAGGAGGGAGAGGGAGAGGGACGCGTTGAGGTGGTGAGATAGACGACTGTCTAATTCGGATCTTGCGGAGTGTCCGACTGGTTAGATGGTGAGAACGACAGAAGAGATGATTGAGGAAAAGAGAACCAGTCGTGTCATTATTATTATTATTATTGCAAAAGTGGTTAGAGCAAAGACACTACACGGAGCATAGTGCGCACTGATCGCTTGCCTTTTTTTTTTTTGTTGTGAGCTTGTTTCAGCAGGAGAAGACCGTGTATCAAAGGGAGTCATTTGATCATCAGTTCCACCGTCGGCATCGAGCCTCCTGCCTTCCGCATGGTTCCGAGTGAACAGCTCGTAGGTCCCAGATCGCAGAGGAGCTCCTGGGCAAATGCTTTGTAAATTGTCGAGGGGAACAGAATAAACGCAGAATTCAAAAGTGCGACAGTTGTCCGGTTGTCAATGCTACAAACGCGGTTCAGGGTCGGCGTTTTGTCCGACAGCCATGGCATCGTCAGGAGGCAGGAATCCATCAACTCACCCCCTCCGTCGTCGAGATTATCCAAAAGGTCGATGACGGACACCACCAGGAAAGCTAGCAGACCTTCGCTACGCTCATGATGGTTAAAGATATCAGAGTCCCAGATCACTCAAAGGTGGAAGCAGGAACCCGGAATGCAAATGCCACTTCAATGCATCCAAACGATCTATATGCTCGAACCACCTAGTGATGTCCGTTCTTGTGGTACTTTAGGTGCACTAGCGGTTAGCGAAGCCCACTCTATGACAAGTTGTAGTGTCAAATTACATTCCCGAGTACAGACGATGAAAGGGTCGAAGATGGAGATGGGAAGTCGGCTACACGACCAGAGAAGTAAGGGTCAGGTTCAGTCTCCGAACCCGATAGTAGAAGCTGTAGGGCAGGCTAGAGGGATTCATGCCAGCTCCAGCGTAGAAAAGGCGGGGTGATTGCAAGGGGATGGATATAACATCACTCACTGTTGTAATCAATGGTGTATCCGATGCCGAAGAGGATGAAGATGGTCGCTAAGATGGGTGCACTATCGTATAAGATTTGACTGTTTTCCCCATCACTCTCACTCTCTGTCTCTCTCGCATGAAAAGGCAGAACAAGGCTTCGGATAGACAAGTCATGTAGCGATGTTTTGGCAAGCAAGGTGTGAATTACTCACCCGCTCGCATTCTTCCCCTCAAAGTACCTGCCTCTCAAGCCACCCGGTCGCTCAGAATCGGGCCTAGGACCTTTGGGGAGCTTGGAGTAGAAATCGATGACTGCGGCCGTACGAGCTGAGGTGGAACCAGACGACTGATCGTAAGCCTTCACTCCTGATACAAGCCATGAGAACAAGTGGTATCTTCAAGCCACGCGTGAACAAAAGCACTCACCACCGCGGAAGGAGTAGCGATTTTGGGAGGAATGAGACCAGCTAGCGATCGACGAGCAGCACTTGGTAACATGATGTCTACTCTCCTTGCGACAGTTGGCAGAGGAAGATGGACACTTGAGTCTAAGGTTGTTACAAACGGGAAGAAGCGGAATGCTTGCGGCGACCGTTAACCCCGTAATTGCAGCGAGTGTGGCACTTTCACCGTGACGACCGTCGCGACTTTTTGAGCCTTGGTCTCTCGAGATATATTAACCTAACAACCATACTGCTGCTTGCGACTCTCTGGTCCCACAATCACCCCCTCCTCATACGCCATGCCGACTCTCATCTCCACACACGAGAAGCTCAAGTGGCCTAGGTCAGATGGTGATCCCTCTCGTTGGCCAGCCCGCGAGCTCAGTGGCATCGCCGGGTGGTTCGAGCGATGTACTCCAGGCGACACCAAATATACTCTGTACGAGGAGAAGGTGGGGCAAATGTTAGCGGAACATCTTGGCATACCTGGTAACGGTGCGCTTCGTGTTGAATACTGCTCTTCAACTGCTCTTCAACATGGTAGTAGCTGATCAGAAGGAACGACTCATCGAATCTCATTACCTGAAGGTTACGCCTTATACAGTCATAACAAACCTCAGAGCGAAGGTTCGATACGTACAGACGTTTATCTCTACGTGAGTCTGTCTGCTCAACTTGTCAAATAATTGACGACTGAACATCAGGGCTCTACACATGTCACCAAATTCCGATCACCGGCGGAATTCTTTGAACATGCTCAATGGCTTTTTGACACCTCGCGACCTCTTTCCGACCACACCAGATGTGAATGCAGATACAATTCGACTTCAACTATCGCCCAGGCTAAGAGACAGAAAAATGCAGGTGGATCTCCTGCCATGAAACGGGTTTCAGGGGCCGATGGTTCTGGATCTAGGAAACGTGCAAAGGAAGACGATGGCTCAGAAGATATGGATCAGACGGCAGTGGTTCCGTTGGAAAGAACCACAGATCTTCAAACTGGTAGAAGGTTCAGAAAAGGCGAACTGGTATGGATGCGTATATCTACCATTACACCACCTATCGATCATCCCAAAAAAGGGTTACCGTCTCTGACCCATTGGCCAGCTCTGATCGCCGACATCAGGACGGCTACGAAGACGATCACTGAGGGAGCAACAGATGTGGCTTGGACATCAGCTATGGGTCCCCCTCCACCGGGAGTACAAGTTAAGACAGTTGTAAAACATATCATCGAACATCATCTCCGTCCCCTTGGATTATTCGCACAAGCAGACGAAGTGGTCAAAATCTCAAAAGATCTTCTACCGTGGCAATTAGGGAATGAGTTGTTGGGTGGAGCAGAGGGATGGCTCGCGTTGGGCGAAGAAGGTACTAGGATCATCAAAGAATCAGTGGAGAAAGAGACAAAAGCGGACGGAAAGACATCACATGATTTGTCATTGGAAGAAAGATGGAGGGCGAAATGGGGTAAAAGGTGGAGATTTCTTGAATTGCCACAGGAGTGGGAACTGCAAGTTTTTCGGATTGGTGTGGCTTTGAAAACTGCACATGTGAGTCGATTCGCATATCATTGACCGTGGATCTGTGCGAGGAGTCGTAACGCTGATAAGTAAGGCCATCACCAATTCCTGGACACAGACCGACCGTATAGAAGCCGATGTCATTTTCGGTGCAGAGGTCAACCCTGAGGATGCGAGGAAGATCATGTCTCAAGAAAAGACATTGTATCAGGGGTTATGGTGGGGTGGTGAGAGGATATGGTGTGATGATATGGTACGATTGAAGAAAAATCGATCGGAATTGCCAGTGGGCCCATTGAAAGCTCCTTCTCCTGGGTCAGAAGATCGAGCAGTGTTGCTAAAAGTTCGGTCAGTTTCAGTTTTTTTCATTTGTGACAAGATGACGATATGGTTTTGGGGTGAAACGAGCTAACTGGTAGCGTTATCACGGTTGAAATCACCCCAAGTACAGATAAAGAAACCTCATTCCTTTGCTTATGTTATGGCGACTTGTTCGAAGTAGCCGACGCTAGTAGTGAAAAGTCCACCACCCCATCACAACCTCAACAGTCCAGCCAGCTCCTAACGGATAAGCCTCCGAAAGGGTACGAATATCGACAGCTCAATGATCCGGGATTCGAGGTGACGTGCGATGTCATAGGTGAGTGTTTTCATCTTGAATCATACACGTCCATTACACCATCCAAAAAGTCAATCATGCCTCGCCCAAATCTGATGAGAATTTTCACGCTGTCTCTCGGACAGATTGTTGACATAACAGATATTGCCGGTAGACTTTACTCTGATCTTCTCGATGCTAAAACCCAAACTTTCTTCCTTGATCCTGATTCACCCGACTTGAAGAAAGGCAGGATAGCACATGGTAATTCTGTCAAAGCTCTCTTAGGGCTTAAACCAGGTATGACAACAGCCAGCAAATCTGAACATTGGATGGGTGGGTTGTTTCTCTCCTTTCCCTATATTCACTTTCTTCTCCCTTCAGGATGATTCAGCCACTCATGATTCTATGATCAGTTGGGTTTGTATAGTGTTGGAGATCCAGCTGAGATAACAGAGGATCTATACGGCATAGTATCAGAGGCCAACAGAAAGACAGAAAACGACTTGAAAACCTTTTACGGGAAATTGTTGATGGAACGCGGTATCAGATTCCCTATTCGCAAAGCTTCAAATGGTACAGAGGTCATTAATACAGTGACCAATGGTGTACCTTCCACTTTGGCCGAAGCGATCGGTGTCAAATGAATAGGAGCAATCGATTGTTTAGCTGGATGAAGGAGAAAATGATTATAACGAAGTTTTCGTCTATTCTTGGTGAGACGAGTGAATAGATAGATCAATTCTAGCATATGTAAATATATTTGCTTGTACCGTACGATCAAGAAAGACAAACTGCAATTCAATCTGGCATGTGTATGACATCTGAAACATCTTACATTGATCACTATTCTTTTCCTCATACATCATGGTCTCATGGGCTGTACTCGTAGAAGAGGTCGTAACTGTATCATCAGTCACTGTTTCAATGGCATGAGTAGGGCACAGGTGAAGAGGGGAAAGGGCAAAGAGCCAGAAGGGAGGTTGATACGATGATGAGTCAAAATATAGGATGAGGAGAGAGGTCAGAGTGAAAGAAGAATATGAAGGGAACGTACCACTTCCACAAATAAAGGTCGCAATTCTTCCACCGCTTTGGTCTCAGGAGGTTGCAAAGTCTCAACTGGAGTCCTCCTTTTTCTCCCCTTCTTCCGTTGCGTTTGTCCAGTGGGTTGTACAGGACTATGACCATGACCATGCCCTCTTGCCGTTGAAGGAGTAGGAGGTAATTCCTTTCCTTCCTGCGTAATCTTCCTTCTGATATCTAATGAACTACGTATTTTCTCCAAACTTGATCTTCCCGAACCTCCTGATCCTCTACGTTGTCTCTCTTTTTCTTTGAAAGGCGACAAAAGTGGATCGTGTATTGCTGGTGAAAGGTTTCCACGAATTTGGTTGATCGGAGGAGGAGGATTTGAAAGTTTAACTTGTTCAAATTTATGAGATAAAGAACTTGTTTCACTTTGAGTATCATCCCCTTGATCTAAATCACTATCATCACTTTCTTCTTCATCCGCTATCTCCCCTGCATCTCCTACTGCTGTCTCACTGATATTGAGGCTGACCATGACACTATCAATCAAAGCTGCTTCTTCATCCGTTTGACCTTCACTTCGTTGGAATCGTCTTCGAACTTTTTCTTCATGAGCAATTTTAAGTTTGTAATGATACTGAGCGACGGCGTCAACTTCATCCATAATTACCCTTCGTGTATCCCCCCCATGAGGTAAGATGATTTCCAAATCGATCGGTTGAGGAAGACCATCGCGAGCGTAATTGAGGAACAGCTCGATCCATGACATTAAGGAATCGAACAAGCCTTGTCCTTTTGAATGCACATTGTGTACAAAGGTGTAGAATGATTGTTCGTGTCGTTGTACGAGGTCGATAAAGGTTTGAACCGTTCGTTGAGGGTCTTCTTGAGATAATTCTTCCACTTGTTCGACGGTACGGATCATATCATTCAAGAAACTCTGAAGATCGCTCAGAGAATCAGCGATGGAGGCCGCTTTATAAACTTGTGCCAGGGGTGTGTAGAAGATAGTAATGATGTCTTTGAGCAGTTCCGCAGTGGTTCCCTATCTGTCAGCAATGTATCCTTAATCTGCTCTCTGTCTGATTACACTTGAGAATTCTTGGGCGGCGGGAGACCTGCGAAGGAAATGAGGACGAGGAAGAGGACGAAGAGCAAGAGCACAGCCTCACCTCGAATATCAACGCCAACAATTGCTCTTTCTCCCTCTTACGCATACATAATCTCAACAGTGTCATCAGATCCTCGAACAACCATGCGTCCTCATCTTCCGGTCCCAAATCATCGTCTGAATCATCCAATTCCGCCTGAGCCAGCTTGTACGACTTCCAAGCCCTAGACGCTCGATATGCTCTTTGAAGTTGTGGTCTGGATAACGTGGGCATATCAGGTGAGCGAAGGATGACAACGAGCAAATCGACACCTTCCATGGCGGCATCTTTTCGGAAGAGCTCCTGAATGTCGTAAGGTGCATCAGTGTACTGCTGTATCTTTTGACACAAAACAGGGTCGTCGACCTTGTCCATTACGGTTTGAATGTCTTCAGCTATCAGACGAATGTCCTCTGTGAGCGATTGTGAGAACATTCTGCGACACATTAGCTGATGCTTTTGAACAAGAGGTGGCTCACTTTTGAAGTAGCGATTGACCACCAAATGGCCGAGCAAGAAAGAGATCGAGGATGCCTGGCCATCAGTATCTACTGATGATCCAAACGGATTTACCCACCTCGAATCATAGCCATGGGATTTGATATTCTCAAGATACCCTTTAGGACAAAATAAGGCATCAGTCCATGTAGCCTTTTCAACGACGCCAGTGTGTCTGATGCAGTATCAGATGCCACAAAGATGTTGAATATGGTAGCTGCCAGACTTTCTCTCAGTAACGTCTCCCAAGACGGATAAATGAAACTCACGAGATCCGACCCCATTCTAACACGCTTGCCTCAGCTTTGGGCAGATCTTCCACCTTTTCCACCCTTCTGACAATATCGAAAACTTTTTTCAAACCTCCCTCTTTTGCTAAAACGTCGCCTTTAAACAGCGCCAAACCTTCTCTCAGGGCTTCGATACGTTTCTCTGCCTCCAAACGGAATCTTCTCCGTCCCTCTTCGCGCACTGCATCTGCCTCCAATCTCCTTTGAGAATCGAGAGCTTCACTCGGAGTGAGGGTGGTAGGACCTGACAGAAGGAAGGATCGCAGAATAGGCGAGTCGATGATCAGCGGAAGACTGATGATACCTTGCAGATATGCTCGAAGAGTTAACCGATTCTTCTCCCTGGATAGAGGAGTGGGCGAGGCAGTTGAATTGACCGAAGCTGTATCGGCGATAGTAGGAGATGCACGACCAGAGGGAGGATTGGCAGGATTAGGTGAAGAAGTGTACCAGGATCGAAGTGGGTTATACGATGGGCTGGCAGTGGGAGAAGTGACAGTGACTGTCTTATCTTTCGGCGGTGGAGGAGGTAGTTGATAATCTGGAAAAGCTATGCGGAGCTCGTCGGCTAGACGTTTGAAGTCACCATATCTTCTCGAGACAAACACATCTTGAAAACCATTTCGGCGCGTGCGTATAAGGAATTCCTTCTCGTCAGCAATGAATACGTACGAGGGGAAGTACTCACTTCGTGATGACGATTTCGTACTCTACCCTTCTCCGTGACCATTCTTACGCCAATCACATTGACATCAAAACCAACATCCACTCCCCCCGGTGGTGGAGGTGCACCACCCAAAGATGGATCTCCCGTGACGTACCCATCCATCTTTTCCATATCAGCACGTTGTCTTTCTATCCATCTCCTTCTCCTGGCTTGTTGTTGAGCTTCTAATCTTCTCAATTCCGCTTGACCGATCCTCACCACCTCTTCTCCTCCAACAAGTTTGATACCAACTCCAATCATTAAAGCGAGATGTTTCTCCACTTTTGCCCATAGTTTCACCTTGTCCGCTTCCTCCTTCTTTTCCTCTTTGGTCATCATACTCTCGGCCGCTTCTTTTTCCGCAGGCGACAATTGACTTCTTGTGCTAACACCCGTGGAAGCCAGGAATGAGGATAGAAACGGTTGTACTTTTGCCGACCAAAATGTGGGAGGAGCAGTGGCAAGGAACGGAAAGGGAAGGAGGAATTGATGAAAGAGGAATCGCATGAGAGGTAAATCTCCCACACTATCAGAATCCGCTGCACTAGGTAATCTCGCCTTGGCCATCTGTTTGACAGCTTCGGGTAAGACGAATGGATCTCCCAGTAGTCCCAAAGCATTAGCACCCAGCACGGGATCCGTGAGAAGATCCAGCTCATGATTTATTTGCAGATTGACCAGGGTTTTCTTGAGATAGTGTGCGCGGAGAGGAGTGAGAGTGAGTGGCGGAAGGAACTGGTCAGTCACGGGGAGAGAGGAATGATAGGGGAGTAGATGTGAGGCAGAAGACTGTGCGCCTATAGAAGATGGAGGAGGGGGAAGATCACGAGTAGGTACTGGTGGTGGTGGAGAAGGAGGAGAAGTGAAGCCTTGAGACAAGTCTACGGCGTTGATGGCGGCTGCATCTTCATCAGGAGGGGGTGGTAGAGGTCGATCCGGTCTGGTTGACTTTCGACGGCGAGGTTGATAAGGCAGGCTTTTTGGATCGATATTGGACATGTTAATGAGAGTGAAGATGTATAGAAGCCCTGGACCCCTTTGAAGATGGTGAATGACAGGAAGGATGGAGTGACAACAGATGAAACGTGTGGGTCAACGGTCAAGGAGGCATGACGTCGGTACGTCGTCCGGGTTGGCATGTGGCGATGAAGCAAGACGACTGCTTAAGTCAATTCGCAAGGAGAGCATGGGAGCCGCTATCAGCACAAGTATCTCTATGCGGCCTGCGATGTGCGACATGAAAATGCAGCTGTCATCTGAACCAGGCGACATGGACGCTTGCAGTGATTTCTATTAGTGACATTACAACGAATCGAGCTGAGAATTTATGCTAGGTAGTACATTGTCCGTCTCCTGTCTCCTTATGCTTGCGCAATCTTGGCAGCCACCACACTCTCATTCCGTAACCTCTCCTTGTTGGCTTCGAAGGCTTGTTCTCTGCATGCTTGCATTTCCGTGCTGTGATTGTCAGTTCTCGATACACCCCTAGTATGAACTGCCAAGTAATTGGGTGAAGCACTAAAATTACCGAAAGCGGGGTGAGAAACGTATGAAGATAGGGTGGGGGGTGGATAAGACAAGAATCTTTCAGAATGGATGATTAGAAATGATGACTCACCACTTATGTGCTTCTGGAGTTCGATGCGCACTGCAGAAAACCCGTAAACAATGTGGACATTCACCCGCTATTCTCACAGCGGCACTAGGACATTGAGTGGGGTTCGCAGTCATTTGAGGTTTGATATTCGGATTCACTTCCGGACCTTGGCCTCCTGCTGGTGGATTACCGACGACGGGGATGTTGTAGACGACTTTGAATTGACAACGTTTCTTGGCGGGCCTGTTGGTAGGACGTTTGGTTTTATCGGTTTGTGTCAAAGCGTTGAGAAGTTGTTCAGTCGACCAACAATCAGATTGTTTGGACATGGTGTAGGGAGATGATGCGAAGTATGAAGGATAAAAGGTGGTTATTAGGTTGAGTATGAGAGTGTTTGCAAGGATGATGGTGTTGAAGAGGATGGGAGGAAGATAATGTCAGCTCTGATTCATCTTATAAGCCTTTAGATATGAATCCCACACTGTGACTATCCGAGCTCAATAGATGAGAACAGTATACGGAAAGGGAAGTGTGACAAGCAAGCATAAATGATATTATGTATGTCTTGAATGTATCTAAACATGGTAAGAATTCGAACTTACATTATGGCAACGAAGAAAGATGCTCGAAAGGGGAGGAGTGATCGATGATAAGTTGGGTGGCAAGTGACGAAGTGACGGAAGGTGTGAGTAAAGAGGACGATGTATATATATGTGCGTGTGTATGAGCGATGAAGATTCTCTCTAAAGATCTATCGATGATTGAATAGAAAGATGAACGATATTGATTCTATATGTGAAGCGATGATAGTATAGAAGCGAATAAGAGAAGTGAGAGTGAAGTGTTGAAGGAAAGATAAGCAAAAGTCTTGAACGGCCACGAGTCGATTACGTCCGCTTGCGTGTCCTTTAAATCCCTTAAGTACTCCTTGCCTCCTTCCCGTAGGCCGTTGGTCCGTTGGTCCGTTGGTAAGCTTTGGTTTTTGAGGGTCAAGTTGAAACCCTCCAGTAACCCTAGTACCCCTATTTATCCCGGTTCGGGTCTCTCAATCTGATCCTTGAATCTTCCAATCCCTTACAACTCCAGACACAGGATTACAAACGATATTCTCGGTCACGCGATTGACGGTGGATAAGCTCAGATCACACTGGTAGCTTCGATAGGTTGATGGATACGTGGTTCTAGCTCAGTTGGTCGGTTCTCGATAGAACACGCCAGCGTGTTCGGGGGAAATGGAACAGAGTGGGAGGAAGAGAACAAAGCATGCATTCACCTTCTATCACCTACAACACAACAAGGGGGGTTGGTGGACAAAGGATAAGAGCTGACAAAGCATGGAGACCAACACCGCCTGCGTTCGATTCGACCGCCTCGAGATTGATAGCTACGACCGACGGGATATGCGTGGCCATGCGTGGGATATAGACGATAAACGACGTGGGGGCATGCTGCGTGCTGCGACATGCATGCATACATGCTACTTGCGGAGAGAATCTCCGGGGGGATACGCACCACGAGAAGGCTTATCCTGTGCAAAGCGAGAAGACCATCAAACGCCGCCGCGCCGCAAGTTTGAAGGGGTTTTATACTTGGTAAGCTGTGTTGTCTGAGGATCACACCGTGTGAGAAAGGTTTAAGATAACCATGAGAATAGCAGAATAGCTAAACAATCAGGCCTGGGCAATGCTCAAATTATGACCGTTCATCATCACAACTACAACATACGAGTAAAATAAGATATGCGCATTCACAATGTCATCGATTGAATCTCTTGACAATCCTCCGGATCAGGTGAAAGAGAAGCATAATGCCAATTCCGTTTACCCAACATGGACAATCGTGGGAACGGTTCCGCACTAGGACTTCGACTGATCGCCACATTCAATGGAGGTAGTGTGATCGCCCCTTCGAAAATGTCCGTCCGACTTCGAACCAGAGGTCGTAATTGTGGTCCCTGATCTCGTCCTGGTCTTGGTTCTTGCCAAAATATGAAGCGAAAAGGTGGAGAGGATGTCGCAGCGCGGGCGGTGTGAGGTGGATGACTGTGGGAAGGAATACTGGATGAGGGTGTACCAGATCGGAAAGGTGATGAAACGTTGGGATGATTTTGATCGGATCGGACACTGGGTGGGGAGGAAAGAGTCGAAGGCGATTTGACGGCTGGTGTAGGAATTGAGTTGAGATATTGCCACACTTTGCTCATCGTCAGACGACCCGTAAGACGGACAGATTCAACCGCTTTCATTCTCTCTCGCCAAGAATCCTTCTCCTCGACGACCTGTGGTGATGATGAATGTTCACTGTTGATTGTTTCGCTCTTCGTCAATGGTGATTGTATCGGAGGAGAAGTAAGGGTGGAACGTTCATCTTGCCAGCCTGAGGAAGGAACGATTCGGTAGGCGTTTTGAGAATGAGACGAAGTACGGTTTTCCCTTTCCCTCACTTCACGAGCTTTCCATTCTTCCCCTATTCTCTCTAGTAGAAAACCAACAGCTACACCGCGCTTGCTACCCTTGTATCCCATTTCCAGCCAGACCAGAGCCAACCATAAAGCCCTGAGCACACCTTCTTCAGCGTGTGGGATGAGGATGAGGACTCGGGGGGCTAACGAAGTGGCTGTCAACGCTCCAAATGCCCTCTGATCGGTGGTATCGTTGACGAGCTTTCGACGTTTAGGCGAAGAGCCGGAGGATGAGATGGCAAGGGGGACCGGGTTGGTCGAGACGGGTTGATAGAGAATGAGGATGATGTGAATCCATAAGAGGATTGAGAGAGACCATGGGTTGCCATGAGAGTCTAAAGGTTTGGACGGTGGGGGTGGAAGGTGAACGGCAGAGTGAACAGAGCACATGGCTTGATGGGAGAAGGTATGCGTGGGAAGTGAGAGTAGGGCATATAGAGCGGAACGAACGACCTCGGGATCAATCTGTGTTAAGGCGGCAGCTCGAATCTATCCGGTCAGCATCAGCGTATAACTGAAAAACACAGCTTTACGGAGTTAACAGGAAGAGACGAAATGAGAGGATGGGAGGAAGAATGAGAAAAAGAGCGACGACGACCCACATCAAGTGCTCGACGTAAGGCTTGAGGATCAGATTCTACAACTTCGATGTGCTCGCGACACAGTTCTCCCGTATCCATGTCTTGTGGAAGAGGCGGCAATGACAGAGATTGCGGTGGTCGGTGAGGATGTTGATGACGCATCGGTACAGCCATACGTCTGGGCACCGCCGCACCTCCCACGGCGGAGTACATATCGACTGGTCGGAGTTTGTTCATATAATTACTTGACGTGGCTGAATGATACGATCAGTAATGGATGAGAAAAGGCTCAACAAATATCAGATGGATGAAGTGACTACCAAGAGAGGAAATAGGACGACAAAGAACAGACTAAAAGAGGTCGTGAGAAAGAAAATCGTGAGTCTTTTCTACTCTCTCACACGTTGCGCTTTCATACTCAGAAACAGGCCGAACATAGTGGGTGAGTACGAGGGAAGTATATCCCAAAGTCCCTTTCATGGTGATCCCCAGCATCCTTTGTCACGCTGACACCCTAGACCATAGATCGGGGACTGTAGTGAATGGGATATACAGGAGAAGAACTCGTTAATTCATCAAGACACAGAGGAAGATGATATAACCGATGATCGGCAATGATCCCAAGGTGCAGGGGGAGGTAGCTCAGTAGGTGATCCGGAGGGAAGAAGGATTAAAGAAGGGGCTCCAGGGTTCAGCACAGCTCGATTAAAATGGTGTATGGGTCAGGAGATCTAAGGAGGGTAGCCTGGCTGAATAACGAGGGGAAGTAAGAACGGATAATTGAGTATCATCGGTGTTGCACGGCAGCATTCGACGACAAAGGGGTCATGAAGGTATATTCAGGTATCTAGCCAGCTGGAACAGTGGTAGGATTGAGTCTAGTCCGTCAGCCAACATGATCCTTTGTTTACATGGATAAATTCACATGACTGGCACCTGCATCTGCATTTATCGTCGATTGGCTTTCTCGAGGACTGAAGTCAGTGACGGTCGAGATATGATGACAAAGGGGTACTGACTGGCTTCCCACGTCACTTCACTGTAGTCGGTAGCTTGGATTTCGATTTGGATACCTGAAGAGAATCAGAGACATTCACCATGACAATCGGATACTTACCGTCTAGCCGACGACGAATGGCGTCTTTGGATGAAGCACCCAGCATTTTAGCTTTGATCGGCGCATCGTCTGGGGTCCTGTGAGATCAGTACGAGTTCTGTATGACATGAACTATCATCTGGCAAATACCATCAGGTTGATCACACCCATCCCCCTTTTCACACAGCGATACACTTTGTAAAGTCGCATATCCATGGATGGATGAAGTGGTGGATGACGCGTTTCCACGTGGGCTCACCGCCATAGGACAAAAGGAAGAAAAGTAACATACCAAGAGATGAAGGTCAACTTGTTCCTGATACCTTCTCCGCCCGCCAAAGTGAACTCAACGTCGTACACAGCCCATAAACATTCTTTCTCAGGCAAGTCGGCGATGAACTCGTCAAAGTTCTTGCTCTCCGATTTCTTCGCAACGACGATGTAACGATAGTCAGGGGATAATTTGTAGATGATGTATTTCAATTTCTTCCCTTGTTTGAGTTCTTGGAATGCCTCGAGGGATTCGGGAGCCTAACTCGAGGACAGTTTATGGGGTATGTCGTACGACCGAAGTTTGCGCCAAAACAAGGGTGAAGCAATTCGAGGCGGATTTCATTCAACATCGAGTTCGTAGCAGTATTACAGACGGGTGGGAAAACAAAAGTATGAATGATGATGAGATGATACACATTGTGACGAGGGTTGGAGAGCGTAAAGTGGAAAGAGTGAATAGAACCAACGTCAGCATTCCTTCAGATGTAATCAATGGACACTCACGGGCTGAACACCGGAAGACTATCACATTAGTACTAATTCATCACTTCTCAGGAAGACTCCAACTCACCATATCGAGGCGCTATGAGATGGAATGCAGAGGATGACAAGTTAGGGACGACGACGAGGAAGGGGAGTGGAGTTGAACGTAAGCACATGCATCTGCTTGGGTTGGGCTGTGCGTCCCAGTAGTGAGCTCGGAAGTTGGCGGCCCTCGCAGTGTGGCACTTCTCATATATCAGAGCTACATTGGGTTACAGTATATACCAGTACGAGTATTTATTTAATTAGGGGACTGGGATTATGCATCGTGGCCTGATCATATCATTAATCTAAACCAACCAGATCGTCGGATCATCATCGTGCAAAGGTCGTCTCAAGGTATGTATAGACTGACATTCAGTGTTGGTGTCAAAAGGAGATAAAGGGACTGACAGTCATAACGTTTACTAGCAGACGCGTCCGCAGGTCCATCAGCAGGAGGCTGTGTTTCGGGGATCGTTTCACAGAGGAATTTGATTGTTTCTGTCGGAAGAGAGGCAAGCTTGAAGTCGAGATCTGTTATATACGGCTGAAAATCTGTCAACTTCTCGGTTCGGAACATCACGCGTTTGCCCACCTTGTCCCCGGCGATACCTCGGAAAGCGTCTCTCAACTGATCCGCGGAGGAGGAATCATCTTGTGTGATGTCCGTCTGACCTTATGAGCACTGCACGTCTATTGAATTCACGCTAACTCACCAATAATGCAAGCCACGCTTGGTAGGTCACGGCACCAAAGTCGGTCTCAAGCTGCGCATATATAACTTCAATTTCTTCGTCCTACTTGGTCAGCCATTACCTCTGACGGTAACTTGCATCCACTCACTGCATACACAATACCCAGGCTAGCCAAAGCAGAGTGCATCTCCCACAGAGTCAAAGTCTGTAATCAACACCAAGCTTCATGCTATGAACTCACATTTGTGTCGTCCTTGTCAAAGTGTTTGAAAGTGGCTTCAAATTCCTCAAGCTTGGCGGGTGTGATGTTCGTATGTGTGGCTGAGACCATCTGATTGTCCACAAATGCCAGCTTTTTCCGTATACTCGCTTCGGCAAGCTCGAGCTCGTAGAGGAGATCTTCAAAGCTGTAGACGGTGTGATCGTTCTCTTCCACTTTGGCTTCCAAGCAGGCTTGGTTGATCGTCAGGATATCAGAGGAGAGTGTAGCCTGAAGGGACGGCAACTCGGAGGACAAATGTTGGAGGATCTGCTTTTGATCCTGACATCAGCAACCTCTCAGGATCAATACTAGCAGCTCACAGGGAGTAAACCAGACAGCAATCCTATGGCCTGCTCTATTCGCTGAATTCGAGCGATGAAACTCTCCGCGGCCCGAGCGAACTGCTTTCGTAAGGCTTCTTTGATGCTGCCAGTTAGTTATTGAAAACTAAGTATCAGAATGATGCCCACTCTCGTATCCTGGCATTGATTGCCCGACTTCGTAGCTTCTCCGCCTCCAGAAACACTGCCCAGTTCTTATCAAGATCCTACGTATCAGTCATGCCGTCGCATCAATCTACTGCAACCGACTTACTTCGAGACACAGTCCTGGTTGTGGCTCCCAGGATTTGAGAGCGTACGTTCGTAATTTCGTTTGTATATTGCTATAGAGTGCTGCCAATTCTTGTCTTTCCTTGACGTAGGACCGTTTGCTGGTTTTCTTGTAATCGGCAAAAGCAGCGAGGTGGGCAATTGCCTCGGGATATGTGCTCGGCTGCTGAGCTCTCCTCCATGATTCTTCGGTCGACTGCAAGGATTCTAAGAGCAGTGCCATCCGACGCTCAAAGTCATTCTTGTTCGTCCAGATACCCTGCATGAGCTCTGCAAATTTCTCAACTCGTCTCGCTCCCGTCTCAGCTTTATCTGGCCAGTCAACAAGGCTGATGCAGGCAAGAAAGCAGGACTTACCTTCGGAGGAGAATTTATGAAAGAACTCGGCAACGTAAGTCATCACTGATCGTTCGTCAGGGACTTCCACATCGCAGAGGTCTTTCACCTCCAGCAATCGCTTTATATCAGCTGAAGCCGGGAATTCGTTCAGAGCTTACAGGTATGCCCAGTGATTGCTCCGCAACTTTGAAAGCGAGTTCCGTATTGGTCCTGCGATCATCCTTGTCCAAGCGATCCCAGTTGAGGAGCTCAGGTCTATGGCGGTGTATCAGAGCACACCTGCTCGTCAGCAGACATCACAGAGCATGATGAGACTGACAGAGCCAAACCATCTGACCAGCTCTTCTTGAAGTCCTGGACGTTGACTTCGGGATAAGGCTGTGTTTTGCGTTGACACCACAGTAACAGACCATCTCGAGCAGACAGGCCTTCCTCTCTAGCCCGTGAGCAGTACATTTTGGTACGTCGACATAGCTCACGTGATACCTGCAATGGTGAACCGAAGGATCAAAGTCCATATCTGTGACGTCAATTTGAAGTCCGGCTAATTGACAGACCCGTCTCACCATGCCCAGAATCAGCTTGAGGTTACCGTCGACTATGTCTTCTGGGCCTGCACGTGAGTCATCAGACCCATGCTGTCGAAGCCATCAGACATACCGATATTGGTCAACTTCACTCCACGGTCTCGAATGAACTGCAATGCCTTCGATGCATTCTGCCAATCAGATCGAGTCGTCTTTCAACAATCAGAGCTCACCTCGGCTTTCTGCACTCTCATGGTGGGTTTCTTATTGTATCTGCCCAAGCTCGTTTCTGACATGATCTCCTTAGGCATCAGGAGTGTTAATTCAATTGATAATCCTCTCACCAAAAGCTAGTTGAGTCAGCCACCGATCCACGCAGATATGGAGACATACCTCTATAAGCTTGACCCCATTTGAGAAATCTCGTACCAAGTCGGTCATCGGTGCTAAACCTTGACTCTCCAGCTTAGTGTTGAGCCTTTCACATCAGCCTGTTGAAGGTGAGATCATAGTACACCTACCATCTGCAAAATGTCCTACCCAGCGTTAGCAGATTTCCCTCCCAGCCATTAATTTGACGTACCTTGCCTGGATGTCCGCCCATTCTATCTCTGCCCCGAGCACTGGTGATCCGCTACCGTGAGGGGTCATGGGAGCACTGGAAACCCCTACTCCAAGAGCCATGCCTATGTTACCGAGAGACTTATTCCGACCGTGACTTCTGGGAGACATGGGTGGTGGCGGGAGATTTTGGGCGGAACCCCGACGTTCCAGAGAGGTAGACATGGTCAGTGCGGGCGTGGCAGAGCCCACAATGACGGGATGGGTCGTGGGTAAGTAGCGAACACAAGTTTTCAGGTTTCTGACAGATCACCCTCTGTGATTTGAAGGACCTGAGTGAGACAAACAAGGAGGGAGGGGCTCGAGGGGGGTTGATGGAAGGAATGTGAGGTGGAAAGTCAGAGTAGACGCGCTCACCTAGAGAAGTCAATTGGATTTCCTGAAAAGCAAAAAAGCGGTGATCGCCGCTTATGGCCAAGAACTCCCGTAGGGAACTGCCTTTGCTGCTTTGTCTTCCATAAACCTTCACTCGACACTTTGCTTGGACAAACAATAATCTACTCGCCTCCTCTATCTCTTGTGACGTCGACTGTCCATCGTATTCTCTGTATATCTAAGAAAAGCTCGTCAAGAAGCCCATGAACATCGTGCAGAATGGAGAGAGTAGTCGGTCTCCTTCCCTTCACCCCCATCCGGTGAAACCAGAACCCAATCTTCCCCATAATATCATCATGACCGCGGGAACACCCACGACACCACCAGATCTCTTCGTTGAAGCGCCTGATGCCATGAAGACGAGTACAACGAGGCTGATTCTCCCCGAATGGGATGGTGAGTCGTTGCCACTTTGATGTCATGATACATAGAGTTCTGCCCCTCTTCCGGTGCAGATCCGTTGACTATCCTCAGAGGGAGGACCCTTGATTCTATGAGCGATTGTACAGGGAGTCTGTACTGATGTTCAGCCCCTCCTCTCAAACACCTTCATAGTTCACTCGATCTCATCTCTTTGCTTCATCTAGACCCCCTATACGACACTTACGTGAAGCCTTTCGCTGATCCGATTTCGGAAGATGTGACTATCTCCGGTGATGGAGGAGCAGTCGGGGGAGAAATCAACTCGGACGACGAGGGAGGGAAGATGAAGGGTACAGCTAAGAAAAAAAAACGAGCAAAGTTGGAGAAAGGATATTCCCATTTGCTTGAGGACGTCATCGGTGAGTTTGTCCGTCTACATATGTTTCATCGACTCTTTTCTACTACGGCCCTTTGTCGTGCAAACACTCTATCATAAGAGATGGATCTCCTGCCTGACGGGGAGTATTTTGCACCAGCTCATTCGGGTAATTGACACTACAGACCCTACCCCTCTGGGTGAAAAGCAACATCACCCCCAACTTATTCCTCTGGTTCCAGAATTCCTTCGACCCCCAGCCCCTCCTGCACATCTCATAGAAGAATCAATTCAGTTGCTTCCTCCTGAATACTTCCGAGTGGCTCGTCTAGACTCCGGTCTCAAGCAGGAAGGTTATTCGAACAAGGAGAAAGCGGGAGTTCGTGAAGCGGAGGAGAAAAGAAAGGTCAGTGGAGTTTGTGTCCGTCTTTCCTGCTCTGTCAGGTAATGTAATGATGGGTGATGACTGAGCTTTAGGCACGTGCTGCTCGACATTCCGCGTCCATGGCTCCAGATCCAGTCAATAATATCGCTTCCCCTCCACCCGCCGCACCTCATAGTCCTTTAGCACCCGTTGCACCCCCCATTCGAGCTAAGCCACATATGCCGTTCAGTAGTCGTGGGTCTGGTCGGCCTCACATGAACGTTGGTCACAGAGGTGCTATACCATTCCGCGGTGGTCCTATGAGGGGTACCATACCCTACCGAGGGGGAGCTGGAGGTGGAATGATCCGAGGACGAGGTGCACCGAGGGGTGGACCGCCTCATCCCAGCGGATACAATGGACCCCACGGAGCGGAAGGCAGACCTCTGAAGAGACGGAATGATGGGTCAGGTCCTCCGGGAAAGAGATTGAGGGACGACAGACCTCCAGGACAACGCCCTCTCTACCCTCCTCATTGACAACATAGACAATTTAGGTGAATTTACATGCCTGATTGGCGCATAGCACAGCTTCTCATTCATTTGCATACTTTCATCTCACTGCATAAAGCCAGCTTCTCTCATGGCATGTGTTTCGTCCAGTTCCTCAACAGCGCCTGACTGGTTTGACCGGTTTTCTGCCCGCGTCAGCTTCCTTAGTACTGCGCAGCGTGATCAGACTGGTCAAAGGCCTCGAAGGCTTGCTTCTGGGCGTGCTTCCGAGCTGCGTCGATCTTGTGCTGGTCCCAAGCGTCCAAACCTGTCCATTAGTAGATGAAAGCTGGTTATGGTTTGTGGCTCACCTTTGGTCTCAACGAGTTTGTCAATCTCGGCCCCCACCAAGCCGGCGATGATCTCTTTGGCCACGGCATGCTGATGGTGAGCAGAGATCATCGGTGCCATATTGTGGTGTAATTTAGAGTCTGACTCACGCTTGGAGGCTGGCCGTTGGCTTGAAGGTGACCTTCGTACGCCTTCATGGCTTCAAAAGCAGCAGCACCGCTGCTACGTCAGTCTCATGATATCTGGAATGTAAGGCATAGACTTACCCGATGAGCTCGTGCGAGAAAGCGGCTTTGTGAGGTGCCTGAGGGTCACATTCGCTGCTGATCAGCCAAGGTTCGACGGTATAGATAGCGACATGTCGTCAAAAAGTCGAGGGTGGAGAGCTTGCGTTTGCGTGAGGAACAGGAGGTTCTCGAGAAGGGAGATCGAGTCCTGGTGAGCCGCAGCGGGATTGTACTTACTAGACTTGGTCGCGACCGGAAGAGTCACCGCCGTTGAAGTATTTGAGGAAGTCTGAATATCAGCTGCTGCGATGTGGACGCTATCAAGACTCGTGACGCACCCATATTGTTCTATTGACGCTGTTTAATAAAGGGATGAGTGTGAGATTTTTGGTATGAATTGTTGAGAAGAAGAAGGGGGGATGGATGGCTTTATATATCTTTCAGTGGATCAGTGGATTCTGACTCCACCTCTGCACGAACCTCCTCTTGCGCAGACAAGGAGCGACGTCAGAGGATCAGAGGAGGAAGAGGTCCGAGCCCTGAAACGTGTGAATGTGACGATTCCTTTTCCTTTGATGTCGCACTGCTCGATCGAGCACAGCCATGAGGTTTCCAGGGTACCCTGCTACCGTATGCATATATGAAGCGATGTTAGGGGGGTGAAACAGATTGCATAGCAACACTCCTCCTGTCGTGTCAAAGAGACAATGTTCAATCTTACTCTTCGACCAACATGAGACTCAGTTCTCCGACAACTCTACAAGGGTCCCTTCAAAGAACAATACCCCAAAGGACCAAAGGAACCAAGGAATGTCAAGCGCAGATTGACATGACGTGACGGACCCTGTGCCTGATTGTCGCTTGTGCTGAGAATAGACTGCGACGGCCGATGGGCATAGTGTGACGTGGCGCTTGGCGATTGGTGATTGGCGACTCTGTCCTCGAAGCTGGAAGCCTTGTACTTACTACAGTACTTTCCCGCGCTGGAGTAACAATGGTACACTGGAGTATTCATCTGATCATCTGAGTAAACCTGCATACGTGCGTACAATTGGTGATGATGCTATGATGATTTAACCTTGTCCTCATCCTTGGGAACAATCTGATTCTCCAACATCCATCCTTCCCCCCAACCTCCTTCTGCCCCACCAAGTACGTATCCGCCCAAACCCCCAATCCCCGTCCAAAGGTGCTCTACGAAACCCCTCAAACGTGCGGGAAGAGAACGAGGGTGATACAGCGGGATCAACTCTGTGATAAGGAAATACAATCCTCCGGCGATCATACCGGCTCCATAACCCACCACGACTTGTTCGGGAGTATGATAATGAAGATGCCATCTGACGGAATCAGCCTCCTCGCCTTTTTGTTTTTACATCCAGTTTACCTTGAATAAGCGACTAGTATACTCCATAAACCACATCCAGCAATATACACCCGTCGTCTCACTTTTCCAAGGGAGGTCTCACGATCGTACCGAACTCCGGATGTGAGAGCATATCCAATAGCCCATGCGAAGGTAAATCCAGCAGCTTGTGAATGACTACTTGGCATACCATATCCATGCCCAACTTCTCCTAAACCTTTGTAGGGTCGTTCACTCCTCCAAATCCGTTTCAACACGAGATTAAGGAATTCGTTACCGATTTGTCCCAGACCGAGCAGCAGGACCGATATGCGTCGTGTGAAGATCAACAAGGTCAGGTAAGAGACGAATATGAATATTGGGGTGAGAGTGAGGAGGGTGAAGGGGATAGATAAGGGATGTGAAGGGTCGTAGAGGATGTGAGTAAGAGCGAAGGAGCGGAGGGGGGGTAAAGACGGTATTGGGTTGAGCGACGATGAAGTCGACATGGCTTCGAAGCGTCCTCCAAGTCGCGGTTGAGCCCCGTAGCGGTAGAAGAATATCCTGTTGCTATCGCGGGATCATCTGCTTGTTGAATGAATTGTGCCCATGCAGCGAAGATTTATATGTGTATGCCGCTCGCCGCTTGCTGAACTGCTGAGTTCGTCGCCATACGCTATCCGATCGTGTGTTCAGAGCTTCTGGCTTTGGGGCTGAATTGGCTGAACCACATTTCAAACAATGTCAGTATATTATGGGGGAGCAAATAAAGAAACGACACACAGAGAAGCTTATCACTTCCAAAAGTGAAATTGTGACGTGTAATCTCTAAGTGCCACACGAAATTCCCGACTTATCGGCGTTTCTTTCCAACCCTCCTCTTCTCTCCAAATCTTCTCTCTTCCTCTTTCTCAACCTGCAAAATACGTCAAGATGGTAAGCTCCCCCCATTCTCAGAGTTGACCTCACGCTGACATTCTCAGAGTAAGGTCAGTAAGAATGCTCACTCACCTTGAAAAGGCTGACGGAAGGTCCCCCCTTGGTTGACCTGGTCCATTTGCAATACAGGGTACACCGTCTCTGTGAGTGAGATACTCTGTTAAAAAGGAGTGAAGCTGAGCTGTAGTGGTAAACGTCACACTAAGTCCCACACTCTTTGTAGAAGGTGTGGGAAGAGGTCTTTCCACAAACAGCACCATGGTTAGTAGATTCCTCATTTCGGTTTTCTCTTTCCTTCAATTCTTTCCATCGTGCCCATCCTAGGTCACACGTTCACCTGAGCAACCGAATGCCGCGCTCTCATAGTAAAGTGGGTTTGAAGGTGTTGAGCTGAACGCCTTCTTATTCGAGGCAACATTGGCATGTCACTCAATCGGAGGCTGGGTCGGGCTGGGGAATGCTGATGACTGACACCTCAGAATGCGCCCAATGCGGATACCCAAGCGCCAAGTTGAGGAGCTACAACTGGGGTCTCAAAGCCAAGAGGAGAAAGACGACGTGAGTAGTCTTACTCCCATCCTTGGTGAGAATATCGTCTAACCTACTAGCGGTACCGGCCGCATGAAGCACCTCAAGAGCGTCAACCGTCGGTTCAAGAACGGTTTCCGTGAGGGTGGAGCCGCGATCAAGAAGGTCAAGGCCGAGGCTTAGTTCAGCTAGTTGCTCATGGGTAGCGCCGTATGACATCCGTGCCCCGTCTTCACTTGCCTCTGCGTACTCATCCACTGACAATACGAGATGGTGATCGGCAGGAGAGGTTGCACGCAGACGATGACATGAGACTTCATATGACATATTCGAGTTTTACAGATACTCTGGTCTCAGACGCATCATCTTACCGTCCCCTTGTTCTGTGACGCTTCTCACGCTACTCAAAAACATTTTCTGCTGTTCATCCTTCTTATCCCCACTCGCCAATATACGTTTTTTGAAACCTAAAACAAGATCGTTCATTGCTACTCCTGTGTGAGATTTACCAACCTCTTTGAACCAGGCGACCACCTCTTGAGGAGTGATCATGCCTTCGAACGGCTCCACTTCCGGGCCAGGTGTGGGAGTGGCTGACAATCGCTTTTTCTTTTTGTTCAATCGGTTGTCGCTGGGGAAAGGAGGTGTCGGTGAGGTTTTCCGTTTATTCGAAGTTCCCGTTCCAGGTTGGAGGGCTGACGATGACCCTTGCGCACTGGCGGATTCGAGATTGGGAGATTGTGATTTTGAGCTGGAATCACGGCTCTTCTGAGTTGGTCGGGTCTTCGAAGGTGACACTGCCCCAGAAAGACTGGGAGAGACACCTCGAGGAGTGGGAGACGCACTGCGAGCATCCGTAGGGGTCCGTGATCGTGAAATGGGACTGTTTCCGCGAGACCGATGGGGAGTATCTTGACCCGTAGCACGTTGAGCCACCAGAGCGGCACCAGACCCAGGTTGAGACGTCACAGCTGGGGTATGAGAGCGACGAGAGGGAGAAGCGGTGGGACGACCATTGTTTGGACCTCTGGAATTCGCCCTAGATCTGACTTCTTTCTCAGCGGCAGAAGTTTCCAGTCCTTTTTCCTTATCTGTGTCTTTGTCGTCGGTCTCTTTCTTTTCCGTTTTCACAGAATCCGACTCGCTATCACTCTCCTATTCCATCAGCATGAGTCTAGTGAAGAGAATAATGACTGACGGAAGATGAAGAAGATCTCCATAACTCTTCATCCCCCTTCTCACCACGTTTACGCATCATCTTTCGAACTCGTTTACCCTCTTGAGTCAATTTTTGTTCCTTATCTCCAAACAAGTCATCGGAGTCTGAACCGGAATCAATTTGAGGTTTATCGCCAACGTTCGCATTGGCCATTCTGAATTCTTTCTTGAGTTTTTCCTACGTCTCAGCTCAGTGCGATGGATATACAGAATAAAGCTTACTTCTTGAAGCTTGGCCTCTTCTTCTTCTTCGTCATTACGATGGAAATCATTCACATCGTCGTCATCTTGAAAATGCTCGTTGGCGTCAAAATCAAGTTCTTCATCTATACCACCTTCCACGCCCTGATCATGAGTAAGACGTCAATTATCAAACAATTTGCCTACTAACCAGTTGAACTGCTCGTCCTTCCCTCAAATAATCATCCTCGTAACGTTCCACTTTAACACGAGATGTGCTAGATTCCCCATGTTTTTGTAGAACACGCTGCTCTATTCTCGCGGCCCGATTATCCATTCCAGGTTCAGGTTTGATTTGAGCGACGGAAGATGCTCCGTCAGGTCTTTGACTCCACCGGTCAACAAATTTATTTTTGGCCTGGAATTCGAACTGTTCGTCAGTAGAGAACTCGTTGTGGCGAACGCTAGACGAACCAGTTTGTTCGCCTCGTCTGAATCAAGTACTTTGAACGGACGTTCCGGATTAAACCTATATGTTCTTCCTAAAGGGACGACACTGAAACCGTCGTTTTTACCCTCGTTCACGAACAGAACCATCGGAAGCGTCGACCCCTCCACCATTCTACCCACCCAATGTTCTGGAATAGGAGGTTTCTCTCTGGGTGTCTTAGCTTCGAGGACCCACGGCTGTGCCTCTTCCCTCTTTAACTTGACAGTTTCAACATCTTGATGAAACACCTCTCTAGCAGTATTACGAAACTTTCTCCTGGATCCTGATCCCTCTTGCACACCTTTTGCTTGTCCCACAAGGTTCACATCCATCGTCTCTATGTGCTCGATGATTGGTCGTCCATCTGCTCCAAGTAGAAGTTTCCCATTGTTGTCATACACATACTTGCCGATGACATTCCCATTGTCATCCAAAGCGATGGTAGGTTTTATCCTTTCCCCAGGTTGTTTTCGAGTCAAGAGTGGGTCGGGAAGTGTCAATGGGTCGAATTCACGAGCATAGTTGAATTTCATGAGGTTGAAACGGGTGGTATCATCAGGGGCGGTAGAGTAAAGTTTGATCTCTACTATCTTTGATGGGTCAGAGGGACGAGGAGGTGAGGAAGCTTCTGCAGAAGTCGAAGCGTGTGAGGTTGCTTCGTCTCGTTTTGGTAAAGAAGAGGATTGAGACGATGGATCGCGACGAGGTTTGACCTTCTTTCGACGGAGGATTTCGTCCATTCCGTCTCATGTGCAAAGTCCAACCCCACAAGCGTTGAGGACTGTTAACGAGTTAAGAAGGCCGCTTGTCTGGCTGACGGACTGGAGAAGCATTCGCCACTGATCTAAAAACGCCGAGGGGTTCCTTCCTCCGATCACCTCTCTTATCCTCGACGTTACCAATTCAACGCTCACTTTTTTCATTCTTTCCGTATCAGATGACAGTATGTCGGTCGATGCCATCCTCGCTCGCAATGCTATCGATTTATCAAGAGAGGTAGAGGTGAGGAGATTCTGGTCTCTCCGAAAAGCTTGACGCTGACCTTCAGGTGGAGAGAATCATTAAGGCTTTCAAACTCAACCCGTATGAAATCTTGGATCTCCCTGTCTCTGCTACTGCCGCGGAAGTGAAAAAGCAGTACCGTAAAAAGTCCTTGCTGATACATCCCGACAAGTTTACTCATCCTGACGCGGACAAGGTGAGTTGTTTTCTCTGCTTTCGTCCCCTTCTCCCTGGTGGCGGCAATCCTTGCCGAGAGTGAACAGCGAATGGACATCGCTGACATGACAGGCTTTTGATTTTCTTAAAAAGGTCAGCTTATCTCTCTTCTAGGACATGCAATGACTGACGCTAAATAGGCTGAGGCTCAACTTTCCGATGATAGTAAACGTATAGAAATTGACGCTATTATGAGACACGCACGTGAAACAGTGATCAAATCGTGAGTAGCAGGTATCGTTACATGATTGGATTTCCAGAATACTGACGATTAGAATACTCGGTAGTGGCTTTTCGACGAAAATTACAGATGACGATCCGAAATTACAAAATCTCAAACCCCCATTTGACCTTCAGGTAAGGATGAAGGCTAGAGATATCTTGGTAGAGGATGAACTGGCTCGTCGGAGGTACGTCGAGAGTCTACTGTGTTTGTGGAACATAGCTGACATCAGAAAACAAAAAGTTTCGTACGCCAATGAAGGAGCAGAAAAAGCAAAGGTTGAAGCTGAAGTGAACGAGAGGAAACGTAAACAGGAAGAACATCATAATTGGGAAGGTGAGCCACCACTTCCTACTGTCCGCAGATCGTGTAGAGTTGTCTCTTACGAGTTTTACCAGATGCTCGTCAGCCATTATCGACCTCCAAGGACGAATCGTCTATCGACTTGGAATTTTGCTCTTTCATCTCAAACCATGTGGGTCGTAAGCTAACACGCATTTCCCCCCTTTATACATTTACTTCATCCTGTTCTGTCACTCTGTATTTCTGTTCAAATACTCAGAAAGAAGAGAAGAACGCATTGGTCAATGGCGAGAGTTTAATGCCAAGAAGACAAAAAAGTCAAAAAAGAATATTCACGTTCTCGGTTGAGCATCGTTATGTGTATTCCTGGAGTCTCTTGCCCACCTTCGGTTCGTGTTCCCCTTTTGACGTTTTAGAATAAGCGCTGTGCATGATCCATTCTAGCTGTTGTATTCGTATGCAAATATCGTCTCTTCATCAACTGGCTGCCAGTCGTATACTTCCTTCTCGTTGCAGAATCGTCTCGACTTGATCGGAAGACACAAACCAGGTCCAACCTTTTCCGCCGTCTACTCCTCGTCTGATTGGGTATTGCATACGTCCCATGAGTGTGAACGGAGGTGTGATCACGTGCAGGTGGAGATGGTGGACGGAAGAAAAAGGTGGAATGTGATAACCCATCTTGACACCTGCTTCCGGACATAGCGATCTGCCTAGGTCATGCATCGTGCGTACTGTCCATCAGCACGAGTTTGAGTCGCAAGATGGACGACTGGCGCAATGGGAGATGGTGTGGTCTCAACTCTTCAACCGTCGATACTGTACACGTCAGCTTGGAGGTCAGGTACAGGTACATCCACGCTGACCTATGTGATGTCGTGGAATGATCAATATATGATCTTTTCCTCTCAACCATCGATCTCGAAAAACCACCAGCTCCTCTGTCTGATCGGGGTCAATCATACGACATATGAGATATCTCAAGCTACTCTAGTGATCACTTACCTCTTGTATCACATCGAATCCATTTGCCTTGGTAACATCACAGAAAATACACTCATTCTGCCCCGCGGCGTCATCGTTTAGGGATACCCCCTTTTGTCGGGAAGGGAAACAAGAAGCGAAATTGACCATCTATTCACCGTCTATTTGTCTTTCCTTCTTCCACGTCTCCTTCTTGCAGTCAAGATCTCTCCTCTTGCCCTTTCGATCGCAATCGATGGACATGTATTCGGTACTGGTGCTCCCTGAAAGACAGCTCAGATAATACAGTACTCCTAGTGCGGGCGTGGTTGACTTGGAGGGTATCAAAGTGGAGGTCTTTTGGTGATCTTTGCTCCCGGTCGGAGCCCCGGATTCCCATCGCTGACTCATGAGAGTGAAAAGTACGATTACCTTACCTATCTCTTTTGAAGTATGATACAAAGGAGCTCACTACGACCACTGAGATTACTTAAGACTAGACTCGTCACTCACCAATCACCCACTTTTTCCTCACAGCGTTTCTTATCCACCTCTACCAGAGTTGAGAAAATGTCAAGGCTTCCGTTCAAAGGTCCGTGTTCTTCTCTGTTATGAGATGAGATGGTGCTCATGACTTAGAAGTAGAAGCTGCTCGACCTGATTTCGATGCTGGAAATCCTGGTTTATTCACGAAATCTCCCAATCCGGGATGGAAACCTGGAGATGGTTTGAATGTCAATCTGGTATGTTCCTCAAACCTATCTAACCCCGTGTGGAATGTTGTGAGGAAGAACAGGGAGAGGAAATGGGTTGAACTGATAATAGCCAAATGCTGCTGATTTCGATCCAAAAGTACCCCGCTTGACTGTCAACCCTGCGGAGAATGACACCGGTATGGTCTATAAGGTATGTCCTGCAAATTACGTCTGCATCAGAAGCTAATGACCCAGCTGTTAATCTCTGCTATCGTAATTTATACTTATTTTTCGAGGTAGAAATGGTTTAGCTAATGATCAGACCCCAAGACCTATCGCATTCTTGTCCACTGTATCCCTGGATGGTATTCACAACGTAAGATATCTAACCCGTCCTCTTACATCCTTCGTTCCTGCGTCCCTCTCCGCAGACTTCGGATTCCAGTGCCCATCTCGCTGAACTTTGCTCTCCCCTTCCAAAGGAGGGACATAGCCGGACAAGTAGAAGGGAGTAATCATCAACATGAGTTAAAAATGACTAGGCTGATGATAGCTCGCCCCTATGTCTTATTTCAACATGGTTGCCAATGACCCGCCGGCGATCGTGATATCTGTCGCTATGAACCCCGGAGGAAAGGGACTAAAAGGTATCACTCTCCTCTCATGACATCATATTCCGTTCTCATGCTCCTTGTCGATTCTTCCGCACGTCATGGCATAACACCCGTAGACATTCGGATGAAGCTTCTGAGCACATATGACATCAATTTGGATTATCTCACTGCTGAGACACTATAGATACTGCTGTCAACATCAAAGAAACCGGCGAGTTCACCCTTAATATTATCTCCGAACCATTCCTCGAGGCGGCCAATTATACAAGTATAGACGCCCCTCGCGACATTGACGAATGGAAATTGTCTGGGCTTACTCAACACAAGTCTGAGTGAGTTCACTCCTGATCTACTCTCTTCTCATGCTATGACTTTCCAGACAAGATGAATGTGAAACCTTCAAAGATGTTGAAGTGGTGAAGTCACGGATAGGAAACTGAGCTAATGATTAGTTTGGTCAAACCTCCTTATGTAGGAGAGAGTGCAGTCAGCTTGGAATGTACACTCCTTCATTCTCATGAACTGAATGGAAAAGGGGGAAACTTGACACATACAATCATGATCGGCAAGATTGAGCGTATACACGTAGTGCGTTATTCACTTTGCTTCACTTTTGATTTCTATTGCTGTTTCCTATAATGCCTGAATGGCCTAATGTCTTTACCGTTCAATGGGAGGACAATGAATTACGAAGTTACAATTGCTGACAGACATAGAAAGAAACGGTTCTTAATGATGACAAAGAGCAACCTGTGGTGATCCCGGAGAAACTCAAGCCCGTTTCTCGTCTAGGTGGAATAACGTACGTTCCTTTTCACATACATAAGAAATTAGGCTGAATGTCTACAGCTTCGGTAGAGCTGTACAATTCATGGAGGTTCCTCGTCCAAGCTGGGAAGCTGTCAAGGACACTGAAGAGGTCGTCCAAGCTCTTGCTGGAGCAGTCAAGACCGTGTGAGGTGTGATCAGCATACTTACTGATAAAAGATAGTTTGTAGATAACACGAGATCCACACGATGCATCTAGAGAAGATCACACCATAAACCCTTTCTCGTACTTCTCTATCAATGGCTTAAGTCTCCCCTGTGACACTCGCCGACCCTTGGTCTGAAGTTCAATTGTTGATGGCGGATGGACAGATACGTTATCGTTGAGATTCGACCACACCTCTCGTACCATAGTCACTTTACCACCTCTACCTCCCCTAGCTGATCCCTGCAAACCTGCTTTCTCTCCTTGCTTCGACAACTGACCGTTTCCCTCCTTCCTGTCCAAAACCTTCAACATACCCGACCCCGTTCCCATTCCCATTTTCTCAACTCCTTCTTTCCCATCTGCCAATACGTCTTCTCCCTCGGTAAGAAAGTGATCTAGAAGCTCCCCCGACACAGAGGGTATCCGAACATGTTCCACAACCCTCACTCTCCTCTCCTCACTCTTCCGCGTCCTTATCCCCGGACGTTGCTCCACACCGTCAAACAAGCCAAATATAGAGGGACGTTCCTTCTCCATCTTCTTCGTCGGTACCGGTGGGGGCGGGAGAGTTTTGTCGATACCTAAGTCCCACCCAGCTGAACGCACCAAAGTAGCCAACGCATCATCATCCACCAGCGCTTCGAGGGAACGAACAGTTCCTGGACTGAGACGGTGAGGTGAGGGAGGACCAAAGTATCCGACGTACGACTTGGGAGTCGGAGACAGTACCTCAGATGATGGTATGAAGGAGGCGGATGGGAGATCGATATATCCCGGTGGGGTCACATGTATGCGGGACAAGTGAGATGTGGGATCTTGATTCGGTTCGAGGGTAATGGAAGTCGATTGGGATGGAAGAGGAACAGTGACCCTACGAGGCTGTCGAGGACCTAATGGTACAAAGGGTCGCTCATACTTTGGTGAATCGATTGGTCGAGGGGGTATAGGAGGAGGACTGACGCTTTGTCCTCTGCCAGATTGCTCACTACTTTCTCTCAAATGGCGAGAAGTTCGCGCTGCTCATGTCTCACGTATGTGATCGGAGGAGCTGGAATAGACAATCCACGCGGGTTGAGGGTATCTTTGTTGAGGATGATGTAGACGGGCAGGGGTATCATCATTGCGACTGGGCAGATCTTCGAGACGTTGAAGCGGCAAATGTGGGGATGCCTTGACATACGAATCGGAAGGATGGGCAGGTGCTTGGGTGGGTTGGTGAACGTGGATGACAGGATCGAGATCAGGTGAATGAGAGTGATGATGAATACGAGATGACAGGCTCGAATCACCATAAACTTGCTGCCATGTCCAATGACCGTCGATGACGGACGGGATGTCCATCAGAGGTTGAGACGATAGACTGACTGCGGTAGGTACGAAGGTGTGGGGTCGAGGTAGCTGAGCAGAGTGGTAGTCCATCGGATGAAATCGAGAGGACATGATCCTCGGATGTGTGCTCTGGCGTGAAGTATTGTCAGTGATTCGAGAAAAAGAGTATGCAATCAGTGGCAAAACCAGAAAAGACAGGCGATGAAAGCCATCAAAGACTAATCAAAAGGTGAGCTTGGGCCACCATCATTAGTGGCGCAAAAGGCACTCGCCCTCCTTTCCTGCCCTCTTCCTCTCCTTCAGTCTCCCAATGACTCATGAAGCAAGGCCAGGTAAGGTGGTCAGTAGAAAGTTACGGTTCGAAAATGCGAATTGTCTCGTAATCAGACTAATGGCGAACAACTACTCGTCATCCTCGTTCTCCTCCTCAGCTTCCTCCTCCTCCTCCTCTTCTTCCTCTTCTTCTTCCTCACGCTCCTGCTCCAGCACAGCGGTCGCAATACGGTCAAGATCACGCCTACCAGTCAGCAATGGTCACAGTGTCCCTGGAATGAAGAATGCAGCAGAAGACATCCGAACACTAATCCCGTAAAATACAGATAGTCCCGAAAGTGTGAGGCAGGCGCGATGCGGGGGATTGGGTGATTCCAACAACAGAGGTCGAAACTCACATGCCATCCTGGCTAATCTTTCGGCCACCGTTAGGAGCTATCTCGAGCACACCAATCTTCTCTAAAGCCTGCACGACATTCCGTTGAACACCTGTCGCCGCGTTGGAGTGGTGCGAAGGTCGGGTGCCGCGGCGGTAAGCGCTGCCGTGCAGCTTGGCGAGGGCACCGACACCAACGGACTTTCGGAGGTAGATGTGACGAGCGATAGCAGCTAGCAAATTAGCATGCCATCCAGCGAAATTCTCAATCATGTATTGATAGATACCCAGTTTGGAGACAATAGTGACGGGATAACGGACAGCAAGATAAGTTAAGAAGGGGTGGTGAGACATTCGAAGAGCACGTACCGGCTCTGACGTAGAACCAATCGGGGTCATATGGCGCTAACTCCTTGTGATGACCGGTCTTCACGATATCGACCCATGTGGGGATTTCGAGTTTACCGGATCGCTTCAAATGAGATGAGTAGGCTTTGATGAACGCCTCGGCGCTGGAATAGTCAGCAAGATCTATTCCGAACAGATTCCCTTGTCCTTTGCTAGCTTCTCTTCTTCCTCCCACGACTATCAACATAAGGCGCCTCTAGGAAGAATAAACGAGCATGGACCAAGCCATGGTTCCTGCAGCCAATGGTCTACGAATATCGTATGGCCGTTGACTTGCTCCGCAAAAGCTGACACGCTCTACCCTCTGTCCATTCCAGGGGTAACAAATGTTGACCAACGATCCTAGAGACCAGACAAGCAAGACTCACCTGATATCACGTACACCCGGCATATTGGTCGATGTTGAGAAGGGTTAGAGCTGACTTGCGAGAAAGACAGTCGACGAGCTCACGCCGCGGATAAGACGATGTGGCACTTCGGAGGGCCCAAAGAGTAGAAGATTTATCGCCGAAAGATGCTTATCACCGATACCTTCGAAACATACTTGAAAACAACCGTGGGAAAATGAAAGTTGTATGAAACCTTGTCTTCGGGCACATCAGATCTGCGACCTGCCAAATATTCTACAACATGTGAGTATCTGTGGAGGAACTCGACAAGATTGCAAAAGCTGACTTTCAGGTCACGCCTGATATTTCGGAATCTTCCGCCGACCATAACTCCTGAATCTTTCTCCAAATCTCTCGCCTCCCCTGCTTCGCTCTCTGACATCGTCATCACTGACACTCGGGTCAACCCCAAGCGGCGCTTCGCCTTTGCAGGGTTCAAATCGCCTGAAGATGCTGCCAAGGTGCAGTCATGGTTTGACGATACATATGTGTTTGGCGGTGGGAAGGTCAAGGTGGAGGTAGTACGGGAACGACCCCTTGAGGTAAAATCTTTCCAAGCACGGAAACCTCCAGTTGCCACGGACCTCAAGGAAAATGTGGTGGCGGATGGCAAGTTAAAGGAGTTCATGGAAGTGATGAAGGGTAACGGAGCGGCTGCTAGCTCTTCGAAGTCTCCTGCTGTCCCTGGAGACGACGGCTGGAAGGTGGATGGAATGAAAAGCAAGAAGGAGAGAAAAGCTAGACAACCACCCCAGCAATCCGATGATGCGGCACCCTCCGCGGATGCTGAGGTGATGGCGGTAGATGACGATGCTGAATGGCTACGACAACGGCAGAAAACGGATGTGGCGTTGGATGCAGAGGAGGTAGGAGACACGCAGTACGAAGTCCCTGCTGCCGACGAATCTGACGTTGGTCCGGACGAACGATTAATCCTCTCCACAAGTCGACTCTTCGTACGTAACTTACCCTTCGTTACCACTACTTCTGATCTCGAAACCCACTTCTCTCGATTTGGTCAGGTGGACCAAGTCCATCTTCCTCTCTCGCCCGCCGGCCAACCATTAGGAACAGCATTCGTCTTGTTTCGTCGTCCAGAAGACGCTCTCTCAGCTTTCAGAGAATTGGACAAGACGACTTTTCAGGGAAGGTTATTACATGTTCTTCCTGGTCGCGCTAGGCCTGGACATGAAGTAAGCGGAGTGGTCGGTGTGGTTGAAGGGGACGTTCTAGGAAAGGTCAAACAGGGAAAGGGGGATGTCAAGAAGGGTGTCGAAACAAAACGGAAAGAACAAAGTGCTAAAGGAGTGAACTGGGCCTCTTTGTATATGAATGTCAGTAATGTTTTCCTCTGTCTGATAGCAGCTGACAAAGTAGAGCGATGCCGTAGCAGCCTCAGTGGCTCAACGTATGGGCATATCCAAAGCTGAGCTTCTCAATGGGGATGATGGAAATGCCGCTGTGAAGCTTGCGCTTGCGGAGACGCACGTGATTGAAGAGACAAAACGATATTTCGAAGAACAAGGCATTGTGATTGAAGCACTCTCCCCTCGTACACCTCGTTCACAAACAATCTTATTAATCAAGAACATACCCTTCGGTACCTCTCAACATACCCTCACTGATCTTTTCTCGCCGCACGGGGAAATCAAGCGATTGTTACTTCCACCATCTGGCACTCTAGGAGTGGTGGAATATGTCAATGCTTCTGATGCTGGAAAAGCGTTCAAAGCGCTGTCTTACCGACGTCTGGGAAATGCTGTTCTATATCTCGAGAAAGGCCCAGTAGGGATGTTCCTTGACAAGGAACCTACAACGGGTCCCACAGTGACGAAGGTGACTGATGTTGCACTGGAATTGACAGAAAGAGTTGAAAATGCCTCCAAAGATGCCCCTGATCCGTCGGACGAAGCCGGGTCCACGCTGTTCTTGAAGAATCTCTCGTTTGCAACAACCACAGAACGCTTGATATCCGTCTTATTTGCCATACCAGGGTATTCTTTCGTTCGTGTACAGACAAAACCAGATCCGAAACGGCCAGGAGAGAGACTATCGATGGGGTATGGCTTCGTGGGATTCAAGACCAAAGAAGCGGCTAGTAAAGCTTTACCGGGATTGGATGGATTCGAAGTGGACGGAAAGAAGTTGGAAGTTAAGTTTGCTCAGAGGGGAGTTGAGGACGTGCAGAAGGAAGAGAAAGGGGGTGAAATGAAGGGGAAATCGAAGGGGACTAAATTATTGGTGAAGAATCTGCCGTTCGAAGCCACCAAGAAGGAAGTCAAGGAGTTGTTTTCGTAAGTTCTTCAATGATTCATCACTCTCACTGCCTCGCTGGTTTTCCCAGTCTGTCAATCACTGCTGCCTCCCCTGGCCTAATGCGTCGACTCAAGAGATCCCGATGTACGAAAGAGTGTCGGTAGCGAGGGATGCAAGCTAACTCATAGCGCCTATGGTCAGGTCAAATCCCTTCGAGTACCCAAGAAGCCCACTCTGTCCGCATCCGGAGCTCATTCTTCTCGTGGATTTGCTTTTCTGGAGTTTACAACCCACGTCGAAGCTCAGCGTGCTATGGACGCACTGAAACACACCCATTTGCTAGGAAGACATTTGGTGATTCAATGGGCCAAAGAAGATGATGAGGTGGATGTGTCAGGTCTAAGGGAGAAGGCAAGTAGGGATGCGAGGTTTTTGACGGATGACGGTGGCGGTGAAAGGGCAAAGAAGAGGAAGGTGAGAATGGATGCTACGGCTGAGGATATGGATGGTTTAGAAGTTTGAGAGATAGTGGTCATTCGTGTTGTACCCAACCCAACGTCATCATAGCATCATAGCATCATCACGCAACTCATATGCATCTGCATGTGCCATAAGAACGTCCGAGACCATGAACTCAATCTCTCCGTCGAGCAGGACTGAAACGTGTCTATCGTGTCAGCTGAAACGCATGACGAAAGGAGACATACGAGAGCGGCCTCCCTGACAGTGTACCGAGATAAGATACCTGACATGTTAATCTTCCGCCAATCTAACCCTCCTCCGCTTAGTTGAGTGGAAGGTGGGAAAGCTGAGGTGGAAGGTATTGTCACGTAGACCAGTATCACAGTCTGCAAGTCAGATTCGATTCCTTATCATCCCCACTCAATCCGTCTGTGGACTGGTGAGATGGACCTACCTTTTGAACGAGCGAATTGACGCGCATAATGGTGTTCATCCACTTCCAACTGCATCTCTCGACATACCAGTCTTCCTTTCCATAAGGCGACTCGGCTTGTTCCTCCAGGTCAGAATAAACAGGGATGACGACACAGGAAAATCTATTGTATCAGTGAGATACTTTCTTATTCGCGGACCGGTCGCCGAGTCCTTGCAAGAGAACTCACGCAGAATGGGAGAAAGCAGGACCTCGACGATATAATAACCAGTCACAGGCGAATTTGATGCCTGGTTTGACCACCCATCCAAGAGAGCGGAAGTGATGATATGCCACATAGCTTACTAAAAAGGGATCATCGGGTCGCACAGGTAGAGGGACGACGGGGTGAAGACCTGGCGAGAAGGGTGTGAGGAAAAGAGGGAGTATAGCACTTGGAGGAGGATAAGTGTTCTACCTTGGTAAGCAATTCGCACGTAAACCCATACCGACACTCTTGGGAGGTAGCATACTCCCAGAAGTCCTCTGAGAAAGGTGATCCAATTGAGACGATTATAGAGTGGTCAGAGATAGGGAAACTCACCGTGAGAGGATCATAAATCTTCAACACCCCCAAAGCAGAAGCTAAAAACCAAGCTTCTTCCAGAGCCAACTGCAAATGTTCCATATCCTCTACCAACTCTTCAGCTAAGTCTTCTTCATCCTCTTCATCCTGTTGCTCATCCGGACCTAGGTCCACAATCTCCACACCTGGATTTATAGGAGCTAATGAGGATGGAGTAGGTTGAGGTGCATCAGCTGGAAGGGGAGGTTTGGGTGTCCTCTTGAAAGCTTTCCGCCCGCGATTTCGGTTGGTGTCTGGTCTTGTAGGTCTCACGAGGAATGTCTGAGGAGTGAGAGTGGTCAGATCGACTCCACCCGATGATCCGTCCTCTGATATAGCTTCTAAAGAAGGGGTTTGACCGGAAGTGAGGACAGCTTCCGCTGCTTTGGCAGCAGAGAGCATGGCGGCTGCACGATCAATCTTGAATTGTTTCCTTTCTATACGACGTTTCTCTCGGACTTGTTCGGCTGTCAAACCTATATAATGGATCAGTTACTCATTCTTGACCTTGACTCTTGGAGACTAGCTGTCCTGCGATCCCATCACATGCCCCAACCGGGGATTGGCCTAGTCATACCAACATCTTAGCTTGCGCCTCCGAGCGTGCTGACGAATCATGCTTTGAGGTGTATATGAGGGGAGATCTAAGGATGGGATGGATTGAAAGGTGAAACGAGAATAACATACCATCCCCACTCTTCAGATCCCCCAATCTCCGCTCTCGCCAAGTAGGTTCACTCCTGCTCAATGTCCCCTTTCCAAAAAAGCCTCGTCTGAACAATATATCTATGTGGTCTCTCCGCGTGACCCAAACTGATCGAGTGGTAGCATCGTACACTCCTACACATTGAGGTATCTCTATTCTCTCTCTTGATAGCAATGAAGGAATGTAGCTACCCAGGAATGTGTTGCGGCTTGGTGAGAGGAGAGGAGAGGAAGGGAGAAGGACAGGGAGAGGAGTACCGTATTTCTTCTGATTGGAAGCTGATTTGCCGCCTAGCATTTGACGAGGTACTATAGCTGGAGCTGAGGACGTCTGTTGACGGACAGGTGTACCTTGTAAACTCATGATGATGTCTTGGGTGCGGAATATTACGATGCAGAGTGTCGAAAATTCAAGAAGCAAGATCTGCTTTGAGTGAAATTCAGTCAGAAGTGAACCGGGGCTCCGGATTTCTTCCTCAATCTGCTGCTGACGATTTGATAAGTACGGGTATTTTCTTCTCTTTGTACAGTGCGAACTGCGAGCAAACAGCCGAAAGGGCATCGCAGGGCAATGCGCCTCGGTAGGTGGAGGACAGTTGTGAGGGTAAGAACGGCCCGTCAATTGTGCCAACGAAGATCTTACACATCTCCATTTCCCTATACAAGTACACCTCTGCACCTCACTCGAAATCTGCTCGTGCGGCCGATAGGAAATCCTGTAGATCCTTGCTCAGACAACTTTGTGCTGTACCCGAATTTCTTTTCCAAAGAAGAATGTAGAGAGATCCTGTTGATGGCATTGTGGAAGCTTGATCGGGCGGACTCTTCAAGGAGGAGAAAGGGAAGAGCAAGGGCAATCGCCCATGAAGAACATCCAGATGGACTGGAGGGTTTACAAGACTTATTCACCGGGGAGTATGAATTCGAAACAGTACGTTCTTCTCTGACGCCCACATAAGTAGTCTACCTAAGGTACGGTGTAGTAACTGACTGACAGGGACACTATGATTCTGTCATTCATGACTACCGTGAAACTTTGATGTCGTCACTTCCCCAATCGGTCTCTCCAGGCCTATCCTCGTCACTCACCCGCCTATATGCTTTGGTGGCTCCCTCAGCCTCACAATCATCTCTACCACCAGCAGGGACCTTGACTCATCTACTTCATTTGGCACCTAGCGGCCAGATCTTACCTCATGTCGATAACCTAGAAGCATCTGGTAGACTTATACTTGGGTTATCATTGGGAGCGGAACGCATCTTACGCTTACAAAAAGGTTTGGAGGAAGGGTGGGATGTCAGATTACCGAGTGGGTCTGTGTATGTGCAGAAGTGAGTGTCAGAGGCCTTTTCCCCCCAACTTGTCCGGATTCCGAGACGCAGAAAAACTCACAAGTAGAGATCAGATCAGATATGAGTATCAGCATTCCATCTTGCCCTACAACCATACAGATTCCGTCTGGGATAGTCATCGCCTCAAGCCGGGGCATAGAATTAGTATCATGATCCGTGTAAGTGCCTTCTTTTAAACATGATCACAGCTGAGTTGGAGGATTCGCCAACGCGTTCAACGAAGTTATGAGGTCAAGGAGTCGTCATCAGGGGATCCATAGACATGCATTCGTTGTTTGTTGTACATTATGAGATGACGAGACCTGGAAAGAAGATAAGTGTCGAAAGAGATTAGGTTTCATGGATGACGTTCGAGGATCGCTTTGGTGTAATAAGCCGTACTTGTTGTGGCAAGCAGAGCGAGGACTGAAGGGATGATAGTACGAGTCCTTAATGCTCGTCTATTTATCAATTCGTGCTACACATCCACGAGGAAGACGAATACGTTTGAGAGACCTGGTGAAACTCACCTGAAAGCAGGAACCATCAACACTCCCGAACTGACGGCGGCACCTTCTAATCCATAGTCCATCCCATCCCGGATCCTCATCGAGCTGGCAGCCATGATACTTCCAATAGCAAAGCTCCCGACGATAGAGGGTATGGAACCATACCTAGCGTAGGCAGAGATACCGCCGACAAGCGAAGCGCCGGAGAGCTGGCAGTGAGTTGATTGATTAATTGAACCCGTCCCGCAGAGGACATACCACGGCTATTGGTTTATGAGACTAACGAGTCAGCTTCGTTCTTAGCTCACGACATGTCAACTCACCATACTGCTACGCTACTCTGCGGTGATGTGCAGTACGGTCAGAGTGTCACTACTGTTGTTGCACTAAGTCGGACAGCGACGAATTGTCAACGCATCTATTGGAGATGGAGAGCGCTTGGGCGACTTCGGCTACAACCGGCTACTTTGCCGGGGTAGGGGAGGCGGCATTGACCGCTTCTACAATGGCGGACGTCTTGCAGTTTCCCATGAGGTTGCCGAAGCGTGCATCTTCAACGTTGCATGCAGTGCTACACGCTGCATGCTGCATGCTGAACACTGCATCTCCCACTCTCTCGTACCCGGACGCCCTGGTCCTGAATGTCTAATTAAGAACCCGCCCATCGCTGTAAGTAATGAAAATCAGTGTTGAGCCGCCGGCCCGCATGGGTTGTTGTCCGAAGCGAGGGCTAATTCCAGTACTACTTGTTGTCGGGCTTCCATCAATCATCTCTTTCAGCTTCAGGAACCTAACATGCTTCCATTGGGTGGTCTTGCATGTCTCACTTGAAGTCACCACGACGTTTCTCCGTTTCCATGACCCTGGTAAAGAACAAAAAGTCTTCAACTCATAATTGCTTCTTCCGGAATCCTGACCTGTCGCGTGGACTTTTTTTCCGACCGCAAGTGGAAAGTCACCGTCCTGAAACCCGTGGTGACTACCCGTGTCAGTCTCGCGATTCACCTTCTTCTAAATCATGAGGAACGAAGCTTACGAGGCCTGTGAATACAGACCTTTCAATACAACAAGTCCGCCCGATGTGTCAGTGCCACCTTACGACCTGCAGGGCAAATCTTGCCCGTGGGCTTGGGTCTGCACACAAAACATACACGCCGCTTCTTAGCTATCATACCATGCGTCGAAATTCTGGCCTCGCGATAGTCGGCCCGGGAGGACACACTGTCCTTCTTGGCAATGGATCGGGGGAGCGATCTAGGAGTATATATCAAGCTCAACATTCAAATTGTCTTCACTCCTGTTCGCTGACTTGTAAGTTAATACCCTCGACATCTATTTGTCTTGTGAACGTGTGTGTCTAAAACCTACTGTATCTTCATCGAACAACAGAAGAAACAATCTTTGGACGTGATTCAATCGTACAACATGTACTTCCTCTTCACCACTTCCTTGTTATTATTGACCTTCAACTCTTTGACGATGGCTGTACCGATCGCCCAGGACCGCGATCTTTCGGAGGAGCTGCAACTTTTAGAACGGACGCCACTCCCACAAGCCGATCGAGGAGCTGGTAAGTGTCCGAGATCTTTTTTGATGGACCAGGCAGTAGCTGATCATCAGGCGCTTTTCTGAGACGATCGGTGGTGTTTGAGGAGAGAGCACCAAACATTGAAGAGGGGGAAGAATGGGACCAAGATCCTGTTGATATGGATGCCAGTCAGAAGCGCAAGCAGAAGGGTGGGCAGGCCAGACCAGATGGGTTCCGTGGTGGTGGTGAGTAATCAAAGTTGTTGAAACTGTAGATAGCTAACTTATGATAGCAAACGGGTGGAAACGACATCCTTTCATACCTCCAACCCTGACGCTTCCCACTCCATCACCTTCCCTCTCATTGGAGTACCGTCCCGAGAGCTCAACCACCCCAGTCTCAACATCACCCGCTACTTCGGTTACCTCATCCGTTGTAACACAAACCCCTCAAACAAGCACTATGTCACCTCAGAAGGGGGCGAACCCTAACGGATTTCGTGGAGGGGGAAACGGGTGGTGATCATCCAGAAAGCGTTAGTCTGCCATAGAGAAGGGAAAGGTATCTCCTTATTAGAGTAGACTCGTCTTGAATCAGGGAGGAATTGTACAATCAAGTCATCTCTATGTCATGTCCCATGTACTACGTCCCAGATACGAGAACAGTAGTGTGTCCACCCTCGCTTCGTCGGCGATCGTCGGCTCGCGGCTCATACAGTATTTGCTCGATCGTGGTGAAGATGCCACGAACAAATGCCAACTTGAGCACGGGCCGCCTGCAATTTCGCTTCCTGCATCTCTTCATAACTTACTCGACTTCTGCTACCAGGAGTACTCTACTCGTACTTTGCTCTACTCTGCATCTCTATCTGCATGTCTAAGAAAAGATAGTCATGGCTCATCAACCTCAGCCATTAAAGATGTGAGCATGACTCCGCTCCATGAGGATGTTGAGCTGACATGGATTCCACCTCTCCCCTCAATTCCTGCATTCTCTCTTATGCCTCCACTTCAGCCTCGCAATAGGCTCGCCCCTGTCTGCCCTCGGCACCCTTGTAGACAAGGTCACCTCTATCAACTCCAAGCATGGTCCCTTCGATGCTTGTGTCATTGTCGGTGATCTCTTCAAACAGGATAGTGACGGTAGCGAGCTGGGATCCCTCGCATGTGAGTCCTTGACTTACGTTAGCAAGCTGACCAGTAGCGGTCTTCCCGGTCCCAACGTACTTCACGATCGGCAAGTATGCCTTACCGCAGAGTGTGAAAGACAAGATCGAAGAGACCGGGGGCGAGGTCGTGCGGAATCTCGTGTTCCTAGGTGAGCTCACAAGGAGGTTCAAACGAACGAAGCTCATGGGCAGGAAAGTCTGGGGTACTCAGTACGGCCCAAGGTTTGAAAATTGCCTATGTGGGTGGTACATATGATGAAGAAACGTATAACATTCCCTCATCTGTGAGCTGTGCGGACTAATCTCGACGGGGCTGACTGCCAGGAAAACTCATCGACGAGCACCATCTCCCAAAACGACGTGAACGCCCTCCTCTCCAATCCACTTATCTCGCCTGCTACCAAAGTAGAGGACAGTCTTGCCTCTGCCAGAGACGGTACCTCTGTACTACCCTCCCCATTTCAGGGAATAGACCTTCTCCTGACTTCCCCTCCTCCCCCGTCCCTATCTCTCCTCTCACCATCATTCCCCTCTTCTGGGATATCTCTTGCTACCCCCGCTCCTCCGCTTGCGGAGGTCATCAGGAGGGCCAGACCGAGATATCTATTCTGGGCTGACGGAGAGGGCTTCTGGGAGCGTGAACCGTGGGGATGGTCAGGATCAGATGGGAAGGAGGAAAGGTGGACAAGAGCTGTCAAGTTAGGAGCGTTAGGTGGTGAGACGTCCGAGGGTGGGAAGAAGCCGAGAGTCAGTCGTACCTCTGATCGAAAGGCTTAGGCTGACGTGACAGTGGTTCTATGCTTTCTCCCTCCCAGCACAAACACCCACTACTGCCTTACCCAAGAGACCCGCCAATGCTACTCCCAATCCCCTCGTCTTGGCCTCGGCGCCCGCACATAACGAGCGTAAAAGACCTCCATTGGAAGATCAGCATGTTATAGCGCGAGAGGAAAGTACGATGAAGAAGGGTCGCACTGGTATGTGTATGATCTATGTCAAGCTGATAAATTGACCGAACGTAGGTCCCACAGGTCCACCTGATTCGTACATTTGCAAGGTGTGCAAAGTGCCAGGCGTAGGTCAGCGTTTTGGTTGAAGTAGAAAGGCTGATCACGCAGCACTGGATTCAAGACTGCCCACAAAGAAAGGAAGTCGACCATACGAAGCCCCCTCCAAATTACTCGTGCAAGATATGTGGATCTGTGAGTCCCATCGTCAAACTGCATATGCTGACTATCAGCATGAACACTTTATTCGAGAGTGTCCAGAGAAGGACAAGTCCGATGCACCTCGCAATACACAGGGTCGTCGTGTGCCTTCTCAGAATTATGTCTGCAGAGCGTGTGGAGCGGGTGGCCAGCACTACCTTCGTGATTGTCCGGTGCATGTCGAAAAGGAGCAGGAGAAGCATAAGAAGAAGGAACTTGGTCCTGCAGAATGTGAGTTAAAGCCAAAGGAGGTGGTTGAGCTGACGAAGTAGGCTGGTTCTGCTTGAGTAATCCCAAAGTCACCAAGCACCTCATTGTGGCCATCGGTTCTGAGACCTACGTGACGCTTCCCAAGGGTCAACTCATACCTACGACAGCCGCTCAGGTTGCACAGGGAGGGTTCAAACCTCTCGTCCCCGGTGGAGGTCATGTGCTGGTGAGATTACGCGTTGATCATTGCCAAACATACTCACCTTCAGATTATCCCCATTGCACATCATCCGACATTGATGTCGATTCCTGCCGAAGACGCAATGAGCATCATCACCGAACTCGAGTCTTACAAATCTTCATTACGAGCATGCTATGCAGCTTATCAAGCTGTTCCGGTCACTTTCGAAATCGGTCGCTTGTCGGGTCGCGGAGGACATGCACATGTACAAGTCGTTCCGGTGCCGAAGGAATTGACCGACAAAGTAGCACACGCTTTCAGGGTCGCGGGAGAGAAACAAGGGATAGATTGGGAAGACGAACCTGAGAGAGCATTGGCCAGAGTGGGGCCGACGGGAAATTACTTCAAGGTCGAATGTCCGGATGGCACCAAGATGGTTCATTTGCTCAAGGGAAACTTTGATCTCCAATTCGGGAGGTGAGTACAGCTTTAGTCATTTTCAATTAATGCCTTGTGATTCAGTCCGGATGTCTCACACCCTCGTCGGAAAATGATGTGTTAATGTGCAGGATGATCCTAGCTGGGTTATTAGGACTGCCACATCGGATAGATTGGAAGGACTGCGGTCAGACAGAAGCGGAGGAGAAGGAAGACGCACAAAAGTTCAAGAAAGCTTTCGCTCCGTTTCATTCATGATCCATCATCTCCAGTACGTAAACACACACAAGTGAAGTCATAAAGCATTATCTCGGGTCACATCGCGATGTATCATGCCGTGTCACTTATCCGAGCCACACCCTCGTCTATCATTGGCCAGCCCAGGACTGTCTCAGATGTCATTACCGACGCCCATGTTCCAGATCGGCAGGGGCGGGCGTCGTGGCCACCTGTAAGTACGGTGTGCCTCCGTTGTTCCTGTTGAATCGGCGAGGTTAATAAAGTGGGATCGCCTGTCGAGGATCGGTGGCTTGAGCCCCGGCCCCGGCGGCAAGACCAGCAGGGACTGGGAAACAACGACGATCGCTCCTTCTTGGTCAATTAAGCAAAGATCGCTAATACCAATACCATTGGAACCACTCTTCGTCTCACGATCGTCGGCAACCCATGTGCCGTGAGTCATGCGACATGTGACGTTGGAACAGACAACAACAAACAAAAGCAAGGTCTCGCAATCAGTAGAATGGAAGGGTTGTATGCACTTTCAAGTACGGTGGAAGCGAAACAGTCTGCATTCTCATTACCGAGAAGATCCGTTTTTCTTAGAAATTTCTGACAGCCTGACGTATTCTTAGCTCGACTGGCTGAAGGTTGGGAAGACCACTCACAATTATGATAGATATCTGTATGGAGTGAATGGGTTAAGCAAACTAAAAGCCGCCCGCTGAACATCAGCACTGGCCTCTCCGCGTGATTCATACAACTGCGAGGTGGTGAGAGGAGGGAGGGATGAAGAAGATGGAGAAAGGTGTTTCCGACTGACCGGTGTCCCTCCACCCGTCGAGCTGGGGTCCCGTCGTCGTCCGCGCCTCAAGAGCCTCGACGACCGCAGGAAGAGGTTGTGCAGCTGGAGAGGGAAGGGGTGCAGGTGCAGCTTCGGGCGCGGCAACAGGGATGGACAGGGTAGGAAGGGCGAAGAGGCACAAGGCGATAAGGGCGGTGATTGGGGAACGCATTTTACTAGTCTGTCAGCTACTTCTCACTTGGTCTACATATGCAAAGCGATGAACTCGAGCTAACTCACAAAAAGAAAGAGATGTTTTGGAAGATGTTTAGAAGTTTGAAAGTTTGGCTTGGCTTGATATGTGTAGTTTGGAGGATAAGAATGACTTTTGAAGATGACAGAAGGAACAAGACGACCGAGCTTAAGTAGCCAGGACTGAGTTACGGATTGGATGATTAAGGACTGTTCAGGTCTGAGCTCCTATCAAAGGACCCTGGACTGAGGAACAAGTGGAGCGCCGTCCTATACCGACCGGCGGATAATCAAAAGAGAGAGTCTCGTTCAATTTTCGAATTGACAAGGTCTCGGCTCTCGGTTCGCGGTTCTCAACTCAGACCTCGGACGTTTTGCGATCGAAATGGTAGTTCGACGTGATGAAGAGGTATGAGGTGAGGATCAGAGATGTAAGTACTTCATAGATTCAAGAGAGCGATGATGAAAGATGGGATGAGACAAGGCACCAACCGAGCGTCGCGCTGCGCAACAAGGTGGAGGAGGGGAGGGAAAAGAGAAAGGGGGGTAGATAGGGCAGAAGAGGGAAGAAACCCTTTGATCAAGAATTATTATTTTTTAACCCCGAGATCAAAGGGAGGATCCGGGTAAGAAGATGAGTGACAATGGCACGGATCATCTGTTTCGGCGTCTGGTCAAGTTTGGCTAGACTACTCGTTTCACCTCTTCACTCATCTCCGAGTCCAGACATCAATTCCAGATACTCGTGTGTTGTAGTCGTAACCCTGTCAACGTCACACAGCAATATGTTTCCATCACCTCCACTCATTCACCGTTCTCCCCTTGTCTGATTTTCTTTTCAACTGTAGATTCGACATGGGCCTGCGGATTCGAAAAGTGATCGAGCCACAGAGGATCAAGAAAATCAGGAGGATCGGACAAGTCGAGTTATTGGCACCGAAAGGTACCAAAAGGATTGCCTTATGATCATTCGACGTATCCGCGTATGTCTCCTTTGACGAAGGGGAAGATGCTTCATGACTGAATAAAGTATTCGAAATTCTTCCATCTGCTTGCCGTTCTTGACAGGATCTCCTCTTCCGTAGATCAGCTGTAAGAGGCGCAGTCTTTCGCGCTGATGGCAGTCGAGCACGTCATGAGTATAGAAACGAGATAAGAAGGAGATTAGAAGTACGCACGCGGAATGAGTGGAGGGAAGACAGATATGACTTTTACTTTTTCTGGCTTGCGTCACTCGTTGGAGTGTACCTTATTGGGAGACATTATGTTGATCAAAGCGCATCATCAATCGAGTTACGAGTTGCGAGTTGATTTTGTACCGCAAGTGGATATTATTCTTTGTTGTGTTGATGTCGTCAAACACATGCTTGTCGCTCCGAGATGAGGTACTCGTGTAGAGTGCTATCAACACGTTGATGATGATGACATGATGGTCTCGATAAATTGGAATACCATTTCATGCGGTAATTGCTAGGCAGCTGTGGAAGAGCAATTCCCGTGTCGGCAGTCGAACGACTCGGCCAGACCCGTCTATCGTCATTTCGAATGTCAGAGAAAGGGACAGAGCCGACATCCCGACTGCGTATAAAACGTGTAGGTTGTGCGACGATAGTTCTAGGCTGAGCAGATGAACAGCGCCCAAGCAAATCACGCGCGAGATGGTAGCGTCAAGGTGTGAGCGGACTATTGTAAGATGTCGCCGGTGAAACACCAACGGAGAGGAACGATAATGACGGTTGCAGCTGTTTGCTGCTTGACGACTTTTTATAGCAAGTCTTGGTATCCGAGAGAGATGAGTCCGGACAAGCCGGCGTAACCGGCGTTGACCAGGATCAAAAATGAGATACGGAGATGCCTAGGAACGCGCACGCACCACAGGCACAATGGCACTGGACTGCCCGTTTTCTTCAATCCCCTTCCACCTTTCCTTTCCATCTCTACGTTCAACTTTTCACTGGTAAACTCGGGCGAAGCGAGCAATCATTTCCTAATGATGCGAGTATACGAAGGATCATTTGAAGATCAATGCAATCGATCCATACAGTTGGACGACAATCGGAACCTCGACTCTTTCTTGGATTCCATGGATCAAATTCGCAAAATCAAGAAACGCGACACGTCACAAGAGGCTGACTTACTCGTCAGTGGCTGTAGCTTCTTAATTGACTCTTCCATCCTCTGGTCGTACGCTTAAACATCTACTGAACACGCTGTTTTTCCGAGACACTTTCTCCCCCTGAACTCCTCCCAATGGATCAAGCAAGCCGTCGTATGTCTGGTGCCTGAAATCTACAATCCTCCGACCTCTGATGTGATGAGACAAGATAAGCCTGGGCAACGGGCGGCGGAGTAGAGAGGTACGAGAGTATACCAAGAGAAGAAACCCACACATCTCCTTCGCTCCAAGGGTATCTACCCCCTTTCGTTCTTCTCCGGTAAATTCGCCCTTCCCACCGGCAGCTGCAATCACCACGCTCGCTCGAGCTCTCTCTTGGCATACAAATACCCTACCCCCCCCCCCCCCCCCCTCCTCGCCCGTGAGTACAAGGTTCTACTCTAACTTTCACATAACCCTGTCAACGGTCACAAGGACACCGCGCCAGCTGAGCGAGCGAAGAAGCTTATTCGTACCTGATAACGGGTCAGTCTCGCAATTCAGAACCCTGTGTTGCGCCAGACGGGCACATCGGAACGTTCCCAAACGGCCAACAGAGGGTGAACACACAAATCCGAACGTCTTTTACATTTCCTTCACATCCTTCTTCCTTTTCACTTCACTCTTAACTGAAAAAGGAATTGTCCCATCCGATCTTTCATTTTTAGCGTCTTCACTTATCTCGTAATTTTTCACATCTCGAAACCTACGCCACTCAATCATGAAGCTGTCAGTCGTTCTCGCCGTATTCGCCACCGCCGCTCTCGCCGCGCCTGTCCCAGCACCCCTACCGTCCGGCCCGACCCTTGACGGGTTTAGAGGTGGTACGTCTTCACTTCCAGCCGTTTTTTGTCGTCACTGACGTGCAGGTCCTCCAGGATGGAAACGTGAAGCTCAACCCGCTCCTTCCGGACCCACCCTTGATGGATTCAGAGGTACTGGCTCCGGTTGGAAGCGTGAGGCTGCCCCGATCGCCGCCCCCGCTCCCTCAGCACCCACCGTGGATGGATTCAGAGGTACTGGCAATGGATGGTGATGGGTAGTCGGTGAGTAGTTCTCTTAGTATATGTCTGTTTCGCGGTCGTTGACGAACTTAGATCCTCAATAAAACACTTACGGAACCTCTTTCCCGCTCATGTCATTCTCCCGTTTGTCTTGGCCTCTGACCTATCACTTCGATTTGTCCTTCTTGCTCCATCTTATATCATCAGTCTCTCCTTTCTAGATCTGGGATCAACTTGTGTGGTATGCAATTTTAATGCCAGTCCGTTTTCAGAAGACTGACGATTGACCAAATTGTCTCCCGAATGCTTGACACAACTGACATGTTGTCATATCCGTGCTCATCATCACCACAGTTATTCGCCACACTGCCATCCATCATAATCGTTCCGTTTAATTATCATTACTGAATGTGCATGCTTTGGTTTCCTAATATTACCAGTACAAATGCGTACTGATCACAAACTCTCCCCCATCTCCACGCAGGTCTGATCTCATCCTGTCGTATACCCGCTGTGAGCCGTGCCAGGGTCACCGTTCAATTGAGTGACATTGCCGAGCGCCTCGTTTGGTTGACTATAACTCATTCCCGCACCCCAATCCGCCATAAAATCAAACGCGTCCCCTTGTCCAATTTCGAACGGCCAGTCCGTGAAAAAACTATCTGGAATTTGGAATTGGTGATCTGGTGAGACCTTGTTGTCCGGTTGCCAGGATTGTTCGAGGGGTAGTAATTGCGTCGAATCAACTGGTCTCACTGGCGGAAGAGTCGCCGCGGTGGCCGGTGGGGTAAACTATTCATGATCAGCATGTTCCGCCATTCAATATTCCATCGAAGAGAGTCGAATGTGTTTCAGGCACACGATCGGCAGAGTCGTTGTTTCTTACGGAACGAGGACTAGATTCAATCGATCAGACTCACCGTGGATCTGGTTGTCTGCTCTGAGCCGGACCAGATGTCTCTCGGCAGAGCACTGTGATACACCTGACTCTGTTGCGAGTGCTGGAATGCCGCAGTGGTCATGTACTGATCGATCCTTGAAACGTGGGATTTGAGTTTTTGAGCGAGACCCGCCGCTTGTGAGAGAGACGATTCGAGCGTGGTCAAAAGGTCGGCCATAGCTAATAGGACATTGCGGACTTGCAGATATGTCCATTGAGACAACGGGCGTTGAATGACGCTGCCGAGCAGGTGACCGACTCCGGCAAGATGTTGCAACTGTGTATCAGTCACACCCACTCCATACTATACAGTGTGTCATATTATTTCCATCGTCCGCTAGTGAGAAGTGGACAGGACGATTTAGCAAAATTGACTGACCATGGGCGCCGAGCAAGTTTGTATATATGCTGTCGGAACAGATGCTAAAGCATCCAGCAGATCTCCAGCTATGGCGCACCTTTGCTGAACAGAGGAATCCTCCGTTCCTGCCAGCACCATCTTCACGGTCTGCATCGTAATAATGATGTTAGCAGCTGATCATCAGCCCTAATTGCAAATTCACGGCTGCCAGACTACGCACACTGAAATCCGAACCGATCGTCGATCAAATTGCCCGTCATGGCGTTCGCTCCCTTAAACACAGGCGGCAGCTTGGAGTATAGGCGGGATACTAAGTCGAGTACCTCTGACGGGGCCGGGCCGGTCTGGGTGGAGAATAACGCCGTTACAGGTGTCAAAGGGTCATCGGGAGAGTACATCTGTCTTGATCTGAGTTGTCCCACGGCATGCTCGAGTATGCGATACAAATCGACCACAAAATTCCAGCCTTTCAAAAAAGGTACCGCACCAGGATGTGGGGAATGTAAGGTGATGCCTTCTTCGGTTATGTCGGTATCGTCGAACACTTCAGCAGGGTAGAGGACATTGCATTGGCTTTCTCGTTGCCGGACCATCCCACCCCACGTGATGGCAGAGTAGACGTCTAGTTGGTATAGCGACCAGAACTGAATGATCAGCCTTAAGACATCGTACACTAGAAGGTGGGGCAAAATTGGATGGCAAGAGAAACTCACGAGCCGCCGACGCTCTTGGATTTCTGGTTCCGTGAGATTCTGGGGCCATCTCGCTTCGTTATGGAAACCGTCAACGGAGACCATCGTAGTGTAGTCTCCCAGGTGACCTAACAGCGCCCTCACTTGCCCATATTGTATGGTGATCACCGCCTGGACCGCCTTGGCACGTTTAAAATTGAAATCTGTGCACAGGGTCAAATCTGATGGCATGGCTTGGAGTGACGCATGATAAAAATCTTCGCTACTCGGTCCATCATGGACATCCTCCGGCGTGAGAGCTTGCGCAGTCGGCATCGATGCACCATCTCGTAAACGGGCGAGTGTCATGGCACACATGCCATAGACCACAGCGTAGAAAGCACGATCATGTTTGTACTGCTGTCGTCGAACTCGACGCCAAAAAGTCGGCCAATGGAAGTAGGGATGTCTGCATTTGAGCTTCTCGGGGAGATGTGTTGAGGTGAAAGAGCTTACATTGGATATGAGATGGAGTGAAATGCCTCGACAAGACGTTCAACGATAGATGGTGGAGCAAGTTCGTGGTACACCCAGGAGCCCGAGGCTTCGTCCGAACGATAGCCCAAAGAGTGAGACCCGTATCTCTCTCCTGAACCGCCTCGGTCGGTAGAACGAGCAGGAGGCTGAAGGTTAGCATTTGTTGATCTTTCAATGAAGTGAGAATTGGGATGACTCACACCTCGCCGTTTGACCGGACGATCATAGGTGCAGGGTGTGCCAAAAGCCGCACACGGAGCGCAAGATGAGGAACTGGCACTGGGTGCGCACTGCTGATCAGCTTCTGATATTCGCAAGACACGCTGAGAGTGATGAGTGTGATGGAGAGCTCACCTTGATGCCTCCACGATGACACCTATCGCATGCTCTCTGCTGCCATCAGCATGTCGATGGGGAAGTAAGGTCAAACGCCACTCACGGTGATCCGCCTCCTCTTCAATGAGACAGAGGATGATTCGCCTTTGTTATCTTGCTCCTGATCCATTGCAGTTTCTTCCACGTCCAAAGAACCCATCGATGATGACGAGATGACTTGTGAGAGGTTTTCTGTTGGGCGAGAGTGCAAGAGAAGGAGGGATATATGTTCCTGGCTGACTGGCATGATCTTTGGGACCGGACCTTCCGGCGACCGTTGCCGGATTCCTTATCCCATTAGGAATTGAGAGACGGGGATTAGTAAATCATTTACTAATGCTCGATCGAATTGACCCTCGTCAAAATATCGCCGCTAGAAACTTTTTCCACACAATTAATAATTATGACCATGTCATGCGGTAACCCAGAGGGAGCTGTCGAAGGGGAAGAGAAGGAAGAGGTCTTGATGCCCAGTATGTCCAGTCACCATTTTCATCTCTCAGTCCTCGTACTCACAAGCAGCATCTCGACCAGTGAGAAGAGTAGACAAAGCGATCTGTAATCGTTGTAAGAAGGCAAAGACTTCGTTTATCTTTCGTCAGGGTGCCTATTGCTCGTATGTCTCAACCTACTTCTCATCCTCAGTATGAAGTATCACGCATATCTGGGGCTAGCTGGATAGTGGATCAAGAGAGAAGATAGCTGACCGCCAGCCCATGCTACGAAATTAGCCTCCGCAGTCGATTCATCCGTCAACTTCATCCTCCCCTTCGACCGGGAGCTGTAAAATCCACGCTGACCCTCTACCGTCCTGTGGTGCAATCTGGGCAAGCTCTGATAGCGGTCAGTGGTGGAGCAGGAAGCGTGGCCATGCTCGACATGCTCATGAGCCGGGGTTACATCAGTCGGAGTGATGGAGCGGCAACGAATCGGACCAAAGGACAGAAAGAGGCCGTATGGGATAAGGCGACGGTGGTTTATGTTGAATTTGCGAGTGTCACAGGACGAGATGAGAGAACAGAAGATATCCGTAAGCTGTCGGAGGATAGAGGACTGGGATTTATCGGGCTCAAAGTTGAGGATGTATATGATGCTGGACTCGTCTCATGGCTCGGAGGTTCAGAGAGGAATGCTGATACCTCCGGGGTCAAGGTGAACTTCCAGCAACCCAGTAAGTTGCCCCGTCATATGTGAATGAGGCTGAGCTGAATGTACTTAGACCTTCCTGTCTCTCAAGAACCCACGACATCTAATACGACTCCAGTGGAACGTCTGCAATCCCTCCTCGCTTCACTCCCACCCGCCAGTCGACCCTCTCTGCTCTCACATATTTTAGATCACCTGCTCACACTTGCCGCTCTCACTTTACCCAATGTGTCCCAACTTCTACTGGGCGAAACCGCCACCCGCCTGGCTCAACGTGTCATTTCCGGTACAGCTCTTGGGCGAGGTTGGACCTTACCTCTCGAATTGTCCAACTCGTTCACCTTACCGGATTCGCAGATTGTGCGTATGAAGCCTATGAAAGAGATTTCGGTCAAGGAAGCAGCTCTGTGGTGTCGCATACACGGTCTAGAGACAGTCAACTATCGCGGTTGGGATGACGTGGGACCTAAAGGGAAAGAAGGTCGGGCGAAAGGCGGAGCCGCCAGCTTGGCAGCATTGACTGAGCGTGAGTTCTGTCACTTAGTCTTTAGACGTCCCGCTGATTAAGTAGAATTCATCGCTGGTCTTAGTACCACACATCCCAGTACGGTATCCACTATCAATAGGACTGGTGACAAGCTGGTGTTTCCTGGTGACACAAGTGGTCCGATCTGTCCCTTATGTGAGATGTAAGTTCACCGAGGCTAAAATCCATCCATCAGCGTGCTAATGAAGATAGGCCCACGGAGCCTGATGCTATGCGATGGAAAGCCAGGACAGCCCTCACGTCTCTCACCGATCCCCATTCTTCGCTGGGCAGTCCTACAATCGCGGGGAGTCACACGGGTGACTCGACACATGACAATTTCGCACCGACACTGTGTTATGCGTGTTTGACCACGTTGTCTGGTGGAGCGACGGGTCGGACAACGGGTGATGGTATGGTAAATTTACCACCATGGGTCGGACAAAGGGTATCGACGTCACAGAGGATGGTGGCTCGAGAGCAAATGAGAGAGGAGATTGCGGATTTCTTGTTGGCGACGGAAGAGGAGTAGAACATATATCACCATGTAGCATATCACAAGCATCAATGCATCTACGAATATCTTATACTCAATTCATACAACACTCGTACACCGTTGTACTCGTACTTAATGTCTTTGACAAGGAAAACCTGGTCAGCCGGCTAATTGGGCCGACTTTCTTACCGGTATCCTCTCACCAGCTCACCAGATCCACCAACATCTCTTCTGAGAAACCACTCTCTAACACCTCAAGTTGGCATACCAACCATGTCCCTCGTAGAGCTCTCCCGACCATATGAAGCAGTATGGCAACTAACTCTTTGTTCTCCACCCGATAATCGTCTCACCCCCGAGCTCCTATCCTCTCTTTCTGATCATCTCGACACCATAGAAAAAGAATGGCGATTGTCCGGAGGCGGAGAGATGGACATTAAGAAACGGAAAACGTTTCCTTCGGGTGGAGCTGGAGCGGTGGTGTTGACAAGTGGTCTGGATAAGTTTTTCAGTAACGGTTTGGATTTCGGGAAAGCTATGAAGGTTGATAATTTTTTCGAAAGTGAGTCTTCGGCTCTACTCCTCTTCCTTCACCAACCCTCACCCTTCACCCATGACTTTCTATAGCACTCCCGCGTCGTTCCAAATCACTACTAGTTCCACTCTGCCCGACATACTTTCTTCCTCTTGCATAAAAGAGATTATCGGAAATGTGTTTCAAGGAATTGCTATGCACGCAGACTATGGGGATGTTGAGAATATCAATTGGCGACCACTGACAATCAGAAATATTCGATCCTGTCATGTGGCGTCTTTTGACGTTCCCATTGATCACCATAGCAGCTATCACTGGGCATGGTCAGTTTTCAGTTCTACTTTCTCCGTCTCAGAGGGTACTTGACACCTTCTCGTATAAGACGGCGCGACGGGAGCCGAATGACTGACCAGCAGCTTTTGCGGGAGGAATGATCCTCGCTTTATGCTGCGATTACAGAGTGATGACCTCTGGGAAAGGGTTATTATGTATGAACGAAGTGAGTTATATTATTCTCACCTTTTCATACTTCCTCTTCAGAAATTTGTTATCCCATAACTCCTACCATCACTCAACATCTCTTCGGGCTAATAACGTGTCTACGAAAACGAAAGACGTCATACACCGAAAGCCTCAGATCCAGTGACAATGCCCGAGTGAGAAAATACTATTGACACTCAGATAACATTCTCCTCCCCACTTCCCAACTCCTTCGCGGCTTTTTTACGAATCCGCATTCCTCACACTCCTCATCTCCGCGATACCCTCTTAGGCAGACGATGGACTCAGCCCGAGGCGAAGGCCGCTGGTTTAATAGATGAGATAGTTGACGATTCATCCGACTCAAAAGCAGTGGTCAAGCGGGCTATAGAAATTGGTGTGAGAGAAGGACCGAAAGTTGCTCCTGGTCCATGGGGAATGATCAAGGTGAGTTTATCTGCTTCATTCTTCCCGCTGTCGTTTTTTGTTCCATCAGAGACTACTGCAGAATTAGATGATAGGTATATGAAGTGTAATTGATCCACAGGCCGGGACATACCATCCAGTTTTTGAAGCTTCAGAATCGTACAGAGCCGTTCTGTTTCCTCATCAAGAGGCCAAAGCTTTCTTTGACAGAACAGGAAAGAAAGCGAATAAAGCCAAATTATGAATCACAATTCTTCCTCAACGATTAGCGTGTTTATGTTGTCAAGCCCATAATTTGTTGTATGCATATTATAAACCGAGATAATAATTCCTTTGTGTCAAACACCAAACGAGACTACCGGCTAAATGTCAGCGACTTCTCAAAGAAGCTTGCTATACAGTCTTGGTGATGATACGAAAAGCCACGAGCAGAAGGGAAGAATGGAAGAATGAACTCACTACCAATGACCAAAGGTCCTATAGATGCTCTGTTCAATTTCACACTTCCGAAAATGAGCATCTCCGACCAAAAATGTATGGTAGCAATGGCGAATTTAGCCATGACGAGATCGTACATTCTAGTTTATGAATTTCAACTACTCAAATACTCATATCGCATACACGATGTCTCCTGGTAATGCGAAAAGACACGATGGACAGATCGACAAAAAAGCCGAGGAGAGTCATAGCCCATGAGGAAGGAGATTCAAGAAGATTAAGACTTCACAATGGAGAAGGGTTTGAAAGCCGAAGTGATGGTGAAGGAGATACGATTGAAAAGGGTAAAGAAAGACTCACGCGGGACTTGAAATATCATAAGCAGCTCTGAATCGAATAGCAGCAGCTAATAAAGTCCACGTTCCGAATAATCTCGAAGCGAGGGGTGTCACTGATTCTCAACACATGTCTCATGATTATCTGTCATATTGTATAGCTTGCGTGATTCTTCAGTGTGACCAAGCCTGGGAAAGAGGAAGAGCGAATCAGTCTGACCGAACCTGGGAAAGAAGAAGAGCGAATCAGTCTGACCGAACCTGGGAAAGAAGAAGAGCGAATCAGTCTGACCGAACCTGGGAAAGAAGAAGAGCGAATCAGTCTGACCGAACCTGGGAAAGAAGAAGAGCGAATCAGTCTGACCGAACCTGGGAAAGAAAGAAAGGCGAGTCAGTCTGACCGAACTCCAGAGAAAAAGAAAACAGTGTCAGTCTGACCAAGCTCGGGGAGGAAAGACAAAACAAAGAAGCAGAGAGGAAATTCACTCTCTGTAGCTTTACCAGAATATACTTCCCTAGATTGCCAACTTGCGAAATAAGCTTGACCGGTATTATACACCGAAGCAGCGGCAGTGAACAATAACCAATATGGTAGTAAACCTCCTTGTGAGGGAGTAGGGGGTAGGTTTATATCTAGAACGTTGTCAGCGCTCTAAGACTTCACTTGAGCCTATTTTTCAACTCCTTGTCTGGTTTTAACATTCCGAGAGAGAACCTACGTACGTGGTGCGAGGCAATGACCAGATATGGTGTTGATGATCTTAGAGTAACTCACATGACATGATGCTCATACTCCTTATTCCTTGTATCCTGTGTCTACTGATCTACTGACTTGTAGCTTACAACACGCAGCTAGATAGGAAAACAGAGGAAAAATCTGGAAGAACAGAATTTGGTGATCGAGTTAGAGAAGCGGCTGTGGCAGGCATGGGGCACGGGGCGTAAGCTTACGGGTCACCACTGCATTGTGGATGGAAAATCCGGTTCAGTACTTGGTAGTTTGCAAAGATACATTCACATTGTCATATTTGGCAGCATGTAAGAACCTAGAATAACCATCTGTATTATCCGACTTGTATAAACCTATAAACCAATTAAGCCCACGAACTTTATAAACCATTTGCACCCACAAACCTATTAGTCTTTGAAACCCCACTGTACCACTGTCAACATCTCGGCAATGACATGTTCCACTTCTCATGTTATGCGAATTTGATTAAACAGTACCACACGACTTTAATCATCTTCTTCAACTTGATTCTCTCCCCTTCAGAATCATCACATCATGCTTTCTTTTTATACTGCCCGTATCATTTGCGTGAGAATCGAGCGGTGTCACGTCTTCCAAGTGGTAGGACCAAACCCATCGGGTGGAGTCGGTCGTAAGGACTCTCCATTCCAATCCGCGGCTATTGGTCAGGCATGATATTACGTTTGGGTTATACAATGTCGTCACGATTACGATCGACAAAAAGCTAACATTCCCCATTCAGATACCTTTGGCCAAAAATGGAGTGTTTGAGAAAAGATCGGTGAAAGAGTAATCATTGTGACAAGTCATTGAAGCAGGAGGGTAAGACTCACTCTTCGCAAACACATTATTTCCCCACCAATCCAACTTCACTTTTCCCACTCCAAAGGCCAAGAACAATAACATCGTACTAGCCGTAGTTCCAACGTCCAACGCCGCCGACAAGACATAGTTGTATTTACTCCACCAAGCAAACTTTTTCCTTCTCAACCAAAACTGGAAAATGAACGACACGATGAGCCAACTGGCATAGTTGACTCCTGTTGCGGGGGGGATAGAGAGGGCACCATTGAAAATAACGGGAATGTTGATATTCCTCCATAGGGATTTGGGATATTTCCGTACTAAGAACCACATAGGGATGGGTAGTATTGCACCGACTAGGAAAGCGTACAGTTGGGGATGATATAGCGATCCTTTCGAAAATAGTCGTTGTGGACCGATAGCACCCCATAGAATGCTCGAAGTGTAAAAAACCTGTGTCGAGGAGCAAGTAAGGAGTGCTGGTTGATCCGGTGTACAGATGTCCGGCACCTTAGAGAAGACGAGTCGATAAGTGCCGAATTGGACAAAACACGAAACAAAACCGGCGGTGAGTTGGGCGACAAATGTTGAGCGAGGCGGTATCTTCATATAATGTCCTAATTTTTGATCAGAGATAAAATATAGAGCTTCGTAAAGCGATTGAACTGAAAACGTCTTGAAAATCTGAAGGTAAGCAATTATCAACTCCGTCGAAAAAAAGTAATGGATCAAAACTCACCATGCCAGGGATGGGCTTCCCTTGGAAGAGGTACCCAGGGATCAACTCCGACAACAAGTTTGTGGCTACCGTTTGATTCGTCATAGCGTAAATGAAAGCGGCCGGTAAGAGGTAAACGAGTGGTAACAACACCGATAAAAGATACCCATACACCGGCAGATCGGTGTGATTCACTTCGATGTTGATGACTGCGATAACGAAGACTATGACGAATAAGATCAAGTACCACCATTCCGGTACATCTGGATACTTCTTCATGAGCTTGAGATGGATATCTTCGACTTCCGTTCGCATGTTGCGGGCGGTCCGGTATATCCTCGGACCGTGATAAAGAATAGTGTGAACGATCAACGCTGTGGAGAGCGCAAATGCCAACATGAACGTCATTGAAAAAGTGGCCGAAAGGTAAACAGGCGAGTATTCGCCGTAAGCCGTCCTGTTGAGTTCTGTTTCGGGAGTGAGAATGTAAGATACGTTATATTCCATCCCATAGCGATCACCCGCTGCGCTGACAGACATGGGGAGATAGGCAAACTGCCAGACCTGAGCTATCAGCTGAATATCCTTAGCGATCCAGGAATGATATATATCCGGTCCCTGAGACGAGTCGAACAGCAGAAAGAACGTAGAGGCAGGTGTAAACACTCACATTTGTATAGTACAGAATAGGCACTAATATCCAGTAGAAGAGAATGAAACCAATACCGATATTGGCCGCTGCCCACCAAGGGGTTGTGAGTGGACTACTAATCCATGCGATCTGAGACCAGTCAAACGTAAATAAGCCCATACCAAGTCCGGTTGCTACTCCAAAGAGTTGATTGATGACAATGTTACGCGGCGCAATCCAACAGGGCCATGAGAAGTTTGACAGGGCAGTGAAGAGATATCCTAGACCATCAGCGAACACTTGATAAGGATTAAGGACTTACCCGGCAAGAAGTAGTAGCCGAAAGACGCGCTCCCCGCAATTAGCAGAAACTTGAGTCGAGTCATCCCGCCCTTGAATCCGTCCTCCTCCGCATGAAAGGTGTTCAAATTGGTGGCAATGACCAGATTACCAGGCCATATCATACTTGCAGGCCAGACGACAAACCGGCGGGCAAAACCTGCAAAGGCAAAACCGGTCATTTGTGTGGTCATGATCATGAAAATACCGAAAGCTGATGTGACAGGATGCTGGTAGTAAAATTCTAGGGAAGAGAGTGCGAAGAGAGCGTAGGCGGGCGCTACAGAGATGTTGGCCATGATTACGATGATGGTGTGTTCTTTTATGTTGAAAGGACCGGGATTGGTGGAAAACTTCCAACCGCCCAGCCACCCAGGCATGTAGACCGTATGGATAGGTATTATCCAGGATGCGGCCTTCCCAACGGGATACGAAGCTACTTGGATGAGCAGAGGCGAAATGTACGGAGCAGGGAAGCGGAAGAAGAAAAAGGTATTGATGCCAGAACCTATAACGGCGAAGAACATGCCAATGACCATCGCGCGTGCTGTCAGAGCTGCATGTATGAGCGATACATCTGGTTGTGAGCAAGACGACGACTCACCTGGCATATCTGGATCGTCGATGTTAGAGACTGAAGCTCTGACTTCTGCAAACGGACTATCTTCTTCTGCCAAATCATTTTCCATATCAATATCATCACCAGCCTCGCTAGCATCCTTTTTGGCAGCCAAACCGTCACCCCACGTCGTCTTGCCTTCTGGAACAGTGGCATCTCCAGTCATCTCCGTCATTCCATAGCTGCCTCGACTCACGTTGCGACGCGAACCTTCAACTGTCATATCGGAAGTATCGGTCGAGCCAGACATCAAGGGTTGGCACGAGCGCTGACGTCTCGATGGTTTAGGCCGGGATGATTCTCCACCTCCGCCGTAGGAAATAGCGTCCGACCCTGTGACAGTGTCAAAAGAAGTCTGAGTTACATTGGTTGTCGCGAAGTTGGTAGTACTGGTTTCTCCTGTGGTACCGGTATTGACTGTACGCCTCTGTAGACGATTGATCAAGGAGCGACCGGTATTGGGACGAGGCGGAGGAGAAGTAGGAGTGATACCTCTCTCTCTCTCTCTCCTAGCATTGATAGAGAATGCGAAAGCGGAGTTATTGGGATTCTGACGACCACTGAAAGGGGGAGGGTTGGCCTTGTCGTAAGCAAGTTCAGGGAGACTTCCAGCGATATCAACAGGCCCCGGAGGTGACAAGCCAGGATGTTGAGCAAAGTTGGCAGCTGAAGAAGGGGTAGGGGTTCCGTCACCAAAGGTGCCGCCGGTCACATGTGTCCCAGGAGATCCCGGCTGAGGATAAGCATTGGTGCCGGTGCTCGGGGATACCAAAGAGGTGGTGGGTGCAGAGGTGGTATACTCAGATCCTGAGAAAGCAGACTTGGGGACAGCAGCAGTGGCCGGTCTTTCGAATGCGAAAACGTCGTCATCGGCTTCATCATCATACTCGATAGTGAAGTCATCGTTTTCTGGGAGGTTGTTTGGGTCCGGAAAGTATTGCCGACTGGGAAGTTCACCAATGCCAGAGGCTGATGTATCTGGCCTTGCGGTAGCGGGTCTTCCGGCTGCTGTTGTGCGAGGCCGACGAGGGGAAACCAGTTGACTTGCAGGGGTGGAAGGCGAGGGAGAGGGATGAAGGGGATCATCGGAAGGATTAGGTTGGCTCATGATGGTGAAAAGAAAGTCGATTCAACTATTGGTGTCAGCCAGACGACAAGAAAGTGAGGAATGTAAGAGATGCTTGACCGATTGTTGTACAGGGGAAAGTAAGAATGTGAAGGCGTGGAAGATAGACAGTTGCTTATTCCCTATTTGAGAAGAAGGCGCAAAGGAATGAGGGGATGACTTTGTCAGTCACCTGAGACTGATTATTACTCACGTTTTACCGTTGTTACCAAATTACCTAGAACCACTATGTCACGAGGGAGGCCAGAAGACGTATGGTTAGATAGAACGGAAGAAGGGAAGGATATGTAGAGACCGGGGAATGAAGTGAGTGTGTGTATGTCTGAGTGTAGCCGGGGCGGATCGATCGTCGAGTGACTTGATTATATTTATGACAAGGAAGAATGACGGCGAGAGAAGCGAAGAATGACTAAGAGGCGTGTGTTGATCGGCAGCTAGCAGCTAGCAGCTAGCTCACCCTGCGAAGTGTAGTCCTACTTCTCCTCTACCGCTCTCTCAGTCCGAGATTGTTCAGAACAGAGGGAAGGATTGGGGCGTCTCCGTTTCTCCTTCAGTCTCAACGCCCAGTCCCTGTTCGTTCACTTGTTGCTTCCTCTTCAATTCTGCCCCAGGAGTATACGAAACGTCAAGGGACGGGGTGGGATATGATTCGCGTTTGAAGATTGAAGACTCGGGTGTCGGGTGACCGTGTCGTAAAGGCTGAAGGAGAGGTTATGCCAAAATGCGGTAATGGTCGGTCGGCACCTTCCGAGATCAAGGGAGATTCATTCCCTTTAGGTCGATGTTTCTCTTTATTCACCCTGTACACTGATGCTCATCCCCATGCTCGACAACCTGTGTAAATCCGGATTGGCTGTCGACTCGTCCTGCTAACTTTAGTGTCGGGTTAAAAGGGCAAAAAGATCTTCGTTCTGACCAAAACACTCGTACTGTAAATATGATGGGACAATGACAGCGCCCGTCTTTGAGCCCGCTATTTATCTTTCCGCAGTCGATCAGGTGATAGATGTAAAAGTTGACAATCACGGTATGTGGAGGAAAGGAGGAAAAGTCAAAATGACAAGTGAAGAAACATGTAGACTGTGCAGAATATAAACACGCAGCATTCCACCAAATACATCTTCACCCTCCACCGATCCCACCGAATCTGCTACCGAGGGATACCAGGTCCATGGATTCAGACTCTTCTGCCCCCTTCCCGCTTGCCACCTACGACGTCACCCACCATGTAGAACAAGTCATTCCTAGGCAGATCTTTTCTCTCTCAAACCCTGAAGTGTACGCGTCTGTCGCCGCATTCGACAATCCCGACCACTCCACCCCCCAGCTCTCGACTCGCCATTCGTTATCCACGCCACCGCCCAGAAGCAGAGGTGGTGCTCATACGCGCTGGTTCCTGAATCCCCCACCCCTGATTCACTTCGACCCTATCCCCACCTGCTTGATCCCTTGACTTGTTGCTGCTTCTGTTCTTTGTTGATGATGACTGTCTCACACGTGAGCTACTCGCCCCGCCTAAACGTGAGTCCTTAGATGGGGCGGAGCTACATGTCTACTACAGGATGACCGACAGAAGCGGACTACTTAACAGAGTTAAGCAAGACAACACCCGTTGAGATACCTGAAAGATAAGACGTCGAGATAGATGAAACCGTTCAATGGACACTGACAATCAAACAAAGATCCACTGAAGCTAGAAGGTTTGAAAGTGATTAGTCATTCAGACTACCGGGACATAATCCAGGCCATGCGCGGAAGAAGCCAACAACATAATATCATCTCAACTCCCCTCCTCAATATTAAGTCCGTGCTGCATGCTGCATACTCCGGCGAAGCATCCACTTCTCTCCCCCTTTTGGACCTTTTCTGTACTGTACTGACACATTGATCCATTGATCATATGCCATTGGCCATTGGGCCATTGAGCTGATTCGCACACGGATACCCTGTTTCAAATCACTACCACTCACTTGCCAATACACGTGGTAGGAGATCGAGATATGAAGACTTGTCGGATTGGCGAGAATCCGCTGCTAGCCTGTTTCACTACGCTTGAAGTTGGCAATATCCTTCGGAGTATCAAACGTTATCTGCACTCCTCCCTCTCGCCCGTAGAGCCAAATCTGAACGGAAAGGTCACTTTGTGCCGCTAGCACCTGGGTGTGGTGAATCTTGAAAGCAGGTTGGTTGAGGCTGAGGCCGAGAAAAGCTCTGGTTAAGACTGTGATTTGACGCTCAAAGAGATCCATATACCTATGTAAAGTAGATGTCCATGACTATGCTTATGCAAGCTTCTGCAGTCAATCTCCTGACAAATTTCTTCTATTCTCTCATGAATCATGGATCGTGGATGATAGATGGTAGAGAGACCATCAGTGAGTGTCTTTGCCGATGGGATTGGTCTTATTCGAGCCCCCCACAATATCAGCTTCTCCGAACTCCTTACACGCTTGAATGCTGGAGGAGGGAATCACCATAACAAACAACTCAGCAATTCAGCAAGCATGTATAACACGCCCACGCCCAACGCTGCATCTAACGTCAAGCTTCGAAGTCGGCCTTCCAGGACCCCTCAACCCGTAGGACCAGGTAACGTGGGCTATCCACCTTCGGCTCACCAAAATGGTATGTTGCCTAGGTTGACTTTGGTTGATGGTAGTTAGCTAACGCTCGCGTTCTCATCAAAATCCAACGACTACTCGTACTGTCCGTGCTTCGTCTTGTCTTTCCCTGACTTATAACCATGTCTCAAACTGATTATTCTCAACACTTACTTCCCACAGCTCTTCCAACAACACCATACCCTCCGCGACCAGCAACGATCCAACATACATCCGGAACGAGTCGAGTCATGTATCGTCATCACGAAACTCATGCCCCAGGTCCACTTCCTTACTTTCTTCCTCCCCCTGGTCAAATGTCACATGATCCTTCACTGTCCTCCGAGCCCAACACACAAGCTGTGTATTCTACCTACCCTTCTCGCCTACGGACAGGTGTGACGGGATTGGTTCAACCTGAACAACTCACCGGTGGTCCCAGAGAAAGAGAATTATTTTTAGCGGAATTGGATCGGGAAATCTCGTCCACTCGACCGGGATCTGGTGCTTCAACACCGAGATATGATTCACCGACTTCTTTTGGAAAACCCAAACGACCCAACTTGACAGGTAGGAGGATTAGAGCTGTGAATTATGCTGAGAAAGCTTCGGACGATGAGAGTAGTGAGGGTGAGGATATGGATGACTTTGAGGATGACAGTGATCTGGAGGATGAGAATCTTCCTAGGTCTAAGAAGAGAAGAGAAGTGGAAAGACAGTTACAACCTAATGGCGGGGGAGATGTACAGGCTGCCATGAGGATAGCGAGATTGCGGAAAAAGAAAGAAGAATTAGATAAAGGTTGGACTTGGATAGGAGATAGAGTACCGGGTGAAAGAGTGAGAAGTGTACGCGCGAAAGCCACAAAACATCAGTATATGTGAGTAGATCATCTACTCGTGATATGAGACACATGCATGAGAAGATGAGATAGGGTGAAAGATCATTGACTAATAAACAGGTCCGAGGAATTACTTCTTAGAGAGGCTGGACGGCCAGAGGCTTTGATACCTATCACGGTGGATTTGGAAGTATCTTCGGAAGTTCAGGACCAGATGGGTATTAAAATCAGAGATAGATTCTTGTGGAATGTGAATGGTACGTGTTCCATTATCATCCGTTCTCCTGTTTCTCTACAGGCATGTGCTCCCATTCACTCTTTCGCTAGGTAAGAGGAGGATCCGGATTCTTCGCATCGTGCGGAACGATGAACATATGGCTTACTTGTCCTAGAACCATTCATGACTCCCTACCAATTTGCAGCTATCTTCTGCGAAGACGTGCAGATACCCGTTCAACAATACGCCACAGTCATCGCCGACCTGATTCAAGCTCAGATCGAAGAATCACAACCTGTCGCAGAGGCCGATATAGGGAACGAGGAGGTGACAGAGGACGATGTGATATGGAGCGATGAGGAGGAGGGCATGGTCGAAGATGAAAATGAAGAAGAGGAGGTCGAGAAACAATGGGCAGAGGCTGATTGTAGGGTGTTCTTGAATGTGAGTCAATATTTGCTATGCCTCTGTTCCTACTCACACCGAATACATATAATAGCCCCTCTTTAACGCCCCTAACTCCCTTTAACTTTGTGCGTTTTCCCGAAATTCCCGTTCATTCAGCTGTTCACAAGTGTAGACCACCAAAAGTTCGAGTTCGTTGACTCCCAGCTCGACGTCCAGATCTATTCTCATCTCCTTCGCGACCGAATAGAATGGGACCTCTCCTCTACACTCCCTCCCTCCCACTTCGCTCGCGCATACTGTCGGGACCTTGGTCTCACCGGGGAACCGGTAGTCCTCGTCACTCATGCCATCTTAGAAGAAATTCTCAAACATAAGAAAGACGCGTTAGACCTCGAACTTTTCTCTGTCTCTCATCCCGACATTCAAACAGGGTGGGAACGTACATTACCTTTACCTAGGGTGAACAACCGTCGAGGTGCTCAACCTCTTCAAGGAGTGTGGAGGGATTGGTGGGAGAGAGAAGATTTCGGACCTCATCTGGTGGAATTAAGTTTTGAGGACTTGGAAAAGAGGGAGCAGGAGAGGGTGAGAGAGACGAGGAGGATAATGAGGACTTTGACTAGTGTGAAAAGGAGGAGATGAGAGAGGGTGTTTACACGAGATTGTTTTGTGAGTAACTAAATGACATTACATGCTATGGGATTACTCGCTACTCTCTACCCCAGAGTTTAGATCGCCATGGGAGTGCGCCGTCGGACCCTCAGGTTCGCTGTTCAGCGGTGAAGACATTTCATCCAAGATTGTGGGCCCTTCACGTTCTAATTCAATAGCACGAGTGTGGTTGTAAGTTGCGAAAGAGATCATTCCGAGAGCAAATGCGCCAAGAATCCTGTCGCTCGCATCAGTCAATCCATCCCCTGAATCCTCTCGTGCTGGAAACGACATTTCGACGGTGATGACTAGACAGGAGGATGGACACAGTTCACAGAGTAGAACCGCAAACTCACGAATACGTCCAGAACATTGACTCCACATCTTCAGGTCTGCCGGTCAGAGAGAGAGACCTCGACGTGGAAGATGGTCCGCGGGACCCAAACCAGCTATGAGTAAAATCTGGGAACATTTCACACATCAAGTAAGCCATCCCTGCAGCCATGCATGCTGCCAGAACAGTCCGCTGTTCGTATGTTTCGCGCTGTCCTGACAAGTCTGTTAGCTGCATTTCCGATACCCGTTCCGAATAGTCCGAATGTTGACAAACGTTCTCTGTAAACGTGGCAGATGACCCGAGCGCTGTCGCTGCATGCGCTGCAGAAGATTCATTATTGTCTCGGGCCACCGTTGACCGATAGCGGGGGCCCTTGAGACGGCTCAAAGCCGGGTTCCCCGTAGTTCTAGCATCTGTAGTGTTGACTGACACATCGGCACTCATAATAGCAGTCTAGGAGCTGTTCTTTTGTAAATGGTGAGATGGAAAATGTTGAGGTCTACGAGAAAACTCTCGCATAGCCTTTGTTTGACTCTCCGATGCCTTCGCTTCAAGGCGATGTCGGTCTCGAAAGCTTGATGACCGAAAAATGAAGGGAGGAGCGTGAAAGCTGTGTCGTCGGCGATGGGACGGGTGTGTAAGTTAGCTAGCAGCTATATGCCATGTACTGTATACATGGATGGTATCCCATGCATATGCATGAACACTAGCAGGTTAGCGCTTTGAGATGTGTTAGTACTCATCAGTAAACATGCGATACGTCAGGTTGGAAGAAGGAAGTGGAAGAGATCAAAGATCGATCATTGGCTTTTCTCTACTTCCGTTCTCATATCTTGACTTTCCTTCAACCTCTTCAACTCAACTTTAGTATGAAGTATGAACCATCCTCAGAACATCGATGATGTTCTCAAGGTATCTGGAGCATTCCAATCCCTTATTCCTATAGTGAATGAATTGATCTCTCTCGTTTACGCTCAATCGACAGGTGAACAAGTGAGAGATGAGGTGATTACCAAAGTGAGTCATATATTTTGACATCGTTCTTTCTCTCCATCACCGCCTGACTACTACCACTCCCAATTCTCATCGCGATCCAACTGCTCGTATAAAAGTTTGCGCCTTGTGCGTGAGTGTTACCATACGGTACGCGGGAGGATTAAGGGAAGGAATGGTAAGGACGGGCATGAGATGGTGGGGACGAAGGAAGATGTGGGGTGACTGAGGAGAGGGGAGAAGGGACCGAGGGGACCGAGTGAGTGAGCTGAATTACAGGCAAGACAGCTAAACACGATGTTAAACGATATGAAAGAAGCCGCTATGAATATAGAAGGCGGTGATATGCCTACGTCCAGGGCGAGGGATATGGTTGATTTCTTGAATGCTCAGGCTGAGATACGAAGGTGAGTGATTCTCTCCCTCTCTTTCTTAAGTCCCATGACACCCTTCTCTCGGGCCGCTCTGGCTCGCTGACCCTCACACTTCTCATCTTTGCCCGTCATCTGTCCTCATCTTTGACTTACCTGTACGGCAGTTTTGCGTGGTCTTCCTTTCGTACAATTGTCATTGTTGTCGACACTGGTTATCTACCGTCCTGGTTCTTTGTGTATCCATGATGTTCAATCGGGACTTGATATATTCCCACATATCCGTTTGAAGATGCTGACTTGTAGTAAAATTATACAGCGGTTTGTGGAAACACACATGCCTACCCTGGACGCCATCGAGGAGATACCCACCAGTAGCTTACCCTCTCCTGCAAGTCCGTAACGTGACGTAATGTATCCCCTCCATCACTCTTCAGTCTGTTCACCATCTTCATATGTATGTTATATAAAAGTGTCCCGTCATCATCTGATACGACTACTTGTTGTTCATCCATAGCAACACCCCAGCATCGTGTGGACTCATCTGGGCAAAAGACTCACAGGCTGAAGGCATGGGAGGTGTAGTCGTAACTTGTCCGCGAGTAGACAGGTTCACGAGATATGAACTAATATTCTGAGAGGTGGAGCATCCATCACATTCCAAAATCTACAAGATTTCCCAACGTATCCCTGCTCATTTGGCAACGCTCATTCAGCATCCTCACCCTCAACCTCGGAAGCAGGTTTGACGCGGTTGATGACGCTCAAGCTACCTATCTTCGTCAGCCAAATTCACAAGGATCACCGAAGGATTGATTCGACTTACGGTGCCTCAAGAGTGCGCGGTCGTGGACGGGAGCACCATCAGCAGCGGCTTCGGCGGAACGCATCTCGAGGTCGGCCTCGACGTAAACTGTAGATCTGTGGTGTCAATTCCTTTCCTACCTCGACGATGTATTCTGTCGTGCCTTCAAGGCCACGGCCAAGCTTCGGGTGGGGAAGAGATACCATGAAGATTGGACTCACCCTTTGCCAAGACGGCCGATAGAGGGGTGCGAAAGCTCGTTGAACGCAAAAACGGTATGCCAGCTGGTGGGCGGGTTGACGAGGGCTGCATACGGTCAGAGTAGTGAGTCATAATTGTAGAAGGGGCATTTACCTCCAGATTCGTCTTTGATAGGAGGACCGGGGGCCGTGGCTACGTTGTACGTGTAATAAGGTTTTCCACTGGCGGTCTGACTTGTCAACAAAGATTCCCAGAACATAGAAATTGTATTTGAGTTGAAGAAGAGAGTGAAAAGAAAAACATAAGCTTACCGTGCGTTGAACCGGATCATTACCCAGACGACCGATCAAGGTCAACCTCGAGATGTCCAGAGCGGCACGAGAAGTAGAGAACGCCTGATCGTCAATAACTATCCCACAGCTGGACGAAGACCTGGGACACGGAATGAAGAAGATCAGTCGAGTAGGGGAAGTAAATTATTGACTCACCTTGACGAGACGAGGAGCAACGATAGCGCGGGTGCGAATGGCGGAAAACATCTTGAAAGAATAGAGAGGAAAGGAATATGTGAGAGCAGGAGATGACTGAGGGCAGACTTTATATACGGGAGAGGGGGAGAAAAAGAGGACAAGGTGGTGAAGTCGGTATGCGACACCTGGGGTAACTTTATCCTCAACTGACAGCTGGCGGAGGACGAAGGGGAAAGGTGTGAGTGATTGATGCCACTGATCGGTGTTTCGGCGTTAATTTATTTGCCACCCAATCTTCCACCCTTTCAGGCGTCTTTTGCTCTTCTGCGTCCCGGGAAAAAGTCCAAGCGAGGTCGAGTTGCTCACGAGAGCGGACTCTGGTCTCATATGCCTTCAAAAAGATGACTACTAGGGCCAGTGGGAACACTTGTAAGCCCTGCTACGCTTTACATAAGTCTATCGTTCATCTCGAGCCTTTCGCCGGTAGCTCCCTTCTCGCTTGTCCGACATGTGGGGTGGTCGACGAAGCTGCTACACTCTCCTTCAACACTGTATCCGTGTCTGAAGCTCGTGGAGCCATTTTACACGAAGATGAGGAAGCTGAGACGGAAGGAGTGGAGTGGAATGGGTACAAATGGGGTGTGGAGAAAGCCTTCGATGATCGGGTCCAAGCTATCATAGGGTTTCACTTGGAAGCTTTCGGTCATGGGGGTGATGAGAATCTACGTCGGGGAGCATGGACTTGGACTAGGAAAATCCTCATTGTGGAGAAAGAGAAATTTGCGAAGAAATCGATACTGAAAAACCCCAACGCTGTTCGATTACCCTACCTCGTCGCGGTGGCTACGAAGATGGCCATGCAAGAGAGTAGTTTGCTGGTTTTAGATTCCAAGTTACGTCGAGGGAACAAGCATATAGCTGGAGCCGCGGTAACTAAAGGAGATGAAAGAGTTTTGGTTCCTACACTCAACGAATTCTTTGTGAGTAATCTCTCTAAGTTTACGTGAGAACATAAACTGACATATAGCACATCGCACATGAGACATCTCCTGATCATCTCGCTCATCTGGCCAAACTTTCGTATTTCACACATCTCCACGATCGCTACAGCTCTCTGCTTCACAATTCTGTTTCTACCGTCGATGCTTGTCTGTCTCAACTCCAACGTGTGATCGAACGTATTCGCAAGATTGCCAACATGACCACCGAGCAGCTCAATGCCAACCTCATAACCACTCCTACTCATGGTCGTTCAGGTTCGCGGTCCTGGGATACTCTGGACTGGGCCTTCTTTCGTCGTGTAGAGTCTTGGGATACGGTGTTACAAGTGGCTTACAACATTTTCTTGGCTCAGGAATGTATCGACATGTTCACTTCTCGAAGTCGGATCCCAGCTGCTGTAGCTGTCGCCTCATGGTCTGTTCAAGCCGTCCTTGGTGATAGTTTACCTCAAAACGTGAATATATTGAGAGAAATCACCGCTCAGTTCGGACACGAACAATGGACCGCTTGTCAATATAGCGTTTATCTCAAACGGATGTTTGTGGCTTGGTCAACAAGTATCGACGAGGCTAGGGTGCCATTCCCACATATTGAACCTCCTCAAAGAGGAAAAGTGGGTAATGGGAAGAGTGGTTTTGGCTCGGATAACAGGAGAGGATTACCAGAGAATTACATGGCTACCTTGGCCGCGAGGACGATAGCGGATAATTGGGAGAAAATCAAGGACGCGCGATTGAAGAGAACAGGGGTGATACCGTATAAGAAAGAATTTGAACTTGCCAGATTGGTCTTCGGCAATCACGCACCTAAACCTGTGGTGAAACCTGTGAAACCTCATTCGAAACCGGCTTTGACGGTAGCTCAAGCAAAACGACGTGCTTTGCTCCCATCCCCGTCACCGTCAATTCCGTTGGCGTCGACAACGACGAGTGTGACTCAATCTCCTGTCATACCTGTTATGCTGCCTCCATCTCCAGCTACGTCAACATCGGTATCGACAAAAGTCACTCAGCATCTCACTGTATATGATCCTCTCCCTCTTTCATCGGTATCATCAGCGTCAATCATGCCCCCATCCCCAGCTCCTTCACCATCGACTATCTTGACTGTCGATTTTCCTCAAGCGTTTGGTGCGATGCCATCGCAGATATCCGACCCGAAACATTCATCAGAAATAGAATCAGAAAAACATCGCCAACCTTTTCCCCCACGGAAGTCACTTCGAGAGACAAACGATATTGAAAGTCTTCTTCTTCGAGCAGACGATTCTTCCGACGATGATGCCCAATACAACTACAGTGTCGATTCCGATCTATCGCTATCTGAAGACCGACCATCGAAGAAACAGCTCTCCACATGGGACTCAATCCAAATCCCAGAGTCGGTCCCGACTGGTTCTTTCGAATTGACCATCGGGATGGGTACTTTTCAATATGGTCGTTCGGCTCCTCCTTTACATTCGACCGCTTCACAGTTCACATCTTCGTTGTCTCGTTCACGACAACAAAGAGAAGATTCGGCCACTACACTTGCAAGTGTCGACTCCTCACGTGGATCAGTGTCAGAGACAGAACGCTTTCTTCCTTCTCCAGCTTATACCCCTGTCACTACATCCCTTTCCTCTCAAGTCTCATCTCGCACGACGTCTATCTCTTCCCGAGCGATGTCTGAATATACGGAATCTCGAGGTCAAACACCATTCTCCGAACAATCGATTTCAACACCTTTGACAACAATCTCAAATCTTCCTTCGAAAGCTCCATCCGTCCTTTTCCCTTCAAATATTTCTCAAGTCAAAGAAAGCCCTTCCTTAGCTCTACAACAAACGCCCATCGTGAAAATCGTCCAACAAGTAGCTCCACATGCCAAGGCGTCTCTCTCAAAACCTCCAATTCCATCTCTCACAGTGGGGAATTCAGGAAAGGGTAATCAAGCCGATCATTCACAGAGTCAAAATGAATTGGATGATCTTGCAGATATCGAAACAGACATGTCATATGAAATAACCTCTGATCCACTTTCACATGAAGAATTATTGGATGAGCAAGAACCTTTACGGTCTCACGTAGGTTGTCTAAGGAGAGAAAGAGATGAAATCATGGGTTGTCCTGGTAAGCGTAAATCTGAAGAGAGACGTAAAGAAAGGAAAGCAGCTGCTTCTGTTTCAAGTAACGAAACTAAGAGGAAACGTTCTGTCGGTGAAGCATCTGAATCCCAAGGGAAGGAAAAGAAGGTAAAGGGAAAAGGGAAAGAGAAGATGATGGTGGTGAGTAGAGTTGATGAGGTTGCTTTTGAAAAAGCTTTGAGGGAGACGGAAGTCATGATTGAATCAGATGATTAGAATCGCATGTTTTCCCATTCACATAATCAGCATAGTTATGTACATACTGTATCATTCATCATTGCATGTCATTATCATTCAGCGTTTGGTCCCACCAAATTTGATCTTCTATAAGTGATAGAGCAGAAGAGGAAGAGGAAGAGCGTCTCAAGCAAAGGATCACGAAATCAATGCCTTATTTGATATTGAACAATTCAACTTATTGGGTGAGAAGAACGTTGAGAGTCAAAGAATCACAATGCATGATTCCAGAGATCAAAATATCTTATAAATCTTCAATGTTTCAATTCATCCTTCTTCACTTCGAACTCTTGCTTCTAGAAGAAGAAGAACTAGCTTTCCTACCTCTCCCTTTACTTCCACTACGTTTCCCAGGACTAGGTGAACGAGAATCTACTGACATTTTTCTTTTCTTTATCGAACCTTTACTCCTACTTCTACTCGAAGTGAAACTCCTACTCCTACTCCTTGAACTCCTAGAATCACTACTGTATCTCCTCTTTCTCACCGGACTCCTACTTCTGCTCATGCTGCGAGAATAACTCCTAGCCCTTCCTCTACTCCTACTCCTGCTTCTGCTAATTGATCGAGGACCATAACTTGGACTTCTCCTTCTCCCAACTGGTGATCGGGATCTGTACCTACCACCACCACCACCACCACCACCACCACCACCACCTCTAGCTCCACCAGGTGGGGGATAAAAGTTTCTGTATCCCGCACCTCCTCCACGTGGACCATATCCACCACCGCGAGGGGCGCGACCAGAAGGAGGATAATAAGAATCTCCACGAGGTGGACCGCGGTATCGAGGTGGAGAACGGGAGCGGGAGGGGGAACGACGTCTGTATCGTCTTGGTGATGGAGAGCGGGAATAAGAACGACGACGTTTTATAGGAGATCGTGAACGGGATCTACTTGGTGAATGAGGGGAGCGACGACGGAATGAGGCGGGAGGTGAAGAGGGTCGAGGAGCTGGGAGAGGATGTTCGGAGATCTGAGCGTCAGGTATGTACGAGAGATAATTGGATACTAATCCCAACTCTCCAGTGAATCAGACCACGGAGTTCACGAAAAGGAGGATGGTGAAATCTGTCACGACACAACAGACGCTTGAGATGTAGATCAATATGAAGAATAGAAAAGCAGGTTAGAGACGGTCAGTGAGGTATTGCAAGGATAACTAACCTGTATAGAAAGGAAAGATCCATCCAATTGCCCTTTATCCATATGTTTGACAGCTTTTTCAGCGGCAGAAGGAGAGTCGAATTCCAAGGCCGCTTTCCCGCGGTTCAATCCGGCTACATGTCAGCGTATCCAACAAAGAACCCTCCTTCCTATGTGGCATTCTCATCCCATATCACATACCTCCTGAAACCCCATGAACATTCAACAGAGGGCCAGCAGGACTTGCGAAAAGACGGATCACAAAGGTATAGTACAGACTTGAGAAGGGGTGACGCCTATTAAGGCAGAATATGTTATAAGATTTTACCGCGATTCAAAGATAAAAAGGACATGAGAACAATTAGAACTTACAAACTTTGAACAAAGGTAAGTCCAACCCAGTAACTCTCCCATAAACTCCAAATATCTCCCTTAGATGTCCTTCGTGAACATTCTTCGTCAGACCACTGACCACAATCACCCTAAATTTTTTATCGTCTTTATCATCGATTTCATCTTGCTTCATAGGAGATCGAGAACGAGAGATCGATCTTCTAGGAGATTTGGAACGAGAAAGAGAACGGGATCTCTTACGAGGAGAATTGGAACGAGAGCGAGATGGAGAGATTGACATATCGTCTGATCTTGTTTTTGAGATTGGCGGGGGAGAACGCGATAAAGGTTTCGGAGATCTGGAGCGACCTCTTTCGTGCGAACGTGCTGACATTTTCGTTGAGAAGAGAAGACGAGACAGAGAGTGAGAGGTGCGAAAGTGTGGAAGAATGGGTTCGGAGAATTGCGGAGAATGGCTGATCTCAAGTGTGGCACCTGCCTTGGAGAGCTGCTTCCCCCCTCTGGGTGTTTGACTCAAGGTAACTTATGTGAAGTGATCCAGTTCAAGTGAGATAGCTAGAGAGCATGCACAAGCACACACACTTTATCATGGTAAGTGGGAATCAGATAAATAACCAGTTGCATCACTTCTACCATCACTACGCGTTGAAGACAAATGACGCGCCGACTTTGTGAGCGGCGGGCCCAGCGGTAGCTGCTCATCAGCGTTTGCTAGCTTTCAAAGCAAAGCACTCACGGTCGTTCAATCTGGTAGTGTCGAGACCAAGACCGAAAACGGCCTTGACACCCGGGCGAAGAGCCTGGGTGTAACCAACGCAGAGGACACCAGAGTTGTTGATCTTGGCTTTGACGAACGCAGCGTTGTCCTGACATGTCAGTATTGTCTCGAGTAGGCCCCGTCGGTAGTGGCTATGTTATATGCAACAGCTACGAAGTGAATACGATGGAGGAGAGTGAAATTGATGAAAGAGATCGGGCATGAGAAGACAAGGACGCTGCAACTCACAAGGTACATCTTCGTTCCGACTTCGAGAGAAACACCACCAGTGGTGCTCTTGATGTCGTACACAGCTTTCGCACCAGCGTCTACATCCTTGGAAACACGGTGATAGTAGCTAGCGGCGAATGTTGACATATTGCCGAGACCGTGAAGGGTGATAGAGTATTCTGGAGCAGAGAACCCGATAGCACCTGCATAACGGGTGATGGCACCTGAGAGGACATCGTAAGAACCTTCAGCTCCGACCAAGAAGCCGTCCCTGCCCACAACAGCGTCGGCAGTGAAAGTGGGACCCTTGTTGGGGAAGCCATTGGCATCAAAAGTCATGTCGAGAGAGTGACGATGTGAATGGTGTGGGATATGGAATGCAGGTTGAAAGGAGCACCGTTAGCTTGTCCAGTTGACAGAACGCAGACACTCACCTTGAAGAGATCGACCGTGGCCCGGGTGTGAAGGGAAGGCTGCTTGTAGATGGCAGTAAGGATAGCAGATTTTGCTGCTTTGGCGGGGTTGAGCGTGGTAGCGAGGTCCAGCTTGAGACCCTTGGCGATCTGATTTTCGAGCTCGAGTTGAGTACGGAGGAGGTTGGACGTGGTCCATGCCTGCAGTTTCAGTAAAAGTCTGCGGTGATTTGGAATGTGGCCGGAATGAAGATGTTCTTCTACGCACCTGAGTGAAAGTCAAACCGTTCTTGAAGTCGACATATTTTCCTTCAATGTCGCCAGAGATGGTACCAGACTTATCATCCTTATTTCCAGCCACCTTGAAGGTGACATTGGAAGGGGTGATAGTTTTGACCTCGAGCGAAGTCCCTTGGATGGGATAATCTTTGAGAAGCAAGTCCGAAGCCGACTTGCCAACATCCTATTTGGCGAACGTGCGAGAGGTCGGAGCAGATGTGAAGCCAAGCGAAGAGCATCATATCGCCATACATATAGCAAGTTGGAATCATATTCATCAAAACGAATGTCGCCAATGTCATATGAGGAATGATGAGGAGATAGAGAAACACAACGGTCAGCGTTGATCCCATTCCTGCACACTGATTCCGGTCAAAATAAGATTTCGCGTCACGTACCTTCCAAGATGGGGGAACAGGCTGAGACATTTCTGCATACATCAGTTTGTGTGTATCACAATGGGGGTTCATGATAGCTCACTGTTTAGTAGAGTGTTGATATGAACTGTATATAGAAGAGCAGTGAGAGAATGTCGCAGGGGAAGGGACGAACGCGCAGAGGGATGAGGCGAGGACCGCTTGGGGATTCATCCGGCCGGCGTAGATTCCGTCCGTGCTCGCCCCCACCACACTATCGGCGTTTCTCGGCAAAAGCTACGGATGTTCTAAGTGGCAGTATTTCTTTGAACTGCGGGTAGGTGGTCAACATGGTCAAGCTACGCTAATTGCGCAGTCTGCACGGACCAAATACCAGAATGACTTTGTGTTGACCATAATGCCTTGACTGACCACCTACCTCTTTTCTTCTAACATCTTGTCTCCCTATCTTCCTATCTTCCTATCCTCCTCCTGCTCGCCTATCCCTATCCCGTTGTTCTCCTCCGACCTTCGTGTTCACAACATCCTCATACCACCCTGTGTCTCCGTAGTTCACGGTCATTCTACATAGCTCACGATCCTTTGCTTCAATCTCACTAATACACAAGACATAAGTATAATTCGACAATATCTCATCCGACATGAATCATCAAACAGTCCCTTCTCTTATCGGTCGCTCCCATCTCCGATCCGAGAACGATTCTCCTTCTTCTGAAGCTGAATCTTACCAGGATTGGTCTGACGCAGGCTGGTGCGTCCTTCGTACCTTTCCATTAACCCTCTCCCCACTTTCCTTCTTATTCCCACATTCCCAGGTACGTCCCTCCAAACACGCGTTTTCCTGCGTGGAATCAACTCTGACAGATCTAGGAACCCTTCACCCTCATCGACCCATCCCAGACCATCCTTGTCCTCCAGCGATGACCGTCCGACTCTTCCTGTCTCACCGCCTGACACCTTGGCTTTACCTCATGCTACACCTCGAGCTGTTTCTTTCTCAGACAATCATATCAATGGCCAAGTATCACATCGAAAACAACCCACAAAATCGATCCATTCTGTCGGCTCCAATGTCGCTCTGGACACTCTGATGGCCCCTCCCCCTTACCCAGCTAGTACAGTCTTGAATCTAGGCGAATCCTCGACACCCACCGCTATCACCCCAACTCCGAACGCTTACGGATTTGAGTCTATCCCTCGTTCTCGTAGAAAATCGATCTCTGTTCCGCATCCTACGATGCCAGGTGAATCGGATGAAGATTTTCCAACTGGAAGTATGAGCGGAAGTCTGTCAAAACGCTCAACTGCACAAAGAAAACGGTCCCGAGCTAGTTCCTTCACCTACCTTCCATTCCATCGTCGACGTCGGTCGTCTAACGCCAACGCACCATGGTGGTATATCTCTGCTTGGAGGTATTCTTGGACTCGTCGACAACCTCCTTCTCGACCTTGGGCTTTGCTGATGCTTTTCGTCGTGATGATCATGGGAGCTTGGACTTGGCATAGTCACTACGAAGTGCAATTTGAATATGCTGTATTTTCCAGACGTTGGATCCGACATGAAGTAGACACGATACGTCCCCTACGTGGATGTTTCGACCCTCATCATATTTCCCCTCATTACAATATGACTGCCCATCTGGCTCCTCGTCAACAAACATTAGCAGCCGGTGTCGCTCTCCGAAGGGGAATGCAATGTTACGACTTTTCAGCTACCATTCAACCTGTCGCCGGTGAACCCTTGCGTGATCTGCTCTACCACACGTACTGGCGTTCAGATCTGTTGGCGTTTGGGGAACGTCAAACCGCCACTCTCACCGCTTTTCTGGCAACACAACCGTTGACGCATTCCAAACTGATACTGTGGACAAATGGTGCGGATCTGGTTTCTGCTAACGAACATGTCAAGCAGTTCCTGGAAAAATGGGGTGAATATATAGAGGTCAGACAGGTCGATTTGAACGCTCTGACCAAAGGTACAGAACTGGCAGGATTGCTGAATGGGATCAACGGTGGTGGTCTGTTCGATGAGAGGGCTTGGGTGGATGGTGATGCTGTGAGATTGTTGGTTTTGTGGCATCATGGTGGGGTTTGGATGGATATGGATCAGATTTTGACTAGAGATCTGCACCCTCTCGTTGAGAGTGAGTTTGTCACGCAATGGGATTGTTATGGTGAGTAAATTGTGTTTTTTCTTATCCCTCTTGCCTCATCTTCTCACTGTTTGAAACTGTTGAATTGTCTCGCCAGTGACGCTTTGAATTGTGCTCATAGCAGACAAACCCTACTTCTCTCTCAACGGCGCATTGATGCATTTCCAACGTCACTCTCCTTATCTATGCGAAGCATTCTCCATCATGGCCTCTTCACCTCTTCCCCGACCCAACACTTTCACCTGGGGTTCTCACCTTTATTCCAAGCTTCACCGACGTCTCCTCGCAGGTCATATAAAACCCTTTGCCGTCCTTCCATGGTGTTTTGCAGATCCGCGGAATTGTCGAGCAGATGTACGATTCCCCGATCCCTTCTCACCTGATCCCCCGAGATGGGGTGGAAGACGTTGGGATGGGCGTGGGGAGGTGGGTCGAAGTGGACGGGAATTGTTAGAAGAGAGGGTGGGACATGTATGGACTGTACATTTGCATAATCAATGGACTAGGTCTTTTCCAAGGGATGGATGGGTTGACAGGTTGTTACAGGGGTACAAAAGACAGGTGGATAGTGTCGAGGTGTTTGCAAGGGCTATGGGAAGGGAAGAAGGCGGAAGGGTCAAATTGAGTTTGGATGATATGCCAATTGTCCCTCCGATAATGGGTATCCAGGAAAAAGATGGGTTGGTGAGTGAGGTCAAGGAAGAGGAGGAGACTGACCAGGAGGATGATGAGAGTGAGACTTCAGTGTGATCTCGCAACTGAAAAGGCGTCACAAGGAGTAAGATCGAAAGAGAAAGAATGGAGTATTAAAAACGAGTAATACTTGTTGTGTCACCTTGTCTACTAACATACTTCTTAACGATTATTATATGCATGGCGACGATGAATCAATGATTACTCTAGATGAATGATTTGTATAGTTTGCAGCAAGGGTCAGGGAGTAGCGAAGAATGGATCTTTAGCATAGACGGCGTAACCTTCCCTGGCCAGAGAGTTCAGGGCGACCTTTACGTCTGTTTGGATATCTGCAATAAGGGCTTCTGTCTAATCAGCGATTCAGAGTCCATCCAGACGAAAATCGTGTTGACAAGTATGTGGAATGCCCGGGCATGGGATCGATTCTGAAGGGAATTGAGGATATATGCCACAAGGAAAAGGGTGGGAGATCGGAAAGAGAGGAGAGAATCAATGACTGACCCTTGGAAACGTAATCTAATTCAGGACGTATATATCCAAGTATCAAAACAGACATATCATGTCCATAGAAATCATGTGCGAATGCGTGCATTATATGTACTTCCTGTTGAGTCAGTCAGAATCTCTTGTCTTGGTCTATACTGCTGATTCGCTTTCTCTCCCCGACTAACTTCTCTCTCTCTTAGTCTCTCTTTGTTGTCCCTTTCTCCAATTCGTTTTCTTCATTTCTGTCTCGATCCGGCAAACTCTCTCCATGGTACGATATGGTCATTGAAATCAATCACAGACGCTCTAAGAATTGATTGTGTGTGTACGGGTGAAAGGAAAAAACAGATTGTACTAATCATTCCAGCTGAGAACAAATTTACTAACCGCCGTCACTTTTTCATTCTTGAAATAAGGATTCCATCCTATACTCATGACCATTGGCCAAACTTTAGTATCATCTTCTATCAACCTTTTCCTACCTTCTTTAGCCTCTTCAGAATCAGGTGGATAAGGTGCAGTTTCAGCTGGAAGGTTTTGGATTTCTTCAGATGATAAACCATGTACTTCTACTTGTTTCTTGTTTTTATTCGGGTGAAGATCATGATTGGTTTTGGTTTTGGAATTTGAAGGTGAATCGTGAGATGTTGTTTTGAAATTCGGAGATGAATCATGAAAAGTCGGTTTGAGGTTCGAAATTGGATGAGGAGATGATATATCAGGAGTTCCAAGTCTTGATGCAGTAGGTGTAGTAGGAGCGGTAGGTAATGGTGTTGAAGTAGAAGGGAAAATACGTGCGAAACCGTAATAGATTCCAGTTTTATGGTTTAATACTTCTAGTGGGTGAAGTGAAGAATCAGGTAAGTTGGCTAGAAAGTCAGCGACAAATCATCTCTGTATCTTGGTTCATTATGGTGATAAGATAGACATTGTCCATACGACTGGGAGATAAAGCGATCAGTATGCCATCGTGTATCAAAGTAGATATATTGCGATGAAGGGTGTGATCGTGTTCTCCCCGAGAAGAGCAAACATAGAGGAGAAGCAGAAATGAGAGGGAAGGACATGAAAGAATTAAACAGATGGAGAAGAGGTCTAAAAGAAGAAGATCGGATGAGAAAGGGAGGATTGAAAAGGACAGAAAAACTTACCAGTAGGAATACCTAAAAACCTTGCACCTCTACCAAAACCAGGTGAAACGATACCTTTCAACGAAATAGGATAAGGTTTCTCAGGAACTTCAGGACCTACTATGGAAGGTCTGTTTTCTCTTGATAGAGGTGCCATAGGAGCTGATCGTGTGTCCATGCTTGTGTCCGACATGATTTCCACTTGATTCTACTTGTAGTGAACTGTTTCGAGTGGAATGGGAGTTTGAAGGTACTTGTTCGGATTCTTAGTCACCCACAGTAGGAGGGAGAGAGATGTATTGGATCGGAATTTAGAATGACTATAACGAGACGAGATGAGAAAGAGTCAAGTGATTTCAGAAGGAAAAAGGAGCAGGAATGAAGAACGGGTAAAGAGTTGAAAAGCAGAAAGAGGATCAGATCGATTGGAAAGTGGAATCGTGAAATCGTGAAATCGTACCTAATCTCGCTCGCTGGTCGCCGATGACCGACTCCCTATCAGGTCTTCTTCTACCTTACATCAATGATGCTGGCGACGTGTCGAACAACGTAGCAACTTCATGTCCGTTTATAAGGTAAACCACTACATGTTGCATGCTGCATGATGTAGTCTGAAGTAATGATAGTTATCAAACCTGTCACCCCATGCAATAACTCGATACACCTCATATGAATTATAAGTTTACTTGGAAAAATATACCATTACGTTTCGTCTTTACAAGTCACCACTACCACCAGATATTATACTCCCACCCGTCTCAAATGTAATATCCATTGTTGTTTCGATTCTTCATCTTCTGTTACAAAATGATATGCGTTTCCCGCCTGCTATCAGTGGTGTCTCACATGCTGCCTCTGACACTAGTTTCGATGTCACCCGCACAGCCAGTAAGAGTGTGATGACTTTGTTCACGAAACGAACATTCATCCGCCCCCTCAACCTCGTATATTCCAACAGCTGTTGGAAGGATAATCCCTCGATGGGCGGGGTAAAGGTCGAAGGACAAATACTCACAGTTTGCACCACAAACCCTTTACTTCCCTTCTCTTGTATCTCCACCACTCTATTCGGCGTCCTACTTACTTGAGCCGAAGTCACACCCGGACTACTAGGTCCTACTCCAGAGTGCTGAGAGGTCGCAGTGTCAACACTGGGTCTGACAACAAAGACACATTCGTTCTTCACCACAGGACCAGATGGGTCATCTTTGACAATCATGAGTCGGGGGAAATCAGTAAGGATGAGATGACGACGTTTGGGAGCGGGCAGGAGGAAAGAGGGGATGTGGGTGGAGGCTGGACGTAAGAGTATTGGGGAGTGATAAGTGATCTTTTCGTTGGTGAGGAGAAGAGGTTGCCTGGAGTTCAGCTCGTTGGGCTCTCTCAAGTGCTATACAACCACACGTGAATAGTGCAGGAATTCTCGAATCGCGTTTGGAGAGAGGAGAACATTGAAACTCGCCAAGAGCTCTGGAGTATGATAATCCAGCAGAGAAGGGATGGCACAAAAGGCAGGGAATGGAGGTGGCCAAAAGATACAGAGACACACTCACCATCTCTCCTGTCCCTGAGCATGCGCCTGTCCCTCCTTCGTCTGACCCAACATGATCCTCATCTCTTCACTCCTCACACTAGTCCTCGAAGTCCTACTCGACCCCCCTCGCTGACTTCCACCCCAGATAGGACTCTGAATCTTCATACTTTCCAACAACCCGGTCAAAGCCGTCCTATTACCACTACTACTACTACTCGTTCTTGCGCTTCTTTGTCCTCCTCCCATCCATGACGGTCTCGGTGGTTCCAATTCACTCCTCAGACATTCCTCTTCATTTCCTCTTTCTGAGATGGACGGATGTACCGCTTTGACGGCTTGATGAGCTGCTTCACGATCGATCCTAGGTTCTTGAGAATGATCCACGTTATCCATCAACTCTATTTCTTCAGGAACAGTGGGAGAAAGGGGTGATTGAGGAGAATCATATTCGAACCCTCCGTCGGAAACTTCGTCGTCAAACACCGCCCAGACGTCACTTTGGGGATCCACAGATCCCAGGTAATTGACGGGCTGAGTCAACCCCGTACGTATGGGAGGAGCGGGACAAGTCCATAAGGTCGTCCAATCCACGGTGGAGAAGAAAGCATGAGCTTTGATTTCCGGGATGGAAGGACGAGCATCAGGATCGAGATTGAGCACGAGATCGACCAATGCTTGAGCGTTTGGATCGAATCCTTCGGGAAAGGACATTTCGCGTTTGAGAATCTTCTGGAAAGTGAGATAATCGGTGGCGCCCCGGAAGGGAGGTTTGCCAACGATGAAATGGTATAAGATACACCCGAACGCCCAGATATCAGAGGCAGAGACGGCTAGCTCATTGCGAAGGACTTCGGGGGAGACAAAATCTGCTGAGCCGACAAAAGATCGTTTCCTAGCGTCGTCGGCTGGTGGTCAGCGTCTCCCCACATCATCTGCGTATCTGATCTCCAAAACCAGGCTGGCATGTATGACCAGTTTAGCTCTTTGTAGGGCCAAGATCTCGATCATAGGATATGAAGTATGAGAGGAGGTCGTTATCACTCACAAGTCGGGGGCTCAGCCTTGTAAATCAGCTTGGCGCTTCCGAAATCGGTGATCTTGATCCTCATTTCGTCGTCGAGTAGTATACTACACATTAGCCCAGATGGCTTGTCAATTCCTGCCGACCCACTTTTCCGGCTTGAGATCTCGGTGTATCACACCTTTGTCAAGCATAAACTCGATGGTATCAATCAGCTGAGCGGAGTAATATCTTGCAGACTCCACATCAAGCGATCCATGCTGCAACGTCAGTATATATACCAACTCTCATTTCACAGACACACCTTGCGTATATGAGATAACATTTCTCCATTCTTTGCTAGATCCAAGACAAAGTCTATGTCGTCAGCTCTTAGCTACCAAACGAGGTTTGCAGACGATGAAACCTACAAAGCGAAGTACTATCGTTAAACGTCGAATAGACACGTATTATCCCCGGATGACCCAAAGTCGACTTGGTACTCTTCACCGATCTCTCCGAAGGGGCCAAACTTTGTCTCCTTTTCTTCGGAGTTTGCAATTTATCTCGATAGTCTTTCCCTCCATCCTTCTCCTTTTCCTTGTCCCGTATGCTTTCAGGTTCGTCAAAGCTCAGTCTAGTCTTTTCTTTCAGAGTTCGGTCCGAAGGCAGACTGGCCAACTGTTCTTCTTGATATTCCTCTTTGACAGGAGAAGGAGGTTTCATGTTGATTGTCGAATGACCATCCTCCGAACGTTCAGGGACCACTTCAGGTGGATCTGCAGATCGACTAGGTCTCCTACCCGCCATCAGTTGTGGTGACATGGGAGCATGCCCGGCGGAGCTGTAAGGTGATGTGAAAGGACTACTGTAACCAGTACTCGTGCTATCCGTCAATGAAGTTGCGACGGAGAGTCGATCCCTTTGAGGTATAGGCATCGAGGGGGTGATAGTAGAGCTATCTCGTCTTCCGCTGGAACTACCAAGGGAAGCAGTAGATTTGCGTTTTCCGGCAGCGGTTTGACCAGCAGAGGAGGAACTTGACATACCACGTCGATGGCCTCTACCAGCGGTTGGAGAAGCCTGACGAGGGGTGGAAAGACGAATGAGAGCATCACGTTCGATCATCGCGTATTTGGCTTTCTTCTCCGCTACAAGGTGTGCTTGGTTGATAATTTTGATGGCGTACTGCCGAGGAGGTCGGGGAGAAGTTGGAGAGGTATTATTAGTGGCTGCGATCGCGCGGACAACCTGATAGTAGATCAGTCTTTCTCCTATTCGTTCCGCTTTCTCATCTTGAGTGTATCAGGCTTGACTTCATGAGTCCGGGGTAGAAGCCATCGGACACTAAGAGGAATCTGAACATGAAGTACTTGTATAAACAAAGGATGGAGATCCAGCGAGGTAGGCAATGTAAGTAATTAGATGGGAAGAGAAGCCGAGATTGACGCACCACACTATAACTCCCCCTTCCAAGCTCCTCACCAATGATATAATCCTTCAGGCTTGGTTTACCTTTTCCACCACTCATCTGACTAGCATGACTTCCCCTTCTCTCTTTCTCTTCCACCCTACTCGGTCTTCTTCCATCCACACTTAAAGTCCTATGACCTTTTTCCCCCATCGCCGGTGACCCAGGAGTACTTCCTGGTCTACCCCTGGACGGGCCCGGCACTCCTTCTTCATTCGAAACCAGAACTCTGGGAGGTCCATCCTCTGGTGTTTCCGGACGAGAGTTATCCCACCATGGTGACCAAGCTCTGGGAGTGGTAGGTGACCAAGAAGTCTGCGACGAACCAGGACCGAGACCTATGGAGGGGACAGGAGAATGAGTGGTAGGTGGAGAAGTTATGATAGCTGGAGGACCAGGACGAGGTTGAGATACTCTTGGTCCATTTCTAGTTCCTGTGAATCCACGAGGAAGAGAGTCATCAGTGGATCCTCTCCTTGTCCTAGGGGGTGAACGTGGTTCAGGAGCGGGGATAGGAAGAGTTGTAGTAGCTGTTCTAGTTTCGATTGGTGGAAGACGGATAGGAGCAGGGATGAGGGAGGATGTTGAAGAGTTTGTGGTTGCTGAATGTGAAGAAGAGGTAGAGTCGGTTCTTTGTACAGTTGCCTGTGTTTCACATCCAGGAATAGGGAGGGAATCTGGTATGGCTGGTGTGTTTCCAGGACTTGGGAGGGGCACGGAGGGTGAAGCGGTGCCGGTGCCATGACCGGAGAGAGGAACAGCAGCTGGGATAGGATTAGGTGAAAGCAGAGGGTAGACGGGATATTTCGGTGAAGTCGATGAAGAGGTAGTTTGGGGAAGATCTAATGATGGTGTGGGGATAGGTGAAGGTTGCATGGTCGTAGCCATTGTCCGAATACGATTCCTTGTGTTCAATAATGTCGATAATCCTAAATGTTCAATGTCCTAATGTCCTGAAATGGCCCTCTATCGTCAATCGTCCGTCGTCAGGTTGACCTCCGACTGAGTGTGTTGATAATCCAGCAGTATAATGATACCGTAGTAGAGTTTGACGTAGATCACCTTGACCACTGAAGTTGTCAAGCTACTTGATAGTCGGGAGTCGAACACGATATCATCCAATGATATACCTTATGACTGCTGGTCACTTCACTACACAGTGCTTTCGCTGTCTGATCAAAACCTCGATAAACCAACGTACTGTAGATTCGACCAAATGAAACAAATCCCGAAAGGCAAGAGGTTGAAGATCATGAACAAATCACCAAAAAGGTTCCAAATATTCCTAAACCAATACTTGATGTTCAGAGTCTAGACCACAAAGTCAAAGGCTACTTACGATTCCCACTTTCCCGACGTTGACGGCCTCTCACCCAATCAAGGGGTAAAGAAGGGAGGAAGGGGAGAAGGGGAGAGATACCTATCCTTTCTTCTTCTGGTTTTTATACTTTATTCACTTGTATTATGTACGTAAACCTTTTCGAATGTACAGAAGGAGCATGAAGCATCAAGACTTTGGTACAGTACTTGGACGAGAGGGAATGTACAAGTTTCGGATGGGAAGGATGATGTGGGGGAAAGAGGAAGAGTTGATCGATCGTTTTCTCAGGGCGGAAAAGGGGGGGCAAAGGTCTGGACCCGGTCCATTTTTCACCTAAACCTACCACTTCACATCTCTTTTCATCATCCTTCGTCTTGACCAGTGTTGACTTCGAGCAGATGCATACTACGATACTTTTTCACGACGGCCGACAAGAAAGTCAGATGCACAAGTAAGAGATATCAACGACGATACAGGTATTGGGTAAATCCAAGGATCACCCCCTGGCACTACGAGCCATTAATTCTGTCATTTCACCCATCACCCCTTCTCTTCCTCCACTTTCCCCAGGTAAAAGATCAACCAAAAGTCCGTTTTTATCCATCAGATACATGGCTAGGTCTTTCTGTCCTGCGTTCAGTTCGGGTAAAAGTCCAAGTGTTTCTTGTGCATCTTGTAATACACATTGAAGGGCGAGGATGAGTGTGTTGGCAGCTTGACGTGTGGTGATTGTCGGTGATGATAATGCCTAGTGATTAGCGTTGTTTCATTCGCGCGATATTTGCACCTTTTCCCGCATCCCTAAGAAATCGCCTGTAGACTGTTTGCACAGCTTTCCGTCTCTGTTGACATAGCTTGTGTTTCCCCATGTCTACATGCGCAGTCTCACCGGGTTTGTCTCAGACAGCAGGAAATCTCGGCAAACCCCGCGCCAGAAGGTGCCGGGGCTACTTGATCGGTTTGTCACGCAGCTGAGACTCCCGGTGAAGGCCGCAATAGAGGGTATGGAGGAGTCAGAAGGGATGATCATTCCTCAATGGCGAGTAAAAGGACAGAAGACACAGCGTAACATACTCACAGTCATTATGATTCCCGCTAAATTCTTCCCTTCAATCCTCACAACCTCCTTAGGTAATCTCAACACACACATTCCCATCGCGTTCAATCCAAACGAATAACCCGAAGCTCTAGCTTTCTCACCCCTGAGAACCTTTTGTCCTGTTTCCGCCCCGTTGATCGTGGAAGAAGTACTAATATCTAATTTTTCCATGATCCTTTCCATCTCCTCCGGGGGGTGGCGGACGAGATACCGATCTAAAGACGCTGATAGGACAGAAAGGAGGAATAGAGGATCTGATACTTCTGTCAAAAATGATATGAGAGAATTGGTAGATTCGAGTATCTAAATAATCAGATCAAGTCGAAGTGACAAAAATGAACGTACGATTGAACTTTTGCAAGCTCGTAGACGGAAAAGAGCATCACAAAGTGTTGTCTCGTGGTCTTCGAACATGTCCCATTGATGTTGTACCATTTCCCATAAGACAACTAACGCTTGTTCTAGCAGATCAAATGGCTATCCGTTAGCCAAGCCACTGGGGGTAGTGGGGGGTGGAAACGTTCAGCAGAAAGAGGGTTGAGTCTATGATGGAGGGTAGCCCACATGGACGAGCAGATTATCATGAGGTTGGATACAGATCTCACCTTTGTCGGTTCCAAGTAAGCCACGAGACCATCGAAGACACGTTCGAATAATCGTCCCTCGTTCCAAATACTTTTATCCGACTCGAACTCGTCTTCACTTTCCATAGTAGATTGAGAGATTGGATGAGAAGAAGAGAACAAGGCGAGCTTTTGAAGATTGCGTATCTCGGGATTACCTTTCTCTAAAGATATGACGTCTTCTGTTATTGCAGACGAAGGGGTGTTGGTGGTAGATTTGAGAGGGCTAGCCTTGTCCAGTACTGCTCGTAAACATACGGTCTTCGAAAGATTAGGCGGGCCGGTCAATTTCGAAGAAGCAAGGGACATACAGAGGAAGGAGGGAGAGTAGAATAGGTTATTGAAGGAAGTGATAGAAGGAAAGCAAGGACGACAGTCAGAGATAGAGATTCAACCCACATTGCTGTCGTTTCAACCACCAACTCCTCTCATGTTTCCTCTCCTTAAGTTTGTCCAATATCATCGGAGTCATCAGATCCGACCTGGGTGAGTCGACCCATGCATGGTTCCTCATCATACCATTTATTGGCGTCTGCAACGACCCACCATGATGGACTTTGGGGGTGAATGGGGTTGTACCTGGGTGTGACACGGAATAAGCTTCTAATCGTTGTGTCGCCGCTTCAGTTTCTGCAATCCGTTTTCTGTGCTCAGGATGTATCTCCGATGAGTTCACCAGACCCAAGCCGACACCTGTCTCGATGTTATCAGAAGGTGTCGAGTGACCGGAGAATGAAGGCAAATGTTTCCGATTAAGAGTAGGAGTTCGAACAACTTGTGTGGATGCTGCACTGCTTGACTGTGAAGTGGGTGTATGTGAATTATTAGGATATGTATTGAATTGTCTTAATGGAGATTGTCTACTTGTAGATGATTCTCTAGAAGATGGATTGGAAGATAATGGTCTACTCAGACTTGACGTCCTTTTCTTGACTTCAGAACCAATGCCATTCTCGACAGGTCTCGTTGACGTTCTTCGTGGACGGGGTGAACCTTCAGACGAGGAACCGGGAGAAGAGACCGTTCGTGGGAATGGTCCGGGTTTCTTGGAAGAGATGAAAGTTGAAGAGGTAGATCTTGGGGTGCCGGAGGGCAAAGATGGTACGGGTGAAGCAGGAACAGGGGAGGAGACGATCCTTGGAGATCCGGTACTTTTACCAGCTGCCAATTCCGCCGCTCTCGCTCTTTTCTTCTCCGCCAATACAGCGCTAATAGCTGACGACGCACGTTTTGCAGGAGCGGGAGGTCTGGTAGTCAAAGCCACTCCGTTGGTTTCTCCCGTTCTGGCTTTTTCCAATTGTTTCCGAGCTATATTATCCATGGAAGTCATAATGACATTTGCCTTTTGTGGCCAGACGGCATGATAGCTCCAGAATGCCAATCGTGCAAGATCTCGGACTTGAGGATTGACATCAACCAGGGACGTTCTGACAGTGGTATCGATCATGTCCAATAGTCCAGAGGTGGTCTCGATAGAATGCTTAGACCTGATTCCATGAACATCGAGAAAGGTCTTTAGATGGCCAGTACAGGCATGTCGAGCTTGAATGTTTTTACCACTGACTCCTGAAGAGATGTGGGAAATGAAGATACGCGGATGAACAGTGGTATGTTCGATTATAGCGCTGACTGAACGTTGCGATCTTTCCGCAATAATCTTCTTCGTGAAGCCGCTGTATTGGGATGAGCGCAAACCTCTTTGGTGTGACGTTCAAGCTTACGCCATTTTCCCGAGCACAGGTAGAATGAGTTCGACAAAATGATCGAAAGCTGGACCGAGAGTTTCCGCCAGTTCGGTCACTACGGCACAAGATTGTTGAGCTACGGTGGTTCGGAGACTCATCAGCTACGTCCATTAGCCTTTAGACAAGGTAGCTGGAGGGAGTGACTCACTGTCTTTGACAGACCCTCGATGAGTTCTCCCTTGAGTCGAGCCACAAAGACCTCTGGAAGTTTCTGGAACACCTGACCCCTCAACATTCCCCGTATCCGTATAATGGCTTTCTCCCTCGGTAGCCAATTATGCTCTGTCTCTTTGCCCTGATAGCTCAGCTATCTCCACCTGATGGGAAGATGAAGACATACCGCAAAGTGAGGAATCATCTCTGAGAACTCCTGTTCCAACTCCTTCGCTGTATCTATCTACCATAATCAGAAACACTCCATCTCGGATAGCACTCACATATACCACTTCAACCTCATCATGAGCAGGAGTGACAGCCCCTGATCTTGTACCCAAAGTCGAAACAGGCGCGTCGTCAGCAGGAAGAGGTATATCCGCGGCTATGATTGCTACCGCGGCTCCGTTAGAGAAGATCCGACTGATGATTCCATCCGCAATGGTCTTACGAACGTTTCGCGCTTGCATCAATTTTTTCAATTCGGCTCTTGCGGCGGCTGGAGTATTGGCTGGTGACAGCAAAGCGACCACGGTCTGTAATAATCAGCGTCAATGCAAGCAACAGTAATGAGGAAAAGTTACTTCTCTAGCTTGATCCCTTACATTCCCATCTGAATCTTCTAACAGTCCCACTAATGGGGCCAGCCAAGGTTTCAGCGGTAGTTTACTACCCATGTCTCTCCTCATCTCCAGAATAGCCTTCATCCCTTCTACTTTACCCCTCCAACCTTTATTCCCTAATACATCTTTCATCCCACGTTCCCATAACTCCACCAGACCCTCTCTACTTTTTCCCTTAGTGGTCGATGCACCTAGGCTAGGCGGTTCAGATTCATAGCATTTCTTTCCCAGTATGGTCAGAGCGGACGCCGCCGCACTGTGGACTCGTTCTTTCTGATCATTAAGTTTCTCCAGGAGCAAAGGGAGAAACTGATGTAATGCTAGACGGAGGTGGTTTGCAGGGGGGTCATCAGGGATGAGAGGAAGGAATACGGGAAGGAAGGAGGTGAGGACGGCAGCTACGAGTAGATGTGCTGATGATTTTAATAAAGGTGCGACTAGGAGTGTAATGGGGTCGATAGTTGTATCAGGTAGCTAGTGCGTCAGCTCCATCGTCGACCAAATAAAGCTGGATTGAGAACGAGACCGACCTGCTCTGCGCCATCGATCCTAAGGGAGAATAATTGAAGCTGATCCACTTTCTTTTCGGCATCTAAAGGGGTGAGTATCTCTGCTTCAAAGAAGTGTATAGACCTACCGGCGGCTTTGAGTTTGGTCAAGAATGCCTCCACTTCTTCCCCGGTCACAGGGTTTGATGACATGGTGTTGTGTACAGATCTGCTACCCGGCTTCCTGCAGTATGCTCCAGACGCAAGAGACGAGTACGTTTGATAGTTGCAAGACAACAAGACTGATCAAGCAAGTATCTGATTGACGAGGTGAGTACTAAGTAAGACAGAAGTGGAATTATGAAACCTTCAAGTAATAGTTCTCTACTTTGCATGACGCGTGGTCCGAGCGTGGCAGATTCCCAAGTGGCAGTTGGTCGATCGCTCGAGGTCTATCATGTACGATGACAAGGAGGGGAAGAACTGTCCTGCCAGCTCTCAAGCCTGTGCATGCATGGCAAAGAGCGACATGAAGCAACAGTAGCAAGCGGAGCAAACGGCGAGAGGTGATGCATGCTATATTTGACACGGGGATTGAATGGTTTCAAACCCACCTATCAAGGTTGAAAAGATCCGATCGCGAGGGGTAGGTGGATGATATCCGTGACGTTGTCAAGCCGACATGGTGGTCATAGCGACCGATGCGGTCACATAAATGTTTGTTTGGGTACATAACGTCCTCTTGACTCTCTTTCTCTGATCTCATGTTGACTCCTTGGCTTAAGCAAGATGCAGACGGCTATTCCACTTGCCCCTTCGGTCTCATCAACACCACCTCCTCCCGATCACCTGAATCCTATCGACGCAATGATTACTCCTGATCCCCCACCGTTCCCTAGTCCTCGATCAGTCACACATATCGATTCACCACCTCTGGTCCATCCAGCCGACAATGAAAGCCCATCTCAACCAGCCGGCTCGATGGAGGAGTGGGTCAAACCGTCCCCGATACAAGTCATCAGGAGGAATCCCAAAGATATCACATACCTTTTATGTCTCTTCATGCTGTGGGTAGGGACGACGTCAGGTTGGGTAGTGTTCATGGTCAAGAAAGCAAAGTCATTGTCGAATCAAGATGGGATGGGACAGATATTCTTGCTCATCGATGCCGTGTTCATTTTAGCGTGAGTGGACTGCCGATTTCAGAAGAGTCTAGTTCAAGAGTCGTCGCTCATCGATAGCCTTCTTATTCTCACCTTCCTCATCGTTCGTCAAGTGTTCTACTTGGGACAATACTTTTCACCGCCCTCCAACCAGACGTCTCAAGTACCAGGTTGGTTGTTACCTCGATTACCCAGTTATGTCGATGCTGTCGGAAGAGCTCAGGCGACGGGTGATGTGGAGGACAGGTGGATCGTAGGGGAGGGATTGCCAAAATATGGGGATAACAGGGGGAGTACGTTGTTATTGAGAAGTTTGTCTAGAGGTGGTGTACCGAGTATAAATACAGAAACGACAGAGAGAGAAGGTGGTAACTTGTCAGGGGAGACGGAACATGATCATATTCGGCCAAGAGACGAATGAATAGCCATTGTATGAGGTGTAAGGTTCAGGCTAGTGACATGGCGACATTTAGCACATGCCCTGACTCCCTAATTCCCCATTGATCATTGATCGTTCATTGAGACTCAAGTGGGGAGCTTATACTGGCTCTGATGACGACGCGGGGACGAGTAAAGCGGGATTTGTGATTGGCGGATGACCCTGCCCATCCTCATGATTAGTTAGATTGTAGGGGCAAGCAAGGGAGCAAGGGAAGATAGAACAAGTGGAGAGAGCTGCCAACAAACCATTTCAGAGATCTGAGAAAGCCCGAGGTGCCTGGGTATCTCGAGAGTGCCACATTGGGATTGTTGGGGACCGCAGCTATATGGCAGGAAGAGCTGAACGAGCTTTCCTTAGCGGCATAGAGTACTAGAGTACAACTTGAGGTGAAGAACAAAGTGACAAAGTGACATTGAGAGAGAGACGATCGTTACCTCTGACCATCTCTCTCTTCTTCTCTCCTTCTCTCCTTCTCTCCTTCTCTCACGTTCTCATATACCCAGTCCCCAATCAACCACCACCCGTTCTCACCATCCCTTGAACCCCTTGCCACCCCTTTGATAACCAATTCATCTCCCACCATCTTTCAATTCCGGACCGTCGTCACTTCGTCATCCCTCCCCGGTCGTCGGCCATGCACTACAAATGGTGATCAAGGGCTCTATGGCCCTGGCCATGTTCAAAAGCGCATATCGACTTACCTCAAACGGTCAGTCCAAGCTCTCATCATTCCACTTGAACCTTATCCCTTTTTTAATGTGAAGATAGAGGGATATATGACCAGATATCATGGCTGGCTGTCCTATCAGAGTCAACTGGATATCCATTCCTTCTTCCGAAGCTTCTCTACTGACACATGCAGGATTATACCCGTCACATTTCCGAAGTCCATGTCATCTCATCGAGAAGAGATAGATCCCACGAAAGGTTCACAAGTGCACAAGACGTCTAATCTTAGGACATCCTTTCACAATCACTCGATCGCTAATAAATCATTGTCTCCCCTTTACTCGACGACTCATACTGCGTAGAGTCGGATCAAGTACCGGGCGATCTCGCCATACAGGCGACTGAGCCCTCAGCAGCGGAAGTGGGAGGGTCAAGATCCTAGTGATCCACCGGCCACCGAGGCGACTAAGCTAGCGACGTCAGGGAGGGATAAAAAGACGCATTCCATGTAGGGAGGTGAGACTCAAGTCAAGCCAAGGTGAGTGATCAAACTCTTCTCAAACTCCAAACTTCAGACTTTGGGCGAGTTATACATCCATCACTCGTATTTTACTCTACTGACGACTCAGAACATTCTATTTCGCGATGTCCGCCGCTCCAGACCCTGAGGAGGATCGTCAACCTCCCACTCGTACACAAAATACAAGTCCTACGCCCTCTCAAGATGAACTCCGACAACAATCGACACCACCATCCCCTACACTTCTTCATCCACAACCGCAGCATTTTGGACCGCCCTTGCCGCAATTACGCAAGCCCGTCACCCCCTTCGGAGCCATGCCGCCTTATCCCTCGCCACTGGCTCAAGCCACTGTTCCCGATCCATCCGACACTTCATCAGCATCATCTCATTCCTCACCTGACAATTCGGATGGTGAAGAAGCGGGGAAGACTCAGCAAGATGCAGCTTCACAATCTAGTGGAACTCCGACCAGAGTGCAAGGTCCCTTTCTCCCCCGTCCAAGAACCATCACTCCGACCAATTCCATCAGTCGTCCTGAGAGTCCCTCCTTCACCCAAAGACCCAGATCTCGTCCGCCCAGTCCTAAAGCCGCAGCGACCGCTCCAGCCATACTCAACCCCGCTGCTCTTCTCAGAGGCAAAAGATCCGGCAGTGGTGCTGTCCTCACCACTTCCAATATGACAATTCCTCCTTCGAAAGACTCTCCTCCAGGTCCAAAGGAATCTTCCCCCACTCAATCTCCAGTTCGTGTTCAACGCGGAAGTCACTCTCGCTCTCGTAGTGGCAGTTACAGTAGCTTAGGCGTACCTTTAGCTGGAAGTCAAGCAGGTTCAAGTCCTTTAGCTTTCGGTAGCCCAGAGCTCGAACCTATACCAGACGAGTCTCCGAGACGAAAGTCAATCGCGTCCACCGCCATACCTGTCGACTCTCCAAAGGATATAAATGCCCTTGGATTAGGGCTAACCCCGTCTTGGGAATCCAGATCAGCCTCTGGCTCGTCGTTCGGTAGTAGCAGTGGTGTGAGTAGGGACAAAGGAAAGGCGAGAGAACTCATCGGTTCTGCCAGCCCGCGACGTGAGAAAGAAAGGACTCTACCCATCGGTGTACCTATTGGCAGGTGAGCACAGTGATCCTTCGTAGGAATAACAAATTGATGAAAATAGTCCCCCTAGAGCACGTCGACCTTCGGAATTCCTCAACCCTTCTTCACTTGAATCTCGCAAAATGCCCGTCATAGGCGGAAGAGGTTCCATGGGTCCACCTTCTGTTGCTTCGTTCTCCACTTCGGCATCGATGATATCTCCCCTAAACCCACTTCCTTCGCCATGGTCATCATCTTCAGACACTGGAAACAACCTTTCGGGTAGTCTCACCAGCGACGCTTCAGGTCCCACGTCATCGTCGAGCTCTGCCATAGGTGCCATGCGTCTTACGAGGGTCCCGACGAGCGTACGAATGGCGGCCGAGCTCATAAAAAATCCGAACACCTCTTTGCAGACATCCACCTCTGCTCCTAATGTTGTGCCGGCCACAGTCCCTACTCCGCACTCATCCCCGACTGGCATTGCACCGTCTATACCTCAGAATACTCTGAGTCCTCCTCCGATGGCTTTGGTCCCATCGGCTTCGATGCCTCTGAACATCCGACGTAGTCATGGAGAGTTGGGTAAGGGTCGTCCTAATCTATCAGTTGCGAACAGTCCTCTTGTCTCGAGAGAGGTATCACCCGTCCGTCCCCTGTTGACCGAGACGCCTTCAGAAAGCCGTTCCGTCTCCGAAAGTTCGCTTGCACCACCATCGGCTTTCAAGACTCCTGCTCTGCCTGTCAGAACCAGACCGTCAGCGCCGCACGAGAATAAGTCGGACTCCTTCAGCACTGCCCGGCACCATCGATACCGCACTTCTATGCATGAAGCTAGCTTCAAACCCTCCATGCTCATGATGGATTCACCAGCGTCTTTGACCAGTTCTGGTCCCAACAGCGCTCTACCCGCAACCCAAGGAAGTTCCTTCGGCTTGGGACTCAGTCTCCCTCAATCCTCCACCGGCGTTGGAATGCCCTCCGGGTCAAAGACTCCAGGCATAGCAAATATCCGCTCTCAACAACGCTCAGTCACTGGTGAAGCTTTACAGATGGATCTAGCTGGTATAGCGTCCCTGGGCGACGCTGCCAGTCATGCGAGTATGATCATGCAGAGCAGACAGGCTAAACTGCAAAGATGGAGACCTGTCAGTGCTGGTGGACGTGTGAGTTTGAATGTTCTCCTGTAGACATATCTGACGTCACAGTCCGATCCGGATGACAATTTGCTCCCACCGGCATTCAATCGATCCACTACGACCGGAGCACCAGCTATGCTCGCAGGTGGTCGAGCAGAACGACAAGCTCAATGGCATCTGAAAGACGCACCTCGACCAACCCATTCTCTGACCGCTGACACTGGACCTATCGCTCAGTCAGCCTCATTACAGCTCATTACCCCTTCAACCGGTACAATGACGTTACCCAAAGTCAACGAAATGTCTTTGAGCTCTATGCCGCTCAGCTCAAATGCCGGTCCGTCCAGGTTTGCCGGACTCACAGGAGGTGGTATGGAAATGGAGAAAAGTGGGAGTGGGTCAAATATGGTTGGCGGGATAGAATGGGTGGACTGGATGGATTGTTACAAACGATACAAGGAAGAGAAAATCCGTGCTGAGGCAGAAGCTGCTCGTGCGAAAGCAATGGAGACAGTTCCTCCTCCACCTTCGGCGAGAGCATCACCTGTGATCTCCGTCAGCGCTCGTGCGAGTCCGAAACATTTGGATCTCTCCCCTGTAGGCGACACGGGAAGTGCCGTCGGATTGTCACCCACCACTTCGAGGGACGAAGTGGGACCTTTGGAACAATCTAATCGAAAGCGGAGTATGTCGATACGCTCTTCATTGTCCGGCCTTGATCTTTCACGATCACCATCTCAGAAGCGATCAAGTATCTTCGATCGGTCGAGACAAGTGTCTGTCGCATCCTTTCGTCCCAACGAAGCTCAAGGAGCAGCAGGAGCGAGACGGAAGAAGAATCTGGTCTCAAAGATGGAAGGATGGTGGAATGCCGTGAAAAGCAACTTCACTCCTGATGCCAGTGGATCCGAACCTCCCGCTCCATCAACACGCAAAGGGCGACTACCATCTGCCCCTCAAAGCAGGCGTGTCAGTGATAAGGAGGTCATCTCCCCTCCAGCGGCTGCTTTGCTTGCTCCTCAACCTACTCGAAGAGAGTCATTCCAATCGCTCCGTCGACGTCTGTCGCATCTCGACCTCAGAGGCAATACCAGTCCAAGGTATGATCAGCGAAGTCTTCAGGAGGCGGCCAATGTGGTTGGTGTAGAGCGACCCCTTCTCAGTCGACATATCTCCAGCACTACCGCTTCCACTGAAATCTCAAGACCTGTATCCACTGTTGTTGACGATCCATCGTCTCTCAGCCCACGCAGACCCAGTGAGAGTTTGGAAGCCCGTCGAAAACAGCCTTCCTTACGCTTGGCTCTCGGTCTCGAAGCACCCGCTTTCCCCCGAGGCGCCTCCACCCACACCGATTCTTCAGGTTCACAGAGCCAATCAAGACCTGACTCACGTCCGGATATGGCTTCGCGTGCATCCACTTACGGTCCATCATCCGTCGGTTCTGGTCTCACTCCCGGAGTTCCTAGATGGGATCAGACGCCTTCTCCCCTGTACCCCTTGACTCATCGTTCGGCTGCGAAGGAAAATGATCCTGTGGCGCCCGGTGCGGACCTTACAGTCGCTTCTGTCCGGAGACATGTCAAGCATCGTATGAACGCCGCAAAGGTAGCTTGTGATACCACTTTGCAGAGAACTATCGATGCCATGACGAGATATGCAGATGAACAACGACGTTTGGCAGATGAAGAACAGATGCGTTATGCTGAAGAATTAAATCAAGATCAGCCAAGAGATTATTTCGAGGCTGTACACGATTCCCCACTTATCGATTTGGAGGATAGTGATTTAGAAGCCACCGATAAATTCGAGCTGGGTTCGTCTCGCGGAGTATCCGGTTCTAGAGGTCCAAGTAGACGAGCTTCGATCTCCCGCTCAATAGCTGTACCTGGAAGTCCAAGTAGACGCACGAGTATGGTACCCAGCAGTCCAAGTCGAGTTCGTAGACGACCAAGTGCACCCGCTCGAAATCTGGTCGGACGTGATCGACAGCTGGCTCTCAGTCTCAATCTATCTTTGGAAAAAACGAAATCAAATTCCAGCTCTCGTTCTACTTCTCGCTCCCGATCACCTATGCCTCCCAGTCGGAACCTCCTTCCCACTGTTCCGGACCCGGACGAACAAGCCTTCCTTACCGCCTTGCAAGAACTCATCGTCATCGCCACCTACGTCCTAGACTTGAGTGTCAATACACTGATTTCAAAACCATCCATCTGTAGAGAGATTGTCCCCAAATTGCAAGCTGTCGGCCAACATTGGGACGAACGAGATGACTGGCCAGGGAGGGAGTGGTATGTCGATATCTTGATGGCTGTGGCAAATCTGGGTCGGGTGCTTGATTGGTGGGAGGCTGAAAAGGGTTTCTGGAACTTTGACAATGAAGATGAGAATGAACCACTCGTTTTTGTATTGAAACCAACGAGAGAAGAGTCAAAATTCGATCAGGAATTCAGAGCTGCTCTGAGCAACAAAGTCTCGCCAGTCTCATCCACCGTTCCAGAACCGACATCAGCGATTAGTCTCGAGTTACCTTCACCTGCCGGTTGGTCTGGCTCCGGTACGTACACTGGTAAGACGGCAGTAGGACCGGTAGCAGGTACACCGAAGGCGCAAGCTGTGGAAGATTTACGTTTCTTGGCGGAACATGCTAAGAGTGTCAATATTGTCATGGAGTTGAGTTTGCAGGGCGAAGAAATCATGTATGTCAACGATGCCATCATGGAAGTTACTGGGTAAGCTGCTCCTCTCGACAGAGGGCTTTTGGACTGACGATTCAGACAAGATCCTGAAGATGTTTTGTACAAAAATATAACCGACCTGGTGGCTCCCGCCGATTCTTCCACCTTCGCCGAAGCGTCCCGACGATTGATAGAGGACGATAATAACACTGTTCAACTCCGCGTCCGATTTGAGGCTCACAATCTGTCCGACGAGGATAACGAAAGACAACTCGGACCTATATATGTGGAGTTGGAAGGCGTCGGAATGCTCATTCGCGAGAACAATGAGCCATCGCATACGATGTGGGTTCTCAAACCCGTTGCTGCCACACAAGTCGATCGAATAGCCCAGGCTGGAATTCAAGACAGTATCCTGTTATCCAACGAGAATGTGCTTTGTCGGATATGTGAAAGAGAAATCGTTATTTGGTTCTTTGAGAAACACAACGAAACTTGTGATGCGGTACATCGGTTGGAGGCGGAGATTTCAGCTACCAACGAATGTCTTCATGATCTTCTACAAACGATTACGGAGTTGAAGGAAGATATAGACGAGACAATGGACAAGGGTCAGCCAGCTCAATATCAAGGCGTTTTGTTCTTCTCTCTACCTGAGTCGGTCTCTCCTGGCGATTCTCCCACTTCGGGACCACATGGTGTTGAAGTTCGTAAAGCTGTCGATGCTCATCTGGAAGATGTCATAGATGTACTTTCTATCGCTGAGAAAATCGACACGCCTTCCGTCCAGGAGAACGAAGCGGATCTCGATTTCAACCTCCAACGGTATCTTCCCAAAGAAGATGAAGACAAACTCGCCTTGGTGATGAGATGGCAAAGACCTCCGACTCAAGATCGAGGATTGTCTTTACTGTTCAACCATGTGGAAGAACAATTACGTCGGAAGCAAAAGACGATAGCGAGGATGCAAAGCACCATTCGATATTCGGAGAAGACAAGACATGAATGGGAAGATAAGGTCAACCAGCATTTGGCAAGTTTGCAAGAAGGCAGCGGTTCAGATACGGGGTCGAATAGTTCTGGTACGACTTCACCAGTGGAACAAGGTCTTGACGTATCTCCACCGACTCAACGAAAGATTGCTCCACAAGCTCGTCTACCTATAACCCAAGGTCATCCTCAACGGCCAACTACTGCCGGAGGCGAAACTATCATCGCAGCGACGGCACCAACAACTCCAGCAATAGCTCCTGTATCCGCACCGGCTCCATTGATTCCATCACCTACTTTACCAGTACTCCCTGCCTCGGCCCCACCTCACCCTGTACCTTCTCAATCCGAATTTCTCGCTCCTAAGTTACCTGTCAACAAAATTCCTGCTCCTCTTCAAATCCCTGCCGAACATATGAGACACGCTCGACGTGTCTCTACCTCCAAGCCATTGGCGACCGCTCCTCTCTCCCCACGTATCCCATCTGCCGCTCTACAGGTCCGCCCCAATCCCCAATCGATCAAAGATTTCGAGGTTATCAAACCTATCAGTCGTGGTGCCTTCGGACACGTATATCTTGCAAAGAAGAAGACTACGGGAGATTACTACGCCATCAAAGCGTTGAAGAAGTCAGACATGATCGCCAAGAATCAAATCACCAATGTCAAAGCTGAACGTACGATTCTGATGAATCAAGCTACTTCGCCATATGTTGTCAAGCTCTTCTTTTCGTTTCAAAGCAAAGATTATTTGTACCTTGTCATGGAGTATCTCAATGGTGGTGACTGTGCTACTCTGATCAAACAACTGGGCGGAATCCCAGAGGAATGGGCGAGAAATTACATTGCCGAGGTCACTCTTGGACTGGAATACCTACACGCCAGGAACATCGTTCATCGTGATATTAAACCCGACAATTTACTCATTGACTCTTGTGGACATCTCAAACTCACCGATTTTGGTCTGTCAAAGATCGGTCTTCTCAATCGTCAAGTCGGTGGTACTCGACCGCGTTTCCGACGAGGCTCTTCCCTGAGAAATCTTCAAGCGAGAAAACCTTTTGGGAGGTCGGCCTCGACCTCTTCCAACGATTCTTCCATGTTATCCCCTGAACTCATCCCGGCCATCCCCTCTAATTTGAGCCACTCTTATTTTGGAATGACCGAGCTCGGTTCCGCTGATGAATCGAGTGAGTCGGAATCTGCCGGTATTGTCACTGAACATATGCGTCAGGTAAACTTGTCACATCGAAACTCTTCCGCCACAGGTACTCCCTCAGCGGTAGGTCGAGGAAATCATCGATTCGTCGGAACACCCGATTACCTCGCTCCGGAGAGTATACTCGGTATCGGAACTGATGACCGGATGGTAGATTGGTGGGCATTAGGCGTGGTGTTATACGAATTCATATATGGTTTCCCACCTTTTCACGCAGACACACCTGAAAAGGTGTTTGATAACGTCGTTTCTCGTCGTATCGATTGGCACGAGACCGAAGTCGAAGTGTCACCCGCCTGTTTGGATCTCATGAATCGTCTCATGTGTTCCGATCCCAGTCGACGCCTAGGAGCGAAAGGAGCTGAAGAAGTCAAACGACATCCATTTTTCGAAGGAATCAATTGGGAAACAGTCACAACTTCCCGAGCTAGTTTCATTCCTGAGATCACAGATCCAGAATCTACCGACTACTTTGATCCTAGAGGTGCATTGCAAGGTTTCCATGATGACGATCCCGTTCCCCAAGTGCTAAAACGGGAAGATCCGGTTCATCCCGAATCAAGTCCGGAAATGTCGGCGGTGATGACTGATTTGGCGAACATTGACGATTTTGGAGCTTTCAACTTCAAGAACTATCCCGTATTGAAACAAGCCAATGACGATGTCATACGAAAACTTCGTGTTGATTCCCTTGCTCCCTTGAGTCAAGCACTCGATTCACCTCAAGGTTCTATGAAACGGTTAGGCAGTTTGTCAGCTAGAGTTCATCAAAAACAACTACGGAAATCTTCAGATGTACCGCATGAAGGACCTCCCTCACCATCAGAATCAACATCATCTACCGCTTCTACTCCATCAAGAGCCAGTGGTCCTCCTTCCACTCCTAGTTCCGCACCGGTACTTCCGCAACATTACAGAAGACCTTCAGAACTCAACGCGTTGGATAGGGTGAGATCGGAAGATAATGAAATGTTGAGACGTAAATCCGCTCCTTCAAGAGTGAGAGCAGGTTCAGGAAGTAGTATGAGTGATAGGAGTACAAGTATGGAATTGTGGCGTCAAAGAAGACAGGCTTCTTTACAATCTGAACCACCTCAGGCTGGGGTGGGTCTTCCTGCCGATAGTCCGGAGCTACGTCCCACATTAGTTGGATTGGACAGAACATTGGACGTTTTGATTGCGGAAGATAACCCAATATCGCAAAAGGTGAGTTCAAAGGCTTCTACGTCGCTATCACCTCAGTGTATTGAACCATTTTCTCACTTTTCGAGACTTGTTCGAGTCAACGACGATGAAATGTGCTGATTGGTCAGATCTTAGAGACGTTGCTTACGAGGATGGGGTGTAGATGCATTTGTGTGGAGGATGGTTCGCAAGCTTTGGCAGCGACCATGGGGTCTATTCGTGAGTTCATGTCGATAGGAATCAACAACGATAGACCGAAGATTTCTGATGATCAGGATTTGACGTGATCATTTGTGATATTCATATGCCAGTGGTCACTGGTGAACAAGTGGCACGTATGATCCGATCGACCAATAATCCCAATCATAACACCCCTAGTGAGTTTTCTCTCCGTCTCATCATATCGTTTGATTGTCCCTCATCTTTCAATCTCCTCAATATCCTCGATCTGTCTACTTTGTTTACTCTGTGCAGTAATCATTATCCCCACACGACTCTCCCCTTACATGTAAGTTATCGCAAGCAGGTTTTGAACGTTTGAAGAGAAAGAGGACGTTGGGAGGTTTGTGAAGTCAAAAGATGAACCCAGCTAATTTCTAGTCATCGCTGCTACATCGTACGAACAACATCAATCCATAACCGAAGAAGGAACTCTCTTCTCTGCTGTTTTAGCCAAACCAGTTCAAAAAGTCGACCTCATTAAATGTCTCGGAAAACTCGGTTTCGTCCTTTCCTCCTCTGGACGGAGAGACAGTCTCTCGTCCGGCTCTGCAACAAATTCAACATCATGATCCCCTCCCTCTTCCTATTTGTAGTCTTCTTCCCACCGGTCAGTAAATCCCTCAAGTGAAGTAGGCTTAGCGGGTGAAAAACCACCAACACGTAAGTTACAATTTGGAATCGTTCCGTCTCGTCCTCACGTCCATGCATCGACAAAAGCTCTATAATGTGTGTACGAATAAGCTGGGCATTGTACTTGGTCTTTAGGTTTTGCTATGCATTTCTCTGATGATACCTCTGGCCTGTGTCTAACTACAAGAACTGTATTCAGATCTGATCAGATGGCTAAGCTTGTGGAGCAGTAGATTGATCATGTCCCCCTTTCAGTAACCTCAGAATCTTCAGATTCTACTGCTCTGATCCTGGACGGCCCAAAGTCAACAGAAGTCGTTCCCTGAAGCTGGAGTTTGCCCACCAGTGCTTCCACTCAGGCAAGCTTGATCGGACAGCTGTGTGCACCGCAAGGCTTAGAGCTCCCTCACTGGCTGCCCTCAAGGTCCTTCTCTGTCAGCCAGCGCAGAATTCAACAGGAAGAAGAGAGACGTGTAGACATGAGAGAAGGACAGGATGTGGTCAGATGTCAGCACATAGATCACTCACGCAATCAAAGCGTTGTGCCCTGGCCCGACCGTATCATCGAAAGGACTCTCCTGGTGATCTATGACCCATGTCCGTACTATGGACAAGCCAGTACCTACAGCAAGCATTGTAAGAGCTCGTGCTCTCAAGAAATCGGACTCAGCTTGGGGCCATGGAGATGAGTTCGACCTAAGAGTCTCAAGTAAGATGCGTGGAACTGAAACAAGCCTGTTCCCAGAAGACTGGACAGGCACGTTTTGTGCTGGCCTTACAGTCAGCCCTGCATTGAGTAGGCCCAAGGGTCCTCCGTGTTCCCGCATGCCCTCCAAAACTTGTTGGATATGACGCTCATGTTCCAGTAGCTCAAACTCGGGAGTGGCAGCATGATCTGGACCCAAGAACATAGTCTTTGCTATTTCCTTTGCGGACAGTCCCTGGCCGGCCAACTCCTGCAGGTACCACCACCATTGGAGGGTGTCTAACAGGTCATGACCACTGGGAGAGGACTGTCTGGTGGCTGCTTCATATGAAGGAGCAGGGTCCATGTTTGGTGCTATGAGTAGACTGCACACCTGTAGTAAATTTGTGATCACTACTGCAATTGAATGAGAGGCGAAGATATTGAGTAGAAGGATCAACAGATTGATGACCTGAGTGAAGAGGTGAGGAGGGGGGGGAGGGAGATTTATATAGCCTGCATCGTGTGGGAAACTCGGACGATGATCCTCTGCCTGTTTCCCTCCCCTTTGTCGGAAGCGGTGCGTGCGATGATCCGGCCGATGAACGGAACGATGTCTAGACCGGACATGATCTTTGAATTCTATATTTCTCCTAAATCAGTACAAAAGAAAGTTGAAACATTGGTTTCTTCTCAGTCTGTGGAGTTAGAGAAAGGAGGAATGTAAAGTGTAGGATAGCTTGATAATGACATGTAAACCAGGAGGGCTTGGGAGATCCGCACTTTGCTTCAAACTTACCCAGACCCCAATATTGAAGAGAGCCTATTGCAGCGGAGTGAGTGTAGATTGTCAGAAGTGGTTGAGATCGAGCCGCTCTCTGTAACCTCAGGCGCTGTAACCGTATGCGCTGTCGCCTTTCGGGATGGGAAAACCGACTGCAATGCCTTTGAGAAGCCGGTCCATCCTGCCCTGCGTGTGGAGCGGGGCAATCCTGTGTACGTTGTGGTCCACCCTGCTTTGCGTCCCAAGGGCGTGGCTAGTAGTGGGTAGTGAGATCCATTCGTGCCTTCTTCTGGATCCGGAGTTGACCCTTCGAGGAATCCCGCTGGGGGCCGGTCCGTCATTGAGAAGTAAGTTGAGCTCCCTGTGCTTGCGGCGTCCGAGGTGACTGAGCATTTGGTCGCCGTTCAGCGTGGGCTTGGTCCGTTTGAAGCCCATTTGAAGACGTCAAATCGGTCTTTTGAAGAAGCATCATCCTTTGTGGGACTTGAGATAGCCTCAACCTTTTGGGGTAGGTTTCCAAATAATTGTGGAAAGATTGCACGCCCAACATCGGGGTATACAGTAGCGGTGCTTGTTGCACTCCCAGCATCAGGGTGTACACTAGCGGGGCTTGTTGCACGGGGATATCCACTGATAGTGTGAGCAAGACTCACAGCCCTACTTGCAAACTGGGATACAAGTTGCGGGACTGCTGTTGCAGCTGATGCTGCAATTTCTGGCAATCTGGTATACGAGGCTACTCTGTGCATTTTGTCAGCCCTGAGCTCTTTCACCTCCTAGATGCTCACAAACTTAGTGTATTCTCCTCTTGTTGAGTTACTCAGAAGGAAATCATAAGGAGTAGAGTTGAGGATGCAGGATAGGTGGACAAAGAGCAAGTACTCACGAGTTTACCCAAGAAGAGTATAGCATACTGCCTAGTGGTGGACAATTGGTCCGTATAGCATTTGTCACCGCGTAAGGAGTGAGCAGCCCAAAAGGGTATTCCCGTGTCCTGGGTGTGTTTTGTTCCGGGAGTGAAGGTGCATTGATAGTGGATTCTCCGGGAGCAGTGGATTCGTCGGGAGCAGCGGATCCGTCGGGAGCAGCGGATTCGTCAGGCTCGAGTGAGAGACGACTCCGAGGTCGGGCGGAGGGCGTTTTCGGCGGTGGGAGGCAATCTAGGCGCCGATTGCCCCTAATAATCGTATCCGAGGAACTCTTTGTGCTCGCGGGATGTCCTCCCCTGCAGTCGGACGCTGACACGAGAGCGTCGTCAACCACAGATCTCCTCGCGAATCTACTCAAGGTGGTCCTCATCGTTGTGTATATCCGTAGAAAGAGTAAAAGCAAGGGAGGGAGTTGATGGGGAAATTACTCTTAGAATGGAGAAGCTGGGTCTTATAGAGAAGAAACCCTCCCTCCTTTTTTCCGTCATTCCTTTCATCAATTGCTATGCAGAGTAGTAAGTATTCAGTGTTTCAACCTCAGCTCTCATGAATTGAAGACCTCATCACATACATGTATGAAGCCTGAGAAACAGGGGTTTACGGAAAGTTTGAAGGCGAAGGGTAACCCTGACATACCGTCACGAAACACTTCGACCCAAGTTTCATATAAATTTATTTCCCTTCGAAAGTAAAACGCTACCAGTGTGCGATCCACCAAGTCTAGATCCTTTTTGACTCGATGTAGAGTTGTACCCTGATCCAGAAGCTGTCGATCCTGTAGGGGTAGGTTTAGGACGAACGGGTCCACTGTTCTGTCGAACTACCACCGAGGCACCTGCCGTAGGTCCTGTACGACGGGTAGTGATGCTTTCATCGAGGACGAACTGTTGATAACTTTCCACCGAACGAGAGGTTTGAACCATACCTCCACGCATACGTGATCGTGATCGGGATATGGCAATGCTTGTCATGTCCATTTCGTCGTCTGACAAGTCAAGAGGAATGGGAGAGGCAGTTCGATATGCTCCTGACATGTCGACATCGGAGTCGTCGGCGGTTTCCTGTAAGGTGAGCTCTGTGTCCTTCGCAAAATGAGCATTCAATCCAGACCACAATATTGCAAATAGAGTGGGCATTGATTGGCATTTATGACAAGGTCACCTTGAGAGGACAACGACGGAAACCGAAAGGTGACCTACGCGATTCATAATAGCCCTCTGCTTTAGCATATCCCTAACATCTCTCATAGACTTCTTCTGTGGGGTGGGCGATGTCCTCGGTGGTAACTCCTCTTCGATAGAATCGTCGTCACTCTCGAGATCCACCTCGTATGCACGTTTGAAGACATTAGCCTCTCCTTCTGTCACCCGTCAGCTCCATACATCCTTCGAATCATTGCTATCAATCACTCGTTCACTACCTTGACCGACGAACAGCGCAGCTGACTGATGTTTTTCAAGTGTGCGTGCAAGTGGATCTTCGAAGAAAGACACAAGGTTAGAGAGGACGAGGAGATTGACGAAGGACAACAAGGTGCGAGAGTGGGAGATCCACATACCAAGCTTGTCTAATCCATCTTCTTTTCCCAACATCCTCTTTCGTCTTTGCTTCTTGGACAATCTTCGAGGATGCCCATCATCATCGTCGTCATCAGAATAGAAGTCCGCCCCTCGACGCTTGGTACGATACTCTCCCTCTATGATCTTCTTCGCTTGGCCTTCACGTTTCTCATCGTCTTGTTGCTCGATCTCTCTGATATGAGTCAGCGATAGCCCTCGCGACTAGTCTTGTCCTCGACATCTATCTGTGGCAGCTTCAACCGTTTCTCACGTCTATCACAGAGAACCAGGATTCCCAGCCTGATTGAAAGGATTGTGGAGGATCCCAGGGAGATCACTCACCTCGCCTTGGCAGCGGCAAGTTCTGCATAACGTCTTTTCTCCTCTTCATCTAGCTCCGCGTCATTAAGTAGATCCGGTACGTATCCCTCATCCCCATCCTCATCCTCATCCTCTCCTCCGAGCGGCGCCCAACCATTGTCTTCATCACTTTCCTCCGCTTGTTCGTCGAACAGATTCATATCGGTCAATCTACGTCTCTCCTCGGGCCCGGTCTTAGTCTTCGGACGGGACATGAGCATCTCGAAAGCATTCTTCGGTCCCTCTCGTTCTGTCTGGGAAGGAGAGGGTAGCGATTCAAAAGAAGTTCGTCGTCTCAGTCTTCGCACCTTCTTTTCCTGCGTTTCTTGAGTCGGACTGGGATCAGATGCGTGAGATGTGTTCTTCATGGTGGATGACGGAACAGGCAAAGTCTCGTCTTCTTCGGCAACAGCGGAAAGGGAGAATGAATGTCCAGATTGAGCTGCAAGAGGATGAGGATCGTCTTCATCGTCGGAGGAGGAAGTAGGTGTACCAGCTCGAGTTTGAGGTCTGGTCTGTGTGAAGAGTCTGATTGTCAGTTACATGAAACTCGGGAGGATGATACGACTAACCCTCTCTCATTGAGGTATATTTGCTTTGGCTTTTCTTGGAAAATCATTTCGTCCGCTTCCGTCTCAAATTCAGCTGCAATGAGAGCATCATCTCTCCTTGCTTGCGTCTCGGTTATGTGAGCCGTGGGTAGTAAAGCGGGTAATAACAAGGCCGGTTGGTCGCGCAACCCAGCGAAGGCATCCTGGCCTTTAGCAATGCCTTGGGAGGAACATGACGACTTACAGTCAGGGTGGATGTATCAGCAGATTGTGTAGCTTCGAAGAGTTGGGAGAAGCCTGGACTTCCCGTCCCAAACCCGGCGACATCTGGGCTAAAAGTAACGTTGCTGTCCTTTCTGTGGCTAGGCACATCCATCTCGGCCAGAGGCGCACGGATCGTAGAGTCATTAACCGCACGAGGTGTGGTTTCTTCGTCGTCAATCGGAAAAGCCGGTCGTCTGATGATTGAAGATCGTTTGGGAGAGAACATATTTTGCTCTTCGCTGATAGTGGACTCTGGGAGGTTTTCCTTATCGGGTCCGGAGGCCTCTGCCGTACTGTCCTTTTCTGATGATGTACCATCTTCCATCTCTTCGTCATCGTCGCCGCCTTCCTCCTCTCCACTGTACTCTACGGCCTCATTCTCCTCATCCAGCGCCTCGTCTTCTTCCCCAGAAAGGATATAATTCTCATCTTCCTCATCATCGTCCTCTTCATCATCGTCTTCAACGTCCATCATATCCTCCTCAACGGGGCCAGCTTCTAAAAGCTGACTCATGTCTCTCAATTCTTTATTCGGCAACATCTTCCCTCTGCCCCATTCTTCCTCCTTCTTTGTCCTGATCCCCTTGACCTGTTCCTGATGGCTACGCTTCATCATCAACTCCACCTCTGCGAAACTGATCTTCTCGTCTCTGCCTTGCTTCACCCCCGCCGGCTTAGCACCTCCATTAGACCGTTTCAGACCCGCATGATTCCATGCTTGACCCGCGAATTGAGCGAAGGTCTCGGTGACGTCTTTCTTCGCTTTGGCCGATTTACCAGCATAGCGTAGCTGCATCTGTCGATTTCTGTCTAGGACAGGAAGAGCCGAATCCCGGTGCAAAACGGCCTTGGCGTCTGGGCCGTTCGGAGCAGTCGAAGTATTTCGCCGAGGAGAGTCCGGAAGGATGGTGAAATCATCTTCGTCAGGCTGGGCAAGTTGAAGTCTGGATGTTTGCAGACGAAGTGCGGCGGCCTTTCTTTCCGCCAATCGGAGTTGATTTGCACGACGGATTTCCTCATTCTGTCGTATACGCTGCTGTTCTTCGAGCATCTCTAACATTCCCGGCAAAGGGGTGTCGTCGTCCAGGTCTTCTGAGGTTGGGACAATGATTGGCCTTGTTGCACGACCCAGAACGATCTGAGGAGTTGGTGAGGATGATTCCTGATCATTATGTTCTACGCCGAGGCCGAAAGATCTGGACAGTCGTTTGTCAACATTGGCCGAACTTGGAGTGAAGGCAGAGATGTCGTCTGGAGGAGTAATCTGTGCGGGACTTGAAGGAGATGAGTTTTTGTTGACCATCAGACCGGGAGTGGAGGTACGTCTAGAAGTTCAGCCGCGAATGAGATCTGATGAAGATACTAACGAGGAGTCGGGCTGCTTGATGACGCCGGCAACTACGTGCAGCCAGGAGCTGATAGGTAATCGCTTGGGTTCAGGCTTGAATGGTGCGGCAGATTTTTCTCTCCTCATTCGAGCCAGGTCGCTATGCATCGCTTGCATATCGCTTTTCTTCAGAGGCTGGAGATCAGCTGTGTATCCAGCTACACAATATATCTTTCAGCCCACCTTTATCGTCTTCTTGCCATGTTTCGTCCGACCAGATGGTTCCTCAATGTCGTCGAATAGTCCGACAGGATCTTGGTTGAAAGTTTCATTTTGTGCTTGAGATGACTCCTCCTCCTCGTCCCCACCAGTCAGTTCCTTCATGTAGCTCTCGAACACGTCTTTGATAGGTGGGATCTGCTCCTCCTCATTCTCGTCACTGGTGGTCGTTGATCGCGCGGTTCTAGCTTTACGCCTCGGGGCATATTCAGGAATGGGTGATGGTGATGGTGACTGTGATCTGGAGGGGTCGCCCACTTCATTGTCGTCTGCATCAGATCCATCGTCGAAATCTATCACTGGTCCGGAGCGTCTTTCAGGTTCAGCTTCGAGCCGTTTTACCACAGACGACGCTTCTACGATGTTCTGAGCACTGTTGTCTGCTGGTGACGATGGCCTGATACGAGCAGGTGGGGAGGAGGGAGGGAGAGCTGTAAGGGTGGAAGTGCTGGAATTATGTACGAGCGCTCTGTTGGGCTGTACGACTGGGTGGTGAGGCCGAGGAAGTGTATATTCCGTCTTTTTGATAGGTTGCAAGGGAACGATATCGATATCTCGAGGTGCAGGCAATTCGACACCTCTGGCTTCCCTTTTCAAACGTGCCATCTCACGTTTCATCTCCTCTTCGTCTATCTCTACATCTTCTGAGTCCTGCTCCGCACCCAAGTCAGCGAGCGAAGTACGCCATGCCGAGTTTCCAGCGGAGAAACGGTTCAAAAGGGCTTTACTTGGTGATGCTTCGGGTACGTTTGTCTTGGACACAGGACGGAACAGGTCTGGAAGCGGTTCTTCAGACGTGGGGGGAGAAACAGGCCGAGCTCGACCGTATGTCCTCCTAGCTAACGGTCTAGCAGGAGGAGGAGTGTCCGATGGTGACTGGGGTTTTGCAAAGGCGAACGGCGTTGGTAGACTTGACGGTGGAAGGGGAGACAAAGAGGATGAGGACATTGCGTCGGAGGTAGTCCCAAGAGGTTCCCTTGGTGTAGTTGATGATTGGGAGCTGGGTGATCGGTATTATTATGATGTTGTAGCTTCCAGTCAGTTCCCTGATCCGTTCAAAACAAAAAGCAGCTGAGGAAGGCAACAAGGTATAGCAAGACTACAAGGTGATATAAGTGACGAACGGATGGCAAGGTGGAGGAAGGGAAACGGTGATTTTTGATTTCGACGCGTCTTAAACCACTCAGCCTGACAACTGATAAAAGTCACGTGTCTCATTTGTCAGGCTGACATCTGAGCCCGACTCATTCCAGCGATCCAGCGCCCGTCCAACCAACTCTGCCGTCGTCGCAACATGTCCAACCTACCAACAGCTGGTGAACCATCACGACCCCGACAACAGATCAAACCCATGGAGGATGATCAAAAGCGGGTCAAGATACTAGTACTAGGTTGGCGAAAGTGAGTCCATCGTATGCTCAGAGCGTTTCCTCATTCAACTTCCAAATACAAATTGACCCTACGCCACACTTCGAGAGACGTTGTTGAGAGCTGAGTATGCAGAGCTGGAAAATCATCATGCATCAAGACAGTATTTCAAAAAGTTCCAGTAAGAGACGTGGCTTATTTCTCTGTAACGCAAAAAATTGAGAAGATCAACTATGAGTGTGTACCATCTTTATATTTGACAAATTTCATAATGGACGCTGAACACGTATAGCTCCATCATACCTCTTCAAATATGGGATACTCCGGCAAATTTCGATTTGGATCAGTTGGACGTACCTATAGGATCTTTTGCCACGATCATATTCGTTATGGATATGCAACAGGACGATTCATATCATGATGCTATTTCCAAATTTGTTGGGATCATGTTACGTGCTCATCTCATGGCACCCAAGATAAAATTTGTGGTTTTTATACATAAAGCGGAGGTCTTATCAGAAGAGTATAGGGCTGGTTTGTTCATGTCTCTTCCCCAAAACTCTCTCCTCCGTACCAAATGTCTCCGCCGGGATCTCTCTCACACAGACATACAGTAGGCACTCATATATTGAGTGTAGGGTTTGCCAATATGGATGGTAGTTGTGAAAAGTAGCTGATAGAAAGAAAATTATGGAGAAATCCAACGTACTACAGTGGACAATCTTGATTACTTCGATTACCCCTCTCTTCAACACTTAGCTACTCATCTTGACCTTTCCGACCCACACGTATGTCAAGGTATAGGTGATCAACTCACCACCGCTCAAGTCCGATTTGATATGACTTCGGTACATGATGCATCTTTACGAGACGCTTGGAGTAAAGTGATACAAGGTATAATGGATATTTTACCAGATGTGGAATCTCTCATGATGCATTTCACGGAGGTAAGTCGATCATACCTCTCACTTTTCCTGTTCATCCCCCTTATAACACTTGGAGATTGACAGACACTCCCCGTCTTCAGTTATCCCTCGACCGCAAGAGTTTATCATGTTGGGAAAGTGGGATAAAGGTGCTAACATGATAGTCATCTGGAATGGACAATTCCTTTTTGTTCGACATAAATTCAGGTGTCATAGTAGGCGCCGATAATAGACAACGGAACGATGCGACTCTTGAACAAGTGACAGAGTACTTATCACGTTTTCTTCAGTTCCGAGAGCTATATAAGTGAGTCTTCCACTTTTGTCGACTTTTATTAGGTTTCCCTCCTCGATGTGGTGTTGATATTCAGGAACCTCAAGATGCAGCCAGAAGAACACGAAAGTAATGGTGTAGCAACCGAAGTTGATAATCAGGAAGAGGAAGAAGAGCCTTCGGACGAGCCATCAGGTTGGTGGGACGAAGAAGATCCATCGAAACCTTGGATGTTTCAGTCCACTCGATTGTTACCGAAGACCACGATCACTTTATGGCAATTCACACCGTGAGTTAATGTTCCTGCTACTTGCCCTTTCATCAATGAACCGATCTTCTTCACTCTAACTGATTTTGACGAAGAGCTCAGTGAGACCCACGCTTTTTGTCATGCTTGGTGGAAGACTGACTGCAAGGGCAGCAGCTGACTTGTAGTCACCTAGCATTAGTCGCTTTGCTTCAGACTGACGTTTGGCAAGCCAGGAGAGGAATGATAGAGTACAATCTCACATTTCTCCGACAGGGTATTCGAGGTATACTTATGGAGATGTGAAATCCCATCGTTTCAGTTGAATCCATGGAGTAGAGATCTGAAGAACCAACGAGCTCTGTCATCATCCATATAACCAATGTATGCATCATTATCATGCTTCTATTTCCCTCGCTTTTACATCTCTCAGGGACTCAAGGTCCATATCAGATTGTGAAATTCCAAATAAATCTTTTACTCCCTTCCATAGATGTTCAGAACCTTGATCTACGAGACGACGTTCGATTTCGGTAGGTGTGAGCCATGCTAAGTCTGTGATGTCTGACGTAGATGAGGGAAGAGGTTCTCCTGCGATTATATGAGAACGAAGAAAGAATGTCTGTTCGTCAATATATATTCTCTCTTATTCCCACTCCATCCTGATTCCCCTCACTCCTTGTATTGTCTTTTTTTCCATTCATACTTGTCTGACATCACACGTTCTATGTGATAGCGAATGATCAACATGACGGACATGCGGATGGGAGATCAACGACATAAAAACTCACGGTGTTTCCTCCAGATTTGATCACACCAATAGGTTTTCTAGTGACTAACCAACTATCCATCTTTCTTCCTCCTAAAACGCCATTGGTACCTACCAAACCTCTTTTGATAGCTTCATCTAATCCTTCTCCTTTATGCAACCCAACATTCGGGAATTCCCACCCTTTTGAAGTTTTTACCAGACAATATATCTCTTCTTGAGGTTTTCTTTCTAAACTACGTTCTCCCCTTTTACCATCCTCTTTCTCCCAATCACGTGCTTCGGGTAGAGGAGGTTCAGCAGGTAATTCTCCTACGTCCGGAGAAGCGCCAGCAAGGGAGGGACCATATATTTTTACTTCTCTGGAATGCTCGGAAGCTTGAAATCGTCTTAAAGCGAGGGAAGAGGGTTTGAAGTAGAAATTCAGTGGGGTTGGGTTGGAAAGTGCATGACGAATGGAAAGCGAGTGAGAATAGTACGCTGATTCTATTGGTTCGGGAGGACGAAGGAGAAGGGGCGGGCGGGAGAGAAGAAGAGATACGGAAAGGTTAGGAAGGGGTGTTGAAGGGGTGATGGAGGTGGAGGCGGTTGCTAGTCGACGAGAAGGGGCAATGAGATATTTCAAGTCTATCAAGTCAGTTGGCGTATGATACATGAAGAGAATAGAAGGGACATACGTGAACGAGAAGAGGAAGCTCTGCATGAGAGGGACATGGTGTAAGATATGTTGAAAGTAACGAAATTCCAAGCAAAGTTGGGATTTACAGAGAGAAGAGTGGGACATGAATATATTTTACCATGCATTTATTACATTAATCCCTGCTATCCGACATGGATAGATGGGAAATTCTATGGAATGCTGCATGCAGCATGGCACGTAAGCGTCATCACATTATGATCATATGGTGTTGTCTCTAACTCTTACTTGTCTTTGACTTTAGATTTCAGTCTCCATCTTTCCATTCTTACGGTAATGGTTCCCTCAAACATATCACTTCTCTCAACCTTCCGTTTTCCTCATCTTCGTCTCTCATCGACATACGTTTTTCGCCTCCAAGCTTGGTCACTCCGTCTCCCGATTTACAAGCCCTGCCAGTCGTTTGCCATTCTTCCTCTGGATTCTTTGCTCTTGCATCCATTTAGCCTTCGTTCTCGGCTGTTTATCGGTATAGTTATCACCCAATCCTAAAAATGCTCGCTTCGTTGCGTTCACATCTGTTATGACACCGAGACCTCTACGGAGAAGATCATTAAGGCGTTGAAACTTGCGATTGTGAACGAGAACACATTCAGACAAGTCGGGTCTTCCCTTGGCGGAGAGTATATCGGCGTGTTCCCGTTCCCAACGTGAAGGTTCGTTCAATCCTGATCGACGCATGTCTCACCGCCAGAAGAGACTTACCCCCCCGCGAAAGCTTCATAACGACTTGACAGATACGATCTTTCCTTTAGTTGTCACTCCTCGCGCAATAGCACCGGTAGGGGAAGGGATAAATTGACATTATAGCTGGGTTTCCGTCTCCGACTCCTCCTCCAACAAGCATGTCAACTCTGATTAACGTCTCGGATCCGCGCGCGATGAAGTCAAACTTGAATAATGAAACAAGAGATAGTGGATGAGAAGACAAAAGAAGTCACTTACCACTCCCAGTAAATCACCCCAGTGAGTCTCCAATCCTCACCAAATAAAATATGGTCACCCTTATGTTCACAGTGAAGGACATAGAACGAGCCTCTTTCATATATTTCCGACCCTCTCTCCTACCAACTCCCTGGCTTCGAGATGGACTAGATACTACTGTACAGCCTGGTCTGACGTACACCATGTTTGATCCATCATAGAGTGCAGTACAATTCCGTGTCGATCAGAGCGATGTATCGCCGTTTAACATCTTCAAAAGGTCCCAGAAACCACAGCTGTTGGGAAAGAAGATGATTGCCTGGCCCAACAGTGATGTCGTTTACGCCTTGCTTAACAAAGTGGGAGCTGCCCAACTTGTCAAAGCTCACTTTCTCTGAAGAGATATACCAGTCAGCATCTTGCATGTTCCAATGTCGAATTTCATATGTACGAGTAGTTCGATCGAGATTTTACTTACGTAAGCTTGACTGAACATCGCTCGTCGATTTTGGCTCTTGCGACGGGTAACTACGAGCACTTGGTACTGTACTCTATTGTGTCCAAGTCCATCTCTTCATCCTGCGTCTCTCACTTCATCAACGAGTTATAAGAGAGGGACAATTGCCCCTCTCGTCAATCACGGATCTCCTACAACGTACAAGGCTTGGGAAGCCCGGAGTGAATCTACCTCGACCTCAGCTCAGCTCCCCCCTTCTCACCTTGCGAGCATATGCGACCAAACCTGGGTTTGGCCGTAAACCTCGCGCACTTCCTTTCCCAAGAAGAGCTGTCAAATCCGTCACAATGTCCAAGATAACACTTGTCCCTCCTACTATCTCTCCACATCTGGAATCTGCATCAACCTCCACCGCTCCTGGACCCTCAAAACCTGACGAGAAATCTTCCAATATCAAGCAACCTTCTCCTCAAGAAGCATTTTCCGACTACCTGCGACATGTGACCTCTACTCTTGATCGTCTTACAACCCTTGCGGCAGCTCTTCCACCCAAGTCAGACCTTGCTTTTCATAAGACTATGGATCCGTCGTTTGGTAAGGCTATGGATGCCGGGTCCTTACAGGTCCTCGAGATGGCAGAGAAACTATTGGGAGTCATCAGTGCTACTCAGGGTGGCAAGGGGAAGAGCAAGAGGAATACACTGGAGAATGAAGAGGATGTCACTGACGAGTATCGTCGAGCGGTGGGAGGCGTAGTTGATGGTTTACTGGAGGATGCAGATGAACAGTTGGACGAGTTGAGAGGGGAAAAGAAGGCAGTGGCTATACAGGTGACGGAAGCTCCTCCTCAGGTAGGTCATCTTTCTTAAGATAATATCACTTCATATTCCTTGTCTGACTTTATTTTGTCGATCTAACGACTGCTAGTGGTATGTGTCACATGTCGAAAGGTAGAATCGTGTAAATCGCTTCTCTGTCTTGTCTACAACTGTTTCTTCAGTCGGATTACCTGTTGAAAATTGATCGGAGCTCCCCCGGCTGACTACCAGGGCTCATCTAGCAATAGCCAGAGAAAACGTCCAGGCTACCTCCCGGCTCATATCAGAGATGCACAAATTCCAAAACCTCAACTCCAATTCGACCCTCCAATAGACAACAATAATTCCCCCTCACCCTGGCAACACTCACTATCGACCAAACTTCACTCCATCGTTCCTCTTAGCTATATTCCCCCTTTAAACATTGATTACACTCCGGAGGAAGAGTTAGACCCCACTTTGGCTGAATTGAGAAAAGCCAGAGAAATCAAACTCCGTACTCATCCTTATTATCACGAAACACGAAACCTCGTCTATCCGCAATCTTTGTTCAATCGTTCAGAGCCCATCATACCAAAGCCGATGAACGAGACTCCCTATTCATTTATCGATACACCGGAGCAGCTTGAGGAAATGGTGACTCATCTGAAGAGTGTAACTGAGATAGCTGTGGATCTTGAATATCACTCGACTCATAGTTTTGCCGGATTTACGTGCTTGATTCAAATCAGCACGAGGGAGAGGGATTACATTGTGGATGCTATCAAGTTGCGGTCCGAGCTGAGGAGAGATAAATTGGGCGGTGTGATGGTAGATCCTTCAATTGTCAAGGTGAGTTTCGAGTCTCCTTCGCTGCTCTGTCTTCCTCTCATTACTTTTCTTGTATGGCTATTTTTTACGTGTCCCTTGAAAGGTTGTTTGTGCTGATGGACAGGTGTTTCACGGCTCGCAATCTGATATTCCCTGGCTACAGCAGGATTTTTCTATCTTCGTCGTCGGTCTCTTCGATACATTCCACGCCACATTGGTTCTCAATTTCCCCGCTCATTCACTCGCCAGCTTACTGAAGCTGTACTGCAACTTTGATGCCGACAAACGATATCAACTTGCCGATTGGCGTATTCGACCTTTACCTGAGGAAATGGAGATGTATGCTCGAGCGGATACCCATTTTTTGTTGTACATATACGACAAACTGCGTAATGCCCTGCTGGATAAATCCGTATCGCTTCTCCCGACCCCTGTTGGTGACAAAGAATCAAAAACTTCAGACACAGCGGAGAATGGTACGGTCGAAGAGGGTCATCTCGCTCACTCCGCTATGAAGGAGACGCTGGAAAGAAGCGCACAGACATCATTGATAATGTATCAACCCAATTATTATGATGAAAAGACTGGTAGGGGTTCCGGAGGCTGGAGGGAGGCCTGTTCTAGATGGTTGCCTAGTTCAAAAGATACTGAGGCGGGTGCGGTGTTCAAAGCTCTTCATAGCTGGAGAGATTCACTTGCTAGGAATGAAGATGAGAGTCCTGTGTGAGTACTCTACTGTCTGTCCGCACACGACTATTAATGTATTCGTATTTCGCAGAAGTTGAGCTCTGTGACTGCTTTCAAACCAGACGTAGACTCAGACACGTGGCCTTTGAATCATACTGATACTCAGATGGGTTTTGCCCAATGACAAATTGGTCGCTCTTTCCAAACAACGTCCCTCTACTCTTTTCGTCGTTCAGAAGATCATTGGCAATTACTCCCCTCTCGCCCTACGCCACGCAGCGGATATCTTGTCAGTCATCGCCAGCACCAAAGCATCATTCACACTCGCCCGTAATCCCCCGGCTATTTCCCTGCCACCTCCCAATCCAGAGTCCCTGTCCTCTATCGACTCCTCCGTCCAGACCCTCCCCAAGCCTCCTATCAATGGTGACTCTGACATATCCCCCGAAGCAGTTGCCGATGTCTCCACCGCCTTGCCTGAGAAGCCCGTTGAGACCTCGACCTGGGACGATCTATGGAGTGTCTTTACTCCGAAGAAGCAGGCCCGTAGTGAATTGTTTGGCAATTTCTTCACTTCTTCCCGTCCCGCCCCTACAGTGGCACAAGCACAGTCAAAAGTGCTTTTGACAATGTTTGGCTCGACATTGGGTCAAAAACCAGCTCGAGCTCTTTCTCCCGGATTCGCTGAGGTTCTCGAACAAATACGAGTTGAAATGGTTCCCCCGATTCCATCGACCCCGACGTCTGAAGACACACAACAAGCACCTGCCAGGGCGGAAAAACAAGATCAACTGGTTCCTGAGACTGTCCCATTCGTCCCCTCGACCAAACGGACGACAATTTCCACTTCATTTTCTACTGTCGTCGTTGCCACGAACCCAGGTCCCTCAACCGAAGGAGCAAGTGCGACAAAGGCGAAGGAAGAAGGGCAGAAAACTACGACTGAGACCGTCACCAAAGAAGACTGGGAAGATGCGGTTGTATCCGTTAAGAAATCCCGTAAACGCACGAGGGAGCCATCATCCGGTTCCACAGTTGGGACCCCCATTCTCCAGAAAACCGTTACACCAAGCTCAACTCCCAGCGTAGAGAAAGAGCAAAAGGTTAAAAAGGTCAAGTTTGAAGTGCCGGAATATGACTACGCTTCTCAACCTGATCCACTCTCCAACCCTCAATCGCTTCAAGGACCGAAAGCCGACAAGGATAAGAAAGGTAAAGGAAAGAAGGAGAAGAACAAGGGGACGGGATCGGTCATTGAGATTCCTAGATTTGGGAACCAACCGAAGGATATGTCCCAGCCAAAGGTGGGCAATAAGAGTAAGACGTTTTAAGGGCCAACTTCCGATATCATTTAAGCAGAGGGGTTTTGGTGATTGGGGATAGCCGGGAACGGAGTGAACGAGATTATCGAGGGGGCACTGAAAGAGGGGAGACAGAAGGGGAAAGTGGGAGTCAGCATTTTGTACTTTGGTCATGGTCTTTTTCGTCTCGCATCATTGCATCGTCATCTCTCACGTGTATCATGCGCCAGCATGCCAGTCTTGCCAAATGGCTATTTCTTGTGTGTGACGTTTGACAAGGCCTAATATTGCCCTGCCAGTGATCTGGAAAGAAATCGCCAAAAAGTGCCACTTGGATCCGACTTGCAGTGAAAATAAGGCGCGTCTCCTTCCCATTCGTTGCATATTGACTTCCTCCATTTCAGCATAGCTCTTTCCATAACTTACGTGATCACTCTACTACCTCCCTACTCGACTGTCTGATTGCGGGCGTCAGCTCGCAAAGTATAGGGGGTCAATTTCTACGTAAGTGCCTGACAGAAAGGGGGACTTTACGTAAGAGCCAGACGCAGAGCTCTCATCGCATGCCTATCAAGGCAGTCCGATATTCGTTGTTCCCACTCCTCTCATCTTTCCTGTTCGCGGGATCTTAGTTGGGTGATTGGGTCCTCAACAAACCGACTAGCTCTCTTCCTTCTGACATCCACGTGCAGCGAGTATTGACAACATGTCAAAAGCTCATATGGTGCAAGGGCATAAAGAGATGAGAGAGAAGAAGTACTCGGAAGCTTTATCATCTTTCAATCGAGTACGTGTCTCCCCAGTTCTCACAGACCGTTCTTGACCTCCAGGCGTACAGTTTGGGCGACCGAAGTCTTGCAGTATTCGATTGTAAAGCCGCAGCTATGAGTCGTATACCTGGTTGGGAAGGGAGTGCCTATCAAATCACTTTGGACATGTGTGCCAAGTATGAGCGTGATTTCAGAGTGAGTCCATACATACTCAAGCTTCCTCCTTATCTCTCCCCTTTCCTTATGAGATAGCTAACATGATAGCCTTGGTATCGTAAAGCCGACGTTTTACGAATACTTCACAGTTACCGCGCAGCCATGGAAAGTGCCCGACAGGCTCTCTCTCGAATTAACTCCAGTTCAGAACACAAACGTCATATTGTGGAAACACTAGTGACTCGTATTCAATCTGAAGGGCGTCAAGCTCGTGCCAAACATTTCTCAAAGATGAAAGATGATGTAGCTGCTGAAGCAGCCATGAAAGCTGCTCGTCGAGCTAGAGAGAGAAATAAGACAGATTACACAGGTCTTTTATCACCGGATGTTCTCATTTTGATCGCTCAATTTGGTTTGGAGGCGGATTCTAATTTCGCTTCAAGGATGGAACGTACTTGTCGAAGATGGAGGGATGTGATACGACACACACCTGCGTTATGGAGAAAGTTGGTATTTGGATCAGGGAAAGCTACTTGTAAAGAGGTGCGACCGGCTTCCAAGGCCAATTTATGGCTGCAGAGATCCGGAGGGAGTATCCACACGTTGGTAGTTCGCGATCACTTCGATTGCGACAAGGTCAAATTCGATACGCTTCTCGTGGAATTGAATCTTGAAGCAGTGAGGACCATCGACGCTTCAGGTCTATCGCCGAGATATCTGAAGAAAATCATCCCATCTTGTCCCAACCTTAAAATGTTCCGTACGACGTCCTATTGTACCCAACACCAAATTTCATCATACTCCGATGTCACAACATTATTCTCGTCCATGGTGGATTGGGAGGAAACACTTCCCTGCTCACTTGAGCATGTGTCATTGACTGGTGTCGCGGTGACAATTTCCACACGATCAGTCAACCAGAAAACAAACCAATCTTCGAGCCCCATTTACTGCATGGAAAAGCTCAAGACTGTACGCATGGTGGGTTGTCTGGTGACTGCAGGCCCAAGACTTCGGGACTTCTTCCAACTCGTCCCAAACGCCGAAATCGTAGTTCTAGACGGAACACATTTCCAGTATGAAGCAAAAGGGCCTGAAGATACTGTTCTGCATCTTCCTCACCTTCGATCGTATTCCCAAACGCACCTCAATGATGGGTTGGTGTTCGACACCATCGTAGTCCCAAATCTCAAACGTCTGGAGCTGAATGCTCATGGGCCATTAAATCCGGACGCTAGGATTATCGATCAGCTTCTCGCTCCAGGTCTAGCGGACGCTTTGTCCAATCTCGAAGTGCTCGATATCGGTAAAGCTGCTATCGACCAGGAGCATCTTATCGAAGTCTTACGCCAAATGACATCGTTGAGATTTCTCAATGTTTCATTTTGTGGATTGGACGACGGATTTTTAAGCGCTCTGACCCGAAAGACAGACGAACAGAGTCGTAACATGTTACCCAACCTTGAAGCGCTGTCAATTGCGTGTAGTGACATCACCACGGGTGCTCTGAAGGATTTTGTTGTCAGTCGGACTCGATCATCACATGCTTTTTCTTTCGCCGCCACCTCGTCATCAAACTCTTCAACCACCGTCAAAGGTTCTGCCTTCCGACCTTCAGCTCCTAAGAAACCCTCCGTCATTTCTTCTTCGACGACCCATACAACGACGCCAATCACTCCGCCCAGCTCCCAGCTCCCATCTCACTCATCACAATCATCGACACTCGCGGCTACGCAGAATACGACGCTGGCCCATCTCCGCTGGTTATGCGCGGATCATTGCGAGGACGTAGACTCATCAATGATAATGTATCTTCGGACACGGTTGACATACTTATCACATTGGCTCGGTACTTTTTCGATAGATCGTGTGAGAGGGAAGAACAGATACGCATGGGATGGCGGATGGACCAATGAATGCGGGACGGGTGAGGAGAATCGGTGCGGCCTTCGAAAAAGAATCGGTGAGTCATCAATCGTATACAATTTTGAGCTCATGTTCAGGGACGGAGGATGAGTGGTACGTGTATCATGTGTGTGAGAGACGAGAGGTATCACAGGAAGCTCCAAGTTGGTCTCAATTACCCAAGGATCATAAAATATGAACCCGATTACGCTTCATCATATTCTCATTTGGCCACGTCGGGATCCACGGAGGTTGTCTTACATGGTCCTTTAACTTTTCTCACTAAAGCATAGAAGAACATTATGTGTTTCCTTTGTGGATTAACCCCTTGAGCATCCTTTCTTCTTCACCCGACACTTTGTCAACTCATGCCATGACGGGAATCTTCAGATCGAATTCACATACTCACCAGAAGTTTGTCTCGATATATTACTTACAGCGGGATCTGAAGTAAAGACAGGATGAACGCACCGGGTTGGAGCAATTGGGAAGCAGGAGACGGACCAGCTTTCCCATTTGGAGAAGCCCCTCCTTCACCCGATGTAAGTAATTGTCCTTCGATCCTCTTCACCTCCCGCCTGTTTAACATTCCGTCCCCCTGAAATTGCTACTGTCTGCAATTCAAAGCTTCCCATACTTCTCAAGTGAATTTATCATATCTGTCATTGAATTGATACAGTGAGCTAACGGAAAGGCCAAAGCGGATGAAATTCCAGGTTATGTCAAGAGATTTGGGGCGTACGTGAGTCTACCTCATCCATCACAGTAGAGCTTAACTGATATCTCAGTATACATTGTGAGCTTCTCTGATCCTCAGAGAACTGGTGACTGACTTGACATAGAACCGAGGGAGTGTTGTGAGTTATCATGTAAGAAAACGATGTAGCTGACGAGACAGTTTACCAGCGGGAACCTTACTTCCTTTTGGTGCGAACTTTGCTCTTCAAGCGACATTAGATTTTGGGATGCATTTTCCTGTAAGTCATTGTTCTCCCTTGTCATGTCATATTTCCCTGTGACTTTTCTCCCTCGTCATCATAAACTATCATGAACCGTACTTGTCCGTTATCATCATGTCCATTGTCTCCTCTAGCATCTTCTCGTCCTTGTCATTTCCTGCCAAAATCAATACTCTTCCTAGAGGTCACACCGCAACCATGCAGCTGCTTACCAATCGGGACAGGATCTGCAGTTCGGACTGAGATCTGCATGGGATGGTCCTGCAAATTTCTCCCCGTATCGCACATGTCGACGAGAATGTGATCGTGGTCGATGGTGTATGCGGAAGTTCGAGTATCAAAGCATGGATCGCTGAAATTCAGGCTGGTTCAAAAGTACCCGGAGGATTCCTTTTGCCAGTTTCAGTAGTCAAGAAACCACCTCCTGCACCCGCACCGACTTTTCAAGAGAATCCAGCTTGTGTCATACAATGAGATTCAGGTCGAAGAGCATGGTAGATAAAGCAAGATGCATCGTGTACAAATATATCAGACGTCATATATTAAACCCAAAAGTGACCATTCTCCTCACTGCCCTTCCCGCCAAGCGTTCTCAGTAGTCTTATCATTCATTGAGTACTGTACAAATCACGGCCTTACAAACCCCGATGTCTGACGTGATTGATCCTCTTTAGACATCTGGAATTTCATGAAGGAAGTAGGTTGATCGAAAGGGGAAAAATTCATATCATCATAGCGGCAGCAACACCGGCGATAATTAAACCGATTCCTAAATTTGTCCCGGACCTCGTCGCTGAGTTGAGGTACGCATCGGATCTCTTCATCAGTCCACATTCCGAATATTGGTAGAGGACTTGGAACAAGTGATGAAATGAACCGGGTGAAGAGGGAGAAAGAGTGGTTGAAAAGGATACACAAACTCACTGGAAATAAGTCCCATTGACTGAATCGAGATACATCTCAGGTAAAGTGAAATTGACCGTGACACCACCCCGACGACAAAAGTTGACACCGTATTCCATTGCGTAGGCTACGTCGGCGGGTGAAGCGCATTGAAGGGCTATACATTGACTTATGTATTCCGACCAGAGCTGTTGAGTTAGTGATCTTCCAAATGATTGATCAGAATCGTGAACGGAAAGAAATGAGAGAGAGAGGGGTGGGGGGTGGAGGAAAGAATGTGTGAAACGGCCTTGACTTACAGGATATTCGCAATTTAACGAAACGAATTCGAAAGAATTGGATTGTCCACTAGGCAGAGGGATTGACCTAGTCGTTTGTACATGACAATTCCAGAAACATGCTATTGGATCAGTAATGTTCATTCCTCTATCAGATAATTATTCTCTTGGTCGGTTTAATAACCTCCTGCCGAATATCGGTGCAGGTGAAAAGAGTAATTCACATACAAGACGAGCGTTGAAGGGGTTATCCCAACAAGTAGCTCAGTAATACAGAGATGAACCAACACAGACTCGGGTGAGAGAAAGAGGAAATCGGACATACAAGAAACATCACTGTTCACGTTGAGATGATACTGTCCAGCTGCTGTCGCATTGACCAAAGGGAGCGACAACGACAACACGGCCAACATCGAAGTGAACAGTCGAGGTAGCATTTTGTATCGAGATGGTTTGACTAGATGACACCCGGATTAGTGAATTGAAGGAAGAATATATGAAGAGATAGATGGAAAGAGATGCATGATGTGAGATGGATTATATCCCACCCATGCCACCCAGTACCTTCGAGGAACAATTGATTACTCAACTTTGGACACAAAAAGAACGAGAACAAAAAGACAATTTCAAGCGAAGCAAAAGTGAAATTACCACTTTGGGATATTGTTCACCCCTGAAACCTTAAAGGGGGGGATTGTTTAGACTAGACTCGATGATCACGTGACTATCTCCGTTGCGCGGGATTCCAGTCTCGATATCTTCCTCGATCTGAATGCAGACCGTCTCATGATTGTCGGGTGGAAAGTAGAAAGCTTTGAGTAGTAAGATGGCTTCCTTGGAAGTATTACAACGATGGGACAAGGAAGATGCTCTCAATTGGACCAGAGGAGAGTTTGAGATACCCAACGCTCGAGCATGCGGGGGAGAGATCGGTCAGTGGTCATACCTCTCGAATATTGAAGGTGGTGGGTAGGGTCGATGAGGGCTGATGAATAGACGGAGAGGCTATTTACTTCTGTGGGAATAGCTTGGGTTTGCTGGCGAAGAAAGCTAGGAAACATATGTTGGAAGAGTTAGATGTTTGGTCCTCCAGGTGAGTCTTGGCTTACTTGACTACATTCCATCTTGCTCAATCGGGGGCGGAGGGATCCTGGTGAATCGGAGATACATCTGTAGGTGATCACAAAATCAAGTCGGAATATACACAGAGGATAGAGTGGAAATACTAGTAGAGTATCGTATGAGATGTGAGGGGCGTATACGGAAAATGTATCTTAAAAGTTGAAGAGAGCAGAGGAGTGGATGAATCGAATAGATGTATAATGCTGACACCGTAAGCTCCGTAACGGGTCACTTCGACCATCCGCATAATCGACCATGGAAACATGTGGACGCACCTCTTACTCCCCTTCTAGCTAAGCTATTGGGTGCACAAGAAGAAGAAGTCGCACATACTTCAACATTGACGAGCAACATGCATAATCTTTTTATCAGTTTTTATAAACCGACGAAGAAAAGATGGAAGATTGTGATTGAACAAGGTAGTTTTCCGAGTGATTGGGTGAGTTCTTTTCTTTACATACTTTTCTCCGACACTTCTTTGTGAATTTGCTAATGACAAGTACGCAGTACATTCTCATCCCAGACTGCACGACGCAATTCTTTCTGAAGAGCAAATTCAATCATCTATCATTCCCCTCTCTCCTCGACCTGGTGAAGTGACTCTTCGTACTTCTGATATCCTCTCCACTATTGAGCAACACAAAGACGAAGTAAGTCTTCACCCAAGCTACACATTCAAAGGGCTCATATATAGATCGCTGTGGTTTGGTTACCATTGGTACAATACTACACTGGGCAGTTATTCGACATTCCCCCAATCTCTCAAAAGACCCATGAAATCGGAGCGATATTCGGTCTGGACTTGGCCCATGGGACGGGAAATGTAGAGATTAGATTGAATGATTGGGGAGTGGATATGGCTGTTTGGTGTACTTACAAGTATGTTCATGTGTCTCTTTCCATTCTCCATACTGTCATCATCTTTCGTTTAGACTATGTGTCACAATCATTTTAGAGACTGACATGTTAACTCATCAATTTTCGCATGATGATCCAATGTGGACTGGGCCCAGGGCTGATTTTCAAGATACCTTAACGCTGGTCCGGCAGCAATAGGTGGTATGTACATCCGAACCGGTCTGTCAGACGGTGGACGGCGGTAAGTTTTTCATGTCTCTCATTCTTCTCATCTTTCGCGTCTCTGTTTCCCTCCTTCCTCCTCCCCCGGTTCCAGATCCTCTGGCTTACAAGTCCTAACAGTGAGCTGAACTTATGATGGAGGAGCGAAACTCATGCCAGACTCGCCGGTTGGTGGGGAAACGACCCCCTTACTCGATTCGAAATGCAACCTACTTTCTCTCCTACACCAGGCGCGAAAGGTTATCAACATTCCTGTACACCGGTATTCTCTTCCATCCCTCTATTGGCGACTTTAGAACTCATCGATCAAGTAGGATTCTCCAGCATGCGTATCAAGGGGATCAAACTTACGAATACTCTGGAAGAACTTTTGAGTAAAAGTCGTTTCTATATCCCTCGAACACCATTTGAGTCATCCTCTCTTTCGAATTCCGCATCCAATATCCTTCCGACAGAAGGCACACATCCACCGGGCGGAAGTTTGAAGCACGTTTCTCAAGAAGAAAAGAAAGTGGAAGCTTCAGAGGAAAAGGAAGAAAGAGATACGATAGTGAAATTCAAAATACTCACTCCTCCAGCACCATGGAGAGGAACTCAACTTTCCCTTCATATAACCCCATCTGGTAGTATGCCCCGTATTTTCACTTCCATGTTGAAAAGAGGTTTGGTAGGCGATGAACGGAAACCGGATGTTATACGTTTGTCGCCTGTGGTATTGTATAACACTTTCTCCGAGGTTGGTCGAGCTGTGAAGATAGTGGAGCAAGCTTTGGAAGAGGAAGAGAAGTGGCAGAGATCAATTAAGCTGAATGATGGGGGAAAGGTTGTTGCAGTTGAAGATAGGGACATGTTAGGACCTGAACCTTAGAAATTATTCAGTCTCAAACTTGGCACCAGCTTTGCTTATAAGGTGTGGAATATTGAGGATGGACAATGATATATCATTCGAATGGGGTGACAGGGACAACACAATGGGGATCTTTAACAAGATGAAGATAAATATGAATGGCAGGTTGACAAAGGGAGAAAGGAGAAAGATCAGAAATCATCATCACAGGAGAGAGAAAAACGTTAGTAGTTATACATATCAAGCACATATCAAGACCATGCATCCTTTCAGCTCGGTCAAAAGTCGGCTACAAAACTTAATTTCTTCACTAAACATGTCCGAATTCTTCAATGAACAAGTTACGGGTAATTTGTTCTTGTTCGAAATCTACTTATTACATTGACTCTCATTCAAAACCGATCTATCGTGTATTTTGACCAGGAGACATAAGAAAAGGAGACAAACAAACAGTCAAGTATGAGTGAGAGTTTAGAAACGGGAAGAAAAGAAGAAAAGAAGAGGTCAAGGAAGATGATGACTTCCTGAAGTGGCCAAAACTTGGGCTATATCCAACGGGAAACCGCGAGTTTCAGCTCTATCAAGAGCTGTAATAGTCGCTCCTGCTCTTTCCAAATTACTCATGGTTGATGCTGCCGCAGAGGCGTCACCGACATAAGGAACGATGGAAGCTTCCCCTTGACCTCGGGCTAGATTAGAACCGGAATGAGCTCTAGCGATGGCGGCTAGTAAATCTCCTCGACGCACTGAATGGTCAGCAGCCTTCCTCAATCTTACTCTGTATGTGAAACGAAAAGATGAAAGATGAGAGATACGTTTGAATGAGAGAAAACTCACAAGGCTTGGTGAGATAATCAGTCATACCAGCATCCAAACAACGTTCTTTGTCCCCTATCATGGCATGTGCCGTCAAAGCGATAATTGGAGTTCGGAAAACTCCTTCGGCTTCTTCATATTCTCTTATCCGACCGGTAGCTTCCATACCTCCCATAACAGGCATAGACACGTCCATTAAAATGACATCGTATGGTTTTCTCGCCAATTGTTTTCGTCTATTTCGTCAGATAATTGATCAACTTGTTACATTCATACCCGAGAGAACGAGTCCGAAAAAAAGTTGAGGACTGCGTAGAAGAAATGACTCACTTGTATTTCTCAATAGCCACTTCACCATTGTCCGCCACGTCAATCTGATGACCTGCCGTCTCTAACAACTTCACCGCCAATTTCTGATTCACCAAATTGTCCTCTGCTAACAAAATGTCCAAGACGGTATCTTTCACACTATCGCCCGATGGAGTTTGATGAGACTCTAGAGCAGGAATGAGAGCGTTTGATAGTTCATGTAATGACAACGGTGTGGTGAAATAAGAATTTATCCCAAAGTCTAGACATAATTTAACAGGGATAGGTAAAGAGGTTTGTTCTGCCTCGAGAGGTAATCCGAGAAGACGACGTCGATCATCGTCTACTTTTATGAAAGGTCGGAACCCAGAATCACGAGGTAAGTTACTAGGAACCATCAAGACTGTCGGGATGTATCGAAGTAAATCGAAAGCTCGGACTTTCTCAGCCTGAATAATCAGCATCAACATTCTTCTCGCTTACACTTTTATGTGGAATTGGTGAGCTCGGATAGGAAGCAGGACACGGGAACTAAGGGTTGGCTGAAGAAATCACTTACAATAGGGAACGAATCCACAATCATCGTATCGAATTGTGGACAATCGGGACGTTTCACCAATTCCTCTGTCTCTTCCAAAGTATGGGTCACCACCGGCTGCATCCCCATTTGAGCGATCATATCCCTTACAGAGGAGGCAGTCTTGAGTGTATCGACCATCAAGATATATCTTCCGGCCCAAGGACTCATCCTCTCTGTGATGATCTCCGGAGCGACATTTACCATCTGAGCCAAAGTCGTAAAGTAGAATCGACTTCCTTCTCCATACACCGACTCGACCCATAGATTACCCGACATGAGGTTGACGAGACGTTTCGAGATGGTCAAACCTAGACCCGTACCACCATATTTTCGAGTTGTGGAACCATCCGCCTGGGCAAAGGTATCGAAGATAACATCGAGTTTATCTTGCTTGATACCGATACCGGTGTCGGCGATGCAGAACTCCAGTTCGATATCTTCATCGCGTGCCTCTTTCAATCGACAAGTGAGAGCTACAGCTCCTTCGGTGGTAAATTTGACGGCATTACCGATCAGGTTGGTGATGACTTGGCGTAGACGAAGGGGGTCTCCAATCAGCTGATCCGGAATGCCGGGTTCGATATCGAAGATGAGGTCTAACTTGTTTTGTGAAGCTTTGACACACAACGTTTTGAGCACACTGAATACTGCAAGTCGGAGCGAAAAGGCGATGGTCTCCATGGTCATACGACCAGCCTCGACTGACAAGATTAGCAAATGACGCCTCTAGCTACAATAATCGACTCACTCTTCGAGATATCCAGAATATCATCAATGATAGTGAGCAAGGAGCTCGCCAGACTGGATACGATCATCAAATTCTCTCTTTGTTGACGGGTCAACTCGGTTTCCAAAGTCAACACCGTCATGCCGATGATACCGTTCATTGGAGTCCTACTACATCAGCTCGGTAAAACGAATGATTGTCTGTGACTGACCTGATCTCATGAGACATGTTCGCCAAAAACTCCGATTTACTCTTGTTGGCACCCTCAGCCTCTTGTCTGGCCTTCGTGTTCTTCTCAATACTCTCACGCAGGTTGAACACCATTTGATTGATCTTCGTCTTCAACGAGTCCATCTCACCGGATGCCTCGACAGTGATGAATCGAGTGAAGTCTCCATCGGTAGCGGCGGCCGAAATCTGTGCGAAGGCGCGCACTTGAGATGTCAGGTTAGAGGCCATCGTGTTGACATTGGATCTTCGACATCAGCTCCCATCCTCCATGAACATGGGGTATACTGACGTAATTTCTTGCCACGTTCCCTCGATGTTGGCGACCTCGGCCTGCACTCCCAATTTACCTTCTGTCCCCACCTCCCGAGCTACACGAGTCACCTCAGCAGCGAAGATAGCAAGCTGGTCAATCATATTGTTGATAGTGTTCACCAGGTCCAGAATTTCTCCTCCCGCTTTGACGCCTACCACCTTCTGCGTGAGGTCACCACGGGCGACAGCGGTCTATGAAGTCAGATAGGTTCCAGCACGAGAGATGAGAACACTAACAGTGGCATGCGCAATTGTTCGCACCTGCTCCGTCAGGTTGGCAGCCATGACGTTCACACAATCTGTCAGATCCTTCCATGTACCGGCGACGCCAGGCACTCGAGCTTGACCACCCAGACGACCATCTGTGCCTACTTCCCGAGCGACACTATAGATCATCAGTCTGTAGACATGTCAAGTGCGGTTGACATACCGAGTGACCTCCGATGAGAAGCTTCGAAGACTGTCCACCATACCGTTCACAGTAGACTGTGGCATCAGTTATTATCCACTGACTCCGCTTAACTGACCTTGAGTTCCAGAATCTCGCCGAACGCTTCGACGTTGATCTTCTTACTGAGATCACCGGCGGCGACAGCTGTGGTCCTACGAATTCAGCTCCGTTCAAGCACCAAAAAACACACTCACACTTCAGCCAGCGATCGCACTTGGGTCGTTAGGTTCAAGGCCTATAGCGTAAGTATCGAAGCTTTTAGAGATGTTACACCTCACCATCAGGTTCACGTTATCTGTCAAGACTTTCCATGTTCCCTCCACGTTTGGCACTTGAGCTTGGCCTCCTAGTTTACCCTCTGTTCCTACTTCAAGAGATACACGAGTCACTTCAGCGGCAAAAACTGTAAGTTGGGCAACCATATCGTTGACAGTAATTTTGAGGTCCAAGATTTCTCCTTGCACATCGGCGCTGACGGTCTTGCTGAGGTCTCCTCGAGCGACGGATTTGGTCTTCAAGGATCAGTCATGCTCCACTCGCAGATGAATGGCGATGACGTACCACCTGAGCGATCTCTCGTACTTGTTCTGTAAGGTTCCTGGCCATTTTCTAGGCGTCAGCTTTAAACGACTTGCCGAGGAAACGCCCACGTTGACATTTGTAGTGAGATCCTCCCATACACCTTCGACACCGTCTACAATGGCCTGACCACCGAGGATGCCTTCCGTGCCTACTTCCAGAGCGACACGTGTGACTTCATTGGCGAACACGGTCAGTTGCCGAACCATTGAATTCACGGTCTTCGTGTCAGTCGTGGTCCCGGCACGTAGATCACCCACTCACGTTCTTCAAGACAGCCATCTCACCCTCGACCTCTATTTCAATCATCTTACTCAGATCTCCCTGCTTGTAAGCGACCGGACGTCAGTCAATGACCCGAGCTGACCTTGGCGACAGCTGTTGTGACGCTACCGATGGACCGCACTTGCATCGTAAGGGACTGACACATTCTGTTCACCTACTGCGTCAACATGAATTTCCGTCGACCAGGAATGCAGACTGACATTGACTGTAAGATCTTTCCAGACACCTTCCACGTCTGGGACATGTGCTTGACCACCGAGTTTTCCTTGAGAACCTACTTCGAGAGACACACGACTGACTTCATCTGCCAATGTCCGCAATGACATCACCTGTGTTCTGTCAGCTCGACTGAGAAACAAAGTGGTGGCGACTGACCATTCCGTTCACTGTTGTCTTGAGCTCAGCAATTTCTCCATTCGCCTCCACGTCGATCGTCTCACTCAGATCACCCTTGGCGACAGCCTGGAAAGTCAGTCGGGAAAGCACACTTCGATTAGAAGGCGACTAACCGTGGTGACCTTGGCAATACTTCGCACCTGGTTAGTAAGATTGGCGGCGAGTTTGTTAACCACAGCAGTCAACTCCTTCCACGTTCCTTCGACGCCATCTACTACGGCCTGACCACCCAGTATACCTTCCGTTCCTACTTCTAGCGACACGCGCTCCACTTCGACGGCAAAGTTGTTTAGTCTGTCCACCATGGAATTGATGATTTCCTTGAGTTCAGTCATGGTCTGACCTTCGACCGGCACGATGATCTTCTGAGTGAGGTCTCCCGTGGCGACGGCCTGATGATCAGCACGAAACTCCCTCTGTCTCAGATGATGATCACCTTGCAAACTCGTGCGATATCCTGCACTTGAGCTTTAAGCAATACCAATTCCTTCTCTGCTGACATGCCGGTGGTATTGTGACTATCTCTCCATCCGGCATCATGTACGCCACTGTCGAGATCCAGTTCCATGGGGTGGATACCCAAGGGGCTGGGACGATTGACGCCGTTGTGCCCCGTGGCTAGGGGTGTTGAGATGGACCCATCCAGAGGCTGGGAGCAAGTAGGACAGGGAATGCAGGTGGAAGCCGAAACATCTGATACGGGTGGAGTCCATTCCGGAGTGAGGAGGTCGGGTCCAGGAATCGCCGTCTTCTGCGGAGAAGGTTTCTGATCTGCCTTTACCATGGGTGATCGCTCCGCATCCCAAACCCTTTGACCGAGTGCAATGACGGCACGCTCGATGGCGTCTTCTGCAGGCGTCTTCTTGCCTGAGTATGGACTGAGAGAAAGGGCATCATTGCTGATGGGTTCATTGGTAGGAAAAGGGTAAGAGGGTGATGGATGTTGCGAGACTTGAGAAAGTAGGGCGAGTAGATGGGTCTGAAAGGCATCAGCCTGCGGCGGGTCCAGCATTGGCGAGCCCGAGAGGGCTAAGGCCGCCATGTCGCCGCTGGCAATTGCCTGAGGTGTCGAGTCGACGTCAGATGTGGATGGAAGAGGAGTTGAATGAGTGGAATGTGAGACGCGGGGACGTTTGGAGCGAGAGGGGCCGTTGGCTTGTTCGGTCAGCTTGAAGGCGTTTTGAGACAAGAGATGGCGACGCGAGTGTTAAAATTCACTAGGCTGCAGTGAATTTGTAGGTGAGGTGATAAGAAGGATCACAAGAAGTTCTTCAAGAGTTGATTGATATAAGTGCGGTGATGTGGAGGTGTGGATATATGTTGATAGGATTGACCAGATCGGGATGAAGATCAGACGGGGGTCGCAGATGGGATGATCGCCACAGCGCGAAAAGGGTACGGCGAAACGTCGGCGTCGTCGGAGAAGGACGAGTGGCAAGGAATGTGAAAGGAGAGACAAGGTAGAAGGACAGGCTGCACTCACCGTCGTCACGATCACCAGAAGGAGCGTGATAGAAGTCGCGTTTGAGTTTGGATGGAAGAGTAATGTTGGGCGACGTGAGGCGAGGGCAGGAAGAGACTGACCCCTGAGTGGGATGTCCCTTCTCGTGCCGTTTATAGATGTGATGACGGAGAGAGCTCTCTGTGTCTCCACTCTATCGTTCTTACTGCGCTAATGTATGGCCAGATCGTTGATCCGTATGACGTGTGACCGAGTGGCAGTGACGAGAGAAAAGGTGGGGAAGCTTGTTTGGAAAGACGAGACTAGTGAGAGTGGCAGAGAGAGAAAGGAAGCCGGCCGCGGCTCAAGGGGAGAAGGAAAGATGGGCCAGGGGCGAAACGGCAACCGGGTCAAGGGGTCCTGATCAGAGGGGTTCGTGCTCACTGCTCTCCCGGGCGCGGGGCAAGCTCAAAAAGCCAAGGCACAAATGAATCACGAAGCAATCGTGTTGGGAATTTAGGCTCGCCGCTCACTGTACGTGCAAGGTGCCAATGCAAGCAAGCCTGGCAGGTGGTGGCCGTCTCAGTGGTAACCTCTGCTGCTTACTTGATGAGTACTAAGTGTGATCACTCTGCACATTGCGGAGAACACACCGATAGCCCGATCATGGTCTCTGAGTGGTGGAGGCGACCCGCCACGGGCTCGCTAGTCGTTCCAAGCGGAATGATACTCCATAACTTATCATGTTTCCACCGGTCACCGGCGGGCGTGTCACACAGTGATCTTCACTGGCTGTGGACGATCCAGTCACGACCTCGCGCTTCATTGGCCGAATGGCCCAGGCTCTAGTAAGGCCTTGTCAATCAAACGAGTGGCGAGAGGTCACACAGTGTCGATCCGGCGAAGAGTACTTCACGACTACTAACAAGGAAGCGCTTGAGGGAGAGTTGGTCACAACATTCCAGATGCATATGCGAGCGTGGCGTAAGAATTCTGAGCGAAGGTCTGTCAGAGTGGGTCAGATCGGCGGCGATAGCCGCTGGCCTGTATTCGGTCCCCCCTGATAGACCCCGGCGTCATTGCCAGAAAGTTCTACGGCCTCCACCCATGTGGTAGAGGGTGCTCGCACAATCCATTAGCCACCACTAGCCACCCCCTCCCACACGATAAAATCTTCATTCACTTTTCATCCTTTCATCGTCTACATCTCTACAATCAGTGACTTCCTTTCAACGACAAATTCCATTCTAACTCACCACACTTTCAACTCACATCTCATCTCATTCTCAAAATGACCAAAGCAGTTGGTATTGATTTGGTACGTCTTTTTCCTTTGCCCGTTCACTTCTCCCTCATTCCCGCCGTCCTGCCCTAACGTTCGATAGACCTATAATGCTGACTTCCGACAGGGTACCACCTACTCTTGTGTAGCCGTCTGGCAGCAGGATCGTGTTGAAATCATTGGTGAGTGACCGCTTCTCATCCAACATACTCCTTATGGCCCCTCGGCCTTTCTCTTGTTAAAGAGCGTTGGCTGACTTTCCAGCAAATGACCAGGGTAACCGAACAACCCCTTCTTACGTCGCATTCACCGACTCTGAGCGACTCATCGGTGATGCTGCCAAAAACCAGGTTGCGATGAACCCCCACAACACGGTCTTCGACGCCAAACGATTGATCGGACGTAAATTTACGGACGCAGAAGTGCAGGCCGACATGAAGCACTGGCCTTTCCAGGTCATCGACAATGGCAGCAAACCTGTCATTCAAGTCGAGTACCGTGGTGAAAAGAAACAATTTGTGAGTGACCCATCGTATACTCATCTCTGACGGCGCTGACTGTCAGACTCCAGAGGAGATCTCTTCCATGGTTTTGATCAAGATGAGAGAGACCGCCGAGGCCTACCTCGGTGGTACCGTTACCAAAGCCGTCATCACTGTTCCTGCCTACTTCAATGACTCGCAACGTCAAGCAACCAAAGACGCCGGTGCCATCGCTGGGCTCGATGTCCTTCGTATCATCAACGAACCTACCGCCGCCGCTATCGCTTACGGTCTCGACAAGAAGAGCGGGGGTGAGAAAAACATCCTCATCTTCGACCTTGGTGGTGGTACTTTCGATGTGTCCCTCTTGACCATTGAGGAAGGTATTTTCGAAGTCAAGGCTACCGCCGGTGACACCCACTTGGGTGGTGAGGACTTCGACAACCGTCTCGTCAACCACTTTGTTCAAGAGTTCAAGCGAAAGAACAAAAAGGGTAAGTCTGGCTTCGCTCATGTACCAAACTTTGCTGACCTGACAGATCTTAGCTCTAACGCTCGTGCTCTTCGTCGTCTCCGTACCGCTTGTGAGCGAGCCAAGCGAACACTTTCCTCCGCCGCTCAGACATCAATCGAAATTGACTCCCTCTTCGACGGGATTGACTTCTACACTTCCATCACCCGTGCCCGTTTCGAAGAGCTTTGTCAAGATCTTTTCCGGTCCACCATGGAGCCAGTCGAAAAAGTCCTTCGCGACTCGAAAATGGACAAAGCGTCAGTCCACGAGATCGTCCTCGTCGGTGGATCCACTCGTATCCCCAAGATCCAAAAGATGGTCTCTGACATGTTCTCTGGCAAGGAGCCCAATAGGTCAATCAACCCCGACGAAGCTGTTGCTTACGGTGCTGCTGTCCAGGCTGCTATCCTTACTGGTGACACTTCCGAAGCCACCCAGGACATCCTTCTTCTCGACGTCGCTCCTCTCTCTATGGGTATCGAGACCGCTGGCGGTATCATGACCCCTCTCATCAAACGTAACACCACTGTCCCCACTAAAAAGTCCGAAATTTTCTCCACCTACTCGGACAACCAGCCTGGTGTCCTCATCCAAGTCTACGAGGGTGAGCGTGCCAAGACCAAGGATTGCAACCTTCTCGGTAAATTCGAGCTATCCGGTATCCCCCCTGCCCCTCGTGGTGTCCCTCAAATCGAGGTTTCCTTCGACGTCGACGCCAACGGTATCCTCAACGTCGGTGCTTCAGACAAGACGACTGGTAAATCGAGCAGAATTACGATCACCAACGACAAGGGTCGTCTCAGCAAAGAAGAAATTGAACGCATGCTTGCCGAGGCTGAGAAATACAAAGCCGAGGATGAAGCCGTTGCGGAGAAAGTCCAAGCGAAGAACGGTCTCGAGTCATACGCTTTCTCTCTCCGCCAGACCTTACAAGAAAACGGCGACAAGTTTGACGCCACCGACAAGCAGACTTTGGAATCTAAGGTCAACGAAATCATCGCAGCTCTGGACACGATGGACACTGCCAGCAAGGAGGAGATCATGGAACACCAGAAGGAGCTGGAGAACGTCGCCAACCCGATCATGACCAAGTTCTACGGTGCGGGCGGCGGTGCCCCTGGTGGAATGCCCGGCGGTGGTATGCCTGGGGGTGCTCCTGGTGCGGCCGCGGATGATGGGCCTTCTGTCGAGGAAGTGGATTAGGCGGGGAAGAAATGTGTTTCATAGATGGTAATCGGGAGATCATGAACATGTATTATGCATCGCGTCCGGCTCGAACAAGAAAGATTGTGAATGCTGCCGTGCTGCCCATTGCATCCTCCAGCTCGATGGTCGCCGTGACCTGGAGATAACGTATACAGTAGGTAGACGATTGTCCAGCCGCACGTGGAGATTTCCACTCTAACTTGGTGACTGGACGCGGCATCGGCCTCCACTTTTTCCATCTCCATCTCTTCTCATCCCCAACCTTGATCATGGCTAGAGATACTAAAGATTCACGAGGCTCGTTCACCCCCCGAGGTCGGGGAAGAGGAGGTTTTCAAGATCGAGGAGGCAGGGGTAGAGGTGGAAATCGAGGTGGTCCAGCTCGGGGTGGGTCGTCAGCCGGAGGGAAGAAGGTCGATTATACCAATGTCCCTTTTGACTATACCACCGTGAATAGACAGAGTTATTCCAAGCTGGATGGTGAGTTCTTCCAACCTCGATCTAGCTCGTCTGTCTGTACTCCAAGTCATTGCTGGCTGACCTCCTACTGCCTCACTGCTCCGCTGAAGGATTTCCATATCTTGCTCTTCCTCCATCTTCTTGTTTCGTTAAGCCTGTTCCTAAATGCCTGTTGAGCCATACGTTAGGCTTTCCTTCTCCACTTCATGTCTTCCCCCCACTCCTATAGCTGCGACACACTTCCACTCACCTATCTGTCGATGAACCTTGGTTGACCTTCTCTCAGCCTCCCGTGAATTCTCACTTTCAATTGCTTCAGTCACCGGACTCTTCTCGTCATCACCTCTCTTACGTGTTCACGAGAAATGGTTTGTAGATGTATATCGCTGACGAAGTAGGTTTCTCAGTCACCCCGAACAATACAGATTCTCCTCAACCTGGACCATCAAACGGAGGTAATAATCGATCTCGCGCCTTTCCCCCTCGAAGTAGACGACGTAGACTTCAACCGGGCATACCACATCGTACTGGCGTATCGGGTTCTGCGACACCTGCTACAGGCACAGGCTTAGGATTTCATGGATCTCCACGTGTCCCCTCGAGATCAGATGGTCAAACTTATGGAGGTGGTTCAGCACCATTATTCATCAGAGCTGGAGAGTTGTTCAAACAAGGAGAAGCGGATATCATCACTAAAGATAAAAGTACGTTTAATCGACATCATTTATGTCATGACTGATAGATAGATGGTGTACATGTTCAAGCTATGGATATGTCCGACCCTTCCGCTCCTCAGATGAATCATCTTCAAGATGATACAGAAGTGGATATCTACGATCCTGCGATCTTCGCTACCATTCCTTCTCAGGTGTCCATTTCCCCTTTGAGTCCTCCCAAGCCTCTGGTGGAAGAAGAAGTTGAAGACGATGATGAGCCGATTAGAGGTCGATTCGATTTCACACAAGAACAAGAGCCAAGTTCGCCTCACATCGATGAAGCAGACGAATCAGATGTATTGTTCTATGTGGATACGGCGCCCAGTATAGAAGTGGAGGCAGGGCCGTCATACACGACTATATCTGCTCCTCCTCTTGGGACAGCATCGGATTCGGAAAGCGAAGAGAAGATTGTCTATGTTCCCAAGGTATCACGTCATGAAGTATCGGACACAGTACAAATGTCGCACCCAAGACCTTCTGAGGTACCAGTCTCAGGATCGAAACCAGCGACGACACCTGTCACGATGAAGAAAATGGATGTCTCTTCCTCTTCTCAGGCTCCTCATACTTTACTGGAGGTATCAGGACTCGCTATGAAGGGAAAACGCCGAGATAGAGGACGAAGAGCTGGAAGGAAGCTACAACAACGTCGAAGACGGGATGTCGGGTCCGATATCGACTGGGGAAGTGATGACTCCTCTTCACGACTCATTCTGGGTAAGACAGAGGAGGATGAGCAGGAAGACCAGCGTGATATGGAAGTGTTGAGAGATTATCTCGAAGGGACATCGTTGAATGCCAGGGTTGAGGATGAAGATGAGGAAGAAGGAGAGGGAGCAGGAGAGGAAGAGGAAGAGGAAGAAAGCGAGAGTGTACTCCGAGCTGGTACTCCCTCCGACATGAGGAACAGATCTGTGTCCCCAGTTTCGCAGACTTCCGATGATATCATCGGTCGAGAGGGCTTAGTCGTTGAGGCGGATGGAGCTGAAGTCGAAGGGCAGGATTTAGAAGACGAACAATCCGACACAGGATCCGAATCTTCATCCGAACTTGGGATTCTTAAAGCTGCCATGGACGACTTCGATGAGATGCGTATCACCACCCTCGACAGTTCAAGCGACAGCGATGAGGATGACGGAGGTTGGGGGCTCATGAACGAAGATTGGTTCATTCGTAATATGCAATCTGCCCTAGACGATCCTGTCAGTTCCAAAGATCGTAAAGCTCCACAGAAACTGTTCTCATCTATTGAGACCGGAGACTTTGGAGATGATTGGCCCACCGGTGAGGTCCTGTCTCTCTTTGTTATTCCCTACTGACGGTTTAGCCCCAGTGAAGAAAAACAAAAAAGGTAAACATCTCCCGGCTGAACTACAAGCCCAATGGGAGAAAGATCGTCAGAAAAAGGCCTTGAAACGAGAAGAAAGAGCTTTGGCGAGGTTGATGGCTCAATTCGATCCTCACCCTACATCGAGAAAACGCAAAGGAAAGTCCAAAGCTCATCAAGCGTCCATAGCTCATCTCATCCCCGCCTCTGCGGCCGAGGTAGCGGATATGTTCGACATTTCTGATGATGAGGTTGGTACTGGAGGGAATGGTAGAGAGGGCATGATGCCCCCTACAATGGATCTCCTTGATAGCGATATCAGAGCGTTTTTAAGAGATGAAGGAAAGACGACTTATAGTTTACCGCCCATGGATAAAGAGGGGAGGATGAAAGTTCATATGATTGCGGAATGTTTTGGGTTAAAGTCGAAGTCGAGAGGATCTGGAAAGTCTAGGTTTACGTGAGTGTCCCATGTTGACCAACCACTCATATCCCGCTCCCCGCAAGTCCCTCCACGCTCCTGAGCTGTCTCCTACGCCATCGTCTGTTTCATACATGTCCAGCGTACACGGTCGTTCCTACTCCCAGAAACTACTTAATCGCCTCAGCTCTCGATTGGTACAGATCGCTGATCGCATAGTGTCCTCATTAAAACCTCATACTCCGGTAACAACATCGACGAACACCGCTTAGCTCGGGTCCTCCAAGCGTCGTCTCATTCGAATGGATCATTTTACAAAGCTTTTTACTCCAAAGGTAAGACCTCAAGTGGAAAGAAAACCAAAGGTCATAAAGACGTCGGTAGCAGTGTCAGACACAGGGAAGGAGATCTAGTCGGAGAAGGAGCCGAAAAGATTGGTATGGACAATATCGGTCATCGTTTGCTTAGCAAGATGGGGTGAGTTCACCTTTCTTCGCATGATGTGTGATCTTACTGATGATCAGTTGGGCAGAGGGAGATCGGATCGGTCGGACAGCAGATGGACTCGAGGCACCGTAAGTCTTCAAAGATCTCGTCGATGATCAGTGTGCTTGAGCTGATGATGGAAGGATTGTCGCCATTGTCAAAAACACAAAGAGTGGTCTCGGAGCTTATTCGGGAATGAGATGATTTGTTTCGTCTGTGAGTCGCGTTTGGTTCAGTTCCATCATCACACAATGGTATGTCGATTTCAATGTGATACTTGGAGAAAAACACTTACGTTTCTCATAGTGCGACTTTCGAATGACTCGTACTCCGATCTCCTGGATGCTTCTTTCAACCCGGAAATCAATGATACCATTTCAAATCTCATTCTGAAGACTGAATCGTCATTTTGTATCTCGCATCAATTCTGCCATTCATGCATCACGCATCATCCAATCACCGTAATCGTCTCATTGTCTGCTGTTCTCCAAAGAAGGAAAGAGGACGATTTTTAGTCCCGCCTGCAAGAAAACTTAAAGTTCGTCCGAAGTTTAAGGCACGACGGTAATGTTATCTGATATGCGGCCGAAATGATTCTATCCCCCTGTTTTGTAATTTTTCCTGAATCGTCCATTCCGCTTCCAAAAGGGCGACGTGACTTCCTAACTACATTAATCATGACCCACGTTTAGGTGACTCGTACGGGAGAAAGATGATGTGTCCGTTGATGGAAGATCTACTTCTTCCCACTTTTCTCATCGTTCTCACCCTATCCAAAATAATCTATCATTCTCCCTCTACTTCTCACCCTCTCATCGTTTTGTGATTGACCATGTCGGAGTATATCTTCTCTTTTCTTGGCATATACTAATTTACATCCGAGCTACCTACGTTTACCCCTACGTATCACTCGATTGCTGTATCAAGTCCCTTACTTCCCATACATAATCGGGAGTCCGTATTCCGCGGGATACATATACACTGCCGCATTGCCGCAGAGTAGTTCCTGACTTTCCATTCTCTGATGTCCTGATTTAAGGGCTAGACTCTTTGTTCCATTTCTGATCCTCTGATTCTCTGATCTCCTTACGTTTATCCCTTTTCACTGACACTCGTACACTGGTTTGGATCATCGGCCGACGATCTCAAAATGTGACGACGACGCCTTTTGAGGCTGATTCAGGTATCACTAGTGGTTCCTTCCACCATCATGACGAGGGACAAGGTGAGGAAGGGAAAAGAGTGCGACTTTTTCTCATTCCTGACTCATCTTCGGATCTACAGTACCGGATCGTCTGTTGGACCTATACGGAAGGTAAATTGGTGGAGGTTGATGGTTGATGGCAACTCGCTAAAATCAGGGTAATGGACCGACACAGGGTATAGGGAATGAGTTTGGAGCAAAGGGGGGTAAGAGAAGGAGGATTCGTTATCTGATAATAAATCGTTTGCATAGATTTTCCATCTTTTCATCCACATTCCTTCTTCTTTCTCGTCAGATTATCTCTAGGATATTGGAAGAATATCTTTCGACTAATTTACGAAATGTCTTCCAAAGGACACGCTCATTCTTCTACTGTCGAAGTTGCGACCTCAACAAACACCACACCAACCACCAGTGGAAAAGGTCATTCGGGTACTGCTGCTGCTGCAGGGGCAACTACTACTAAAGCCGCCGCCAAGAAAAAAGTTGACAAGAATATAGCTCCGACTAGGGAATGGCAAGTTATCGTCGGAATTCTTTTTCTTCTTCTCCTTCTTAATCTCTTTCGAAGGTATCGTTCTAGACATTCTGCGAAGAAACGTGCTCGAAAGACTACGATCACTTCCGGCGGCTTTCAAGGAGTCGGTACCTCTTTCTCCGAGAAAGATGCTCAAGATGTGAATGGCGGTTCGAGTGGGAAAGACAATAGAGAGAGAGTGATAGTTGAGAAGAAAAAACAAGGAGGTATGGTGATGGTGGGAAGAAGTGTTATAGCCACCATGGCGATATGGGAGAAATGGATGTATGTTCGAACTCTTCCTAAGTGGTTATTTGGGTGGAAATCTTTGAGTGAGATCGTTTGGACAGTCATGTACTTTGCCATCGCTTTAGGACTCGGGATGAAAGATATCACTTTGAAACCTGGTAAGTTATTCAGAGACCGTTGTGGAAGGATTTTCATTGATCATCAGTCAACTGGTCCAACCAAATGGGTATTCTGGTAAGTATTTTTCATCCCACCTTCTGGCACATCACACTATCCCGTGCAAAGATATAGGAGTGTGTTCCATGGTGAAGGGATGAGAACGAAAGGGTAAGACTTGTAAAACGAAACTCACCAAAAGGCCTTTGCTCAAACTCCATTAATCGTCGGTCTCGCTTCGAAGAACAATGTCATTTCCTTCCTCACCGGTATACCCTATCAGCATCTCAACTACTTACATCGTGCCTCCGGTCGACTAGCCTTTGCATGTTCTTGGGCCCATATGGCCGGCAGGATCCAACATGGGTGAGTGAACGGTTTACTCGGCCCTTCACACCCGCTTCGGCTTGCCGGTGGACGCCACATAAGTGTACTCGAGTTGACCCATAGTCTAAGGGGTAAAACAGACATCCATTCCATGACGGTCCGACACGGGATCGTCGCTATCATCTTTCTAACCCTCCTGTCCTCTTCATCGCTACGAGTTATCCGTAGACTGTGGTACGAACTCTTCATCGTTTGTCATATTGTTTTCGCTTTGTGAGTGTTCTCCATATCTTGATAGAGATCTCAACTGATCCCGAAGTTTATTCCTCCTCTTTGCTTGTCTGCATTATCCCGAATACATCCATTGGGTTTGGGTCAGTACATCTCAATATATAAACTCTCCTGCTGACGCCATTAGCCAGCGTTCTTGCTTTGGGGTTTAGATAGGATAGTTTCCGGGCTGAGAATGATGATCAACTCTCTTCCAATCACTATCACTTACTCTCTCACCTCGCTCCCTCGGGTACAAACCAAGAGCAGAGGTACCGCTACCGACTGTATTGTCGAATTGGTCGATAAGGATGTTCTTCGTATCAGTGTTCCCATGAGTCTTCCTTGGTCTCCTGGTCAACATGCGTAAGCGATCATTCCAGCATTCGAAGGGAAACTCATGTTTAGTTTCCTGTCCATGCCATCTATTTCCAAGTGGAGGTTCTGGGAACAACACCCTCATTCCATTTCCAACCTATGTGTCGGTCCCGAACCAAAAGCGGTCTTTATAGTCCGGGCTCATAAAGGATTTACAGGTCGATTGCGGGATGCCATCACCAGTGATTCTTCTGTCGTTCTAGCGTTTGTCGATGGACCATATGGGAAATCACCAGTTCTGGGAGGGTACGACTCGATAATCCTTGTTGCTGGTGAGACGACATATCTTTGAATCCAGTACAATGTTCTTGACTAATGAATAGGTGGGACAGGAATCACTCACTGTCTTTCTCTATTCCTTCACATTGCCATCAATCAACCTGATAGTCACGTCAAACTTATTTGGAACGTACGACACGCTTCATATATCGGTTGGCTAGCTCCTATGCTTAACCAACACGTTGCTTCTTTCTCCTCAAAAGCCAAGATTATCGTACATGTCACTAGAAGTCCTCTCAGTGCTGAATTCGAAGACTTGCACGGATTATCGGATACCATAGCTGATGGTATGACGGAACTATGGTATCATCATGATCATCAACATCATCAGCAGCATGTCACCTTGGACAAAACGACCTACGATCCCATATCCCCGACAAATGGTACATCAGAAAATGATTCGGGTCCAAGTTCAGAAAACGCGACGATTGATGAAAAGGTTATCCCTAGTCCGTCTAGTAGCAGTGTTCTACAGGTACAGACACCAGGAGTGAATTCCTCGGACGAGAAGACCAACACGATCGAAGCCGAAGTCAAAGTTGCCGTAAGACCGGAATCGAGAAAGGCTTTCGGATTAGATGAAGCTACCAAACGACTGATCACTTTCCGACCTGGTCGGGTGAATATGCACACGGTCTTGGCAGACGAGGTAGAACATATTGAAGGGAAGATCAATGTTACTGGTAAGTCTTTTCGTTCAATGTCTCGTTCAAGGTTGACAAGTAGTATGTGGACCAGAAGCATTGAGCAGGGATGTAAGAGAAGCGGTAAAGACAATCACAACTGTCAAAGCGATTTTGGGAGGTCAAGCCGTGGTTGATGTACATGAAGAGACGTTTGGATGGTAAGTGAAAGAAGAGAAAAATGTCAATAGAGAGGTAAAAGGGTTTGTGATATAATTGGGTCATGTTGCTAGTTCAAGTCATGAATGGTGTCTATTAGAAAGCAGTCAGCGAGTGAAAGTGACGGTCAAAATCGAGGCCAAAGGAGCATGGAACCTGGAGGAAGATGACGAGACGGCCTTGACGGCGACGGAGAGAAACGACTGGGAAATTCAGGCACGGAAAAAAGAGGAATGGAACTCCCAGAGCACATAGGAATTTTCCGACGACTAAGCTTGAAACCTATGAGCAGAATGGCAGGACCTGGGACTTTCGGTTTTTGGTCATTCCCTGTTCAGGTATGATCTCTCCTACTACCAAAGTACTTACTTACCTTACTCGAAATTTCTATCCCCAATTTTGCAGAAGTGGTGAGAAGGTTCGCATGCCATCGTGTCCTTGAGCATCAAGCCACAAAGATAAGGTACACCCGAGTCATTAATGACTATGATGGTCGTTCTCAACCTGCAAACACTCTATCACATGTCGTTCACCATAACTCTCCTCACAACGACATGCGACATAGAGTACTCTTTTTTGGGGTACGTCAGGCCCCAAAATAGCAAGCATCATTCATCTCCTTTCAATTCTTTCGCCCTGTCTCTCATACCATCATACGCCCTCCTCAATCCGAGATTTTAAACCCTACGAACGGGTTGCACCCTCGGAACCTCGGAACCTCGGCCTTCGGATCGGATAATTACCCCTTCCCGTCGTCATCACACTTACAAATTCACTATTCTTTCGTACTAACCAAACTTCATAGTTTTCCGTGTCCTCGTCTTATTTTCGGTAAACGGACAAAGTCCTTTACACTTTATTCTGTTCATCTTCCGGTTTGAACATATTTTACTACGGAAGACACTTTCGTATCGAGATCAAGTTTGGTTGGAAGGGAAAGTGATATGGAAGAAAGCTTCCGAGGAGAAAAGACCCTCGATTGATATTTTTCTTTTTCAGTCTCCTTTGAGGCTTTGACCCTGGTCAAGACCCTGTCGAACGGCACGAACGGGATGTCAAGTTGCTACTTCAAGCTTTTACGTCTTTTAGATCTTTAGGTCCTGGATCCTGGGTCGAACGCCGAGCCCGAGACACGCCGCGCTTCTCGGATTCTACTAGAAAGATTATCCTAAGGGATTTTCGTTTCTTCAAATATTCAAGACGTGCCCAATCAAAGTGCTTCATCCAGCAAGGTGAAAACTCAAGCTGTGTTTATTTTCTACTACGCCCTCGCTACATTGAGGAGAGATAAGTGGTTGGGCGTGGTATCATCAAAAAGGCAAGATTATTCTGGTCATACTTCCACGCTTTTCTTTCAAGATAGGAGGGGAGTCAGGTAGACAGAAGTCAACTTTCTTCCTCCCTGGACGGTATCTTTCGGCGGCTGCACAGGTCGCATGTCGCAAACTCGAGAGACAACTTCGAACGATTCATCAAACTCCAATCGGTGTTAGAAACAAGCTAGAGCGTTTCAGTGTTCAGTAGTATACATACTACCGGCTTACCAAGCTACCTTTGAGCTACGGCCGGCTACAACCCCCCGAACTCGAATTGGTCCGTTCGTCCGTCCGCCTTGTCCGTCAACCCGAACACGATCAAGAAGATTACATACCCTCTCGACGACGTCCTCACAATAGTCTGTTCTCCTTTTTCACCCACATTCCTCGTGGGTAATCCCTTCCGTGACCGAGTATGGAACAATCACCCCTTCATGCCCAATACGGTTCGATGGTGTATCCGGTCACACCCCTCTCGGCTTCCGGGACCAACGCCGCGCGGGAAGTGCCACTGCCACCAGGTGAAGGAGGACGGAGCACGGGTTACTCTCAATTCGAGGGTGAACATTTGAATGAGGATGATGCAGATGGGGACAGTGAGGAAGAACATGAACGTCAAGGGAAAGGAGGATCGAGGAGTGGTTCGGTCGAATCGAGAGAGAAACAACAGGTGGATGGGAAAGTACCCGTTAGAAAAAAACCAAGAATAACTTTAGCTAGAGGAGGAGCGTGCGTCGTTTGTAGGTATGTTTTTGATTTTCTTTGGATATTCATGACGATTCGGACTGATATGTTAGGAATCGAAAGCTGTTAGTCTATCATGTAAATTAAGGTGTAAAAGAACTCACGGAACTAGCAAATGTACAGGGGAGAGACCATGTAAAACTTGTCAAAAAGCTAACATCGAATGTCGATATGAAGAAATCCCTCGTAAAAAGCCAAGAGCTGTCATGCTCGAAGAACGCGTCGGTGAGTTGGTTTTGATGACTGAGGAATGATAGATGGAAATTGATATCACCCAGTCGAGCTGGAAGCTCTCCTGGCAATGAGAGGCATAGATCATCATGATTCCGAACACCGCTCCTTGTCACAAACGCTTTCCCCATCAGAGCAATTCTCCCCTCATGACCACATCTCCGCTCACAAACCATCTTTATCAATGCCAATCATAGGTAATCAACCTCTTCATGTGCGAACTCCTCAACCTATGGTCAATTCTTCCACCGAGACCGACGTTATACCAGGCTCTCAATTGGAACAAGCTTTGATACAAGTCGTCCTTCCCCATATGCCTTATCTTTTGATGCCCGTGCACCCCCAACGTTTCCTCACTTTACTCACACTTCCCGCTCATGATTTACAACGTCCCCATCCTGCCTTCTTATACATCCTCTTCACTGAAGCTGTCATCATCTTAGAAAAGAACATTCCTCCTCCTAATCCACCCAGATTACCACATTCCCTCTTTCCTCATAACTTTGACCCTCCACCTCTGCCGTTAACAGATACGACGTGGCTTCTCCCTCATGTTCGTGGAGCTTCACTCGCATTCCTCGAAAGGGCGCGTAGAGAGCTCGATAGAGGTATACGCAATGTCGACAGACCATATGATTTGGCCCGTGCAGCAATTGGAATCGCTCGTCACCTTTACGGTCAAGGGAGGTTTATCGAAGGTTGGAATATCCCCGTTTCTCGCCTTGTCATATCTTGTGGTCTACATAGGATGACAGGTATATTCGTACCTCCAGACGGATCTGCAGGTCCCACAGAACTCATGCCTAAACCTTATGCTCATCCACATGTTTATCTTCATTCACATTCTCATCCTTATGTTCCTCCGCACGGTCCACGTCCATTGCCCGTGCTCAGGATGAGACCCGTGATCATCCCTCCGCCAAGGGACGAGATTGATGTTGCGGAACGTTGCATGACGTTTTGGAGCGCGAAACAACAGGATTGGCAAGCTGGTACAGGATGGGGTTGGTCCATCAGTATGGACGATAATGAATGTACGACGGAATTTCCTTGGGGTAGAGGAATTGCCGAGGTGAGCTGTCATATGACCTGGTCACATCTTTCATCATCATATAACGTGGTTCCTTATATCATTCATGTCACACATCTCTCTCATCAGAATAGCCATTCGTGAGGTATGGCAAGGGCCGTGCGTCGTGGGACGTCATGATGAAAAAGTAGCTTGTGTGATTGTGTACCATACTAAATGACAAAGATCAAACCTTCAAACACGTTAGACGAACCATTTACCATTCACGACCTACATGACCCCGCTTCACCAATCCACGGTCTACCCTTCCCTGATACTCCTTACGTATTAGCTGTCAAATCCATGGGTCTTCTTCATCGTGCTTCTCAGTCAGTCATCTTCTTTGATATAAGAGGTATACTTAGACTGACTCGCCAAGCCTATTCGATCTTCCCATATCTAACCTCCCCATGACGCACCACGAAACCAGAGTCTCCCCCTCTCACATACCTCCCTTAGCGGCAGTAGTAGAAGTCGAAACTTCCCTTCGACTCTTTCGAGCTCGAATCCCACCCGCTTTGGCAGATCCGCCACGACCAACGGCAGGTCAAGAAGCTTACGATGGTCCGAGTGATCCTTGGTGGATTCAAACGCACATGAATTTATACACTGCGGAAATGATGATGTGGAAAGAAATGGCTCATCATCAACGACAAGCTTACGAGACTGCTGTGAGTTGTGCTAGAGCTATAGTCGGTCTGGCACAGAGATTAAGACCGGAATCATGGATTCATCTAGGTGAGGATACTTCTACTTCTTCCTATTCAGCACACATCCTCTATATCCCATCTCCCTCTTTACCACTACCAACCGTACTCTGACTCTAATCTTTCACTCATGACCTCGAAACATGTCGAGCAGAAGAACTCGGTTAATAGTCACACACTCCATTGGTGGTGCGTTCACATCCCATGTTCACAGTTGACACAACAGATATGATAGTAGCTCTTGATATCTCCCTCGCTTGTCGATTCTTATACAAAGAAGCAGATCGATTATCGTCTGCTGGTCAAGTCCAAGCTGCGTCAATGGCTATAGAAGAGGCAGACGTGCTTCGAGGTTGTTTAGCGGGAGAATATGCGAAATGGCTTCCTATGGCTCAACTTCACAGTCTCATCGTCCAGCGGGTTAGGGAAGGATGGCCAGAGAAAGAAGGGGAGTACGAGCGAGTTTGATGTTCGGTTCTACCGCCGTTTCGACAAAGACATCTTTGTCTTTTGGTATTGGAGATGTGTTCGATTTGGAAGATAGACGAAGATAGATACAGTAGCATTGAAGGACTATTCAGAGAAACAATTTGTGCTGCATCTTGGAAACTGATTTTGGGGATTGGGATGAACCATGCATGGTTTTCGATCGGAACGTAAGCGGGCTTCCGCCTCGTCTCTAGACATGTGCAGTCACAATTGAAGCATGATCATCATTGACATTCAACACTGTATCAAGGATCAGTCTACCAAATTAAGTCTGAATGACAGAGACACAACTATTACCCATCAGCAGGTCCAGCTACGAAATCGTCTTCGATGCCCAACGTTTCGACCAGCTCGTCCAACCATGTGACCGCGTACCCGTCCTTCTGCAGCTTATCCGTCTCAACGTCGACTGCACTATAACACGGTCCAGCTCCACACCACCACCTGAAAGAATCGTCCCCTCCGTCGTACAGAACAGTGACCCAGGTGTTCCTGATACCCTCTTCCGTCCAACGTCGACTGCAACTCTGGCACTTAGGAGAGGTTAAGAAGACATCCTTTGGTTTCAAATATCCGGACGTGAGTTGATCACGACTTCCATCCACTCCCACATGATCGGGGCAAAGCAATTTCCATCCCTTTGCAGAGTCATACTTACTCGCTTCGATCTCTTCCAGGGTCTGTGGGATATCCGTTCCCTCTGGAAGATCACTGGTGTCAAGATAAACTGCGACGTTGGACGGATCATATTCTCTTGCGTGTTCGAGACTACCTTCCTCTTCATCTTGCTCATGATTGGATATCGGTGTGAGTGGTAGAGCGTTCTCCTGCGCCCATGTCGAATCAGGCGAGTAAGATGCTTCCTCTTGGGAGATATGACAAAGAGGCAATCTTTGACAATAAGAATAAGCGTGAATGATCGTGTTATCTTCGGCTGAAGAACTAGAATTGCTGCTATAATTCATTTTCGTAGGAGAGTGTTCACTGTCGACCTCAGTTTCCTTGGTCTGCCGTTCAACCGTATTACTGATACTTCCTGGACGTTTACGAGCTGATATGTCGTATTTAAGGCTGTGATTGTGTGTCAGAACTTGTTCTCAGTCTAAAAGTGGTGAAGGGCGGTCGATGAGTGGTTGACGCGAAAGAGAAAGATGGTATGGATCGAGGAGAGACGATTTATAAATATAGAGATGAGAGGAAGAACGTAAGATATGTCTCTGTCAAATCTTCACACTCCGCCATGTCAGGTGTTATGGAGTCCTTTGTTTATTGACAATGTCTTCTTTTCATAGTCTTTACAACAACGCCATGTGTTACATACAGCCTATCATGAGCCTTCGCTCATTACCGATGTCGACAATCGTATCCTTCGCACCGAAGCTCGGGCCGGACTACACGGGCTTTGGCATGTTACCGAGGGCTTCGAGATTGTAATTGACATTCCGCGAATAATTGGCAAAAAGTTGAGCGGCGACATGGGTAGATGTAGAAGACTCGAGAAACTCCTGTGATATCAGCAGATACTACCACACGCATGCTTACATGGCAAGTTCGATAAGGGTGAGGAAGAGGGAGGACCACAAACCAACCTTTATGCAGTGGTTCATCTCAAGAACAGCCTCGTTGCATTTATCCTGCAAGTCAGCTCTGGCCCGAATCCATGAGATCTGCCAATCACTCACTACATTCTTGATGATACGTTCCAATAAAACGGCCTGCTCTGCCTCATGTGGGTTCTCCATATTGGGGTTTGCACTGTCAAAGTGGATCAGCGCAAGACGAGGTCTCGACGCGACGCGACGTGCCACCTAGCGTTTTTGGGTATATCACCGCTATCGCCGAAAGCCGGGTCATCATTCGTGGAGGCGGCGTGGGCCGCTATGTAAATTGAGCTCGATCCTGGAAAAGCGGCTCGTGCTGAAAAGTGAGAAAGTGAAAGTGGGCCGATCCATTCGGCGGCTCTGTTTTCGTCGTCCCACCCCTATACACCATCGTGACATTCCTACATCTTCCTCATCTTTACCTCTTGTCTCTCCCTCTCCTGGAAGCACTTCCTCATCTCCTCTCTTCTCTATACCCTCATTCTCATCACCCTCACCCTCACTCTAGTCTCTAGACCTCAAATCTTCGCACACACTATCCCCACCCCACCCCCCGAGCCGGGGCTCTATCAGGCATCATGGCAGCCGCCGTTGCCATGGATTATCTTCACAAATATCTTCCCGCCGTCGCCGACCAACTCACCATTTCCAATGCCACCACAACACAAAACAATCTCTACGGCGGTTTAGATCTGGACGGTCTTAATTGGCTAGAGAGGACATGGGCTTGGTACTATATCGCCATGGGCAATCCTATCATCGCCACGGGTCTCATGAGTTTTGCGATGCATGAGGTGAGTGGCGTAGATCGAGCAGCTCCTCGCATCGTACTGACGGATAGCTGGTATACTTTGGAAGAGCAATACCATGGTTGATCATCGATGCTATACCTTACTTTCAGAAATGGAAGTTGCAACCAGTGAGTAATTGCCGAACCGATCTCTCAGCTGTAATCGCCTCGAGACTGACCCATCAGAACAAACACGTCACTCGAGCTCAAATACTCCAATGTACAAAAGTCGTCCTCCTCACTCATTTCACATGTGAAGCTCCCCTCATTTGGTTATTCCATCCTATCTGTTGTTATTTTGGCATGTCGACTTTCGAAGTACCTTTCTCTCCACCTTGGCTCATGGCGGCTCAAATCGCATTCTTTTTCGTTTTCGAGGATACCTTTCATTACTGGGCACATCGAGCATTGCACTATGGCCCTCTGTACAAAAATATCCACAAATTGCACCACGAATTCTCTGCTCCAATAGGTCTTGTGAGTTGGATTTGTCCTTTACCGTAGACTTCCAATCCCGCTTCATCCTCCCTCATCATGTGATTTTCCATATCGAGTTCAATTCAAGGATTGAGCTTATGTCAGGCTGCCGAGTATGCCCACCCACTGGAAGTCATGATCCTCGCCCAGGGCACCATCTCAGGACCTTTTGTCTACTGCCTTTTCCGAGGCGATCTCCACATCCTCACCGTCTATATCTGGGTAACCCTTCGGTTATTTCAGGCCGTCGATGCTCACTCCGGCTATGACTTTCCTTGGTCTTTACGACACTTTTTGCCTTTCTGGGCAGGCGCAGATCACCATGACTACCACCACCAGGCCTTCACCGTGAGTTCTGTCATAGTGTAAGTCGCCGTTTGCTGACTGGCAGAATTGTTATTCGACAAGTTTCAGATGGTGGGATTACATGCTGGGTACCGACGCCAAGGTACATCTTTGATCATTCGTTGAGCAGGTGACTAACCATTAGTACCACGCTTATAGATCCCGGATCGCGGCTGCCAAACAACATGAGCGGAAACAGGTACTTCTGGAGGAAAACGAGCGGACTGAAAGAGAAGGGATTTTGGCAGAGCGGGCAGTTTTGGCAGGTAGGAAGGGCAAGTTGCAGGAATGATTTACGAAGTGTTCTTGTCCTCCATTACGTCTCATCATAACAAGAGACAGCGACGATGTAGTACATTACTCGTATAGCAAATGTCACCCTCACGTCCTCATGGCAGATGCATGCATAGACCTGCATTTGTCCAACGTCCAGCGCTGATTACGTAACCACCTTTACAACCGCCGGCCGACGAATCGACGTCATTTGACAGCCCGCTTCCACGCTCTCACCACTCCAGCCTTCTCTTCAAATCACCTCTTATCTCACCAACAACCCTTCTCCCACTCAGCGTACATCATGCTTTACTGCAGATAATCAGTTCAAGGAGATTCGAACAGAAAGTATCACACGATGCAAGCTCTCAAAGATGTCGCTTTGAGGCTACTCAATGTCTATGTCTCGCCCTATGTAGATAATCTAAACGCCCAAGACCTGTCCGTGTCGGTCTTTGGAGGTGAGCTCGGTTCACATATTCACTTTCTCAGCTAACTCTCTCACAGGCAACCTTCAATTTCACGGTCTTCACCTCAAAAAATCACTCCTTGAACGTTTTGGCTTACCGATTGAAATAGTCGCCGGCGACATCGGAAACCTCTCCGTGACCATACCATGGACACAACTGAAGACTCAACCAGTCAAGATCGTCATTGACGACGTCTACGTCCTGGCGAGAGCTCGTCCTCCTGGGAAGGTGGATCCTGAGGAGGATGAACGAATCGAGCAAGCCACCAAACAGGACAAGCTGAAAAGCGCCGAGGCTGTAGATAACGCCGCCAGTCAAGTAGGAGCTCCAGGAAACGATGAGTGTGAGTAGTCCCCTTTAGCTCGGGAGAGGACAAGAAGCTGAATGCTGTGTCAGCCAAGCAAACATACATCGGTGCTATCGTCTCCAAGGTGGTTGACAACGTACAGATACACGTCAAAGGCATTCATGTACGTTATGAGGATGGAACAAGTACACCAGAGGTGAGTCATTCACTTGAGCCGGTTATCAATCTTTGAGTTAATTGTTCTAGCACCCATTCGCAGCCGGTCTATCCTTGGATGAATTCAAAGCCGTATCCACAGACGAAAATTGGGTGGAGGCCTTCATACACGACAGCGTCAAAGGCGTCCACAAATTGGTCAAACTCTCGGCACTCTCAGTCTACTTCGATACCGACACAGGCAGTATCGACAAAGGCTCAGATGACCGTCAAGGTACCATTGATGCTTTAAAAGAGATGCTTGCTTCCCCTCCCACTCATCAATATATTCTTAAACCAGTCACTGGCGAAGCTCGAGCCATCATGAACCACCACATGTCCAGAGATACTCCCAAAGTCGATGCTCAAGTCATATTTGACGAGATCGGAGTCGTATTTGATCGTGATCAGTATCGTGATGCTCTATCTGTACTCGATGTCTTCCACTTTTTCCGCAGAACTCATCGTTATCATAAATTCCGCCCGCCGGAGGAAGACTTCAAAGCCAATCCCGCAAGAGCGAGACTCAAGTTTGCTCTGAATGCCATCGGCGCAGAGGTACACGAAAGGCATCGACGGTGGACCTGGGACTACCTTGCCGAGAGAAGAGATACGAGAAAGAAATATGTTGAGTTGTACGTCAAGAAGTTGGCTTTACCCGAAGGAAAGCTGCTTCCGGCCGAAGTGAGTTATCGCGATCGACTTGAATTCCTAAGCTGACGATCGTAGGAAGGTACAACGCTCGCTGAGATGGAAAGAAAGCTCTCTTATGAGGACATCCGCTTCTTTCGATCGGTTGCTCGAGCAAAGGCCAAAGAAGATGCCGCTACCCGTAGAAAACTCGAAGCGGAGCGAAGAAAGGACACTCCCCAGCGACAGACTTGGGGTCAATGGATTTGGGGAACAGGGGGCCAGTCTAGTGAAAACGGTGGCATGTCAGCAGAGGAGAAGAAAGAAATCGACGATATCATTGACTACGATGCCGCCGTCGCTGCCGCTGCATCACCTGCCTCAACTCCCAAAGATTACATGCGGGCACGAATGTCAGCTCGTCTCAATAAAGGTTCTTTCGTGCTTCGTACCAACCCTCATGGCCAAAACAATGACATCATTTCACTCGTCTTCGATTCCTTCACCGCCGACGGTGTCCAATTGACCGAGTCAGTGAAAGGAAAGATTGCTCTGGGAGGTTTCAGGGTGTACGACGGCACCAATCCCAATTCATTACATCCTCAAATCGTCAGAGTGAAAGACATCGAGGCCAACTCCAGGAGCAGAAGTCGCCAAGCTAGTTTGCCCGAGGAGGGCACCGAGGAGGTCATAGAGGAGATCAGTGATTGTGTGCCCAAGGACGAAGATCCTTTCTTCGTCATGGAAGTAGAGCAGAATCCTCTCGATGGACGAGCCGACAGCGCGCTTACTGTCAAAATGCGTCATCTGGAAATCATTTACCATCCGGGATACGTCGAGGCAGTCTTTCAATTCTTCAAGCCACCGGCTAGTCAACTCGAATCCATCAATGCACTACTCGATGCGGCCGGGCAAACTCTCGATGGCATACGAAAAGAAACGAGGGCAGGTCTGGAATACGCGTTGGAACAACACAAGACGGTCGACATCAAGGTCGACATGAACGCACCGATCATTGTGATCCCTATGGATGTGACTGTCAAAGACTGTCAGACCTTGGTCTTAGATGCTGGTCATATAGCAGTTGAGAGCAAGTTGGCCGATAAGGATCAGCTCCATGATGTGCAGAGCAAGCGAGGAAGAGAATATAATGAGGACGACTACAAACAGCTCGAAGATCTAATGTACGATAGTTTCCTGCTTCGACTTGAATCGACTCAGGTGGGCCGCCAACATATCTGATGCGACGAGACTGCTAACATTTAGGTTCTCATTGGGAACAATATCGAATCTTGCATGCAAACCATCGAGCACCCTTCCAATGGTGTCGACACCGAACTACACATCCTTGAGCGTATCAACATGTCTTTCACAGTGCAAAACGCAATTGTCAATGCCCCCAATCTGACCCGATTCAAAATTACAGGTGATTTGCCTGAGCTGCGCGTCAATTTCTCAGATCGCAAATACAAATCTTTAATGAAGTTCATCGATGTCGCGATTCCCAAATTTGGTGATGATGAGGCTGTCGAGAAGCCTTCACGCTCTACCGGTGCCGATCACCAATCGTTCCGACCACAGAGAATCGAGGAATACAATCTCGACGATACCCATTCTATATCGTCCCACCCGGTCGATCAACACGACGACGATAACAAGAGTAATAATGAGTCCGCCACGGCTGCGGAGCACTTCTATCCGGCTCGTGATGACACGACTGAGGTAAGTCGTCTTGTAGTGCTACGATCGCCTCTGACTTGCAGACACAACGACGCGCACTTAGGCAAGTCACATTTCAGTTTTCGTTCACGGTCGGTCGTCTCCAGACTTCCCTCTTCCGCTCTATCTCGGCTAGTATGGAGCGGCCTCTCGCCGATGCCTCCCTTGTCGACTTTGGACTCACTTTCTCTTTGCGAAAATACGACATGTCAGTCGACTTATACCTGCGTTCCCTGGCTCTGGCCATGATCGAACCTGATCGATCACGTCGAGGTATCTTGTCATCTGCTGGTGATGGCAACGAGTCTGCCTCTGACGTCAAGCTGGTACAAGTCAAATACTTCCGAGTGCAAAAAGATTCTCCGGAGTTCATGACAAAATACGAGGGTGTGGACCAGAGTATCGACACTGAGCTATCGACGTTCAAGATCACTTGTGCACCAGAACCTATCATATCCCTGTATGATTTCATCATGACAACGTTCGTCCCCAAGAACGATGCCTCAATTGAACAAGACGAGACTGACGGAGAACCGATGGAGACCATCAGTTCGAAGGAGGCACCGAAGTCCAGCGACAAAATTCGCGTCAGAGTCAAATTGACCAGCGCCCAGGTCTCGCTGGAGAACAATGGCGATAAGTTTGCACTTCTCGCTCTGCCCTCTGCCGATGTGGCCATAATTCTCAGAGCCGGGACGTTACGTGTCGCTGCCCGACTAGGAAGTCTCTCCCTCGCCGACCTCTCAGAGGGTCCGACCGCTCTTCCTGAATTCAAAAAACTCCTGTCCATCGAAGGTGATGAACTCGCGGACTTCAGTTACGAAACTTTCGATCCGTCGGACAAGGAGACATTCCCGGGGTACAACTCGTCTGTCAATCTTCGTGCCGGCTCTCTCAAGTTCACCTTCATGGAGAAGCCTATGCAGGACCTGTACGTCTGGGCATTGAAGTTTGCAAGGATGAAAGCGGTCTATGATGCGGCTTCGCAAGCTGCGGTACAACGAGCGTCCGAAGTCACTCGAATGCACTACGATGTAGTTATCAAAACGCCCATCATCGTCCTACCTCGCCACGGACTTGACTCACCCGATATCCTCATCCTACGACTGGGTGAGATCACAGCCAAGAACAAATATCTCGGTGATCCGAATGACACAAGTACACTCAATGCTAGCTTGAGCGGAATCAGTGTTACTTCCCAGCTGTATGTCGAAGAACAACCTGCCGACTTGCAAATGGTGGATGATGTGACGATTTCTGCTTCTGTCAAGCAAGCAGGTGGAACAAGTCATAGGTCGGATCCTCATCAGGCAGATACAGAGGTCAGTGATGATTTAAATTGGCAACAAGAACTGATATCTAGGTCACTTTGCACATGTCCGATGTCAATTTGTCCTTGACCCAACGCCAGTACATCGTGCTCATGGCCGTACTGGAGTCAATCCCTCGAGCATTGAGTGATATCGGAGGAGCCGCAGACATCCCCGAATCTATGCCCTCCTCCGCACCAGCTTCAGCCCCACCGACTCCGGCGAGTGAACATGAAGCCGAACCACTAGTGAACCTTGAGCCTGAGCTCACCCCAATCAAGAAGATAGCTGGATCTTCCCCGGAACTTTGGACCTCGGTCGACCTCGAGTTCTCCGTTTCGACGATCGCTTTCGAGGTGTACACCTCGGACGCCACGGCGGAGCATAATCTGAAACGATGCAGCATTGCTCGTTTTGCGCTGGTCCAGACGCACGTCGGCATGAAGCAGTTGTCGGACGGTGCAATGGAGGCGGAAGTGTCTTTGAAGACTTTGGCGTTTTCGAACACTCGTGCGGGTAACAGTGTCTTCAGGGATATCATACCCTCGGCGAGTCACGAAGGTAATCAAATGTGGGTGTCATCTTGTAGTCGTCGATGTGCGAAGCTTACCTTTCTAGGATGCTGCAGTATACCAGATCGGGAGGGAAAGATCCCTCAGCTTTAGCGGTCGTGCAGATTGACAGCCCAAGGTTCATTCTCGCTGTGGATCCTTTGGCTGCTCTCCTCGAATTTGCGGTCAGTCCATTCAAAACTCAAACGGACTCTCGCCCAGAGCCCGAGTTGGAGGATGAGGAGGAAGACATCAAGGAGAGTCCCAACCCTAACTCGCTCGCTTTCCGTGTTGAAATCGTCGACTCCACCGTCATTGTCCTTGCCAGTGATTCCGATCCAAGAACTCAAGCCATCCAGCTAGGTATCAAGGAAGTGATCGTATCCCAACAAGGGATTATGGCTCTCAAAGTCGAACAGCTGGGCATGTCATTTGGTCGTATGGACAAACCAAAAGATCGTGTCCGGTTCCTGGACGATGTTAATGTGGCTCTCTCTCTCGACAACAGGACGAGAGGGTCTCAACAGATGACGAGCTTCGAAGTGGAGGTGCCGGACCCCATCATTTTCCGTGCATCTTATAACGACATCATGCTCATCATGGATATCGTCAACAAAGCAGTGGACGTAGCCAACAAAGCTCTTGCACCACCGGAAGATACAGCAAAGAAACCAGATAGACGGAGAAGTTTGATGAGTGACTCTATGGCCGATGCCACGAGTACGGCGGTGGTACCTACCACCAAGACGACCTCGACGAGACGAACGTCCATCAGCAAGAGGAGATCTGGCTTACCCAAGTCCAAAGTCCTCGTTTCTAAAGAGCAGGTGAATTTCTTCGCCCAAAACACACTTCAGACTGTAGCTGACTGGAGTAGCTCAAAGCGAACTTTAACGGCTTCCAGTTTGTCCTCGTGGGTGATATACATGAAATGCCTATGGTCCATCTGTCGACCAACGAATTCACAGTTTTGATCAACGATTGGTCGGGAGATGTGAGTGTCTGAATGTGAAGGCGGACCAAAAGATTGACTTTATGCAGATGAAGATGGCAACATCTCTCACAACTTCCATCCGATACTTCAATCTTGCGAACTCATATTTCGAGCCTCTGATGGATCCGTGGAACTTCGACGTCAGAGTGAGTCTCACTTGCCTGTTGATTAAATGTCCAGCTGAGACGCTGCAGGTAACTCGTTCCTCTGCCGGTCCTACTTCAAGTCCCCTGAGTGTTCGCGTGTCCGCGGCACAACGTCTCGAGCTGAATCTCTCATCTGCATTCATTGAGCTTGCCATCACCAGTATGACGGTATGGAGCAGAGAAGCGCAGAAACCGCGAGAGAATAGGGGACAAGATGCTCCTTTCCGAATACGGAACAGAACGGGTTTGGCCCTGCTGCTATGGCCCGAAGCCAATGACTTGAATAAGCCCATCTCAGGTGTCAAGCGATTGGACGATGGAGCGGACGTCCCGTGGCGATTTGAAGATCGGAGACATACCAGAGAGGCTAGTCACGTTTCCATTGAGAAGTTCTCAACTGATCCAGCAGAACGTTTCCGCATTCCGGCATAATGCTCTGGGAATTCAGCTCCAGGACACACCGTGGGAATCCCTTCGAGGTATCTCGGTGGATCGTGAAGGCGAACACATCCTGACTCTGCGCCCAAGACTGGACAAGGTGTCGCATCAACTTACTTGTGAAATTCACCTGGACAACAACATCAAGATAATCACCTTCCGCTCAACATTGAACGTGGAGAATCAAACCAGTTTGCCTGTTGAGATGATTGTAGTTGACTCTCATGGTAAAGCGTCGCAAGGCGCGATGAGGATCAGTCAGTGGAGAGATGTAGAATTTTGCACTTTAGCTGACAGCAGTAGATCCTGGAGAATCTTGCCCTCTTCCACTCGAGGCGGCTTATGAGAAACGATTCCGCCTGCGACCACTTCGTAAGTCTTGGGCGGCCATCGAACAATGCATAGCGGTTGACGTGTCAGGTGGTTTCGGATTCGATTACGGCTGGTCCATGCCTCTCCATTGGCGGCAACTAATGACCCGACCAATCCGTCCCATCAGCTGCAAACATCAGACACCAACAGAGCCAGCTTTCTTCTTCCAGGCCCAAGCCAACTTTAATGCCAAAGATCCCGCCGCGAGGTGAGTCCACTGACAAGGCCCGTAATGTTAGTTGACATACAGAATCTACCCACAAATGTCACTGATGCTCCGGGCTCCAGTCGAGGTTGAAAATCTTCTCCCGTACGACATCAAGTTCCGTATTCACGACAAGAACATGGGCTTGAGCTCGAGTAATTTTCTCGTAAAGGGAGGTTCAAGCCCTATTCATACTGTCGGACTGTCCCATCTCCTTCTGTTGAGCGTAGCGCCTGAAGATACCAGTGAGTTACCACCACTTACATACCGAACATGGACTCATGTGGCAGATCTCAAGCAAAGCGACTATGCTATCATCAACACTGATGACCCGGAGTTACCGACTGAGAATCACTTCAGTTTGGCAGACCAACAGGATCTCAAACTCATACTCAAGTTGCATTACTTGTGAGTGAGATTATCACATTTGTCTACCGGGCTGACGTGTCGCAGCACATACCCCGATTCAGGCGGAGCTTTCAAAGTGCAGGTCTACAGTCCTTACGTCTTTTTGAACAAGACCGGTTTGTCCTTCGACCTGGCTGCAAAGACATGGACAGGGGGTCAAAAGCCTGTTGCTGGTCGGGATTTGTTCGGAAGTAAGCTCGAATATCACCGTCCTAATCGCAGCTGACAACTGTAGACGATCACAATCGACCAACGCCGACACCTTTTAGTGATTCACTTTTGTCAAGCAGCTTTAGAAAGTTGACTGATAATGCAGTGTTCAGCTTCCCCAACGAAGACAGACGAAATCGACTCTTCCTTCGTGTCAACGATTCTAGATGGTCCGATCCTCTGTCCTTCGACACTGTAGCGGCAGACATGCAAGTCGTCATACAATCGCAAGATGGTAACAGCGATACGTACGTGGGACTGTCATACGCCGAAGGTTTAGGCAAGGTAAGTCAATGCCCTGGAATCTAAAAAGACGACTCACACTACGCAGTTCAAGCTCACCAAGGTCATAACTATTGCCCCTCGATTCCTGATGACGAACAAGTTCACGCACGATATTAGAGTCCGTCAGCAAAACACAGATCGGGTGATCAACATCGTCCCAGGGGACAAGCAGCCCATATTTGAGTTACGTCATGATGCTCCGCCTCAACTTTGCATCGCTTTCGATGAGGTCAATCAGAAATGGTTGGTTATTTCTTCGTTTGGCCAGGGACGTGTCTCATGTACAGGTCTGCACCTTTCAGTCTCACAGACATTGGGCGTACGCATGTGACTCTTGAAAGACAAACAGCTCGCGGACCCAGGACGTATTTGATGAGGCTCGAAACACATATTCAGAGTTCGAATATCTTCCTGTATGTTTCACGGGAGACAGAACCTTGGCCCCTCAAGTTACGGAACGACACGAACCTGAAGTTCCAGTTCAGGCAAGTCAGCGATGATACATCTCCCCGAGACTGTCCAGTACGGGATTTGCCCCCTCATGGCAATGTGGAGTATACCTGGGATTACCCGACCGCTTCTAACAAGCACTTGCAGCTAGCTCTGGATGGTGTCCCTGTACCTGGTGGTATTGATATGTTGGCCATCGGGGTTCAGCCCCCCATCAGAGTGCCCGTGAGTTGTCGCTCAACAATTGACAGCATGCATCTGCTGATATGGTAGTCAAGGCAGTCGGGGAAGAAAGCTGAGACCGTGTCAATCGATATACAGGCCGACGGCAGCTCTCAGCTTCTAATCATCTCGCCCTACGTGGAAGAAACAAGTTTATACAAACCTACCCGCCGTGGTGTAGGACCTGTCCGTCGTTCCGACAGTACGGACAGTCTCAGTACTACCGGTTTCGAAACTGTCGTCGTAAACGAGAAGCCGAGCTTGTCCATTATGGTTGAGCTGGAGGGCATCGGCATTTCTGTCATCACCAAACGGCCTGACGAGCTCATCTACATGTCATTACGGGGACTCAAGGTCGGTTACACCGACTATCCGCAGTATTATGACGCGATGCTCGACTGCAAATGGATCCAAATCGACAATCAGCTCTTTGGCGGTTTATTCCCCATCATCCTTTATCCCACGGTCGTGCCCAAAGATGGGAAGGAGTTGGAGTCTCATCCTACCTTACAAGCCTCCGTTGCACTTCTCAAGGACCGATGTGAGACTTTTTCACCTGTACAGGACCAGGCTGATGTTCAGCACACGGCGTTATCTTCGTCAAATATGCTACGATCTTATTGCAGGCGATGACCGTTGAGCTTGACGAAGACTTTTTGTTCGCTCTTCTGGACTTTGTCAAGTTCAAAGACGCTTCTTGGAGGGAGCCTGCACAAGAGTAAGCTGCCGACATTATGGATGGGACTAAAGCTCATGTAGTCGCAGTGTTCTAATTGAACATCCGAAGGATATCCCTGAACCCGATATAACCTCTGCCACCGCGGATGTGTTCTTCGAAGCGCTTCAGTTACAACCGATCTCATTGGAGTTGTCGTTCATGCGTACAGATCGCGTGAACGTGGATGAAAAGTGAGTCTCTCCCCTCGTCAGTCCTGCATCATAGCTAATGTACAGGGTTTCCACTCGAAATCCCTTCTACTATGGCTTGAACGCACTTACCATGGCTCTGGGCAATGTCAACGCTGCGCCGGTCAACTTCCGGGCGCTCTTCCTGGAGAATGTCCGACTAAGCATCCCTTCTCTGCAAGAGCGTATCGTTCTGCACTACCAGGAACAATTCATGGCCCAGATCTATCGCGTTCTCGGTCGTGCCGATTTCCTCGGTAACCCGGTCGGGTTGTTCAATAATATCAGTTCTGGCGTGTCGGACATCTTCTATGAACCGTATCAAGGTATGGTGATGCACGGCAACAAGAACATCGGGCTGGGCATTGCTAGGGTATGTATCAATAGCTACAGTGTGGGGTTGTACTGACATTGGTGTAGGGTGCAACGAGTTTCGCCAAGAAAACTGTATTTGGTATCAGTGATAGTATGACCAAATTCACCGGTAGTATTGGCAAAGGTCTTTCCGCGGCTACCTTGGATGCCGAATATCAGAGCAAGCGTCGGATGAACAAGAAACGGAACAAGCCGAAACACGCATTGTCAGTCACATTTGATCTTCTCGATGTCCAACTGACTTGTTCAGATACGGTGTAGCCGCTGGCGCGAGCGCCTTTGCGGACAGTGTGACCAGTGCGTTTGAAGGAGTTGCTGTGAGTTGCATATCGTCGATCGCACCTTCGTACCTGATGTCACCAGTCAAAACCGATGGAAGGTGCTGAGAAGGATGGCGCGGCCGGTTTCGCCAAGGGTGTTGGGAAAGGCGTTGTGGGGTCAGTCCATCTATACTGTCTGCAAATCATGACAAAGCTGACAACTTTAGTCTGTTCACTAAACCAGTTGTGGGAGTGATGGACTTTGTGTCTGCTTCCACGGAAGGAATCAGAAATACAACAACCGTATTTGATCAACAAGAGTTGGACAGAGTGCGACTTCCACGATTCATAGCCACTGATGGCGTCTTACGAGTAAGTGTCACATATCACATATCGTCACTATGATTATGACTGACATCATAGCCGTTCTCAGCCCGAGAGGCATTAGGCCAATCATGGCTCAAAGATCTAGACGCCGGTGCATACTTCACCGAATCGTACGTCGCCCACCTCGACGTTCCGGGCGACGATGCAGTTGCTATCCTGTCAACAAATCGATTATTGTTCGTTCAGTTGCGTAAGCTCAAGGTGGTATGGCAAGTTCCCTTTGAGGAATTGCAATCACTCTCTTTGGAACAGACTGGGATCGCATTGACGCTTCGGGGTGGGACACCAGGTCCGTTTTTACCCATCAGTGAACAGACAGGAAGGGAATGGTTCTTCAAGCATATTGGAAAGTGAGCAGCTTTCGGCTCATCTGCAAAAAATGTTCCAGCTGACCCAGCAGGGTGGTCGTTGCGTACAACAAGACTCACAGTCAGAAGGAAGACTGAATTTTGTAGCTTATTGGAATTTGTAATTGATCACATAATTCGACTTACCATATCTATGCAGTATTATCTTGACATGATTGCATGTGACTACAGAATGATCGTTGTATCTCTCGATGTCCCCTCTGTATCATCTCTCATCGTGATAGATAGACAGGAAGGAATGTATACAGAACTCATCGCCTGTGTCCCTTCTTTTTCTTGCCATCGTCTGAATCATCCCTATGGTATTCTCTCCGCTTGTCATCGGCTCGTTTGGCCTTCACTTCCAATGCGTCCCAATCGTCGCCTGGATCTGACTCGTCGGCAGATGCACTCTCATCTGAATCGCCATCGTCATCATCAACTTGGAGGTGTCAGCGAAGAGTCATCCTGTAAGAGAGTGGGGAATGATACTCACAGTCCGACTCTGATTCACTAGCGGATGACGAAGAGTCGTCTGAATCAGATCCTTCAAAGACTGAACCTTCTTCCGATTCTTCCTCGTCACTATCTTGGCCGTCACCAGTGAGGAAAGCCCATCCACCAGCAGAGTAAAACTCGTGTGGATCATCATTGATAGTCTTCATAATTTGTGGCCATGACAAATTGACACGACCTTCTGATAAAGGCACATCGCATGAGCTATCACATTAGCAACGTCAACCTCGAAAAAAGTGCAATATGAGACACTGTAGACGAGCGCAAATGGGAAACCACTCACTCTAACCATTCTTTCACATTGTCCAAATGTTCCATGGGGATAGTATTGATATGTATAGGTGTTTTCTTGAAATCATTCATGACAAATACCATGTCGAAATTTTTCAACCCGAAAGCCACTCGTTCCAGATGGACTATCTCGACTTCATTCAAAGATATAACGGTAAAGGGTTGTTCGGAGAGCTGTACCAGACAGTTGGTAGTGGGTTGAAGTAAGACGGCAGATCTGAAAGGTACACCTTCGAATCCAAGTTCGCGGAAAGGAACGTCGACTTCGATCTCGTATTGCTGTCGTTGTGCCGCATTCTCGATTTGTTTGGCGAAATCACGGAATAGACGGTCAAGCTCTGTACGACGACGTCTTTCCTCGGCTTCTTGCTCGATTTCATCTTCATCACCATATCTAGCTCGACGCTTCTTTCCACCCGTCTCGTCAAATGCTAAATCTGTGACTTCACGTGCGAACTGAACATCCTACCAGTCAGGCGAGGGATCAATATGGCTGATCACTCACAAATGTCTTTTTCTTTCCAACAATGATGGGAGTTTTGAGATTGACGTGAATGAGCACTTGTAGCTCTTTCTCACTAGGTTGAAAGAAAAGATGTTTGATGTTACTGAATAGGATGTCTTTGTCGTCAGCATCACATAAGTGGAATAGTGAGAGGCAGACATACCGATCTTGGAACTGGGCCCGTCTGGTCGGTATCTGATACCATTTTGATGGATTTCCAAATTTCCATCGGACTTTTTATTATCCGCTTGAGGTTTCGCAGTGACGCTTTTTAGGATTCGGGGATGTGAAGCTAAGCTATGAGTAAAGTAACGGTGGAGTTCAAGCATTAGACTAACCCATCATTTCGAGGAGTTTACCTTGCTCTACCACATCCGCCATCTCCTTCCTCTCAGCCTCCAACTTGGTAGCAGTCTTTTTCAGATTGGTTATCTTCTCGTAAACGTTCAGTAAATGACGACTATCTTGTGAACGGAAAGAGACCGATCGAATAAATGTCGCATCGGGGTCCTCGAAAGGCTATAGCGTCAGCCAACAAGTAACACGAGGCATGGCGCACTTACCATATCTTCTTTTTTACCCGCGATCTGACCGGGAGACTGAAAGTTGATTCTCAACACCACATAATCCATTTCCTCTGTCTTGGTCACGTTCTTGATCGTGGAGATATGATAAGGCACAGCATAACCATAAATCGGGAGGATGACTGTAGACCGTTGGGCGTCCACGTAAATCTGTATCATCAGCTTCAGTACTCCGAGCGAACAAGAATTGATGCCTACCCGTCTTTCCTCTGCTTGACGAGGTATTTGTTCCTCCCTCTTGTAGCTCTCATACTTTTTGATCTGTTTGTTTTGATTTGCATTGGCATTGCCAGAACCGGCAGACCATTTCTGCAAGCCATCCTTCTGACGCTGAGTATGCAGACGTTGTTGATTTTCTTTGATCTTGTCTGCAGTGGTTTGTTCTACGGCTTGACGCTGACCACCTCGCGTTCTGGATGCTGCGGAGCGACTTGACACTGCCCCATGAGACTTGCCAGGTGATTTACCGTTCGAATGTCCGTTAGATTTTTTGTTATGAGAGCTTGATTCGACTTTGGACATTTTGGAGGATATTAGCTGTTTTGGCGGCAAGTCTGGGATGTTGAGTAATGTAGATCAGCCTATTTCTTGTGACGGCTGCCAGAGGGTACGTCCTATAAGGATTTAAGTAAGGGGGGAAATGGTAAGGGGAAAGTGGATGGGAGAGGCAAGGGAAAGTAGAGCAGACAGCAGCGCCTGCTAGGAGAAGAGTGACGCGGACGCGTGTCGGCCCTCGCCGCCTTTTGAGTCTAACACCGAAAATGCCGCAGTCCTGTCACATTGTGGCAACCTTTGCCCAAACCTCCACTCGGCTCGTCCAGTGTCTCTGTCGACCGACTTTGCATCAGACTTTCCCCACCATGGCTCCTAACAAGCATGCTTCAGCTTCGAAAGCTGCCTCCAAAGCTGCCAAGAAAGTGAAACAAGCTGAGAAGGCTGCAAAGAAAGAGGTGCAAGCTTTCAATGCCGCGGGAAAGAAAGGTAAAGGGAGATTGGCGGATGAGGAAGAGGATCTTGAGGCGATATTAGAGAGGTACCAGAGAGAGATGGCAGCGGTATGTCCTCGCTATTCCCAGGGGAAGACAACACTGAGCTGCTAGAATACCATGACTACAATGACTACCCTCGATGGTCCACCACCACCACGGACTGGCGCCCTTTTCCTACCTTCTCCCTCCACCCTGGCATCAGAACCTGCCGGCAATCATCTCTATCTCCTCTTTGGCGAGTACTTTGATGGATCGCGGGCTACTTTCTACAATTCTACGCTCAGATACGATATCACTAAAGACGAATGGAGAGAATATAGATCCCCCGAGATGCCCGCCCCTCGTAGCAGTGCTGCGGGAGTATATGCCTCCAATCTCGGGGAAGGCGGGGGGATTTTGATCTTCGGTGAGCTAGAGAGCTATTTACCAAGAGGAAAAGCTGAGTGTGCAGGCGGTGAATACGCGAGTCCTACTCAGACATCATTTCATCACTACAAAGATCTCGTAAGGACATCCTTCGGAGTAAGTCTCGAGCTGAGCTCGTCAGTAGTGGCTTTTCAGCATCAAAACTCATCTCTGGGAGCGGATCGACACAAGGAAAGGCCCGAGTGCCCGTAGTGGACACCGGATGGTCATGTGGAGACAATATGTCATACTCTTTGGCGGATTTATTGACACTGGTATTAAAAGTGAGACTTCTCCGCCACGGTCATTTGTAAAGCTGACCAACTAGCCAATTACCTGGCTGACTTGTGGCTGTTCGACACGGAGGAGTACAAATGGAAACAAGTTGACATCTTGGACAAGGATCGTACCCCAGGGTGATTGCTAGCTCACCACTTGGTCAAACGGCGCTGAGCATTAGACCCCGAAGTGGCTTCTCTTTCATACCCACGCCAGAAGGCGCCATACTCCACGGTGGCTACCGCAAAGAATACGTCAAGGGCACTCGACCAAAAGGCATTCCTCTGGAGGACACCTGGCTGCTACGTATGGACACGGATGTGACCAAGATAAAGTGGGAGAAGCGAAAGAAGGTTGGATATGCTCCCTCACTGCGATCTGGATGTACGATGGCATATTGGGCCAACAAAGGCATGGGTGTGCTTTTCGGTGGCGTACTGGATGAGGAGAAGGACGAGGAAAGCATGGAAAGTGTATTTTACAATGATCTGTGGGTCAACCAGCATCATGCTGAAGAACGCTAATAATGAGGTATGGATACAATCCTTCGGGGAATGGTCGGTGGGTCAGCTTGAATCTGAAGAAGAGGAAGAAGACCACTCGACGAAGAGTCAAGAAAGAGGCCCCGGTCGAAGAGTTGATGGATGTGGAGGAAGACGAGGCCGAAGTCGATGAGTCAGACGAGGCCGAAGTCGATCAGTCAGACGAGGTAAAGTCACTTATTCAAACGATTGTGGAGCTGACATATGCAGGCAGTTCCTATCGAGTCGCACCCGACTCCTCCAATCACCAAAAATTTAAGATCTTCCGAGCCAGATCATGAGGATGAGGACGACGATCCCTCCAGATCTGTCCCTCTCACTCGTTATAATGCCATGCTAGCAATCGTCAAGAACACTCTCTTCATGTGAGTTCACATGTGTCGTTCTACTCATCAGCCAACTGAGTAACAGCTATGGGGGTATTTACGAAACATTAGAGCCCGCACGGGAATACACTCTGGACGATTTTGTCACTCTGAACCTGGAGAAGCTCGATCAATATATACATATCCGCGGCACTGGCTTGGACGAGTTAGAGTGGCGAGGTAGCAGTGACGAAGAGGGTGACTCAAGCGACGAGGGAGGTAGTGACAGTGGAGAGAGTGACGAAGAGGATGATGGGTCAATGGAAGTGGACGAAGAAGAAGGTGAGGAAGACAAAGAGAAACGTCATGCCGCCTTGTCCCAAGCAGAGAAAGTGAGTTTCCCTTTGTAAGCTAAGTACTACAGTATGAAGCTTATGTTCAGGAAGCCCTCCGTCGATCCGCCAACCGCTTCTTGGGAGTCGCCAAAGATACCACCAGAAGCGAAGAAGATGTACTTTCCACTCCGCTCCCCGGGGAGAAATTGCGACAGTTCTTCGACCGCTCGCGAGAGTATTGGAGTATGAAGGCATATGATAGGACGGGGAGCAGAGGTAAAGCGCTCCGTCGGGAAGGCTTTGGTAAGCTTCCATTAACTTCAGATGGTTAAGCTGATAAACAGATTTGGCCAGTGTCAAGTACGCCGAGTATAAACCCATCTTGGAAGAGATTGAGAGGATTCAGAAGGAGGCTGAGGCCGAGGGAGCTATGGTGAAACGAGGCTCGGGCACGGTAGGTGAGGTGGGCAGAAACAGGCGTTAAAATACTACGTTGCAAGAAATCATCTCTATCAAGTTTACTTGTATACATCTACCGACCGTCTTTATAGCTATGCGCCAGTGTACTCGTATGCTATGCTGCCTGCCATCATGTTGTTCGTGTACGGTGTCCGGGAAGTCCCAGGCAGGCCACGAGGCCGCGCTGCGCCCCTTCAAATTTTAACCCTTGTGTTCTTCTCTCTTCATCCTTCTCTCTCTCTCTTGACTCACCTCAAGTACTCGACTCAACTCTCAAGGTAACTAACAGACACCGACAATCACTATAGCTGTGAGTTGATTGATCATCCAGCAGGAATCTCCACGGAGCTGATATCATTTTCTAGACATTGTCACGGATCACGGAACAGATATCGACACCAAACGCAGAGATTGTCACACACCAAACACAGATATCGACACGGAATAGATATCGACGCCAAATACAGATATCGACACCAAATACAGATATCGACACGGAATAGATATCGAGAGTAGTTATCGAGAGTAGATATCGACACGGAATAGATATCGAGAATAGATATCGACACAGAATAGATATCGACACGGAATAGATATCGACACGGAATAGATATTGAGAATTGATATTGACACCAAACACAGAGATTGTCACGGAACACAGCCATTGACGGAGAACAGATATTGTTGTGGTAGTGAAGTATTGGTAGAAGATATTAGGCAAAGAACATTGGAAAGGAGATACTGGTACGCACTTTGCTCTCCTGCCCTCCTGCTCATTCTTGCTTGTCTCTCTTCTTTCTCTCTTGCCTCAAGCTGATCAACAGAGCTTCACGCTTTACCCTCCATCCTTCACGATTAACCCCCCAAGTCACTCTCCAATCACATCCCCTCCATTGACAAGTCGGCAGAGTGATGTGTTTATGAATCCTTGACGCTCCTCTACTCTTCAAACACTCCTCTGTTGACTTCCTACCTCACAAGAATGTCCCACCCAAAAGCCAGCCGTCCACCTCCAGTAACCTCCCCTTCCAAGAACGACTTCAATCCATCTAAAAAGAAAAAAACTCGTCACAGCAAAAATCGGGAGCCGTATCATGAGAAGTTAAAGAGACTTTTCATGGAAAGTTTGGACGATTCTTCCATCTTGGAACCAAATATCCCTTCCGACCTCATTCACTTCTTCACTCTCCCAGACAAGAAGGATCCCAATCTGCGTCTCCATGGTCGATCTCAACAAAACATTGATCTCGTCCTCCGTCAATTGGCGTGCCTCCAGCTTGGCCCTCCACGTCAACTCAATTTGTCGGTCCCACAGGGTATTCCGAGCTCTGTGAAAGTAAATGGACTACCATATCACCTCCTGCGTCTTCCCAGTCTAATTCAAACGTCCAATCGAGAACAAATTCTCAAAGCTTTTCACACTTTCAATGATCTAAAACCCTTCAAGCATGTGTCAAGCTCACAAAGACGAGAGGGAGTAGAAGGTCTGCACCCTTACCATCTTGGGATTGTACGCAGGCAGGGCAACTCAGTTGGAGTCACAAAAGATACAAGTCAGACAACCCGCGAAAAGATCAATCAGCCCACCCCTCTGCAGAACACACGACGTCAAGCTGCCCTCAGTCTTCTTCGCCTTCTTGAACAATTTGTTTGCACTCCTTACAAACGACAATACTCTTATGTTGATAAAGACACGGTCGACTACTCCTTCTTCATCAATCATCAAGGTCGTGATACAACTGCTGCTGAGGGTACTATACCAGACGGGGAAGAGACCAGAAAGATTGGTAAGAGCAAGAAGGGGAATGAAAGTGGGACAAGATTTGGGGGAATGGCAATGGCCGTAGCAGTAGGTTATGGTGAAGCTCGTGTTCCACATCTTGACCAGAATGACGTCGACACAATTCCCACCTTTTTCACACAACTTTCTGGTGATCCTGGCTTTACACACTTTCCCCAATTACATGTCCAGGCAGCTCTAAACTCTGGTGATGTGCTCATTGCTCCTACATCTAATCTCATTCATCACGCTGTTGGGGAGGGTCCAGCAAGGCAAGGAAGAATAACTGCTATTTTCTATACTTGTAGGCATGTTGAAAGCTTGCTGGGGAAGGAGGAGGATGGGAAGGTGGTGAGTGGTCCTCTGGAAGGGATTGCTACAGAGGACTTGATGGTCTTTGACGAAGATGAGACTGAGGAGACACAAATCAATGAACAATGAACAATCAATGCATAATTTCTCTACTCAGTCTTCGTTTTTCAGTCTCATTGAGATAATCACAAGCTTTCATTCTTTCATTCCATTATTCACTCATGAACTCCGGGCAAATCTAAGTTGCTTCTTCGCTTCCATTGAGAGGATGCTCCAAGCCTTCGTCTGAAGTCTCTGTCTCCTTCTCCTTCTCCATTTCCAAGACCAAACCATTCTCGGCAGCATTCTGTTGAGCTCGCTCTTTCAGAAGCTGTTCATTATTTGCCTCAGTCAGCCACCAGGGAAACACTCGGAGTGGAATGATACGATAAGGGTTGGGGAAGGATTTTGGATGCCCTTTCGCAGTCTTCAAACCGAGCTGTATACAGGCATCTCCACAAACATGATCATTGATGAAGAGGTTTAGCATTCCTGCTCCCCCATCACCCATGCTGGAATCACCGCTAGCACTCCCAATGAGCAGAGCTTGCTGACATGATTAGAGGCACTCACGTGTGAGTCACAACATCAAACAGATGGAACTCTCCATAATCACGCTTTCCGTGTTTCTTATATCCAGATGGTTTAGTTCGAAAGCCTACTCATTAGTGTCTTTCTTTTTGCACAATCTGAACCAGAACAGACCTTGAATATCTGCAAGAACGACCATTGCTTCCTCTTGGGCCTTGACTGACTTTCCACTACTAGCAGACATATGGAAAACAAAATGGATGAAGGCGTGCATGAAACGATAGAGGTGTACATCATTCTTCTCAATGGTTGATTCATCGGGCATGATAAACTCATCGGTATTGTTGATCTTGATATACTTGCCAATCGATCGAAGATCCGGTTCAACCATATACGATTTCTTGGCGGTGGAAGTCATCAGGAAGCATGGTGTGTAGATGAGTGTTGGAACTGGTAGCATGTCATATGTTTTGACAAGTTTTTCCGAGAAGGCTTTGAGGTATGAAGCAATAAGGATTGCCTTCTTGCACTCCATTTCAAGGAGCTGGTGGTTGGTGTTGTCAGTCATTGTTGCCAATGGCCACGCTCGATGATCAAAGCGGAAATGCTTCTTTGCAACAAGCTCGAAATCATTGTAACGAAACTTCCTCCATCAATAATCATAAACTTATTTGGATGAGTAAAACATACCTCGAAGGCCTGCTTATGACTTCCTTCATCAAAAGCTTTGTTTGCAATCAGCCCATTGAGAGGTTTGCTCTGCACCACAATGAAGGTCCCATCCTTCTTACGCTGGAAGTCTGTCTTGATGAACTCAATGTCTTCAAAAACAAACCCGTGTCCCTGTGAGACAGCACTGGCCATACGGCCTGTACATCAGCTCCTAAAACATTTATCTAGGATTTACACATACTGAGTATGTCCTTATCTGGGGCTGGAAGGCTTGAGACATGGAATCCTGCAAAAAGATTATTGATAGGCCCCGTGTACCTGCCATCAGCGGGATGGAGGGCTTCTCAGTATGTTCACTCACCTTGTCTTGGATTGAATCTCATTGAGGAGGTGGGCATCACTCCTTGACATTTGGTTGACGGACCATTGAGATACGGAAGATTGTGTTGCAGAGGAACGTGTTGTTTGAGACATCATTGAGGGACGGCTGTAAGGAGCTGAGCGACGAGAAGCACGCTGAACAGCTCGTGTCTGAGTGAGAGAGGCTGAATGTTGAGAGGCATGCGATTCATCGCTGGGCTGGGGCAGCTCATAGCTTTGCTATGGGGTGAGCGTGATAGACAAGGTGGACAATGGAGCTCTACGTACCACATCCTCAATATTGAGTATAATGTAGACCAAAATATACCCCCCTTGCTCCAAATCCTTTCCAAGAAGATACAGCCTGTTTTGCTTGCATTGGACATGAAAAAACTCGTAAAGAGTGAGCTTGAGGAACTGTGGGGACAAAGCCACAGGCCGACCCTTCTGGTTTGGTAGCGCAGCTTGAGGAGAACATCTACAATCAACAACAATTGGTGCAACAAGCAAAACGTGACCTACTGCTCAAAGGTTCGTTGAGTCTCAGATTCACCTCTGCCTTCTTTCCACATCTGCTCTCCCAGTCGAAGTGCTTCACCAATGTTTGCCTCAAGTGTATCTGCCCACCTCCCCGCATACACTTTATCAAAGACTGTAGATTGCCATTCTTCCAAGACTTTTTGCTGTTCTGACGACATCAGTGTAACTCACAAGAGCCAACAGTGAAAGAACACACGAAGCATGATTCTCACCTGCATTGCAGGCCCTTGTGACGTAAGACCGGCTTTGAGAGCCACTTTCTTTGAGGATCTTTCATCAAGCAGCAACGTCCCAGAAGTAATTCCAGTCTGTGCCATTGGGGTAGCCTTGCGAAACGATGAACCATTCATGTCGATCTGGGCACGTTGCCGATTATAGTGCAGAGTATCTGACCCCTCTGGGCAAGTCAATCATGAGCACAGGTGGATAGAAACACTGACTTTCATGACGGCACTTGTCACATAATGTGAGATTGTCTTTCTCATCCATTGGCGTATTTCCAAAGACAGAGCTACCAAAAACCCCACAGGTCAAACACTGAGGCCGAGACTAAAGACATGTCAGCAGTACCTTGTGAGAAAGAGAACAATATACCCTATAGTATTGTATGCTCTCGTCTGTTTTCTTTGGGTTGGTGCTAACCTGCTCAATCTTGAGGCACTTTGGACAGGTTTCAGATTTCAAGCAGTCTTTCTGAAAGGAGGTGTGACAGTCACGACAAGTGAAGGTCATGTTTGTGTGAGACAGATGGGCGTAAATCAATAAGAAGATGGAGGGAAGTTTGGAAGAAAGGGCAAAGGAGACAGTTTGGCAAACATGCGGGATTTCGGACATTGCTAAAACTTGCATGTGGCAGATATGTCTACGTTTCAAGCCAGAGCCTCTGCAGAGGTGCTCGTGCTTGAGGCTCCAGTGCTTGAAATAGCTCCCAAGCAGTGTGCCATTTCATTGGGGGATATGACAGTCCAGCTTTTTGAACAATATCAAAACATACCTCATGGACTTCAGGAGACACCCAAGCCAGCTGTGCTTTTTCCTCCACTTGCACTTGGAAATCGGTGATAAGACTCATATCTTGGAAGCCTTGCAGACACTCCTTTCCACCCCATCGTTGCGGATGAAAGTAAATCTCATTTCTTGATGCTCCTGAGGGATTCACTTTGTCTTTTTGATATCGGACAGGGTAAGAGTTGAATATCTGGAGGTATTCATCAAGGGCGTTCTGAACCACAGGAGGCACAAGCCAGTTGAGAAGGGTTCTTATCATCAACGCTCGGTAGGTTGTCAAAAGCAAAACACCTACTGATGGACTGGGTCACCATCTTTGATCATTCCTGAGGCATATGCCGAGTTCAATGATACTTTGACTTGATCAACAACATTTTCTCGTACATTTCTCCAAGATCTTTCAATTGTGATATTTCGAGTACTTTTTAGGAGTTTATAGGGAAAGATGTCTTCGATGGAGATAGAGGAATATGTGTTCCTGCTCATGAGCAAAGCAATGGTAGCCAAACTCACCGAAAAGCAATCTGAGATGCAATAACTTCGCCAATCTCTGAACCTCTGTCACTTGCTAATTGCAGAGGAAATCCTGAAACATGTCAGTCAATTCTCCTTAGGAGGACGGGGCAAGGGGGGGACTCACCACCAACTTTTACAACAGTATTGATGTAGATGCAATGAACATCATCACTCCGCCGGTTTGAAGGCATGGCTTGCAGGGACAAGAGACGACCTGAGTAGACATCTCGTATACCATAAATCCCAATTCCAAACGAGGCTAGTTTATCATGTCCATCAATGGACCATTGTTCATTGGGGCCAATGGAGATGATCGGAGATCTGACCATCTTTCTACTTCTTGGAAGGCGTGAGGCGATACCATTCGGGTTATATTCTTTCATTGCATGATAAATCTTGTCTCTGGTGCAAGTCAATATATATCCAGAAGCTGTAGGGCTCACCGAGGTATGAGAAATCCTTGTAGAGTCAGCCGATGTTTCATGGCACGGATCCCAATCACGTTGGTAATGTCCTGATCCATCTCCTCTTGCATTGCCTGCATAATATCTTGGCTTGAAAGTGTGCTTTTCCTTGCAGTACCTAATCCAAATGCTTTGGTTGCCCGAAAGAAACTTGATCGTGATCTGTGGTAAGTGTCTCCTTCATTAGAAAAAGGTTGTGAGGGACCTACCCAAATGTGTATTCACCGCCATGCTCCTGTCTGATGCGCTCATTGATCGCTTTCCAGTCCGACATCCCTTCCGAATAGTAGCCTTGCATGATGCTTCTTAGTGTCTCTGAGTGGGTTGCTGCTAACGTCAACAGGCACTTTGGGCTACCTACTCGATGATAAACATACGAGAAGGGCGCTTTCCATTCTTACCACCAGGATTATTGTTGGGGTATGCTTTGTGGAGTACGAGCTGTAGGTCTGAAATTTCTGTAGGATATGCAAGGTCCAGTTCAAGCTCACTTGGAAGGGGATCGAAATTTGGGTGGTCCGGCTCTTCCATGATATGCAGAAAGTTGTCAGGGGAAGAAGGAGAAATCAAATCCATGTTGGGGTGTTGGGGTAGCCAGGGCGGAAATTCCGACCTGGGACTTGCCGTACACTGTATCGTGCGACCTGTCGAGACGCGATTTTGCCATTGCCCGCGGAAATCAGTCGCGAACTCTGCTTCTTTCTGTTTTTCTCCTCATGTTCTGCTGTCCCTGTGATGCCCTGTAGGCATGTCGGGCAGTATAAAGCGTCAGTATCATCCTCTCACTTCCTTCTCCCTTGTTCCCCCATGTGCCAAGCTGCTCTGCGATCAGCGACGAAGGACTCGTGAAGTGGAAAAGAGGTTGACATTAAGCCATCGATTCCGCCTCGGTCCATCATCTTCACTCCGGTCAAGTCATCCTAGACCTTCAAGGATGTCTGAAAGAGCTCCTTGAGAACGCTCTTGATTCCGGCGCTAATCAAGTCGAGGTGCGAATTCGCGATCATGGTCTGGAAGGTATAGAGGTGTCGGATAATGGGAGTGGGATCAAAGAGGATGATTGGGAGTTTATAGGTTGGTTTTCTGCTCTGATCTTCTCAGCTCCTTGACTGTCCCTGTTTTGTGGACTCTTTCCTCTATGTTCTGTAGCTGTCCCCTTACTGGGCTCTTGTGGTTCTTACGGGAGTCAAACTGATTAGAAGCATTGAAACACCATACGTCAAAATTACCCGACCTCGCTTCATTGCCCCTGGTGGAGACATTTGGGTTCCGAGGAGAAGCTTTGTCGGCGTTATGTGCGCTGAGCGAGAGCATGACAGTCGTCACGGCGACGAAGGAGACCGCACCAATGGGAGCTATAATCAAATTAGGGAGAGATGGCAAAGTACTCGATTCGACTGGAAGAGTGGCTAGACCTGTGAGTAGTTCCGTACATCTGCTCACATCTCTCGTGATCATCTTCTCCCTCTATGTCCTTCCTTGGTTCTGCAACTGAACATCTCTGAACCTTGTCTTTCGTGAAAGATTATCAGATGCTTGTGGATCCCTGAGTGCTAATGTCATAGAGAGGGACCACAGTGACTATAACAGGATTATTCACCCCTCTCCCAGTGCGAAGAAAAGAGTTTGAGCGAACTTCTAAAAGAGAATTCTCCAAAGCTCTGTCACTCCTTACTGCCTACGCTCTGGTCCCATCCGTTGGTCGAGATGGGAAAGGGATTAGAATCAAAGTTGAATCCCTCCCTTCTGGAAAATCTGGGTATGTTATCAACCCTCAGCGATCCCTGCGACTGACGAAACAGCAAACGATCCACTTTACTTTCTACTGACGGTCGAGGCAGTCTTCGTTCTTCCGTCATAAATATATGGGGTCCTAAAGCTCTCGAAGGGGTATTGGACATACATCTAGAAGTCGAGGTCTCAAATGATCGACCGAATTTGAAGCGACAAGGGGCACAAGAAATGTCAGATCGTCTTCAATCCATCATTGTGTGACCCAAAGAGCTGATGGATAGGTCACATATCGTGAAAGTAGATGGTTTGATATCGACTGCCGCTTGGGGTCAAGGACGTTCCTCTCCTGACAGACAATACTTCTACGTCAATGGTCGACCGTGCGACCTGTCTAAGGTTAATCGTCATATCCCTCATGGATACCAGTCATATGTCAACGACTTGTGTTGATGTGCAGGTCGGAAGAGCTATCAACGAAGTTTATAAATCTTTTAATACGCATCAAGTCCCGTTGGCCATCCTGGACTTCACCCTTCCACCTATGACTGTCGATATCAACGTCTCGCCTGACAAGAGGACCGTCTTCTTGCATTCGGAGATGCAGTTGGTAGAAGCTCTTCGTGTGAGTTGATCAAAGTTCAAATCTCCCATGAGAAAGGGGAGTGCTGATCACTTAGACGGCTTTGGAAGAGTTTTGGCAACCTAGCAGATCTGCCTATGTTGTAGAAGGTGCCAGCCATACCATCAAAGAACTCCGGCAGAATACTCTTCCGGGGGCTAGCGATCCCGATGTCATGAAGGGTGGTCCAGTAGGTGACGATGGCCTTTCAAACGACGAAGCAAGTGAAGAGGTAGAAGAAGGTGGAGAAGTCGTACCTTCTCTAATGCCCAGAAATCCGAGGACGAGATCAAGTCAGGATCATTCACTCACGCCCTTCACACTGAACGAAGACGAGGAAGGCGAACCTGAATTATCTCAACCTCCCCCAAAACGATCCCGAGTCCAGCTTATAGATAACACGACGCACAACTCTCGCAAACCTTCAACTGTAACACAGACTCTTCGGACCAGTACGGCCATCTGGTCACCGGAACGAAAGGCCAAGTCCTCGCAATCTCAAAATTCTGACACTGGTTCAAAGGGACTTCGCAGCGCTCGCGCAGAATTTCGAGACCATCTGAAGGCGTATGCTAGTCAGGGAGTGACAAGAGACGAGGGAACGGACAGTGAAGACGGAGAGGAGGAGGTGGTGGTAATTCAGCCAACAAGTTTGTCCTTGGATACAGGCGAAGATGAAGACGAAGAGTCCGTGGATGAGAGATCAGAGAAGCCGATTCTGGAAGGAGTCGGCATCGACGAGGCGTCAGAGGACGTCAGTATGGACTCGGACATGGATGAGGAGCAGTCGGGGTCGGTGTTGAAACCAAAGGCAAAATCTCGTCGTCTCGACGAGCCTATCTTCGAAGACGAGGGATCAGATCAGCTCGATGACAAGGATTTTGACGACGAACACACTGCCACTGCAGATACTCCCCTCTCTCGTGACCATCCACGACCATCAGCATTTCTCGACTCATCATCCATTCCCATCCGGCCTCCTCCCCTTCAACATGGTTCAACTCCCTATCGGTCTGAAATTCAATCGACCATCTCTTCCGGGGAATTGTCCCTTTCTTTTAACTATAAACGTCTTCAAAGTCGTTATCCTTCCCGTCGCACTTCCCTACCTATTTCCTCTGCATCTCGAGACGTTCATTCGGCTTTGAGACAAGGCGGTGTCACTTCCGCAGCTGGGATCAATAACCATGATGCCTCGTCCGCAGAAGCGGCGTTGAGTAGAGTCATTTCCAAAGTCGATTTCGAGGATATGGAAGTGCTCGGTCAATTCAACAAAGGATTTATCATTGCTCGTCTGCGTCGGAATGAGTCTGATGATTTGTTCATCATTGACCAACATGCTAGTGATGAGAAATACAATTTTGAGACATTACAGCGGACGACGATTATCAAAGCTCAAAAGTTGATCAAGTGAGTCTCATCTCACGTGTATTTTATGCTCATACATTCTCCGTCTCCAATTCCTCCCTCCCTTGGGCCTTCGAGCCATATCACCCTGGTATTTCTATCTACTCGGCACAAGGCGTTAGGTCATAGCTATAGTCCGTTTCGACACATTTGCTGTTTGCATCACTCGGAGAACAGATGGACTAACGTCAGACCTCGGTCTTTGCAATTGACAGCAGGCGACGAGATCACCGCCATGGAACATCTAGATGTGTTGCGGAATAACGGATTCGAGGTGAAGATCGTAGAGGATGCCCCACCTGGAAGAGGAGAGAGGGTTCTATTGAGCGCTATGCCAGTAAGCAAGGAGACGACTTTTGATGTGAAAGGTGAGTACATTCCGTTCCTCTTCTGCTATTTTATTACCTTGCTACACGTCAAAACTACCAGGTATCAATGACAAAGGTCAGGTGAAGATCGTGAACTGAAAGCTTAGATCTTGAACAATTGTTACATCTCTTATCTGAGGGTGGTGGTCCTAAATCTCGGTGTTCCAAAGCAAGAGCGATGTTTGCCATGCGTGCATGCAGGAAGAGTGTTATGATTGGTAAAGCTCTCACTAAAGCTCAAATGACCACGGTGAGTTTTCCTCTGGGCCATTTTCATTTCCACATGTGTTTTCGAGTATCCCGTCACGGCAGTCAGTACAATCACCTGGTTGCTGTTCAGCGTTTCAATCTGTCTTAGCGGAATGGGCTCATGGCTGACTCTCAGTTGTTGAGAAATATGGGAACTATAGATCAACCATGGGTATGTTATGATTTCTCCCCTGCTATCGATTTCAGAGAGAGGAAGGAAACGGAGCATAAGCTGATGATAGAATTGTCCTCACGGGAGACCAACAATGAGACATTTGGTAAACTTAGAACAACACAAATCTCGGATGGGTTCAAGTAGAATAGATTGGGTCAAATGGGCCGCGTCGCAATAGAAACTACCAACTGTGTGCTTGCTTTGCCCTCCATGCATCATACTGTACACCCGGATTTTTCGATCGCCCTGATGAGGCCCCGGTTGCGTCATGGCAGCGTCATCCATCGTCACTCACTACTTGTCAAGCATCGCCAGTGGAGTGAGTATATGAATCTTTCGCTGACGATCGATCACCTTCATCCTTCTCTCTCTTGCATATTTCAAGTTTTCTCAAAGAATTCCTTCTCATTACAAACAATAATGTCAGACCCTACGACCGGTGCCGCTCCTGCTGTTGAGACAACTGCAAATCCTACCTCTGCTACGGCCACGGGACAACAAGATGCCCTGGGTGAGTCGACTTCCCTCCTCGGTTATTCCTCTTCTTACCATATCATGTCTCTCGTAATTTCATGCGAGGCATCATGTTCTATCACATGGTTTTCTGGAGAATGCTTGGTCGGAAATCTCCCCTTCAATACTATCTCGATAACAATCACCCTCTCATGAATCTTGAGGTGATTGGAAGTTGAGGTCGGAGGTTAAGTGTCGTGTTTGAGGAACATATAAACCAGAGGAAACACTCGGCTAAAATGGTAGACAAAGGCGTCAGTGCTGCTTTGGGCAAAGCCGGACACGGTCAATCAGCAAGTACCACCGAGAAGATTTCCGATGGATTGAGAGGTGCTTTCAAGAAGGTAAGTCATTCAAACTTCCTCCTCGCCAACCTCCCTGTCACCGATGACAATATCCCCTGTCTTTGCACTGTGCGCTCGGTCGTGTCAGAGGAATGCGAAATTAGGGACTGTAGCTGGGAACAAGGAGTCAAGAGCTGACTTATAAGGCCACCGGCAAGGATGTACCGATTGCGGATAAACAGTAAACATCTTCTGTCACCGAGCCAATGGAAGGGAGGAAGACCGTGAAAGACATGAAGTATGCAATTTTTGTATTTAATGTTACTTCTTACACTCCCTCTGAGCCGATTCTCCTTAGTTGATCCACACACTGCTTCCTCCCTTTCCCTTCCTGTACAAGACCCTTTCAATTTCGCAAGGCAGATTGACCTTTCTATAGCCATCCATTCGCTTGTACATCGCCATACTCGTGTAAAATCACGCCAGCACTGGCCCAACCTTCGGCTCTGCCACCTGTTTTGGCATCTTGACCTTTCCGGCACTCCCCATCATCTGTTCCACCTCGCTCTTGTTGAAATAATGAGGTGCCAGTTCCGACAACCATGTACCTTCGATAGGCATGCACTGTCGCATGTACTTTTTCGAAGTGAGAACGAGTTCGTAGTAGAGTATGAACCGTGGTGGCGGTTGCATCCCGATGAGACAAGAGGAAGGATGGACATAGACTGAATGATTGTTTTTGGTCGTTCGATATCCACCACCTTTGTCTATACGTGCCTGTAAAGTTAATTCTGATCCTTCACCTTCATCATCCAACACGCCAGATATGTGAGACTTGTAAATGGAGAGAGGAACAGATAAAGAAAATGTGTAGTGAACACTCACGGTATTGTAGAAGTACCCCGCAGTTATTGCCTTTTGCACTGGTATAATCTCATTCGGTGAACTTTCGATTATCACTTCCACCCTCTCACACAATCCCGCCAACTGATCTCTAATGTCCCGTACTCTCACCAAACTCTTATATTGCATGAAGTTTTCATAACACCATTGTTGAGAATAATTCGCGTCCGCCCATTGTTCGAAGATGTTTAACAAAGTAAAATGATCACCACCGGGTTTGATAAAGTTCTTATGTGCTTTATCAGCATGCACTCTCTTGTCTTTCGGTCGATAAAGCAGTGATCCGGATTCTTGTAACATTGAAATGATAGTGAGCACTTCATGTGTGCATTTATAATTTTCAGAGTTGATAATGGCCTTGCTCAACATTGGATCCACTGGGAATTCCGCCATTCGTCGACCGAGTCTAGTCAATTCGCCTTTATGGTTCAAAGCACCGAGGGCGTAGAGAAGTTCGAAAGATCGAATGATTGTCTCGGCAGGAGGTTTATCAAGAAAGTCGAAATTGAGAACATCGTTGATACCTAGACTTTTCAACATAAGGACGACATTGGCAAGGTTGGTACGTTGTATTTCCGGTATTGTATCTTGTAATAATTCATTTTTGAACGCCCATTTGGTGTACAATCGGAATGCCTTTCCAGGACCAACACGACCTGCTCTCCCTGCCCGTTGTTGGGCAGAAGCTCGAGAGATGGGCTCGACGACCAATGATGACATACCGGTCTTGGGATTGTAATTGTTTTGTTTGACAAAACCGGGGTCGATCACGTAAACCACACCGTCGATGGTGATAGATGTTTCAGCGATGTTGGTAGCGAGAACCACCTTCCTCGCGCCTTCCGGAGTCGGCTCAAAGATCTTAGCTTGCATTTCGCTTGGCAGATTGGCATAGATAGGAGCGATGATGAGTTCTGGTACCTTGTCACCAAGGGCATACATGGTCTCTTTGAGGTTCTCTTCCGTTGCCTCGATCTCATCTTGTCCAGTGAGGAACAGTAGAATGTCGCCTTTGGGTTGAGTGGTGTGTATTTGTAGAATGGTCGTCACCGCTGCATGAATATAATTAGCTTCGGGCTGTTGAGTGTAGAACATGTCAACGGGAAATCGTCGTCCGGGAACATCGAAGATGGGTGCGTCATCGAAGAATGCCGCGAACTTCTGAGCGTTGAGTGTGGCAGAGGAGATGAGTAGTCGGAGTTCAGGTCGAAACCGAGCAATGTCCTTGACTAAACCAAAGAGGACATCAGTGGAAAGAGTTCGTTCATGGGCTTCGTCGATGATAAGGGCGGAATATGTAGATAGTTCAGGATCGGTGAGAAACTCTCGAAGCAACATGCCGTCGGTCATATATTTGAGCACCGTCTTGTCGCTCGTCATATCCTCGAATCGAATCGAATACCCAACTTCTTGTCCAAGACGTGAACCCATCTCATCCGCCACACGAGCGGCGACACTCATAGCTGCCACTCGTCGAGGTTGGGTACAACCCACTCTCATCCCGCCTTTTGTGTACCCTGCCTCGTGAAGATATTGAGGTAGCTGAGTAGTTTTACCAGACCCAGTTTCAGCTACGACGACTAATACTTGATGTTCGGCGATCGCTTCCAACAATTCATCTCGGAATTCGTAGATAGGCAATGATTGTCGGGTCTCTTGAATACTCATTGCTTTCTTCTCAGCAGCAACGATCTGGTCCAGCATCGCTTGAGCTTCCGCCGTTAAAGTCCCGTCCAATCTGCCTTCTTGTAAGAATTGGATACCTTGACTCTCGTCAAAGACATAATCATAAGCTTCCTCTACCACTTCCCTGTCCATGGCGCCTGTTCTCAGATCGGTCTTGTACCGCTGACTCTCCTCCCACTGGTCTACGTCCGTGACGAATTGTCCCTCCACCGGTTTACTCTCCTCGTACCGTTGATACAAAGCATTCTGTCTTTTCTTCCGATCCAACTTCCCTTGCTCGGTGATATAATCGTCAGGTAGCATATAACCATCTGTCCCGTCGTCTATCCGTTGTCGAGCTTCCATGATACGTATCAACTCTTTCTTCCTCTCGTATGCTTCTATCTCCCTTTTGGTCATTTTCTGATCTCTGAACAAAATCTTCTCATCCTCGATTTCCAGCTTCAGGAGGTCTAATCGTTGCTGCTCACGCTTTGTGAGATATTCTTGACGTGATCGTAGTCGTAAATCATCAATGACCGCTTCTCTAGCCTCTCTGTCGTCCGCAAGAGCTGCTCGTTTGGTCGCTTCCAACCCCCCTTCTGACTTGCTCGACCGATCCGTAACAAGTTTCTTGGTCCGATCTCGATCTTTATCCTTCATCCGTTCTGCAAATGCATCTCTCTCTTGAAGATCCTCTAATCGTTCTCTCTCAAGCCTCTCTTCTTCTGTCTCCTCCGGCAGTAGATTCTCTTGCTCGTCTCGTGGTGGCGAGACGAGTCTGACCCGTTTGGGATCTGGATCTTCGTCTGGTGCATCGTCCCAATTTCCGTCGGTCTCCCTCTTCCTTGTCGATCTGCTGAGCTTTACAGCCCCTCCATCTCTGTCTCTTTCTTTCTCTTTCCCTTTAATCTTCTTCTCCTTCTTACGTGAACTTTTCAGGTCGTCATCTTCGTCCAGCATAAGTGTGAATTTCTGAGGTTTCGTCACTGATGCGTTCTTTGTGGACTTAGGCTTTGCTTTTCTCGGAACGAGGGAGTGCACCTGAGCAGCAAAAGCTTGGATCTCGGCGGATTCGGAGAGACCAGTGTTGAGGAGGGCACCGTATAAGTCGTTGACAGTTTTGGAGGACATGGCTGAGTGGCAAGTCAGCAAAGGGCTTTAGGGTGATTCTGTGCACTCACCAAGTGACTGTACGTATTCCACCGTCGCATTGTCTGAAGATCCGAGAATCTGTTGGGAAAACGTCAGCCTTTCTAGTGTTGCAATGAACTTTGAATGTGCTCACTCTGACAACATTGTCGCTGATGTAGGTTTTGAGGTCGGACATGGTGGAAAAGGCCTCTGAGGTGGGACCGGCTACAGGGGTATTGAAGTGTCTCCCCAGTCCACGAGATTCAGCTGCCGGTACTCTGTCCCGATATACTGTTTCCCGAGTAGAGAGGGGACAAAGCTTGCAGGTGCCGACTTATTATGAGAAAAGCGATACACAATATTTCTATCTTACTTCTGAGAGATCTTTGGTCAAGTGCTGGTGGTGATGCATGACGTGGCATAACCTTAAGTTGGTGTGATAAGCTAACCAACTCTTCAACTGGAACAAGTTTATTACTTTTCCTCTGCGCTCCTCAACCCATCGTGCAGTCATGTTCTTCTGCGCCAGTGAGTCTCTTATCCACGTCAAAGTCTCATCAGCTGACAAATATAGTCTCTGGATCTGCTCCCACAAACCCGGTTGTCTCTAAAACGTCAGGGACGGTCTACGAAAAATCTCTCATTCTGCGTTACATCGGTGAGATTCAAACATCTTGCCAAACTTTATCGTGCAAACTAACGTTCCAGAGGAGAATGGTACTGATCCTATATCTGGAGAACCTTTGACAATAGACGATCTTATAGATGTCAAAGCTAGCAAGTCGTTTTTCGTAATCCGCTGAAGATACAATATTTAACTTGATAGAACCTTCAACCCTCCCTCCGCGACCAGCCAATCAAACATCTATCCCTGCTTTACTAGCCGCCCTCCAGGCGGAATATGACGCGATCATGCTCGAATCCTTCGAGATCAAGAAGACTTTCCAGAGTTCGAGACAGGAATTGGCGAATGCTTTGTATCGCGAGGATGCAGCGATGAGGGTCATCGCTCGATTGATGAAAGAACGAGATGAGGCCAGAGAGTAGGTCTAGACTTTTATACAAATTAGAGGAATGGCTGATCATAAGTGCACTTGGAACTATCCAACAGACCATAGGAGTGACTGCTCCTGTTCAAGAAAATGTACCCGCGGAAGATGTCGAAATGCAACCTGAAAGTGCACTTCCAGCTGAGGTTGAGGCGAAAATATTAGAGACGAACCAGGCGTATGTCCCTCTCTTATCTTCTTTCTTCTTCCATATCTGTCCGCGTGCACTACTCTTGATGAAAAGTCATAGTTTGAGGTTGTAACGAATCAATCGTTAATTCTTCAGTTTGTCCTCTGTTAGAAAGAAGAGAAAACCTGCTGCTGGTTATGTCACGGCCGAACGAATCAAAGATTACACTCAAATCAATCATATACCTTCTTTACACGCTACCAAACCACCTGGTATCTCTACCCTCGATCTGGCATCCGATGGAAACGTAGTCATTACCGGTGGACCCGATAAGATTGTACAGATATTCGATATAGAAGCTTCCAAAGTCTTAGGAACATTGAAAGGACATACGAAACCCATCACGCATGTTTCTTTCGTGACGGATTCTCTTGCCGTATCCAGTTCAGCCGACAAGACTGTCAGAGTTTGGGGATCTACAGAAGGTAAATGGTCAGCTTCGGCAACTTTATCAGGACATAAAGGCGATATAACAGGTTTGGCAGTTCATCCTACCAAATCTTACGTCTCGGCAGCTTCGACCGATTCTACTTGGAGTCTATATGATCTTTCAACAGCCGACAAAATATGCGATTATTCGCCTATTCCAGGAGTTGAAGGTTCTTTCTCTTATACTTCTTTTGGAACTCATCCAGATGGTATGCTTCAAGCAGGTGGTACGAAAGATGGTTTAATCAGAATTTGGGAATTAAGAAATTCGAATTCTTTAGCTGCTACTTTAGAATCTCATACTTCTTCCATTACCTCATTATCTTTCTCCGAAAACGGTTATTATCTCGCTACTGCCTCCGACACGGATCCTACAGTTAAAGTCATCGACTTACGTAAATTGTCAGTGGTGACGAGTTGGACTTTACCTGCGGAGAATCAAGTGTCGGAGGTTTACTTTGACCCTTCGGCTCAATATCTAGCGGTGGCAGGGACGGATCTCAGGGTGTATGCCAATAAGACTTGGGAGGAGTTGTTGAAATTCGATGATAATGCGGGGGTTTTGACAGGTGTGAGATTTGGAAAGTTGGGATCAGAGGTGGTGTTGAGTGGAATGGATAGGACTTTGAGGGTGTTGGGAACGAAAGCCGAGTGAGGTAAAAGGGGAATTTGTGTCGAATGCATCGGGTTTCGTTTTGTCGAATTTGTATGCTTACTCTATCGTACTCGTCCCACATCATTCAAGAGCACTCCCCTTCCCCGAGTTACTTGGCTCATCTTTCGATGTATTGACTGCTTGCATTTCGACCCTTTGAACAACCCAAATAAATTTCAACTGAACCATTGTGGGAGAATTTCACAGCCGTCCGGAGGGAATTAGGGCAGCTAAGATTGCTGCGGAGGTCGAAGGGACTGATCAGAGGGCAGGACACATTCAATAAATGTCATCCCAACCAATGTTGGAGTGAAGTAATGACATAATTTGATCGTGTACACATACTGTGCGCTACTTCATATACCATTTTCATCACCCGACCACCGTTCCCTACACCTCTACGTCATTCGATACACCTTCACTCTTCTTCGCACCTTTACGCATGGTCAGCTTCTGTATCCCCTCATCATCTGCCACCGTAGGTAAAGACGCACTCGGACCATCTGGCGACCCTCCACCTTTCGCCGCCGATAGATCCGAATAACTACGCAATTTCCCTTTTCTATTCCGTGGTGAGGTCGGTCTTGATTTTCTCGTATCGATGATAGAAAGGATCTATGAGAATCAGCTACTGTAATAAACCATTACAAGGACTGAAACTCACGTCATCATAATCCACATCGGCCTCTTCTTCATCTTCACTCTCGTATGGACTTCCAGGTGCCGTACTTGGCTCGCTTCGAAGTTTATCACCTTTAGCACCCCACACTTGTCCCACTGATGCACTGCGGGACCAACCGAAGATTCGTTCGTCCAGCCAGATCATGGGATGAGAGAGGACTGATGAATCCGCCTTGTCGGATTTCCGGGCGAACATTCCAGGTGCACGACCTGTTTGAGGGACAGAGGCGGAGGGGAGGATACGAGATTGATCAAAGTTTTCGTATAATTGTGGTCCGAATTCATCTGTATTGTCAGTGAGTGAAACGAACAGTCAAAGTCGATGGAGATGGAGAAGAAGACTCGCCGATGATATCAGAAATGTCGTTTGACAATGCCTCTCGCATCTCACGCAATTTGTTGACCTCTCTCTGGTTCCCAGGCCACAAACTGAGAAATAATGGTCTCAACGATCTGATTGTGAGTTTGATGTGTCAAAAAGGAGGATGTGATTGAACTCACTTGAAAACGTCCATTCCTGCTTCTCCAAATTTCAAAGCAGCATAGCCTAGTGATGGTAATACAGACATCATAATCAAAGGTATCCAACCTCTCCACTCTGGGACTAAATCATTGCGATACGCCACGAAAGTAGTCAGTGCTGTATATACGATATATAGGGAAGGGACGACGGCGAGTGAGACGAGAATCTTCCAAGTGGCCAACACATCTCTCCCCTCGATTTTGACTGTCGAAGCTGCCAGAGCCTCTGCGCCATCAGCAAAATCTCACAAGCAGAGGTCAGCTGACCTTTAGCTTTCTGCCGACTTATCAACTTGGCCAGGATGAACACGGGTGCATGGAGGACCACACCAGGTAGAGCGAGCATTCCCCACCATAAGAGTAGCCCCGTTCGATAGATGAGCAGAAGGAGGGATTTGACACTGCGGTTGGAAGCGCGTTCGACTTGATGATCCGCGATACCCATATCCCGCAGTAAACGATTGTAAGCTATGACACGATGGCGGAGCTCGATGATACGTGGTTCATGTTGATAGTGTAGATATCCTTCCATGAATCGTTTGCTGAGCTCGACCACTTGACCCAAAGTGAGGTGCTGTCCGGGTATCCGGTATAATCTTCTCGCCGCCTGAATGACCTAATGGGTCAGTACCGAGACCTTGTTAGATGGTCCGCAGAGACCCTAGGTTTGCACTCACTTGCATCGTCTCCCAGTCCGGCCCACGGAGAGTGACAGCTCGTAACCCATCATGCACTTGCTCCAAGAGCCTTCCACACGCCTCTCGTTTCTTCGCCCCTCCTTCCTTATACATCTCCACCAAAGCCCGATCGACAGATATGGGAGGTCCAAATTCGATGACAGCTCGGGAGCGGAATTTGTGAGGATGAAAATAAGACAATCCGACGGGTACGAGTTGAACGTCTAATTCAGGATTGGCCGCCATAGCTCCTAATGCCATGATGGAGAACCCAGCTTTCAAGGGTAAAAAGTCGGTCCTGTCATGTGAACCACCTCATCATCAGTCGATCTCTTATAATATATCCAGTAACAGACAACCGACCTTCCGGGAAGATACCAATTGCTCCTCCTTCGTTCAGACGGGTGAAAACAGCACCATAAGTCTGATCTTGTTCCACATGAGGTAAGATCTTATACTGCCATCCCTCCTTTCCCTCACCATCGTTCCTAACTCTCCCAGACGCTTTCACGTTGGTACTACCATCTTTGCCCGGTACTGTGAACTCGGCCTTCAGTTTGACTTCTGTATCGGAAATAACTTCATCGACTAGGGCGGAAGCATACCCAGCTGATTTGGGCAACACGAGCTGAGAGCGGGGTTTGATTTGAGAGGTGAATTTCGTGTCAATGCCGGTGACGATGAGAGGGTCGGTCTCGGATAAAATGATTTTACCTGCACCAGCTTTAGCATAATCTGCCGCTCTAGCGACTGGGACTATTCATCAGCTATGTATCTCCTGTTGAGGTGATTCAAATATACTCACTGCTGTCCATTATACGAGACATTAACCCAATGAACTGTCTTTCCATACTCTGTTCGTCAGCTTGATCTGAAGCTTGAGACGGTTGACTCACCTTGGCAGCGGTGAGTACGGCCACCCTTCGATGTCCCTCTTTACGCACTTCGGAGAAGAGGAGCAGGGGGTCGAGGAACTGGTTGGAATGGGGACCGCAAATGAAGAGAACAGGTCCATCTCTGGGAATATTGAAAGCCCCTCGAGGTCTGCCATAAGCAACTCATAAGGTCGTCGATGAGGATAGGTTACTCACCTGATTTCACGAAAGAAGATGTTGATGATGAAACGCCAGAAGATGAGCACCAAATCGTCTGAAGTATAAGCTTGGAATCTCTTGGCTCTTGGCTACATGTACGTGGATTCGCCGTGGGTTCAAAGGGTGCCTAGTGAAAGGTTCGCTTACACATTATACCAGCTGCCATCTTGCTTTCCTATCTCTAGTCGTTATCGCTGTCAAGTAGAGAAGGGAATAGAGAAAGTAAGCTCTTCTCAAGCTGATATCTATGGCGAGTCGGAAGAAGTAAAGTGGTAGCGGTCGGAGAAGCAAAGATGACGTCGAGGGAGGATAGTCTTTGAGGGTGGAATGTGGCGTCGGCGTCGTAGCCGAAGTTCGATGATGAAACGTGTCGGGTTTCAGCTGGATATAGCTACCGACCACCACAATATATCCCTTCTATCCAGCCAGCAGAATTAGAAAAGTATTTACCACTGCTCAAGCTTTGAATTATGTGGTCAAGGAGCAAACATTTGTTGTGGCCCCAGACTTCCCTTTGACACTTTCTTGTGGGGGAACACGGCTAACATGTTCCGAGTGGCGAACAGGAACGGGTGCACTCGGTGTCGGCCATCGCCGCTTAGTGTCTCTCAACAATTTCACCTCAGATGGTCAAAGATCAAAGGGCAGAGGAGTTGATAAGATTTTGACATTGAAATTCGACCAAGAAGACAAGAAGTAGTGGGACTTGTGCACTACGGACTGACAAAATGTCGGCAAATCCATTATTACCACCCATGTATCTTCCCGGACAAGAGCCAATGCCTCCGGGAACGACACCGCAAGAGAGGGAAGAATTCCAACAGATGTTAAAATATCAGAAGATGATGGGAACTGTAATGGAGAGTTGTCCACTCAAGGTGGTTATGGCAGGAGGAGCAGGTAAGTTTTCTCCTTGCCTTTCTTTCTCTCATTACCATACAACAAAATGAGACTAGTAAAGACACATCTGTTGCTTTAATCGCGTATTCATCAACGGAATTTGAATGAAGCCCGAATGAGGTTTGAAGATGATTTCAAGGTCATGAAATTGATACACAGGTTTCCTCATGGGAGGTTTCTTCTCCCTCATGTCGGCTACTTTCGCATATGAAGACCCTCTATCTCGAGCCTCTCGAGACGTAGTTGGTACTCGTGCTCAAACTGCGTATGTGTTCAAAGAGATGGGAAAGAGTATGTGGAGAAGTGGGAGAGGTTTCGCTAAGGTTGGTGCGTTGTATAGTGGGGTAGAATGTGGGATAGAGGGGGTGAGTCTTCAAGATATCCGCTCATGTTTCCCATATACCCCTAATTCTCCAATATCGTTTCTCCTACAAGATCCTTCAATTGGAAATGTCTCTATCGTTAGTAGGGAACTTAGTAGCACTGTTGGAGAAGTTTTGAGAGGGAATATGACACCTTTGTTTAGCCCCAGACGATAGCAGGAGTGTGAGACAGGCAGAGTAGGGTGAGAAGAGAACGCTGATGTCAGTATCGAGCGAAAAACGATCTGACAAACGCAGTCTCAGCTGGGTTCGTAACAGGTGCTATTCTAGCTCGTAATTCCGGTCCAGTAGCTATGGCGGGGGGAGGTGCTGCTTTCGCGGGGTTTTCAGCGGTCATAGATTGGTGGTTACGACGTCCACCAGCGGAAGAGATATAACACTACGAGGGGGATAGTGAAGGATGGAAGGATTTGATATCAATGAGTCTTTAGAATGGAAAGCATCAGCACCACTCGTTAGAATCGATCAGAATCAATGGAGGAAGTCGAGATGAGGGGAATTGTTGTATCACCATAGAATGCATGGCATTGTGGATTCTCCTTGTCCCTCGGACAAGAGAAGAAGCAACCGGTACTCATAGGCAGCCAGAAAATACCAAGACAGAGATTGTAGGGAATACAAACGAAGAAAGACGATGAAAATATGAGAGTTGATCGTCAAGCCGGGGAACCCAGGAAGAAACGATTGATCACGTCTCTTTGAGATACGCAGCAGGAACTAGCCCTCTTTGACCATTACCATCCTCGCAAGTCCACCCTGTAATTTAGTCTTACTCTTATCGTTCGCTTGTCACGCAATTCAGATGAAAAGCGGTCGGGGAGGTGTACATCCGTCTAGATTGCAACCGCGGAAGTGAGATGAAGCCCACGACCAGAGGGCTGATTAAAGAGAAAGTGAACCTCACAATCATCCGAAGTCTTCTCAAGAACATTGACAATCTGTCCTTTTTGCACCCCCAAATCACCTTCATCAGCACCGACATAATCATACAACGCCAAGGCTTGTCCTTCCCCCGTCATTGTCTCCGTCTCAGTAGCGATGACCTCCACGGTCTGGACTGATCTTCTGGGCGGAGGAGGGAGATTGGCTTGACTGTGTGATAGTGCTGATGGTTGGTAGTGTTCAACAGTGGGGGTTTTGACTGGGGTCAGTACATGTCGTTGATGATCAAGATCGGATGGTATCTGCCATGCATTTTCCATTTCAGAGACCCTCTTCCTAACCGCGTCCGGAACATATGAATCGAGGTTGGTCAGGAGTTGAGTTGTGGAGCTGGAAGGATGGGAGACGAGAGATTTGAAGATGAGAAAACAAACCTTTTTGTGGATCTTTCCACATAGATTTGAATGCTGACATGCCCGAGCTAGTATCCACATGACCGAAAGTCTGTCGAATCAGCTTCAATCTACTAGTCATGAATCACACCCGTAATCAAGTCATGATGATGTGAGTGACTTGTAAAATGATAAACCTCAGGAAAATTACAAGTCTGATAAATTGAAAAGATACCACAGGAACGTCATACAATGAAGTGAAGAGAGTGAGAGATGAATTCACCTTTGTCGAAACCAATCCAGAAACACCCTTTTTTCCACCCGTCTGAGTAGTCTGAGTTTCTTCCACCTTATTCCTATCTTTATTAGAATTAAAAGATCTATCAGCACCCCTTACCAAACCTCCCATCCCAGCTTTATCCAAAGCTCCCATCGCCCCAGTGTTCTTAGCTACCATACCTAATCCCGTCTTGGCCCCAGAAGTTCCATGTTTGATACCCGCCACTACAAAACGAGTGGTCATATCCGGTTTATCATTCTGAGATGTCGTTTCAGTAGGTGGTGATTGTGGGTATGTATTTGTATTCGAGGGAGAATGAGCCGGAGGGAGAGACCGAGGTGACATGGGAGATGGGGCTGGTGGAAGGATACGGGAAGATGTGGAAGGTGGACGTTGAAGAGTTGGTGAGATTGAATTAGAGGAAGATTGTGAGAGTAAATGAGGACGAGAAGCGAAGTATTCATCTAAAAGAGAAAAGAAAGCTTCCTGATCATTATTAGCAGATAATAAGGGAAAGGAGGGAATAGAATTTACTTTATCTGATATGATGTCAGCTTTGTGATGAAAGGGGGTGGAAGGAAAACGGACCTTGATAAGTGATATTGGAGAACATGACTTGATAGCTGCGTTCGATCCACACCACAAACGAGATGAGAAAAACAGAGACAGATACTCGAGTAAGTTATTCGAAAGTGAGAGGATATGGGTTCAGGCCTCAGGGTGAGCGATGACGAGGGACAGCCAATGTCAGTGGATCAGTGGCAGAGTGGCATCTTTTCCATCTCAAACCGTCACTCACCGATCACCGATGGTACACGGAACATCGTTGTAGCTCTCGAGGCCAAGGAGAGACAGGTCCCAGGATAGGTGAGCAGGCGTGTCTATGAGCAAGCAAGCAAAGATAGCATCAATATCATTCACACCCCACCTCTTCAAATGAACCTAGATGCAATATAAATCTTACAGATATTCCAAAGCTCCTCCCTCACTCCTCAAAAGCGAATGCCCCTGCCCCACCTAATCCCTCTTCTCGTCCTAACATCCCCCAGCCCCTTATCACCTCCATCTTTCTTGAATGCCACCCTACTCCGCTACTGACGCTACCTTTAGCTTGGCTCAAGTCGACCAACCATTTTCTCCATTGGTGTGTTTCCGGTAAATGTCTGACAAACTCTTTCTTACCTTCCACTGAGATAAATTGACCTGGATCCACACCTTTTTCCTTCGAAGATACATCGGTGTTTCTGCCATCCATTTGATAATCCTGGTTGATTTTTGATAAAGAAGCAGAAAATTGATCGCGAAGTGAATCTACCCATCCTGCCGAAGTGTCAACATACCATCCTCTACCACCTTTACTCCAAATAATCTTCCATTCTGTATTACCTATCTCTTCGACCCCCATTCCCACCCTCCGATTCAATTCTATTACTCTCAATCTCGTCAATCCCTCTTCTCTCTTCTTCAGCTTGTCCAGCGGTTCCGTGAGCGACCCAAGGGTAAAAGGAACTTGCGTGCAAGGATTGATGAGTCGCATATGAAGTTCTAAAGTGATCATTAATGGTGTAGCCATCGGTCCTAAAGAAGTTTCATTCGCGGTACCAGTCAACGAAAGTATTTCTACGTTTCTCGCTTGTTGCAATAAGAATTGAGCGATAGGTTTCAGAGGTAAAGTTGGAATGTGAGATAGACCTAGACTGACCAAGGACGGTTGCGGTGGGAATATTTCAGGGGTCAAGTGATGAGGTGTGAAACAGGAAGAGGAGAGATCGAGGTAACGTAGTTTACCGGAAGTGAAACAAGGGCTTTGCGAGAGAAGTATCGTGAGATCTTCAGAACTGATAGCATTACCTTGTGTAGGGTTGACGAAGAGATTCAAATCGACCAGATCTGTCATAGCGGGCGAACGTACGATCATTTGGACGATGAGATATGGGTCAAGTCGTGGACATCTCGCCAAGGATAACGATATCAATTTCATTCCCTTGGGAGGCGAGTCGGTGAGACTTGAAAGTAAAGCAGAGGGAACACGAGTGTTAGAGAGGTCAAGATGGGTAAGATTGGGGAAACAGAGTACTAGTGAATGGAGCAATAGAGGGTCAAGAGATGTACAAGCTCGGAGAGAAAGTCGTTGTAAGGATGTGAAACGAGGAGCTCGACGTTGAGTTGATAATTGATTGATGGACATTGAGAGTTCTTCATCTTCCGTCTCAGTCTCGCTCATATTCTCCAATCCACTTCTGTACCGAGCTCGACCCCTGTCACGAGAATGTTGTTCCGGTTCGTCTTCATCGAGATCATCCAGCCAAGTATCGTAGAACTCGCCCATTGCGTCTGTGAACGCCCTGCTAACACAACCGGTCAAATCGAGTGCTTGAAGAGGGGTGAATAACGCTCGTCGACACCATTTCTCGACATCATTTTCTTCTTCGTATGGCACATATACAGGTCGAGGTGGATCTACCTGATCACTTGTACTTGAAGGTGGAGGACCAATCGAATGTGAACGGACACGAGAGAGTGATCTGTTTTGCGAAACACTGCGACGTCTATGAGAAGATGGTGAATGATAACCACGAAAGAAGAGTTCTTCGACGACTGGATAAGTGAGGGAAGAATCTACATATTCAGTCATACATAGGGACACAAGGTTTGGAGCATTCTACTCGTTATTCACTTTTCTCTATCCCCTCTAACAGTGACAGCCAGTTGAAGATCATGCAACTCACCTTGATGACACCCTCCAGTCGCCCGGCAGTGACATATCTCCCTCTCACCGCTTCTTCTTGTGATCGTCTGCTCCCAATTGTACGGAAGTTGATAAAAGTCAAATGACGAATGTAAGGTCCAGGAGAAGGAAGCAACTCGCTTTCTTCCTCTCTTCTACTTTGATTTCTCGGCAGTGCTCTGAGCTTTGATCCTATCTTCGGGGTAGATGGTAAAGGCATAATCTCATCTTTTGCCTCTTCTTCATCCTCGTCAAGACTTCCCGTGCACGGTCGATGAATGCTGGGGGATGAGTGACCAGTGGAGCGAGATCGGTCTGAACCAAGGATCGAGTCGATGCTTGGACTTCCGACTCCTAAATTTCGTCTTGGGGATCTAGACCTTCCCCTCAATCTAGTGTTGCGCAAAGCTGGAATAGCCGTCGCATTTGTAGAAGAGACGAAGGTGGAAGTAGAAGGTGACTGAGGCGTAAGAACTTGAGAATCGCTGATCACATTCGGGGAAGGATTCCTAGATCGAGGTGGAGTAAGCAACAGGGATGCGCGAGGTGGCGGAGAAGAATACATCTCCCAATCTTGCAATCTCACTCCTGGTACCGTCGAAGATCCAATTCCTGCAGGGGGATACGTTTGACTAGGAGGAAAAGCCCTGTAAAGTTGATAACCTCCTGGAACTGTTTCAGGTTGAACATGAGCATCTGCCGCCGGCCCCGGCCCCATATCCGGAGAAACAGGCGTGGGTATGTCTTCCTGAGTTGGGTATGTCGAAGTAGGTCCGGATAGTCCAGGAAACTTGCCTTCTATGGGATTGGAAGGTAAGGGAACATCATCCGTCACTTCCTCGGTCAAAGCGTTGACTATAGCTAACCAACCTCGACCAGAGCGTACATCCACGTTTTCCCATAACCATGGCCGAGCACTTTCGAGGGTTTTGGAAGAAGCGCGACATACCACTGCGAGTTGATTGAGAGGAGTTTGGTCAGGCGGTGGCAGAGGGTCAAGAGGAGGATGGGGATGCAGTGGTGGGTCCGGGGGAGATTGGGACTTTTGCCGAGAGGTTCGAGGTACTGGGAAAGGGAGGAAGGGAGGTGAGATGAGTGAGAAGATGTGGGACAGGACGTCTGAGGGTAGATTGGGCAGATTGGAGGACATTTCAGGTTGAGTAATGTTCATGAAGTGATCAGGTAGAGACGTGGGGTCGTTATTGGGATAGAGCACATTGAGAGGCAAGTTACTATGATAAGGAGTGAAAGTAAGCAGTGGGGGAGGGAAAGTAAGAGCAGTTCAGTTGTGTCGTCGGTGGCAATTGCGCGCAATATGTGGAACATTCGGCCGGATCATGAGATCACATCCCAGCATCATTTCCTTTATGACCGGATCAATTTCGTCCTGGCATATGCATATCATCCTTCCAAGGGAGTATAGATCGTCGACTCTGTCACTATGTATAGGCTAACATGCACATCTCTCAAGTCTTTCAAGCCTCTCTCAATCTCGCCTTCTCCACCTCTATCGCCTCCTGCAACCTAAAGATTTCCTCCTGAGTCCGATCGATCTGCTTGGTGGTCGTCGCTGCCTTCTCCGGATACTCCGCCAAGATCTTTGTCCAATTCTCTATCGCCTGCAACTTCTTCAATATCGATCCTTGCAAATCTGTCAAGATAGCAGAGTTCAATTCCGATGTGCTCGCTCGGCCTGTTAACCCGGGTGTTGACGAAGTTGCCTGAGTCAGAGGTGAAAGATCTAAACGTTTTCTTTTCTTTTTCAGAGGTTCCTCTGATTCCGTCTTTGTTTCTGCCATCGAGGACCGAACTGGTTTCACTGGAGATGACGATCTGGAATTGAACATGGTTTGTGAAAGCTCGTCTTGCTTCTTCTCCTGCCTCCGAAGTTTCCTCCTCTGGCTCTTGGTTAAACCCTCGTGAGCGAGGGGTTCTGACGCGGCGGCCGGACGGTCCGATGTGGTGGTCGGAGGCTCAGATGTGTTGGCTGGACGGTTCAATGTGTTGGTTGGAGGATCTGATAGCGGAACCGATGACATAGCGGCATCTGGAAAGGGATTAGTGAGTGGTGCGGTAGGATCTAAGGGTTTCCAATAAATCTTCAAAGACCCATCTTTGACTTTTCCAATCCTCACTAATCTGGTGGGGTTGCCTTGGGTATCAGGTACACTGGCAGTTCGACCTTGCGTCGCACGCCAATATCCAAAATTCGCCGTATCCCTTCTAGCTTCCTTGGTATACCACTTCGGTGGAAGTGGACGGTGAATTATGTAGGGATATTCAGAGAATGGGATCTTTTCCGGGTCAAGGTTGGTGAAAACAGAAGGATTAGTCGTCTTATTTGGATGTTTCGCCTCTTTTTGAATCTGGTTAAGGGGTCTAGTCGAGCCAGAGCTAGATGCGGATGCGGACGCGGACGCAGATGGAGGTGAGGTGGAGAGTCGTGGTCGTTTACTTGACGATGGTTGGGCAGTCGACACGGGTGGACTTGGAGCTTTTGCGAGGCTTAAGGCGGTAGACGTAGCGGGCGGGACAGGAGCAGAAGCAGGAGGTAGCGTAGACGCAGGCGGATGAGTGGGTTCCGGAGTGTTTTGAACTTCCACAGGTAAAGCAGACGTCCCAGATGTTTTCGGGCCAGGTATTCTCACCCAATCCCAGGCTACTCCATCATCTCTCCATTTAGGATTGGTGACTTTCTTTCCTTCAGCTGCGAGTTGAGCCGTGATTTTTTTCTTGAAAGCTGCACGCGCAACATTTCTTCGAGATGTATCTTTGCCCCAAAGAAGAGGATCCACGTCGTTTCGCCTGCAGGTCAGAATCTGCGTTTGAAAATTGATTCACGGCATATGAACCAATGTATAAGAGGCGGTAGACAGTCAGAAATGCTGGCTTGCAAGATTGGTAGGCTGGGATAGATCGACATGGCCTGGTGCAGATTGAGAAGAGTAATGACATGCCGGATAGCGAACGAAAAATCACTCACATATAAGCTATCACACCTCTATCTTTCTCCACCTCTGCTATTTTACCCTCCACCTCATTTACATCGTCATTCACCAAATCCATCTTCTCGTCCATTTGTTCCTCCCCCCTGTCTTTCCCGACTACAGAATCGCCCACCGGCGGTTTTGGGAGTATCACATTCCTTTTCTTAGGTTTAAAGACTAATTTCCGAGGAGGTACATCCGTTTGTCCAGTTGTCGTTGGGGGAAAGACTCTAGGAGCAGGTGGAGCAGGCAGAAGGGGCGGAGTGGGTTGACGAACTTGCCAAGACGGTCTTCTATCGATTTCCGTCGGTTTGACAGATAAGGACGGTCTTCTATCAATTTCCGTCGATTGGACAGATGAGGACGGTCGGGTAGGTATGTGAATATGAGTCGGGGATGACGGACCAGCATGTATCGATCCTCTATCATCTATTTTCGTGTTGTTAAAATTCGGTGGGAGATCCCATTCGATAGGTTCTTCCATTTCTGTAGGTGCAGAAGGGCTGTATCTCTTTTCAGAAGATAATGAACTATACATTTCTTCCGGTGGTCTCCAAGTGTCGGCGGGACGATAATCTCTTAATTTGAGTGGACTAGGTTCTCTTGAAAAGTATCGATGTCTTGATTCATTTCCACCACCTCCATTATCATACCTTCTTTCTCTTTCTGACCAACTTCTATTCGATTGATCATGATTTCGTCCCTCATCCAATCTCCTCATCCCTCTGTCTGTTGGGGAACCATACCTTCCCCGTCCCCTGTTAGTTGTTGTCGGAGCATGTCCATATCCTTCCCCTCTTCCATCCTCACGTTCTTGATTAGGTGTCCGTGTCCGTGATGGACCATCGTCTGTGGTCGCCCAAGTAGGTTTGAGAGGTAAAGATGATTTCGGTCCAGAAGGTGGTATACCTCTCAATTGTCTGTCACTAGGAGCTCTAGGAGTTTCGATATTCGTTCCACTTCCTTCTGCTTTTCCTCTTCCGTCATCCTTGAAAGCAGCACCGCCCCGTATGGATCCTCCTCTTCCTCTTCCTCTACCTCTACCTCCACCCCGACCTCGATAAGCAGCACGAACGACAGGCACACCAAGAGTTCCAACGCGACGGTTGGCAGCTGCCAAATTTGGCATGGCATCTCTGTCCTCAGGCTTACGAGGAGCCTCCCCTGGTAAAGCGAGTCGCGGCATGGTGAAAAGTTACGGTTTGGGTAGATGTATTCAACAGGAGTAGCGAGCAATAATTTGTAAACAGGGTATTCTTGACATGATGAGTTGTAGACGAAAGGAGACGAAATTGAAGAACAAAATCTTTGCGCTAATGACTTTGTCGTTTGTGCGATGTTTCCGACGGAAAATCACAGTATATGTATATGACGAATATGGTAAAAACATGCGTAGATGCAGATGATAAAATGTCTATGTGACTTGTTGACCTCTGGCATGTACCAATACGTCCCTGATCAACTTCACAGACTCTTCTTCCTCCCCTTCTATCTCTCCATCACTATTGATGCTTTTGGAGACTAACTGACTATCTATCGCCCGCTCAAGTAGACCCCATTGTTCTTCCTCTTCGTGTTTCTGCACCCATAGCACGTACTCGGTTTCGGACCATTGATGCACTTCATGTGGTAGCAGAAGAGGCGAGAGGACTATGATGTGATGCAGTAGTATGAGGGTGGGGAGATGGACGGTCTCAACAGGGTTGGACAAAGATGAACGTGGCGCGAAGAGGATTGAACTGGAGATCAGCTCATTTGCTTCATACTTTCACATAATCACGACCTTTGCAGGCGGGGGCGAGAGATGGATAGGATGAGGCAATTTGAGGTGAAAAGGGTCCGCTGGACGTACCGGAATCCCCTCAAGGCTAGATACTCATCGCCTACCTTTTCTATTCTCAATCCACCCCGTTGCCCAGGAACTTGACCGGTGCTCAACAGACTCGCGATCCCCATCTCTAGTTCAGTCATATCTCCCGTCAATTTCAGCTTGCCACTTTCACCCATTGGCCGTGCTATACTAGCGTGTAGAAGGAAGGTTCGAATGATATATCTACTCAAATCCAATATCCTATTCGTCAGTGGTCAGCTTTGATTCAGGGTAGTTTATCCACCCTTCCACTTGGACATGAAACGGACTTACCACTCTCTCATGAAATCCCCTAATGACATTCTCCCAAGCAGCTCCACTTTGACAAAATTGAGCTTATCAATGACGTCCTGCATGTACGGACTACCTCCCCTGTTTCCCATTGACATGGGATCAACGGGTTTGGCAAAGTCGACTTTGTGTATTCTGGCTAGTGCACTGCCGATCTCTCGTCGAATCACCATATCAAGGGCATCTGTTATACGTTTATGTGATGATTGAAGATTCTGTTACATGTCAGCATAGGATCACTTGATGATAAAGCGACGTACATCGACAGAGACTTTGAGTATATCCCACACCCGTCCGGAGAAATCATGCTCGACAGATCTCAGGTTGTACCGGAGATGATATAGACATCCAACAGCTTGGGCATTGACTAACTGAGCCGGAGTCGCCGATGGCCCTATCAAGGAAGTCGCAGTGAAATCTCGAACAATCTGAGATCAACCTTGGCACCAGGTGTAACGAGAAGCACGCACCATGGCATCCAAACGGGATCCAAAAGTAGATAGGACTTTGACAGCGTTTCGAGCAACTGTTCGAGCTAGTAAAGGATCAAATTTGGCAGAGTCTAGCTCGTTCGTGATCGTGCGAGCTATTGTCACGCCATCAGATGGCCCGGGTGCGGTCTGTCTGGCGGAAGAGTATTGTGACAGAGCAGAGGTAACAGCCTCGTTCATTCGAGTCGTCCCTCGAGAAAGATAGAGAGTCTCAAAGACAGATACTGATCTGAGTACCAGAACAGCTTCAGGGCTGTATTTGTCAATCTCAGACCTTGACAAGATACGTGATGACTGACCTTTGATGCTCCCGAGTATATATCGTATCCGTGTGCACCGCAATCTTTGCGAAAAAATCGTGAAAAAGACGTAACAGACGGGGATAACCGTTGCTCAGAGCTTGTTGCAGCCATACTGAAGCTGCATGTCAGTTCGGTACTCAGACAATCAATCACTTACACTTTGCCACTTCTTTGGTTTGCGCTTCGAACGCTTTTGCTAGTGTGGTCCAGAACATAAAAGACGGCTTGTCGTCCAAGGTCGTCATAACCTCTTCTAAGAAGTCAACCTGGGTATTGGGATCTCTCTTCATCCGCAGTACTTTTTCCAAAGTATACACCTATATCCTCAGCGCCTATCTTGTGGACCTGAAAAGGTACGAGCTTACCTTGATGCAACAGTTGGCAATGTCCTCAATAACCTTCTCCAATCGCGCCCAGAGCACATTCGTCCATTGTTGGGCATTTGATGATGACGGTTCGGTAGCATTTCGTCCACGAGCTGGGAACTTAATAGCACTAGCTGCATGGCCCTCTGCAGATTGTTAACAAGGGAGTAAAGTCGTAAATTGGCTCACCTTTCGCGGCGACTTCTCGACCAATTGCAGCAGAGTCGAAAGCTCGTTGGACACGCAAAGTGACAGCGTCGTTAAGGTCCATGAGTAGATTCTGCACCAAAGCGGATAACAAGCCAAGATTGTGAGCTGTCTGAAGCGACGATGACATCAATCCTTGATTCTGCCCTTTCAGTCGTGCTCTTCTCATACACGACAGAAACTCACAAGATCTGCTAAGCCGTTGATCACCATATCCTCCATCTCGTGGATGATTGTATCTCTGGCTTTGTTCACCACCGGTTGGTAAGTCTGCACAAAAGCTAGTGAATCCAAAGGTAGTGGGTCCGATTCGGTAGGCATTCCTTCCTCCGTCGCTATCTCAGGAGGCTTCAATAAAGCGTCTACGATGTCAAATAGTCTTCACATGATATAAAGATAGGACCGACCAAGCTCTGCTACGCTCAAAGCAGCTTTCGCCAGTTCACGCTCCTTCTCTCCTTCACCGCTACCACCTGGTGCGATCTTGGTCCTCTTCATCTGTCCCTCCAGTCTACGAGCCACAAGCACAAACCGTGCTGCCCGGCGGGTCAGATCCGAAGCTAAAGCCAAAAGGTGTTGCCGTCGTACAAGAAGTGAAAGATGCTCGTAAGGCGTATGTATTTTCGTCTGTAGACGGTCAAGGGAGCTGGAAAGCGAACTGAGGGAAGAGCGGATTGGAGCCAGATGGGATGAAAGAGTTAGGGATGTCGTCAGATGAGCAAGGAGTAGGGGATATGAGTTTGCGATCTAGAATCTGTCAGATCACAAAGGTTATAAAGAGTAGGACACACCTCCTGGCGGAGCTGCTTGGTGACATCTTCCTGATTTTGTCAACAAGCTGAGCTTGGTATGAGAGAGAGAGAGTACGAACGATGCCATAGCTGAGACGTGCCAGCTCTACACCGGCATCTGCTATACCTGACTTATCCTCACTCCTACTTCTGTCCGTAGAAGAGCCAGCTTGTGGATCATCTGGTCTGTAGACATTGCCAGAAAGGACAGCATTGGCATAATCATTGACATCGAACCGGTCGGACAGGAATGGCGTCTGGTCTGCAACATTAGCACGGTCTCAACTCTTACACGAAACTCGCACCTATGTAAGTATCAGTAACCATGAGTGTTGTACCCTACCTGCCATGAGAGCACTTCTCGAGCTTCTACAAGACGAGTAGTGGTGATATTGCGGAAGGAGTGACGAAGAGGTGATGTCAAAGGCGCAGCTACTTCGATTCCTCTTCTTCAAAGATCCATCTTGAATCCCAGTTCCCGCCTGTTTTTACTTCTCTTCCACCACTTACCACTTTTCCCCGAATACGCAATCGTCAAGGACCTGTACGTTTGAAGGCACGTATCAAGTATTATGTCTTCCCTTGATCTCACTAACCAATGGCTGAGAACCGTCCTTCAGCCATACCCTTCCCGAGAACGTATTCTACCCGAGGTCATGGACGTTCTCGCTCAGTGGCGTACTCTCAGTGTCAAGACCGAAGCTTTCAGTAAGTCCCTCTCCCTGCTTGCATCTCATATTTTCATTGACCCACAAGCATTTGACACTGGTCATACAGCCCTACTTCTTCTGTTACACGGTACACTTCCCATCACCTATCGAGGGGCGACTTATCAAATCCCCATTCACATCTGGGTACCGACCGAGTATCCTCGCGCACCTCCCTTGGTGTTTGTCGTACCGACGGCCGAGATGGGTATCAGGAAATCTCATGAGGTGGAACCTGGAGGAAGGGTCAGGGATATCGTTGTGGAAGAGTGGTGGGGATCTTGGGAGGTGAGAATAGCTAGCACTCTTTGGACGTCCATCATGGCTGACATGAGGGTAGATCAAGACCATTGGAGTTCTTCTACGACATTTGACCGATTTGTTCTCTCTTACACCACCGGTATATGCTCGACCACCAGATCAGCCAAAGAGTCCATCAATAGCCACCCCTCACCGACCTTCTTCTGCCGCCGGACCCGCGGCTGGACCCTCAGTGATGGTGAATTGATTTCGGTGGTTCAGGGGGTTCTCGTACTTATATGCAGACACAACCTCCCCCTCCTCCAGCCCGCCCATCTTTAGGACCAGGGTCGAATACCGAGGTAAGTGGTGATTTTAGTATGCGTATCAATCTTATGCGTAGACACTACCTTCATATAAACCCTCCACGAATCCCTCAGCAGGACAATATACACCTCAATCGCCTATCCGGCAAAGTTTCATCCCATTCAGTCCTCAGTCTCCCCAATCTCCACCAGTTCCTCAAAGACCACACGCTGGACCATCACGGAATGATAGCCTGCCCAGTCAAATGTCTGGTCCATCTCAGCAGTCCTTCATGCCCAATATCAATCCTCCCCTAGCTTCATCTCCTCAACCTCAGCATCCCGCATTTTCTGGACAAAGCATAGCAGCTCATATTCTGGAGCCATTACGACATCACACTCCGCCTATTCCACCACGAGGCTTCACACCTGCTCATCCTCAAATAAACACCCACTCACCCGATCATTCATCTCAAGTTTACCATCCTCATGATACACCTCCACCTACTGTACCTTCGCATCCCCAACATTCACCGCCCGCACATTCCGTACCAACTCGAAAGCCCATAGCTGATCTTCTTTCCTCCCCGTTGTCATCCACGACTGCACTTCCGTCAGATTCAGCGGAGAAGACCGCACCTCCCCCTCTTCCCCCGTCTAAACCACCGCCTCCGTCTCTCCTCCATCTCCATTCGATCCTCTTGCCCCATCTCAATGCATCACTCCCTCCTCTCATTCAATCTTTGCAGACAAATCGGAATCACTTACTGGAACGTCGAGAAGATTTAACCTCTGGGGAACCGGCGATTCGGGACGAAATGGCTCGCCTACTAGCCGTAAAAAAGGTGTGCGACTCGACTGGTCGGAAGATGGAGGATGTGGTCGCTCGAGCAGAGGAGCGAGTTGCAGATCTAGAGCAAAGGGGGGAGGTTAGCGTCGATGAACTGGTCTGTGGGATTAGCATAGTGCACAATCAGTAAGTCAACATCCGAATATCATCTTCAGCTGAGTGCTGATGGTATAGACTTATTGATCTGGTGGCGGAAGACAATGCTATCGAGGACACAATCTATCATTTGACCAGAGCCTTAGATGCGGAACGTATCGACTTGGATCGATTTCTCAAAGTAAGCTGACTCTACGCTGAACGTGCACAGGCTTAGCTAACCTTGTAGTCTATCAGATCCCTAGCAAGGGAGCAATACATGAAACGGGCCCTCGTTGAGCGTATCTTGACAGGGATGGGACAGAAACAAGATTGGTGATCTGATGCATCTAGCCATTACTTTCACCCAAGCCTCCTCAATCCCTCCTCAGTCACTCGTGTCACTATACAATCCATCGTGCTCGACCCTAACCCTTTCCGGGATTGAAACCAGCTGTCTAGTCAGCCACACACAGCCTCACGACTCGAGATAACAGGAGAAGATACTGACGATAAACATATCTCTGATTGGCAAAGGTGGTGACATGGACTTGCTCATTATGCTTGGCCGTCACGGCCGGAAGCAGGTTTGCTCGATCCCATCCATTGAGATCTCTGCCTTTGGGTTTAGGTACGAGTTTCGCCGCTTTGTTGAATAACCACCAGAGTCCCGCCTGTCCCGTCAACCCGTTTATAACATTTCTCAATTCAGATAACCTACCAATGCCAACAGACCACCGAGGACACCTCCAACGATTGCGCCTGTTCATCAGTTTCACCCGGGCGAGGAATGGTTCATGCAACTCACCGACATTAGGCGTAGCGGTCGTTGTGGCTCCAGGTAAGGTGTCGCCAGAAGCTGATGCAGAAGATGAAGGATTAGTGAGTGTCGCAGATGTACTTGTGCTGCTTCCGGTGCTGCCTCCAATCGGCGTTCCATCCGGTCCACTACATGTCAACTTCTAAACGTGATGAACGAATAAGAAAGAAAAACTGACTAAAAGCTTACGCCGCCAGAGGGTCCCCATATGGTCATAGAATCAATCACCAAACCTGCGCCTGTACATTGAATACTGACTAGATGTTTCTGTGTGGTGTCAAGGTTGGAAGTGAAGAATAGAGGAACTGAGTGAGCTTGGACATTCGAAGAAGCGGATAGGGTGGCAGTGAGAACGGAGTCTACTGTTATGGTGAAAGTACCCAAATTGGGGGAGACGGCTCCGACGATGAGTATTGATGCACCTGAATCTGTCAGTTTCGGTCCACTGACCGTCTCTTCACCTACAATCCCTCGAAACAATTTCCCGCGTCTCCGATGTCACTTGAGAGTCGTGTGAAAACGATGAGTGACTCATAAGAAGGTATATGATGGTTGACGATACGACTCACCTTGAAATGTCACATTAGCTGTCGCTCCTGAAGTAGTCGTCTCACTCAATGTCCCTTGATGATCCTGTGAGCCGACCGGTACCATAGCTTGCGTGTTGGCACTCGAGAACCCAGCATAGGTAATGGCATTGGAGGCATCATCAATCGTCACATTTTGTTGTTCTGATCTATACATTAACTTTATCCGCTGTCTTTCGCTACACATCTGACGAGTTCCCGACAACATCTCGCTATCTCCATGGGTTCGACGGGCCAATAGTATTACAAGATCTGGGATGTTTGACTTACCCGGCGGGAGAATAATAAGTCTCCACCCAAGCTCCTCTAAACGTAAATGGTGACTGTGAACAATCCCCAGATCCACACTGGACTCCTAGTTCGTATGTCTGTACCCCAAAACTACTCACATCCGTGGTATTCCCTGACACCCACGGATAAGCTGGTTGTGAACCTTGAGCCACTTGAACGGCATAATCATTGGTCTCTTCCCAAATAGGAGTAAAAGTTGTGGCTATTGTCAGCTTACATCAAAATATGTATGGAACATACCATATATGGAAGGTAAAATGACTCCAGCAGGTCCAGAAGTCTGAGCGGCGGTGTTGTTCCCTGATGGAAGGGAAGGATCAAGAAGGGTAGTCCATGATGCCGTGAAAGATGAGCTGGAGAAGTAAGTTGGGGAAGGAGAATAGAAGAAGAGAGGTGAAACGGCAGGTAACCACAGGTTAGACGTCATCAGTCCTGCTGATAACTCCCGATGAACTAGATGAGAAACATAAAAGCTCAGAGGGAGTCATGGTTGAATGAGCGATTATGGGTGGTTTGGGGGAAAAGAGGGGTTGAGGGTGAAAGGAAGATGTGGTAAAGGAAGTCTCCGGCATCCGAGGAGAGCTTGGGAATCTTCCTTATCCAGCTTATCCTGGAGTGGTTTGTTACTGCACCTCTCCTGTAGGGCCGATGCTACCCTGTCATCATCATGATCTTGTTGCCTCCTACAATGATCAAAATGACAGACAACGCCACATTGAGGATGTGCCACAATGGACAGAAGTGGAGGTGATCCGATCGCGTCAACCAACTTACGCGCACAACTTTGCCCCCCCCCCCTATCGTTCGTGTTCTTTGCGATCCTACTTGTCAATACCTCGAATACTAAGCTCGTTGATAAAGGGACAAGATGCAGGCTCCTCGATTGTGGGTTCGACTGTTGTAATGACGGCTGGGGCGTCTGTTGCTGACATGGGCAGTCGATTCAACGAGCGCGAGGCTAACCCAAACCCGTGTGTTGAAGTTTGCTTTTCAGATGTGTTCATCAGCTGATTGATAGGTACATAGCGTTCATACGTGCTTTGAAGGGCAAGAAAGACCACGATGTCAGCTCTTGAGCTCTGTTGTTCCCACGCTGACTCGTGTAGGATGCTGAGCAGATGCTAAAAGCGGTTGGTAAGTGTATGGACGGGAAGAGAATGTTTTGCTGAGGCTTCAGCCGCACAGGTCAGCTTCCCCTTGGAGCTACGTGCTACATCGAAACTGACGACGAGATGAACAAAATCATGAAGAACCGTTTCATGTTCGTTGGTACTCTCGAAGAGGCGGAATATAATCGCGTAGTGAGTGTCTATCGTCTACCAGTATTCTAACTAGCGCATCGGTTTAGACGTGAATAGAGCTGAGGTCAGTTTGCGGGTAGGAATTGGAATCATGGGCAAACGATAGAGCTTGTGTTACGTGGTGCTAGTGGGAGGTTCTTGCCGTGAGTATACACTTCATTTGAATATATATCATTCTGATGAAAAGCCTGCCATACATCATCTCCGTCATGTGTCATGAGGTAGGTGTTTTCTTCCGTTTCATAATATAGCTCATACGCAGATGGCTCATATAGAGGTGAGTGTGTACCCCACTCCGTCTTGGGATGTTGGATTGAATGGAAGCAAATGAATCATGGGCCCAAATTTCAGAAGGTTGGTTAGTGAGGCTTGGTACAGAATGGCGTTGGATAGCTGACGTTTAGCTCATGGCTGAAATCAAGACTGAAGTAAGAGCTTTACAAGCAAAAGGATATTACGGGGACGGTAAGTCAGTCTATCGTGTTGCGAATATCTGTCTTACGGGAGGCTTCTGGTCTGATGGGAAGAGACTCAGAGATAGCGTCAAAGCGGGTGCTGAGTGGCTGCGTAAGTTGTCCTTGTCTACCCTCAGATTGGTGTTGATTAGGAAGGCCCCTCTGATTTTCCCGAGTACGTCTGTGGTGTGACAGCTTCGTGAGTCGACTCTGTTTCAGTTGATCATCTGTAACACCTAGCGATGGCAAGAAAGCCAAGCCGCCCAGTAGAGGCCCTCGATCATCTCATTCAGGTCTGGTACAAGGCGAGGCCTCAAATCGATCAGGCAGGCAAACGGAATATCGACGGAAAGCAGGGACCAGAAATCAAGTTGACATGGGAACCGAAGGTTCGAGGCTTGACGGGAGAAGAGGTAGGTGTCCTTCTCCCCGACTCGGAAACCATTGACGATGATCAGAAATTACTGCTGAGGATCGGGAACGACGGAAATCAGCCATTGAAGAGGAGCAGAAACGTTTGGTCAAGACTGGTTTAGCAGTAACTACAGCCAAGCGAAGAGCCGCTGAGACTTGGGACAGGCGAAATCCGTGGTTCAAAGAAGGTAATACGAGAGGCAAAGTAGCAAAATCCAAGACGTGGGTAATCCTCAGACCGTAATGGATTCCCGAGCTGACTTATCAGAGCAGCAGAGATCCGTGCCGTAGCTGCCGAAAAGAGGCTCAAATCTCTCAGCGGAGCTCCTGTCAAACTTGAGATCATGCCTGATGACGATGAAGACGATTACCTCCATCATCTCAAAAACGAATTCGACAGTGATGCTGATGATGTGCCCGATCCCCATGTCGACGCAGAGGACAGGAAAAGAGAGATGGAACATGACATGACGGATGCTGAACGAGAAGGATTGCGGGGAGGTTGGGAACAATTCATTAAATCTGAACCCGGACTGGGGGACGATTTGCCTGACGTGGGATCATCTCGAGAGGGATCTAGCAGCGAAAAGGCAAACCTCGTCGTCAAACACGGCAGGCTGGGCCACGATGAAGGGGGTGATTGGAGTTGTCAAATGTGCACTTTTCTCAATCGAGGCGGTCGAAATAGATGTGGTATGTCCGCCTAATTGATGGTGCAATGACAGACTGATAGGACAGAGATGTGCGAGGGAATACGACATGGTTATCTCGCGACGTAGAACTGTGTATATCGCTTCATGCTCTAGTCCGTGGTCTTCTTGTGACATATTCAGATCTTGTAGCATGTAGCATCTACATAGCTTCATTGTAATTTTTGGTTGCTCATGCCATCTGGACGATTTTGCTGTAACGCCGATAATGCCGTCACCGTTCAGCACGCGTGGCAGTTTCCATCCTCGGCCAGGCGCGCTGAGAAGCAGTCGTCCAAGTCGCATACAACCTTACCCCAACATCTCCATAACCACTTCCCTCAACTCATTCCCCCTTATCACTGTATATCGGTCGGCTGGCGGGTCAGACAGGTGGAACTGATTACCCGGGCTAACTCGGTGTACGAGGTGAAAGGACCGTACGGCATTACAGACAAGGGGACGACAGGGACAAATTCACGAGTAACACCGCCTTGTTAAATATCGGCTGACTTTTTCTTCGGCATAACGACCAAGCATTCCTTCCATACACTTCTAGAGTCGTAAGCTGTACAAAGCATACATAATCTCAGGATGGTGCGTCCATATCTCCCCTGACTGTCACTCGTTCACTAACAATACGGAAACTGGGTAGGAATGGATCAATCAATCACAGATGCTAACATGCAGCCTCCAACATCGGATGTCAAGATCAACTCCCTCCTCGCGACCCTCCAATCGGAGAGGCGTAACCTTGAAGGTGCCAAAGCTGTCATGCGTGCCGTCGAGGCTTCTTCCAAGAACGAAGCTGTCATTCAGCAAGCGCAGAATGAGGTCCGGGCCGCCCAGGCTTCCATAAAATTCCTTGAGGACGAATTGGGAAAGCTTCAAATCGGTGGCGGGTCACCCGCTCGAGGAGAGGCTAGTGGTTCGTCTCAAGCTGGATCAGGTGGAAGGTATCCAGGACAGGGACCGATGAGCCCTTCGAGGAGTGGAGCAAGTAACACCGGTATCGTTTCCCCGACTCGCAATATGGATGGTAGAAATAGACCTTTACCACCCCCTCCTCCTGGGGAAGAAAGTACCGAGACTTCCAAGTCCGATCAGAAGAATTACACGGCTCTAGGTATGTCTCATTGGTGATCCCCGATACAATGAATTGCCTGACGGGCAGATTTGCTGAGATACGACGCTCCTCTTACGGGAGCAAAGATCACGAGGATGCTAAACCAACTGCAATTTAAATTACAAGTCGAAGAACAATATAAATTAGGGATTGAAAAGATGGCTCAGGCTTACAGACTAGAAGGAGACAAGAGATTGCGGAATGAAACTGAAGCCAAACGGATAGAGAGTGATGGCAAAATCCAATTGCTCAAAAAGGCCAAACGACGGTATGAGACTTTGGCTAAATTCGGAGGTGCTGTGGAAGCTGATGACGGTGCGTAATGTCAAGTATGAACAGCTGGTGAGTGTATGCTAATTCTTCAGATTTCGAAGAAGATGGAAAACGTAAAGAAGCTCTACGCAAACCCATCTCCGGCCAACTTGTCATCTCACTTCGTTCTGCCCGTGACCTCAATCATCGATCTCTACCTCGTAAATCGTCCAAAGCTCATAACGAATCCACCGTGGTCATTAAGATCGAAGGCAACGAAAGAGCTGTATCACATCCCTCTCGCAATGACCGTTGGATGGAAGACTTTGAGATATCTGTAGAAAAGGCAAATGAAGTCGAGATCACCATATTGGACCAGATCGCGCCTGGTGACTCGGCCCCCATCGGTATGTTGTGGTTGAGAGTCAGTGACCTCATGGAGGCCTCTCCGACGACAGAAGGTGGGAATGGAGGGACAGGGCGCTGGGTGGGTGACAGCTGCCACTGCTGCGACTTTGGGACCTCGGGGCGGAAGTGCACCAGAATCAGCAACGCTCCACAGCTCAGGGACCTTGCGAGCGCCCAACCATGGACCTGTAGATGGTAAATCGACCGATGGAATCGAAGGTTGGTGGTCGGTCGAACCGGCAGGTGCTATCGCCCTCAAGCTGGACTTTGGTGAGTTCCTCAAGATATCACTGAGGATCATGTCGGCTGATACTGTTCAGTCAAGGATACCGTGGCGGGCGGTAGACGCCCATATGAAGCTTTGGGAAGACAAGGCGCCCTTCGTAAACGTAAGGGCGATGTATTCGAGATGAACGGTCACAAATTCGTCCAAAGGCAATTCTATCAACCCATCATGTGCGCCTTGTGTCAAGAATTCCTTCTCACCGGTGAAGGATACCAATGCGAGGATTGTCGTTACACTTGTCACAAGAAATGTTACCCCAAAGTCGTCACGAAATGTATCTCAAAATCCAATGCCGATGGAGAAGGCGACGAGGAGAAGATCAATCATCGAATCCCTCACCGTTTCACTCCGTATACCAACATGTCAGCAAATTGGTGCTGTCATTGCGGATATATGTTACCTTTCGGTCGCAAGAATTCTGTCAAGTGCTCAGGTGGGTTCCTTCTCTTCATCCGTTGATCCCTATCCTAGTAGCCTCACGCAGGTAAAGTGAGGGAGGATCAAAGCTGATTGCTCAGAATGTAGCTTGACATGTCATCAAACATGCTCGCATCTTGTACCAGACTTCTGTGGTATGACTATGGAGATGGCCAATATTCTCCTGAAAAATCTTCGGGATATCAAAACTACCCAGCGAAAAACACCCTCTACCACGTCTGGGGCTTCTTCCGTATCAACTCTACCAGCCTATACTCCGCCCACGCAGCAGGTACAACAGCAGCCACAAGCACCCCAAGCACCTTCAGCCCCACAACAACCTCAAATACCCCAGAGACCGCCAGTAGGCACTTACCAGGCCGACCAGAGAGCCACTGGAGGATATACAGCTTCCCCGGGTCAGCCACATCCAGCTCAGGCGGAATATAATGCACTCCGCCCTGCTCCTCCTACTGGTGCTCGGCCTATGCCTCAACCACCGGTAGCTCCATCTCGACCTTCCTATGAGCAGCGAAGATCTCAAGAGGGATATGCCGTTGTGAGTGATACTCCTACCCTTGACATCCTGTACATCCGGTCCCTTCTACTTTCCTTTCTGACTTCGAGACCATGCAGCTCGCTAACCATGCAGATGCCGTCTGTCGGACCTGCCAGTCGCACTCCGCCTCAAGTCGTGGAAATGCCACGAGCATACCCATCTCCACCTCAGGGTCTGCCGGTGACCAGAACTCCTCAGCCACGGAAGCGAAAAGTTGGACTGGATGACTTCAACTTCCTCGCGGTGCTAGGAAAAGGAAACTTTGGGAAAGTCATGCTGGCGGAGGAAAAGGCATCCAGTAATCTGTACGCCATCAAGGTGTTGAAAAAGGAGTTTATTATCGAAAACGATGAAGTGGAAAGGTGGGTAGCAGGTCTTTCTTCTTTCCCCACTCGCTCTGCCATCTTAATTTATTTTGTTCTATGTGTTAGCTGACGGTCAGTACTCAATCAGAGAAGCGCGTTTTCCTCGCCGCTGCCCAAGAACGTCACCCTTTCTTACTCGGTCTTCACTCTTGTTTCCAAACTGAAACTCGTGTCTACTTCGTCATGGAATACGTTTCCGGTGGTGACCTGATGTTGCACATCCAAAAGAAACAATTTACACTTCGTCAAGCCAAGTTTTACGCTTGTGAAGTTTTGCTAGCGTTGCAGTATTTCCACACCAAGGGGATCATCTATCGAGACCTCAAGTTGGACAATATCTTGCTGACCTTGGATGGGCATGTCAAAGTGGCAGATTATGGGTTGTGCAAGGAGGAAATGTGGTTTGGAAAAACGACGAGTACCTTTTGCGGAACGCCAGAGTTTATGGCTCCAGAGGTGAGTGTTGTCCTGTTCTTCCCATCAGCCCTCATTATCACCGACACAAATTCTTCTCCTGTCTCAGCATCCCTACCCATTCATCGGGCCATCTCTTGAGAGAGTAGGCGCAATCACATTCAGATGTCTTTCCGCCCCTGCGCAAATACTCGACGTGTATCCAGTTCTGACTCCCAGATCCTACTCGAACAACGCTACGGTCGAGCCGTCGACTGGTGGGCGTTTGGTGTTCTCACATACGAAATGCTCCTCGGTCAATCGCCTTTCCGAGGGGACGACGAGGACGAAATATTTGACGCCATTCTTGAAGACGAACCTTTATATCCGATCACCATGCCTCGTGATGCGGTCTCGCTATTACAGAGATTATTAACTCGTGATCCTACCCGACGTCTTGGAGCTGGCGAAGCCGACGCAGAGGATATAAAGAGACACCTTTTCTTCAAAGATGTCAGCTTTGATGATGTGTACAACAAACGAATCCCACCACCTTACTTCCCCACTATCGGCAACGCTACCGACACTTCCAGTGAGTTGTTTATCATGTTTACTGAGGCTTTCTGTCCGTCCTCCCCGTACACTACTCTTCAAATACGAGACAAAATCCTCCCACCACATCGGACGGTTGTGGCCCATGCGTGCATTTTCAAGACGACAGCCAGATATGCCAGTATATCCGGGCCAATGGATTGTCGGACACATGCGAGCAAGGAGCGCTAACCCCCAGACTTTGACCAAGAATTCACTCGAGAACAACCGACCTTGACCCCTGTTCATACCCAATTGTCCGCCGCAGATCAACAGGAGTTCGCTGGGTTCTCTTGGGTGAGTGTACCACCGACGATATGATCTCGGCTGACGATTCAGATCGCACCTTGGGCCACTTAAGTCTCCAAGATTAAATAGACATGAATATCGGAGGATTAAGTGTTGAATGCCTGTTGGATGACTTCAGTTATAGGTTTGTTACATTACAAAGGCTTGACGTATCATGCATCTAAATATATACGCTATGGTTTTCCAAACATTTTGACATACCTGTCATCATCCTACGAACACGCTGGTAGTAGTCGTGTCTTTGCGATACAAACATGGAGAAGGCAAGATGACGTGGCATTGACCTACTTTTCCAACTCTTTGAACTTTTGCCACCACCTTCAATTCAAAAACTCCCTCCACTCTTCACGTCCACCCGTCACCGTAAATTTTGGCTTGGTGACATTACAGAGGCTTGTCACCACTCGTACTCTCGACTATGATCCTTGCAATATGATCACACCAACTTCTGGCTCTCAAGTCGGGGCTATCAAGCTCAAATTATCACTCAAATCTAAAACACCCGCTGAACCCCCGACACCTTCTTCCGCTCCTCCTGCGTCTAACGTCAACGCTTCGGCCTCTAGGACTCCTGTCGTCGCAGTGAGCTCTAATACAAGCTTGACTCAGGTGAGTATAATGGATATAGTTGAATTGTGCTGATGACGAGAACGATTATGTGAATAAAGGACCTGGTGCGATTGCAGGGCCTTCCACCTCACCTGCGGCAGTATCTTCGAATGAAAACAATCCTTCTTCCAGCAAACAGACGGGAATCAAAATGCCTCAAAAAGCCAAGTATTCGAGACCTACCAAAGCAAGACCTAAGCTACCATTCAAATCAACAGCGATGCCTTCACCTTCCGCTCCTACCTCTAACAACAAGTCATCTCGTCCTTCTGCCATCCCCACTCGACTTTTATCATCGACACCCACTACCCCTCGACTTCCTATCACCACACTTCCGCCTGATACTCCAGATCAATCGCGGACAAAAACGGATGAATCTCCATCAGTGAAGATCGAACATGGAAACTTTGTCTCTGACGACCATGAACAAACTCCTGATCCTATATCATTTTCACACTCCGTCTCCCCTTCAAGAGCCCCACCTGATACCGCTTTGCCAACGCCTAACGCTGAACGTCAAGTGACACCCACCACCGCTCCTCTTACTTCCAAATCAGTCAATAAATGGGCTCGTTTGAAAAAACCTCTAAAAGAACTATTGTCAAAAATCATGATTGAACTACGAAGAAGAGACGAATACGACCTTTTCTCCCTGCCTGTCAATTTGGATATCTATACAGATTACCTCGACATTGTCGGTGGTGAAGACCAAATTATGGATTTAGGCACAATGCAAATGAAAGTGGATGAAGGAGAATATACAACTATGGAAAGTTTCGAAGCGGATCTCAAAATTCTCGTCACCGCTGCTCAGAAATACAATGCCCCAAACACCATCCCACATACTGCTGCTATCAGACTGTTACAACATGGTACGAAACATATCAAAAGGTCTCGTCCACTCATCCGTACACCTTCACCATCGCCAGACATGGATTCGGGAATGGTCACTAGAGAAATGACGGCTATGACTGATGATCCACAAGTCTCAATGACCAACGTCTCACCACATGAATACATTCCGACGGAGATGTTAGACTTTCCTCCAAATTCCCTTGAAGCATTGGCGGTGGGGTGGAATCTTACCGGTGGGAAACGAGTTTGGCCCAAACGGATCGTACGTGCTCGCGAACGTTTCGCGGGAAAGTGGCGACATTGGGACTTTGACGGGACGCGTGATTTGGCAGAGATGGACAATGTGGATAAAGTCATGGGAATAAGTCAGTCACCTCTGATGGGAGAGGTGGTGGATTGGACGACCATGAGACGAGAGGCTTGGTGGGAATTTGAAGGTTTCGGTGGTCCTCAAGGCCAACCACCTGGCTTCTCACCCTTTCCAGTCAGGGAAGGGATGAAAAGGAAGAAGATGAACTTGTTAGATGTTGGAACCTGGTCCGAGGTTGAGGTTGATATAGCCAGTCTTAGACAGAGAGCGATTGCGGCGAGTACGAGTGCAGGACAGGGAAAAGGAGGGCAAAATCAGGTGTTGGATGATGATGAGAGTTTGTTGTCTGGGTACCTGAGACCGAGTAGGGGCAAAGGTTATCGTGGCATGCCTGGAAATTTTGTCAATATCTACGAACCACGTCCTGCCGCGGAATATCTAAGGGAAATGTGTTCGGGGGATACCAAAGGCGAAGCGTATCTCGCTAGTATTGATAGGTTTGTCAAAGGTGCCATCGCGTCGAGATCCCCTCGTCATTCAGACATTAATACAACATCGTCACCCAAATCGAGACGATCCTCAGATTCCACGAAGGGGGAAGTCGAAGCAGACGGGGCACTCACACAGTCTGATGAAGGTTCCATCAGTCTACAAGAATATATAATGACAAGTTGGCATTCTGGTATCCTTCAATCTCGAGAAACTGAAACAGTATCGTCCACCATATCCGATCTTGCCACTCTGGGAAAGGCAGCCCTACGACATTCCATACCTCACGTACCTTCTCGCTCTGGGATATCCTTCTTCGACTTGGTGAAGAGTGCCAACGCGGCTCACACACGACTATCCATGCGAGATTTCTTAGCCGCTCAAGGATCTTTGGACATCGGTTCGATGCTCAAAGATCCGACCGACTTTTCGTACCAAGGAATCGGGGCGAAAACCGGTGTCGCTGCTGGTCTGGAATGGGTTACCTCTACCCTTTCCAGTCTCATCGCCAAACGCTACCCTCCGCCGCCGCCGCCCCTACCAATTCCACAAGACAAACAGCTTGATCAAGTCGAAGATGAGGGAAATGAGAAAAACGGCAATGAAGAAGAGGGTAAGCACGCGACGGAGGATGACATCAATGGAATGGAAGATGCAGAAGGAAAGATGGAATTACGTAGAGGTAAAAGGAAACGACCGGGTTCATTAGCCGAACCGGACAGAAGGAAAAAGCTCCGACCGTCCATATCGGCAGAATCGAGTCCTCTCTCCGAACTTCCTGACGAGTCGGTGAAGGAGAAGGAAGCAGTGGAGGAGAAGGTTGAGGAAGAGGATGATGGCGAACAAGGGTTGAAGAGGTTGAGATTGGAATTGGTCGCTTTGAGCAAGTTTTATCCTCTGGCTGCACTTAGAAAGATGGATAAAAAGGATGCGGAGAGGTTGTTACCTCCAAACGTTAGGACTCTGTTGGCTCGGTAATCATCTTCCAAGGCTCTCATTCGTTGTGAACCGGCTCTGTATGCATGAATTACATGCACACAAACTCTCCATGTCCGTAGCCGGTTAGTCGTCATGATCACTTGGTACCTAATTCTTGTCCTCGGGGACAGTTGAACAATGAGCCAGGGGTTCAGGGAACTCTGTAGTAAGTTTCATCAGGAAAACTCTAAAAACACCCTTCTCCGTCTCTTCCCACCGTGATCTCTCATCAATATTGGAATTACTCTACTCGTACTGTGCTGTCACCATCATATCATGTCTGGACTAGGTCTCGGTCAGATAGATCAACCACGTATAGGTTCACACATTATCACTTCTCTTCCTCCTCGACCAAGACCCTCTGCTATTCATCGATCAACCACTACTCTGGCGGATAGGATTTCCCACGCGGATCCTTACCCGAAGACATTCGAAGCTCCACCAGCTTTACGTATACAGGGAGGTGGTCCTAAACCTAATCTTCTCTCTCGTATCTCTTCTTCAACTTCTTCAAAAGATATCACGACAGAAGATAGACGTTACAGATCTACAATCTCTCCTCATATACCTCCTTCTCCTTCTTCATCAGGGGAATTGAGAATTGAAGATAGACATTATAGACCTATTCATACTCCTTCTCCTCCATTATCAGGGGAAATGAGGATTGAAGATAGACATTACAGACCTGTTCGTACTCCTTCCCCACCACCATCCCTCACGAGGAGAAGAACTTTTTCTCCTCCAAGACAACCAAGAGCGGAACGTTTAGGAAATATATCATCTTATCGTGATGCTCAGAGTCCTCCTAGGAGACGTCTCACCACTTATGAACAAGATTTGAGATATCAAAGAGGAACAATTTATGAACATCAATTAAGACGGTCCCCTCCTTATGATCCACCATCACCACAGCGTCGACCTATGTATGATCATATACCAAGAGGACCACGTTCTCAGCATCATCTATCACGGTATGACGAAGTCGAGGAAGAAGAATGGAGGAAGTATAATAATCGACGACGAAGTCCGGAAGATCGACCGTGGGCGTCGAGACAGGTTGGAGCGGACCGTTATCGACCCATTGATTTGGAGGAGAGGGATATTAGAAATTACGAGCGTGTGACTCGACCAGCCCAAGAGACTCCATTGAATAGGGACTTTCAAGCCGAGCACAACGGAGTCAGGATGAATGTCGAGGGAGAGAATACAGATCTACATATGGGCAAATTGGAAGAACAGAATATGATACGCCCTCCCACACCTGAAGGTCCTCCCCTGAAGGATGATTTTGAAGGAGGATCGTGTTGGAATCAAAATCCATCAAAGGACTTGTCCTCTACTTCTTCTACTTCGGTAAATCAACATTTGGGCAATCATGAGGTTCAGGTGGACAAGGAAGATCAAGCGGATCTGTTGATACTCGATATCTCAGATCCAGCCGACCATTCTAATACCTTACAAACACTGGATGTTCCGAGTCGAGCTGTCTTTCTTGATAATTCAAACATTTTGGTCCAAGAGGAGCGGGCGGAACCAGCATTCCTTGCAGACCCATCGGCAGACCAAGAAGATCATTCAGATTCAAACGAACATGCTAGCCAGTCCGGTCAATTGCACCAGGAAGGTTATCAAGAGGTACGGGAAACATCGCCTCAGCTTGCACAGGGAGAGCTCGTCAACCAGGCTGGGGGCCAGGAGGAGGAGGAGGAGGAGGTTGCTGAATCGATTACGAGTGAGGATCTTTGGGGGGAGAGGGAAGCAGATCGGAGCATTACACCGATCGAAGATGGGATATCCAATGAGGTTCAGGTGGACGAGCATGGGGAAGACGTGGAAGAAAGAACAAGAGATGAAGAGGGTAGTAGAGAAGCTGAAGAGAGAGAGGTGGACGAAAAATTAGACCTGGGAACAAGCTCTTCGGAACCAGACCTGGATGTGGAGCGCATGGATGGGGGAGAACGGACGGGTGGAGTCTTGGTCATGGTGTGAGTGATCTCTTACCGCTGTGCTCCATTTTCTTTGACTCTGCTACTCATTTCTCGTCTCTCCTGGCTGTGTCCTATCTTATCTCACTCCTCTGTTATATCCAGCAGTCCTTCACAAACGATAGCCAACGTTTGCTAGTGCTGTGCTCTCAGCGATAGCCAGGGTTGTTATGCACTTATCATTGAAAGAAGCTGATTTTCAAGAAAAGCAGACCTCCCGCCCGAATTATGGTCCGAGGACATCGACATCCGCACCAGAGCCCGAGCCGAATTCAATGAGCAAACGGTAGCTCGTCTGGGGCAAGAGGGGAAATTGGCGCAGACGATCCTTTGGCTTGATGACAGTGTCATTTGGCCATGGGTCCTGGCATCTTCTGTGACTTGTCGAGATTCGTTAACGCAAGAACCAACTACGAGTCCCTGTCCAGAAGAACAAGTAGAACACGAAGGGTCGCCAAGCAACCGCGATCCTATTCCCATCATCACTTCGTTTGAACAAGGGACCCCTGCACAAACGCATGAAGTCGGACAACAGGACGATCGACCCAGTCCTACTTCATTATCGAACCAACCTCAGGGGCAGTTTCAAGATGGACCTGAATACACCGAATCCACTCTCGACTGGAAAGATTTCGAATACCTCATTTCCTATATTCATCTCCCATCTCAACTACGGACTTATCGCAACAGGGGACCCGATAAGGTAGGCCTGGCAGCATTCAAACGTCAACATCTCGCCAAAGCGCTTGTCCCAGATGTTAATGGTAAACCCACACGACAAGCTCGCTTATACATGGGGCATTTTGGACGTATGATCATATATTGGAGTCCTCTGGATAATTCTCAACTTCCTACAAATCCATTTCCAGGGACGATACAAATGACCGTTGATGGTGCTTCTCCATCTGTTTCTTCCTCGCCTTCCTCATTTGCTTCCGTACCAGAAAACACTTCAGACCTCGATGTCAATACCAAAGCTACTTCCATTTCGTCATCTTCCACTCTATATCATCCTGATACATCTTCCTGGCGACAGAGTCCTTCGTCTACTAGCGAATCATCCGTTTCAACGGACAAACCTGTCAAAAAGTCTGAATCGACAAAAGAGGTAGCGCCTGCTAAAAGGAAGAGACACACTCGAGAGACAGAGATAAATCCTGATAAATTACGAATAGCCGATCTTCCTAATGCCATCATGATACTCATTCCACCCAATTGGTCAACTCCAGCACAAAGACGAGAACCCGATTTCGCAGCATGGGCCGAGAGGCAGAGAAGGGAAATCATGGATCCAGATGGGACAGGTGTACCTATCAGAGTGGCGAAATGCGGGAAGGTTAGTCGGGGGAAATTGCAGATTAATTGGAAAGATCTCGAAGGTGATCCGTCGGTTTCCCGCGACCAGTCTCAGAGAGCTTCCACCTCACGATCCAATTCAAAGATACAAAGTCCACGAGACACTCAAAGTGCACAACAAAGTCAAGTACAAAATCCACGACCTTCATCGCAAAGACAGAATCAGCTATCCAAGATACGAATACCGAAATTGAATTCTGGGAAGGAGACAAAGAAAGATCAAGAAATCACTCCATCTGATAAATCTCCTTTTACTCCTCTTTCTTCTCATTCTCGTAGACGAGCTTCTTCTGAATCATCGTCATCATTCCCATTAGCCAACGTAGATAAAGTGAAGAAACGTAAAGTTAGTCAAGCTCGTCATACCCTTCCAGAAATCATCTCCGTATCGCCTATAGTCCCTCTTAGTCCCGTGGCGACTCTTGAACCTCTTTCAGCAACTTCTCACATGGAGCTTGGTGTTGGGCAAATTACACCCATTGATGCGAGGTCATCCGCAAGTATGAGCGGTACCAGCGGCGTCCAGATCTCGAGTACTGTGGTCGACAGAAACGTCTCCAAAGCACCAGCAGATTCGATGGGCGAGTCGAGCTTTACAAATGATCCCATCCAATCGAACCCTCCAGACTCATCTACAAAGGTTGACCGACCAAGTACGGAACGATCCATCTCTTACACTCCCCTTTCTCACTCCGGTATAGAACGAGCCACCTCTTCGGGATCCACAGGCGAATCCTCCATCAGAAACTCCCAATCAAACCCATTGAAAGACCTCGAAGATCGTCTGGAAGCAAGTTTCAATTCTCTGGATAAATGGTTGGTTATACTTGATGAACATCCCGCCAGACGTTCTACGGTGAACAAACAGATCAAACGATATGAGGACGAGATCTTTGAATTGCGGGAAGAGATCCGAATTCTGCGTGAAGGAATGGATGTGATCTAATCATCGTGTTTTTGTCTCCATGTGTGCTTGGCATGTTCCTCTACTTTGATCCTTCTATCCGACCAACATACTGCATCTTGGATTGCGACCCCCTTGTTACTAGTGTATATATTGTACCTTAACTGGGTATTTTGTGAACTCGTACATAACATGTGTAGATGCATATGCGTTGTTATATATCACATGTGATCAACCCGGAGAAAAGAGGAAAATAGTCCATGAAGTTGGGAAAAAAACATGATTAACCCCCCCCCCCCCCCCTAACATACCTCTTGACATTATTCTTCTCAACCACCTGGCGCAGGTCTTGCCCCACGCCACGTCTGAAACTTACCCACAACTCCTTGTCTTTTCTCCTTTGCTTCCTCCCTCTGTCTCGCAGCTTCCGCCAAACGATGTTCCAATAAAGCTACCGCGTCAATCTCGTGTGATCCCGATCCGACCCATTCTTCCGTCCTCCCATTCCCCACGCCTTCCTCTCCATTCACTCTCTGGTCTTCATTCCCTTGTTCCCCATGTAGTCTTCCCGGCGTTGGATCAAACTCCCTGGGACTAGGTTCGGCAGTATGAAAGCTTTTTCCAATACTGGAAGGGTCGACGCTTTCCCCACTGAGACTGTTCGAATGTGTATGAGATACAAAACTTCGTATGCTCTTAGCTCTCGTAGGTGACATATCGCCCGCGTTGGCCGTGATCGCTGTGACTGTGCTGATAGCTGTCGTTGTACCTTTTGATACGGTCGGCAGAAAATTTGAAGTTCCTCCTTTCACAGTGACCATACTGTCTTTGTGCCTAAGGCGTCGAGGTGAATCGGGAACGATGGGAGATCGAGGAGCAATCGGAGCGTCCGGGATTTTAGAGGTCTGCGGGTTTGGAGGAGAAGCATCAATGGTCTGTAGTGATGGTGAAGATGGTGAATCATTTTTGCGGGAATGAGGAGTGATACGTAGTTTGCTCACAAATCCAGAGAGAGCATTACGAGGATTTCGTGAATCGAGCGAATATCGATTGGAGGGTGAATAATCTGCAGAAGTGGTAGGTCTTAGAATATCTGCCGATCGTCGATTTTCTCGACGAGAATCGTATGGGGATAAAGGAGATGAAGTCACGCCGCTCATCCCACTTGTCCCACCATGAATACCATGATTTTGCCTCTCGGGCGAGTAAGCACGCATACGATGAGAACTCGAGGGACCGTCGTACGGTTTAATCGGATCGTAAACCACTTCTGATCTTCCACTTGTCCCCACTCGTAGTGTACTCATCGAGGTTGAAGACGGCAAGCCACGGAAAAGCCTGGGCAATTCCAACATGATTTGAGTAAGATCTCTCACGTTCTGATCACTACCCCTTCCAGCTTCTCGTAAGGCAACAGCGAGCTTTGAAAACTCTTCCCGAGCTTGTCGAGGATCTTCCAGATCGACGAGAACTGATATCTGTGAGGCAAGTTGAACAGCTGATCGTAAAGTCATGTTGACACTTTCGGTAGATCGAGTACAGGAAAGGAAAGCACGTAAGAGATCGATGTTTTCTTGAGGTAATCTAGCCTCCATATTTTTGAACGCTTCGACGAGCAGTCGCCCATGTTCCGACGAGGAAGGTGCGAGCTCCATTGACGCCGAAGATCGACCTCCCAGCGAGGTACTGCTACGCATCGGACGGGGTTCGGTAGATGGTTGATAACCCATTCTTGACGAACCTCGACCTAAGGACGGACTATCCGTTTGACCAGTGTGAAGATCACGACGAAGACGGAATGGTTCGATGGGAGCTGTTCGGGGTGCCATACCAAAGGCGTCACGCACAGAACTGAGAGACGTGGTAGGTCGGATGTTAGCTGGCGTGCGGTCGAATCGAGACATTGGACGAGGATCACCCATGACAGATGCACTACGATCCACTTCCCATTGACGATTGTGTTCTTCCCTTTTACGTTCGATTTGATTGAGAACATCCAACGGGTTTTTGCTACCTGCACTGGTAGGTCGTTCACGAGGGTTGTACCCAACAGCGGAAACCGAATCTCCTGGCGCGACAGACGCCAGTCTTGATCGGACAGACGAAGCGGATAGGGGCATACTTCGTTCCACGGACAAGGTGTTGTACCCCCTTGTGCCAGCGCGCTCGGTCAGAGCGGATTCTGTGCTCCCACCTCGGGTGGCATATCGGTATCGTTCAGCATGTCCTTCCATCACTGATTCAGCACGTTGCCGGTCCGTCCCACCGAGTCGATGAGGTAATGGAAGACCTCGACGATCAAGTGGTTGTCGATCAGTTGGCAAGCCAACAGCAGAATCCGTCCACCTGTCCAGACGCCTAGTATCAAGACTAGAACGCCGTTCTAGCCCCTCAATGTCGTTTACTTGTGTAAAGACTCTGCTTCGTGTAGGAGAGGTGATATGAGGTGAATTTCGATCCGAACGCGGCGCAGGTTCATATCGGTGACCCACAGGAGAGGTGTGGATCTGAGGTGACGAGTCATAGTGGTTGTCTCCGAGCACGCTTCTCGCCACGGGTAGAGAGTGATCCCTCTGGTGGCCTTGTTTTGGCGGAGAAGGAGTGAACTGTCTATTAGCGGGGCTACGTAGTGAAGACGATCGTAGACCCACCAGACCTCCGCCGGACCTGAACTCCACTGGAAGGGCCTTTCTCCTCCCGCTCGAGCCACTGCCGCTCGTCCTCTCCCCTTCTTTACGCTCCTTGTGAGGTGTACTCTCGTATGGCTGCTTGCGTGTTTGGGAGTTGCCTGCATCATCGTGGTGTAGAAGCGGCGACGAAGACGTGAGCGTCGCGCTACGGCGCAGGTGGGATGCAGCTGGGCCCGGATTACCTATAACTCTGTCGTAGGAATCGTGTCTCCGCATACTTCCCCGCACAGGAGACCTATTTTCTACATCGACAGACAGCTTCTGTGGTCTCCAAACATTCCTGATCTTCTCTTCCGCATCACGGATACGATCGTCGACATTCCGTTCGGGGGAGGGAGGTCCATCGTTAACAGCATCGTTTCGCAGAGGATTTTTACGGGGACTTTTCTGCCGAGAACTACTGTGTGATGCATTCGAAGACCTATCAAGAGGAAGGGATGGCGATCGCTCGTGCTTTTGCGGTGAGGGGACTCGCGGGCTCTTCGGGGATCCAGATTGAGATATATTGAGGGATGAGCGCTTGGACGGCGACCCTTGCGCATTTGGAGTGGCAGAAGCTCCGGGAGCGTGCGATGTGAGGCTGGTCGAAGACACAGAGGGAGATCCTCGAGAACGTAGAATAGTCTCACGAAGGCCAGCATTGCTCCGATGAGCGGAAGATGTGGACGAGGTCAAAGAGGGGGAGCGATTGGGAGTGGAAGAGTGCCTGGAATGACGGTGAACATCTGAAGACGACGACCGTTGAGGGACTGGAGGTTGTAGGGCCATATCTTCCTTCAGCCCGCGTGCCTTTTTGATAGAAGGGGCACCGACGTCGCTATTGGTACCAGGAGGACTAGGCAAACCCGATAAGCGGTCTACCAGAGTGCTCTGAACAGGTTTGCCCTCGGCCTGAACGGTCGAAGCAGAGTCGGGTTGAGGCTCTCGGTCCGGAGACCTACTGGATTTCCTCGGCGCAGTCATCCACTCTCTTGGCAGCTCAAGCTTTGGGCTCCCCAGGCCCACTCTTGCGCTGGCGAATCCAGGGGTCAGTTTGAGATATGGGGGGCCAAGATGAAGATGAGCTTGGGTGGCTTCCGCAGGGATTTGGTGATCAGAATGGGGGGGAAGTGAAGCGAGTGATGATATAGAGATGTCGGACGGAGAGAGAGAAGTGTCGATCCCGATGCTCGAAATGGAAGACCGGACTGATGGCCGTGAAGGACGGCGGTCGAGAAAAGGCGGAGGTGTGGTGTCTCTTGGAGACGGCATTCCTTCACAGAAAGAACTGCCACGAATGAAAGTGGGGCTTCAGGGTTTCGACAGGAATGAGGTAGGAATGTAGAAAGTATGTGAGGGGAGTGGGACGACGGTCAGGTGGTAGGCGTAGTAATGACAGGTGAGGATAGGGAAGGGAAGGTACCGGATGATTTGCAGTAGTGGGCGACACGTTTCCTCAGCTACCAGGTTTTGAGTTGGGAGCCATCCGTAACAGAAGATCAGGAGGTCGAGGTGGAATCTCACAACATCTCTTGAGATGAGCGGAGTAGGAACTTCAATATCGTCAGAGCCGGAGACGTATGGGACGGGGCGGGAAATACCCAAGGGGGGCAAGTGAAAAGAGGTAATAAAATAGTAGTCAGTAGTGAATTTAGGACAGGTGAGAAAAGTGGAAACGTTGTATGGGACGCGATCAGAGCGTTACGTAAGCTTACTCGGAGCTCACGTGACTGAATTGATTCCGTTGTGTCTCGGGCCGCAGCAAGTCTCGTTGCCTTGACCGAATAGTCAACTCACTAAGAGCAATACCTTACCTTTCTCCAACTCTTCATTCGCTTCAACACCTTTGTCCTCAGTACCTTTCTTCGTTTGTTACTTCTTCATACCCCATATCGTCTCTCGTCACGGGATTCTCTTATTCCTCTGGCTACACCACCCCCTCGGCGCTTGTTGACCTATCGCTCCATTCCAGGCGTCACCATGCCTGACCTGGTCGCAACCCGTTCGGGCACTTCTTCCAAGTCTATCCCTTCTGTAGTCAGCGATGATTCCTCGGCTGTCCCATCTTCCTTTGCCACTCCAAAATCTACCATCTCACGCAAGAAACCAGCCGGATTGAGCATCGCCTCCCTCAAAGCTCACAGGGCACCTCCCGTGGCCCCTGGCAACGGTGATTCGCCAGAGTTTCAGTTGGCGCTGTCCAGCGCAGAACAACTTCGATTAGAGATTTCCCGTCTCCAACTGTCCTCAAAGTCATCTTCTTCCGGCACATCGGCGGTCGAATCCGTTCCCTCATCTCCATCAGCCCCCATCACTCCAGGTTCGGTCAACGTGCCTAACGGCAATGGTGCCAGGAAGAAGAGCACGGCCTCAGTAGGGGGCAAAGCTCGGCGGAAGGATAAAGATGGTGAAGAGTTGGTCAAAAACGAAGACCTTGAGGTATTGGCCGACCTTGGTGCTGGGAATGGTGGTACCGTGACAAAGGTCTGGAATAAGAAGAGAAATTGTATAATGGCTAGGAAGGTATGCCACCTCATTCATTCTTATCTATTGTCTATGCGATAGCGTCGTGACGAAGAAAATCTACTGACACACAGCTCATACTGGTGGATGCCAAGCCTGCTATCAAGAAGCAAATCCTTCGCGAGTTACAGATCATGAACGACTGCGCCTCACCGTATATCGTAGGATATTACGGATGCTTCCCCATCGACGTTCACGTCGGTATTGTCATGGAGTATATGGATGCTGGGTAATATTTCAACATGATCTGTTCAGAAAAATGCAGCTGATCTCAAAGATCTCTGGATTATATTTACCGACACAACGGTCCGGTATCTATCGAGATCACTGGCAAAGTTGCCGAGGCCGTATTGCGAGGACTCATGTATCTATACGATGTGCATCGGATCATTCATCGGGGTTGGTTTCACCATCATCATCATCGAAAGAAAACTCACCAACAGATATCAAACCGTCCAACATCCTTGCCAACACCGCTGGAGAGATCAAAATATGCGACTTCGGTGTCTCTGGTGAACTGATCAACTCGATCGCCAATACCTTTGTCGGTACGAGTACATACATGAGTGTGAGCGTCTACCTTCCTCCGACTCCCCCACTCACCCTTCTTCTATCTATCAACGTAAACGTCGTTCCACACGGTCATCTGACTCGGTGACATGAGCTTACTATCTAGCCTGAACGTATACAAGGCGCCGCATACACCATCAAATCCGACGTCTGGTCTCTCGGTATCTCGTTAATAGAACTCGCTTTAGGTCGTTTCCCCTTTGCTGAACCCCCCGACTCGTCATCAGAAGCGGACGCATCGGACAGCGAAGCTCAAGCGACTTTCGACGCCAATGCCACCTTACCGCTTGCTGCTCAACGAGCGGCTCTCGATCTTGGAGGTAACAGTAATGGCAATGGCAATAACTCGCCCCCTCATGAAAGACGACGATCCCGTGGCGTATCCCTGGCCGGTGGTGGATCCACAATGAGCATATTGGACTTGCTGCAACATATCGTCAATGAACCTGCACCCAAGTTGTACAGTCCACGAAAAGACTTTCCCCAGGAGGCTGTAGACTTTGTGGAGGATTGTCTTAGTAAAGATCCCGCGACGCGTAAGAGTCCTCAGGAATTGCTGGTGAGCTTTTCCATTTTGTACCCAACCGGATGAACCCTACCTTCGCTCATCGAAAGTATGTCGTGACCTGGAATGCGGATTGTAGCATGCAAAGGGACACAACTGACACATAGAAATCATCATGGATCGTCGATTCCAAAGTCACCAAAGCGGACTTGGAAAAATGGACGAAGGCTACTGTGGAGGAATAACTTTGGGCGACATAACTTTCATACCTTCGCTCCCATTCTGTCCAAGATCAAATTCACGTCTGACCCACCTTTGCGATTTATTTTCATAGTTCACTCATCTTTGTCAACCACCTCACATAAGTCACGCCGTCAAAAATCTCTCTTCATGCGGAGGAAGCGGCGCAATGACTTTCCTAGTACTTTAACGACAAAAGCCAAATATATGCAGCAAATGAAGTGACATGAAAAGAGGAGGAGATAAGAGTACGCGCCAGGGGAGAGAGGAAGATTCTCAGTGTACATAACGCTTCATCCATACATCATCAAAAGAAACAATGTTTGTGCATGTCATTATTATCGTTCCACTTATGAACATTAATCTATCGGTTCTTGCGATGTCAATTATCGCCGAACAGACGCGTTTCGTACTTGACATATTGGAAAGCTGTCAACCCCGACGTACAAAACAGGAGAAAAGAAGAGAAGTAATCGTCCGGTTCAAAATCGGGTATGACATGCTACAACGATGATGAAGGAAGTCTGCGTAACATGTTGTTGATTAGATCATGCGAAAGACAATCATCGCTATGCATTCACATGGGGTAATCAAACAAACATGCAATGCAGACAAGACGGATAAGAGTAAGACAAAACATCCCCTCTTCGTTCATCCACTCAATTTCCCTTCTCCTCTCAACCTTTTCTTCCATTCTGTACTCTTTTCCAAACCTTCCTCCACCCTGACAGAAGCTTTATAATCACTAATCACACTCTCACTATCTGATTCACTACTCTCTGACAAATCTTCGACAACTTTAACATCTTCTAATCCATTCTTTTCATCATTCAAATTGATCTCTGATTCTCCTGTCTTTCTCCTTTTACTTAAACGAAGTCGAACCACCATTCTTCCTCTTCCACTACCTGTCATGACGTCTGATGAATCTGTTTTCCTCTTTCTATCCCCTAAAGGTGAAGGTGAGCGGGAAGAAGGTGAAAGACTATCGTCATATCTTGCTTTCATACCTAATTTAGCCAATTCACGTTTAGCAAGTTCTTTCCCTTCTTTGGCAGAAGCTTTGATATCTATCAGGTCGACTTTAACTTCATCTCCCTCATTTTTCTTATCATCTTCCTTAACCACAATCCCTTCCTTTTCTTTTCCTTCTTCGACAAGTTGTGATTCTGAAGTATCTCCCGCGAGCATAGTTATGTTTGAATCGACTAAAGGAGAAGTGATGGTTGGAATGACAGGATGATTTTCTTTTCCAGTGATAAGACTTAATCGTCGAGAATTCTCAATGACTGCACTGATAGCTGCTCTAGCTCCAGCTTTTGTAGCATAACCTTCTTTCTGAGGTCGATGTCCTGACCAACAACGTCTCTCCACTTTCGTTTTTGTTTTGGTGGAGATTGTCTCTGATCCTCGGATAAGAGGCGTGGCTCCTGTCCAAAACTTCAACACCGGTCTTTCCGGCTTGTCGGGTTTTTCACTTTCTCTATTGGCAGAACGAGATCTACCCGATGGATGAGAATGTGAGCTGGATGGTGAACCTGGTGGAGGGGGAGTTGACTCAATGGGAGAAAGAGGAATATGAGCAATGGTTGGCAAAGAAGGAAGTTCAGACTTTTTGGGAAGATAGGAAGGACGATGATGAATTAGACCAGGGACGAAATCGTCTGGGGTAGCGGTTGAATGTCTACGGCCTATGTGTGCCATAAGCTCTGGAAAGGCAGATCCTTCATACAAGCAGTCTATAGTGTCAGCGTTTGTATTACACGAGATGTTGATTTGATCGCAAATGGATTATGATGCGTATTTGATAGATGGCGCTTCATTGTGTGTGATGAAGGAGAAGAAATAGAGATATTTTGCAACTCACTGAAAGGACATCTAGCGGAGAATGGTTTCATGTGTAGGACAAGACAATGCTTGTACACCTCTTCTCGAGTCCTGAACACATCCGTACATCCTTTCCAAAGACATCGGACTCTCCCACCAATGTCTAAGACAGGAGAGAGGGCTTCATGGAGATGAGCATGGTAGATATGTTTCTCAAGAAGTGCCCATGAGTTGAGCACGGCATGACAGTTGGACCAGGAACAATTTGTGGGGCTGGGAGTCAGCATGATTTCTTGTTTCTATGCGATCATAAGGAAGTGAGAATACACCTTTCTCAGAAACTCCGTGTCTTCCCTGACAAAGGAGCCATTAGAGGCAATGGCCGGTACTCTTCATTGGTAGGAATGGTGACGATGCAAGATAAGAGAGATTGAGCAGCGCCTTTGTTTGACAGGAATTATGACGATGTAAAGAGTCACATAAACCAAGACTCACCGAGCATGTACGAAGACCTGCAATTGGATCCTCCGAGTTTTACGCAAATCTTCTTCCCTTTTCGCGTTCAACTTGCTTTCCTCTACTGCCTTTCTCGCTTGAGCGATAGCAGCCTGTTGTTCTGCCAAAAGATCTCTAGCACCAATACGAGCCCTAGGAGACGCAGGTCTTGGAACTTGAGGATAGTTCGGATGGTTATGATACCCCACAGGAACGTTTCCGTGCAAAGGATGAGGTTGCATGTGGGATTGAGAATGGGCATAAGGAGGATACCCCGGCGGGACTTGTGACTGAGGATAAGTTTGTGGTTGCACTTGAGCTTGACGTTGCATCCACCTAGCATCTCTCTGCGCGCCACGGGATGGTTGATATCTCCCTCTAGCTTGAGATTGAGTGGGTGATGCGGGAGCGGAATACGATTGGTTGGAATGGGCGTTTGCGTGTGCCTGGGCTAGATGTTGACGGTGATGGAGTTGAACTTGTTGTTCATATTGTCTTCGCAAATCTTGATATGCCTGGGATCTAGGGTCAGGTTGTCGATCATATGGAGCCGAAGGGTGATTAGGCGTCTGAGGTTGGGACGGGGGTAGAACGTCATGTGGAAGACGTCGAGGTTGAGGTGGTGGTGGAGTTTGCTCGTATCCGTATCCTCTGGAAGGTAAACCGGCAGAACGGGGTGTTGCGGCATACATGGGAGTATGAGGTACCGATGAAAGTCTTGTCGTCTCTGTATCTTCTATCTTCGGTTTGATATCTCTCGGAATGGAAGTGTCTCGTCTGGTGGGTTCAGGGATGGTTGAAGCAGGTCGTGGTTGTGCTGGATCTGTGGTATCATTCTGTGAATTTTGATTCGTCATTTATATACTTTTTCCAAAATAAAGAGGGGAGCGCGGTAAGGGTGAAAGGCGATGAGATGATATGAAACTATTGTGACGTATCTCCGTGTCCAACGGAGCGAACCAGAGGGAGGGAACGGAGACCAAGAATAAGTAAATGACCAAGTCGGAAACGTGTAAGAGCACGCGATGACACGATGTGTATGGAGCGCGGAGTTGGGAATGGCACGTATTGGGCGACGCTTATGGGTAGAAAGAGAGGCGGGGAGAGAAAATGTGAATAAGGGTTAAACAGGTGTAGTAGCTTCAAAACGGGTGGAAGGGAAATAGGGGCAGCCGTGTGGCCGGGAGGTTTGGAGGAGAAGCGTTGACGGTGAATGATGAATGGAGTGTGAGTCGTCTGACACTTTGAACAACAGAGGTAAGCGGTGAATATATGAAAGGAGGTTTATAGTAAAAGAGAGAAGTCATGTTTCCACTGTTCAAGAAAGGAAGGGTGAGAAGCTGGTAGATGGGACAGGAGGATGGGTGGGAAGGTTGGTTGATTGGGGTTCAAGAGACGATACCCACAAGTTATCCTCTGTTTCTCTCCATTACGATTCTCTTCCTCCATTCCAGCTTTATGAGAGTTCTGTTTCGGTAGGGGTGGTCGAGGAAGGTGATCCATGAGTTTGATACTTGCCGAAGTAGAATCGAGCCTTGCGAATGTTTGAATCGAAGTCAATTGAGAAGCCCAATCGTGCGGATGACTTTGTATGGCCTGAGCCATTATCTTCACTCGATATGATTTGCAGTGTCGCCCGTTTTGAGTATCGTCGACGTCGCCTTGCTCAAATCCTAACTCGGCTCTCGATATGATACTACGCCCTCGGGATTTTGCGGGGACAGGGGCGAAAGAGTCGTGATGAGATGTAATGTGAGGCGGGAAACGTGAGATCGATGTCTCACCTCGTGTTTCTCTGTCTCACTTGATGCAGTCCCTGCGATAACCTCTCTGATTCGATCGAGTGGCTTATATGAGTCTGATGATTCGGGGTCTGAATAATGGTCAAAATCGTTCTTAAGTCACCTGATCGGTCGACCAATGGAAGGATCGATTGTCTGATGTCGAAGAATGCTGATGCCGGTTGAGAGGATGCTCCTGCTGGTAATTGTCAGAAAGTGACAAGCGACTGAAGGGACAAAGTATGAAAGAAGAAGAAAGATGATACTACTCTGTAATGTGTATGTGTGAGCTGACTTTGGATGATCACACCAGGGCGACAAAGGAGAAGACCGCCCGTTGATTCCAACAAGACAAAGGATCCTCCTCTACTCTTGCCTCATCCCCTCTGCAACTCTCACGTCGTCGACTCCACACCTCCGGGGGCTTCAACACAAAGGATTCCAAAAGAATCAAGTGATGATCCTCGATTTCTCTATTCTGTGTCATGTTTTTAGTTTCGACGATCCTTATATCCCCGACCGTTGGTTGGTCAATGGGAACTGGCAACCAGGGGAAATCACGGGGCATCTCAAAGGGTGATCATGGAGATCATAGTTCAGGGGTTGGGTAAGTTTGTGAGAGATTCGTGATCTAGTAACAATGGGTACTACACAGGAATGAATTGGCCAAATGGGGAAAGAACGGATACAAGAAGGGTATCATGGTAGTACGAGGCGTGAAGCACGGATCAGAAATCAGGAATCAAGGGATATCTGGATCAGTCGCGATCGAGAAACGAAAACGCTTAAACCTTGTCCATTTTCGTGCCTCCTCCCTTATCATGAGATCGCATCAATTCATCTCCTGCGTTTCCCACCTTTGCCTCCTCCTTCATCCTGCCGCTTCCTCTTGATACCCTCCTGTCTTGCATGCTCCTTCTTCTCCTTTGCAATCTTCTCCTGTCTCCTCTCACCCCTTTCCTCCGCCTCTTTCAGGTACCCTTGACGACGTTCCGTCTGTTTGGCTCGACGTCGGGCCACCTTATCCTTTCGCAGCGCCTGAATCTGCTGGAGGAGCGCAACGGCCTTCTTCTCCTCCGGTTGAAGCACCACAGCACGTTTCTGTAGGTATGTCTTCTTTTTCTGTTTTAGAAGTTGGGCAGTCTTAGTCGCATAGGGTAGCGAAGCTTCGAGCTTTTTGGGAACTTTGAGAGGGTTGAATCGACGAGTAGACCGTTCGACAGGCTGGGAGCATTAGCACCAAGCACTAAACTGATTCGATTCGTGATCCCATGATCGCATGACCCCTTGATTTCATAAATGGATGTCTCAAGTAGAGAGAGACCGATCAGGGAGCAGACGCCAGATTGGGGGTGTCGGAAGGTAGTACGTACTCTGTAGGTCGAATTTGGATCAAGAGGTGTGTCCACACCCTCATCTCGTCGAATTTGTCCGATAAGGCGCATGCCCTGCCAACCCTTCTTGTCCGCGAGAAGTAACGATGTGACCGGATTATACAATTTCTTAGGTTCAATGGAATACCAAGCCCGGAGGAAGATGATATCTGAATACAATCAGCATAGTCCTCAAGAGACCCTTCATGTTGCAATGTCTCTCTCGACTTTGTGAATGCAAGAATCGAACTCACCGCTCATCAATACCTTATCTTCAAAGGTGGCTCTGTATGCTCCATCCGGCTTACTCAAAGCTTTCTTGATCTGCCCCCTTATACCCGACACCGTCCTAATGTTCGCCCCTTCAAATTTAGCTACCTCCAGTGCCGAGTTGAACATATCCTTGACAAATGCCGTATTCTTGAAGATCTTGTATGGTACTCCGGTCAACTTCAGTTTCTTTACGACCTTTGTACTCCTATCCACATCCAACACCACCCCCGTCGCCGACACTCTGAAACCAGGAGCTTCAGCCGAGAGCGAGTTGAAAGCGCAGAACCCGGTATTGGGCGCTGAGACAGGTCCGTAGAACGTAGCGTAACAGTGCATATGCTCCGGTGTATATTTTAGTAGTCGATGCCGGATGGAATGATCGTCGAGATGATATATTGGTAGAGTTTGAAACCTTCTCCAGCCCAAAGAGAGGATCAGGGGATTGTTCGTTTTGAGAGTTCGAGTGAACCATCGATGTCGTTTGATCCTCACGGTCACATATCCAAACCGTTCCTCTGCCGACAGAAGACCGCCGACGACAATCGGAAAAGAAGGGTCGAAGTTGTCGACTAACTCGCAAGGAACTCCATGAACCTCTAATCGGACATAGGATCCCGCCCGATAACCCTCGATCTGAGCGCGAGCTTCATTGTCTAGTCCGTCAAATTCGGCTTCATTCAACTGTCGCTGACGAGCCATTTCAGCTTTCTGTTCATCGTAAAAGTCCATCTTGCCCGAGTCTGAGTCTGACTCATCGTACTGCTCGTTAAACTTGTTTTGAAGAGCTTCCTTCTTCTTGGCCAGTGCAGCAGCTCGAGCCGCTTCGTGATCCTGAGGTTTTACACCGACATATGGCACGTCGTCATCATTATCTTCCTCCACACCATCAGCAGCCTCGTCACCCTCGACATCTTCAAAATCTCCAGTCTCGTCTTCGTAATCCTGAGCATCACCATCCGTCTCGCCCACAGGCGCAGTGATGAAACAATTGTGCAGGGAAGAAAGTAGTTCTTCATCTTGCCACTTTTCCTCCAAGGCTTTGCGGTTTATAGACGTCTTCAACTGATCTCCTTCTTCGTCGAGTCCATCCTGCCGAGTGACCCGGAAGAAGCCATCCGTAGCGGTCTGAGACGACTCGGCATCGGCTGATGAAGGCCGTGTCTTGCCTGAGGCGATCTCTTCGGGAGATAGCTCGTCGCCATAGACAAGCGTCATGAGGTCTCTTCGACGTTCCATCCGAGCTGCAAAATCACCAGCCGCTCGTTCAGTAAGATTTGACTTCCAGCGTGGTGCGTCTTCGTCCTCGTCTTCTTCCCCATCGGTACCCCCATCGATATCAATTCTGCCTCCTTCTTGCTCAAACCCAGTAGTATTCTCAAGGTCGTTATCCGAGTCGGAAGCAGCATAATGAGCCTCCGCATCGTCATTTATGTCGCTCTCAGAGTCATCGGCAGCATGTTGCACGTCATCTCCGAGCATGTGGTCGGCAGAGAGATCTTCAAAGTCCTCATCGTCCGACTCGTTCTCTCCGAGATTCTCGCTGCCGCCGTTGTCATCGTCATCATCCTCCGCTCGACCGAGTATCGGACCCCCATTTCTTGGCTCAGCACGTCGACGGACCCTTTCCTCTTTGATTTGGAGAGGAACAGACGAAGTGCCAAACAGTCGGATTTGAGACTGTTCAATACCGTCGGCGAAGGTCCGATTGGCGTCTTGTAGATCCATGACCATTTTCTCTCCTTCCCCTTGAGGAGCTGGATGTCAGATCGAGACGAAACAGGTCGAAAACGACTCACCATCTCCACCTTTGGTGAAATTCCCGGGGACATTTACATAAACAGCATCTTTATCATATATCACACCACCAACATCACTCATAGGCGCATGTATAAGTTTAGCCTTCTCTCCCATTTTCCTCCTTCTCTCACTGTCCAACGTTGGCAAAGGACATGGATCTGCTAGTCTCTCCACTTCCTTCACTTCAAGATCACCCGCACCTGGTATATGGATCTTGGCGTTTCTAGCTGGTAAGTTAGGTCCCCGTAGATACCCGTATAATGTGATGGTTCGATCGACCTTCGGATTGGTTCTGATGGTTTCCCGAGGAGTCAGATCTTGCAACCTATCCGCGAGAAGATGTGGATGTTGATTACGGAAGACTAGAGGACGGAACTTCATGATACTGATAAAACGTGAAAGTAGGTTGATCTCCGCGTCTGGATAGCGGCCATTGATGACCCCACTGAGGGAAAACAGTTTGGCACCTTGGTAGATTTCAGTCCAGAATCGATGTTTCAAACGTTTCTTGGTATCTTTGAGTGTTGATTGTTTTTTGATCAAATCCAAGTGACTGAGTAAACCAATGACTTTGGGGAAACCGTGAGATTGGAGGATATTAAGAAATTCGAATGTTTCCTGTCCGTCTCAGCCAATCGTGTATTCTGTATGGGGAGAGGGGGGGGGGAGGACTGACCATTTCGAAACCAAAACTTCCATCGATCATGAGCAAGACCAGATCGACGACTTTTCCGAGATCAATCATGCTATTGAGATCGTTGCCACATTCTACAAATGTGATGCGGCGGGTTTTACCACTGACGACGGTGATGGGTCCAAAAGCTTGAGAAAGGGAGTGTTTGGTGTAACGTTTAACCAACGAGCGAAGGAGGGTAGATTTACCCACTCCCGGTGGGCCGACGATTCCAACCACGATAGGAGGAGGGGGAAGACGACCTTCATCCATACCCTTCCCTTTCTCCCCGGTGACCTTGCGCTCATCAGGGTTACGGTTGACGAGGGGAACATGGAGACGTTTTTGATCCTTGTCGGCGGTACGTAGAGCTGCTTTTTGTCCGGACCGGAAAGAGGAAGATGTGAATGCCTGAGAGATGTCAGCTCAGGTAGACAAGAGATGAACATCAGCGAGTGGAGAAGATACGAGGGTATGTGAAACCCACCTTGGGGTTGTAATTTTTACCTCCACTACGGTCGATGCCTTTAACAGCATCTTTCTTTGCCAGCTTTACACCAGCCGCAGCTTTGTGATGGGTCTTATGAGGTTTCTCCATCCTGCTCAATGGTCAATCTTCGACCCAAACCAATGTCAATGTTACGATTTCAATGAGGTAGCGACCGACTTTGAAAATGTGCTCAAAACTCCGGTCACGTGACTCGATCGCTCGAAAAGGATTTCTGATCTCAAAAAGTCTGGAAAACTCGTAAGTTGAATCACCTCGACAGCAATAACGATTTACCTCTGTATCAAAACGACATGGCCAAGGAACAGGTCAGAAAGCGAGGCAAACGAAAGCCCAAGAATGTGGAAGAGGAATATCCTAAGCCCGTCCCTCACGCTCCAGTCGTGGGACAGGATACATCCGCAGGCCCATCTTTTCATCCCTCTCGGGCCGCTCTACTATCAGGTCAGAAACCTTCCTTTCCTATACCTACTTTCCCTCCAGGATCAGTTGGAGAAGAGATCAATAGTGGTGTCCCAGACATTAATCCGGACTACCCCTTCGGTCAGCTGGACCCGGACCTCAAAGCGTATTTCCGTACCGTGGAAGACCAAATCAAGGATTGGGAAGGTATCTCTTCCTCTGGAGAAGAAAGAGAAGGTGAGTGCTATGCCAGCAAGTACACACGAGAAGTACTCCATCCTGACATTCTTAGACAGACAGACTTTCCTCAGCTCCGTACTGACTGAGTTGAGGGATCACGAGTTAGTCGTCGCGACCGACCCTGAGACGTCGATAGTTCTTGAACGACTGCTTCCATCTCTTGGCGATTGGGGTAGAAGGGTGATAGGAGATGCTTTCGGAGAGCAGTGGACTGTCCTTTTGAGACATAGATTTGGGAGTCATGTGGTCCAGACTTGGCTCACGTTGGCTGGGGATACGCTAGACAGGGAGGTGAGTTGTCCAACTGCATGACCTCGATTCTCCCAATCGTATCTCGTTGAACTCTCTTGAGTCTCACGTACACCTCTAACAATCACAATTCATATGTCTGTCCTGCGCTTTACCTACTCTTCAAGGTTCATCTGCAGTTATAAGTGGAGAATATCTGATCCATAGTCCAAAAACATGTTTCCTCCTCAACACCACGCCCAAGCTGAACATCCCGAACTCGGGATTCTTCCGACCATGTCAACCCTGCTGTCCTCCCTGCTCTCAGAAATCATCCCCAATCTCTCCACTCTTATATCTGATACCCATTCCTCTCCTCCCATTAGACTCCTCTTCCTCCTCCTGAGTCCTGATCGTCCACTCCCATCCCTGGAAGAGCGTGACGAGAAAATACGATCCAAGCGATCTGGCAAGTTTAGAAAGAACCAAGGTGTCAAGGGCATGTCTATATTCGGCGAGGAGTTGGGAGAGGAGAAGGGAAAAGGAAAAAGTGTGAACACTCGGTTTTTGCCTACTGAGCTCGTAGGAGCGAGGAAGAGATCGAGAAAGACTTTGATGGAATCAGTGAAAGAAGGGGAGTGGAAGATTTTAGGTGTTCATCCCGTAGGAAGTATCGTGGTTCAGGTAAGTCCAGTCGGCGTGATGGAGGAGAGATCGCTGTCATCTTTGAAAAAACGAGCGACTGACTCCGGAGTGAGGAATCAGCTGACAATAAGATGATGCTGGAATTCGAAAACGAAGAAGACGAAGCAGAGAAGCCAGGTTCACTGTTCGATATATTGACAGAAGGAATGATTACTCAAATCCGTATATCTCTTTCTACTTCTATCGTCAAAATGAACTGATGGTATTTTCAGAATCAGAAGAACAAGTCGACCCACAAGCATTCATGACCTCCCTTCAAACTTCACCGACGGGTACAAGACTATACGAAGCCCTTCTCCTCTACTCACCCTGGCCAATTTTCCAAGCTATTTGGAAAACTTACTTTGTGGGGAATATAGGCAAACTCTCTATACACCCGTTTGCCAATTTTGTTGTTTCAAAAGGTATTTCTCGTCTTGGTGCAGAGGAAATGGAAGGGGTTATCAAGGAATGTGTGGAGCTGCAAGGAGGGACGGGGATGATTAGTGAGTCACCGAAAGCCTATATACGTCACTCCCATAAACACTCGCTGTCTCCTTTTTCTTCCAGGCATGATCTTCAACCCTGCGCTATCACTTGTTCATGAGCTAAGCGCTGTATATTTGCATCACTAAGTGGGTTGCTTGAGCTTATGAACAGAAACACAACGAACAAGTGTACTGCAAGCTCTTGCAGAACGCGCTACAATTACACCCTCTTCGTCCGAGTCTATCATCAGCGTGAGCTTCCTCACGAACAATGGCATGTGGTCCACTAACTTTTGCAGCTCGTCATATCTTCCCTAGGATTACCAGAAACGGACCAATCTACCCTCGTCCCATGTCTCATGGCTTTGAAAACTCACTCGGTACGTCTCGGAAGTCGCCCAAAAGCCAATGGGTGTGAGCTCATAATGAGACGTATCGTTCCATCCTCACCGGGGACCCTTTGCCCGAAGAAGAAGTACCCATGGAAAGTAAAGACGCATCGGCCGAAGAAGCAGCTGCTGCTGCAGCTCGTCATGCCGCATGGCAGAACCGACGGAACGTACGATCCACCAAAGGTGGTTTGGAACCGAATATTCAAGGATGTCTCCTTCTCCAGGCATTGGTACGACTGCCTTTTCCCTCCAATGAGGTTGTCTTCGAAAGGTATCTGTCCTCTCTGTTTCTTCTTCAGGAATCTTCTCAAAAATGGCATCGACCACTTCTGACATACAGTTTGTCATCTCAAAGTATCGACACTCTCATAAACTACGCTACAAACCCCATTAGTTCCAGATTCCTCGATTCAGTCCTCGAAAGTCCCAACGGCAAGTACAAACGGCGTCTCATCTCCTCTTTCCTTGGAAAATATGAAACTTTGGCAGTCGATCGAATAGGCTCAAGGGTAGCTGAGAAACTTTTCGAACATGCAGATGGATTTATGAAGGTCAGTCCATCGTACGATAAGTGATCAATTACTGACTTGAAAGGAGAAAATTGCTAGGTCGGTACTACCCGAGGCAACAACAATTGGGAATAACGAGTTCGGCAAATATTTCATCAGAAGATTACATCTTCATTTACTCGATCGCAGACCGGTAGAATGGCGCGAGGCGGTGAACCGAAAACCAGGAGTACCTACTGCTTTCCCTGTCCCTGCAACAATACTGGGGAGTTCGACGAGCATCAAGTACGGTAATAACAAAGGATTGCCTGAGAAGAGGTCGGAGCATGAGAAGATGGAAGATCGCCGGAGAGACGGAGAGACAGAGATGAATGTGGAGAAGACTGGAGTAGAGGTCGATACGAAGAAAGTGGTGAAAGAGAAGAGAAGGAAAGAATCCAATACGAATGAGGAAGACGAGATAGATATGCTTTTTGCTGGGGTAGAGAAAAAGAGGAAGAAGTCGAGGATCTGATGGATCACAAAAGGCATGGTTTATTAATATAGCTGTAGATTAGTCTACGATCAGCCTCCGAATGCACAGCCATCAACGGAACATCAGTACCAGTCCTGAAAGCCATTGAAAAATCAGAGGATGGGGCAGATTGAGGAGTCATTGATGTTGTCGTAGCAGAAAGATCACGTTGGGTTATCATGAGTATATTGACAGATCATAATTCAGAATGATCAGTAAGGAGTCAGATTTTAGTACGTACAGTATCCAGCCAGGTATAGCGAGTGAGCGATTAGTGTTTATCGGTCAGTTGACAGGTCAGTCGATCAAGCCAGTTGATACATCATTCGATCAAGTCAGTCGATACGTCAGTTGACAGGTCAGTCAATAGATGAGTTCACAGGTCAGTTGATCAAGTCAGTCGATAAATTAGTTGATAAATCAGTTGAGAGGTCAGTTGATAGGTCAGTTGATAGGTCAGTCGATAGGTCAGTCGATAGGTCAGTCGATAGATTAGTCCATAGGTCAGTTGGTAGATTGGTCAATAGGTCAGTCAATTGGTCAGTCAATAGGTCAGTCAATAGGTTAGTTCACAAGTCAGTTGATCAAATCAGTCCATAGGTTGATTGATAAATCATCTGATAAGTCAGTCGATAAGTTAGTCGATAAGTCAGTCGATAGATTAGTCAATAGGTCAGTCAATAGGTAGGGGGGTAGATCAGTGGACAGGTCAGGGGAGAACAGTCAGCAGGGAGTGGTCTGGGAAGTATAATCAGCATACAGTAGTCAGTTGGCGATTGTCAGACACTGGTCAACGATAATCTGTGACCAGTCATCATCATCCAGTCAGTGATGGGTAAGTAGGTGAGTAGGTGAGTAGGTGAGTAGGTGAGTAGGTGAGTAGGTGAGTAGGTGAGTAGGTGAGTACTCAGTGTCGATAGTCAGTAGTAAGTAAGTACATCAGTACCTCTCACCCACCTTACAAATCCGTCCACCTGACACCTTCCCAAGTTGCCGTCTTGAAACTTTCCAAGGCCTATAGATAAGCTCGATTTCTCTCATTCGGAAGACTCACGTTTGGGACCATACCGACCGTTCCATCCATCAAATCCATCTTCACCTCCCTCCATGCTAGCTTGATTTCACCTCCATTCTGTGCAGCCTGTAGCGCCTTTTCATACATCTTTGGCCATGTATGAGTGAGAGGATGAAGATAGGAATGTAATCGTTCTTCGGCGGACCGCGTGATTGTATTACGTTTCGTCGATGTGTGTTGGACTTGTCGAGTCGAGAAAAGGTGTGTCTTATGAAGTCGGGCTGATTGTTGAGAAGGAGAAGGTTGTAGGTTTGCAGGAGCTGAACGAATACGTGTATAAGCGTGTGGGAGATGAGAGCGAAAGTGATACTCTTCGGCGGACATGGCGGAAGGAGATGAGAATGATGATGACGATGTATGAGATTGAGCGTATTCGGAGCTGTTAGATGAGGTGTCTGTAGGAGGATAGCGATGGTCGTTGAGTGATGTCGGGCAGAGTCTCCCTTGAGAGAAAATGGAAGAGAGTAATCGATAAATTAGGTAGATGAGAAAGATGATGAGATACACTACTAAGTGACAAACGATAGTCTTGCATATCGCTTCCGACAATGGACCGGATGAACCGAGCAGTGAATTAAGGGATGGATGGAGGGTCATTATACACCATGTGAATCTATCTGCCAAGAAAGCCATGAAGTTGTCGAGTCTTCCCAGAAGTTCAGAGAGGAGAACGAGGAGATGGTGGGAAAGGAAAGATCGGAGTGTAACGACTTGAACCGGTGGCGAGGGGAGAGAAGGGGGAGTCATGTTGCCCCAGAGACAGGAGTTGGATTGCATGATGATAGGAGAGGTGAGTTCTGTGAGTTAACAGAGTGAGAGAGAGTGAATACTAGCCTTTCCAGAAGAGATATAAGAAAAGAAGAGAGAGAGGAAGAAGAGACGAAAGAGAAGAGGTGAAGGTGAATGAAAGAATTGGGGATACGCACAGACATTCGGTCCACTCAACCACTCACCTCGCACGGGCCACACTTTCCCCCAATTTTATCAAAGCCATATACGATACTCTATCTTTGTACTTAGCGGTCTTCCCCATTTCGTAGTGAGTAGGCTTGCTACGTAAGAGAAAGTAAGAAGTCAGTGCGGTATGCACAATGTGATGCATGACAGATGATTCCTGCATTCATTTTCCCCACCTCTTCATCCATGCTCCACTCCTCACCACTAGTCCTCGTCCCAATTTCCTTGCTGCTTCGGCGGAGCTATACCAGCTTGTTTGCTCACGATGATGCTATCGACTCTCAACACCGAGATAGCAGCTTCCGTAGCGAGTTTCAAAGCCCAGTCTTTGGCCGCAAAACTGTCCAGCACACCACCTACCACAGCATTAAACACTCCATCTCCGTCCGACTCGATATCCACGCCAGATTCTAGTTCTCCATCCGCATGGGCTTTGTATAAAGAAGATACGACATCTTCAGCGTTCAACCCTGCATTCTCTGCCAACGTCCGAGGAACGACTTCACATGCTTCTGCCCAGCGACGTATCGAGTGTTGAGCTAGTCCAGCAGTTTTCCCACCATACGCCGCCACACGACGAGCGAGTTCGATCTCGGACGCACCAGCACCGGGTATGAGACGTCCGTCTCGTAGTAAGATACGGACAGTATTGATACCATCGTCGAGAGATCGTTCGAGGTCATCGAGATAATTGGCAGTGGCACCACGAAGGACAATAGTGGACGTCCGAGTTCGTTCGCCTTCTTCTTGTCGCAGCACGGTGACCCTGTCACCACCGATCTCGACAGTTTCGAAAACGTCTACCATTCCGGCTTCTTCCGGTGTTGGAGCACCGAGTCTGGCTAGGGGAGTTGCGCCGACCACTCGGCACAGACGACGGAGATCGAACTTTGAGAGTACTTTGATGACCCCAATGTTGAGACGGTTGAGATAATGTAAGGCGAGGTCACCGATACCAGACCCGGCAATGATAAGCTTGACACCAGAGTCGGCGATTTCCTTGAAGTACTGCCGATCAGTAACGAAAAGTGATTATGTCAGCCGAGAAACTCACACCCTCAAGTTGCTTTTCCTCCCCGCGGGTGAAGTTGAGTAATTCATCCGCCTTCTTCAATAGGACAGTGCCCTTAGTCTCAGTCTGAGAAATGTCCAGACCGCAAGTGTACACTGCCACCTTTGCTTTTGTGGCTTTTTTCACCACGCCTTGCAGTTAGCCCACTGATACCGGCAAGCTGAAGTTCGAGAACTCACCTTCTGGCTCTCGTCCAAATACCATCCCACGAACAACTCTACTGGCATCTAATCCACCACCAAGAACCTTGACCACCCGAACGGAGTCGACATTGAAGTCTTTCGCAATCTTTGGCATGACTGCTAGAGAAGCTTCGGCGACAAGAGATGCAAGGAAGTCTTCGGATCCAGGTTGTTTGGATGCTAAAGAAGGGGCAACAGCTTTGGCGAGTTCTTCTTGGGAAGGTATGACCGTACTTTCCAGGCTTTTCGAGACAAGGGCTGAGTTGTTCAGCAACGATCCCCTTCATGCCCCTGATTGAAGATTGATTGGATGATATGTGCGAGTACTCACTTTCCAGTTCCTTCCTCCCTTTCTCCAACGCCATCTCATAGCCTTGTATGACATCACTTGGATGTAATCCCATCGTCAACAGATGTTCAGATCTCTTCAATAATTCTCCAGCAAAGATCACCACCAAGTTTGTAGCATCCCCCATCTTTCTGTCAGCTCATGACAATGACATGGGCGAATAGCTCACCTCAGTCTCTTGTGCAGATGAGGCCATGGTGATGAGTTTCGCGGCAGGATGAGCAACTTCGATCTCGCGGATGATCGTCGCCGCATCGCTAGTCACAAACATTTTTCCCAGGTGGTTAATGATGAGTTTATTCCGTCCTCAAATATCAGCGATGCTTCTTTCTGGGGGAACATTCCATCAGCCTCAGTGGACAGAAACCATCACACGTGATAAGGAGAAATTTTCATGACTCACCATTGGGTCCAAAAGAAGTCCGGACAATCTCTGTCAACTCTCCGACAGCAGCGATATTCCGTAGGACAGCCTCTTCAAGTCCAGACATGTACTATTCATGAGCATCATGAAGATGATGATCAGAGATGACACACCTTGTAACCAGATTTGAAGAGGTCAGGGCCTCCAGCTTTTGGGACTTTGAGGGACATGATGAACGGACTTTGCTCTCTTTGACAATCCTATGAGGTCAGATTTGGCTGACACTTTTATCGATGACAGTCGTAGGTTAGAATAGAGCGGTCCCAAAGTCGTCTGTCTGCCGATTGAAGGGTAGACAAGACAGGACTTTCAAGGCGAAATATGCGTGACGGTCAAAGCGGGGGAGCGGCGATGTCCGCCATGAGTGACTTAGGGAAGAGGTTTCCTTCTAGGCTCGCGCTGTGAGTACTCGTACTAGTCACTACTTACTCTACGATCTATGGTCATTAAGTGATCCCGGGCCCTTTCGTTTCCATGAGGTCGACCTCTACCTGCCATTTCGAATTATACAAGGTACTCTACATCTTGAAGCATCAGTCCCACCGAGATCCATGATCGTGTACAGTACGTGTGAGAACAGGATCCAAACATGGTGAAACCTCTGCTAAATTATTGGCACAGAGTTTTACAGGCCTGTGAAATTCACCTCATAGATCAAAGAGGTACATACGCGACTAGCTACGCGTGAATGAGCATATGTACAACAATACTTCACTAACATAGCAGTTCTAGTGAACCCGGTTTCACACAACATCGATTCTTCGAGATACATATGAAACATCCGTTCCCATGCGCGGATCCATGGCTTGGCTTCTCTTCCTCTCATACATTCCGTACGTTCCTTTCAATATCTCCTTCCTCCCAGAGTCAATCCCGACTCCGTCACTAAGTCGTTACGATACGAGCTATCATCGAAACTGTCCTGATAAGCACTTGCTCAAGCCGTGGAAAAACACGTCGGATGTCACACCCTGCGATAACATCGTGATATCGTGAGTGTGTAGGTTGTGTGGTTGCACGACTGTCTGCAAATATGTGTACTAATCATCTCCAACCGGGAAATAAGCGTAAAACACTGGTCTCACGTAATTTTCATAGGATATGGATCAGTTCTGGCGGAATGTCCCGTGTCCCATCAGATATCTGATCTCATCTGGTCTATGCGTCTAAAATCATCCTTTGGCTTCGCTGACCCAGTGGACCCTGATCCGATTCTGGTCATGCCGCTCGACCGAGGGCCTTGGTTTCCAGGTAGAAACTACTGACCCAAACAGGAAAGCCTAACATTGACATGAAGAATCAAGGCCCTCTGACACCCCTCTTGTCTCTGACATATCATGCCCTTTTTGCTCATTCCAAGACGGCGGCTCAGTCGCTCCCTCATAATTATCGTCTTCGTCTTCACCGCTCCCTACTTTTTGCTACATTTTCTGGACTTACGCTCCCGTTCATCCCGATCATCCTCGACAATTTCAACGCCCGTTGGAGTACGGGAAGATGCTGCTGATCTGGGATACGCAAAAGACGGGACTTGGACAGATGTGCTGGGTAACCTTATCATATTAATGGTAGCAATAGGTCGAGGAGTGAGTCTAAAGCTATCAATCAAAGCCGTAGGCAAGAGAGAATAGCTAGCAGATGCTAACCTCGAACCAGATTATATGGAAAAGCCATCAAATGCCGCAACATACGTATCTTTCCAATGGTCTGCTCAAAGTCAATCCGAGCGGTCGTCACCCCATATACGATTTGATAGCGCGTAGTCGGGAAGACTGGAATACAAAAGGATCATCACAGAGTCGTACGTTGAACGAAGCTGTCAGCGAGTATCGAAGGCGATATGGACGTGCTCCTCCCAAGGGTTTTGACAGATGGTGAGCTGAATTCTTTGGTGGTACTACCGAGCTGATGGACGGGTGGGCCTATGTGAAGAAGCACAACGTCCAACTGCCCGATGAGTATGATCAGATAGTGAGTGGAGACAGAAGGAACGCGATTGCTGACACTCAGTATGACGACATTGAGCCTTTCTTCGCCCTCACCGCTGAACGAATCAAGGAATCGGTGAAGATTGCGAAGGCCAAGCAAGGGATATACACCATCGTGTGTCAAAAGGTTGAAACGGCGACTGGGAGATCGTCAGAGTGCTCGTACAATCTCAAAGAAGAGGGTATGCACTCGGATGGACAAAGAATACCCAGACAGCGGGCAGAGGCTCAGTTGAGCTTGTTGAAAGACGTGGAAAGTGAGCTGGAAGAGGTCGAAGCGATCTTTTATAGTCATGATGGGCCATTTCATATAGTGGACGACGAACACGTGAGTTAATCGATCATACTGCCTGATATCAAGTTCTGGCGAGAGGCTGATCGGATGCAGAAGAGTGCTCTGCGACGTGCGGCGGTTGACGGTGAATGTGAGTCCACCAATTCTGTCTGGCTTTGCCCTAGCAGATCTTGATTCCGCGACCTATGACGTGAGCTCACTCAAGACATTGTCGGTGCTTATGGTGCTGACAATGACCAGACGCGTGCTTCAAAGCTCGGATGGGCTTCTGCTTGTCCCACCGACACACCTCTGCGAGTACAGTACGATCTTTCCGTCCTCCCCACTTTGGAGCAGATCTGGAATGGAGAGAAGAGTTTTGTGTGGAATCACAAAGCGTACGTACGTTCCCTTACATTTCTTGCAGTGTCCAAGAAGAGATTTTGAGCACGAGATCATCCACAAGAATGTGCTGCTGATATGCAGTACTATGAACCCATGTGAACATCCCACACTGGCACATCTTTCGGGAGCCCTCGCTGCCCATGGAAAAGGTGTTACGGCCTCAAAGATATTGTTCCCGGTATTAGCCATGTGCAAAACCCCTCTTCATTCCGACATCCTCGCCGTGAGTTCCAAGCACTAAAGCTCTCTGAACTGATATCAGGTGGCAATGGAGGCATGGACGGAAGACGTAGACGTTGATCCTCCCTGGGAGGAGAAGTCCGATGATCGATTGTTATGGAGAGGAAGCACTACAGGTATTCACTTTGGACCCAAGACTCCTTGGAGTAAGTTCTCATGCGTCATGTTCCCGCGCTTTGATAGAGCATAACAGACTAAACACATTACTATGGTTGATGTTAAGACATATCGCAACGCATTAATCTTGTCTCAAAAGGGAATCAAACCACCGGAATGCTTGAAGTTTTCGACGTAAGAGATGAGACCTTCCGCGTTGGTACACCATCGACGAGAGAAATCGCAAAGCTCAATCACGACCTGCTGGATGTCGCGTTCGCCGGTCGGCCGGCACAATGCGAGCAACCTACGTGTGACGAGATGGCTAAGAATTATAGATTTGAACCCTGGCTGAGCAGGGCGGAAGGGAACAAGTAGGTCTTCAAGCTCTTCTTCTGTCCAGTACTCTTCTCTTAAACTTCTCTCCCCCCGAGCAGACCTCGAGTGTCAAAGGCGTGGTCCTCACTTAGTATTTCGGCCACTCATAAGAAGTTTTACGTTCCACATTTACCTCTTAAGGTCAAAGCCTGACAATCAGATACAAATACATCTTGGACGTAGATGGTAATGGCTGGTCAGCGCGCTTCAAAAGATTGATGACAACAAATTCCCTAATATTCAAAGCGACTATATTTCCTGAATGGTATACAGCCCGAGTCCAACCTTGTAAGTCCTCTGACTCCTCTACCCCGCCACTTCCCTTCTTCTTGAACATCATTCGTACCCCTAGTTGCCCTGCATGTCAAGTTGTCGAGAAAGTCGTACAACTTCCAAATTACTAAAGTACGAGGGCGGTGCTGATTTCTAGGGGTTCATTACGTTCCGCTCAAAGCCGATCTTACGGACATGTACGACGTCTTTTCGTTCTTCCGACACAACGATCATCTAGCCAAAGAGATCGCCACGGCGGGGAAAATCTGGAGTAAGACGTTTTGGAGACATGAAGATATGGTAGCATATCAGTTTAGGTCAGTATTATCCTCCTTCAATACTGTCCAAGAGTACTGACTCATTCAGATTATTATTAGAGTACTCACGGCTGCTCGCTTCTGATAGAGAAAAGGCTTCGTACCATGGGAAAGGGAGGCGCGATCGATCGAGTGTGAAAAGACGGGAAGGGTGACAGCAGCCATATTCGAAGAAAATAGATCATATACGATATTGACATGCATTGCAACAATCTTGTCCTGTGTCCGAACTCCTGTACATGCCCCTCCCATTCAACAGATATCTGAAAAGAAAAACTCGAGAAAGTGAAAACATACGTATAGAGATTACTGTCATGGGATAAAAAAAAGTGTGGTGGTTGGATCAATCATAAAAATCGAGCTCTTCTGGACCGAGAGGATAACCCCGAGGGTCAGGATAGTCATAGTCATTGTCATCTGTATCCGAGTCCTGTGTCGGCTGGGTGGCTTGAGACGGGAAAGTCCGCCTCACCAAAGCTCTACTTGGATCCGAGGTTGGGATGTCATAATCGTTTTGACGAGAGTCATACGAGACCAAAGCGCTCGTGTTGGCTGATCCAAAGCGCTCGTGTTGGCTGATGGACGTTGGCGTCTGGTCAACGGAGATCCCGGGAAAGGGGAATCGAATCCGCCTTGATTATAGCTCGGGGTTGCACCCATTCTGTTTGTGGGTTGATTGTGTCGTGTCGAAACCTGTGTCTGTTGCGCTGTTGTCTCAATGTTTCTTGAAGAATGAGGAGGTTCAAACCACTCCAACGACTTGATAGTTCGATTACCAAACTGGTCCTGACTTTTTAGATACTCGTCCTCGATCCCATCGTAGCTGAGAGCCAAATTAGGAGAGTTCATAAGTCCTCTCCACTTCGTGCGGTCGGTCGTGTCAGTTGCGTAATATTCCTTCCTCCTTACCATCGACTTATTACCCATGTCAATTGTCACTGAGCCTCCTGGATCGAGGAAAGCATACTCAGCGCTAACCAGTGTCGGTATCCTTTGAGTTCCTCGGGTGGTATGACGAAGCTGGATATTGAATCCAAAAACACCCATGAGTCCTGCCTCATCCGGAGTGACCTCTGTGAGAACGGAGTCATAGACCCGCACGCCCCCGTCCGAGGAAGGGGGATATGCGGTGAACTTAACGATTATACTCTTGTTTGGATTGTAGGGATCGGGAATCACCCTTGAAGTCTCGCCAGGTTCATATCGACCTTCCTTCGTCTTTTGACACAAGTAAACCTTGGTATTGTCCTTCGAGACAACCGCAAAAGGTCCCCAAGGCTTGGTCGGCTCGTTTGGTTCGTCTGCTATGAAAGCCAGCATGGGGATGTCAAGTTCGCCCATTTGGGGATGTTTTTTGAGTGTCGACTGTAGAGCTGTAGGAGGATCCACCGGAAGATTCTCAGGATGAACGGGGAATATGAGTGTCGTCTTTGGGGCTAGATAGAAAGTGACGTGATTAGGGCCTTTGTCGTGGATCATACTTGGATCGTATCCTGCATTCAGGTGTGAGGGCCCAGATCCTGTGCTTCTTATGATATCCTTGTAATGTCGATGAGAGTAGGGCTCCATTTGTGATTGCGAGATGGAATTGACGAGTTGCATATCATCGGTAAGTTGATCGATTTGGTATCTGTCAGAGGGAGGGGGGAGAAGTCGCCGTCGCGTGGAGGACTGATTGGACAAGTTGGCAGGTACTTGCGAGTAAGCATGCGTGTCATTCGACTGCTGAAACTGGGTGCCCCTCTGACCATAACGGACCAGGCTCGGCATGATTTCTACTCCGACTTCGGGATTGCCAGACTGCATGTCACGATGTCGGGTTTTGGAAGATGGATGACCAGTTTCAGCATGCCTGGAATTATTCCTTGCAGAAGCAGTAGCAGCCGGCGGAACACGCTCAGCACTGTGTTGCGATGAAGCGTAGTATGTAAGAGGTACGACCTGACGATTCCAGTCATCACCAAAATTGGACGAAATGAATTCTGAAGGCATTATGATGAGTAGGTTGGGACAGGCAACTTCAGCGATCTCGAGGGAAAGAAAGATGGTGGCGATGGGAGGGGTATTGTCCTTTCTTATATCCTCCACACCCCACAACGGTCCGCTATGTGGAGTCCTATGGGCACACAGACGTCAGGCATCAGATCTTCGACGTTAGAAGCTGATAAAGGAAGCGAGCATGTTTGCTGAAACAAGTACATCCGGTACGCGAAACGTGTGATATGTGAACAAAGGATCGAAGGGCGAGTGATGATCCGTATGGATGACGTGCTTGTGTGATGCTAAATTGCCCATTCGTGTGATGAATACGAAGAGGTCTGAACTTTGAACGTGAACGCTTGATCGATGACACATGTAAGAGAAAGGGGCTGGAACAATATTATAATGGTGTAAGTTCGCTATGGTCGTCACGTCATCGAGATCTTCGGATGAGTTTCGACAATGTTTTGATCCTTCATCCGGCCGTCACGGACGTGTCAGGTCGCCCTCGAAGGCTCTTTGTTTGAAAGGTTTCTGAACGTCAGAACTCCTGGATGATTGTGAAGTCATGTTCGTCCGAGGCCGGCGTACGGCGTGAGAGGTCGCGTCACAAGGCAGCAAGCCCTTACAAGTAGTGTTTCGCCGTGGTGTTGGATATCTCTTGTGTTCTGGAACTGTGGTATTCTCTAAAGTAAGTTAATAGGGTGTTCTATCAGTCAGCGCCATCCTCCGGCCACACCGTGCACGATGTATGTATGTAGGACACGCGGGATAGACGAATGCAAAGTGTTTGATCTGTAAGGTATCGGGCTGATCCGGAAGTCGGAACTCAACTGGCACGATCCGCCTCGGTCGATCGGTCAGCGGCCACCAAAGTGCGCGATTCTTTGGTTCTTCTATCACCCAACAACTTGTTGACCGTCATCTCACTCACTTCTTCCCCCTATGATACCGTCTCGCAATGTCTAACAGCTCACCCTCCACTCGACTCCCACGTCCATCACCTTCAAGATCTGTGACATATCACAAAGCTTCAAAGTCAAAACCTCACCCAAAGGTCCTCCCTTTTCCCGACCTCCCAGTCCGAGCCGCAAGGAGTGTCACTCGACCTGGTACACCTTTGACCCTCTCTGAAAGTCCCAACGGTCAGCATAGGAGGATACAGTTTGACTCTGCTTTTTTGGACAGGACAGGTAGCGGGAATGGTGCTGGTCGATTAAGATCTCATGGATCTCCTGATCCCGGCCAATCTTCAAGTCACGCGACGTCACCAGGGGGTAGTCTATCACCGCCATCAGGAATCATGTCAGGTCCAACGACCCCAATCTCATTAGGAACCGGTAGCTCATCTTCTCCGTTTCTCGCTATACCCCCTACTTATCGGTCGCGGTCACAGACCTCACCTGATGTCACACGACCGAGGTTGCCTGCCACAACAAGAGTTGAAGGCTTCCAACCACCCACTCCCATCACATCTGCACCTCTCCCTCCCCAAGGTCCTTCTCACCCATCACCTTCCTCCACCAGACCAGCTTCACTGCCCGATCAAACACCAATTGTTGATGCTTCTCGTCCGAAACCATCCGAGCCCAAGGACCACACCGACTCTTCTACAACACCGGCGACCTCGTCGGTCCCCCTCTCGAGTCCACCCGTCTCTCATCCTCTGGCGGAACATTTGTATCAATCTTTTCTGAGGGGACAATGTGCTGACGTTCGACTCATTGTAAGAAAGTGGGGTGTGGGATGGTTGGTACATCGTATGATCTTGGTACAAGCTGGTATGTTTCATGTCTTACACAAGATTTCAGGCTCATTTTTCAGGCTTCTTTCACTCCATGTTTCTTTCAGGCTTCTCAGAGGGTAATCCTACATCATGGAAAACTCGTAAAGGCAAAGAACGTGCTGTGGAGGACCAAGAAGACGAGTGGACCGGGGATGATATCGAGCTGCAGTTCGATGACCCTAACATCACCCGGGCTGCCTTTGAGTGAGCTCCTTATACTGCTTTCCCCACCTCAGCTCATTTTCAGGATTTCTCTCTCAAGGCTATACTCTGCATATCCTCATTTTCATTATCCGAAATCTAAGCTTCCAACCCCTAAACACCCATTGTCCCTCATTTTTGACGCGGCATCTCAGAAACGCTTCCCGTCTTTACGCTCCGTGCATACGTCTGTCCCGGCGAAAACGCATTTGGTCACGCCGCGGTTATTGCTCTCATTGATCGCCACCTCCTCATATCTCGGCCATACAACCCTCCTCAAAGAAGTACTGGGTATGGTTCTTCGTACCATCAGCCCGGCAACTATAGGACGTTATCTAGCTTTTGCCATCGGTGATGGCATCGGAGGCGAAGAGTGGAGTTCTCAAAATGACGAAGGAGCTCGAAATTTTGAGCATGTATCCAAACCTTTGAAAAGACAAGGATGGGACAGGCCCTCTCCTAGGTCTGAAGATTTGACAGTCTTACCTGCGAGGACACCTTCAAACCGAAGCTCGGCAGATTCCAATGTCAAAGCGGATGATGATGAGAGCAAAGTGACAGACTCCCCTCGCTCCCGACGTGTGACATCGGATCAAGGACAGGACGGTATCCGTGGAAGACTCAAAGGTCTCAGTATAGACGTCTCGGGCACGAATTTGCGAACTTCATCAATCAACATTGCAGACATGCCTCATTTCTACGGATTCGCCTCGAATAAGATTGGTGAGGCTTGTGTATGTTGGTTAGCTCGCTGGGGAGGAGATGTTTTACAACTCGAGGAAACGTTCACAGATCAAGAACCTCCATTCAAGATTTGGGCCCATGGGGGTATTCCTGCCGTTTTTGCCAGAGCTGTTCTCAGTTCTGATTCTTTTTTCGTCGAAAATGAAATGGAACGTTATCGCGTAGCACGACGTGTTCTTGACCTACGACGAACGGAATGGGAGAAGATTGCTGAGAAGAGTAGATCGTCATTCCTGCGGGAGGACGATGAAGCCGAGGATTGGGAAGTAGATGAGGACGAGTTGGGGATGGTCTTCGAACAAGGAATTTATTATTCTCACATGGTGAGTTTACTCATTCGTATGATAGCTCACTGTAGACCTTCGACGATCTATCTACCATTTCTTCCGATATAGATCCCAATACTTCCTTACCTTATGCACCCCTGGCGGTGTTGCAAGCAGCTCATTGGGCTGCGGCGGATTTACGATCAAGAGTGCAATCTTCTGACCACACCGAGTCAGATGATTCAACTCATGCATTGGGTCTCACAAAGACTACGTCGGAAATCACTGCCATGGTCAGTCGACCTCGACGTCAAGGAGGGTCCAGAGTGGTATCAGGAAGAACGAGCAATATAAGCACAGATCCCGATTCTCCATCTTTCGCTTCTTTCGCTTCTCGTTCATCTATAGACATGATGGACAGAACGACATATCATCCTATACCTTCGGACGATACACATCGTATGGGCGCTGGAGGTCTTTTATTTTTGTCGACATCATCGACTGAACGAAACGCTTTAGCCGGAGTTCCTGATTTAGGTCCTGATCTAGATCCTACTTCTCCTTTTCCAAGTACTTCAATTCATCCTACTTCTGCTGGACCAGAAGGATCAGGAGGAATTGGAACAGGAACAGAAATGAGTGGAAACGGAGGAGCGACAACGAAAAAACGACCCGTTCCACAAGGAGAAAAAACCTTTTTCGGCCTTTCTACCTCTTCCAAAACCGCAATGGAGATTGCACTCTCAACAAGAGACCCCTCTTCATTAACTGAGGACACACGTTGGACACGAGTCGAACCGTTTCGATTCTCAGTGGAATTTTGGGGAGCGGAGAATCTAGTAGAGAGAGAAAGATTATATTCTGCGACACATTTTTATGCTGGGAGTTGGTTCAATGTTTACGTACAAACTATCAAAAAGAAGGATAAAGGTGCTCAATTAGGTATATATCTTCATCGACAAAATCCTGATGAAACTTTCCCTCCGGTATCTGTTCCACCTGATCAGAATGAGAAGAAGAAAAATGTGGAGATGAGTGTTACGTCGAGGGTAAAAAATGTGACAGAGGGGGAATTGCTTAGGACGTTGTCTACCAGTCCTGTAGGAGTAGGAAGTCCACCTACGTCACCTAGACAGGAGATGGTGGTTGAGAGACTGAAAGAGGGTTATAGGGATACTAGACAGATCACAAAGGTTATTTGACCACTTCATCCTCCATTTCTAATCCTGTTCCCCTTCTATACCCCCCTCATTCGAATCCCACCTACAATCACATGTCTGTTCCTCCCCTTCCCTCCAGTCGTCTTTCGCCTCCGTCACGTCATTGAATTTTGTCTGTCATCATTGTATCATTATCGTCATCTCATTCTTCGATCCTGATGTTTTGCAATTTCTGCAGATACGTAGCATAAATTCCGTTATGTGAACAAACTAACATACAGGCATATTTCTCCATTTCCTGCGCTTCTGCCTTGGGAACCGCGCTCATTCGTTTTTCTTCCGCACCAGACAGCTTCACCCTTTCTCAATCATGGGGATGGAAATCGTCCGCTCTCCGATCGGAGGAATACCTCTCCGCCCCACTTAATGATCTCGATCAAGGTGTAGAAATCTGGTCAGGGGAGATGGACTCGAGAGTCGCTGGAGGTAGTTTGAGAGCTACTGTGGAGGTTGGGGTTATTTGATTTACTTTCTCTTTAGAGGTCAGTGATTAGAATCTATTCGGACATTTTGCATAGAGTTGTGTTTTGTATGTCATGGAGTAGGCGGGATTAACTTTCAAGCACGTTACGTAGTTGTTTTAGTGTCTATTGCTGTATATCTGTCATAATTATATGGATGGAGCAAATGAAAGGTGAAATTGTCCGTGCATCGATTCATGACTAATTGACAGATCGTAATAGTTAACTTATCTTGTGAGGAGGGCAGTAAGACAAACTACCTGATAATGAAGCGTTGGTTAAATCTCCCTTTTCGGCTTCAAAAAAATGAAAACTCCTTTCACTCCTCCCTCCTCTCACCATTCCCCTCACGTCAATCCATAAGCCTTGCTTTCCTCCTCCCCTCTTCTTTCCGTCTCATCCGTGATGCGACTTCTGATCTTCTGACTGACGCCAATTCCTCCATCCATGCTTCTCACCCTGCTTTCTCACACGTCGGATGAAGACCGCGAAATCAATACCACACCTCCGCTGATCAAGAATGCGAAGTCAAAGACCAATCCGTCAACGCAACGCTCTTCGGAGTGACAAAAGCGCTCGAGTCCATTCCATCCCACTGTGGGTTAAATAACACTTGAATACTAAAAGTCCCTCCTGCTTGACTATCAATAGCCACCACAGTGACACCATCATCACTGACCCAACCTTGATTTTCGATATCGTATGGCGATCCCGTCGGTGCGGGTGGATCTTGAGATAATCGAACAGCAGCCATCGTTGTGAAAGTAGCACCTTCAGGTCCTGAAAGTAAAATCATTTGAAGTGATTTCCCGTTCAAAGTTAAATTGGCCGTATTTCCACTAGCGACGACAGTAGCGTTGGTGTGCATTCTCCACATTACATCTGTTCCTGCTCCGATATTTTCGAAATCATCTTGTAACAAGACTTGTTTACGTTGATTCAAAAATCGTATACCTCTAGACCAAGTAACGTTGACAGCTGAAGTGAGATCTTGCCAGAAATAAGCGGTATCGGAAACATCGACTTCTAGAGTAGGTGCTAATCCTTGAAGTGTACCTGTCGAATCCCAATGTGTAGTAGGTTGAGCACCGACATTTTGATTTTGATAATTGATGATAATCGTGTTTTGACCGTCTGTACGTTTACGATAATATAACCATCTTTCTGAATCTTGATCTTCTTTTGAGAAATATCCATCGGAAAGATATTGGAATGAACCTAATTCACCTGCCCATCTTTCACCCAAAGCGTCTAGAACGAAATCGCCAAGATCAAGATCACCGTGAGTTTGATGACCTGTCAAAGCACCAGATTTCATAGCCCAATAAGCACCGTCTAGATTGGTCCAATCCGTTCTTGCTGTAGCCCATTCTCCTGCTGGATCATCGAAATGATGATCGATAGCGAGTTGATCCCACCATGTACCAGACACGGAAGGATCGTACCAGAACATTGACCATGGTTCAGAAGAATCGTAATGATCACGTTGATAAAGCATATAACGAGGTTCGTTGAAAACACTACCCCAATACATCAAAGAGTTGGCAGTGGTGGAATATTTGTTAGGTCCACAATCGCCGTAGTTGAATAAAGAAGTGGGACCTTGAATGTACATGTGGAACAAGGAAGTGAGAGCAAAACCAGGGTTGGAAGCTGCTAATCCTCGATCATCTCCGTAAGCGGTGGTGAGAGCGGATGACATTTCGGCAGCTCCGGTGGTACCGAAATACCAATAATTGGCAGTTTCTGCCCATGTGCCATCGGAATGAGGACCTTCGAAACAGTTGCTGAAAGCGTTGGGAACAGTAAGGGCGAGGACTTTCTGTGCCAATTGTGTAGGGTCTCGGTCGAGGATCGCCAAAGAAGCCAACGTCAATCCCCCATTGCTTACACAATTCCAATTACCGTTGACTTTATTCGGGGTACCAGTCCACCACGAATAACCAGAAGCAGAAGCATCAAGAGTCAAAGCGGCGTAACCGTATGTAAGACCGAGGTTGAGAATAGACCACATGATAGCATCACGTTGATCATCGGTCCAATGGTCATATAACCAATCGTAGCCGATAGCGAAGGCGTTGCACAGCTCGGCAAGGTCGAGGAAGTGGTTAGGGTTCCATCGAGAGTTATCCGTGCCCCAAGGAACATCAGAGTTATTTCCCGCGGCAGTCTGCAACTCAGCGAAATGTTCAAGCTGCCATGATCAATCCCTCACCTGAAGTTCCAACATGACACGATCGGCATATTTCGTGTCGTTCGTCATACGGTATGCATATGACCAGTTTTTTATCCTCAGCTTGACTTGTCTCGCGGGGTCGAGTAGACCCGACCCTGTCAGACCACCGTCCAGGGTGTAATTTTGGGGAGGATCGTTGAGTGAACTGCTGGCATTGGCGATAATTGTGTCGTTCCAGTATTTCAAGTAAGGGTCCTGAGCGATGAGAGATGGTAACGCTTGCCATCTGTAGGCCGGAGCGATCAAGCGAGGGTGATCACGAAGGGAAGAGTTGCTGGGCGGGGAGGGATCCGTAGGCCAGGATTCTTTTGAATCCGAGCTAGCTAGGAAAGTTGGTGCAGAGTATCCAGCAGTGTCGGTCTGATCTGTCAATTTCTGGCATGTATCACAACAAAGCGACCTACGCCTGTGGCATACACAGGAAGCATCCATTGACTGTTGGTGGCAACGGCAAGATACTTCTGACCGTTGGCGCCTGTCGAAGTTGCCGTTGGGTTGGTTGTCACACCCGAAGGAATCGCGTTGCCGTTCCCGCTACCCGAGTTGTCGCTGCTTGAACTACTGCTCGAGTTGTTCTTGTTTCCAGCACGAGATCCCAACACTCCACCTAAAACAGCGCCGATGACGATGAGTATTATGACAATGGGAAGGACGACCCATAACCACTTGTTCCGTTTTTTCTTGGGTACATAGCCACCCGTGGGGGATGTCGCGGCGTTGGGGTTTCTCGGACCCATTGGATCTGAGCGACGAGCCAAATTTGACATTTCGTAATGAGACGGGACGAAAACGAGGTTATTTTGTTGATGGGGTGAAACACAGCGTCGTACCAGTTGGAGGACAAAAATAGTACAAGGTCCGGTGTGGAACAAAGGGGTGTTGGGGACAGAGTCGTTGGTGTAAGTTGTAAAAAGGAGCCACGGGAGATGTTGAGAAAGGATAGTAATGAGATCGTCGATGAGAGAAAGAATCAGCGTAAGCGATGTCCAATCTCAGCGTCGAGGGGGAAATACTGACAGCTTTCACTGGCCAAACCACCATTTCTCCCATTACCATATCCTGGATCATCTTGATAGCCGCCATAGGTGTTCCCACCTCCATCATAGTCATCCCGATACCCTTCTCCGGGTCCGGGACTGTTCGAGTAGGCTGGTTGATAATGAGACATGGCGTGAGAGAGGAAGGATTGGAAGCGGACAAGGTTTGCGGCGAGGATCGATCGTCAAGCGACAAGGATGTTGAGGTAAAGTGAAGAGGTAGCTGGATGAAAGTGAACGAAAGGAAGATAGAAAGAAAACGTGTGAACGGGAACCAGAACTTGAGTCTGAAGAGATGTCAATAGAGGGAGTAGAGGATATTGCTATGTATAGAGAGAAGGAGAAGGATCAGAACATAGAGAGAGACGTGTCTCTCCTGCTGTCTTTTAGTTTGCTTCAAAGTCGCGCCCCGTGCCCCTTACTCCGGCCGCACAGACCTCCTAAGCAAAGGGCGTGTTTGACTTCCCTGAAACAAATCTTAGCACATGGCGGCGTGCACCGCCACCACACGACCTCCACCTACAACATCCGTGGGAAAAAACCTTACGTGGCGCACGGTCTCATGGAAATCCATCATCACCAACCCATGCAAATGTTCACCTCGGTCTCTCCTATCAACGGTACCACATCATGTCCAACGATGCACCCTCTCCAGGGTTGACACCTACCCTTCTTCCCTCCCCTACGACTCCAAATGACGAGGCTGTTGAAGCTCACGAGCTCCATGCTACTCCCCGCGTTCATCCGTCACCCTCCTTCGGCTATCATGAAGAGCGTCGACTTTATCATTCGGGCACCATGTGGATGACCCACAACGTTGCTCGTATTCCTCCACCCGCCATGTCTGACTCTCCCACCGTTCCCACTCCTCTCAACTCACAGCCTCAACAAGTCGCTGGCTCTCTCACCACCGCAGATATCTTGAAAGACGTCAGTCCTTCGGCATTCCATCCTCAACCTCCCAATCTGCCAGGGGTAGCACTGGGTGCCAATGTCACAAATGGCGGCGCCAGTATGGGTCTGCTTCAAGACGAGATGAATGATCCGAGAGCTGAGGGCCGACGATATTTCACTAAGCCGTCTGCCATGGACAGTCCATCAGGACCGATGGACGGGAATCTCGACCCTGCCCCGGCACTCATCCATCGACAAGAGCGTGACGAGCAAGAAAGGCTTGATCTGGAAGAGGAGGAGCAGGAAAGGGCTTTAGAGAGTGAGTTGGGAAATGGACTGCGCCTTCCTGGCGCGACAGCTCCAATCGTCCCGTTAGCAGCAGGAAAACAGGGTGAGTCATCCTCGCTTGCCTTCGACGTTTCAATATCATCACAACTCCGACGTGTTACAAGTCTTCCAATATCCGATCTTCCCGGATCTACTCTATACGTATCATCAACCTTTCATGACTTGAGTGAGAGGAAGTCGGTCTGGAGTGGTCTACGAACGTGCGAAGTCTTGGGTCGTTTGACCATGATGCACAATGGCTGTAGAACAGCTCCTTCCTTTCTTCTCGAGCGGCGATTCTGCTCGTACAACCTCATTTCAACCTCCGTGGTGTGATTTCACAACATATATAATCCTCTTGCAGGCGATCGTCCTATCTTACCTTATCACGGACTCGTCCCCTCTGTTCTCTGCACGAAGGCAATCAGATCATTGCGGATCCTTCCCTGCACGTCACTTAATTATATTCCTCCACGTTGTCATTGACTCCACTCGTCAGGTAATCAAGACCATTGACCGCATCTATCAGACTTGAAGATTCATTCTTGTGATACTCTCACCGCTCACGTCGGCGTCTCATAGGGAAAAGACAATATGATCGATCCCCACCTATTCCTTGCCCCACTCACTCCCAACACATGCCCTGCTACACCCACTTCTCCCACTGGGGATGCTTTCTCACCTTTGGGCGATATGTCTCCTGATCTTGATACCAGTCTTCCCCCAGAACAGCTGCTGATGCAGATTCAAATGATTGCCTTTGCAGAACAAGGTATTGGTTCCGAACTCGAGATGCTATAGTGAGTAAAACTTTCATTTTCCCACTCTGCTCCCCATTGATCGCTCATCTTACTTTCCCTCCATTCATTGATGTAATTCAAATACATTCACACGTTTGAGTGGCGAGGGACCGAAGCCTTGATGACTCTGCTGATACCAGTGCTTCCTTCGCCAAATGTCTGGAGCTGCGAGACAAATACATAGCCCTTGCCAACCAGCGTCTCGGAGATAACCCTAGGGACCGTGATGGATGCTTCAACGGCTTCTTCCCTCGCTCTTCTGGGGATATCTATGGGCTCAAGCCGGACGTACCAATCGAGGAATGTGAAGACCCCGCGCTTGCTTCACCAGAGGACCAAGTTCAAAATGAAAACCTGCAACCTTGGCAGATCTATCCACCACCACCTCCCCCACACTGGAAATGGCGTCCAGCGGAGAATGGCCCATTACCAGAACAGACTGATTCTTCCGGCGCTCCCAGGCTGAGTCCCAATTCGGACGTCCACCGGGCAGACAGCGTAACATTCCGCTTCGAAGATTGCGAGCTCCCGGCAAATGATGAACATTGGGACTTTGGTGTTAACGAAGAAGGGGTGTTCGAAGTTTTTGCCGCTATCCCTCCTCGTGGCTTGGTGGCAAACAAAGACGAACAGGACGGCCAGAACAAGCCAGGTGTCGATGAGATGGAGAAGAGAAGATTGTTGATCCGAGTACCAGATTTGAGGGAATATTTCAGTGATCTTGATTTCTTGTTGGGGGTTTGCTCTGATGGGCCGGCCAAGAGTTTTGCTTTTAGACGACTGAAGTATCTGGCAAGCAAGTGGAGTTTGTATTGTCTTTTAAACGAGTATCAGGAGCTGGCGGATATGAAGGTGAGTTATTCTTCCCCACCACCTTCTATGCGCTCTTTCGCGCCCGTATGAGACACTTTGCACAGAGACTTGTCGTGCTCGTTGGCGCCTCCCTGCCTCTAACCGCTGTTGGCTATCGGAATGTGATGATGGCACAGAATGTATATGTCTCAGATCGGTATCAGTTGCTGATTCACAGGCTGTTCCTCACCGGTATGACTCTCAAAGTATCATTGTCAGATGTCTCACTGACGTTTCAGCGACTTCTACAACGTTCGAAAAGTAGACACTCACATTCATCACTCGGCATCTATGAACCAAAAGCATCTTTTGCGATTCATCAAACACAAGCTCAAAAAATCTCCCGACGAAATAGTCATACACCGAGATGGCAAAGACCTCACTCTCGCTGAAGTCTTCGAATCGCTTAATTTGACAGCATACGATTTATCCATCGACACCCTGGATATGCATGCTCACCAAGAATTCCATCGATTCGACCGTTTCAACGACCGATACAACCCTACTGGTTCATCACGTCTCCGTGAGATATTCCTTAAAACGGATAATCTTCTCAAGGGAAAATACCTAGCAGAATTGACACACGAGCTCATTACCGATCTAGAACAAAGCAAATACCAACATTCCGAATGGCGTCTAAGTATCTACGGACGTAACGTTGCCGAATGGGATACCCTGGCACGTTGGGTGGTGGAGAATAAACTTATCTCTCATAATGTCAGATGGCTCATCCAAGTTCCAAGATTATACGAAGTGTATAAAAATGGAGGTTTGGTTGATAATTTCGAAGATGTCGTTCGGAATGTTTTTCAACCATTGTTTGAAGTTACAAAAGATCCAAAGAGTCATCCGCATCTATATGTGTTCTTACAAAGAGTGGTTGGTTTTGATAGTGTTGATGATGAGAGTAAACCGGAGAGAAGATTATATAGAAAGTTCCCAACAGCTAGAATGTGGAATACTACTCAAAGTCCACCTTATTCGTATTGGTAAGTCACGTTTGTATCCATCATTCGTCTCAGAGGTATGCTGATAATTCAGGATATACTATATGTACGCCAATATGACCAGTTTGAACGCTTTCCGAAAATCAAGAGGAATGAGTGGGTCCTATCTCAATTTCTCCCCCTCCATCCTATTCCCACTTATTTCTCCCATACACGATGTCGCCCACTGTGTGTCCATCTCCATCAGATAGAATCCCTACGTTGGACGTCCATGCCGTCCAGCCAGCTGTCTCCGACCTTTAGCTAAACGGCAGATACATTCGTCCTTCGACCTCATTGTGGAGAAGCTGGAGACCCCGATCATCTCTCGTCTGCTTTCCTCACTGCTCATTCCATCTCACACGGTATCCTTCTTCGTAAAGTCCCCGCATTGCAGTATTTGTTTTATCTCAAACAGATCGGTTTAGCTATGAGTCCATTGAGCAACAACGCTCTGTTTTTGACATACGAGCGCAATCCTTTCAAAGATTTCTTTAGGGTAGGATTGAATGTTTCGTTATCTACCGGTGAGTACTTGTCCCCTGTCATCATCTCTTAATCACGTCCACACTTTCTCCCCCTTCACCATCCTTACAACTCCTTCTTGCTGTCGCTCTGCCTTGACTCTTGACAGCCTTCAAGCAGTTCTGACGTCTTGTTCTCCCCCTCCCATATTTGTGTACATGTTGATGACCTACCTTCTCCCTGGCCTCTCTCACATCTTTTCGGCATACATAGTAGCACTTTCCCAATGTTTTAAAGCGTCTCTTGAACGTGTAGGGTGAAGTGAGAAAGCACGTCTGATCAGCAGATGACCCTCTTCAATTCCATTTCACAGCCTCTCATCTCCTCGAAGAGTATTCCTGCGCCGCTCAAATATACAAATTGACTCCTGCCGACATGTGTGAATTAGCCCGTAATTCCGTTCTTCAATCAGGATGGGAAATGACAGTCAAGAAACATTGGATAGGACAAAAATGGTATTTACCTGGAAAAGAAGGGAATGATATTCATAAGACCAACGTTCCTACTATAAGATTGGCTTATCGTCATGCTACCTTGTTGGAAGAACTGTAAGTGTTCATTCTCAAAAAATCTCAATCCCTCAGCTTTCCTCCCCGTTTCGTGTATATTGTGCTGATCTACCCTTCTGTGAATTCCAATCCAAATTGCCAACTTATGAATTCTGAGTCTATCTCTCTTCCTTGCGAATTTTGAAAATGATCGAATTTATGAATGTCAGGTAAAAGAAGAACTTGACTAACAATCAGCACTTTGATCAAACATGGTACTCATTATCCTTCTGCAACACCTACGCATCTCAAGAGTCCTTCTACTACACAACCGCCAAACTCATTTCTCCCTCCCATCGATTCTTTATCCATTTCAAATCCCGCTGTCACTTCTACTGCTGGTACCGATGAAACAACGGGTCAAGACTCTGGACTGGAGAAAACAGTGGCGGATGGAGGACATGAACGACCAGGTATGGTAAGTAGTAATAGCGAGTTGGCTGCTGCTGCCATGGCGGGGTCTGTTGGGGTTACGAACGCTTTGGCCAATATGGGTCCCAAAACTTGATCTGTTCACACACAACTATAGATAAATCTTTGCATCTCACATCCATATATCTTTACTAGCATATGCATTGAATCTTCATTTGATTTTCACCTCGCAGATTGTCAAATGTCAGATAGATTTCTCGTGAGGTAGACTTGTATTCTTGAATACTTCTTGCAAAAGACTGTGAAGTGAAGGGAAAGAAAACAGTGGGAATTCACAATAATGCATGAGGATCATATAATTCGAACCGACAACAACTATATGCGTGTTGAGAATGATGGGATCATCATGTCGTCTGGCCTTCATCACTTCCTGCTCCTCTTTCCGTTTGACCACCGCCGCCACCAGCAGAGTCATTCATGCCTGATGCTTTTCCTGTTTATAAACTTCATCTCCAACAGTCATGATTTGATCCTTTTATCTCACATGTTCCAGAATGATTGTCGAACGTGCAGAGTCGATTACATGATAACACATCCGCATCCTCTATTCTTCTCCCTACCCCCTTCCTGTCCTTGACCCTGTACCAAAGACTGTCCATACGTTCCCTCTCTTCTATGATTCTTGGAATATATCATCTCATGTAATTGATGTGTCGTACCTGGTGTTGAAGGAGTCGGCCAAGGTCCTTGTGAATAAACACCAGAACCTCCTCTTCCAGAAGTAGATGATGGTCTTCCATATCCACTTTGACCATAGTTGGTCCCGGGTTTAGGACTCGGACGTGGGTTTGAAAACATTTCAAACTCTCCCATACCCCCTCTTCCTCCAGAAAACGCTCCTGCTGCTCCTCTCAGGGTGTTGAGCGAGGATTGAGGTGTAGGGGTTTTCTTTAGTAAAGAAGGTTTACGACTGATTCCTGATGATGTCGTATGTTCGGATGGTGAGTGTTGATGGATTGAAGGACCGAGGGATGAGAATGGTGCAGGGGAAAGAGGAGGGTCGAACGATGTATGAGGACCATGTGTCGTACGTATTGGTGTGAAGGAGCCGCTGTGTTTGGGGCGGATACGTTCGGGGGAGGTGTGCCGAAGAGGATGATCGGGACTTTCGAATGATGATGATAGAGGAGTGGGAGGTTCGTCTAATGGTTTGGTAGACACCTTTGAGTTAGTATGATACATCACGGCTTGATCACTTCAGGATGAACGCCTGGAAGCGTTGAGGAAAGGAGAAATACAAGTCGATTGAGTTGTTTCCGATACGGGCTTGATGAGACCGATATGGAGGGGAGATGACACATATACAGGAAGAAATACATGTGAAGCAAAGTGGAAGAGGGGAGAATCAAAACACACCTCTAGACGATCCCTGTCTTTATCCCTAGCAACCACCTTGACCCATCTCACAGGAATACCATCTTTATCCCATTCCACCGCCAGATCACCCTCCCCACCTTCCATATAGTCCTCACTATCACCAACCAACCCCAACTTCTTCGCCACGGTCGGTAACACCACATCATCCCATCTTTGTCCTTTTGGAGGTGTGTAGCTGTTTTCCGGGGGAATGAAATGTGCAGCCACACCCAATCGTGATCCTCCAATACCTTGTGCAGAGCTTGTCGAGCTGCCCAAGACGTTTGCGGACGCCGATCTGGCTCCACTACCCGTGGATGAGTTCAGTGGAGCATTTCGGAGTCTTGCCTGTGTGACCGCTCGAGATGTTCCAGATGGTCCAGCCTTTCGACCTGGTTGACCGAGCCCCACACCCTTTTGACCGACCAGTCGAGGGAGTTGAGACGCCTTGTATCTGTCCGGCACTGGGCCAGTGGAGCCTGCCATTGATGACGCTCTCTTCCTCGTCTCCCTTCCCTGATCTATCTCCATGCTGCTACGCTGGTTAGGGGGGAAAGAGCTGTCGGCGTCGGGTGACATGTCATCTATGCTAGCTGCATCCCAATCATCATCCAACAGCTCGTGCCCTTTCTCCGCTATACGCATTGCTTCTTCGCGATGAAGTTTGAAGGGAGGTAGCTCATTCTTGATGAAACCCTCCCGAATGGTCAGATTCAGATCCGGTGATACTCGACCTCCTGGGGATGCACCAGGAGAAGCAGAAGGGGTTCGTGCGAGTGGTCTGGACGGGCTGGAATGAGATGGTAGGGGAGGAGGTGGCGTGGAAGTGTTCCGAGGTGGACGAGGTCCCAATTGAGACTTGGATCGAGGCCGAGTGGGTATTCTTGACGGAATTTGAGACGGATTAGGTGATGAAGAAGTAGAGCTCGGACTCGCGGAGGGTCGACGTGTGGGTCGAGGACGGACATCATCTCCGGTCGGAGTGGGTAATTTAGTGGCAAGGGATAGAGGGGTTGATTTGAGTCGCTGACGAGGACTAGAAGGTCCTTGCTGTGGTTGATACTCAGGAGAGGTAGGTCGAGGGAAAGCAAGTGAAGTCGCTGGTGCTGTGGTACTGTAGGAAGAACTCGACTCGGCGTCTGCGAAGGAATGGGTTGAGAGGCGATGGGATATGTAGGCAGACTCGGCTTCCAGCCCTTGGTGTCAGTATGTACTACACAAATCGACACAACTTCGCAAGGGAAGAAGGGGGAGGGGAAACCAAGCATTTCAAAATGTGAAACATCGCACGACCAAGGTGAAACGGTGGTCGAGAAGCAAGACTCACTTCGCTTCAATGTGGGAACGATCTGATCCTCCCATCCCTGCACCTTTGCCCGGCTGGTGTATGGCGGTGAGGGTACGGGAATTTGTGACACATGTGCCATGGCTACTGCCATAGTAGTGTTCAAGGCAAAACCTCAATCCGAAGATCCCCCTTTCATACGAATCGATGAAGGCTGTTGTTGTTGATTGAACGGTGATGGGTCCGGGCGGTGGAGATGAAAGATGGACTGGCGTCCAGCGCCAGGAGGACGATGGAGGGACGCTGTCACTGGTGTGTATTAGATTATCCTACTACACCGGACCCAGAATGGGAAGAAGAGACTTGAGGTAGGAGTGTGGTGAGAGGGAATGTTTGAGTGGGGGAAGGGTCCAAGGGCCAAGGGGAGGAGGAAGGGGTAAGGAGGTCCGAGCTCGGTTGGCGATTAGTGCGGGGTTGCTAGTTGCTCTTCCCGGATCGAAGGTACTTCTACCCTTCTCTCTCACTTTTCTGCATGCTGTACCTTGAAGTTGATTCACAACCTGATATAAATGATCCTTACGGATAATGATTCCCAACATGAGCTAGTCTAAGTGCGTACAGTATCGTCGCATTGGTGGAATGACAAACTCATGAGCAGAAGGGAGCGATTGGGTCATCGTCTTCTCGATCGCTACCAGTAGGCCCCTTGATCATCGATGGCATCCATATGGCCTCACCAACACGATGCTACGCGCTACGTTTTCATGGCGGTATGAAGCACTACGATCATCCATAGAACAATTCAATATATGAGTCTCGTACGCACCGAAAGGTTTGTCCATCAAATCACCTTCCTACTCCTCATGCACAAGTACAAGCAACGGCTCGTAATACTCCACCTCGGTCAGCTGCTTCTCATACTTCGACAATACGGATGAAAGACAACTCTCCCCTCCTTCGAAATCCTGTCCACACGTCCACACGACATCACCATCTGTATCCCAGCCGTGCATGATAACCATCGCTTTGTCCGTTTCTGGATCTGTCACTGCCAGTGGGGGCGAGGATGATCTCTCGAAGAAAACTTCACCGAAGCGGTCCGTCTTCCTCCTGACGAATCCCGTGTCAGCTTTGACCTGCGCAAGAGAGTTCTCATACGTCTCCAGTGTGCAGCCGCAATCTCTACAAGTCGGCCGAAGAAATAATGGCACTTCGTACTGATCACCCATCAATCCCAATTGTGTGAGGCTTTCCGCTGTTCGCAAAGTATCAACGAGTCCTTCTAAATCCATGTTATCTCTCCACGGATACGGTGCGGTGTCCCGATTCGCTTGGGTCTTGTGCTCATTGCACCAACAGGTCCCATCATTATCTACATATGCACTCGAACCAACTGGGATGAAGTGACGTTTCGTAGTCAGCTTACCGTCCGATACTTGGAAGCTTGTGACATGGCCGCATGTGACCAAGGGGAGAAGGAGCTGGCACACATGATGGTATAACAGAATGCTAGGTTCGTCTGTGTCATTGGGTGTATCACCCCTCGATGTAGACTTGAAGTTATCTAAGCTGTTGTAAGTACTCATATTGTTCTGTCGTCGATCTTGAAAGCAGGGCAGGGAGGGGTGTTCGAAAAATGTTGCTATTGATGTACCCCGCAGTGGTAATGATCTCCCGTCGCTTACTGACCTTTGTCCGAATGAGACCTGACTCAGATACGAAACCGGCGAAAGACAATAACCTCGCTACAGTGCGAATGGAGGCGAGAGGATCTGAAGCTGAAACATGTCGCCTACTGCTGGCCCAAGTTTACAAGCGAGCTGATAAGACAACTATCCGTAGTCCGACAATCATCCGAGGGAGACGGAGACCCACGTTTGTTCCTCACCCCCATGCCCTTTCTCCTTACTCCCCGGGTAGAGCTCGTAAGCCTGTGCGCCTCGATTATCAACTCATCCATCAACTGAGGCCCGTTCCAGCCCAAACCATCGTTCATGGCGTTTCGAGATCCATGAAAGGATGTTCCCGCCTTCGACAAAGGAATTCGCCCATGGAGTTTTCGTCAAAGGATCATTCACGGAGTTCTCCCCCTTCATCCTGCTTCCCCTTGAGCTTCCCGTCAAAACAGGGTATGCTGTTAACTGGGGGTATGGGTGAAAGGTTTATTGCTCCACCCGGGGCGGGGATGAAAGGTCTGAATTCCGGATTTCGCATCTGGTGAAAGGTTATGGGAGAACAAAGAGGGCGTTATCTACGTCGATGGAGATGAGGAAAGGTTGAAAAGAATTGCAGTAGTTGGACGGGGATAAGTGTTTCCAACTTGTCTTCTCAAACGTTTTAACCAAACCCCGTATCGAAGACAGCTCAAACTCTTACTCCAGTCTTCTAACACCCCTCAAGCAAGTCCAACGGTTCGACGCATCGAATCCCGCATTCCTGAAAACCTGTTCGACGGCATAGCAAAGGAACAGATTCGACAATGGGTATCCTCACCAGAGTATTCTATGCACCGGTTCTCGCTCAGCCCGGTATCTCGTTAGGTCTATCGGCACTGTCACTCCTGCTACTTGTCCTTGTCTTGCTCTCTGTTCCCGGACCCATCAAGGGACTATACTGGTTCAGCATCGATGGAACTGATGGCCCGCTCAGTGCGGGAGTGACGGGATGGTGTAGTGAGTCATATATTGTGATTCACTGTCTGAACGATGCTGATGAACAGTGACGGATACTTCGAATTGTACTTATGCTCCATTGAGGTGAGTGCCTTTCGTTGTAGCACGTTGCGTGGAGCTCACGGGAAGCGACAATAGCTATTTGGGAACGTTGATTGATACGGGTGAAGCTTTGACAGTGAGGATTATGTTACCTCTAGGTGAGTGGTGTATCTCCTGCTCAAGAATACTTCCCTGTTCCCTATGAGCACTATGACGTATTCCCATTTCGATACCAATGGTTGTGATCAATCCGAGTACCCAATCGTGAATGGAGTGGCGACCAACATCGAGATGACAGTAGGGGAGAGGGATATACAATCGGGCGAAAAGTTTCAACAGTGTTAACGATCAGCTTGTTATTGGTCCATCCTCACCCTCGTCGCTTGGGTCGGTCTCACAGTCACCACCCCTCTAGGCTATAAAATCGTCGATCTCGATTCTATATCTCGTCATCTCCGATTTGCCGTGGTCGAAGCTTGTGTCCTGTGTATCAGTCTCTTCGGAAATGTCTTATGTTGGATGGCATTCGGATTCGGTAGGACAGCATTCATGACTGTACATAATGGTGGTGGAAAACCTAAATCTGGACATGCTATGGAAACGTGAGTCAATCTGAGAATTTATGATAATCATCCCGAGATTTAGCTGACACGTCTTAGGACCGCCGTAGCAGCCATGATATCTCTATTCGCTCTCTTCACAGCAGGTTGGGGACTCCATCTCCGTCTTCGTCAAGCTCAAGAACAATGGAAAGAAGAAGCGGTCATGGTTCGACGAAGAAGTATGGCTATAGCCTCTGGTCAAGCTGTGGGTAGTACGAGTGCTCTGGGTAGTGAAATCGGTACTGTTCATCGAGGAAGTATGGTCAAAGATCCGGAATATGGATTGCAGGTGGCGGAAAGTAAGGAGAATTGAGAAGATGGCAATGGATAATGGAGTACCTTTACGTTCGGACGTACGAAGGGTATCGTAAGTTTTCCTCATCCAATTTCATCGCATCTCCGGTATATAATCACTATAAAACATGGAAGGTTTTTAAGCTGATTGGAATAGGATATTACCTCCTCAACCTGCTCAATATCAGCCTTGAATCGAAAGAAGGCAACGTCCGGAGGAATGTGAGGATGATTGTTATTTATGTCAATTGAGACGAGTTGGCGGAAGTTGAATGGGGATAGTGAAAGAGGATATAGGAAAATTAAGTCTAGATGAATTACATCAGTGTAAGTTGGTCATTGTACCTGACATCTGTTGAAATTAGATTACGAGTTACCATCTATCTTGTGATCTTTTCAAAGAGGACTAGTTAGGGAAAACATAATACATGAGTTGCCTCCAACAGCAGACATTCGTGACCGGTAGAGGCAATACTGTCTTGAATCCATGGTGATTTGTCTTTGGTTTCCCACTTCTGTTTGGCAATTTTTGCCAGGAGCTCATGATCAATCCAAGAATGTTTCCATGACTCTGGCTGTAAAGATTCTATCTGTTCTAGAACTGCCCTAGACATGAATTGTAGGCTGGGAATCCTTGACTGATTTTGTTGTGTATACATCTTGCTACTTATTGCGACTAATTTCACTTTCAATTGACCAAAGGAGTATTTGGAACTGATAGGCCGAGGATCAGCATCAATGTGATCAAAATGATCCACTATGGATTTCATCTCTGGACCCCAAACAAAGGTCTGATGAGGCCAGATAGTCGGAAGCATCTTTGCTACCTCTGGAGAAATCCCAAAATCTTCCTCCAAGGCCTCTGCACTGACCTTTTCTTTCCATGTTTCCAGATCTGTTCCATATAAATTAACCTGGAGCCATCTTTCTACAGATGAACATCTTGCGTGAACATGATATTGCAGACTGACCTGCAGTACACCATCGTTGCCCAGTGAGAACCAAGTCAAGGTGCCAAATGGACACTTTGGGTCAGCAGTGATCAAGTCAACATCCTTTTGACGGCCATGGATCTCCATCAGCTCTTCTGGAGAAGCATCTTTGGTAGAGATTCTGAATTCTACGGAAAGAGGAAGCGTTGCCGGCTTGGATTCTTCCAACACCTCGGTCGCTTGATCCGTAGAGATGGCTTCCTGGGCGACCGAGGAATACGCTTCGTGGTTTGGGTCACTCATTGCTGGTCGTTGAGGGTTTGGAGATAGAGAATACGTGGTTTGGGAAGCAGAACCACCACACTTGAGCCTTGATTGCTGCGTTCGAACCAAAGCTCGTTTCTCAGGCTGAATCAACGGACGATCTCCTTTGACCTGGCCGTTCCTTTCTATCGCGGAAAGATCGAAGTCGACATAATCGAGGTAGGCTAGTGAAGGGTGATCCGCAAGTACCCCAACTGGCAGGTCGTGATGTGAGACAACATCCGAGTATCAATCAATACGATTCAAGAAGAGAGGCATTAGCCATCGACGAGACACATGTGGAAATGATGGCATGCTATCTCCCCTACTGGCCTACCCACCTGAAACAATAGCTTCAGTTCTCAGCAACTATCGCGTGACCTGCATTTGTCCGTATCCCGCACCCATCACACTGCTCATTAGACTCCCCGATCCACTTGTGACGCTCCCGTTGGGACTCCGCGCCGCTTCCCTCTTCAAGCTCTCTTCGATGGCCACCGCTGCAGGACGTGTGATCTCGAGCAAGTTAGCATCGATGACCCAACTCTCATCCGTCGAGGTGGTTCGTAAAGTGTTCGGATCGTGAAGGGTGAAAGGACCTTGGATGGGATTTGAATGACTCTTGTCCAATGAACGAAGATCAACTGCGGCGAGTTGTTCGGAGGTGAACCATAATCGTAATTCCATGTGATATCGCCAACCACGATTGTGATAAAGTTCGAATGCGACTTGAAGTTGGACGACGTCTTGCGGTTGGGAATAGAAGATGTAGAAGAGGGTTTCGTCGGCCACTTCTCCGAGTTTGGTTTCGATGGGTTTGGCGGTGACATGGTAGCAGGCTGGTGTATGCCATGATTCTTCTACTCGGAAAGGTTCGGTTCTGTCTCTTGGATCTGTCCATGGAGTTACGAAATTGGGATATAATGGTTCGCTGAAGCGTCAGCTCGTTGGCACATTGTCTCGTGACAGAACCGGAAAAGATAAAGATACAGGAGCAGAGAAGAGTGGGGCAGGAGAATCTTGAGGGCCATGAGAGACTGACGTTGACTCGACATTTATACCCAGATCGCCGAGATCTACTCCAAACATCAAATCTCCCTTATCTCCATGACCCGAATACGCTCGTATGTTCATCAACATAGACTTCAAGTCCCAATTATCGACGGGACTTTGAAACACTTGTTGGACAGGTCGAACTATTGGTTCTTGTGGTCTTGATGGTTTCCGAGGCCATAATGGTTCACTGGCAGACACGGGTAGGTTTGCAGCCCTCGGTGGGGGATTGGAGGGTGCTATTGATTCCGCGTGTCCATTACCACCGTTGACCATGGAGTGAGAAGGAGAAGAAGGTGTGACATTCATTGGACGAAAACCTGTTGTCTGGCAATATCAACACAGGCCCACTCAGACAACTGGTGATGACAGACCCTATCCTTTACTTCTCCTCCACTGCCCACAGGCCCCAGCGCCCCTGTTGCACCACCTAACGCTGGGAAATCTTCCCCCCGAGATGCTTGTCCTATCGCTCCGTTCATTTGAGTTTGTCCTATCGGACCAGATATACCTGGCGGAGGTACCAAGTTGGCTTGTTGGGGGAGGAACATTTGTTGTTGTAGGTGAGGATGTTGGGTGGACGTGTTAGGTTGGGAGGGTTGCGTTTGGGTCATGTAACTTGAGGAAGATGATTGTGTAGGTTGTGATCCTAGAGCAGGGAAATCATTCAGGTCTGGACTCATCAGTGTCTCTGACCTCTTCGAAAGTCCCTGAGGGAGGACGCGCCGATTGAAGGACAGAAGAGATGGAAGATAAAGGAGAAGAAGAACTGACCCGCTCCTCTTGCGGCGAAGCCTGGTGGACCTACTCTTCCCATACCCGTTACACCAGACGGGAAACCCGATTGTTGTGGGGTAGGAGCAGAAGCATTCCTGCTTGCTGGTTGTGGTAGTGGGGTAGTTTGTTGTCCTGCCGTCGCGTAGAACATGGGCGCTTGAGGTTGCCCACTCGTTGGCCGATAGGCTGGTAAGGAATTGAGAGGTCGTGTGGGAGCGGCTGCAAGATCATCAGCTGCCATAGCAGATCGTTGAGAATATGGCTCACCGGCTGGACGGTTCATGACACCTCTGACAAGGGGTCAACTTTGAGCGATATCGATGTGGCTGTAGTGAAGAGACGAGGATGAAGTGATGATTGAACAATTAGATCTGGCCTAGTGACTAGCAAAACGTGATAAATGATATCAGGAGAGCTCCCGAATGCTGAGAAGAGATGATAATGTGATGCCGAGAGTGTGCTCCTAGGCTTCGAGGATTGTAGTTCAAGCTTCACGTCTGGACAAGGGAAAGGGAGAGAAGGACCGGAGATTCGGCACTTTGGTACAATGTGGAAGTGTGGCAGCTGGTTCAACGCCTTTCCCCTTCTCTCACCCCTTCCTTCTGTCCACTGTGGCCACTGGTGACGCACAATCCAATATGGTGAGTGTCCCCGTTCAACGGCCCGCTATGCTAACAGCTGACACAACAGTCTTCAGAGTTGAGATATACACAAAACACCCAACTCGAGCAACGTGAGTTCTCTATCATATCGCTGATAATCAACCCGATCTTTTCCTGTGGAACCACCTTCTCAATACGGCAGAAGAGTAACACGGCCGAAAAGATATGAGGACGCCTGCTGAGCTGACCACAAGTCCATGCTAGATATACGGGCACAGGGCATGCAGATACCACAAAATAGTCAGTTTTCCTTCTTTGTTGACAGTCTAACTGACCTCTAGTGAATGGCTCACCCATCAACACCGTGACACCCTGTCTTCTATCGTTGGTCATCCATCTTTACTAGCTTACGTGGCCATAGCCGACGGAGAATGTCAAGCGAGGGAAAGGTTTGAATTGATAGAGGTCGGTCATCCAAGGATCCAAGGACCCCCATGGATCTAGCTAACGGAACAGAGGATGTTACAACCCTGCGGCAAACCCCCAGGGAAGACAGACGAGTAGGCGATTTACCTATAAGAGAGAGGAATATCGGGATGTTCAAGGCCGGGCGGCAGGAAGTTGTAGCGATAGGAGTTTGAGGGTGACATATGGAGATGATACAATCACGAAGACAGGGACATGGATCGGAATGCTTGCACGACCTTTTTCCTGATAAGGAGAGACAGCGTCTACGTGTCGCACATGTGTCTTTGACATAGGGGAAAGATCTTCCCGTAAGTGTGGGAGATTAGACCCTGGATCTTGGAGCTGCAGGCGGCAATATAGACCATCCAACCAGTTTTGAGAATGCATCGAGGCATCTAGCAGTATATGCATCCTCGACGCCCTATTACACGCGCTTTGACCCCCCAACTTCTCTGCCATCCAACGCTTGGACCACCACCACCACCACTCTTACTCTCTTTTCTTTTCCACATTCCTTCCTCTCACTCTCTCCTTCTTTCTCATACTCCACACTTTATCCTCTTGTCTACCTGATTCAGCGCCTCCACTCTTTTGACTGTCATCATGTCAGGAATCGGTATAGCCAAGTTAGTCCCTTTTTCTCTACTGAGGATGTTCACTGACTCGCAGTCTCCCCAACCAGGTTCGTCCTCTCCCTACGCTTTCAGCTATCGAGTCAATCATCTGAGAGTATGGCACTAACCATGTAGCGTCATAAGATCGTCAACCAACATGGAGCCCACTTCACTGTCATGGTCGTAGGTAGGTCCCCTTCCTACATACCGGGTTGAGCGGGCTGTGATACGGCAGGCGAATCAGGGTTAGGAAAGACGACTCTGATCAACACTCTTTTTGCTACTGAGATTTGTGCTCCGAGAAACTATCTGAATCGGTGGGTGGTTGTCTCTATCCCCCATGTCTGAAGACACGCCCTCATACCTCTTCCTATCTATGTTCATGACGACGCTTCTCCCCATCTTTCTCCCCTTTCCCCCCACCCCTTGCTCAACAGAAACCCACGATACGTGCTTATTAGCAGACATGCCAAGCAGATGGACAAGACGACAGAGATCGAAATCATCAAAGCATTCCTCGAAGAACGCGACTTCACTATCAAGGTGAGCAACATCTGCCCTGGCGCATCAGGAGCTGACAATCAGCTGACAGTCATTGACACACCCGGTTTCGGCGACTATGTCAACAATAAGGATAGGTGAGCTAAATCGTCAACTCATCGGGGAGATACGGGGCTTATCGATGTAGCTGGAGTCCCATTATTGACTTCATTGATGATCAACACGAGTCGTACATGCGTCAAGAACAACAACCCCACCGTCGCGAAAAGCAAGATTTGAGGGTTCATGCTTGCATCTACTTTGTTCGACCTACTGGACACACGTGAGTACTTTCGTCCAACGTTGTTGGATTCTCTCCAAAACCCTGCAAACCCTGACGAGGAAACATTGCTGACTGGAGCAGCCTCAAACCTCTTGACGTGGAGATCATGAAACAACTAGGCACCCGGGTAAACCTCATCCCGGTCATTGCCAAAGCCGACACTATGACTCCAGATGAGATCCACAACTGCAAGATGATCGTGAGCGCTCACCTGAGCTTTCGGCACTAGATAACTGACGCTTGAGATACGCGAAGTGATCGCTGCTCAAGGGATCCGAGTGTACACTCCGCCCATTGATTCAGAGGATGAGACTGCTGCAGAGCATGCTAGAGCGATGCAAAGCGTCATGCCTTTCTCCATCATTGGAAGTGTCGATGATGTGACCACACCAGACGGTCGAGTTGTCAAGGGTCGGGAGTATTTGTGGGGTGTTGCCGAAGGTGGGTTCTCTTTTAGGCCGGTGAAGCTGCCTACTCTCTTCCTCTCCATTCCTTTTCTTCATCGTGTGAAGATGGGCATGTGAATGGGAATACCTCGAAGATGCTGATGGTCATAGTCGAGAATGACGAACACTGTGACTTCAAGAAATTACGCTCCCTGCTCATCCGCACATACATGCTTGATCTCATCTCTACGACTGAGGAGCAGCATTACGAGGCGTATCGTCTTGCTCAGATGGAAACTCGCAAGTTTGGCGAGCCCAAGGTCAGGAAGTTGGACAACCCCAAGTTCAAAGAGGAAGAGGAGCAGTTGCGAAGGAGGTTCACCGATCAGGTCAAAGTGGAAGAAGCGAGGTTCAGGCAGTGGGAGCAGCATGTAGGTTTACTGTCACCTTGACTTTCATTGCCCAGTCTGCTTCAATTGTCCAAGACTGCTGACGCACAGCTCATCGCCGAACGAGATCGACTCAACAAAGACCTCGAGCATGCCCATACTACCATCAAGTCACTCGAGGTGAGCCAAGTTCATGACCGGTATCGCTCGGCTCTGACACGCAGACCGAATTGGAACAAATTGCAGCCTATCACCGTCAAGGTGCTTCTATCAACCGTCGTTAATCACTTCCTCTCTTTTGTCTCCTGCTCTCACGCTTCTCTCCTGCCTGCTCGTGCATGTTTATGACCTCTTGACGCTTTGATGAATGGACTGGAAGACATATACCTAGACGTAATCTGGGTGATGGATAGTTACCAATGGATACCATGTGCCACTGAATTATTATTTCCGTTTCTTAGTTGCATGCTGCCTCGTCGTCAAGTTTCGACTGGATGCTCCGTTGATCATTGAATCGTTGTCCATCACCTTCGTTGGTCGTCAGGACGACGGTGTAAGTTTACCAAGATAGGCAAAAGGGTGCATCGCCATTGGTCGATCTCTCTTCGCCCAAAGGAGCCTAGCCACATATTCATTTCGAAATTATCTTCGGCCGCTCTCTTTCATCGTCACATTCACCAGTCATCCGAGAATACAAGCAAGATATCACACGACAAGCAAACTGTCAATTCTGTCTAGTAACTCGACATGCCTTGTCCTCACACTACCAACCCCACAGCTCAAGGTCGTTCAGCCTATCCAAAAATGACATCTGTCCTATCTCCCTCTTCTCCCAAAAACGTCTCACCCTCCCCTTCTGACGACCTCATCTCTTCCGCAACTATCCAAATCCCTACAACCCCAAACACACTCGATGAAACTTTGAAGCCCATCATCCTCGGTACTCGTAAATCTCAACTCGCCCTGGTCCAGACTCATATCGTTCAATCTGCCCTCCACTCTCTATTTCCCTCCCTACCTCTTGTTATAGATTCCATGTCCACCGCAGGGGACAGAAACCAGACTACACCTTTACATCTACTCTCACCTTATTCATCTACTCAACCAGCCAAAAGTCTATGGACTGACGAACTTGAAGCTAGACTCTTGTCGGGTGAATTGGATCTATTGGTACATAGTCTTAAAGACGTCCCTACGGTTTTGAAAGAAGGTTGTGAGATTGCTTGTATTTTGGAAAGAGAAGATCCTAGGGATGCACTTGTGATGCGTATGGGAAGGACTGAGAAGGGGTTGGGAGAGTTGGAGAAGGGGAGTGTGGTAGGTACTGGAAGTGTGAGAAGGGTGGCTCAGCTCAAGAGAGCTTTTCCACATTTGGAATTTAAGGATATGGTGAGTGATTCATGTTTCTACTCAACATGATCCCAGCTCGGCTGCGCCGAGGCGGTAAGGAGAGGCGAGGAGATGAAGTTATTTGGGGCTGAAGGGTCTATCGCTTTGAAGCAGAAGGGGGAGGGGGCGGTATGTGTTAGGATGAGAGCTGACAAAAAGAGAGGCAATTTGTGAGCTTGCTTTCTTTAATTCATCGCGGATCTCGACAAGATGTCGCCGTGGGATATTCATCCGACTGTACCCCCTTCATCTGCAGACCTTTCATTGAACATTCACCCACTCAATTTCTGCATTACTGAGTCTCACCTGTTGACTGAACGTGTGGAACTCCTATGAAGAACGCTTCGTCGGCGTCCTCCCGACCTATCTTTCCATCACCAAATGTCAGAGAGAGCAGTCTCCCTACCGGAAGTTCATGATCCAGTGTTGGCGTAGTAACTGAGGTGTTTTGACCAAATGTGACATAAACATCTGCTAATTCCAGAAACACTCGATTCCGTAAATTAGACGACCCCTCTTCACCTTACTCCGCTCTCATCCTCGCTTTATCCGGATTGACACGCCTCGGTCTTTCATCCCGTACCACCTCCCATCTCTCTTCTCCAGAACTCTATCACGCCGTCGGACAAGGTGCTCTAGCCGTCGAAGTTCGAGTTGGGGATACGAGAATCCGTGAGGCTCTGAAATCAGTAGGACATTGGGAGACTGAATGGCGATGTGGAGCGGAAAGGGGTTTATTGAGGGTTTTAGAAGGTGGTTGTTCGGTTCCTGTTGGTGTGGAGACTGTCTTGGAGGAGATAAAAATGCCTGATGCTCCATCTGGAAGCCAACAGCAACAGGAGCAACAGAATGGATCGGAGAAGAGGGTAAACGGGAAAGACAAAACGGAACAATTGGAAACCTCTTCTCCCACACTTCACTTCTCAGGACTTTTACCTCCTTCATCATCTTACCCCCTTCCTGGAGAAAACGTCGAGATTAGACCTCGTTTTGCGATGTTGAAACTCACAGCATGCGTCACATCCCTCGATGGAGATCGTCAGGTCGTAAAGTCTATCGAAAGAAAGGTTGGATCGTATCGTCAAGCGGAGAGATTGGGTGAAGAATTAGCTAGGGAAATGAGGACTCACGGGGCAGGGGAGATATTGGATGAGATTAATCAGCAGAGGAGGGAGAGGGAACAGAGGGATTTGGAAGAAGCTTTGGCGAGGTCAAAAGGGGAAGATCAGGTGCAGGTGTCTTGAGTATTTGCATCGGTAGGAACAATTCTCCAGTTCAGCAGGTTTTTCTCTCTTCTCAGCGAATTTTGCACGGGATCTTGTGTGTTCCGTTGTGATTTCATCCCTGCACTTTCGAAGTGTCATACATCCATTATCGTTTCAAACGGGGATTCGAGACCTACTTGTGTTTTAGGAGGGGTGATTGATAGCATGCTAGCATCAGATATGCATCGAAAACATATAGTATGATCCACTGAGGGCCATGAACACTGAATTAATTACTCATACAAATTGATATGCTTCTCAGCATTTATGTATTGAGTTCTGGCAATATGACTCCTGTAGGTGAGATAGTATCAATCTGATATCCTGTGAAGAGACATTGCTAGTAGGTCAACATCCAAAAAAAGTTAATTAGTCCTATAGAAATTCAAATATATATATACTGTATACTTAAACCCTTTCACCAAGTTCTATCAAAATCATCCATTCCTAATCCTGCTGAAGAAGTACCCTGAGTACCCAAAGTCCCCACACTAGCAGTTCGTCGACTATGTGAACTCGTACGTCTACTTCTTGTCCCTTCTCCTAAATCGTGAACCCTCTCCATCTTTTCCCTCTCCAAACTACCTAGATTTCCTTCAACACCACCGGTCGATACCTTATCTCCTAAGGGCGCTTCGTTCAAATTCGTGGTCGATTCATCGCGAATTGGTTTCATATAACTCTTCGGACCTAATTCAGCCAATACCTTACCTAAACCTCCCTTATCCCCCTGTGATGTGATCCTCTCACTGAGACGCTTCGTCTCGTTTTCTCTTTCTCTTGTCGTATCGATTGGCCATCTCCATGTGGGACCTACTGGGAAAGATTGTCTTTTAGCCACTTGAGAGAGGACAGAGTCCATCGTCAATCTTTTTTCGATCGGAGAGGTGGTAGGAGGAGTGGAAATGTTTGCGGCACCTTGAGGAATGTAATACCGAGGTTTTGTGGGTGATGATATTGACATTGGTCTACTTTGTGTAGGGCGAGAATCAGGGTCGTCTTTTGGAGAGGAAGGAGAGATTGGAAGAGGACTGAGAATGTCAAGTGTCTGACGTCGAGCCAAGTCACGTTCAACTTCAAAAGTCTGTCGTTCTTCCTCATCCATCCCCATCTCTTCATCTTGAATTTCTTTTCGGGGTAAAAAAGAACGGACCTTTTCAGAAGTATCTAGGGCAACTTGAGTAGGTGGATAAGAAACCCGCTGTTCTCCAATTGTCCGCTCAAGAACTGCAGAGGGTTGAGGGTATACTAACGACTCTCTTCTCCAACTAGTCCGGGGAACAGAAAAGTCAGGTTGAGAGAGCGAGGTACGTTCTGTGGTTGGTAGAACGGACTTGTCCGGTGAATTGTCCGTAACGGAAGACCGTAGAGCTTCTTTGAAACTCATTTTCTTATCTTGTTCACTTTGACCGGGGGAGTTGGAATTTGACATATGCCATTTTTCCCTTCGGGGAGAACGATGACTGGTGAGAGTAGGAGAAAAACTGCTGGGAGCATCGGCTAGGGTCATTGATACGCTCGATTGCGATGGTTTACGTTTAGCAAGGTTTCGGTAAATGTCAAGCGAGGAAGGGTGGATGGAACCTGGCTGAAGACGGGGATGACGGGAGAGAACTCGATGACCGATCATCCATGTGACGTAGGAGCCCCATCTATTTGGTCAGAGGAGTGATCTATCGTCTCAGACAGATCATCAGGTCCAGCTTGAAATGCTAACTTAGGCTTATGTGATAAGAGAATGAAATCTAACAGCTGATGACGTTGGAGATGTGGAAGGACGACACATGTATATTGAGAAGGGTCGCAGGGGAAATGAAAAAAGGACAGACACATACAGCTGAGTGAGTAGAAGTCCAATAGCGACAAACCAAAGTAACGCCGTCCACACTACATCTATTGGTCTGTACATTGTCCTCTGTTTCAGTCCCCAAAATACCAGTAAAGCAATGGCAGAAGCAGACTTGTTGATCAGCTCAACCACATCAACGTTCCCATTGTGGCACATACCTTTGTGAGGAGACTTTGGACTGAAGCGAGTTTGAGTAATGAAGATGTAGTCCGGACACGCCATTCCAATCGGTCTACTCGTCAGTCTATGAAGTCGTCGTCCATGATGGTGAAACATACACCCCAGAAGACCGATGAAAGTAAATTGCTCGGTGGTAGCTTGGAATAACCTGATTCGTCAGTTGAAGAAGAGATGAACAGAGAGGGAGAGAAAGGACTTACCATATGACAGCCGAGATGAAAAATGACATGCTTTCGGTGTATTCGAACATCGTCACAGTGAAGGATATAGCTATGATAGTGAGGAAATGATGGATGATCCTATTGGTCAATGAAAGAATCCAAAGAGACGAAAACTCTTGTGTAGAGCTCTACGGGTAGGTAGTCGATAGTAACAAACGAATTTAGACTAAGTCAAGACAAGGCGAGGGCGGACATGACTTACATAGGGATACGCATGTGAAGTCGATGGATGAGTTCGAAGCAGTATAGACTCGAAATAATGGTACCTGCCGTCCGAAGACAGCGCAGGCCCCATAAAGTGTAATGACCTGCAAAAGCTGGAGTCGACGCCAACTGAAGCGCAAGCGCGATGGCTGTGAAGATTGTATTCATGGTATCTGTAAGATGAGCGACACACGCGATTTTCCCACAAAAGTCCAGCATAGTCTGCGAGCTACAGAAGATAGACGTATGGGTTGTTGAAGGACTCACAAACAACAACATTCTTTTGATATTCAAGAGACAACTGGGCGAAAACTTCATCTTTCCAGAAGTAAAGTCTACTCGTCAACTCAGAGTCTGCCGATGAGGGGGTGATCCTTACCGATGTATTACATTCGCCACAACATAATAAAACAACAGTAAGCCTAGCTGTCAAGCTGGCCCTCCATATCGCGATGAGGCTCACCTAACAATGCAATAGGGTACAAGGTGGGGTCCCATGAATGTTCGTCAAGGCCTGACAAGGACAATTCTGCCTTTGTCAGTGTATCGAACACAATCATCGGGGCTAGTGAACGCACCTAAACTGGATGGCAATGCCGAACCACTGGCTGCATACACATCTCCGATCTCCACTTTGTTTTCCGGCGTGACAAATTTAGGAGCTAGGAAACCAGTCGGGAAATGGGATTCAAGGACAGTCTCATTATAATTCCTGGGTGTGAGCTGCAGTACAAGTACAGATCTTCATCCTGATTCGACATGTCGAAGGAAGAGCAGACTTGCATTGTCCCAGCAGAGTCGAGCTGAGAGAGAGGATAAGAGTATAAGAGAAATCGATGCTCACCTGTCTATACACATATCCCCTCCAGTCCGACCTATATGAGGACAATGAACGGCCGGTCTCAGGGGTATCATGGGCACGTGTAGATGTCTGCACACGAGGTTATCCTCTGGCGATCAGTCTAAGCTACAATGCTATCTGATAAGGCTCTCACCTCCCATACTGTCCATCAGCTCTGATTTCGAATCGACCGATGGATGGTCCACTCACCGGTAAAACTGCCCGATAGGAACAGAAGTCACAAAGTCTAAGCAGTCATCGTATGAGTCGTATTGCTTATTGGACCCGGTACAGTAAGCCGCACTGGCGTTGCAGACCTTATGTGCGAGATATTGCTGGAGGATAAAGGTACTGTTACTTGACGAGGACACATTGGCCCTCTGAGCCATGTGAGGTATCAGCATGCTTCGATGTCAGTCTATGATATCTTTTCCCATACAGCTTTTGGATGATTGAAACAGGGATGAGAAACGAACGGAATGATGATATCGGTTGCCTGCCGATCAGCTTCTAACCCGGGCTAAAGCTTCAAGCCGCTGATGGGACACTCAGTGAATTGAAAACTCACCCATGCCCAGCGCCGGAAAGAAGCGTCATATCTAGGTTGGATCAGCTTTATAAAGCGGGCCGAAGCCCTTGTTCTACTGACTGTTCAATTTGCCCCTCTTCATTGATAGTGAACCACGCGTCGATCTGAAGCTTAGCCAAACTGTCACAGACTTGGCGTCTCGTGCTAGATGCTCACCTGGATTGGGAACGAGACCCCCAGGGCCGGATAGAAAACTGAATTGTAAGCTGGGTTTCGTCAGAAAGCACCTACGTACATTCAAATTTGACAGAAGTCGCTACGGTGTTATGTTCCACGGCCAAAGCAGTGACCTATTCGTCAACTTCCACATGCCCATCGAGGAGCGTTACTCACATTATACGAGATAGGAGAGCCGAGTGGTGATGGGTCATTTGGGTCGCTGGCAGTATTGACAAATAGCCCAAAAAGCTGATAGGTTAGTCTCATTTACAGAAGAGGCACGAAGGCTGACATATTCTCTACTGCGTCAGTCATGTTTCACAGAAAGTACACTGCCACTGAACTCACGTAGACAGTTCTCGACCATCAAAACTGGGGTTCGTCAGCTGCTCGATTCGGATGACACGACATAATTTCAGACATACTTCGCAGACACTGATATGAGCAACAAGTCAATGCGGACTAATTGGTTACTTACCATCGACCGTACCAGAGACGTCCTCGGCGAACAAGGTGCTTTGTCCAATCAGCGACCTTCCTCAGATGCACCTCAAGGGTGATTAGACGACTCACCTATTTATGCTCTGTGCCACCTTGATATTGCTGGGAGCCAAAATGTTGTCCGCAAAGGTCTTGACTATTTCCACAAAATCGAAGCTCGACAGGCTTAACACGCCCGAGGCCAGCAAGAGTCCTCCCCAAAGCCCAATCGAGATGGTTCGCATTCTTCACAGAACTTCACAGCCTCACAGATTCGAGAGAACGATGGATCTTCTGGTAGCCCCCTTAAATAGACAAGATCAATAATTACAGGTCACAGGGACCGCACGACGACGAACTTCACACGAGGCGATAGAACAGGGCTCGTATGAGCTCTGAACCTCGCTCCCGAGCCGGTTGATCTTCTTGCCTGGTCGACTTCCTCTCTTGCTTGACCTGTCTCAGAGTGGAGCTGGATTTTGATGCTCCTCTCTGACCCCTGGTACTGCGAAGATACGCGGTAACACGATGGTTGTCGATCTGTCGAAAGATGATGGGTAATGCAAGCGAAGGTATTAATGAGCCACTAGTCTCTGTATGACCGGCGTTGAAAGGGTTCAAGGCATCCGTCAAGTGTGAGAGTAAACGTCAAAGAAGGATATGTATCAGTACGACCCCTTTCCTTGCACACTTTTCATCCTTTCAGCTCGTCCCCGGTCGACGAGGTCGTCCATTTCTGAAAGTGGAGAGAGTATAGAGGGACTGTGCGACCATCGGAGAAGGGAGGGACATCAAGGCACTAGCGTGTGACTGAGGGCTGGCCATCACCCTCGTTGCCAGGGTAGAAGAGGAGCGCGTCATTTTGTCATTCGTCAGCATTCTGGAAAGATCCCTGTGGCCTGGGGGAGATCTTTCTGCTCATTTGCGACATCAGTATGGAGGTCAATTTATGAGATCGGAAAGAGAACAGATGGGCGATTGGAGGATGGGGTGAAGCGAAAAACGTAGGAAGGAGGTTGGAGCGGAGACGGAGGAGGAATGACAATGACCGGGCGCGGGCTGTGGCTGTCATTATTGCGTCGGTGGAACGGTGATGGAGCCTTTGCCGACGCAGGGGCATGGTCCATGATGATTGAGTGATGATAAGGAAGTTATAGAGGGAAGAGGGGGCGTCAAGTGCTGTGCTTGATGCCAAAGTCGTTGCAACGCGTTGCATCTTTGCTGGGATCATAAATCTCAGGAGTCACCATGTGAACCTCCACTTTTGACGGTTTTTGGAAGAATACTGAAAAAAAGTCGGCGAATTTAGTCGTCCCCGCATACGAGTTTGTGCTACGAGTAAGTGAACTGGAAGGTGTTTAAAAACGTATGCATAGTAGGAGTGTGGCTCATAACATTGCAGGCGTGTGAGTCGCTTCGTTCGTGCACTGTTTGAAGTACAGATATGTACAAGTGAGGCTCTTAGGTGAATCGAGGTGCAAGCAGCTTGCTGGCCATTCCCTCTAATCATCGGCGAGATGAACATGTCCACGAGGACGGGAGAGTGCGCTGTGACTTATGGTCCAAGTAGCGAAGGAGGCCCAGCTACGTGATCAGTTCTTGGCCAATAGCGGTGATGACGGACTGGTGTGAATGAAAGACGTACAGCTGAATCAAGAGAAGGGCACAGGCCACAACCCAGAGGGAGACTGCCCAAACAGCATCAATGGGTCTGTAGATTGTCTTCTGCTTGACGGCCCAATACACAGGAAGGGAGAGGGTGGACACAGCCTATTTATCAGCACCGTCATGAAACAATTGTTCTCACCAACCTTGATGACAAGACTTTGCACGGCGGCAATTTGGAGTAGGAACGCAGTGTGTTGGACAGGCCATTCGAGTCGATCTCCTGATCAGCACAGTCATGAGGAACAGGGAATTGACAAACATCCAAGAAGGCCCACAAAGGTAAGTTGATCGGTGGTTGCGTAAAACAACCTGTCTGTTAGTGATTACACATGAAGCAGGGGCAAGACAGACCATATGATAGCAGAGACGTAGAACGACATGCTTTGCGTGTTTTCGAACAGGGTCCAACTGAGAGAAATAGCGAGGATGGTGAGAAAATGATGCGCAATCCTGTCTGTCAGCATGTCAACTCGGACTTGCCCACAAGTACTCCTATGATCAGGTCGACCGGGGAACGGATGAGGACGGACGAAAGGGAAAAGTGATCCAACTCACACAGGAAGACGCATATGAAGCCGGTAGACAAGCTCGAAACAGTACAGACTCGAGATGAGTGTTCCTGCTGTCCGAAGGGATCCCACACCTGTTAGAGAATAGTGACCAGCAAATGCTGGAGTGGCCGCCAATTGAAGGCCCAGCGCGATAGTTGTAACGATGAAACTTAGAGTATCTGTTCAGATGTCAGTCGTGAACGAATCATCGAATACATAGACATGAATGTGCACCTGTGTATTGGGTACGAAGTAATCTTGGAATGACTTACACACGACCACGTTCTGTTGGTTCTGTAAAGAGAGCTGTTCAAATACTCCGTTCTTGAGGGTGTAGAACCGGTAGATTACTTTCGCAGCGACATAATACAGTAACATGTACCCTAGACACTCAGTGGCGGTCCTGCCAGATACATTCACTTACCGAAAACTGCTATCGGGTAGAATGTGGGATCCCACGTGTGTTCGTCGAGCTGGGACAGAGAGATTTCTAGGCGTCATCATCTCTACTCAAATCGTGAAGACTGGGATCAGGAATATACCCAGCACAGACGGGAGAGGAGTGTCATTAGTGACCGCCAGATTCCCCACTTCGTCCTGGTTCTCCGGAGTGACAAATTTGGGAGCTACGAATCCCGCCGGGAAGTGAGAATCTAATACGACCTAGTTGTAATCCCTTTGGGTCAGCTGATGTCCTGTATTGAGCTGGAGCTGGAGAACCTGACTGGAATGTTGGTCCGGTTATAACAAGCTAGGCGAAGGCAAGTTTTGAGGTAGGGGAATTTGGAGAGTGTACTGCTGCTACTCACCTGTCAATGCACATTCCTCCGCCGGTCAGGCCCAGATGAGGACAATGAACTGTTGGTCTGAGCGGAGCCATGGGCACATGCAAATGCCTGCAGACAAGATTGTTCTCTGAGTATCAGTGACACCAAGGACAAGCTGCTGACAGTTGTCTCACCCCCTGCCCTGAAAGTGAGCTCTCGAATCCCTCATCGGACCTCTCGACTCACCGATAGGCCTGCCCAATGGGCACTGACGTCACAAAGTCCATACAGGTATCGTAAGAATCATATTGCTGATTGGAACCATTACAATAGATCACCGTAGCATCGCAAACCGATTGAGCGAGGTATTGTTGGAGGATCAATGTGGCGTTAGTGGAATCTCCTTTCGCCCTCTGGGCCATGTGGGGTATGAGCTGCCTGTAGTGTGAGCGATACGGAAGGAGGGGACCTGAGTCATTCGACAGATTTGGTCCTGCTGAACAACACGGGTATGAGAGAAAGAGATACCAACGGAGTGATGTAATCAGCAGCCTTCGCATCAGTTCCGTGGTCCGCCTCGCGGAAGAAGACTCACCCATGCCCACCGCCGAAGAGAGACGTCGTATCTGGAGCCAGTGAGCATGATGTTCCCTAACTAAGGATATGACTAGGCGTACTGTTGGACCTGACGCTGTTCGTTGATGGTGAACCATACGTCAATCGGAGCGATCAGCACAAATGAGGCTAGTCGGTCGTCACTGACCTGAATGGGGAACGTCCTGTTCAAAGAGCCGTAGTAGTCTGGAAGATCAATTGAGGGCGAACTTTCTACACAAACCACGTACATTCGAACTTGATAGAGGCGGCGACCGTGTTATGCTGCACTGCAGTCGCTGTGATCTGATGATGAGTGTCGACCTCCTGTCGTGGCGGGGTCAGCCAGCTTACATTGTACGCAATGGGGGAGCCAAAAGGCGACGGGTCGGTGGGATCACGCGCTGTATTGACGAATAAGCCAAACAACTGTTAGACTCAGTCGAAAACTCTTGACTCATAATCGAACGCTCACGTATTCTCTGATTCGTCAGCATTCACTCTCGATTCTCTGCACCGTTCACAAACAGCGTAGAAAAATGTGCAATGCGGACTTACGTGGCCAATTCATTGCCGTCGAAACTTGGAGCGCGGTCAGCTGACGTATCGACTGCAATCTTACACTAGTTGGAAACATACTTTGTAGACACTGACATTAGCGAGAGGTATAACGCCTGTATTATACGAAAAAGTTACCATCGACGGTTCCAACAACGTCATCTGCAAATAAAGTACTACAACTCGTTAGCCCGGGTCACTTCTACTGGCGCGTTGGTACGACGGGCACAGGGTACTCACCTGTTGATGCTTTGGACTACCGCAATATTCTTTGGAGCCAGTAAATTGTCGGCAAAGTTCTTGACCACCTCTAGATAATCGTAGGTTGACAACCCCAGCACACTGCTGGCCAGGACGACCATTCCCCAGAGACGGATAGACATCTTTCCCATCATGCAGAATAGTTAGATTGGAGGGATACTGGGCGAGGAGGTCTCCTTAAGTGACAAACTGAAATGATATGAGCGCTCCCTTTTCTTGAGTGTCTACTCGTGCTAAATTGACCCCTCGCCGGCCGACCGAATCCCCGTCAACAAGCCACCGCACCATTACTCAAGATTGAGGGAGCGAAAGAGGAAGAGCTAAGACGGATAGGGAGGGACGATTTGAAGTTTGGCGTGACCTCTCGGTCAGGTTCGTCGCCATAGCGGACGGGATCATTTGATCGGCAATTGGCTACGTTACTCGGAGACAAGCAGTTGCTGAATTGTTGCTGAATTGGGATTTTAGCAGCTGTATGTACTGAGTAAGAAATGGCAAGAGGAACGCTGTAAGTGAGGGGCGATGCCGATGAACGCAGGGGGAAAGACGATATCAAAGGGTGTCGAGCTCGTCAAGTGAAGTCATTGCGACGTCGGGCAGGTACCACAAAGGCGGGAAGCTACCGAGTGAAAAAGTTCGCTGATGATTAGATCTCCAGGGCCAGCGATCGCATGCTGAGCCGAGGAGGAATGGGTTGTCAATCGTCGGCCTCGTAGTCTTGGTAGCGTCCGTTTTCTTTTGCCGTAGTCACGTAGCCATTGATCCCGTTGCAGTGTACCACGGCCGACGGATCCGAAGTCATGCCCGTACTGAATTGACTCCCAGCCGGTCCTGCATTTATGATCTGACTACTCCAGAAAGCCAGTGCCCCTGACCTGATACACGTACAATTAGTACACATGATACATTAACTCCTGAACAGGATATGTGGGCCGTGGGAGTATGTTCACAGTTCGTGGGGGGATCAGTAATCATTGGCGGATTAGCATGTCAGCGAGACGGAATCTTGCAGGAATCAGAATCTCGACGACAATACTCGTAAGTAGAGTCGCGTTCTCTCTTCGGTCGGATGTTCCAGGAAGACCTAAGACTGCGATGGGGGAGGAGAGGGGAAGGGAAAGGCCAGTATATGAGCGAGCTGAGTACAAGTGAACGGGCAATACGATGTGTGTATGTAGGGTGCGACTTTTGACACCCTCTGTACATAGGCTCATGCATTGTGTCATAGTCAGAAGGGAGAAAACCCTCAAAAAAGTGACGAGAAATAAACGGTGGCCATACCGTGGAAGTAAAGTAGGAGCGTCCTCCGAGCTTCCGTACTTGTGACTGACTATATTTGACTTAGAGGTACGCTACCTTGAAGGCAACCGGCAACCGTTGCCCACTGCACCGTATCACTAATCATCGACGGGCAATCGTCAAGTGCAAGACTTGTCATGACATCTCATCGTCATCGTATATGACACCCCCACCATCATGTCCCACTCGGACATTCTAGAGTCATGTCGGGTCCGTCAACAAGACGAAATTTTGACTCTCCAAGTAAGCATCTCTTTGATTGCTCTCATAGTAAAGCTCAATCACTAACCCTCAGTCCATATATGGCGAACTGATTACTGTACTCCCGAACCCTTCCCAAAAGGCCGGTATTATTATCACCTTATCCATCCCCATAGTCCTTCCCTCAGCCACTCCGGCGGATCTCTCTTCTCCGATATCATCATCACTGCCTCTCGAACTGACTCACCTTCCCCCGATCACAATAAGACTCCTTCTTCCGGCCAACTACCCCGCTCATTCCCCTCCTAGACCAATATGGATGAAAGCGAGTCTGCAACAATGTTCTTGGCTTAGCCGCAAGACCTGTGGTCAGATAGCTGGGAAGATGGCGACGATGTGGAGGGAGGAAGTGTCCGATGGGGAAGGGATGGAAGTAATCTTCCGATGGTGGGATTGGGTGGCTAATGGTGATTTTCTGGAAGAATTTGGACTTTTGGTGGATGGCCGTTTGAAGTAAGTCACTTTTGCCAACTCTCACCCAGATATGGAATGTTTTTATAAGGTGAAAATGTACTTGATTGACAATCTATAGGTTGTCTGTACCGCCCATGATACCCGTATCAACTTTTCACACCCTACTCAAAAGTCACAACGCAGCTCAGGTCCATTCAGAGTTTCAATCCACTGCTTATTCATGCTCCATCTGTTTCGAAAACCGAATGGGTACATCATGCATTCGACTACCCTGTGGTTGTATCTTGTGAGTTGTCCCTCCATTTTTTTTCATCATCTTCTCTTCCTCTTGTCTTCTCGTCGCCCATCGATCACCTTTTTACGTATTAGTATACGGTACAGATGTGTAAGATGAGCCGCTGATAGCCCAGCTGTACCCCATGCTTGAATTCATGTTGGACTTTAGCAATCACCGAGGGATCTTTGATAAATGTCTCATGTCCCAGTCCTCAATGCGTCAAGACCCGAGCCACACGATCCGATGGCGAGACCTCCATCAATAACATTGATTCAGGAACCATACGATCTGTCGTGGGTGAAGACCTAGAGAGACGATGGCAAGAACTTCGTGAAAGACGTCAGGCAGAAATAGATCCGACATACACTGTTTGTCCTCGGTCATCATGTCAAGCTCCTGTTCCTCCTCCACCTAAGTCGAGCCAAGATACACCGACTCCAGTTGTCTCTGGACCACGTATTATTCGACTGGCAGATCTTACAAGAACGGAGAAAACGGAAGAGGATCAATTACCGACTCCTCCTCCTACAGCCAACTCCGAAGACAGATGGGATAGATATCGATCATGTCCGAAATGTAATTATTCTTTCTGTCTATTTTGTGGGAACGGATGGCATGGTGTTCATCTTCCTTGTGCTTTCCCCAAGACGTCAGAGATAGTGTTGGAATACCTGAGTTATTCCGAAGGGAGTGAAGAAAGAAGAAGGATGGAGATTAGGAGAGGAAAGATGAATTTGGAGAAAATGGTCAGACAGTATAGGGAAGACGAAGAGAATAAACAGTGGTTAGATTCACGTACGAGACCTTGCTCAGGTTGTGGAGTGAGGGTTGAAAAGAGGTGAGTTTGTGCTTTGGGTCTTTTTCCATCTCCCATCCCAGTCCGTCTCTACTTCTCCATTGCTCTCTTGAGAATGAGCCCTCTCAGAAAGGGACTTTCTCATCCAGTCATCGCTCGGCCCGATTCCTCATGATTAGAAGATATGATGTGGGGTATGGATCTGGCTAGTCAGCATGTTGACCCCTAGTCACGGATGTAATCACATGACTTGTAATCGCTGTCATTCTCATTTTTGTTATCGTTGCGGTCTTTCTCTCTCCCCTTCAGATCCTTATGCGCATTACCGACATCCGGGTACGTCATGTTTCGAGAAACTGTTTGATCCTGAAGAGATACAGAGGTTTGACCGAGAGGCAGGAGAAGGTTTGGTAGGTGATGAATGGCCCAGGGGCATATGGGAGTGGTGATCATTGACACTTATATATTTATTGTAGCAATCATGGATGAGATTGTATGTATCACCACTACTTGACCATTTCACATTCTACAGCTTCACTCTCTTCTCTCAATACGTCCTATCAACCAACCGATGGTACGATTAGTGTAGACAGAGTGGATCAATTGTGTATCCACCACATGTAGAGCATCTAATGCAATATGTCAACTACTGTGTATTTGTACAATGTATACCTAGAATACGAAGGCGAGTTATGGTTCAGAAATGACAATTGTCCAATGTATGTAATGTACACGGTGAGAAGAATGATTATGATGATTTTTCGTCCGTTTCGTAACCTTCTTCACTCTCGACTCGATTTATTCTTCTTCGGTTCTCTTATTCACTTGCTCTGAAGTTTGATGATGGAATTGACGGATAGTGTGACAACCCTAATGCAGGAAATGTGTGGTGGAGGGGATAATGGTGTTGGGAGTGGATTACGAATACCCTATTGATTCATCCGACTCAGATCGTTTATCTCCATCTTCCGAGTTGACAACAGGGAGACGTTCCACGAGAAGACGTTGAGTGATAAGTTCACTGACTACTTTACCATCTGATCGTAAGCTTCTAACTAGATCAAGCATGACATCGACGTAATGTCAATGCTATCACGCAGACATGAAAAATGAGGAGACGTCTACTCACTAAGAGGTATTTCATTTCCCTGGAATCCCTCTGGGTAAGCCAACTGAGGAGTATCAGGTTCAGTAAACACTTGATCGTCCCAAACTCCATAATGCTTGATACCAAGAGCTCGCGCTGTGAATTCGTAGTCTTCGGCAAAACCACCAGGATAGAAAAATTCGATCACTGTTGATCTAGGATTCTGGGCGTTCATCCATAATAAATGGGTGAGACCATTTCCATGTACACCGAGCATTACCTAGGATTAGCGTCAACCGGGTTGGATCGTATACAAATTTTGAGTTCAGCTGAGCTATGATCTGGCGGGGCCGCAAGACAGCAGGACATCGGAGATGAGTGGCAACGATGATAACTTAAACTCACCGTTGTTCTAGCTGCTAGCCTAATCTGTTCATCCCTCGACAACTGATCCATTGAGACGATATTCACCTCCCATCCATACTTCTTTTCCAATTCTTGTAACTCCCTCACCAGACTTTCATGACTTTGTTTCTTTAACATTCTCCTACCCCATTCTTGTCTGCTGACATAAGTGATCACCGGTTTCCCACTTTTCGCCTGTTTGCTTCTACTGATTTCCTCCAACATTTCTTCTTTCTCCTCTTCCGCACTACCCTCTTCTTCCTCTAAAGCAATCAAATCAATCTCGTCTGAACTTCGACCATCACCAACTTCCACTCCGACGCCCATCACTTCTTCGAAATACAATCTACCTCCGCCAACAAACTCCAATAGATTTTTCCTTATGGGCGTCCACCAGTATTTGGAAGTTTGCAATGTCACCGCTTCACTCGCTGTACGCCATGTCTTTTGAAAGTTGGCTCCACGGAAAGAGGCGGCTCGGTCGGCGAATACCACTCGTTCAAAGGCGAAAGCACGACCAGTGTCGGCTCTGTCAAGGAAGTCGGTTTCGTATTCGTATGACATTGAAGGGAAAATGGCGCGGGAAATGAAAGAGTTCATTTTGGCGTAGTCATTCCATTTACCAGCTGCGACGTGGGGGAAGATCATTCGGGAAGGTGAGGGGAGATGAGTGACGCCGTTGGGGGTGATGGTAGTATCCAGAGAAGCATAGGTCTTCCAAAGCCCAAGTAGGAGTTCAGCAGCGAAGCTACCTGTCAGCGTAACTCATGAGTGATGATATCTTTCCTACTCACTGGTAGTAGTGATCTAAGAATTGACTAGGATCGTTGATCAGCATGGTAGTGCCTGCGACCCGCGAAGCCGATTGACCCCATAATTTCTTCGCCTCGGATGGGAAGATGATTCGCATATCTTTCTCCGTAGGTTCTCTGGGACATAAGCCAAAATCCTTGTGATCACTTGTAAGATGGTGACTCTCACCTTCCCAATATAGATTCTTCATCATTCCAAACTTCCTTCCCAGTAGAAGTCATTAATCTCAACAATGGAATGGATGAAGGGTTATCAGTGACGATGAACCATGTCCCGTTGTACAGATAAAGCTGGTCAAAGATTGTCCATCCTATCTTCATCAGCAATCCATCCTTCCAAGGGTAGGGCGGCCTTTATGACTCTTCACTCACCTGGCGCGTGTGCTAACACTTCTGTCCGAGGTGCACCCTCCTGTTCTGCCCATCGTACCTTGGCATCCGTCATCCCAGTCATCTGGTTGGACCCTCCATGCTTAGCACCCAATTCCACATGTTCCAACCATTTATCGCCAGTCTTCGTCGGTCGATCATCTTCGTCCCATTCTTCTGATCGTCCCCCTCTACCAAAACCGACTTTGAAGCCTAGCAGAGAGTCTGATCCGGACGCGTCCGTGAACCGTAAGGAGAGATCAAACTGCATGAAGAGACCCATGAGAAGGGTGAGGATGATGACGAGGAGCACCTCGCGGCGTGTGGGGTGGAAAGAAGACATGGCGGCGAGCGCGGAAAGCCGCGTGGGGGAGGAAGGTTTGAGTGACAGTTTTGCGAGTTCTATTCGGTTGTCACCAGGACGAATATCAGAATCTTCTGCCCCGTTGGGGATCGAAAGACAGATAAGACAGGAAGACGAAGAAGAAGAGTAGTGATGGTGACAACTGATGAATGGAAGGCGAAGCACATAGACAGGAGGTTTAAAAGTGTACAAAGTGTGCGGAGCTTGCGGGCGAACAGGTGCCACTAACGGGAGCACGAGCACCGCTGCTCGGACCCCTTTGTCCTATTTTAAGGGTAGAGTCGGGGCGGGATCGTCGTCGCCCCTGCCTCCGGGTCATACGCTCTCTTGCCTTGATTCAGGGCAGAGTCGGACCCGGAATATCCTGGTTCCAAACATTCTCTGGTGACAAGTGACATGCATCTTTACATGGTGAGCTAGAATGTCAACCGCGTCATCTCCACGCGCTATTTTTTGCAGAACATCTTGGCATGCGTCGGTCAAAGACCAGGTCACTTGCTACGGTCGACGGCCGACGGCTGTCAATTCGCCAGATTTCGAATCGGGGGCGCTCGCCCTGTGAAGATACTTGCTGCGACCTGGAATTCACACGAGGCGATCCTCGATCCTCGAATGAACGCAAAGCAACGCTAGCAACGTGAATCCTTTCGCGGCCAGAGATAAAGCCCCATTCGCCAGTCTCGCAGCCAGGCAGCAGAAGGGGTGCCAGCAGCATGGGCAGGAATGGGAAGGGCACTCGGATCTCCCGAAGGATCCTGCGAGCTGACATATCGATGAATCCATTTTGACAGCTTATCATAAGTATCCGAGTACGAGTACTTACCCATATATATCCGGCAATCACACACAGAACATCTAGATACTTACTCATACCGCGTACCATGTACTAAGTTACTTTGTGATATGTGGCTAAGCCATCTGCTACAACCTAGTTGACCCGGTTCACAAGCCAATCGTCCAACCTTGACCCGTATACATCCTTTTCTTCAGACCCAGCACAGTCCACGCGATTTCCACTTTCATCCTCTCCTTCCTAGCGTTCTGCCGAGGCCGAGATCCTGGATCCTGCACCCAGCTATCTCGGTCACCCGGGCTTTCAGCACAGCATTATTCAGAATCCATCTCATCACCACCCTCGATGGGACTTGAATACGATGACGGCGACCGCCGCCTCGATCGCGATCGCAAAGACGAGGCACGTCATTGGCTGAAGCTTCGGGTGGAGGTGGATCCGGTCACCAACTGACTCCCTTGCCTTATTCATTCCTCTCAACTCAAAGGATAGCTCTGGTCGTCCTATATAAATTCACACAAGGGGCAGTTTCATGCTCCTACCTAGACCGTATATCTTTAGATCTAGTAGAATCCTCTTCTTGAGTAATAGATTATCCAGAATATCAGTGAGGAAGATGGCATCGCAGATTGATGACGTCAAGACCGCCGAAGTGCTCGATGTGAGCGAGTTGAGTGAGGGACAAATGTGAGTGACCGTCATGAGCCACGAATTGGACTGGTCCTCTCAGTTCAGATTGGAATCGACATCTAATCGTGGGACGATGGGCGAATGAAATCAGCTGGAGAGCTGACCAGATAGGAAGACAGTGGAATTCGGAGAAGGCAAGATTTTACTTTCCAACATGAAAGGCGAGATCGTGAGCCCATCCAGTACTTTCTGTATTGCCTATGAATGAGACCTGTAGCCATGTAGCTGACACTTCAGTATGCAACGTCAGCAGTCTGCACCCATGTAAGTCGTTTGGACACACAAACGAATGTATGCTTACAGAAAGTATGGCGCTCCTCTCGAGAGTGAGCTCCCCTGGCCCATATGATCTTTGGCACGGACGTATTGACACCCTCAGAGGGCACCTTATCTCATGATGGAAGAGTTGTTTGTCCTTGGCATGGAGGTATGTTCGATAAACCCTGTCTCAGTTAAGCTAACTGTAAGCGTGCTTCAACGTTTGCACGGGCGACGTAGAAGATGCTCCCGGTCTTGACTCTCTATGGAAATATTCCGTCGTTATCAAAGATGGTAAAATTGTCGTGTCAGCTTCCGAGAAAGAAGTCAAGAGCAAGGTCGGTCGGGTCGTCGCTAAACACAAGACCAAAACCTTGGTAAGGAACAAAGAAACTGTCGTCATCGTTGGTGGTGGAAGTGGTGGAATTCACACGATCGAAAGTCTACGTATGGTACGTTGGTCCCCTTCCACAGCTACTTCTGCATGATGAAGAAACGCTGATAACAGAACGAATACGCGGGAGAAATTGTTCTCATTTCTGAAGAGCCATATGCTCCTATCGATCGGTATGACATCTTACAAAGTTGTGAACCAGGTAACAAGCTCATGATACAGGACGAAAATGTCTAAAGGACTTGTGGACGATGCTGAGAAATTACAATGGCGTTCACCCCAAGAACTGAGGGATGATTTCGGAGTGACTTTCAAACCTGCTACTGTGAGTCTCTGCCTTTTTCTTCCCATCTTCATGACTTGACTTCCCGTTCTTGCACTTCCCGTTCTCTCTCCCACCCTATCTCAGTCGTGTGACTCGATAAGCGATCGCTACGCATTTATTACGTCCGTGTAAACATCGTAGCAAAGTTGACACGCACAGAGCGTCACCAAAGTCAATCCTACCGCCAAAACCGTGACAACGTCTTCTGGCGAGTTGATCACCTACGACAATCTCGTTCTCTCGCCTGGTGGTAAACCACGGAAGATCCCGATTCCTGGTGCGGATCTCGAAGGTGTTCAGACTATGCGTTTTGTCTCTGATACAAAATCGATCACTTCGGCCGTCAACGAGAACGCCAATGTGGTGGTGATCGGTACCAGTTTCATCGGGATGGAAGTTTCCGCTGCTTTGCTGGGTAAGAAGCCGAAGAGTATCACGTTGGTAGGGACGGACGATGTACCTTTCAAAGCTATTCTGGGGACAGAGATCGGTGCGGCTATCATGGAGGTCAGCTTTCTTTGTCCACTTTCCCTCTATTCTACCATCCGGGGACGTAAAGCTGATCTCGTCAGAGCATGAAGAAACAAGGCATACAATTCTACATGAAAGCCAATGTAGAGAAGATCACTGCCAGTGCGTATCTGGTAATCCTTCGTTTATCGTCGAAGATGTTATAATGGGCTGATACATGATCAGAACCCGGCACTAACCATTGCGGTGCCGTAGAACTCAAAGGACAAGAACCTCTACCAGCAGATTTGGTCATCATGGGTACCGGTGTCTCTCCAGCTACAAATTTCCTCAAAGAATCTGGATTTACTCTTGAGAAGGACGGCGGTGTGGCAGTGGACGAATATCTGAGAGTCAAAGGGATGGAGCATGTTTATGCTATTGGAGATATTGCGCATTATCCTCAGTATCCGGATAACTTTCAGAGGAGGGTGGAACATTGGAATGTTGCTGGGAATCATGTAAGTGACTTCATCTGTTTCTTGTCACAGTTCCCGGCGATTGCCCATCGGCCATCGACGTGATGAGAGAACCCGTGCCCAGAATGGTAGCGGAAACTGACAATCAGGGTCGAGAAGTAGGACACAACATTACCCACCCTAATGATCAAGTGGCATATACCAAGATCCCTATTTTCTGGTCTTCCATCGGTAAAGGTCTTCGATACCTCGGGACTGGTGCAGGTTTCGATGAGACCTACACTCATGGTAACCCCTCCGAACTCAAAGTAAGCTCTCGCTGACCGTCTGCGAATCGAAGCTGAAGGATAGTTCGTTACTTATCAAGCGAAGAACGGGAAGATCACAGCTGTAGCAAGTATGCAAAGCGATCCGATCGTCGCGAAAGCGTCGGAATTGATGAGACTTGATATCATGCCAAGTCTGTCGGAGATCAAAGCTGGCAAAGTGAGTATTCATAAATTGACATACAAGCTATGGGATGATACTGATCTATAGAATATTTTGGAGATTGATTTGATCAAGGCCTGATGTTATCTCAGAAGTTGAGATATGTGTATGTATGTATTGAAACTGTGCGGATTTGGTCATTACTACACGGGTCGCGGGACGTTCGATAAAGGGATTTGTTTGACCCATAACCCTCCCTGCAGTTCAACAATTGACCTGTCCACACGGGCACCGAGCTTGTGGAAGGGCTCTGGTTGAGGGTCAGGGTCAAATGAGGTTCCAGCCCAGATGAAGATAGGCAAGAATTGGAGGAAGGGGGGGGGGGCAATTTAGGCCTATGGGAATCCAGAATGAGTTCAGAGGAAATAAGGAGGCGAGGCAGAGGAGCTCACCTTGACATTGAGTGTCATATTACTTGTCATCCATACTTTATCCCTTCCATCCCGCAACCTCCCAGCCCCATGGATGAACCACCATCCAGGTATCTTCCCATCGCCATCATCCTCGCCTCCTTTCCCTGTCCTCAGAGCAGTCGGAGACTCAGCCAAAACTAGCTCCACTCCCTCTTCTTTCATCCTATGAAGGTATCTGATCCACTTGACCAGAAAAGTCATCGATACAGCTATAGCCATATTTTGTCCTAAACATGTCCTAGGTCCCACATTCCATGGCATATAACTTTGCTCTTCTTTCTGTCTTTTCTCCCTATTCACATTTCCGTCCGTTTCCTTTCTCTGATTTTTGGATTGTTTCTCTACCACGTCTCGCTGCATATGGGTCGGTTTGGAAGCTGGGTTCTGAACAGAGGATGGATTGGTTTCTTCCGGTCTCGCCCATCTATCCAATTTGAAGTCCAACGGATCTTCCCAATAATCCGAAGATCGTTGCATGAGTAAAGGACATAAAATTATGGTAGTTCCTCCTTTCATAAACATTGGACCTTGACTAGTAGGAATAACACAATCGTTGACTGCTCTTCTAACATTTATTGGTACAGGTGGAAAAAGACGTAAGGTTTCATCGATAAATGCTCGACATTTCGTTAATTCTTTGAGAGCTGTTCGTGTCATTTTCACCTCTTCCACATATCCTTCCCGTGAGTAGCCCATTTCACTCTCGTGATTTTCCGAATAGTCCAGATGTCTCGTAGATCCTTGGTTATCACCCGTGTCGTGTTCATTCTTGTATTCTGAATCCTCATCTTGAGAATGATCGAAAGAATGTCTTTTGTCATATTGTCGTATTTCTTCGCAAAGAACATCTTGAAGATGAGGTTGAAGAAGTGACAGATATGTGCAACAAGTAAGAAGTACAGTTGTAGTATCCCTTGCGGCTAATAACACATTTATCAATTGATCTTGTACCTTTTCCTTACTCATCCCTTCTTGGTGGACCAAAGCATCGAGAAGACTCGTTCCACTCTGACGAAGATAGGCTTCATCTATCAACGGCCTGAAAAATGCGTGGACGGTCTTCATAGGTTTACGAAGGGGCGAACGACCTAGTTCAAGAAGACGCCAGGGCCAACCGATTTTTAGACGGAAAGCGACGATTTCTTGAGCTTGTTTCAGAGCTGTGGGGAGTTCGGAAAGAGCTTGTCTCCATTCAGGTGCACGGGGGAGTACACTTGAATTATCATTATCGCTCAGGTTGGAAGAAATGTCTTCGCCTGTCAACCAAAGAAGAGCGATTTGGAGTGTCAATCGACCAAGGAGAGCTTGCATGTCGAATGCTTTCGTTGTGTTACCATTGAACGTCGTCTTAGAGTCAGCAAGTGATGCGGAGTGTTCATTCGGCATCGTGAATGGAGGAGATGCTGTGATGATATCCTTGTGAGGTACGGGGTGGTCAGGCGTCAGAGACGCAGCAGTAGGCAGGGAAAGAAGGAATTTGTCGATGATCGGTTCGAAGAGTTCAGGTCGGATACGTTCGGCACGAAAGAATGGACGTAAGGTGGTCCGATGCTGCCCATCAGAATATTGTCTCGAGTGTCTCAACTAACAGCTCAAGCAGGATCGTGTAAAGGTGAGTGCGAAGAATTCAGTCGGAACGGAAAAGCTTATAAGCAGCCAAGAGAGAGGGGCGAGGGGGTTAACGAAGTAAACGCGGATACGACAAAACGTACTGAGTGCCAGGTCGACCCGTCGGTGTTGAAGATTCCGTCCCCCAGATAACCTCTCGTACGGGTGTGAAACTTTGGTCCTGAACGTCAGCATTCAAACTCTAGCTTCGTAATTTGATCCTTGGGACCCTTTCTCGGTCCTGGGGAATACAGCAGCACCCAGTCGACGAGAGTAGAAGAAAAGACGAGGACGGACGACTCACCCTTGACAAAATTGTCGAATCCAGTCATAAAGACATGACGCAGAACAATCGGATCACTTGAGATGATCTATTATCAGCTCTTGCCCTAAATCCCAATACTGGTAGAGGTGCAGCAGGCAATAAGAGCTGGAGGTGCCGTGGAGGTAGTGCTCGAATTGTAAGATGTGATCCCCTCACCTGATCTTCACCAAGCGTACGAGTATTGAATGTAGTCCCGTACTTTTTCTCAAGCTCGAACAACATCCTCCCTACCTCATCTTGGCTCCATCTCGTCCAGGAGAGCACCACATCGAAGTTCAGAGGCCATTTCCCTTTGACAACCGGTATGGGACGTGCTCCTAGTCTAGCAGCGGACTGAAGGTCATGTCGAAGAGAAAGCCACCGCCTTAAAAAGATTAGAGGGATGATGACGATCTGGCAGATCAGTGGGAGGGAATGATCATTCCTGCAATAGACGTACACCGAGAAGGAGGATCCATGAGGTCATACTTGTATCTCCCGAAGAAAGAAGCTCACTAGGCCATTTTCACATGGGCATCGCGCTGTGAAGCAGTGTTCAAGCCCTTTATCAAGCCAACATGCTGGGAAGCAGTGATGGCAGAGGAATACAAGACACTAATTGGAACAAGGCGTCGGGCCGAAAGGGCGAAAGAACCGAAGGTGAACACCAGGCACGATGAGCGGACTTCCGACGGATGTCGATTGCGGCATGCGGCATTTGCCGGGATGGCATGAACGAGTGGAATGATAGCGACCAAGCCTTTTACTTTCACATTTTCCATCTTGCGTACAATTTGAGTTCTCATCAGTGATCAGTGATGCGTTCTCGACTACGGCTTTTGGGTCTTTCCACAAGGTCCACTCACCATAGAATTATACGCCTCAATTCGACCGTGGCTCCTACTCCAAAACCCGACCCAACACCCAGTCAACAGCTTCTCACACTGCGTGAGATAGATCGTCTCCTTACCTCGATCGCAAGTATGTCCATTGATCTCTTTCCCTTATCAAAAGACTAATTTCAGACTCTTCAAGCGCCAATGCAGCTCATCCTTCTCCCCTCTCCATGCGAGCTGATCTGATTTCATGGCTATCATCCTCCTCACCTGATTTGGCATCCTCCGAGCTGGACCCTAATGCCCCTCATGCACCCATGACGGATAAGGAGCGCGAAGAACTACTGAGACCTAAGCATATGAGTGAAAGCTTCACAAACTTCGACTTGCCTCTCGCTAGTGATCCCAAATTGTACGAGAGGTATGTTAACACTTCCGGAGGTTTCAGGATGGGCAAGCTTCTGGAGCGTAGGTCCAATCCTGTATCACAAACGGATCGTGTGGGAAGTAGTATCGAAATGCTGATCGTCAGATTTGGACTCTCTGGCAGGAGCTGTGGCGTATAGACATTGTCTGCCAACCCCTTCGAGCAGGTCAAAGGCGAAGAATGCCACAGACGCGTTTCACGAGGCTTCTGCTAGAGCAGGGTTGTACCTTGCCACGGCGAGCGCAGATCGTTTAGACATGCTTGGAAGACTTAATCGTGATAACGTAAGGTATGTGGAATGAAACCATCTTTGTTACTGGCCTGATTCTCTCCCCGACTCAGAGTAACACAGAAGTTGGAGAGGTTCAGTTGTTAGATTTAGGGTCAGGATAGGAGACATGATGTAATGTGGTCTTATTGTCGACTGACGAAGCAGAGACCTTCGATTCTCAGGCTTTGTGACATGGACCGGGAACTCTTCCATGGAAGTAGTCGTCAAAATGGAGGGCTCGTGTCAACCAGTAAAGGACGAGTGGGATACACTCCTTTTGGGTCGCTTCGCCATGGTGTGTAGAGATTCCATAACACACAAAGCGAGAAAAGTACCACCGCTTCTGGTCGAAACGGCAGGGGAGAAGATGTTGTGGGAGATAGGAGCGGATCATACTAGACGGAAGAGGGAGAGCTCCATGATGGCCCTGGACAAAGTTCCAGTAAGTCGGGCCGAAGATATCAAAAGTGAAAGACTGATATCGCAGCCTTCTTCGGAGGAAGCGGAAGAGCTACACAAGCTCATGCTGCAAGTCGTGGACAAGGGGGTGACCGATATTGACGGTCAAAAGGTGGTGCAGATGCGTGACACTGAGGCCAGTGTTTTCTTCGATCTTCTACGCGGTCCCTAGCCGCCTTCCTTTCCTTCCCCCGTCCCTCACCATCGTGGGGTTATGTCGTTTGGTTCGAGGTCGACCATATCGGACACTCGGACTCATTTACTCACAACACAGATCACAAGCGTTCTTCTCATGTTTCCTCAAGGACGTAACCTACATGGCAAAATCTTCGGAGGTTTGCTAATGCGTCTCGCCTTCGAACTGTGTTTCACCAATGCGGCCATCTTCGCTTCCACACCAATGAGGTTCTTGTCCCTGGACGAAATCACCTTTCGTCTCCCTGTACCGATTGGCGCGGTACTTCGACTGACCTCGAAAGTTGTACACACCACCATGCCGCACGGTGGACCTGATGGAGAGGCCAAAGTCCACATCATGGTACGTGCCGAGGTGGAGGAGGTGGAGACAGGGGTGAGTGCCATGATATATTGGAGATCGGGTAAGTGGTCATTCTGACCAGGCAGGCGAGAAGCGAGACCAACACCTTTTTCTTCACTATGGCCAAGGAGGACAAGAATCCGATTGGGAGGACAGTCGTGCCTTCCACATACGCCGAGGCAATGCATTATTTAGAGGGTACGAGAAGGTTGGAAGTCGGGGATGAAATGCGAAGGTTATACTTGGGATCACATCGAGACGACGAGCCTTGAAGGCGTGATATCACCGGGGCTTGGGAGAGTGCGGATAGAAAAGCTTCATCTCCATCGGCCATCGAGGCCAATATACGGACAGGTCGGTGTACGGTGTAGCACGCCAGGTAAGGCGATGGACGCCCAAAGGGCAATGCCACATGTCATGCCCAGAGGACTGGAAGTCAACGGCACTTTCGGGCACGAAAGGATCATGTTGTCTACTCATATGTCATGCATGTCGTGCAGAGCGTACTGACGTGTCGCTGATCGCTGAAGCAGTGTGCGGCGACAATTCAGAACGGAGACCGGAGGGTGACTTTGGAAAACAAGGTCATCTTGACAGGAACAATGTGTCGTCAAGCTAAGTTCAATCATAGCTCCATGCTCCAGGTCCGTCGTTTTCGCTTCCAATCGCCTAAGCTTAGTACAATACATCCAATGATCATCTTTCCAAAAGTATACACCCTGTTCATTTAGTGCATGGCGACGTAGAAGAGTCTCCACTCCGTGCTTAAGTGTTTCCACCTCATTCGCCTGCTTTTAACACTACGACCCGTCAACCAACACTCCTCCACACAAGGCACCCTCAGCACTATTTGACTTACTCTTTCGACCACCGCAAAGGTCCTTTGACACCCTTCATCTCCCAAACCCACCTTTCTCTATCTCATGTCTTTTTATCCCATGCTCTTCTTGCCACCTTCCACAATCCTCTGAATCTCTGAGCTTTTCACCCATCTCGAGGTCCTTCTCTTATCCGGACCATCCGGGTGAACCACCATGACTTCACCTCAACTCCTCCAATCGCCTATGATCTACTCTCCTACTTCTTTACTTCAATGGGACGAAGCGACCGTGCATCAGTTCTTCAGACGGATAGGATTGCCTAATTATGAAGGGGCCATCTATGGTACGTGATTTTCCGCTACCAGTGATTCATGATGGTGGATGGTGGGTTACGAATCTGACGGACAGATCAAGGTATCACTGGTGACGTATTGGCCGTCATGGACCACGCGTCTCTCCTAGATTTAGGAATGGAAAGTATAGGACATCGATTGAAGATTCTGAGAGCTATTTGGGAATTAAAAAATGAACAAGGGTTGGAACTGGGAGATGAAGATTGGCGTCCAGATGGTGCGCACTACTTTTCTTGTTCAATAACATAAGGGAGAGCTGAAAAAGATAGAAGGTCAAATGGTTGGCCCAAGAGCAGCTGTGGATGCTGTGGATAAACTCAAAGCTGTACATACGGCAGATTTAGGAGCTCTGTATGATTATATCGATAAACAACGTGAGTTAGACCAAGTTGGTTGACCGATTGCTGTTGACGGATGAAGACGTTCGTTTGATGAAACTCGAGTGGGCATATCGAAGGATTGTGTCTTGCATGGAAGAAAACGGACTTCAGGTCAACGCTTCTTCCTCTTCCGACGGTGACGATCTTAGAGCTAGTAGCCTGGAGTTTAACACAGATCATGGAATGCCAAGATGGGACGACTATAGCAATGGTCATAGTAGAGGTAGTGATGGGGATGAAGGAGAACCTGTGAGCTCTTTTCCTTCTCACTTTCTCGCGAATCCTTGAGAAGATGCACGGAGAGATGAATTTTCTGATTATCAGGGACCTACCACGAAAGCCAACCGAAGAACTTCAGCGATATTTCCCTCTTCTTTGGCATCATCAACAAATTCCAACTCAATCCCTCCACTCACTTCCGATTCAGCAACTTTCCAAGACTCTTTCACACCTACCACCGCCAACGCCACTATCACTTTCGATTCCCCTGCTTCCAATATTCCTGAGAAACCTCATCATCCACGTCCCGCCGCCATTCAAGCCCCACCTTTCAGTCGACTCAATTCTAGTGGAAGTATCACCTCTCCTCCTCCAGGTGCTTTACCAGTCGCTGCTGCAACACCTGGCTCAAGCTCGGGTCAATCAAAGGGATCATCCTTAGCACCTGCGTCAGCCTTCAGCGGTCCTAGTCTCACACCAGCTAGTTCCAGATCCAATGCCACATCTGCATCGGTTGACGCCAAGACACAGGCAAAGAATGCGGCTCACTCTGCGGCGAAATCTTTCAGAGTCACATTGGAAGATCCATGCTTCAAGGTCTTACCGGCTGCTTTGAAAAAGTATAAGATCAACGACGATTGGAAGAAGTATGCTTTGTTTATCTGTTTTGGCACAACAGGCAAGTCGTTCTTCGCCCTTCTGTCAATGACGACAAACGCGCTGATGGTACCAGAACGATGTTTGAGCTACGACGAAAGCCTTTGCTGTTATTCCAAAAACTCAAAGAGGGTGGTCAAAAACCAGTCTTCATGCTACGACACATCGTGAGATCCTCTTAGTATACGATGGAACTCAGCTGAAATGTCAGCGCGATGTTCGATCTCCTATTGCTGTAGCTCAACAAAAACAACTCGCAAAACTAGGTCTACCCCCTACTCACCCTAACAGCGTTCTTCCACGTAACAAACCCGTAGGAGAGTCCTCCTCGTCTCCTACCAAACCTTCAAACCTACAACCTCTCGCTCAAGGCCAGTTGAGACGAGCAGGAGACGATACCACACCTAATGGCGCTGCTTTCCCGGAACTACCGAGTCCAGGACTGAGAGAAGGAGAGTCCATGGCTCATAGCTTGCCGAAGAGTGCCACGACCACAGGGACACTAGTGGATAAAGATGGGAATGTGCAGAGTGTGACTTATGCAGTGGCAATCTATCCGTAAGTATTTCACGCACATGATTTCTTTCATCTGCTGATCGTCAGGTATATTGCCGATCGACAGGATGAGTTTGACGTGGCAGTGTGAGTACTTTCAGCTACGCACGTCAGAAGAGATTCGGCTGATATCCAGTGGGGCGACATTTGTCATCTTATCAAAAACGAAAGGGTGGTACATCGTTCAAAAAGATCCGGAGGGTACAGGGAATATCATACCTGAGCATTCCCGTTCGGGATGGGTTCCAGCAGGTTAGTTCATGCTACTCTTCAGCATGTCTCACACCAAATGATTCTTGTAAAGGAGGTAGCAAAGCGACTGAGAGACTAATCTCCAGGGTGTCTATTGGAACTCTCCCAACCTATCTGCGCGGTATGTCCCTCAGGTGAAATAAATTCCGCCTATCCAGGTCTATCACGTTTACCTCCGTCTGCGATAGTGTCATCTTCGTATCCTGGCGTGGTACTCATGGATTATGGACCTCAAGGGGAAGATGAGGTGGCCCTTCGAGAAGGGGAGAAAGTGAGAGTGTATAAGAAATACTGTCATTGGTCATATACGTGGGTACTTTCTCCATCTTGCAATTCCCCGCCTCTCTTGACACACTATTATATGTTCCCGCTCAAAATCTCATTCACTCGCTGATCCTTGCCAACCACTTTCGTGACCACCATTCTATTGTGTACGATGAAAGCGCCGACGTCCCTGTGACAGACGTTGGAATAAATTTTCTAGAGTACGAGGCTAAATGTTGACCGTCAGGATCAAACAAGACTCTGGTGAACGGGGATGGGTACCAGCATGGTTCATCGGTAAACTCAGCGGTTCAGATTCCGCCCCTACATCAGCGGCCACACCGAGTACCGCGTTGCTTTCTGGTGGGTCGGCGGGATCAAACTACACCAATGAAGAGGACGGGGACGAAGGGAGGGACTAAGCCGGCGACGAATGAGCGGGATAGAGCAGAGGATCTTTGATTAAATCTGTTGTTCATAGGTTTGAAAGCACTCATGCATACCTTGGTGTATGTTCCATGTTGCCTCCCATCGTTTATGCGATAGCTACACAGAAAATCTGGCCCTGTAGGACTTTAGACCACCCGACAACGGCAAGGAATGTTTGCCAGCTGTTCCTCCCCCACTTTGGGTGGAGGTAACAAAATTCCGTTGACTTTCTTCGTCTTCGTCTCCGTCTCTTGTCCCATATTTCATATACACCACCTACAGTGACCGGTATACCAAATCCCAACACCGGAAGTAGCTGACTATGCTTCGACCTGGATCTCTCATCTATCTCCACCCTCTTCCTTTAAGCAAACTACGAACTCTTCTTCCTCGTTCATTCCGCCCGAATAACAGACAAATCTCCTCTTCGTCCAACACTATCATCGACACGACCGTCGAGCAAAGTAGCTCAATTTTCGACCCCTTAGCCTCTCTCCTTCTTTCTTCTCCGTTACCTTCTTATGGATTGACGATAATACTCCTCACTATCGCCTTGAGAGGCAGTGTGACGCTCCCCATGACTTTGTGGCAGAGACGGAGGTTGGAAAGAGGACGATTATTGGTTTCCCCTGCAATGAGAAGGTGGAATGAAGAATTGGCTGGACCGATAGCTAAGGAAAGTAGGAAGAAAGGGTTGGATTATGCTGGTTACAAGAGGGAGCTGAAGGCAGCTGTAAGTTTCTATCACTTATTCTTTCCCCCTCTTCATTCTCTGAGTGTCGCGCATCACTACCAGGCCTTCGCATGGCTCCACTTTTTACTTAGGAAGGGTGTTTGTCTCTCTATATATGTCTGCAAGTTTTCTATACGTAGGTTATACCCTCGACTTTCCGTTCGAGATAGATGTCACCGCCGGTCCCGATTATAGAAATATGAGGAGGAGAGGTTCCCTAGACGCATAATGGGATGAGTCAAACACAAATGTGTGCTTACTCCAGCTTGCTGAAAAACAATCCCAACTACACAGGAAATACCACACACACCCATTACCTACATTAATCGGACCGCTGGCAGTACACATTCCGCTCCTGATCTTATTCTCCAACACCATCCGTCGTGCTCTCGAATTACCCCTATCTTCCATGGGCTCGGAAACGTTTTCATGGCTCTCGCAATTGGGTCAGCCAGATGGATCGGGGATCTTACCTGTCTTAGGGGGTATGTTGGCTTTTGCCAATGCCGAAATGGCCAGTAGGAGGGTACGGGGGATGACAAAAGCGGAAGATGGCACTGCTCCTCACCCACCCTCATCATCATCCAGCCGAATCGCTTCTTCTTCTACCCCTTCGACCTCTTCTCAAGAAGCTGGCAGATCGAGTCCGCAGGTTCGATCGACGACTTTAACGGCTGAAGGAACTTCGGCTCCGACGCTCCAACCATACGGCAGTACATCGAAGCCATCTCCAGCTGATCATTCCGCCAATCCCTCACCGAGTACGGAAAACCGAAGCGTTTCGGGATCATCACAGGCGCCACGAAGGAAGAAGGTCGATCCCGATTTAGTGAAAAAGAGGAAATTGTCTACTTCGTCAATATTGCTTGCCGGAGAGGAAAAGAGGACCATACCTGTAGAACACCTCACCGACGTGTCTCTTGGAGAGGGAAAGCCTAATGCGGTGAGGGATAGCGAGATAAGGAGCACGTTTGTCACGGCTGCAATGAGAGTGGGAGCTGTGTTATTCATTCCCATAGCCTCTCAAACACCTAGTGTAAGTGTTCCTCGTGGTTGAACGTGCTTCCGGTTGACGTCCAGGCCGTGGCACTCTACTGGACTACATCCATGGCTTTCACATTGTTCCAGAATCATATCTTCGACGTGTTAGACAGACGTCAGGCGTCATTGTTTTCCTCATGTTCCACTTCCGCACACAGCTTAACCCGGCTCAATCAAGTTCAACATGAAGGGCGAACAACCAAGACAGTAAAGGACTAGTATTGTCAGGACCAGATATTGAAGATAGTCTGTGTCAATGAGCTATACAGTGGGGTGCCGTGACGGACAGAACACGCGTTCCTTAGTAATTTGGCTGTGATGTCATGATGTCCACCTTCTCCATGCCGCATCTCAGTTATTTGAAACAATGCAAGTATAAACCATTCACAAAGCTTGTTCATTTGACCAAAACAAGTATATCTGGAGTTTCAAGTTCAATTTACTTGACGGAAACTATGGAGCTACACAGCCAGGAAGGAGAGAGTGTTTTTGAGATTTTGGGTGGTGTGGCACATTCATGGACCATTTCTTCTTTTCTTGCTAGAGACTTGGTTTCACAGTTTGAGTATTCATCAAGGGGGATGTCACGGCCGTCGAATAACTTCTTCCTAATAGACCGACGGTCGACGAACCTCGGCTAACTTGATGCTTCTAACTCGATGTCTCACCCAACCAGGAGGGTGCAGGCGTTGAAAGGAACGTAACTACGACGTACTTTGACGTAGTTACTCTATGTTACAACCCGGATAATGTCCTAGGGTCGTAACCCATATCATACCAAGAGCTGATCTCATTTTCTCACATTCTCAAGCCACAAGCCACCGAGAATCTCATGAGACAGGGCATCTCTACAAGATCTCAATGAGACACAAGACATCTCTAGGAGATACATACGAGATCTCTATGAGACATCAGTCATCTCTATGAGATCCATACGAGATCATCCCAAGACAAGAGACAACTCTACAAGATCTCTAGGAGATCTCTACAAGACATTCAGGGAAACACGAGATTAGCATGAGAACATGAGACATGAAGCAAGAGAATATACCGAGAAGGTTATGAGACATCTCTACAAGACATCCTGAGATGTCTCTTGACATGTCTCTAGGTTTGTCTCTGTGTAAAGTATATAAACCCCTTCCGTAGAAACCGTAGTTCTTCTTCTTCAAGGATCAAAATATTATTTGCCACTCTACAAAGACCTCCTCTTGACTTATACTTATTTTCGACACACCTCCCTCGACAAAACCCTTGTCCACATCATCACACACACTCTCATCATCATCTCGACTTGCTCGGATCCTTCGCAAGTCACTCTAGTCGTCCGACCAAATCACAAGTCTACGAACAACATAATACTAACCGTCGTTGTTCAAGCTAACTAAACAGTTATAGTCCACCTGTCTTTGATTCATTAAGGTCTGTCAAGGACAGGACCGTGACAGTATATTTGGATCCTTCACACTTGTGATTGGTCATTACCTGTCTAGTAAACTCTTTTATCAAGACACCACCATGGCACCAACCCGTGCAGAATTAGAAGCTAGACTTGAAGAAGTCTTAGCCCATCAAGAGACCATTCAACAAGAAAACAATACTTTACTTGAAAGAGTAGCCGCTCTTACAATCTGTCACGCCCGTCGAGCAACTACTTCCTAACAGACCGACGGTCGACGAACCTCGGCTAACTTGATCCTTCTTAATCGATGTCTCACCCAACCGGGAGGGCGCAGGCGTCGAAAGGGGTGTAACTACGGCGTACTTCGCCGTGGTTACTCTAACTGGGGTTTTGTTCTACTGATGGCGATGTATCTCGATTTGTAAATAGCTATCTCTATCTATCTTTCACTACTGACAACAATCAAGGATCGCTGAAGAACTTCAGCGATCTTCTCAGCTAATATTGTTTATTCCTCCTAGACGTTCATCCAACCCTCTCGCGCTTTGACGTACTTCGACGCACTTCGTCCAACTTCCCCGAGCCCTCGGCCATCCTCTTCCTCCTTCGACTAACTCCGCCTAACATCGCCGCACTTCTGCCTCCGTTGTCCCTACCTAGCCTAACTCCGCCTAACATCGCCGCACTTCTGCCTCCGTTGTCCCTACCTAGCCTAACTCCGCCTAACATCGCCGCACTTCTGCCTCCGTTGTCCCTACCTAGCCTAACTCCATCTAACTTCGCCGTACTTGGTCTCAGATGTCCTGAGTTACGTGTAGAGTAAAGAGTTAAGGTGTGATAGGGGTTTTGATGGTCAAAGGAGGGTCATTGCTGGTGGAATAATCGAGGTGGTGGAATAATCGAGGTGTCACGACGTAGTTCGTGACACAATCCTCCTTCAAGGAGAAATACCAGAAAATAATAATACACAAGATGTAAGTGCCGAACGTGAGCTGACACCTGCAGAACAACACCATCCCTCAGTAGCACCAACTACTACAACCAATGCTACTCGTCCTCAAGAACCAAAGGTTGCATCACCTGAATACTTTAGTGGACAACGTAATAAGCTTACAACCTTTATCACTCAAGTAACAATGGTTATCACGCTTCAGTCTGCTCGTTTTCAATCTGAAGCTACAAAGGTATTGTATGCGGGATCTTTCTTACGTGATACTGCTTTCCTCTGGTTTCAACCTTTTGTTGTTGCTACTCCCCAGCCAGCCTTCATGACAGATTTCAAACTCTTCTGTGATGAACTCAAGAAGACGTTTGGTGATCCAGATGAGGTTGCCACTGCTGAGAGACAACTATATGCTCTCAAGCAAAGAGGTTCGGTCACATCTTACCTGGCAGACTTCATGCGCTTTGCTACCCTTGTCAAATGGAATGATGAAGCAAAGGCTGCTCAATTCTATCGTGGCCTTAAAGATGCTATCAAAGACGAGCTTTCTCATGTTGGGAAGCCTAAGTCTTTCAAAGATCTCCAAGACATTGCAATACGTATTGACACACGCTTGTTTGAAAGACAAGTAGAGAAAGGTGAGCGTACAAGTACTGCTAACTCACAGGTACGGTTTACACCCCGCTCAACAACTTATGAGCGCTCTCAGACAACTTACCGTCCATCTGAGAACCTACGAGCCATAGCAACATCAACCTCAACTTACACAACCAAAAGAGGTAAACTCACTCCTGCTGAGTATCAAAGACGTAAAGATAATAATCTTTGTCTCTACTGTGGTGACAAAGGACATATGGTACTCAAATGTCCAGTTGCACCACCTCACCGCAAACCTGCTAGATATCAAGCTAGCATGGTAAGTACAGTCAAACCCAAAGCTATCCCATCGGGAAAAGCTTGAACCCCCAGTCTACAAACCACGGTAACCTGGGGTTGGAGGGTAACGAGAAACAGGTCTCCGTTTCACTTGGCTCCACATTTCCTTCTATTGAAAACTTTGATATAACCCAAAAACAGTTGACTCTGCCATTCCATTTAAAAGACCACAAAACTATATATCACGCTCTAATAGACAGTGGAGCTAGTAATAATTTCATTGATAAAAGACTTGCTGAAGAAAACAGATTAACATTAGTAAAAAGAGAACCCACTCCGCTATACCTCTTTGACGGAGCAGGTAAACCGTCAACAGTAAAATTTGAGACAGTTGCTTGTCTTAACTTCCTTTCCCCCTTTGGACCTTGTTGGACTAGGTTACTAGTCACCAAGTGTCATCTTTGTCCAGTTGTGCTTGGCATTCCATGGTTACGCCAACATGACCCGTTTATTTCTTGGTCAAGACTTTCTATACAACCAAGTTCTATTTGGCCTACTAATTGTACAGTAGGGCCATCATCATGGACAGCATCAACATCCAACACATCTGTGCGCATAGGGGAGGTGACTGGAATAGTACCTCTGCCCTCTTCAGATGAGGCAACAACATCTTCTACGCCTCACGAGTTCAACCTAGCGGTGTCGACTACCACTAGGCCGTCCACCTTGACAGAAGTCGACTCTGACAAGGCCGATTCAGATCAGGCTTTAGTGCCCCCTGAATATCATTCTTACCTGGGTGTCTTTAGTAAACAGAGCGCTGATAAGCTCCCAGATCACCGACCCTTTGATCACCATATACCTTTGGAAGATGGGAAAGTTCCACCATGGGGACCCATCTACTCTCTGTCTGATACAGAGTTGAAAGCACTTCGAGAATATCTGGATGAGAACTTGAAGAAAGGTTTTATTGTACCTTCTGAATCACCAGCAGGAGCACCTATCCTTTTTGTGAAGAAAAAGGATGGTTCGCTTCGACTCTGTGTGGATTATCGGGGGCTCAACAAAATCACAATCAAGAATCGATACCCTCTCCCTCTCATCTCAGAACTTCTTGTCACGGACGGGGTCTAATCCCCAAGGGGTAGGCAAGGTGACTGGAATGGGGCTGTAACCCAATACTTGTCTCGGGCTCGTAGAGCTGAGGAGTATACAGAGGGTGACAAGGGACTGAGGGGACTGAGGGGACTGCAAGATGTCAGGCTGGGACTGACTGGATTGACACAAGATCCATAGGTGGGGAACAACCTGTTTGGAGGGGGTATTTATCCCCATCAAGCGGGTTGCTCAACATGTCTACGGAATAAACTAGAAAGCGCAATCGTGGGAAAGATTGCTCAGCGAGCAGACTGAATTACTACTTTGGGAAAGTGGAGGCAGGCACTGAATGTTCCGGACTATGGATGATTGCTCAGCAATCAGCCAGAGTTACTACTTTGGGAAGGTGGAGGCAGGCACAGAATGTTCCAGAGTGTGGAGGCTTGATAAGCAAGTGGAGGTAAAGGTGGAGGCAACGGTAGAAGGTTCCAGCATGTGGAGGTGGAGGTGGAGGTATTCAGGGGTATGTGTTTCAAGTGTCTGATTGCGCAAAAGCACTTTGGCAAGTGGCAGATAGGTGATGTATGACACTTCTGGACCGCCTGCGCACAGCCAAGCTCTTCACCAAAATAGATTTGCGAGGCGCATATAACTTGTTGCGCATAGCAAAAGGCGAGGAATGGAAAACTGCCTTTAGGACCCGCTATGGCTTATTTGAATACAAGGTGATGCCTTTTGGGTTAACAAATGCCCCAGCATCCTTTCAACATCTCATGAACCACAATTTCCGAGACATGCTTGATCACCATGTCATCATCTACCTTGACGACATATTAGTATACTCCCCAGATGTTAAATCCCACATCAGACATGTCTCCCAAGTGCTGGAACGCTTGCGTGAGACAGGCCTTTATGCTAAGGCTGAAAAGTGTGAGTTTCACACTACATCCGTGGAATTTTTAGGGTTCTTCATTAGTCCTAATGGGGTTTCAATGGACAAGAAGAAGGTGCAGTCAATCATGGACTGGCCTTCCCCAACAACACTTACAGAGCTTCGATCTTTCCTTGGTTTTTGTAACTTTTACAGAAGATTTATCAAAGATTATTCCAAGATTACAACACCACTTACAACTCTTACCAAGAAAGATCTTCCTTTCACATGGGGTCCATCTCAACAAGAAGCATTCATTACACTCAAGAACGCTTTCACATCTGCAGATCTGTTACGTCATTACAACCCCAATCGACAACTCATCCTTGAAACAGATGCCTCTGATTACGCTATTGCAGGTATCCTTTCCCATGAAGAAGAGGGAAGACTTCACCCTATAGCCTTCATGTCAAGAAAGATGCTCCCAGCAGAGCTTAATTATGAGATTCATGACAAGGAAATGCTAGCAATAGTAGCATCATTTAAGGAGTGGAGACATTACCTTGAAGGTGCTTTACTTCCGATCAAGATTTACACAGACCACCGTTCATTAGAATACTTTACTACATCCAAGCAACTCAATCGACGCCAAGGAAGATGGTCTGAGCTCCTTGCGGATTTTAATTTCAACATCCTTTATAGACCTGGGATACAAGGAACTAAACCAGATGCTCTCACTCGTAGAAGAGATTATCATCCAAGAGAGCGTGGTTCTAGCCTTACCACTGAGGCAAACCCTCAGAATTTCCAACAGCTTCTCAAACCTGGTCAGTACTTAGCAGCAGCAAGTGTGATGGACATCGCTTTGGAGATGAGTACCACATTCAGAACTGCTTTGGAGACAGACACGGAAGCCAAGGATTTTCTTGATAAAGCAAAACAACCATCAGACCAACACCCCTTTACCATTAACCTTGATGGTCTATTACTCCATAGGAATCAGTACTATGTTCCATCTACGGGTAATCTTCGACTCATGGTTACCAAACAGCATCATGATTCACTACTCTCAGGGCATCCTGGGAGACGAAAAACTATCCAACTCATCCAACGCCACTATTGGTGGCCAGGTATGAGATCTTATGCCAACCATTATGTGGATATGTGTGACATATGTCAACGTACAAAATCAAAACGTCATCAACCTTATGGAGAATTGAAATCGTTACCCATCCCACCTTATCCATGGTCATCAGTTTCCATGGATCTCATCAAACAACTACCGTCTTCAAACAGTTACAACTCCATTCTTGTTATTGTGGATCGACTTACAAAACAAGCAATCTTTATACCTACCACTACAAATCTCACTGCAGAAGAAGTAGCAAAGCTTTATCTACGTCATGTCTTTTCTAAACATGGAATTCCACAGAGTATTGTCTCTGATAGAGGATCCGAATTTACTTCTAGGTTCTGGAGAGCATTTACTGAATCATTGGGTATTGAGCTTGCTTTGAGCACAGCCTTCCACCCTGAAACAGATGGTCAAACAGAACGTGTCAATCAAGTCCTAGAACAGTATCTAAGGGTCTTTACATCCTATCAGCAAGACAACTGGGAAGAGCTGCTTCCTCTTGCGGAATTTGCCTACAATAATGCACCACATTCCTCCACCGGAGTATCACCCTTCTTTGCAAACAAAGGTTACAATCCACAATCCACCTTTGTACCTTCCAAAACTCAAGTTAACGCTCCAATAGCAACTACATATGTTGCAGACCTATCAAAACTACATGATTATCTCAAGGATGAGATTAAAAAAGCAAATGATGCTTCCGCAAAAGCATTTGATAAGGGACGTCTACCATTACCTGATTACAAGATTGGAGATAAGGTATGGTTATCAGCCAAGAACATCCGTACAACTAGACCAACCAAGAAACTTGATCATCGATATCTTGGACCATACACCATCATGGCAAAAATATCATCTCATGCTTATCAATTGGATTTACCACCATCAATGCGTATTCATAATTTTTTCCATGCTCAATTACTTGAACCTTCTCATGAAAACACTATCCCTGATCCTGTTCAACCTCCACCTCCACCAATAGAAGTTGAAGGACAAGAAGAGTATGAAGTTGAAGCAATCTTGGACAGTAAATACAACAGACGTTTCAAAGAACCCAAAAGATATCTAGTCAAATGGCTCGGTTACAATGAAACAACCTGGGAACCACCATCAAATCTTCAAAATGCAATGGACCTAGTCAAAGCTTTTGACAAAGCGCACGGAACATGATAAGCTCTTATAGGAACATTGCCTGGAATCACCCATCAACATTTAATATTTTCCTTGGTCCAATGGTGTTGGATCAGGTGATCAGTTCCAGTGTGTGGAGGTTTGGGTTCAAATCCCCTCTGCACCACTGTGTTTTGACCGGGAACCCTGAGACAGAGACACGTCACGTGCACTCCTCGTTGGTATACCTCAAACACAGAGCTCTGATCACCCGGAGGTTCACTGGACTCCGTCTAAACACCAGTTAAAGGGGTTTTGCCCCAGAGATAAATTTTGGGGGCTGAAAGGCCCATTTTTGCACCAAGGGAGACATGAAAAGTATCAAATCATCTTAAAAGTCATCCTAACCGACAAGACAATTCATTCTATCTATCATGGAGGCTCTATACCCTCTAATTTAAGTAAAGAAAATAGAAAAAAGAAGAAAGACAGACGTTGGACAATCAACCCATAACCGTCTCTTCGTCTCCATCAGGATCTCCTCCTCCGGCATGTACCATTGCCTTGACCTGTGCAATCATTTCGGAATGCATTGCCCTAGTCTTATCCTCCTGTACTCTCTCCGACTGATCCCACTGAATGAGGAAAGCTAGATGAGCTGAGACTTGCATAATGGAAGGTCCCGCACGATGAGTAACTTTTGGAGTAGAGTTTGAGGGACCAGGCGACAAAGGATTGGCTACCCTTGCAGTACCAAGAAAGAATACATCCGGCGACTTCCAATTAGCTATCTCCCTCAAATAAAATATGAAGATACAAGGGGAAACTCACCGGCAGATCCACCCTTACCTCCCTCCTTGGATTCCTTCGATGAACTCCATCATCTTCCTTGATCAAAGAACATGGGATACCAAGACGGACACAGTCATAGCATTTGGTGTTCCGGCCGTACTGAATACAGTCGCGAGTACCACGAGCAGCTTCAGAGCATTGTCGACATTTGATGGCACGATATACACCATGTTGGTCAATCTGTTGCATAAGAGCATGACGAGCACGGGTCTATTGTCAGCAATATGAAGAGAACAGGACACAATAACTAATCCAAACTCACTGAACGAGACCAAGTCACCTGTTCATCTTCTTCTTCATCCTCCACCACCGCCGCTGGTACTGCTGCAGGTACAACTTCACCATTACCCATATCCATCTCCATCCAGCTGACAGGACCAAATAGCTCAGGAGCCAGTTCATCTTGATTGTTGTTGTCAGGTTCTTCGAAGAAGTCGCTAGCAAAGTCAACATCGCTGACATTGAATTCCAAGGGGGCATAGTCAGCAGCAAGCCCAAGACCTTCGAGATTATCGAGATTGACATTGTTACCCATCTACAATATCAGCATTGCACCGACTGGGGTAGAAGGGAGTACCTACCAAACCCAGGGCTGCCATCATCCTATCCTCATCTCTAGCCCTAGCAATGGCATTGGCCATGCTATTCCAGTCAATTGCCGAAAGGTCAATGGTACCGTCAAGAATATTATCCATACTTTCAAGAATATTGAGGGGGAAGAAGAAATACGACGGCCAAGAACCCAAGTATATAAAGGAAGAATAGAGACATACTCTATCTGGACAAGAGACGTCTCATTTTCACACGCTTCAGGGACTTTGATAAGAAAATTTGGAAGAATATGACGTGCTCAGATGTCGTTTAACAGTTGAGCAGTGGTTATAGACGGAAAAGAAGAGAAATGTACAGGCTCGACTGTCACGAACTACATCGTGACACCTCCATTACTCCACCAACAATGACCCTCCTTTGACCATCAAAACCACCATCACGCCTTAACCTTTTTACTCTACACATAACTCAGGACTTCTGAGACCAAGCACGGCGAAGTTAGACGGAGTTAGGCTAAGTAGGGACAATGGGAGCAGAAGTACGGCGAAGTTAGACGGAGTTAGGCTAAGTAGGGACAATGGGAGCAGAAGTGCGGCAATGTTAGGCGGAGTTAGTAGTCGGAGGAAGAGGATGGCCGGGGACTCGGGGAAGTTGGACGAAGTGCGTTGAAATACGTCAAAGCGTGAGAGGGTTGGATGAACGTCTAGGAGGAATAGATAATATTAGCTGAGAGGATCGCTGAAGTTCTTCAGCGATCCTTGATTGTTGTCAGTAGTGAAAGACAGATAGAGATAGCTATATACAAATCGAGATACATCGCCATCAGTAGAACAAAACCCCAGTTAGAGTAACTACGCCGAAATACGCCGTAGTTACACTCCTTCCGACGTCTGCGCCCTCTCGGTTGGGTGAGACATCTACTCAGGAGCGTCAAGTTAGCCGAGGTTCGTCGACCGTCGGTCTGCCAGAAGATAGTTGTTCGACGGCCGTGACATCGACGGAGCTCGCCGCTTAAGAAGGAGGGGATACTGTTACGACCCGGATAATGTCCTAGGGTCGTAACCCATATCATACCAAGCGCTGATCTCATTTTCTCACATTCTCAAGCCACAAGCCACCGAGAATCTCATGAGACAGGGCATCTCTACAAGATCTCAATGAGACACAAGACATCTCTAGGAGATACATACGAGATCTCTATGAGACATCAGTCATCTCTATGAGATCCATACGAGATCATCCCAAGACAAGAGACAACTCTACGAGATCTCTAGGAGATCTCTACAAGACATTCAGGGAAACACGAGATTAGCATGAGAACATGAGACATGAAGCAAGAGAATATACCGAGAAGGTTATGAGACATCTCTACAAGACATCCTGAGATGTCTCTTGACATGTCTCTAGGTTTGTCTCTGTGTAAAGTATATAAACCCCTTCCGTAGAAACCGTAGTTCTTCTTCTTCAAGGATCAAAATATTATTTGCCACTCTACAAAGACCTCCTCTTGACTTATACTTATTTTCGACACACCTCCCTCGACAAAACCCTTGTCCACATCATCACACACACTCTCATCATCATCTCGACTTGCTCGGATCCTTCGCAAGTCACTCTAGTCGTCCGACCAAATCACAAGTCTACGAACAACATAATACTAACCGTCGTTGTTCAAGCTAACTAAACAGTTATAGTCCACCTGTCTTTGATTCATTAAGGTCTGTCAAGGACAGGACCGTGACACTCTATCTAAAAGGGGTCTTTACTGATGGCGATGTATCTCGATTTATATTGTGGCTATCTCTATCATTCTTTCACTACTGACAACAATCAAGGATCGCTGAAGAACTTCAGCGATCTTGTCATGTCCGTCGAATAACTTGTTTCCAAAAGACCGACGGTCGACGAACCTCGGCTAATATTCGAAGTGTACAACGAGTACAATTACAATGATAGTAAAGAGTTGCATTGCAGACTACAGAATAAAATCGTATTACCAATCCGTATCGTAGTTACGTGGCATTACTTCAACACTCCCCCTAATGACACTGACTCCAACAAACTAACATGTTCTAAACCAACTAATGAGATCATATCGTAAACCAATGGGATCCGTATCGCAGACCTGGACGTACGGGATGAAAAGGCATGAATCACGAGCAAACCAGGAAATCTCGTGTGCACAGTACAAAGTGCTCGGTACGACGCTCGCTCTATACGATTCCAGAGATGTCGATTTCGAATCATGTGGATCGTGATCCGAATCAACAAGATGAGTGTGGGAGGTGAGGAGTGTCACGAAGTGACAAGACAGTTTGATAGTGATAGTGATAGGATGGGTTGGGTATTTAACCAGCGACCGGCGGTATGCAGTAACCGCCGGTTAATAGGCCTTTTAGCACAGTGGTTTAGACCACTATCTCTGAAGGGCACTGTTATATTGTCCCAATGCTGGTTAGTTGGTCTCGTGACAAGGAGAGATACAGAGTGTGATATCAAACCGTGTACCAGTCAAACTCGAAGACAGTTCTTTTCGTGTGGTTCTCTTGGTAGGATCTGTGTAAGGAAATCCGAGTCTTGCAATTCGGATCATACGTATTCGAGTTTCAATTCACCATTGTATATCTTCTCACGAATGTAATGATGTTGTACGTCTATATGCTTCGATCGAGCATGCGTACCAGGATTGTGTGCCAATCGTATCGCACTTTGATTATCGCCATTAAGTCGTGTTGTAACTTGCTTGAAACCAAGTTCAGTCAATAGGCTTCGTATCCATACGGCTTCACAAGCAGCTTCTGCGGTTGCGATATACTCCACATCCATCGTAGACTGCGCGATCGTAGCTTGTTGTTACGGAGTAACAACCAATCGAGAGAACTCCATCGAATTTGACGGATTAGGAAAGAGAACAGCGGGAATTGGAGGCAGTGCTGCAGTAGGTAGGGACGGGTTTTCCCTTTTCGAGATTTCCCCACTGGGTTTGCTCAAAAGCGGTTTTTTACCTGTCCGAGTATGTACATAGACGCTTGCAGTAGGACTGAGAGGAGGACGCGGACTCTTGTAGATAGTATATAGTGCAATCAGCAAAGTACCAACTTTGCTGATTCTTCAATATCATTCTTTGGCTACATCGATTGCAGAGGAGACACGATCCATCACATAGCACCAGAGACACATAGATTTCCACAAGACTTCCATCGAGTTTGACCCAACCTGCGACCTAGTCATCGTGTTTCCAGTACCGTTACACTTGTCTTCGAGATTGCCATTGAACCGAGCTATTACAAAACTTGAATAGATAGCCAGACGTAGACTTTCGTGTCTCCGTACAACCAGCGAAATCCGCATCAACCCATCCTTCGAGTTGATACGGTTCTCCCCCAAGCTTGATGTAATGATCCTGCTTGTGAGGATCACCACAAATAAATAAATGTAACCTACCCGTAGGGCTGGATACTGTCGGAACTCTGTGATGTGGATAATACTAGTCAACAATGGATCAAAGGTCAGTAATGGTCAGTAAAGAGTGTATCAAGGAAACTAAAGAGGGTCTGAGAGAGGATGGAGGAAAAAGGAGGAGAAGAAGGAGGAGAAGAAGGAGGAGAAGAAGGAGGGAGAAGAAGAAGTGAGAAGAAAGACAATGGAGGAAGAGATCCCCCTCAGACCCAGCTTATATACATGATTGGGGTTCCGTAGTACGGAACAGCTACGCCATATTTTACGGTACGGGGATTATTACGGATTAGAAGTCCTCTAAGGAGAGGGACAACTTGATCACGAAAAGAGAATAGGAGGAATAGGGTTCTTGCTAGGGAGGATTACAATAAGTATGAGATGAGTGATAAGGAGAAGGGAGAGGAAGGGGACTATGGACTACTCCTCATGTAGGGGACAGCCAGGTTCACTACATCACCCCCGGCGGCAAGTAAGCCTGGTCCCCAGGCTTGTCCACTTACATTAGAAGTTAGTGTGTTGTGGATGGGGTAGGGATGTGTTTTATGCATCCCAATTTTATGTTTTTCTGATTTTTTTGTGTTTTTATTGTTATTATGATACTAATCTATGAAGTCCTACGATCCAAATCTATCGACCGTTATCACCTAAAATCATTCTAGAAGAGAAGCAGAAAAGACGTGTTTTATTCTATTGAGGTGGCAGAGGTCTCCATCTCGCCTGGTCTCCATCTGTCAATGTGAAATTCAAGTATCTTCTAATTCTTCCTGGTCTCACATTTGGATTCTTAGCCCACCAGTCGTCATGAGCCTTCTTACCTTTTTCGTTCTTAAGGAGTTTCCATTCTATATGAGTACATTTCCTCACCCTTCCGTCTGGAGTCTTCTTGTCCACCTTATAATAGATCTTTCCCTCAAAGCGTCGCATTTCAAACGCCGTGATTGTCCAGGTTTCCTCTGGAGTAGTCAAGATAATGGACTTGTCATTGGTGAAAGGAGCCGGTAAAGTTGTAGGGGGTGGAGTGGTAGGAGGTGGAGTCGGAATTGGAGTGGGGTTATGAAGGGGTGCCGCCGCTTGTTGAGCCGGTTCGCTTGTTCCTTCACCAAACGTGTTGCGCAAGGACCCCTTTTGTTCGCGTTGTTTCCCTGCACAATTAGCCTGTAAGATCGTCCAATTTGAAGAAGAATTGAGGGAGTGGTGTGGTAAAATGCGTACTAGAGTGTTCCTCCCAATGTGAATTCCATGCTTCCGCCAAATCTTCATGTAAACTGAGGTCCGTGCCGCTAATCTCCATATTTTCAGGCCTGCCGCAAAGAGAATCGAATTCTGAGAAGGTTCTATCACAGGAGGACCACTGGCCGAAATAGTTATTGGCCGATGAACAAGGGGATTGAGGAGAGTAGTTTGGTGAAGAGGGAGGGTTAACTTCCGCCTGGTATATCTCGGGACAGAAGGTAGCTAGCGTCGAGATCTCTTCGCGAGTATCTGCGTAACAGTCAGATCTTTATTTTATGTTAAGCTAGCGTAAACATACAATTGGCAGAATGCGGAAACGATTGAGGAAATGTGTTTTCGTATGGATTTTGAGCCGCCAGAGTTGAGGTACCAATAGTATGGCCTTCCTGCGCAGAATTGAATTGATCGCCGGCATCTGCTTCAATTAGAGCGATCAAAAACTCTGTAGAAAGCGGAGAGTCAGACCTAACAGGAAAACCCATGAACATCGCTGAAGCCGCATTATTCGTAAATGCGCAACTTGGTGAAGATAGGTCTCCATATAACATGTCAATTTCTTGTTGGACCGAGGCCTGTGGTGCTAATAATTCTTCTAAGTGTCTCAGCCTTTGTCACAAGTGGTTAGAAGGCAACAAGAATTGGTCTGTGGTGTTTGTTTGGACTCACCAAGAGTTACTCCTGGCGATATGGCCCGTTCTTTCCCCTTATATACACCCGATCCATTGTTGGTCTCTATCTCGGTAATTACAGGACCTGCACTTGCGATCTTGGGATCGTTTGAAAGCTCTTTGTTGTGTCAGCAGGTCCACCAATTCTCGAGGCACCTGGAGCGATATTGTTTGTGTGTTGAGTAAATAAAGGGGAAGGAATACAAGAATGAGAGGAAGGAGTGGAAGGAGATTGTCGATAACCCACCCTCAGGAGCCTGGAACTCTTTCATAAGTGCTTTGAAAGCCTCAAAAAGCGGTAAATCACAGTTCTTGATCATTGTATACCCTTCAGGGGACAAGCTGTCGTTCATCTTGTTGGAGTATAGTTGGAAAATAAGTAATGGCGAGGTAGGAGATGTGAATTGGGGGAAGAGTGGGGGAGGTGGAGGTGAAGTCGGAATCAAAGTCAAGTGGGTCGATAATTTTTTGGCTCTAAGTCCAGCCTTATAAGTGTTTTGTGGTACGGGGATTCCTACGGGACTCTACATGTCTACGGGAATTATTACGGGAACTGGGCCGTATCCGTACTGTGTCCCGTATGTGTGTACGTGAATGTTCTTCTATGCTACGGAAATCTCCTTGAGTGGTACGGGGATGACTTTGAGTGGTACGGGGCTGACTGTGGGTGGAATGGGGATGTTGTTGAATACTACGGGACTGTTCCTGTCCTGTTTGAATGGGCTCCTGTCTGTTGTTCCAGTAGTCCTGTAATGCTAAAGGTGCATTCTCAAGATTAGATTCGGGTTCCCATGTGTCGTCATGATCAGCATATCCTTTCCAGTGGACAAGATAGTGCCTCTGCTTGTGAGGTCCATCTCTGTGGTCAAGTATGATGTCTACTTCATAAGTCGGAGCACTCTCAGCTGTCCCAGGGTCTATAGGTGGAGGTGGTGGTTGTGTGCGTGAGGGGAATGGGTTGGCGCGAAATTGTTGAAGATATTGACTGTTGATGACCAGGTGTGCTTTGATATGAGGAGGTAAATCAATCTTGTACGAGGTCGGATTGACAACCTTGAGCACATCGAATGGTCCAACGTATTTTGGTTTAAGCTTCTTTGATCCTGAACCCTTGATGAATGGTGGGCTCAGGTATGTTGTTGAGACCATTACCTTGTCACCTACCTTAAAAGGCCTTTCCTTCCTTCCAATGTTGTATTGTCGAGCTTGTTCGTGCTGAGCCAAGACAAGCGCATCCTGTGCCTGTTGTTGTAGGCTCTTGAGGTTATCGAGAAATTCTTCTGTTGCAGGTACGTCACTTTGTGCAAGTGTGAGACAATCCAGAGGTGTGAGGGGTTTGTAACCAAGGTCCAGTTCAAACGGAGAGAGGCCAGTGGACTGATGTGTGGCGGAATTGTAAGCAAACTCCAACCTGGGAGATGATCAGTCCAGTTGTCCTGTCGGTAGTTAACATAATGGCGGAGCATTTCCTTGACTGTTCGCACCATACGTTCTGATTGTCCATCTGTTTGGGGGTGGTAAGGAGTTGACATGGCAAGCTTCGTTCCAAATCTCTGAAATAATGCCTTCCAGAAAAGGGACGTGAACTTGGTGTCTCGGTCTGAGATGATGACACGAGGCATACCATGAAGGGGAATGATGTGGTTGAAGATGTGCTGGGCAGTATCGGTTGCTTTGTCAGTTGTATGACAAGGGATGAAGTGAGATCGTTTTGTGAGTTTGTCGGTTACTATCAGTATCATATCATTCTTGTCTTTTCCGGATGCTGGTAATGGACCTGCAAAGTCCATGGCAATTGTATGCCATCTCTGTGGTGGAATAGGCATGGGTTGAAGAAGACCTGAGGCTCCTTCAGCAGATGCTTTGTTCCGTTGACATGATTCACAGGAGGTCACATATTGCCGCACATCCTTGTGCATTCCAGGCCAGAAGAACCGTCGCGAGATGAGTGATAATGTCTTATGAACACCAAGGTGACCAGCACTTATGGCATCATGGTTGTCGTGAAGGATGTTGAGTCGTAAGTGGTCTGCAGATGGGATGCAGAGTCGTTCAGTTCCGGTGAGAGGGTCCCTGTAAGCCAAGAGTCCGTCTTTATCAAGGGTGAATCGTGCGTTGAGCGCAGTTGGGTTATCAGATTGCAGGTTCTTGATGATGTTGTGGAGCCGAGTGTCATGTTTGTATCCGTTCTTGACTTGAGTGAGGAATGTTGTGGAGAAAATGGCTTGTGAAGTAAAGAGAGGTGTGTTGGTGGTAGGATCCGAATTCATTTCTACATCTTCCATGGCTGAATTGACAGTGGGTAGAGGAGCTCTGGAGAGACAGTCAACATTTGAATGGAGCCTGCCTGCCCTATGGCGAATAGTCATCTGGTTGTGATAGGGTTGCAGTTCCATGGACCATCTTAGAAGTCGTCTATTATTCCCTTTGAAGTCAAATAACCACTGGAGTGCAGAATGATCAGTGATCAGAGTAAATTTTACACCATCAAGGTAGGGTTGGAGTTTGGTGACAGCCCAGACTATACCTAAGCATTCCAGTTCACTAGCTGTATAATTTTTTTCTGCAGGCGTAAGTGATCTGCTGAGATAGACAATAGGGTGTTCTCTATGTTCATCATCAAGCTGAGCCAGTACAGCACCTAGACCAATAGCCGAGGCATCTGTGTAAACAATGAAAGGTTTAGTGTAGTTAGGGTGGGCAAGGATGGGGGTGGTGGTGAGGCAATTACGCAGCTCCTCAAATGCCTTTTGGCATTCAGGCGTCCAAATATATTTGGTGTTCTTTGTGAGGAGAGCATGGAGAGGGGAGGCGATAGCGGAGAAGTTGGAGACAAACCGATGATAATAGGTACACATACCTAAATAGCGTTGGAGTTGTTTGATTGTGGTGGGGGGTTCCATTTCCTTAATTGCTGCTACTGATTTTTCCAATGTTCCAATTCCAACATTACTGATGGAGTGTCCAAGGGCTTCAATTTCCTGGTAAGCCAGCCGAGATTTTGAGGGACTAAGGGTGATCCCTGATTTTGTAATGAGTTTGAGGATAGTGTCAATGTCGTGAAGATGAGTGTCAAAGTCATTGCTGAAGATAATGATGTCGTCAATGTAGACCAAAGCAATTTGCCATTTGTATCGGCCAAGTACCTTGTCCATGAAGCGTTGGAATACTGGGGGACCATTTCGCAGTCCAAAAGGCATACGATTCCATTGGTGAAGCCCTTGATGTGTTCTGAAAGCAGACTTTGGTTTGTCTTCTTCAGCAATAGGTATTTGGTGGAACCCTTTGTTGGCATCAAAAGTACTGAACCATTGCTTTCCTGAAAAATGAGTAAGGATGTCATCAATACGGGGAAGTGGATATTGATCAGCTTTGGTCACATCATTGAC